ATATCTCGCTAAGCTTACCGAGTTAGTATTCTAGCGCGTCCTTTTAATACCGTTTAAAGGGAAGGAGTTTCGGCTCCTCTTTCTTATGTTCCTATAATAAGAAACCTCGTTTCTTAGGGTTTAAGGTCGTTAGAACGGTTCCGTTAGGGTTTATAATATTATTCTTATCTAATTAGTTTCCGTTACGATAAAATAACTTTCCCGAGAAAATCTTAATTAAAAAGGAGCTAATAAATAACGTATAATTTAATTACGCTCGGTTATATTTCCCGTCGTCGCCGGTAAGGTAATAAGTAACCTTACTTATCTTCGTAACGTTTATAAGGCCTCCTTCCGTATTAACGACGTAACCCGGTAGTAACGTTACTACCGTTCTCGGGTTTAGATCTTTTAAATCGTTCGTAACGTAAACGTTAGCTCCTATATCGAAAAGTAGGTAATCCTTATAAGCATTAGCCCTTGCTCTATAGTTAATTCTTAAAGGCTTTACGGGCCGCTCGCCCTTTAGCGGGTTAGCTATAGTTAGGTTATTACCGGGGTTAATAAGGATAGGCTTTTATTTAAGGTTCTTCTTACGGCGTAATTCGTTATAAGCGCTTATTAGCCTAAAGAGCTTTACCGTATCTATCTTCGTTCGATATATCCCGCTTTCGTTATCGTAATAACCGAATTAAGGTAACGTATACGATACGTACGTAATATATTACGTCGACGGTTATTTTAAACCGCTCCTTAATTCGCCGGAGGCGTTATCGCCGTTATTATTACCGCCGCCGTTACCCTTGTCCTTTCGTTTCTTTAGCGGTTTTAAGTAGTTCTTAGCCTTATGCTTATACTTCTTATAGTTAAAGTAAAAGGACTCTTTTTATTAATTCCACGAAGGCTTTTTCTTTTTATCCTTTTCCTTGCCTTAAGCGTTATTAACCTAATTATTATTACCGCCGTTACTCTTATTACCCTTATACTTATTAATTTTATTACGGAACTTTCCGCGGAAGTTATTAAGTACGTTTAATAGGTCTATAGGTTTCGTTTTAATTATAGTATTTACGATCTTAACCTAGTTAGCTACCTTATTTTATATATAGCTAAAGAATATCGTAATTTATTATTCTTCGCCGATTACGAGGCCGGTATTTATATACTAGCGAACGGTTAGTTATTATTTAAACGTAAACTCTATTAGGTTTTTACCGTCGTATTTTATTTTAATAAGTTATTCCTATATCTCCTACTAACGAACCTTTCCTATAAAAATATAAGTTTAATCGAATATCTTTAATATTCTCGTACCTAAACGTACGTCCGTTATTAACTATAAAGGTTAGCCCCGGTAGGTTCCGGCGATTACTTTCGCTAAGAATATTTCGTTTTATTCGTCGAGTTTTATCCCTTCTTTATATCTTACTTCCTTTATAAAGAATATAAGTATATCCCGATATAGGCTTTAGTTTAAAATTCCCTTAAAATAAACGTCCTTATCGGGGTTAAAGACGAACTTCTTCTAATTAATTCTACCGTTCTTCTTAAACGCGGTATCTTTATTTCTCGCCTTCCGGCTACGTCGTTTATCGTAATCGGAGTTATTATCGAAGGAGCTTCCTAATAGGCTACTTAGGCTACGGCCCCGGCGGCGGTAGCTCTTACGCCGGGCTAAGCGCGAGGTACGATAGTAGCGGCTATCTTCGCGGCTCCTACGGTAGTCCTTACCGTAGATTCGTTAAGTCTCTATAACCGACTTATTTAGTTTCCTCGGAGTCTTTAGGTCTTTAATATAAAGTTTATCCTTACCTTCGTTAGCGTCGATAAAGTCGCCTTTTTTTATTAAATCGGCGACGTCTTACTAAGGTTAGCGATAGCTTCCTTACCGTTATTCGCTTATTATTTCTAGCTTAATTATTATCTCCCTAAGGAAATACTTTACGGTATTTATACGCTAGTTAATATACTCGGTCGTCTTACGTAAGCCTTCCTATAGCTCCCTACGTATTTCCTTACGGAGGTCTTTTAATACGATATCCTACGTAATCTCTTATTCGGTTCTTTCCTCGGCCGCTTTATTTTATAATCTCGTAGCTATTCTCGTAGCTATCCTCGCGATTTAATCGTTTAACTTATCGATAACCTCTCTTTACCGTTAATCGTAATTATACGATTACCCCGGGCCGTTCGTTTATCGGAACTTTCGTTACTTAATTACCTACGTAGCGTAGGTAGTTAAATAATAATAAAATAACGTAATAATAAGCTTACGAAACGTAAGAGGTACTACTATATAGCTATCTAAGAAACGGATAAATAATTAATTAAATTATAGTTATCTACGTAGCCTTTTAGAGCCGTTTTACGTGCCTTTTATATCCCGATTAGCCCTCGCTAGGGTAGGGCTTACCCTATAGCTATACGTAACCGATTACGTACTTACGCGCCCACACGTTTATATTATACATAACTACCTACGTAAGTACTTACCAGTAGGTTAGGTACCTAGTTAATTCCCGACAACTTACCTGTCATGATAACCCCTCTACGCGAAAGCTCACAATTGTGCCGCCCCATGCGGTAATATTATCTACTAGGAGTTAAGTTGCAATTGCGATGCCGCACCGAGTTACAAATGCGAGGCCCGCCTGCCCAGGGAGGAGGAGGGAATTTCCCGCACACCTCGCATTCCAATAAAGGAATTATAAAAAATAAATTGCATACTGACGTGTCTGTTTTAGACGAACTAGAAGGACAGGTAGATTTACGATAGATGCTCCGGGGAGGATGGCGGTGAAGACTCGGCTTTTGTGACTGTCTGGGTAAGTAGATAGATAAATTATTAGGTACTTCTCGGGTAGATATCGCCAATATTCCAAACGTAGTAGCGTCCAGAGACGAGGCCGAGGCCTCTTGCGTACGCACACCCATACTTGCCTACATACGTAACGTAGGTACTATTGGCCCGCAGTTTGCTTAACCTCGTAAATATTCACCTGTAGTCAATACCCTACCTTTCTCTCTCGTCTCTTTGCGTTTTCTTGGCTTTACTTGTCCCGTCTCGGCTGCTGCCCCAGGCTGAGATGCGATGCAGGTTGTAAGCGGACGAGGCAGGGTTGTCCCGACGCGTAGGTATTTCTATATGTAGGTACATCCCATACCGTGCGTAGTTGTAAGTATGGCGTCTGAGTCCGTATCGTGTCGTCGCAGTGCAGCGCCAACTTTTCGGCACTGAGCTACCACTTCTCTCCAACTGTCAGTCTATCTAGATTGCGCCATTTACTGAGTATTACTCGTTAGTGGCTTGACGATCAGCATCATGAGGCTTTTTGGACCTATTTCTTTCCCCTCTCTTGTCTAGTCCGCGCCTAGGTGCCAAGCCAGGTCTCATGCACCCAGCCGTCCTCCCACTGCACCTCGCATCCGGATCTATTATTCTCTAATCAGATCTCGATGTTACTTCCAGGCAAGACAACGGGGACGCGGTCTAGCTGCTGCAAATAACTTGGCATGTCGCCCGTAGCCCTCCTCTGGAAATGAAACTCTGCTTGTTCTTTTCTTTTTCTTTTCCCCATTTCCCTTTCTCATTGTCGCTATTGTCGTGCAATACACTTAGTCTCGGCATAATATAAACCGAGATCTACTCATAGGTTAGTCTGCGCTCCGGCCTAGACGCTACCATCGCCTTGGCTGCGTGTATAGTCGTGCATAGCACACATACAGTACAGGTTTATCACAACTGGCCGTGGTTGGCTACGATGTTTCACCTGACACCCTACATGTCGAATGGAGTACGAGCGCCTCATCTTCGAATATCCCTCGCATCGCTTCACTGGTCTATTCATCTGCATAGCGAGTTTCACAAGAGGAAAGTACAGCCGCGGTTGCCAGATTCTAGCTAAGGGGCGAGATGGAATCATATTCTTAATGCACGCCCCAGCACACCGTCTCGCAGGAGAATGAGGATGAGGCGGACGAGGATGTGAATTTTATGGTGGCCTGGATTAGAGAACGCTGTCAAACTTTACACGTCACGAACCCTGCCGAAGAGGGCGATTCGGTCATACGGAGGAAGCGCCCGGGGGTAGGTCTCTACATATGCACATCCACATAGGAACCTACCTGGTTCCCTCGGATCCTCCACCAAGGATCTACGAGACGCGTCGTCAAAGGGAGCATGTGACCGAGCTGCCGTACTCAAGTTGGTTCAAGCGTGGCGGTTTCCGTCCCGCCATATGCGACGGTCAGTGTCCCCCGATGAAGTTTATCGAACCATCCAACTTCTATTGCTACTCGGGTGAACCCTTCGGCGCAATGCTGCTCAGCAATTATGTAGGTATGCCATCAATATCTCTGGCTTCTCGAAACGGGAAACGAACCCCTAGTTAGGTATAAAATAGTGGCCTTTTCACATGCTACAGAAGCAACGTCGGCTCTGGGCTGATTTGACAGCCTTTGGGCAGAAACTTATTTCCGAGGGAAATGTAAGAGGGCCCTTCATATAACTAGCTACATTGTTGATTTATTTTTCCTCATCTTTTTCATTCATTTCTCACCACTTGTTACTCCAGTTCGTGACACTCGATTAACCTGCTGATCTTCAGCCGGCATCTACTCGTTATAATTCGAAGATAGGTGGCTTGGTGTCGACGACTCTTACAGATCAACAAATCGCCAAACTGAAGACATCGCCTGAGAGGGCATATCGGGGAGCATCCACAGGTTCAATACGCGAAGCCGGCTCACTGACTCATGCGGTTTATTGCTTGTCGGGCGCAAGCATGTGTTAAAACCCCCAGTTAAAAATGACGATTCAGCCGGCTCTCGCACAAGTAATTTCGGCCCATCTCGATGCAGTAGCCGTACAATACCATCGCACTTCGTGTAAACCTAACCCCATCCAACACCGCCTTCAACCCACGCGCCGAGAGACTCAAGGCCGCTCTATACGTATACCTGCTATTCCTCTAATCGAATATGCGATATGACCGGTAATAGGTTGTACGAGAAATATAGTCGCCTAAAAACACGCCGATGCTACGAAGCCATTCATTTCGAGGAGGCCTCTTTAATCTGGTTGTTCGGGAGAGCAGCGCTTGCCTTAGCCTCCGCCTTCTCCTTGCCGCCCCAATGGTACCAATCCAGGTATCGGTAACCTTGCGTCAACTGCGAGCCCTCGTTGACAAAGTGGCAGAGGAAGAGGAGGTAGTTTTTGGGTGTCACGGCGAGGGCGTATCGCATGAATGTCGCCGAGTAGATGGTAAGGGCGAGGGTCATTTGGCCGGAAATTCTGTGAGATGTCCGGTCAGCTTTGGGGCATGCTTACGACAGCAAGATGCAAGGGGATGCCTCGTAGGTCTAAGCCTTCCCAGTGCGCCGCCGCTGACAAGATGCGACAGGGTGGACAAGTTGGTAACATACAGTTCAGGCGACTTCTGCGCGTCCATGACGGCGGCAACTGGAATACCAAAGTTCGACGCTGGTCCCCAGAAGTCTGCGAGCCAATGTCGTTAGCACCGATTCTTATCCGCCGTGGTAACCACGCATCGAGTACACACTGGAGCACCCTAAGGGGCGCCGGTTATTGGGGACGGGACACATCCGCCAGCGGGCCAACACGACTTCATGCTTCGCCTGGCACAGCCTAGCCAGGCTGATAGCAGCCGGTTGATCCCATCGTGAACCAACACCGGATATTACAGGAGTAAAGTCCGGACACCCGACACAGAGGGGGAGAGAGGTCACGTACGTGTCGAGCAGAAGTAGCTCACGGTCGGATTCGACCGAATCTTAGCGTTAATTGCTTTGACGAAGGCAGCCATCTCGCGCGACCGCCAGGATTCCGCAACGAATCGTAGAGAGGGCGGGGGATACGTGGTGTTGATGGAAAGTTCGTCGAAGTCGCGCACTGGGGAAGAAAAGGGCGGGTGTCCGGACCGGAGTATACTCCCTGTTTGTGACGGATCTTATCGAACCAACTATCGCCCAGCCGTTGTCAGCTGGGGCCCGCTTTTCCTTCTCCCTTTCTCGGAATTCGCAGGCCTGTATGTTGGGTACGTAAGGTACCCGTGGGTACCCAAGCAAGCGCTTTCCGTCAGGGAGTTACCCGGCAGATACCGCCGCAGGGAGTCAGGTAGGAGGTAGACAATGCTATTACTAGGTACCTCTCAGCGATATCACTCTACGATGCAGGATGCGACACATGTGTAAACTGGTCTCAATATGACACGACATTCTCAACATTGTTGGTGCTTTGGGGGCGGCAATTACTACGGTTGTGACTGAACGGCTGCGACCCTTGCAACGGCTCCGGGGCTCTTGCGGCGCTGTGCTCTTGCAACCTTTCTGGTTTATGACAGATACAAAATACAATCTTCTTCCCTTTTCGGTGCTCTCTGTGGTCCGGCTAGCATCCCTGAACGCCAATGGTATCTATAGCCGTTTTTCGGTAGGACGTCTGTTCCTGCAACAGCCAACTGGCCTTCATACGAAAATTATCTTCGAGGGGGAGGGTTGAATCCTGGGGGAGGGCCACCACCGGGATTGAAACCCGGGGGTGGGAACTGGGCGTTCTGAGGGAAGCCCGGCGGTGGAAACCCGCCTGGAGGAAACCCAGGGGCTGGGGCTGGGCCGAGTTAGCACACAATCCCAGACGTTCACGAAAGAGGAGGCAAGATTCTAAGAATTACTTACGACCCCCTCTGCCAGGCCCAAACCCAGGTGCCCCGCCAAATTGAGGGAAAGGAGGGGGAACACCACCTCCCACGCCAGCGGCCGGGCCCTAATGAACATGTTAGTGCTTGATTCCCTTCGTTCCGACACATCTGCTTACCGCAAGAGCCGTTGGAGCCGCTCCACGTCCAGCAGGGCGAGCAACGCCCGACCCTGCGGCGAGGCCACTCTGTAAGCCACCAGGCGTACTCTTCCCAAGACGCGTACTGGGGTCGGCCGGTGGTGCAGATTCGACGGATAGCGATACGATATGCGCGCCACGTAAGATTGTCAATCCCAGCGTACGCTTCTCCTCCGTCTCGACCGTCTGAGTTGCACCCGAACTAGATGCGCCGGGGGCGGAGGGCTTCGCTTGTTTTCGTTTGACGCGTCGGAATTCTTCGGTATCGGCCAGCACGAGGTTCATGTGCTGTAGCATTATCAGCAAATGCATTCAAAGCATGTGTGGATACAAAAGAGCCAACCTTGTCGAAAGCAAGCATCTGCCCTACCATCTGGCGGCCATCCACCAACGTGACCCTCATCCGGTAGTTGATCTAGCAGTGTTAGTAGATGCGAACGGGTCACCTATGGCAAATGTGCTCCGTGTAGGCACGCGATCACGGGGGTATACATACGTAACCGGCCTAGAGCAACCAAATTTTGTCAGCCTGTGATGTCAATGTCGAAGCTATGAATCGGTGAAGGGGGAGGCGGCTCACCATTTTGCCTTGTTTGTTCGCCATCTTGGCGATGAACCAGCTCCAATGGAGCTCGAATGGTTTCGGGAATTGTGCTCTGCTTGAAATCGACGTGTCTTTGGGCACTTGAGATATGGTGCCTGTCGAGGCGTATAGGCGCGCGTGTGAACTCGAGAACCAGGCTTTGATAGGGAAGATCTGGATAGGGAGCTCAGCCAACGAAAATTGAACGAGGTAGCCTTGGAGGCAACGTGCAAGCTCCACAGAATTGGTGCAATGATAGGCTGATGTACTCAAGCTGCACTAGTCCAGAATGGGGGGACCTTAAATGCCCTGATTCTCGAAACTCGGACCCCACCAAAGCACGTGTCCAAGTCAGCCACACTTAGCATCAGCCACAGGCCGACACCCCACAGGCGCCCACAGACAGGTGTAGGGCAGGAACCCTTTTACCACCGCGGACTGTGAAATTTCGGAGGAGTCTTCTTTTTGAGCTTCACTCTCGCCAAAATTGGAGCCGAATGATAACCCTCGTTCAAGCCTACAACCACGATTAGTACTAACATCCCCCCCTCGTAGCCACAATGGTATGTCGATTTTGAGTAGACCAGCTGGACTTTCCGCTGCTAATTACTCTCAACAGTCGGAAAAGGCCCAAAACCCCATGCGGGAGCTCCGCATCCAGAAGCTCGTTCTCAACATCTCGGTCGGTGAATCTGGCGATAGATTGACGCGTGCTGCGAAGGTCTTGGAGCAGCTGAGCGGTCAGACTCCTGTCTACAGTACGTCGAGCCCTCTCTATAGACAGGGTGACATCCGATCTCCCCTAACCACGGGAAACTCGCAGGCAAGGCTCGCTACACCGTCCGAACCTTCGGCATCCGACGTAACGAAAAGATCGCCGTCCATGTCACTGTCCGTGGGCCCAAGGCCGAGGAAATCCTGGAGCGTGGCCTCAAGGTAAAGGAATACGAACTGCGCAAGCGCAACTTCAGCGAGACCGGCAACTTCGGCTTCGGTATTAGCGAACATATCGATCTGGGTATCAAGTACGACCCGGCCATCGGCATCTACGGCATGGACTTCTACTGCTGCATGACGCGCCCTGGCGAGCGAGTCACCCGCCGACGACGATGCAAGAGCCGCATTGGCTCCGGCCACCGCATCAACCGCGACGAGACCGTGAAGTGGTTCAAGCAGCGGTTCGACGGCATCGTCCGGTAAATCCTTTCCGAGACCTTGGGCGACACGGGAGGGAACTACATGGCGTTGTTGGCTGGATGCATTGATTCGGGGGAATCTGGAACAAAAAGATTCATGGATTTGTACCTAGTGAATTCTGGCGAGTTGCTTCGTCATTCTGGCATGACTTGAATCAAGTCAGCTACGGCCTCAGAGACCGACCGGCACCTTGCCGGCTTTCCCACGCCCCGATGGATTATATGGTGACGGCAGTCGACCTCTCGGTGCAGCCAACTCCAGCCCTTCTAAGACCATTACCCTAGTGCTTGTTAATGAATATAGAGAATAGTATGCAAGCCACGGGCCTGCGCACGAGGTCGAGTTTACGATGGATGATGCTTCATTGACCAGCCATCTCACACCGTCGCCACCCCCCTACACGTCAGCTTTCCACCCCTATATATACGTGCCAGTCTTGGCTACGAAGAGCTTTGGAAGTTCTCACATCGTCTCAGGTCCTTGTCGCAACCCGCGAGGTACGTAACCACTCCCCCTAATATGGGGGTCGATAGCTAAAGTATGCACATCTGTACAACACTTATTCATACGTGTGTCCCGGACAAGGAGGAGGTATGGATATGTACAGTGGTGATGTCTACCTAGGTACCTAGGGGATTAACTTGGGTGACATATGGGCATGGCAGGTACTGCAAGATACCTCTGCTAGGCCGCGTAGCTCCTGTGCCTACATTAAAGACGGGTTGTCTGTGCCTTCCTGGTGAGCGAAGGGTCGAGCGCGTCGAGATGGAAAGCGCGACCCGTGGCCTTTAGAGAATTGGGCAGGTATTAGAAAACATACCTAGTCGTAGGGGGTCGTACCTCCTATAGTTGAACAAATGAGCAGGAGACCACTTCTTAGACTGCTCGTCGCCCCTTGGAATTTTCACTTTCCTTCATTTTCCCAGCATCGTCTCTATGCCCATACTCGGCACCTCGAAATTATAAAGAAGCATCTGTAATATCCCCCTACCCCCTACCCGGTTGAATTTAAGGCTACACGTATACCCATTTGACCCTGAATCCCTTGATGGGTGCTCCGCCTTTGAAATACCATTTTCATCTCTTCACTCGCCGCCTGGGCCATCTCACCGCCGGCATACTGGCTAGGCAGTTGTCGCAGTTAGTTCTAATACTCAGGAAAGAGTGTTATCTACTCCAACAGTTGTGCTTTCAACGTACCCGTCAAATATTCAGCCGGTCTCTCGTACTCTCCGAGGTTATCGACCGTGTTCATCGAGGTCCGCTAGCAAGTACAGAGGCTCCTTCGTTTCAAGCAAACCCCTCAATACATATCTGATATGCGACTGCGTGCTTAGTTGGTGGTATGTGGGAAACCGTGGTTCGGATATAGACACTAGTCAGTAGGCCATCCTCCTCTAAAATAACCTCTAGCATGAGAGAAACCGCCAAAATGTCTATAGACTTGGTTCCCATAGCTCTTCCCACACATCTGTGTTAGTTTATGAGCTAATTTTACCAATGGCGAAGCTAGTAAATATGTCGTGCGAGTGGAGACGTACATCTACCGATCGTTGGGAGATTTCTCAAAGCAATCCTGCCTCAGAGCTTGCGCATGACCCTATTGCATCTACGAGTTCAAACCCGGACGAGCGGTCATCACCACCGTGTAGGCGAGCTCAGTGCACACGAGACTCTCAGCGTCAACGCAGTCACGCAAGCCAACGCCAAACGACAGAGTACACCAATCTACAAAATGACACACTCCCTTCTGATCCCGCGGAAGCTGAGACCGAGTCGATGCCCCTACATGGCCAGAATTCTAATCTGGAGCATATAGCGATTTCAGAAACCCCTCTCCAAGCATCTCCATGTCAAAGGGGAAATCACCTACCACACCAAGCTACTTCCAAACGAAGACCCAACTCGACAACATCTCTCACGTCCGATATTGATGATTATGTTGTCGCCTTGGACACGGAGGAAGCAGAAATCTTAAAGCCTCCCGAGTCAGATTCCGAGAGCATCATTCCAGGCACTGAGGTCACTGGTGCCGTAGAGCTAGACCCGTACGATGTTAACACTGTGACGTCGGGATGTGATCGGCGGGATACGAAGGGTTCGGACGGAGGAGAAACAGGTCGACGGAAGGGGAAGAGAAAAGGGTCTAATAAGAAGGTGCCCGGCAAGAATACCAAGAGTACGCAAGCCACGCTCACGGCCACTGCGCAAAGCACAGCAGCATCTGGCGACAAGTCTGGGCATCATATTATTTCGAAAGGTTATCTAGAGAAAGGGAAGGCAACATCCAAGGGGACATCGAAACGTCCTGGCCAGGCTGCTCACACTTTGGGTAATGCACAAGCATCGAATGGCCAGGTTCTCCCTAGTTCTAAAACGACGCCTGCCCAGTTATCGCATGGTGGCCGGAATCAGGGAACAAATGAGTCTAGGAATATTGAAGACGAAATTCCAGATTCGCAGACTCTTCGCTTCCAGAAACAAGGAAAGCGGAAACCGAACGCGAGACTTCCGAAAAAGTCATTTTACAATGAGCCGGGGGATGGCCCCTCTCCTTATGCGGAGAAAATCGGTGGAAAAGACAATGGAACTCGGTCTAGCCTCGACAAGAAGGCAAAGGGCGTACAGAGCTTGGATGGCCAAAGTCTCATTCATCCTCCTATCTCGGCGAATGGCGATAGCGAGGTCTTGGATTTGCCAAGTGATGTACTTGAAGGGCGGGAGCAAGGTATGCAGAAGAAGAATCGAGGTGATAAGGGCGCTGCCCTTCATGATGCTTCCCCCTCAAAGGCATTGGTAGGCCCCGATTCGGAGAAAAGGCAATGCCTAGCACAACACCCACAGAATACCAAGGAGAGGGGCCAGACCGAGACGCAGACTATCAGTGAAATAATTTCCTCGGAGATGGAACTTGACAACAAACTTTCTAGTGAGCACGAACCGAAGAGCAGAGCTACTCAGCGAGAAAAAAAGCCCAAGTTAGCGGCACCCAGAATGCGAGAGCACAAGAGAGTCGAATTCTCTGGCGATAATGAACCCAAAGGAATAGATGTTTCCGGTTATGTTCGCAAAGAGAATGGGCGAGCGAGAAAACAGATATCTCCTCGGGCGAAGACTGATGGCCCTGTATCTGAGGTAATAAAGACGACGGTTTCACATCATGCAGCTCGGGCGAAAGATGGGTCTCCAAGGCCTACACAGGACCCTTTGCTTCCAAGACTCCCAGGGGCTAATACCCAGAATGACTCCGTCAACCAGCTCTGGGACTCATCGTCTGGTATGAGAACCTCCAAGCCTATCATAAGACAAACAATGGCAGAATCCCCAACTATCCATGGGGCTGCTCCTGAATCAAAGGAGGCTAAGAGGGTCCATAAACATCAAACTAGTTTATCGGAAGGTTATTCAGAGGAAGAGGCCCCCTTGAAATATCAGCCCAGGGCCAAAAATCAGTTGCCCAGTATCCAGAACGTCATTGGAGGAAGAGTTGACTTTGACGAAGAAAAGACTGAGGGGTTGCCCGTGTTGTCCAAGCAAAGCGAGCAGTCTTCGTTAGGTCACATTGGCCCTAGGGAGAGGGAGGTCCATGGTAATAAAGACGCACAATGGGACGCTGGCAACGTTGACATGCATGCTGACGGGTCAGCTAAGGTTCCCATGTTAGAAAGGGGACATAAAAATGCGCTTCGGAAACAGGAATGCCGATTGCAGTGTGACCCTGTTACGCCCATGCACAATCACACTCGTCTGGTGGTTGATGAGTTTGGCAGCCCAGTAAAGCTGTCGAAGAAAGGGGCAATCGCAAATGTCTCAGCCATCCACGAACAGAACCTGCCCCAGCAACTGCAGCAACCTACAGTTGACGAAGGAAACTCGAGTAAACCAGAGAAAGAAGAGTATTTATGTCACCCGAACATATTCTGGCGTTCACCGGTACCACCAAGATCCATGTCACGATCGTTGAAAGAGAACGATGCGGTACAGATGGCCAATGTACGTCGACATATGGAGAGGGGCATGGCCCCAGAAGTGCCGGGTAGCCACCGACTTACATTTGGCACGTCCTCGGGAGAAGAAACTTTGATCTCATCTTTGAAGCATCGACAACGTATCATGAATCAAAAAGAGTCTACTTCTCGGGCTCCTCGGTCTCATTTAGAATCGGTAAATGTTGCTCCCAGGGACCTTCGAGGAGAGAAGCAGAGAGAACATGTCCCAGGCATTGGTCAAGATAGGCGGGATGCAGGGCATGTCGATCGACAGGAAAATAGACCGCGGTTCTTAGAACCAAAGACCGAAACTGAGTTCACAAACGACGTAGAGCCTATATCTCCTAAACCAGAACGGCCCGTGGCCTACGGAGAAAGACGTAATAAGAATTACGTCTTCCACTCACATCAACAGGCTGCCAAGCTTAGTAATGAAGAAAAATGGAAGAACGCAGTTGGTGAGGCATCTTGCGGAATAGTAGATACCCTTCACCGGATATCTACGGTGAGTACTTATTACCAATCAATGCTCATTCTGCAATGGCCTCCTAATAAGAAGTACAGGGACTTCTTGAACACCTAAGAAGTAGAGAAGAAAGCATTTTCGCGACTGTACACGAGTATAAACGCGACGGGACAAAAATATCGGGGAAACTAGCAGGGTATCATGCACGGGAACTGCTCAGTTTATCGACTGCGGTGGAGAAGAAGTGCCTGGAACTTTCCAAATTGTATGGCGACTTGTCTGATGAAACACAAGAGGTCCGCAATATGTGTTTGTCGAAGCGTCGCAATGAAGCATATGTGGAGTGGCAGCGACAGTTGACAAAAATGAAGAGTGCTCTGCGCAAGGCTAGGGACGAGATGAGTGCGGACTGAGTAAAAAAAACCTAGGCTTTTTGTTCGGGATGTTATTTGAAATGGAGAAGGGGTATGTGTTTGCTAATGCTGTTACGAGGCGCACTGCAAACTTGTGAGAGAGCATGAACTTGCTGATGTGTTAATCGATACGAATTTTGCCGTGTACTTGTTGACATGATGAGGTCGATTGGTATTATTAGCATATTGGAACTTATTTACCCCGGAGTTCGAACCAGTAGCTAATGGGTAGAGACGCGCAAAGTAGCCTTAATAAACAGGTAACTTGTGAATCCTCTCTATATACCTGCTCATGCCGTCACAGGAAAATGTGCGGTTACACAACTCACCCTGCGGAGTCCTTTTCATCTTCGCGAGCTCGGACGCGATGCGGCACTGGTGGTGGCCGCGGCAAGGTCGGAGAGGCGCGCCAGATGGAGGAGGGTGGCGAGGAGCTGGGCGAATACGACGGCTTGGAAGACGCGGATGCCGAGGGCGTCAGCGAGGGCGCCGAGGGCGAAAGGGAGGAGGGAGCGCCGCCGAGCTGGCCGAAGGGGGCGGCGAAGGCGACCGCGGGGACGTGCAAGGGGCGGGGGAGGAGGCGTGCGACGGCGACAACGCCAGCGGGGAAGAGGGGGGGCCGAGGAAGAAGCCGAGGAGGGCGAGAGTGGTGAGAGCGACGGAGAGGAAGGCGTCGTCTTCGGAGACTTCCCGCGGGCTGTCTCCGAGCGAGCCCGGTCTCCTCCGCTTCTTGGCGGCCGCGGAGGTTGTCCGCGCGGCACGTCTCCGCGTCCTCGAAGCGCAAGGCGCAGGACAGCGCGGCGGCCTCGAGGAGCGAGAGGCCGAGCTGGGCTTGGCCGCTACAGGGTGAGAGTCTGTGGCATCGGGCCTCCCGCCCGCAGTCGGGCGGAGGCTCGCGTTTCGTCTAGTGTTCGGCTGCCGCCAACGTCGGGGGTTGGGCGCGGGGCACGGCGGCGATTGGCCGGGACCATCGGGTGCCTCTTCCAGTCTCAAGATACCTACCTATTGGCAGGGAGAGCGTGTTTAGGGGGTCATGGATGAGAGGGGGATGAGAGGGAGATGTGTCGACTGGGCCGGGCTAGGGATGGCGGGATAGTGCATGCATAATGTATGCATAGTATACACGTATGTACCTACATAACTATATGCACATGTGCGTAACCAAATATCGGATCACCTGACCGGGCCGCGCAAAGCCACAGCAAAGCCACATCAAAGCCATTCCTCACCCCCTTTTCAGTTACCTATTAGGTATGCATTTATTTACGGCTAATCCTTGTCGCCCCGGAACCTTTCCCCATCACCCATCGACGACACCCACACCCCTTACCAAGACTTCACGCATTCACTTCTATGCAGGCGAGATTCCTTAGGTGAGTATGCGCCATCCGGGGGTGGCGGGGACGGACATGGGGTCGGTAACACCCAGCGCCTACCCGTCCCGGGATTGGATACGCGATACGCCGTATTTCCTCGTCTTACCGTCAGACCGATCGCCGCCGCCGGCTTGGCTGTGCCAGAGTGGCATTGCCACTCCTCAGCCGCACGCGACAGCGAGGAGAGAGAGAGACAGCTCGTTGCTTGGGATTACGGGCGGCCTTTCCGCTGCCGTGATTTATCAGCCTATCCCGAGTCTAAATTTGTATTGCCGGGGGATGGGCGATAAGGGCTTCTTCCCATGCAGGCCGGCTCTTCCCATGATGTCAGTAGGTTAGTACGGATGCATATAGGTATATATAGGTGGGCAAATGATACCCGCCCCAGCGTCGCAGCGTGGTCGTATGCCCGAACTCAACGGTGCCCTTCTCTCCACCGCGCATCGAGCAACGAAAACGAAAACCAAAACGCGAGACCACACCTGACGATGCAGAATTCCCAGCACGGGCGGCCGCATTCCTGGCAGCCCGGCTACGGGCAGCCGCAGCTGCACGGCCACCCTCCTGCTCAGCGGCCCGTTTCTCCGTACTACGGTAACTACGCGCCGCAGCCCGCTCTCCGGTACCAGCCTTATCAGCCGGCCTACGGCTACCCGGCTCCCGCCCAGGGGAGCTACGGCGGACACTTAACCCCGCCGCCGCGGCAGCAGCCGTACCAGCCGTACCAAGGACCGCCGCCGCCGCCGCCGCAGCACCCCGTGCTCCCCCTGAGGCGCGAGAACGGCGGCACGACGCTCTCGCTCTCGCTGCACGGGCAGCCGCTGTACCTGTGCGTGGCGACGGAGCGGTCCGCGCTGTCGTCGAAGCCGGACTTCGTCGTCACGCACGCGCCGTCGGGCGCGGCTGTCGGGTCCCTGCGCTACCACCAGTGGGTCAGCGACACGCTCGACTACTGGGAGGTCGGCGGCGCCGCGGGCGGCGCGGGGCAGTGGGCGTGGCGGCTCGCGGGCGCCGACGCGCGGCACGGCCGGTGGCACGCCTACCGCGCCGCCGACCTCGCCGGCGGGCGGAATCCCACCGCCTGCGCGCCCGCCGCCGCGCTGACCACCGACTGGGCCGCCGACCGCGCCGCCGTCGAGTCGGCGCGCCGCGGCCACGGCGGCGGCGCCTTCGGCCGCCTCGAGCTCTACGACCCGTCGCTGCTCCCGCCCGGCGCCGCCGCCCGCGCCCGCCTCGACGAGCTCTTCGTCTCCGCCGTCGCCACGCTCGACGGCGCCACCCGCGTCGTGAGCCGCGGCCCCGACGCGAAGAAGGACTGGGCCAAGGTCTCCAAGACCCTGGGGAAGATCGCCGAGCTCGGCGGCCTGTTCCACCACGGCGATGGGGGCGGTGGAGACGGTGGAGGCGGCGGTGATGGCGGAGGCTCTGGCGGAGGGGATGGAGGAGGGGGCGGAGGAGGGGGTGGTGCGGTGTAGGGGAATGACGGCCGGTTGGGATGGTGCAAGACAGGGGAACGGACTGGCGATACGTTGTTGCTACATACCCAATTGGTAGATTGCTAGAATATTTGCTGGACCCGACGCTACTATTGCTTCTTTCACCTCCCGATACTATGCTCTGATTTTCGCAGCGCCAACCCTGGGTATATAGTATCTAACCCTACGTCGACATGCGTGCGCACGGTTGTATATTCCGCCTAGCCCTCCCTCGTTTCCTTGCTTCGCTCGCAAAATCTACTCCGCGAGCGACGCTCAATATGCACACGCACATGCCCTACCCGCACGCGGACAGGGCCTCTTATTCACTCGCTCACGTCGAACTCATCGATGACGCTCCGCGGCTTGACGAACTTGCCCAACGGCTTGTACGTCAAGTGGTCCATGCCGAAGCCGGCAGGACCGCCGAGCTCGATGCCGCGCGGCGACGTCCAGCGCTCGCTCGCCGTGATGCCGAGCACGATGACCAGCAGGCCGTACCGGTACTCGGGCGTGCCGATCGCCTCGCCGTTCTGCGCGTCGATGACCGTGATCAGGTCCGGAACGAGGCCGAGCACCTCGTCCTCCGTCTCGACCGTCTCGCCGTCGGGCCCCGGCGTCCGCGTGATCCGGATCGCCGCGATGTTCTCGTTTTTGAAGGGGATCTTGATCGTGCCGCGGAACTGCGGCTGCGACGGTGCTTTTGCGGCGGCCGGCACCGCGTCGTCGTCGACTACGTCCGCCCCCTCGATGATGCACTCGCCGTAGACGTGGCCCATCTTCAGCGTCCGCTCGACGCCGACAATCTTGCCCTTCCACAGCACGCTCCCGGCCTCGGGCCCGCCGCACTCAGCGAGGATCGTCTCGGCGACGGCGTCGACGCGATTCGAGCGCCGCGCCCTGGCGACGGCCCGCCCGATGCGCCACGACTGTGAGATGGTGTGCTCGACGGCCCAGCGGCGGCACTCGGCGCCGGTGACCGGCGGGTCGGCGAAGCCGACGCCGGAGCCCATCTGGCTTAGGGCGGCGCGGAGGATGCGCTCGACCTGGAGGTCCGAGGTGGCGGTGGGTATGACGACAACAGCGCCATTACCGTCTGTCATGGCGACGGGCGACCAGATGAGGGGGCGCTCGTTGAAGACGACGGGCGTCGTCTGCCACTTGGTCGGGTACGCGCGGCCCATCCAGTCGCCGTCGACGGCAGGCAGATCCATGTTGGTGCTGGCGCCGATGATCATACTCTGGAGGCCGTTGCCACCGCCGATCTCGACCGAGATGATGTGCGTCGGGCGGTGGCCGGAGATCTTCGCGAGCTCCTCCTGCGCCTGGGTCATCTCGTCGCCGCCGAACTTCTCGATGCCGACGGTCGGCGAGCCCGCGTGCCCACCCGTGCCGACGGCCGCGTCGTCCGGCAAATCGTCTGGACTCACAACCCGTACGACGTCGCCGCGCCGCAGCATCCCGCGTAGCCGTATCATCGCCGAGTACGGGCTACCGCCGCCGCCGGTGCCGAGGATGTAACACCCGATCGTGATCCAGCTGAGATCAGTCTCGTTGATATACCAGACGCGGTTCTTCACCGTTGGCCGGTAGCCGTCGATATCGATCTCCTGCTTAGACTCCGGCCGCACCTTCTTCTCCTGCGCAGCTTCCCCCTTCTTCTCGTACTCGCCCATCTCAACCTTTGTCTCCTCCTCTGGCGTCTCCTTGAAGTGCAACGTCGAGAGATCTGTGCGCGAGTAGTCGAAGTCACCGGCCGCTCGCACGGTGAAGCGAGATTTGTTGGCGATGTACTTGGTAGTATCATCAGCAGACATCCGCGTCGAAGGGCGGGGAGGGGGGTTAGCTACTTACTGGCAACGGTATTGAGTCCATTTCCACGACCCGAGCGGTTGGTCTCGATGCGCCACCCGCCACCACCCGTTCGATGGCATCCTTGCAAATCTCATCCATTATCTGCTTCGTGGACTTGGCCTCGGTGGAGCGCACCGTGTCGACGACAGCGCTGACTCTCGCGATCGCGGCACCGATGGCGTTGGCGACCCCCGACCACTTGGGCTTGAGCACTTTGCTCGCACCCTTCAGCTCATCCGGTGCGATTACGGCGCCGCCGCCTACGAGGAGCACCGGGAGGTCTTCTGGTGAGGTTTTCATGGTATCTATGATCTTTTCGATCTTATGTTTGACGGCGGCTCTGAACTTTGCGATCCCTTTGTCGTCTAGAGAGCCATTCGCCAGCTCTCGGTTCCCAATATCGAGCGTGCTATCGGCTAGCACCGCGCAGTCGGTGGCGGTCAGGACCTTGCCGCCGAAGACCTTGGCTTCTTGTGTTATTTTGTAGCCGACACTGTCCGGGCCGATCGTCAAGTTCTCGCCGTCCCGGACGATCGAACCGCCGCCGAGGCCGATAGATTTGACGTCCGGGCACGAAAAATTCATTCGTACGCCTGCTAGATCGCTGTAGGCGGCCTGCTGCCGCGGGAAGCCGTTCGCGAGCAGAAGACCGACGTCGGTTGTCGTGCCCCCGATGTCGACGACCATGATAGCCTCGTCGAGCTCTCTCTGCACGAGGAAGGCGGCGCCGCGCATGCTATTGGTTGGGCCACTCGAAAAGGTCCGGATGGGTAGCTTTGCGGCCATGTCTCCAGACAGAATGGTGCCGTCGTTTTGGGTGATGAAGACGGGGCAGGTTAGGCCGAGACGCTTGATGGGCTCCTGGAACGAGCGGATGGTCTTGCGGGCGAAGGCGAGGATGGACGCGTTCAGGATAGTGGCATTCTCGCGCTCCAGGAAACCCAAATTGGCGACTTCTTTGGAGCACACGACGTCGACGCCGGGGATCTCGGCGCGGATGATGGCAGCTGCGCGCTCCTCCTGCAGCTCGACGGTGTCGATGGGGCTGAAGATTCCAGTGGCGACGACGCTCTTGATGCCCTTCTCCCGGATGACGGCGCACTGGGCCTTGATCTCGTCCTCGTCGATGTCAGAGATGAGGAAGCCATCGACCTCGAGGCCGCCCTTGAGGAGGGCGTAGTAGCCGAGGATGAGCTCGCGCATGTCGTCGGGCCAGTCGACGCAGGGCGGCACATGTTTAGAGAAGGGGCCGCAGAGCCGCAGCACGGCGACCTTGGACAGGCGCGCAGCGTCCCTCTCGATGACGGCATTAACGAAGTGGGTGGTTCCGATGGTGACGCTGGCGACCTGGTCCGGGCGGATGTTGGCGGTCTTGAACATGGTGGTGATGGCGTCGTTGATCCCGAGGCTCGGATTCGTCGTGGTCGGGGCCTTGTGCCAGGCGATGATGCCCCTGTCCGGCTCGAGGGCGCGCGTCGGGTCGAGGACGACGCCGTCGGTGTTGGTGCCGCCGACATCAACGCCGATGCGCAGGCTCCTGGACACGACGGTGGCTGCCATGCTTTCTTTTTCTCTTCTATTTCCTCCCTCTTCAACACGTCGGCGAGGTGTGTCTTCGTTTTCGCGCAGGAGGCGGAACGTGAAAGCGGGAGGCAGAAACAGAGGCAGACGCAGACGCGAGGAAGTACTTGCCTACGTAATGCGACAACATTTTGATCAGTTGCTGCTTCCGCTGCTGCTGTCGTCGCTTTTTCCAGAAATATTACCTGCTCTCCCGCGCCTCCGCCCCGAAGCCGGCCTCGGCCTCGGCTTCGGCCCCTTACCCAAAGCAGAAGTCCCAGGCTGAGACGGGAGCAGAGAGAGAGAGAGAGAGAGATGAGATGGAGGAGAGGAGAGGAAGGGGATAGACGATAGACCCAACAGGTAGCAATCTATCGGGATGACGATCCGAAGAAATTCCCACTTGGCTTAGCAACTTACCTGTTTATCGCGCCGTCGCTGCGGGAATTCCGGTGCTCTTATCGCGACCTTGGTGTTCAGGCTTCTTTTTTTTTGCTTCAGGTGCAACTAGTCTAAATTGTTCAAGCCCTCCTAGTCTTCCCTTCTAATATCTTATCAACACACAGCGAAGGGGTGCATGCAATATGACAGACAGATCCGACTCTTATCTGATCCTGCCTTCGCCCGACGGTAACCGGTTCACGTAGGTAATCATGTATAGCGACACTGAGAAAAATACTTGATATCCATCGATATGGCGTGGGCGATCGCTATGTACCTAGAGGAGAGGCAGGCGGAAGAGGTACCTTAGATAGGTAGAGGTAGGCTAGGAGGTAGAGGTAGGTAAGCAGCACAACGGAAACGGGTACCGCGGGTACCAGGGCGTACTGTCGATGAAGTTACCGGTGCGGTATTATCATTCCTCTCTCTCTCTCTCTCTCTCTGTGTGTGTGTGTGTGTGTGTGTGTGTGTGTGTCCCTCTCCCTCCCCCTCCCTGTCTTTGTCTTGAGGTGTGGGTGTGTTCAGTGTGTAAGTAGGTAGGTACATAATCTAGGGTCTTCATCGCTTCCGTATTGACGTACTATGTAGGTATACCCGAGTGTGTAAGGCAACTTACCGCCGACTAGGTTGTTGGGCCAAAGCGATGCCCATGCAATGCAATGCAATCGGCGCCGGGATCGCATCGGCAAATGATACATTCGCGGGCGAGCAAGACGGTAAGCGGCTTAGGTACCTACGGCATGCCGCACACCTCCACACATCATGTCGTGGACTATTATACGCAAGATGCATCCATGAAGAGTGGCACGATGCTACCTTAGCAGGAGGTGCCTACCCACCTAACCAGGTAGTTATACTGCTATATATTACCTCTCGCTGCCCTTACTACCCTCCCTCCATGCCGGCCAGGGTTCCCGCTCACCTACGTACTATGCTTCTTTCCCCAGAGCACGCGCACGCTTACGCGCAACCCATGTAGAGAGCCATCCGCAAGTCACGTAAATCGAAGGCATTTCGCACGTTAGCAGCGTCTGGAAAAGCGATGTCGGATCCTACTCCCTCCAGCTCTCCTGACGCCTCGTCGCCGCCTGCGTGGTTAAGATCCCCGTGAGCCGTTTCTGTCGCCAATCAGGCCTATTCGGGGTCGAGACCGAGGACAGTGACAAGGTCTCGGGAGCTTGGCAAGCTAGATTGATAAGAAGTCGAGACAAAACCTATCACGACCGCTCGACACCCCCGGACGACAGTGCCTATCCCCGACGTGGGGTGTTATACCTACAGGGAAACTTGCTGGGCCCCTTGCAATCGCACGCGTCCATGTCTTGGCTGGCCTAGCCAGATCTGCCGCCTCTCGTGAGGAGAGGGACGGCATCGTGGCGTCGTCATCCCATTCGTTATCAAATGCCGCCTTCCTTCGGAACAGGACAAACCTAGCCGGGCTAGCGAGGCCTTTGTCTCCTGCTCGGGGGTCGTTGCCGCTGCCGTAATCACGGTCGTGGTCTTATGTGCATACATACACACCTCCACTACGTCCGCTGTGTGGCCTGAGCCCGTCTGTGCCACCGTCGTATAAGTATTATCTGCCATGACCGCGTCCGAAGCTGAGTCGAGACAGCTCGGGTCTCCGTTCCCACCACGCCAAACTCGGATTGAAGCGCCCAAGCCATGGCTACCGGTTTAACGGACCGCTTCGAGACTCTCAAGCAGAAGACTCGCCTGCACGGCGACGAATCTCAGCACGAGCAGACCGACCGATGGAGCAACCGTGATCTCATCCCCTTACCGCCGAGCCGAAGAACATGGGGTAGGTCCGCGCCACGATGACGGCTGTGGTGATAATAGTGGCGCTGCTACTACTATTATAACTCCGCATTAGCTGACGGAGCGAGTAGGATGGTTTCACTTTTTCGGCTTCTGGACGCTGTCTTCGTTGAACATTGCCAATTGGCAGACGCCAAATAGTTTCTTGAGTAAGCTCCTCATTCTGCAAGTGCCCGAGTCGTCGTCGGTCGTTGCCCGGTTCTGACGAGTCGAATGCAGCTCAGGGCCTGTCCGTCCCGCAGTCAATGGCCGTCATCGTCGTCGGACGTGCCTTGATCTGTTTCTTCGCGACCCTAATCGCTTGGTGCGGACTGAAATGGCACGTCGGCTTCACCGTCCAGAACCGATACACGTGGGGGATGCGCGCAAGCTACATCCCGCTCCTGCAGCGCATCCTACTCAACTTCATCTGGAATGCGATACAGTGTTGGAACGGAGGACGGCTTGCTGCGGTATGCCTGACGGCTATCTGGCCGTCGTATGCCCGGATGCCCAACTTCTTGCCTGACACCATCCCGGCCACCGGCGATCAGTTCGTCGGCTTCATCATCTTCTGGCTCTTGTCGACGCCGCTCTTGTGGATCCCCCCCGAGAAGTTCAAGATCCCCTTCCTGTTTACGTCCATCTATACTGCCGTCGGTATGATTGCTATGATGATTTGGGCGTTGGCAACCGCGGGTGGAGTCGGCCCCCTGATGAGCACCGGCGTGGCCCTTCCCGAGGGTTCCAGGTGGAATATATCGTGGGTCTTGATGGCCACGATCAATCAAACGATTGGCAATGTCACCGCTGGTATCACCAACGGGTCCGACTTCTCACGTTATGCGAAGAATCGGAGGTCCTATATCATCGGAACGATCACATCTGGCTGGATCACGGGCGTCATCGTGTCCGTCTTGGGCCTGGTGACCACCAGCGCGGCCCAGAGGATCTACGGCCAGGTGTACTGGAACCCGCCGGACCTCCTCATGGTCATGATGGACAACGGGAACGGCTCTTCGGCAGCTCGGGCGGGCGTGTTCTTTCTCGCTTTCGGCTTTGGGCTGACTAACATGTTTGAAAACGTCTGCGGGAATGCAGTGGCCGGCGGCATCGATCTGGCTGGGCTGTGGCCTCACTACATCAACATACGGAGAGGTGCCATCATTACTTTCCTCGCCGCATGGGTCGTCCAGCCTTGGCAGCTTGTCAACAGGGCGATCACCTTTATCCAGGTCCTCAGTTCGTTCTCGGTATTCCTGTCGCCCATGATTGGCATGATGGCGGTCGACTTTTACCTCCTTCGCGGACGTAAAATCCGCCTTAGCCACCTGTACTCCGGGTCACGTTCCTCCTATTGGTACTGGAAGGGAGTCAACTGGCGAGCGATCGTGGCGTGGCTGTGCGGCTGGGCACCAACCATCGGTGGTCTCGTCGTCACTGTACGAAATGATGCCGATGCGCCGGGCGCCTTGTTTCAGCTATACTTCATGGCCTTCTTCATAGGTAAGAGCAGACAACCAATGTTAATATATAACCTAGGGTCTCCTCTGACACCACATTGGCATATAGGCTTCTTTATTAGCGGAGGCCTCTTCTTCGTCTTGAACAAGATCTCCCCTGTTGCAGGAATGGGAGAGTTTGACGAGGCCGATATGTACGGTACTTTCACCGCGAAGGAGGCAGAGAGGTTGGGCGTCGTTACTGCGGAATTTCATACGGATATCTATGACAGCGGCGAAATTTCTACGGCTCGGGACACACTTGAGAAGGAGTAGAGGCTGCGACCGAGAGTTTCACGAAGATGACGCCGATACAACAGCCCCGACCGTTATTAGCTCAAGTCCACTCACCACCTAAGTGATATAATTTGATAGTCGTCTAGACGCTCATGTGGGCATCTTCGGCGTACCTGACCACGTAGAACTTTCAACACAGATCTAGACCCTGATGTTGTGTGGCAGATGACGCTCTTTTTCCGAAGATGATCTCATTCTCGCTCCCCTTACATGTTGAGGGCGCGAAGTCCCGATAAGATAGCATGATTAAACTGGTATAGATTCGTATATCACAGATCTTGGTGGGGATCATGCGGCGATGCGTTCTTCCAAGAAGGACATGCGTCATCTGTTCAGTGGCATAAGAGAAGGGTGCTACGACCGGAAGTTCCACTTTTCACGGTTCGCGGTTCTAGAAGCTCACAAAGTCTCGTCCGCCATGAGCGTCCAAAATCCGGATCGGCCAAGCACCAGACCATCTTGACACTCAGCCTCTTCTCGCTAACACCACAATTGGTTTAACCTCTCCCAACTGGCGGCTGCGTCATTCATCTGGTCTAGACGCCAACCGAATACCCTACGAGTGGGCACGAGATAAAGCGGTTCGGCTGCCCTCCCTGACGTGTTACGGCGCACTCCGTGATTGTCCACCTTTCGCGTGTGAGCTACCAAGAATCGTGTGGGGCGTGCACAATGTGAGGTTCTTCGGGTACAACACCTCTGCTCGGGTCAAATTATGTTACAGCCGTCGAAGCTGATCGTTGACATGACAGGGCCTCAGTGCGTCCAGGGTGCCATGTGTCGTTAGCGCGATGACGCAGCGGGGGAAGAGTGTTTCACTATCGCTCGGTGGGACACAATCTGGCAAGGGAACCATGGAAGTAAGATTAGACAAGAGGCGGCTATAAGATAATGTTGCTCGGTATGTTCCTTTGACTCGTTGGGCTTATCGGGTCGTGGTCTACAGTAATGATATACTTTTGGCTTTATGGTACCAGTATAGGACATGTTAACGGAGTGCTGTTTCTTCCTGCGGGCACCTATGTCAAACAGTGTCTTAAATCGGCCCGCGCGGTTGAAAGACGGTGGAATGGCCTTCCTGCCTATTTACACAGCATCTTACCCCCAAATACGCCGGAATTAGCGATAATGCCACGGTACCGATAGCCTTAATCAATATACTAAAGTGCCCAGTCCATGAAGTGGTGGCTCGTGAAGAGGCAGGCTAGCTTACTAGATATATTAATGCGATCACGGATACCTGCCTATGTGAGCATTTTAATATCGGCATACTACAAACCACGCGGGGCGCCTTTTATACACGTGTACTGCCCATAACCAGGATGTCTGGTAGTCTGGATACTCCTTTTAGCTTCTAGGACCTTGGCTCCTTTCTGGGGATATTGACCCCTTGCTGGGACGAAATGGTCCCGGAGGGTAATCGACTCGGAGGAAGTGAAGATTATGGAAGAGGTGCGCCTAGCATCTCTATTATGTTCTTCGCCCGTGAATTCTGAAGTAGCATACCTAAGGATAGAGCGTGAAATGTTGGCAGCACCCCTGCTTGTATTACCACAGCTACATTATCCCCTGGGTGGTGTGTTCGGATCGAGACAGTGTCAGGATCAGGCATGCGCATATTAGAATGTTGTGCGATGTCATCTCCTCCAAATTTTTTCTCCATTCGACGGTTAGCACAAGTTAGGATGGTGACAAACTGTTGGGCATATCGGAAGCTGTCATGAGGAACATTTCGAGTTTCCGAGGCACCGATAGAAGCCGTATAGTAGACAAGGAAGTGTTCCAAGTCCACTACTCTAGAACGCCACGTATGGTTCACAACTGTTTAACAGCCACACGTCTTACCTAGCTCGAGGCTGTAGCGAGATCTATCACATTCAGGATCGTGGTGGTCCTCCCAGCTACGTGTAAACAAGTGATACCTACAGGGGAGGTAATACGTTCCTTGTCTCTCAATATTCTGGTCAAGCGAGGACCTCCACAGCGCCGCCCCGGCACAGACGCACACCCCCCGATAGTGGCCACGTGAAGTAGGTGAAAAAGTCTGCAGGTCAAACTCGGCAATGGAGGCAAATGGCGGTGACAATTCGGGACCTCACCGAACGCCTCCGCTGGGTGGCTCCCACCACAAGCCGTCAGGCCGTCAACGTTGTGGACGGTATGAACACATGATGCTACCTATTAATTCACGTTGACGCGTCATCGCCCACACTTAAAGGCGAGATACTCTACAGCGCGGAACGCTGGGTTATAATGGGACATAAAATGGGATATATAAAGACAATGTGTTTGGGGGGTTTTCATTGCCACACTCGGTTCAGCAAACTTAATATATATTGCAATAACTCTAGGTAAAACACACACATATGGGTATATATACCTTCACTCGGATTGGTATCTGTCGTCTGGCTGACGATGAGCTCGGCAGATCCCTCCAGCAGCTCCCCAATGGATTCTCAACCCGGCCAAGGACCCAGGAGTCCTCGAGGTGCGGGAAATCCTGCTGGAATACTTCGAAAGTTGAAACTAATTCTGCGTAGGAAACACCGATCCTGATCGGTCTGGGGATAAAACACCGATGATTTTCATTCCTCGGGACCGGTGGACGCACCCGACAGGCCGGGTAGATTCAAAATCCGGCTTCGGCGATGGCGAGACTATTGATGCCTGGATGAGGGACCAAGATAAAGACGGTCCGTATCATGCCGTGATGGGGGTCAAGGATTTGGGGGCACGCTATCCTCCTAACACCAAGATCGGAGATGCGGCTCTGTCAGCGGCAACGCAAGGGTCCACGTCCCCCAAGACGCCACTCACAGCCCACCACCAGGAGACCAACAAGGGGAATGGCGGGGAAAGATCGAAGAAGTAGCCGCTAGGTACGGGAAGTGAAGCTCTTCTATGGTCACGAATATAGCTCTGAAGATCGGGGTGGAGAGGCAGGTTTATGTTTCCGCAACACTGGGTTGAACTTGCCAATCGTTTTCTCAGACCTGTACTCGTATTACTGGGTCTTCCGTTTCACTTGCCTTGGCAGGCAAAATATCAAAGTAAAAGCAAAAAATTAAAAGGAAAGGGGGGAGAAGAAAAGAAAGAAAAAAGGAGAGGTAGCGAACAAGAACAACTTCGTCTAAGTGATTTGGGTGTTGGACAGATAAAGTGGGGCAGGGCTTTACAATAGGGGTTTCGGCTGAAAAGGGGAAAAGGGGAAAAGGGGAAAAGGGGAAAAGGGGGAAAGGGGGAAAGAGGGAAAGGGGCTAGGTAGTGATTGACCCAAGATTGTTAGATTCACCTAGCCGTAGTTTCTGCTCGTTAATGCTACGGCACGGAATACAATCTCCAGGCAGATTTCAAGAAACCGTTGTTCGACTTTCCACGAATACTTACCTACAGTTTTCCGAGTGCTTGGTCGGTTCTCTAGCGGGCAGTCTTTGGCTGTGCAACGTCAACCCCCGACGACGGCGCTTCCTATAGTTGCAGGCACTGCTGCACCAGGAACCCCTAATCACTACATTACGTTGAGACGAGTTAAAGAGCGCTTAACTCGACCTCGACGGTATCGGTATAGTGGCGGTTGCCCGAGCTTCGACCATCGCGCTGGAGAAGCGATAAAACGTGAAGGGGGGTTTTCGGGCCACGCTCAGTTGCCTGGGCGAATGCGGCCAACGAGAAGCCAGCGGTATAAGATGGACTATCTCTGGTTATCCGTACCGTACCAGAGCTACCTATCACCGCATGCTCAGCCTCGAAGCCAACCCTTGCGCCGGATGCAGCCCCTAGTGCCCTCGTTGTGCTGCCAACCAACGGAAAAAGGCGTAAATGCCCGACTGGGTCTGGATAGGTACCTAACGCGCTCACGCATAGGAGGCATCTAAGCGTGGGATTCGTCCATACTACGTAGGGAAGAAACACCTATGGCGTTGATATTAATTGCTTTCATTAATTGCTTTCCCGTTGAGATATTGTCTTCCTCGTATTCTCCCTTCTTCGGCTTCCCTTAGGCCGGCACCGCGCGGGACAGCCGTCGCCATCAGACACATCGCACAGAGGGGCATAATAGAAAGGACGTTGGCAATCGAGCGATGTCGTGTCCCATCGTCTCTGCCCCCCCGTGCCTTCTTTGCGGTCTCCCCTCTCCACCTCCCCCCTCCTCCTTCCCCCCCTCGGCCCACAACTGCCTAAAATCTGACGAATCATGACGTCAGTACACCACAGACGGCTCCTTCCCCTCCACTCGAGCGCAACTTCCGACCTGGCGACAAATCGCAGTTTCTCTCTTTTCGCACCAGTGTACTTGTAGGGCCTATCGCCGGCTACCTGGCCTGCTAGTGCCAGACGCACACGTGTCCGATGTACCCCCCGGTAGGAGCCAGGCGGAGGGCCGAAGTACCCCCCTCCTGCTGCCATTGGGAAACAACATTAATTACTTACATGGCAGGTGGGCCTTGGGTAGCTCCCCGCCTGCACCTGCTATACGCACATATACAGCACGTCCACGACGTGGGCCCATCCGCCTCGAAGCTCTTCCCGCGCAACCTATCGGCCGGTGCAGACCAGCTCTGGATCTGGTACGCCTCATATAGACAGGTTACAGGTTAGGTATCCTCATCTACTCCCAACCTACGCGCAGCCCGTCGTCTTTCATACCCGCAACAGATAGATCTGCTCCCTCCTCCCTCCTTTTTTCCCCTCCATCATCCGCTCTCCTCGTCCTCTTGGCCTGTCTCTACCCAATACGCCATCTCAACTCATACGATACCAAAAAGCCCACGCGTACCCCCCTGTTGTGGCCACACACGCACCGCACCGCACCGCACCCCTCCGCTTGATCGGGTTCCATGCCAGTTCTACGATTCTAGCGGAACAAGCAGGCTACGACCGTAGTGATGATCCCTAGGACGGTGATCTCGGACGAGGTCTACGTCCTCCCCCTGAAGGACGACGGCTCCCCCGACATCCCGGGCGGGTATGTGTACATAGCTCCGAGATCGAACGACCCGGTAACCGTCCGCTTTTCCATCGAGGGCACTTCGTCCATATGCCGCCAGGGCAGCTTATGGGTCAATATTCCGGAGCGAGGGGCCGAGTTCCGTAGAGAGCGGTTCCGTGAGTACAAGTAGGCTAGCTAAAGCTCTTCGTCCAGTGGCCCAGTTGCCGTATTAATCACCCGTGTAGATTAAACCCCGACTTCAATCGGACCATCGAGATCTCCATCTCCATCTACGAGGCCGGTGCCTTCGCTTTCTACACTACCTACGCTGAACTTCCAGACCTGACCTCGGCTCCGATCCCCGATGCCTCCAGCCCCGTAGAGCCCAAACGGACAGAATTGTACTACATCGATGTTGCTCCTCGCCTGACGTTGGATGGCGGGCCGTTGCCGCTGCCCGCACTATCGATATTTTCCGTCATCAGCAAATTCATGGGTAAGTATCCCACGGACTGGGAAAGACACCTGAGGGGGATCAGCGGCCGTGGGTACAATATGATACATTTCACCCCCCTCCAGGTCCGCGGCGGCTCCAATTCTCCCTACAGCCTGTACGACCAGCTCGGGTGGGACCCCGAGTGCTTCCCCCAAGGAGAGAAGGATGTGCAGCAAATGGTGGACAGTCTAGAACAGAACCACTCCCTTCTCAGCTTAACCGATATAGTCCTCAACCATACCGCGCACAACACCGGGTGGCTCCTGGAACACCCGGAAGCTGGGTACAACCTAACGACTGCCCCTTGGTTAGAGTCGGCGTATATTCTCGACACTCAGCTTCTCCTCTTCGGTTCTAAATTGGAGGAGCTGGGCTACCCGACCGAACTTAAGACCGCCGGTGACATCATAAAAGTCATGGATGGTATCAAAGAGCACGTCGTATCCGAGATTCGCTTGTGGGAATACTATGCGCTCGATGTCGACAGGGACGTCGATGCCGGAGTGGAATCTTGGACGGCAGGGAAGCTGACCGTCCCCGACGGGTCTGTTGAAGGCGACTTGGATACCCTCAAAGAAGCTAGCGTTAAGGAACAAGCTGCGTTCTTGTTAAAGAATGGCCTGTTGGGAAACGACAGGCTCGGGGAACGTTTTCGACGAAGTATCAACCCCTCGGTTTCAGCTGCCCTGGTCGCCACCCTGTTTGGGAAGTATAAGGACGAGGTAGACGAGGCGGCCGTCCGCGCCAAGTTGACCCAGATCCTAGACATAGTCAACGTCCCATTCTACGAGGAATATGACAAAGAAATTGGGGAAATTCTTCAGCAGTTATTCAACAGGATTAAGTATGTCCGCCTCGATGAACATGGCCCTAAGCTTGGTCCCATCAACGAGAAGAGCCCCCTGATCGAAACTTACTTCACTCGCCTCGACAAGTCGCAAGCATCCGATAAAGCGAAGCCAGAAGACCTAGTTGTTGTCAACAATGGCTGGGTCTGGGCTGGGAACGCGCTGGTTGACAATGCTGGTCCTCAGTCCCGGGTGTATCTCCGGCGTGAAGTCATCGTCTGGGGCGACTGTGTTAAGCTCCGGTACGGGAGTGGCCCTCAGGACAGCCCGTGGCTGTGGGAGCACATGACCAAGTATGCCCGGATGCTCGCCAAATACTTTGCCGGATTTCGGATAGATAACTGTCATTCCACCCCCATACATGTCGCGGAACATATTCTTGACGAGGCTCGCCGTGTTCGACCGAACCTCTACGTCGTGGCTGAACTTTTCACTGGTAACGAGGAAATGGATTACGTCTTCGTGAAGAGACTCGGTCTAAGCTCGTTGATCAGAGAAGCCATGCAAGCTTGGAGTACAGCAGAGCTCAGCAGATTGGTGCATCGGCACGGCGGACGTCCTATCGGAAGCTTCGAAGTGGACGAAATCGCCAAGAGCAGCGTTGGAAGTGCCCCCACCAGCCCTGGACTTAACGGCTACTCGAGCAGGGAAATCATCCGCAAGATTAAGCCCGTGCCGGTTCAAGCCCTGTTTATGGATTGCACACACGATAACGAAGTTCCGGCGCAGAAGAGAGACGCAAGAGACACGTTACCGAATGCCGCTCTGGTATACATGTGCGCCAGCGCCACAGGGAGCGTCATGGGATACGATGAAATATACCCGAAACTTGTCGATCTCGTCAACGAAACTAGATTGTACACATCTGCGTCGTCCTCCGCCGAGGAAGTCACGGTAGGCGACAGGAAAGGTGGCATCGGCGGGGTTAAGAAGCTGCTCAATCAGATCCATACGCTAATGGGTATGGACGGTTACGATGAGACACATATCCACCACGAAGATCAGTATATCACCGTCCACAGAGTGCATCCCGAATCGAGGAAAGGGTATTTCCTCATCGCCCATACTGCCTACCCCGGTTACGGAAACGGCAACGGAGCGTTCAACGCCGTGCACCTTGGCGGCACAAAAGCGCGGCATCTGGGTAGTTGGATGTTGGAGGTCGACACGAGTGACGAGGCCAAGAAGGAGGTCGAGAGCGACAAGAAATACTTAAGAGGCCTTCCAAGCCGTGTGGTGGATGTGCCTGGCGTTCGATTGGAAGCCAAATCCGACGAGACGATCATTACGGTGCGCGACAAATTCCCTCCCGGCAGCATTGCGTTGTTCGAGACCTGGATCCCAGCGGCGGAACACTCTGCTGGCTTGGACACATACGTCACATCCGGGGCTAAAGAGGTCATGGACGAGCTGAACTTTGCTGAGCTCAATTTCTTGCTGTATCGGTGCGAAGTGGAAGAGCTCGACGCTAGCGATGGCAAAGACGGTACTTACGACATCCCGAACCACGGCAAGATCGTGTATGCCGGTCTCCAGGGCTGGTGGAGTTTACTGAAGGATATCATCAAGAACAACGATCTGTCTCATCCGCTCTGTCAGAACCTTCGTGACGGCAAATGGGCCCTAGATTACATTGTTGGACGCCTTGATAGAGTAAGTAAACAGCCGGAATTCTCTGGCCTCGCTATGCCCGCCGCCTGGCTCAAAGGGCGTTTCGATGCGATTCGCGGCATTCCTAACTTTTTGCTACCGCGTTACTTTGCGCTTGTCATGCGGACTGCCTATAAGGCTGCTCGGGATAGAGGCTTGGAGCTCATGAGCGACAAGGTGCGAGGTGGCCAGTGGTTCCTCCAAGAATTGGCCATGGTCAGCATACAGATGACTGGGCTGCTCAAGTCTGCGTCTCTGTGGCCGACAAAGTCGGTCTCTTCTCTGGCTGCTGGATTGCCGCATTTTGCTATAGAGTGGACTAGATGTTGGGGCCGCGATATTTTCATCTCCCTTCGTGGTCTCTATTTGGGGACTGGCCGGTTCGACGAGGCTGCGGAGCACATACTCGCATTCGCCAGCGTTCTCAAGCATGGCATGATCCCGAACCTACTCAGCAGCGGGAAACTGCCACGGTACAATAGTCGGGACTCCATCTGGTTTTTCTTACAATGCATCCAAGACTATACTCAGTATGCGCCGGGCGGATTGGACCTCTTGAAAAGGACAGTGAAGCGACGTTTCTTACCGTACGATGATACTTGGTTTGACCACGAAGATCCAAGAGCGTATTCAAAAGAGAGTCTAGTCCAGGATGTCATCCAAGAGGCGCTTCAGCGCCATGCGTCTGGCTTGAAGTTCCGCGAAGCGAATGCCGGCCCAGCCATCGACTCACAGATGCGTGATGCGGGGTTCAACATCGAAGTCAACGTTGACTGGTCGAACGGTATCATTTTCGGTGGCAATCAGTCCAACTGCGGTACATGGATGGACAAGATGGGGGAGAGTGAGCGCGCCGGCTCTAAGGGCATCCCGGGTACTCCTCGTGATGGCGCCGCCGTTGAGATCACCGGACTTCTCTACAGCACCCTGAGATGGCTCGCTAAGCTGAACACCGAGGGGAAATACTCGTATAAAGGGGTCAAAAAACCAGACGACTCCGAGATCACATTTTCGGCTTGGGCGGACCTTGTGAAGTCCAAATTCGAATACTGCTACTACGTGCCGGTGAGCCCGTCGGACGATGCCAAGTACGACGTCAATCCAGGCGTCGTCAATCGTCGGGGTATCTACAAAGACCTGTACCGCTCCGGAAAGGAGTTTGAAGACTACCAGTTCCGGCCCAACTTTGCGATATCGATGACGGTGGCACCGGACTTGTTCGACGCGGACCACGCGATGGGCACTCTCGTGCTAGCGGATAAGGCGCTGCGGGGACCGACCGGGATGGCGACGCTTGACCCAGCAGACACCAACTACCGGCCGTACTACGTCAACAGCGAGGACTCAACGGACTTCACGACGTCAAAGGGGCGCAACTACCACCAGGGGCCCGAGTGGCTCTGGCCGACGGGCTTCTTCCTGCGGGCGCTGTTGCGGTTCGACCTGGCGCGACAGTCGACGCGCGAGGGCCGCGTCGAGGCTTTCCAGCAAGTAACACGCAGGCTCAGCGGGTGCAAGGACATGATCCGGAGCAGCCCCTGGGCGGGGCTGACGGAGCTGACGCAGAAGGGGGGCGAGCACTGCGCTGACTCGAGCCCGACGCAAGCCTGGAGCGCGGGGTGCCTCATCGATCTGTACATGGACGCTGCCGAGTACGGCATGGAGTGAATTACTGGGTAAGCGAGGGGTAAGGGTGTGACAAGGGCCTGTGAAAAAACGAAGCTGGACATCGAGTTGAGGTATGATGTATGGAAGGCAGGGAAAGTTGAAAAATATCTCGTCTGCGAGGTGGGGACTCTTGAAACATGTCGGCCGGTCGAGGTCATGATATTATATACGCAAGCGGATTTACTTGGATACTCTTGTTTCCTTCTTCTTCTCCCCCTCCCTCCTTAGCTATCTCTCTAACCACGATGACATGGATACCACGATATATATACCTACAGACGAATACGAAAACGGGTAATTGTTGTCGCACGCACCTCTTCTCGTCTTGATACTGCTCCGTGTTAGTCGTACCTATGTATGGCCCGCGGGCGAGGCGGGCACACATATCCCGCTCATCTGTTATAGGGGTAGCCGGGCGAGGGTAAGGCGAGGCATGCGTTTTCCAGGCGGTGCTCGGCTCGCCGACTTGGCTGCGGGAGGAAGCGGGCGTGGTTCTCTAGAGCGCCGGGCAGAGGAGGCTGAGAAACGGACCGGAACGAAAGGAGGTATTACTGCGAGGGAAAAGGGGGGAGGGAACAAGTCGCCCGTGGCGGTGGTACGCGGGCGTCGGCGCCGAATACGTACGGGGCGGCGAGGCGCGCTTGGGGTCAGCGAGGACCCTGCGCTCGCTTTAATAGGGGGGAAGCGGAGAGGACATGGCTCGTTATAGCCTCCTACAGTAGAGAAAAAAGGGGGGGGGGGGGAATGTTCCCCCGTCTTCCCTCTCATTTCCGCCCCTCCGCCGTATCTCCCGAGGACGCCCCGTGTGCGACGGCCAGGCGAGAAGGGCCGAGACAGATGGGGTGGCCGGGCCTGCTACCAGGCAGGCAAGCAGGCACCGGCGCACCTACGAGGACTGGCAACCGGGAGAGCAAAGAGCCCAAGAGGCAGATGAGGTCGTGGGGCGGCGCATCAGGGGAGGAGGAGACGGAACGGTTTGTGCAGAATTAAGCATTGGCTTGCCCATCTCTCTCTCCCCCCCTCTCCTACCACAGAAGTAAGGAGGAGGGGTGCAGACGAGAAATGCGGCGACGGCCATCTTTATTTTACCCTCTCTTTAAGCTGCGCTCGCGCTCGTACTTCCCGGGAGACAGACAGATACTGGACGACAACCCTTTGTAGGGCCGACCTCCCCGCCCTCTCACCACCGCCGTATACATCTCCCTCCCCTCCCTATTACCCATAAGGGAGACTCGACTATACATAAAAAATACATCTAGATCCCGTCTGATCCATCGTGCCGAAACCTCCCGTGTCCCTCTGGTCTATCCAGAAACCAACCCTGCCGGCACGCCTTTCAAGAAACAGATTCACACATATACATGTGAGATATATATATATATATCGAATATACTCCGTATCAGTGGGATATATCGCAGTGATCGCCCTTTCCGCCCGTAAAACGCCCCTAATATCAAACTCGCAGCCGATGATGGTGACAATGTGTTAACGAGCGTAATCCTACCATGTCGGTAGGGAAGAATCGACGTCCTAGTCGTCGGGTTTGGTAAGGATATTTGAAAGATGATAATATGCGAGGGTTATCTCGGTCCTTGTTTCCCTTTGTAGTAGTAGCAAAAAATTGAGGTAGATGACACGGCGCCCATTCGTCCTCATTCTACTGCGGCGGTGCTGGATCACGTTCGTTGGCCCACCATCCACCTCTTGCGCTCCTTTTTTGGCTTTTCGTAATAACCACCTGCGGAGCCTGACATAAACATGCCGGGATTGTTAGAATAGTGACTGTCCCTGGCACCAGGACCCACGAGGTTCCCTTGGGTGTTGATTGCGACATTGCTTGGTAGGCCTTTTCCGAGCTCGTACATGCGATCCTTCTTCCTGAGGTACTTGCGACGCCATATGCACGCTCCGACCCAGATACCTACGATGCCGACAAAAATGATAACGATCATGACAACCCATTGCCAATGCGTCGACAGCCTGCCAAGAAAATAGTATCAGTCTCCCAGAACGAGTCGCATTTCGAGGTAGGATATACACACCAATCACCACCGCCACCTGCCTGGTTGCTTCCTCCGCTCGCACCACTTGTGCTTGTGCTCGTCGACGAGGTGCCGGTTGTCGTCGTGGCCACTGCAGCGTTCTCGGCACAGAAGCTCGTGAACCAGCCCTGGATTGAGGATAGGCCGGCGTTGTCTGCCGAACACACATCGCCGCAAACGCCTGAGGTGCCTTGCCTGAATGGTTGAAGGGTATCGTAGTCGCAGAAGCATCTTGCATAGCTACTCTCATCGCCAGCTGGTGCGGCAGGGGGGACGCAGGCGCCATTCGCATCGTAAAGGGGACCACAATTCAGCGCACAGGAAGGAAGAGACGCGAAGGGTATTAAGGTTGTTGTGGGTGCTTGAGCTGCAGGCCGGTGTTAGACGTCAGAATTAGTTCAAAATCACGCCTAGAGCCGGGCGTCCGGCAACAAGCGGACTGAGCAGCACACGAAGGAAAACATACCCATGGTGAAGCGCTGCTATCTATCGAAGCCTCACCGGTGGCGCAATGATCAGGTTATTAGTTGGCAATAATAACTTGTTGCCGAGCCCGACTCGTAGGTGAGACCGAGTGTGTTGGGTCGTTTGTTGTTTTGGCTGGTGTTGCGCGATGTGATGCAATCCAGGACGGGCCAATGTGTCAGGGATAAATCGAGATCAATTAAATCGGCGATTCAAGTAGGATTAGCAATGTGCTGCAAGTGCCTCCTTCTCGACGTTGTCAGCGCAGCTGTAGTTATTGTAACGGTGCGAAGGAGGCTGTCGAGAACCGAAGGCGGCCGAAGCGAGAGACGAGCGAGGGCGAGGTCGAGGGAGTCAGGGCGGGTAACCGGCAGGGCAGGTTGCGTCTTGTGGTGCCAGTCACGGAATGCGGAATGCGCCAGGGAAAAGAACAAAAAAAGAAAGAGGGGATGGGTGCGGTGGTGTCTTGGCTGGCGTCCTTGTCTGGTTCAATCGCTCAACATGATGGCGCGTCTTTGCTGTGCTAGAAATCGGGCCCAAACGAGTGTGGTGGCTGCTGGTGTGCAATCCGATGCCTTCGCAAGAACCTTCGCACCCACCGGCAGCTCTGTAGTGGAGCAGAGGAAAAGAGAGGGGAAAGAGAGAGAGAAAAGGAGCGGACAGACGGGAGGGCGAGGGGGGAAGAGAGATTGGACGTGTATGTAAGTGAGCGCCCGTCTGGGTGTCGTATGGTGGTGAGATCCAGACCAGGCTGGGCGCGTGTGACTGGTCGAATGGGGTGAAAGCGTTTGTTCAGATCTGGCACTTTCAATAGGCACGAGCAAGACAGATAGATGGTGGGTGGCACACGGGGGGGACGACGAGGAGGGAGAAGAAGCGAGGAAAAAGGAACAGAGGACGGAGGAGGGAATCCTGGTAAATCTTGAATTCGTCAGCCAAGTGCGGCCATCGAGTAGAGGGCCCGGGATGTACCAGGGTATATATGTGTGTGTGCTCTAAAGATGGTGCCAGAGATTAACGAGCGAGGAAGCCAGCAGCAGCCACTTACTTAGGCACCTAACCTGCCTCCTGCTACGCGTGCTACGTAGTACGTGCCTCATACATATACACACCTGCCTCCTATATAGAGGTAGGTACCTAGAGTATACCTTCTCAGTGGTACTAACAGCAGATGGAAGTTGGGTTCGCAAGGTACCTAATATTGTGCAGAGAGCGCGTAGGTAACCCACCTCCAGGTAGGTAGGTACGCGGGATACGTCGTGATCATTCAAGGCTCCCGCAGTACCCGGAAAGTACCGAGGTACCTTCTTCATCGGCAAGAACGGCGCTTCTGCAACTCCGGTAACGCCTTGAAGCGAGTGGCCACGAACCTACGAAGTCGCCTGCCTCCACCAAGCTAATACAGACGGGACCTAGACCTACACGTAGTACATCCTAGATAGGCTCCAGGCGGTGGCTACCATGTACATATGTGCATACCTTAGGTAGGTAGGTACCTAGGCTAGGTGTAGGTAGGTACCTCCTAACCTATCCTCCTGCCAGCTCGCTACAACGGCGCCCGTAAGGTACCCTCTGTGTGCCAGCAGCTGGTATGTACAGCCACAGGCTCGTCGCTGCTAGGCAACATGACCTCGCCCAATGCAACACGCCTCGCATAATTCACACGCAGTGGTGCACGCGCGTGCGTATACCTGCATCGATGCAACACATCGCGGCACACCGGGTCATGATGATGATGATGATGATGATGATGGAGAATCTCGAGCCCCAACTCGGCCGGCCGAGATATCCGACGACACTGCCTACCTCCGACCTGCAGTATCTAATGTCTTTATGAATGTGAATATCTGCAGACACCTAACTTGCCTCTCCTAGGAGGTATCAGATAATACTTAGGAATTGTCGTATCGACATGTGCGGGAGAAATATGCAGGCGATAAATTCGGATCTAGATTCCAAACCGATGTACCTATCTACCTAGGTACCTTTACCTACCTAAACTTTACTCATAGCTAGGCGCCCTTGTACCTACCTACCTTACCCACCTACCTACCGCTTAAGGATCCAATAGCCAGAGGCAAGGAGGCGCCCTCGGGTCCGGCTCTGTAAGGCGTGGACGTGGTATGATCCGTCCCGATTACCCGCATGACAAAGCAGGTACCATTTTGTATTCGCGTCCGCCCACCAGATAGGCAGGTATAGGCCCCGTACTACGACCGGCCCTCCCATCTCAAACTGCGGGATGCCCTCAGGCGGGTTTCGCGTGCTATGTTCGGTACCTGCTTACGTAGGTCTATAGACTCAGCAGTTACAGAGTTCCTATGCATTCTACAAAGGCATGGCACGTGTATGTACCTACAGGTTAGGTACCCAGCTTCGGATTTGCCCCTCTAACCCTGTATGGACGTGTCCCCCTAGATGTTTTGCTAACACAAGTCGCTCGCTGCCGGGCTAGTCGCCGATTTGCTCTACTACCTGTATAATACCGCGCCGACATTGCGACCCATGCACTAAATAGGTTAGGTGCTTATAGCGTATACGAGAATTTCGATTGCTGACATAGGCCACACGTACTACTACCCAACGTCTGTCAGGCAGGTAGGAGGTAGGTAGGTAGTATGCGCCTATGTGCCCTGCAGACAAAAACGCTAGGCATTCGATGCCAAGGCGGTCCCGAGTTCGTGTTGCATCTCGAATTCCATTCCCGCGATTCTGTAAGGGTCGCTGGGGGCATTTATCGGCACGCGCGCCGATGCTTGGCTTATACCGGCAAGGCGTTTTCCCCGTTCGGGTAGTCTGGGCAGACCGAAGAGGATATAATACCTCCTGTATTGAGTACCTGAGTACCTTACGTATACGTATACTTCCACAGCTACATGCATAAGGTACCTAACCCACAGACACAGGAAATTACCTAAGATCAATGCTGCTGTGCGTAAGACGAAAGCAGTCATACCTGCGCTCCCACCTCCTCGACGGAGACGTCTCGAGTTTCTAGAGCCGTTCCTTCATTACTTCATCATGTACCTATTTTTGCCATAAGGTATGTGGGAGGTATACACAAAAACCAGGATCAACACACGTGCCAGCCCGCCTACAGATCGTCGACCCCGAGCTGGACCGTTCTGAAAATAGCTAGTCCCAATCAGCCCCGAGGATGGCCCAGAGATCACAGCACATATTTGGAGGAGGGGGCGGCGTACCTCTGCTCATACACCCTCACGGGGGCTTATTCGAATGGCGACGTCAGACGTCAGGATGACTTTCAGTCTCTTCTCTCTCATCCACTTACTTTCCGTCACGGCCGGAGCGCTTATTATCACGGTGGTCCACGTTTAGGTACCACCTCTACTTCTATGAGGAGGTAGATAAGATGCTGTGGATAGGCACTTGTTGTACAATGGATTTCCTAACACAACTGGATATACCGTTTCATTTTTTTTTTCCCTAATGATGGTGAGAATTGAAGAGAAAGCATCAAAAACACAGGCGCGGGTCAACTAGACCTTTCGGCCGCCTCACCCGGCCGAGCCTACATCTGAAACACCGAGGCCAGGGCACCCAAAGCCCTCCCGAACCTACCCTGGACCGTTACTAAATGCCCTTATACGCGTGTTCTTTACCTACTTAAGAGGCTTGTCGTGAGAAACCTCGCGTTGTGCGCTGCCGTTGCGACGCTTGGCAAGTCATTGGTGAAGGCCTCAAGGCTAAGTCGTCGGAATAACTGTTATCATCACTGGAAAAAATTGAGACGGTATGTCTAGTCGTGTTAAGAAATGTATGGTATAACAAATGCCCACAGCATCTCATCCAAGTAGGAATAGTATAAGTAGATCACCGTAACGGTAAACAGTATCGTCGCGATAATAAGCGCTCCGGTCATGGCTACACTCTGCGGGGTGAGAGGGCCCGCGAGGCTCGGAGAAGGTTGAGGAACCTGACCATGCTGTTCTCCTGCTGCTCTGGTCGTTCCCCCCTCTCTTCTACCCTTTAGCTTTCGTGCCGGTTTACGTGAGGGACGTTTCGTTATTATCCGGACCATATCGTACTGTTTATCCTCCAAAATGACAAGCTCCTTATAAGAGTAGCAGGCAAGCTCTTCAAACGGCACTGTGACCCACTCCAAACATCGAATTCTACGATAGCCCTGGCAGGTCTGACCGTTAACATGAAAGGATGAATCAAGCACTGGTTCTAGAAGAACCATGGGAACCTGCCACTCCCCCGACCGCACTTCAACGTCGCACCATACGGCAGCGAAAAGCATGTCGTCCGGTAGCTGTGGGTTACCCGGTAGCTTTCGGTTGACTACGAGGTGGCTCGACATCTCACTAACCCTCGTCCGAAGGGCGAGTCCCATACTCGTCATAGAGAACGATGTGTCAGATGGTAGGAGCAAATCCAGAGGGGGTATACTCGCAAAGTCGGCGGGCGACCGGGCGAGGCACCCGCTGTTCGCGTAGTCTGCGCGCCAGGCAAAAATAGTCATGTCGAAAGAATTCCGTATGATCTCAGTTTGCAATCTCTTGAACGCGCCCACTGCCCCTTCGCCGTAGAGAATTGGCATGCTCACATTAAAAATCCCCATCAGACAATACGCGATATCTTCTTCGCGCGTTGTTTCCCGTTTAGATGCCCACTTCATCCGCTCGGCGATACAGAACTCAGGCAGCAGGTCCCTATCCTGAAGCATTTCCTGATTGATCGCCGAGGCCTCGGCGAGCACGTTAAGCAGATCGTCTCCGCCTTCGATCTCAATCCAGTCCGCGGTCCAAAAGCTACGGCGCGAAGGCACGAGTAGCTCTTGCAACGTCCAACCTCTCGAGAACCAGCGCGAAGCCCGTACGCTGGCGAGTAGCTGCTCTCTCGTCGCCGGTATCGCGGCATTCGACGAGTTGCTCCCCGTCGGGACACAACTTGGTACGTCTGCCAAGTATATATAGCATACTGCAGCATCGTAGTAATACTTATACATGGAGTTGAGTGCCTCGGACAGCTCGACGCTGCTGCGCTTGTCGATGCAACATGTGTCCACCCAAGCGTATGCGAATCCGTGGTCCAGTGCTAGGGCGCAGAAGCGTTTCACTTTCAACCATCCTTTCTTCGTTTGTATGGCTGGTTGGCTCTCTTGGACCTGTTCGAAGAGTACTTCGTCCGTCTCCCAGACGTGGGAGAGAATCACATAGGGATGTGGTGGTGCTTTGGTCGAGGTAAAAAATTCAAGGGTTAGTGTGGTAGTGTTGAGAAGCCACATCAGGTCAGAAGTCCAGCTGAAACTTGTTGTGAGAGGGGTGGAATATGCCTCGGGAGGCAGTCTCATCCCGCCCTTGTAGGATGGGAGGGCATCTCATTTTGAGTGTTTACAGACATGACAGTAGGCTGCATATCAACACCTACGTGTCGAGTTTAACGGGGCGGCACAGCCGCTGCCCATTAGGTATGCAACCTGATTGGTAGCCGACGGAGCTGGCCTGCAGCGCCATGTTACGAGATGGCATACACTTAGTATTCGATGGGACGGGGGGGGGGGGGGGGGTTGAACGCACGTCGGCGCTTCAGCAGTAAGGATGTGCTTGGCGCTTCCACGACGCGGTGGCGGTAGCTAGGGCTGAATCGCGTCTTTCCTCTCGACAAGATCACCCAAATACGAAAGTCAAGCCAATGATTTCAGCGAGATCCTCGCCGCGTAATATGCTCCGACACGGAGCTGCTAGCTGGCTAGGGCGTGCAGTGTGGATGCTTGTGGATGCTCGATTCTGGGATCTCGGTGAGCATTCCCCCGTCCTCGGCCCCGTACCACCTCCTAGCGACATGGCACGGACGGCCAGCCCGCCTAAGCTTTAAAGACGGAGAAACAGGAAAAGACACGTGGGTTGCGAACGGTGGGCAAAGACGATAGGTATATTTCCTTCCCCTCCTCTAGGCTGGTCCATAGTGAATGCGAATCGACACCTAGGTATCTAGACCTGATTCATCCGTGTACTCGCAAGTCGATGTTCACGCATAACCTACCATAGGATTCCAACCCGGTATCCCCCCCCTGAACCTGCCTATAATAACCCAACGGCCCGAGGCCGCTGCAGACCCTGCTGAGCAGCCCTAACCCTAAGGAGAGACCAGGAATGCGGGGCCGTCCGATGGGCCGGTCGCCCAGCCGCCCAACGTTGAGGTGGTAAGGGAGAAGAGATTGATGGGTGGGATTGACCAGGGGTTCCCCAATCACTTGGCAGTACCGGATTGAAATATGAACGCGAACAAGAATCTACGCTGCCATGTAGGTACTCTAGAAATGTGACGGGCAGCTTATGACAGTCACGACAAGGTATCGTCAGAGTGTTCCCTGGTTCTCTACGCCACACTACTTGGCAAGTAGAAATGTGTTGCTTAGGTAGGTAGTTGATTGATTCGTCATTTTAACAGCCAACAGTCACCGGTTCACCTACAAGACTACGTTACAGCTGTTGATAGGTGGTTGCCACAATGCTACATAGAGCCTATTATACTTGCAGCGTACCACGTGTGTGGTTCCACCCCTAAAAGAAAAAGAGAGGTAATATAAAAGTCCATCAACAAGAAAGAGACTCTTCCGAGACAATATTACCAAGTCGTATCTCTGAAACTAGGTAGGTACGTTGTTCATAGCGCTCTACTCATACACAAATATCCGGAGACGTTTAAGGTATTTTATAATGGCTGTATTATTAGCTCAGCGTAGGTTCGCAACTAGAGTTGACGTTTGGCTAAGCCAGTAATAGCCGTATTTTTTTTTTATTTTCGGTACCCAACCGTGTGCGGCCTATTACCTCCCAGAAAGCTACCGACTCTCAATTCATATAAAGCAACGCAACCAACAGGCACCCCGGGTGTGCCGAGGACGAGAAGTGCCTGTGTTACCTGCTGCCCTCTTGAGGGTCCGTCACACCGTAGAGAGGACTCGTCGTCGATTAATCTACTCAACTGGCATCCAAGCTAAGGGGGGATGTCCTGGTGATGTCCGCATTCCTGCTGGACAAAGGCTCTCTTCGACCAATATCAGCCGACCGAAGACCGTAAGACGATGCAGAGCCTCTGACGTCGACACTTCGGCCTCCAACCATTCGCTTACAGGCGCTATTAACGATACCTACATGCAGTGCGCCATGGCTCTCGTAGCGCTTATATCCTGGACGAGAGCTCCTTTGTCTGCTCGAAGCTCGATAAATACCTCGACTTCGAAGGTAGCATTGACTCTATCGGTCTCCGCGGGACACCCCGACCGAACAGCATTGTCGTCACTTTCATTCCACCCATCATGGCTCCGCTGTGGTCATCGCAGCCCTTTAAGACCATCTACACGGCGGGTTTTCTCCTCTACACCGTGCCGCACCTGTTGTTTCTCTTTGCCCAGTACCTGGTAAAGCCTCTGCGTCCCTGTCCGGAATGGAGCGCGGCTGTGAACCTCACCAGCGCCATAGTGCGCAAGTTCTTCTGGTACATCACAGCCACCCGTTCCCAACGCACTTTTTGCGCCGAGCCCGAGGAAGCCGGGGAGCGGTGCTCGAGAGTAGATCCGCCCGCGAGCTACTTCTTCGCCGGTGCGCTAGCGGCCTCGGAGGCCGTCAAGCCGGGGCCCGTCGACGCCGTCTGGTTCCCGACCCCCCCGCCTTCCCGAGGCGATGTAGCCGAGCTGAAGAAGCAGAAGATCGTCCTCCATTTTCCGGGAGGCGCCTTCGTCATGGCTCTGGGCCACAACAACAAAGGACACGGTACGGCAGACCTCATGGCCAAGGGCATGAGGGCTACCAGGACCGTCTGGGCCCAGTACCGGCTCGCGGGCACCCCGGAGACTTGCTTCCCGGCCCCGATCCAGGACGCGGTGACATTTTACCATTACGTCGTGTCCCTCGGCGTGGACCCTAAGAACATCATCTTGTCGGGCGACTCTGCCGGCGGCAACGTCGTCATCGCGCTGCTGCGCTACCTGGAGGATTTGCGGGCGCGAACGCGGACGCCGGAGCAGCTCCTCCCACTGCCCGGCGGCGCCCTCGTCTTATCGCCCTGGGTTCACGTCGCCGCCGACGCCGGGAAGCACTACGACGAGTCGAGCCACTCGCAGTCCGACTTCCTGCTCGGATCCTTCCTCCAATGGGGTGTTGATTCTTACCTGCCGAAAGAGGAGCTCTCGAGTGAAGCAAAGGCGTACATCTCGCCGCTGCACCGCCCATTTAAGCTGCCCGTGCCCCTTTACGTTCACGATGGAGCCGCAGAAGGGTTTCACGCCGATATAAAGAGCTTCGTAGATGAGATGGTGGAGCTGAATGGCGACCGAGTACGGTTCCGCTCGACGGCTCTCGCGCCGCATGACCTGCTCGTATCGCACCAAGCCTGGGGTATGACGGGGGAGGTGGATGCTATGCTTGAGGAGGCCTGTGGCTTTTTTGAGGAAGCCGAGTGAAGCGAAACGATATTTTTCAGTAGAAGGGTAACCATGCGTTGATCATCCCGAGATGAGATACAGACATCTGCGTTCGACACAGACGTCTGACTCACCAACCCAATGTACTTACAGAGGGATAGCATCGTAATGCTAGTCACGTCTTCCTGAATTATGTTCCATCGGTATTGTCCGTAGACGTCCGAATGCCTCCACACAAGCCGAAATAAAAGACCAGATGAGAGAGAGAGAGGCAGAGAGAGAGAGGCAAGAAAAATGATTGAAGCGACGCCACCAACCCCAGCGGCGAAGACCCGGCGCCTCGGGGGATGTCATGGCGCGCACATATAACTGCTCGGCGCGCATATTTATCTTTTCTGCGATCTCTCTGCTGCGAGAATAGCGTCAGCTGCGATCCTAATTGGGCACTAACGCCAATTGTTATATAGAAGCGACACCGGAGGTATCTTGTAGGCGCTGTTCAATATCACATCCATCCATCCATCCATCCTTGTGGGCGACAAGGCGGATCGAATCTGCCCAGTCACCTTTCAGCACGGAGATAGGCATTCGGGCGACACGAGTACGGCCTCCGAAAGAAGCGGCCGCCACGTCCCGGACGGAGAGCGAAACGCGGGGAGTCGAGCGAAATTCTTACGTGCATCAGGAGTCATATGGGGATTGACATCGAGATCGGCGCGTGTCACGCCGAAGATTTCCAAGCCGATCGTCGGCGAGTGAGCGCCAAGGAAGAAGGGCTGACGAAACTGCCCGCGAGAGTCGGCAGAACTCATAGGCATGATGACCAAAAACTCCACCCCCGTTAACGCATCCCAGCCCGGCCGTCCAATGGCTTCATACGACATATGACTGAGACGGGTCGATGGTCGCGACGGCTGGTTGGCCAGAAGCCCCCTACCTCTCCCCCCTGATCCGCCGAAACCCCCATGCCGCGGCGTGCGATGCGCTTCTTGCTCTCCTTTACGCGTCGCGAGCTCTCGCCACCGGGCTCCATATCACCGCGATCCTCTTGTAACATTCGCGGTTTTCTCAGTATCGGAGAGTTTTCCCCCTCTCTTCAACTTTTGGTCTTAGGTATAGGACATTCCCATGACATCTGCTGAATATGGACTTAGTGAGCACCCCTGCTAGCCATGTCTGTATTCGTAATTCATCGGGCTGATTCTACGAACACGGAGAGCAGGTAAACTTCCTTTTCCACTCGCTTGTGCGAGAATCGGAATCTCGCAATGTCTCGTGGGCAACCAGAGAATGAGTTAAACCGCTAAGGTAGATCCGTATAGGTATAAGGAGGGACCGTCCGCCATAGTTGAAGCAGTTCCTCCATCCCAGATTTTGGCATATACCTATCCGTTAGAACCCCCTATAAACCCCTATAGAGAATCGTGCCAAAATCCGGAGCTAAGTTGTCGACAATGCATCTCTCAACGCACACATGGATGCGCCCCGAACCCCTTGAGCTCACGCTCAAAAGGGCGTCCTCCCTTGGCTACAAGTCGATCGAACTAGCCGGCGAGCCGTCCCGCTATTCCGTCAGCGAGACGAAGGCTCTGCTGAAGAAGTACAACCTATCTTGCTGGGGAGCCGTCACCATCATGTACGGGTCCCGAGACTTGGTCGCGCCAGAGCCGGCCCAGAGGGAGGACACGATCCGGTACATGAAAGACGTCGTCGATTTGGCCGCAGGGCTAGGAGGGGAGATCGTCACCGTGGTCCCGTCCACCGTGGGCAAGCTGCAGCCGAAGGCGAGCCCCCGGGAGGAGTGGGGATGGGCCGTGCAGGGTGTCCGAGCCGTAGCTCTACATGCCGAAAAGAAGGGACTCCGTATCGCGGTGGAACCTCTAAACCGATTCGAAACGTATCTGATCACCAATACGTCCCAGGCGCTGCAGCTCGTCGAGGAAGCCAACGTATCGAATCTTGGCATCGCCTTCGACCCCTTTCACCTCAACATAGAGGAGCCCGACCTGATCGCCGCCATCCGCCAATCCGGTAATAAGATCTTCGACTTCCACCTCGGAGATAACAACCGTCTAGCTCCCGGCGATGGAACTCTAGACTGGCCCCTGATCATCCGAACATTGCGCGAGATCGGCTATGATGGCGCTTTAGCGCACGAGGCCATGCCACCTATAGACCGGACTCCTCTCGGCAACTTTGGTTCCAAACAGCTCGAGCCTGAGCCGTGGGACGTCGACGAAGGGACTCTACAGTTTCTGAAAGACCACGCCAGTGGCGTGCCGAGGGATGACTATTACACGGTTGTGCTGGCGCGTACGGTGGAAACAATCCAGCCGCTGATTTAGATTGATAGATGCGAGACGGGCAGGCTCTCGGAATACACCTAATAGCTCGATGGTCATCCCACTTATAGAATCACGTGTGGATTGTACCTACCTACCCTTTAATAATGGTAGGCATGCCGTAAATCGGAGTTGAATCAGGAACAGCGACATCCCCCGTTTCGTAAATTTTCGCCTATCTGGGATGGTTGGCGTGAAATTGTGACAGGGACGTCTCACGGTAGAGAAGACAACTGCCGGTTCGTGTTTGTCTCGAGTACAGTTACGCGCAGGTGCTGAGCCCACGTCGGCGCGGCTCGAGTCGCCGGACGAATGATACCGTCCCCAGAGTGCCATGGAACTACCACCCCCCTTTTAAACGTGTTCAACTTCATTCGCTGGTCTCCAAGGGCGAACACACCAACGAGCTCACCACCCAGCTTGACGCCACTGGCGGGGTATCTGATCTCATTTGGAGCTACCCGTTATTGCGCACTGTCAATTCGTCGAAGATAGCGAGGCCATTGACGTGATTCTGGTCGACGATTGAACCAAAATGCTACTCTTGGCATGTGAGTGGAGTCTTGACAAGACGGCTGCGCAAAGTACATACCTATATATAACTATGATGGAACTTCAAGAGGGCATATCAGAATGCAGCGGCGTCCAAGACATCTCGTTTCACATAGATAATACCGTATCAATAAGTTCTGGAATTCCTTTGTCGCCATGGCTCCTCCTGCGGCAGATGTCGATGTAGAATCCAACGCGGCAGTCCCGCAAGTCAAGAAGTCGGTCGACGGCGCTCTTCCCGTTCGGTTATCGACGAGCTCCAAACTCGATGGGCCTCTGAAGTACTCTGGGACCCTCGACTCGTACGAGCAGTTCGATGTCACCAGTGTCATCGGCCGGGAATTCCCCAAGCTCCAGCTGAGCGAGATCCTGCATGACGACGCCAAGATCCGTGACCTGGCTATCCTGAGTAAGCAGAGAGTACATTGAACAATACAAGTGGATTGATCTAACTATCTTAAGTTTCCGAGCGAGGTGTTCTCTTCTTCCGCAACCAAGATATCAATATCGACGACCAAAAGCTCTTGGGTCAGCGGCTCGGGGAACTCACCGGGAAGCCCGACTCGTCAAAGCTCCACCGACACGCCCTCTCAAATAGCAAGCGTGGCATCGCCGTCGACGAGAACGGACGCCTAGACGACGAGGTGTCCGTCATCTCCTCCGAGCAGAACCGCAAGTTCTACAAGGACCGGTTTACCGCATTCTCGAAGAACATTGCTAGCAGCGGCTGGCACGCGGAGTAGGTGGAGAAATAGTCCCAACCGAGGAAAAAAAAAACAGGATTTGGAGGGGTTCTAATAGCTGCCGCAGTATCACGTTCGAGCACATCCCTTCGGACTATGCCATTCTTAAGATAGTCGAACCTCCCTCGGATGTGGGCGGCGACACGCTCTGGGCCTCCGGTTACGAGGCCTACGACCGGCTGTCTCCGCCCATCCAGAAGCTGGCAGAGAGCCTGACCGTCACCCACAATCAGCCGGGCTTCGTCAAGGTCCAGAACGACTTCGGCGAAGAGCTCATCGCAGAAGACCGCGGCTCTCCGGAGAACAAAGGTCTCGATTTCAAGGCGGAACAGTAAGTGGAGAGCTTCCAGCCCGGGTACCGTGCAGGGAGGCGTTCTGGCTGACCGATGCAGTCCTCTCATCCGCACCAACCCGGTGACGGGATGGAAGAGCCTCTTCGGCGCGGCGGCGCAGGTCGAGGCCGGGTGGATCAACGGGGTCACCGAGCGGGAGAGCGAGATTCTCAAGAGATACTGTAGGTCGATTCGCGGTTGCGGCTCGGCTCGGGAACAGGTAGCTAACAGAAGTCTTTCAGTCTTCCAGATAATCGTCGAGAACCACGATCTCCAGGTCCGTTTCCGGTGGAACAAGAATGACCTCGCAATTTGGGACAAGTGAGTTGGCACCGAGTGCAGGCACCCTTATCACAGCCGGCTGACCCATGACTACCACAACTAGCCGCTCCGTATTCCACACCGCTACCAAGTAAGTCGCACACCACGATGTCGCCTGATGGGGAACGGGAAGATGCTGACTCGGTGGGATTAGCGACTACGTCGGAAAGCGCCAAGGCAACCGAGTGGTCTCGATCGGTGAGAAGCCGTACTACGACCCGAACTCGAAGTCGCGCCGCGAGGCACTCGGGCTCGTAGGCGAGAAGTAGAGTAGGGGTCAATTCGGGGGCAAATCCAGCGCGCTGCAATCCTTCTCAGACACCTGCGTGTGCGCTAGTTCAAGTCTGAAGGCGTCGAGTGCCTATAGTGACGGGACTCGTCAACTGTGTCGTCCTGGTTTTGGGGGGTGGCAGGGAGATTTATTGGGCTAGAGTGGGGTGGTTCGGTTCTGGGGAATCTCGTGGTGTTATTTGACAGATACCTGCACCACGGCGCCGAGCTACAAGTAATCCCCGTTACCTGCCTACCTAGGTACATAGGTGCCCACCCGAATTACCTAATGGTACGCCAACGGCGGTGTCAAGAGGGGATGATCTATGGGCAGGTACTGGTTTTTATGATACTGAAGTAGGCACGAAGAGGTTAGGTACCTATAGGCCGCTACCTAGAGGAAGGCGTCTTAGGTGGTAGGTACAACACGCGCCCGTCTCCACCGAGCCGCCCGCTATCGTAGGTAAGTGAGGGGGTGGACGCAGCGTCTGTAAAAGCTTGTATAGGTACTTGGAGGGGTGATCGGGCGGGTGAGCCACGGCCGCTGGAGGAGGGGCACCTGGGGCTGAGTTTCAGAGCGGAGAATGACCCGTTCCCATTGGCTGCCACCCCATATGAAAAAAAATATGCAGCGCCCCTAGTCCACGCCCAACCGCCTGCTCCTGCACAGAGTGTGTGCCTGCGTAGTAGGAGGCGAAAATATTGTATATAGGATGCGAAAAAACAGAGGGGAAATTTTATATCCTCGACCCTCCAAGACGCTTTACACTAAGCTTTACTCATGTTCCTTACAAAGAAAATAGAAATTTCTTTTTAAATATATTTCCAGCTGTTGTAAGAAAGCGTAATTAGTAGAATTTTTTTTTTATGATTCAATGTTGTTTCAAGAGCTATTTTGAAGGAATATAATATGTAGCGATAATGCTGCTAAGTTGATGGTAATATCAATATACTGACAGTAGTAACAGTGGTAGCAGAGTCCGTTTTAGAGGTTATAGTGAACTTAGGCTGGTTTACAGGGGGCTTAAGTTAGTTCACAACCTTGAAAATAAGAAGTCTTAGGAAACATAGTTACCCTCCTGTTTCTTGCCATCCTACATACAATATTTTTGCCTCCTACCACATACCTATTTGGACGCTGAAGGTACCTACCATTCCCATTGCAACAATCGCCCAACCCGCGCGCTCGCTCTCTCTGATCGCTGTTTTGGCACTTTACTTACGTACACATCGCGGACTGTTACCGCGTTTCCCTACGTGCGACCGCTACGGGGGCCGTCTAGCCATTTCCGCCTCTCGCGTGCAGCGTGTCGCCGCTAGTGCTGCTAGTACCTACTCACAGTACCTACCTACTGCTGGGGGGGCGCCAGGCACCACAAGCTTTGCTGACTCCTCCGCCGGAGCTTCCCATCGACGCTGCCCCGCTAAAAAATATCTTGCGCCGTCGCAACTCCCTCGCCAACCTCGTGCCTAGCATCTTTTCGCACTTCACCTCTTCACACAACACAACCCGACCTTCCCTTCTTCCCCCCCCCCGCTCTCCCTCTCCCTTCTTCATCCCTACCATCGCGCACGCCAAGCTTCATCGATATCTACTGCAACTTCGAGTTGCCAGAACACAGCTCTTCTCTCTCCTCACCGTCCTGTTTTGAAGCTGCCGGCAGTTGCCCGTGCTCGTAGCCTCGTCTAGTCACCACCATGAGTGACCAGGACAGCAAGCCCGAGTCCGGCGTTGAGACGTCAGCCGAGACCCCCGCTCCTGCCCAGACCCAGAATCTAGAGAATCCCGATGTTCAGACCGAGAGCGATCTCAAAAACGAGGACAGCAACCCTCCGGATGCTCGCGCGGCCGAGGACCAGAAAGCGTCCGACGCACCCACCGTTGACAAGGACGACGCTAAGGATAGCTCTAAGGACAGCTCCAAAGACGAAACCAAAGATAATCCCAAGGATAATTCCAAGGATAATTCCAAGGATGATGCCAAGGATGATGCCAAAGACGAGACCAAGCCAGATGCCAAGAAGGACATCCCTTCGATTGACAAACCCCCTCAGGGAATGCTGAGGGTCAATCGTAGGGGCCATGAGGCCCGGCAGAAGTCGAATGCCTCTGTCCTTCCCGAGTCCGACGACCCCGATGCGATTCGCAAGCAGGTGGAGAGCCCTTTCTTTACCCCTCTCACCCCCGAATCCATAACTATTGCCTCGAGCCATCCTAATACCCAGGTTTCAGGTCGAATTTTACTTTGGCGATAGCAATCTCCCGGATGACAAGTTCCTCTGGGGGAAGGTCGAAGGGACTCAGAATAAGCCCGTGCCCATCTCTCTGATCTGCGAGTTCTCTCGAATGCGCCGATTCAAACCCTACGCAGCCGTCGTCGATGCCCTCAAGGCCAGCAAGCTCCTAGTTGTAGAGGGTGCCGAGGGCGAGGAGACGATTCGCCGTAAATTTGCCTATAAACCCGCCGAAGATAAGCGGACCCAGATCGACGAGCGAAGCACCTATACCAAAGGGTTCGGCGAGGAGCAGGCTTCGACTCAGTTCGATATCGAGGCCTTTTTCGCCCAGTATGGACAGTTCAATTCGGTTCGGCTTCGGCGTGTGGACGTGCCCGAGAAGACCTTCAAGGGCTCTGTATTTGTCGAGTGGGCTGACAAGGAAACTGCCGAGAAATTCATGGCTCTGGACCCCAAGCCTACGTGGAACGGCCATCCGCTGTTGATTATGTGGAAGCGCGACTATACGAAACAGAAGACTGAAGCTATCCGCGAGGGCAAGATTAACATGAGCGGCAATTGGAACAACTACGGGCGCTCCAACCGCGGCAATAGGGGCGGCAGGCCTGGTAGAGGACGAGGTCACCACAACGGTCTTGACGTCGACGACTGGAAGAAGCGGCGTGAGGAGGACCAGCGTACGGGCTTCAACAACCGCCGTGGCAGCCGGGACCAGCACGGCCGAGGTCGGGGCCGGGGCCGCGGTCGAGGTAACTCTCGTGGTCAGGATAAAGATCGTGCCGAAAATGGGAGTGGAAGCGCCGCCAAGGAGGAGCAGGGGACAGATTCCCGCGACGTCGGACCTCCAAAGATCCATGTTAGCAAGCAGGGACGGAAGATCACGAAGGAGAAGGAAGGCGACGCAAGCCCCGAGGTCCAAACCAACGGGAAGCGTGCTAGAGAGGAGGATACTGCCTCCGAGGCCCCGCCTGCTAAGAAAGTCGACAGCAAGGACGTTGCCGAAGCTGCGTGAAGCTTGTGAAGCAGGTTCGTGTTCAACATACAGTTTCTTCTACCCCCCAGGCACCCCCTCTCGATTTCGCGGGTTGGGCCTGTTGTTGAGCGGTTCTTAATGGCATTGGCCGGTGGTCACGTTGACATCCACCGGGTAAGGCGTTCGTAGACACCCATGGAAAGGTGCCGGACAGATGTGTTTAGTGTAATCAGAGACTGGTACGGGTTTCCGGAGTTTGCGTGTTATATTGCTCCCGCTTCTCGGGCGATTGATACGATGCTGGGATGTAGGCTATATCGATTACTTGCCAGTAATACTAGACAACTAAATACCAGCTACTGACAGAGCACCGCCCGTCCGTTCACTGCGCAGTTTAATTGTCCTCTGTCTAGTCACTCATTACCTTGTAGTATACCTCTTGCTATATCCGCCCTCTCATTGAAAGGGGGCGCTTATGTACCTAGGTACCTAGGAGGTCTACCGAGGGGAATTAGTGGAAGATAAGGAATAGGTAGGTACTTATGTAATGTAGGAGCTCCTGAGGTTGGAGCACGTGACGTTCGGTCCAGAAATTTTTGGTACCTACCTAGGTCAAAAGCTGGACGGGAGCACCAGGAGCTCCCGCAGCACACGCGGATCACCTACCCCGGATATTCTGTGTATTTCGGCGAATTCGACGCCCGAGTTTCGCATCGAAGCCCGACGCGCAGCCGGGATGAGGCCCAGAAGATTTCACGGTCTCAAGAGACCAGTAAGTCAGGCTCTCTTATCTATCTCTAGCCCGCTCCCGAGCCTCTCCCCTCTCCTTCGACGTACCCCGCCAACAAACGGCGAACCACTTTTGCTGACGAATGCCTCTCTTCCTTCGTGCCCGCGCAGAAACTGCGCCAGACCTGGAACAAGTACAACCTCTACAACATCCACCGCTTCGCCAGCCCCGACATCTCGAGCTCGCCCAACGACCACTTCACCTTCTTCCAGAAGAAATGGAAGGCCAAGGGCATGCTGCGCGCCTACCACGGCGAGCACGTCGTCGAGCGCAAGTGGGTTCGCATGTTCGACCGCCGCCTCCTCGGCGTCGCCAACATGGACGCCAAGTCCATGGCCGAGAGCGACGGCTCCGACCTGGCCGCCGGCAGGGGCTCCGGAAAGGAGGCGCGACCCAACTGGGACCTCACCAACATACCGAAGCGGACGATCACGCCCTACATGCAGATGGCTTTCGCCCCGATGGAGAGGCGGTTGGACATCGCCGTATTCAGAGCCATGTTCGCGAGCAGCGCGCGCCAGGCCAGGCAGTTCTGCGTCCACGGCGCCGTCAAGGTTAACGGCAAGGTGGTGAGTGCCATCTCTTGCTCCCCACGCGCGGGGGATCGTCAGGTCTTATGCTGAGAAGAGACAACCCTATGTGCCTAGATGCCGCACCCCGCCTACCGTCTAAACCCCGGCGACATGTTCCAGGTAGACCCCGAATTTGTCATGTACGCGACCGGCCGGCCGAAGGGGCAACCGAAAAAGAAGAAGAAACGGTCGGCGAAGGCTAGCGAAGGGGAGGAAGAAGGCGCCGAGGACGCGGAAGCGGAAGCGGAAGCAGAAGAGACGGAGGCCGCAGCCGCCGAGGACGCGGAGGCCAAGGCGGCAGAGGCCGAGCAAGACCCCGATACGACGGACGCGCCCGAACCCACCAAGGTCGACATGAAGCCGACGCAGAAGCAGATCCAGACCTTCGTCAACAAGGCGAAGGCGATCCTGGCGGACGAGGACACGCTCGGCGCGAAGCACAAGCAGATGCTGCGGAGCTTCATCAAGGAGACGCGGTCGCTGCTCTCGCGCACGGGCCGCGCCGACGCCTCGCCTGCCGTGATCATCGAGGAGCTCACGAACATGGTCTCGGAGCTGGACCTAGGCGGCGACGCGGAGGCGGCAAAAGGAGCGGCGCCGACTTCGGACCCGACCGAGGGGCTGACCAAGAGCGAGCTGAAGAAGTTCGAGCAGCGCATGGCGGAGCACCTGCGCGAGGAGGAGGAGAACCCGTACGACCCGACCAAGCGGTACCGCACGCCGTGGCACCCGCGCGACTACATGGCGCCCTTCGCCTTCATCCCCCAGTACCTCGAGGTCAACCAGAACGTCTGCGCCGCCGTCTACCTCCGCCACCCCGTCGCCCGCCTCGGCAGCGCCGAGGTCCCCACCCCCTTCCCCTACGACATCAACCAGCTCGCCTACAACTGGTACCTGAGGCGGAGGTAGAGGCGGCTGATAATAATAGGCAAAAGGCCCTTCCTACCGGGCCTTTTTCAACCCAACGAAAAAAAAAGAATATTAAAAATTCAGTAAAAATGTCCGGTGCGCTGACGGATGTCGGACGCATTCGAACCTCTCGGACGAGCTCTGCCCGCGGAGTGGTGGGCGCGGCCCCGGTCGGATGTAGTAGATACCCACCCTGTCCTCCCCGTCCTCCCCGCCCCCCCTTATCCTGACATATATGCACGAAACAGGGGACGGAAGAGAGAAAGGAGGGCTCAAGGTGATGGGATTGTACAGTAGGATTAGCTCGCGCGATCTAGAGGGGCCAAGCTGTCCACACCCACCCGTTTGAGGTCACGTAGGAACGGCGGGCGAACCGGGGTGGGGTTAGAGGAAAAACTGCCCCCCCGCCCCTCTCCCCCGCCTTCTGCTCTCCGTTCTCCTCCCTGCGCATATATATTATAGGTGCGCATGTACTGGAGCTACCTACCTACATGCATATCTAGAGCCCACGTGTAAAACAATACGACGTCTACACATCATCACACGCGGGGAGAGAAGCGCTTATCAGCTTCGCATGATAGATATCGGCGGCATGCGTGAGCCCCGTCTTAGTTTTGCCGTGACTGGTTGCACGTGTGATGACGGGAAGGTACTCTGTATCCTGGCACGAGACCGGAGGCCACGACGGCCGCCAGAACCTCGGTGTCGGGACTCGAGAGGGGGGGGGGAGGGGGGCACCAGCACGACGGCGTTGTTGTGCGCACATCTAATTATCTGAGGTGTTTGGGGCTAGGAGAGCTGCGTGCCTGCTTTGGTGTACGTCTTTCGACGGCAGCCCACGACGAGGAGGGGCCGGCGGAGACATGTGCGCGAGAGAACTAGCGGGAGCAATACAAGGGAACCCGGACAATCCCCAAGCGGCGCCGTCAGAATAGGTGTGACGGCAAGCTCGGAGCTAGAGCGGCGTAGTGCGGCCTGGCGCTCGAGCAGGCGAGTATACATCCGGCGAGGGTGAGCTCGGCATGAATTCACACCCTGAGCACGTGGTGCACCGCATCTGGCAAGTCCATGCGTGCGGGGGCCGCTGGGAGCCCATAGGTGCCGCGCCGCAAGCCCGAGCGACGGTGGCGACCCATTTGGAGCAGAGGCACACAGCGCGGAGCCCGGGAGGTGCCCATCAATCGGAGCGCGCGGCGTCCGCGATAAGGCGCGGCGCCAACCTCCCCCTCTTTACGTAGCGAGAGCAACACCCGCGACACGATGCCGAACCATCTCCACCCAATCGGCGTCGGGCTGGGCCAGACCTGGGAGCTTGAGAGATAAGTAGATGCACGAGGCGGACGGCCAACCCAACCTAGGCTCAACAAAGCCGGCGACCTCTCCGTAAACGGGAAAGGCTCTGGCGGGGGACGCCCCATCGGTCGACAGGATGAGATACAAGATGTTGCACCAGCGCGCTGTTATCTCCTGACCGGAGGCGGGCAGGTCGCGTCGGAGAGGTCTAGTCTGGCCGAGCTCGGTATGTGTCGGGACGATTGCGTAATGCGCGGTCGATCTAGGTCGATCTTGGGATGCCCCTCGATTCGGTCGTGTCCTCGGCATATATAGGTATATATACGTGTGTGTGCGTGCGTGTATATAAATGCATCGACCCCGTCGTGTTTCTCCTCGCGCCCAGTTCTATCACGGTACCCCCGCCCCAAGACGCCAATCCATTCCTGCGCGCCCGCCAGCACAACTAGACCGAGACTGTCTGCATAACGGTAGAGAACTTGCCAGCTACGAGATGGCGAGCACTGATACCCCCGCGTCCGCCGCCCCGATCGCGATGAACTACTTCGCCAAAGCGCAGAGCGTCAAGCCGCCGCTGATCGCGAACGAAAACGCCTTTCTCGGCGACGTGGCCTCCAGGTACGTTGGGCCCTTTGCGTGTTGTGCCGACACGACGTGCCTTTTTGGCCGAATTGACGAGTCCCACCATTGACCCTGCGTGCTCACATGGCAACAGTGATAAGATCGACCCAGACAAGCCCATCTCGGCTGGGTTCTATCGCCTCGAGAAGGGGACGCCGCTCGTGTACGAATACACGTATCATGAGGGTAAGCCAAGCCGGCTCCTCTTTCGCCTCCTCCCAAGCGTCTTGACAACAGTTCTAATCGCCCTCGGCATTGTAGTGAAAGTCATTGTCGAGGGCAGCTTCGACATTAGCGACGAAGCGGGTAACAAGGTGCACGCGGTCCCTGGCGACGTCTTCTACTTCCCCAAGGGCTCCAAGATCACCTTCACGACGGATGACTACGGTCTCGGATTCTATTGCGGGCAGCGGGCTCGGAATGGCGCATAGACGCGTTGGCGCGGGCCTGCGGAACTGTTCTCGATCAAGGTCTAGTTGGGATGAACTTGGGGAAAGCGGCCCGGTATCGACACTAGGTGCTGAGAAGTGGGCGTAGTAGAGACACACCCCTGATCATCTCTGGACTTGCGAGAAACGGTGTGATGGGGGGCGAATAGGTATAACCCATAGCCATGATTACTAGGACTCTCGACCTCGTAATCGGTTCGGTAGTCAATGCTTCTTGTATATAGGCGCGATAAGATGACTCGACCTCAAGCTGTATATCACTGCCAAATCGTAGTAAAACCAAGTTCATCGGGATCGAGCTGTGAAGTACATCATCTAATGGAATAGGATATATACCTGAGCACGATATCCCAGACCCCAGCCGTGCGATGAAAGTATAAGCGTGGAAGCAAGGGAATTGGGTGGTTTGGCGTCAACCTGCTCTCGTCTCTTGATGCCGAATGAGCTGGTAGGACATCCTGTTGCAAGCGAGAATGAGCCAAGCTACTGGGCTCACGAAGTTACCTCGAAAACAATTGAGTCGCAAGAGTCGCTCCCGCAATCTGCAGAGGAGCGAGGGTAGTAGAGATGGCGAAATACATGGATATACCGAGTCATTAATAGCGTTTTGAAACAGATCCATGTTGAGAAATTTGTCGTTTGATCACGCCGACTTGCCAAACACGCGGTCGGTTGTAGATTTTGGTAGACAATACACAGGATCGATGGCATCCACATCAGGGTGCTTGAGCAAGCTCAACCCCGTGAGGCCAAACAGCGTATGCCAGACATCGACCATGTTGCCGGGCCGGTCTGCCAAACCGCCGTTCTCAGTATCCTGGCAGGTCAGGATGAAGTGGACGAGCTTCTCCCGATCGATCCAATGCGTACGGCCGATCATTTCTAGGCTGCTCAGCACCCACCAGCTGTAGCAAACGTCTTCTTTCTTTTCGGGTCTGCCATTCAGGCCGCCGCCAGGCACCTGTCTCTCACTCAGCCAGGCAGCCAGTCTGTCGACGTCGATCAGGTCCTTCCGGCCGGCGATGGAGAGGGCAGCCAAGCAAGTAAATATCTGGCCGGAGTGGGACTCGGCGCCGGGGCTAACACCGTAGCCGCCGTCGAAGTTCCTGCAGGATGCGATATGCTCAACTGCCTTCTCGACGTCGACCAGGTGCGTCAGACCGAGGAGGGAGAGCGCATTCAGGGCGCCGTACAAGAACCGCGTATCTTCCTCTCCCCATTCGTCGCCGCAGAAGGTGCCGGTTTCGCGATTTTGAAGGTCTGCCATGACTGGACGTTGCCTTAGCATCTCGGCCCACGGTGGTATTGGTCAAAGTAAATGGAGAGGGGGAAGGCAGTGTGGTAGGTATATTAGGTTAACTCACATTTGCCCACTTGGGCTCTGCCACTCCCCTTGCCGCGCTTGTCCAATTCGTCCAGGGCATCAACTAGGACGAGGATCTGGACGGCGCTGACAGTGTAGAGCATATGGGCGTCATGGCCTGGTGCGGCCCCGAACCCCCCGCTCTCCTGCTGGCACGAAAGGACAAAGTCAATGGTCTTGTCTCGAGGCAGGGCGTCGGGATGTCGCAGAAGATGCAAGGCCACTAGCCCCCAGTAGAGTCCATTCAGGCGGAGGTGCTCGGTAAGCCAGTATTCGTATTCATCCTTCCTCGTGTCGAGGCTCTGGATGTATTTGACGTGCGCCGTCGTGGCGAGTTGGAGCTCGTCGGGTAAATTCCGAATGCCTGACATCTGTTCGGTGTGGCATAGGTGAGGTAGGCGTCCCGCGATGCTTAGCTTTCCGCTGGATAGGTAAGCATTGGGAGAAATGGGTTTCGGACGGAAGTAGGCAGGCACCTAACTTCACGTGGCCGCATAATGTACCTACATCAGGTTACGTTCACTAAATAGGTACATCTACTTGTCAAGGCACACCTTACATAATGTGTTTTAGACAGCCGCCAGAGCCTGCCTAATGGATGAGTCACCGGGTAAGAGGGGCAGAATCTCACCGCCCAGGGGAAAGACTATATAAGCCGGGCTTCCCTCCAACCCAGCACACCTGTTCCCTTTTCTTCTTTTCTTCTTCAGCTCTCTTTGCCAAATGGCTTAGATCAAGTGTAGTATCTGTTCTTGTTAGTTTAATCACTGATATGAGTCTTACTGGGGCTCAGTTCTGATTATTCTAATTTTTTCTCACCCTGGTGCGCATCCTCTGTGCTCGCACATGATCGCCCCCACTGTGTCCCTGGTCTTACACTGCCTCCAGGTGGCGCGAACCGGTCGCTGGTTTTCATTGCTCTCTTGGGGTTTCCCTGGGAAGTGAAGAAGACGCGGTGTGCTTCTGCAAGTGGTCCTGGCCCGGTGGATGGACCGCATATGAATATTTCGGTATCCCTACGCCGTACTGTTTACGACGGGATAGGCTAGGATCGTGTGCGTGCCATGTGGCGCTCGACAGCAACGGAGTGCTCGAGAGCGAGTAATCTCGACAAATCTCTTGTATATTCCCATGATCCCCTTTCCCCGGCCCGGGCTCTAGAAAGTAAATATGCGACATCTCGCCATTTGTTCGATCTCCTTCTGTTGCATTTCCGCTTTACACGCGCATATGTACCGGAATGCTGATCTAGTTGGAACGCAACGGGCACCTCGTGCCAGAGCTGGAGAGATAGGCTACATTCGGCTGGCTTCTGCCTATACCTACCGGAAGAAGACTCATCGAGCACCGACTTGTCTACGCCGGGGAGCCTGGTAAGATTACCTACGTAGTCAGAAGTCGACGACGCGCGTACTGCCAGCCTACACCAAACATGATGGTAAGGGTTTACCGTCGTCTTGTGTCGGTACTTGTGGACGCGATAATCCCTGCTTATCATATATAGAGTTCGGAGAGCGCCATCTTGGCCGCCTGGAAGGATAGGATATCTGACTCTCAACTGTGTCTAAATAACGAGGATATATCGATCATGATCTAGTGTGCTATCCACGTGTATCTCGGCGGAAGGCAGGGCGATAGTTCCCGGATGAAACGAAACGCCCACGTCGCACGATGGCTGCTGTACTCAATATCCCCCAGTGTGACAGCAAAGTGCGCGGCTGCCAGCTAACTGAGCTGACTGCCGGCGCCGCATGTTCCCTACTACCTAACCTAACCAACTTAACTGCAACCGTCTAGGAAGTTTGTCTGAAAATGTGGCGTCGTGTGGTAGGCAGATAGATATAGGTGCCTACCTATCCAATATGTCCGTATCGGTATCGATTTGGGTGGGGGAGATGGTAGGTAGTTATTGCTGGATACCCACCTATATACTAAACATCCGATGGATCGAGTTGAAGCCCTGTATTTCTAACAGCCCGTACCTACTCATACATACACGCATATACCCTCCGCAGCTTCTAGTAGGGCTCCCGGACCCAACCGACCGAATGCCTACGTAATAATGGTGGAGGGAAAATGCGGGCAGAGAAGGCGGGGTGCTTTTGTGTGTGTGTGTGTGTGTGCGGTGGGTATGTTGATACTGTCCGATGGTGTGGTGGGTGGTGATTTGTGGTGATTTGTGGGCGTTGTTGTTGTCCGCTGCATGGCGGAGCCGTTTCAGAATTTAGACTTGTGTTTCGCACCTGGTGAGCTTATTAGGTGCTAGGAAATGGATTTGGTCAGCCCCGTTATTCGACCTGCATTTATGTACGTGTATGCATGCGTGTACTTATCTGCCTAGGAGGTAGGTACCTACCTATCTGCGCTAGACTGGCAATACAGATATGTCGCTAATTTCACCCTCCCACCGCTGTGTACGGACGTATGTACATCATAGCCTACTAATCCCATCCAAGATTATATCTTACGTAGGTAGGTACCTGTATTACAGACCTAAGATACACCAATGCATAGGTACCTTCACGGACGCATTGCAAAAGACCCGGTGGATGTCGGTGAAATAAGGGCCCGCTTGGCCTTGTATTTAGGTGCAAATTAGGTTGTGAGTCCAGGCAAGTATGTGTAAATATACACGTATTACCTTATATACCTACAGGATACCTCCTATCTACTATACATTTCCCGTCCACTTACCTGTTCCGTTCCCGCCCCCCGAACAACATCCGAGGCAGAAGAGGCGAAAGTGAAGAAAGAAGGAATATAAGAAAGTACGGTGCTTATTGGCTCGGAAACCTGTGAGGGTTGACGGATCCCCCTGCCAAGCCAAGATTGCGCGCTGAATACACGGTACTGGAAAACGCCCACCAGCTGCGATTGGATATGCAGGTGCCGATGCAGATTGTCCTCCGACAGAGCTGAACAGGTACGTAGGTTTATATACGTAGCAGCCGCAATTTACCAGATGCGAGCTGACCCGCTCAAAGAGGCAGACATATATATATATATATCCAGGATACGATCCAGGCCTAGGCTCCTCGCAACTGATACGAAGGGAAGGGAAGAAGAGAGCTTGTGGGAAGAAAGAGTTAGCTTTGGTCTTCATATCGCCGATCCCGTCAACTAGTCCTATGTATGAGCCACAGCCTCGTACGGGGCCAAAACGATATGTAATGTGCAAGATCCCCCCCGGTCCGTCATGTGTCTAGTGCATTAGGAACCTGTAATTCACGCTTCGGATTGCAAGTATCTCGTGGGTGGGCACCTAACGTATGGAGCCTCTCGAGAGACAGGAGATCTGTCACCACGACCTTATGACCGAGTCTTATGTAGAACGGACACGTCGTGTTCTGGTGGATTGGGAAGCATCCTAGGCATAGGCATAGCCATAGGCATATGTGCATTTATAATAACATCGGCACAGCAAACATCCCACTGCGCTCCGGATTCTGTATTCCTGCTACGTAACAACACACGGCACACACAGCACCCACAGCGACGGATGCACGCTATCATGCGCGGAAACTACAGAATGGGAGGAGACACGCTAGGGAATTTGATTAGTGAGATCCGTGCTAAAATGGGTCTCATCTCTGCACCCAAGAACACCTGCATCATGTACGTAAATGAGATAGTCTGAAGTGGTTGTGCTAGGGATTACAGGGCATCGTACGTGTACGTCTTTGCACCGCAGGGACTAGCTTCAACCCTGGTGCCGTGGTGCGGCCAGCCTCGCCCCTGAGATGACCGCCTGCGTTGACCTGCCCGGGTGAACATACATATATACCTAGGTACGTTGATTCCTACCTACCTCCTACACATACCTGCATGGAGCCAGCGCGATTCAAGTATGGGCAGGTCGACGCCCGCGATGTGTACCTGCGCCGTACGTATCGATACGCATGGGGTACCTACGAAACCCGCCGTCCCATGCCATCCCATTGTACATTCCGGCTTGCATAGATACTGCGCCGTCGCGCGAGAGAGAACCATCCATAGTAAGGTGCCGCCGCATCCTTCTCATGCTCGCTCTTGACAACCTACCTTGGGTACCGAGGAGAGAGAGGTACCTAAGAGGTGCCTAGGAGGCGTAGGCGTGTTGGAGAACGTACGGACGCATCTGTGCTATGGACCTCCACCTGTAGGTTAGAGGTAGGTACCTAATCTCTACCTGAGGTGCCCAGACTACGACGTGAGATTGAGGGTTTATGAAGGGTACCTCCTAACCTTCCATGTACCTCTTCAAGTGTTGGTACCTGGAATCACACGCGACTTGGGACTCAGAAACAAGGTTCTAAGTTTTTCCCGACTAGCAACAACGCCATTACCTGCTTGGTAGCGCACCTACCCCATCCCTACCAGCGACGAGGGGGGGGTGTATGTACACACTCGCATTTTGGCGAGCGCGTGTGGATACCTACCTACCTAGGTACCTACCTACATAGGTAGGTACCTAGGTAGGTAGATCCCGCGCACTTAATACGCCCGTGGTAGGTACCTGCTGCGCATGCCGCTGCATGAGGTACACTAGCAACAGCCTTGATTGGTAGGTAGTTGGAGCCTGGGTACCTGCAATACCTTAGGTACCTAGTAGGCACGCAGGTACCTACATTAGGAGGTAACCTACCTAGGTAGGTACCTCTAATGTATGAACCCAGAGGTGGACGTCCGTATGTGCATGTCCACTTCCCCTGTCGCTCTCTCCCTCTGCTCTCCGTCGTCCCAGAGGTCAATTCATCAATCATCGATATTCCGTCCTGTTTCGTCCAATTCAAACCGCCCCCCTCGAAAATCTTCGGCTTCCTTGGGATAGTCCCTGTTACCAACTATTGGCGCCTCTTTATGACCAGTTTTCTTTCTTGTACAATGCCGCATCTCGTCATCCTCGCCCATAGATAGCCCTTATTCGATCTTGTTACCGTGCTCGCTCGCCGGCTGGCGTCCCTCATCGCACACATTTCCCTTGCCCTTCCGCACATCCCCCATGCAACCTCTCAGCCAATCCTTCCTGAGACCGGTTTGATACTTCTCTAGCACCCCGATATCTGATACAGCATTCCACGGCGCCCTATTCAGCCTGTCCTCCTGCTGCAGCGCACGAACCAGACCTGTCCCTGAGATTCCCTGATTCGTCATCGAGCTGGAGGGCAGCGGGCGGAATAGGGGAACGCTCATCTACACCCACCACCGTCCACAATGCGCCGAAAGCCAGCCCCCAACCCGTTGTCCCTGTCTGACGATTCCGATTCCGTGGGCGAGCGGTCCGCTGCCAATGCCAACACCACCCTTACCTTCCCCGATCCCACCGCCTTAGAGATAGACAGGTCGAGCCCGCGCCCTACCCTCGCCAGCGAGAGCAGTCTTCACGTCGTCTCGTCGACATCGTCCAGGTCGCCCAAGTCCCCTCGCTCCCCTCTGAGCAAGTTCAACCTGGCAAAGACGGCCCAGGCGCATGCCGACACATACCAGCTGCCGCCACAACTCCCCGACGAGGCGCACATCGCTCAGCATCGCCAACACGAAGGCCCCCATTACGCCGACCCAGGCTTCCCGTCCCTGAACGCCGCACCGCCGCCATCCCACGCCCCGTCCGCTTACTCGACTACGTCTGCTCGTTCGGCGAGAGAAAACGAAAAACATTCGAGAAGCGCCAGCCGTTTCTTCAACTTTAGCACCAAAGTGACCAGGTCTGCCAACCAGCTCCACCATAGCCACTCCGAAAGCACGAGCATGGACGAAGTCATATCCCGTGGCGCAGAGAATCCTGTCATATCAGATAAGGCGTCGAGCAAGCATTCTAAGAATTCAGGTACGTTAAGTTGGGTCAAAGCGGGCGCCGCTACGTAATATCAATCTCCTGATGCTAATTCTTTGTTGTTCAAATCACCAATTAGACCTGTCCTCTGTCGATCCTCCGAATCAGAAGTCAGCCCCATCTTTACCATCCAGGTCAGATGTCTCATTGGTATCGACTAATGAGCAGGATTCCAACACGCCCAGGAAGAATAAGCCGAAACCTTTTGCGCTCCTCGGCCGCAACAGATCATTGAAGGACAATAAAGATGAGCATAGCCCGAAAGACCAAGTCACGATCAAGCTGAATGAGGCCGAGGGGGATACGTCCGTGGTGGGCATGCAACCTTTGAAGACGGCGCCCATGAACCCAGACGGCTACGAGCGGTCTTTCAGACACATGATGAATTCAGGAGCGCGGAACCACTCTGCCGACAGGGCGCCTCGAGATGCACCGGGACACAAAGAACATCGAAACGATAAAGACCGCGACCGGGGCCATCCTTCTTCCTATAAGGACAGTAACGGTTCCGCATTCTTCGCCGGCCTCAAAAACTCGGGTAGCCGAGCCGCCGACATGATCAGCAAAGGATTGTTTGGGAGAGGCGTACGAAGTGCCAGCACCACCGAGAGGGATGCGGTCGACGATGAACACTACTTGCTGAAGGTCATAAATTTGCCCCTGGTCGAGCAGACGCGATTGACGAGGATATCCAAACGGCTGGAAGATTCTCGGGACAAGACTGAATTCTGGATGCCCGCCTTCCCCTGGAGAGCGATTGACTATCTCAATCTCAAGGGAACCGAGGTCGAGGGTCTCTATCGGGTACCTGGGAGTGGTCCTCAGATCAAGAAATGGCAAAGGAAGTTTGATGAAGGTAAAGAGGGACCCCCTTCCCGCGATCTGCTTTGTGTGATCTGCTCACTGAACTGGTGAAAGAATACGACGTCGACCTATTCGCGCAGGATGACCTTTACGATATCAATATCATCGGTTCGATGTTCAAGGCCTGGCTCCGCGAGCTTCCCGACGAGCTTTTCCCGAAGGAAGCCCAGGAGCGCATCGCTCGAGAGTGCGCCGGGGCGGAGAGGGTGCCCCAGCTTTTGATCGACGAGCTTTCCAACCTATCGCCATTCAACTACTACCTACTCTTTGCGATCACATGCCACCTCAGCTTACTTCTCGCACATTCCGAAAAGAACAAGATGGACTTTCGAAACCTCTGTATCTGCTTCCAGCCCTGCATGAAAATCGACGCCTTCTGCTTCAAATTCCTTGTTTGCAATTGGAGGTCGTGTTGGCAAGGGTGCAAGAACGAAGCCAAATATATCGAAGAAGAATACATGCTGTTCCGACAACCGATACCTCGAGGGCTGAGTTCCGATCTGCGAAACCAAGTCGGGGGCGAGACGCAGGAAGACCGGAACCTGTCTTCGTCGGACAGCAGCAAGTTGTCGGCGCCGCCGGTCGAGCAGCGTCACGGAAAAGTGAGGAGGAAACCCCTGGCATCAGGCCACTCAAACGGGAGTATGGCATCGAACTATTCGACTGCGTCAACATCCCTGACTGTGAACAGCGAGCAGGAGACACCACGACAGCGGACCGGAGAACGAGACCTGAGACCGCTTTCGCCGATCAAGCCGCTTTCTCCGATGAATTTCTCTTGACGATTATACTTACGCTCCTGTATGCACATCTATCTAGAGGGCAAGGGGAGGGCGTTAGTCCTGCATCGGGTATGCCGCCCTCCGACTCGATAATACCACAAGGGGGTCACTGAATGCATCCCACGCCATCTGCTCTGGTGGTTGGTCCTCTTTGAGACGACATTACGTTCTGTTACGATTTCTCTCCCACCCTCCCTCATCTTTTTTTTTGAAGCCTTCTACCATTGTCGCCCGAGCTCGCCGGCGCCGAATTAATCGTGCCCGCCTCGCCCCACCCGCAGAAGCACATGCGGATTTCGGCTCTCTATCCTGGTTGGGATATTGTGAGACGGGTCTCGCCGGTCGAGCGGTTAATTCCGTTTCACGGGAACCACCAATGCTTGCGCGTTGACCTTTCTTGACATTGTCCTTTTGAAATACCCCTGTGTCACGGCATTGCTTCTAAAGTGTTGTGTAGTAGCATTACTATTGCCTTGGATGGTTCTTTTATTATAAGACGGAAGACTGTGCGCAAGAAAAGGAGAGAAAGGAGCGAGGCCGGAAGTCGAGCGAGGCCTAGCGATAGGAGTTGGAATCTGGAAATGAGAAAAGACATGTACTATACATGGTGGGGGAGTCCCGCGATGCCAGTATAAATGAAACTGTTCGAACCACCAACTTCTCTCGTGCATTGAATAACGCCCAACGCCGTACCCGCACGCATGCAGATTTTTCGTAGGGCCAGGATGCATGGATATCAAACTAGCGGCCCCACGGTACGCTCCGCGTCGCCGAAGAGCCATCGTCGTCCATTCCCACCAGCCTGCCTTTCCATCTCCGGGCCTAGGTCTTCCCCTTCTTCTTCTTCTTCTTCCTCCTATCTTTTTCCCGCGCCTCCTTGTCCTCGCGCTCCTTCTTCTCGTCGACCTCGACGAGCCAGTCCGGGGGGACGGCGCCGTCGCGGCGGCGGGGAGCGTGGGTGCCGGCCCTGTCGTAGCCCCAGGTGCGCTCCCAGCGGCCGGCGGCCTCGTTGTACCGCAGGGCCTTGGCGCGGCGCTGCTCGCGCGTCTGGGGCCGGATGCCCTTGCGCGCGGCGAACCGCTCCCACTTGGTCGGCTCCTTCGGCGGCGGCAGCCGCTTCTCGCGCGGCAGCGGCGTGCTCGGCGCCGGCAGCGACAGCAGCACCCCGTCCCGCGTCGCCGCCAGCGGCACCGTCGTGAGCAGCTGGTTCACTAGCGCCTGCGCGCCGTCGCGCGCGACGGCTGCGAGCAGGGCTTCCCGGCGCGCCGAAGCCGGCGAGAGGCCGGCCGCGCCCGCGGGGGCCGAGGCGCTGGAGGTGGCACCGTCGGCGTCGTCGTCGTCGTCCGACAAGGCGCTGGCAGAGGTCAAGATCGGGTTCGGGTCGTTCGCGAGTAGTAGTCCCAGGTCGAACGTGTACGGCGTCGGCTTGCTGACGGCGACGTCGAGCTTGGGCTTCGGAGGGGCCATGGCGGACGGGTGCTGCCCGGACGAGCCGGTGGTTTGCCTGCTTTATTCTTCTTCCGGCTGGTCGCGGCCTGGGGGGCAGGAGCTCGTGTAGGATTGCAGAGCCGCGGTTGTGTCGTAGAATTGGCTGGTTTGGTGTGGTTCGGCGATGTTGCTGCTGACGATGGGTTAGGGCAGGATATCTGCTGCTTAACTGGTAGTCAAGAAATTTTGGATGCTTGGAGGGAAAATACTTATCGATAAGTTGGAACTTGTAGATATCTTTTATCTCTCATCTCCTTTCTTGCTCGCTTATCGATTGCTGAGCATCTCGGTAGTGAGGTAAATCAGGGGTGCGTGGCTTGGTGAATGCATACTGGTAGCTAATGTAGTTATCAGAGGTACAGCCCACCACCAATTGCCAATTTTTAATTGGGTCCCGAATCTGCTGCGATCTGCTGCTTGTCGCTTCGGGTTGCGATTCTGCTGTCGGAGTTCTCCTGAGATCGAGTCCCAGATCCCTTGACATTCAGGCCCCTGCCGGGAGAGAATTCCCCGGAAATTCGAGTCGCACCGGCGATGGCGAGCGCGAATGGCTGGAAGTGTCTATCACGGCCCTCTCGACGGCTTCTCGTGCCTCTATTCCCGGCACCATCCTCGTCCTCGCCCACGGCCGCGTTCAGCACCTCGCTACCGAGACGGGCCGGCCCGCCGAAACCGCCAGAAGGAGGATCATCGAGACACGTCCGTATTGGCAAGCAGTTGAGCCTAGGGAGTAAGAAGAACCGACAGCCCGACAAGTTCAAGCCGCCGTTACCGGGGGAGCGAAAGGCCTTCCGAAAGCGCATCCAGCTCAGCAACAACAATGCCTTGGAAGTGCCGGGCCTCGAGGAGCTGACGGCCGAGAATATCGTGGACTTCAATTCTGTCGGCAAGGTGGCCCGTCTCTCGGACGCCGTGATCGACGGCTTGAGGGCCGTCGAAGCTTTCAAGCCGACGCAGACATGGAATTTGTTCAGGTCACCGCATACCCTGATCAGGCATGAGACGGTGGATCTGGTGAGGCAACTTTCAGACGCCATCAGCAAGCAAGAGACGCTGAGGCTGGTTATTACTGGGGACAGAGCCTGCGGGAAGAGTATGCTCGGCTTACAGGCCCTGGCGGCGGGGCTCATGAATCAATGGGTCGTTATTAACATCCCCGAGGGTACGGAAGACCACCTCGGGCGCCTGGCAATGCGACGGTGATGTCGGGCATTCTATAACTGACTTGTCGTGCAGCGCAAGAATTAACCACGCAAGCGACGGAATATTCGACGATCCCTCACTCCGAGCAGTACTCCCAGCCCATGTACATCATCAAACTCTTCCAGGCCATCGATAAGGCCAACCACCACATCCTATCCGGTTTCAGGGTCGAGCTGGACCACATACACCTGCCCGTGACCGTAGCGCGTGGCTCGAGTCTCTCCTCCCTCCTGACGGTGACGAGAGAGCCCGAATTCGCGTGGCCCGTATTCCAGGCCTTCTGGAAGGAACTCACGCTCCCGGGGCGGCCGCCGATCCTGTTCACGCTGGACGGGCTGAGCCACATCATGCGCGTCAGCGACTACCGGTCGCCGGCCTTCGAGCTGATCCACAGCCACGACCTGAGCCTGGTGCGGCTGTACACGGACGCGATCGGCGGCGTGACCCGGTTCCCGAACGGCGCGGCGATCGTCGGTGTCTGCACCAAGGGCAACGCGATGCTGAACCCGTCGATGGACAAGGCGCTCGAGCAGGCGGCCGCGGCGCAGGCCGGGCTGCCGCCCCCGCCGCGCGACCCCTTCTTCGCCAAGTACGACCAGCGCGTCTTCGACTCGCTGCAGACCGTCAAGGTGCTCAAGGTCCGCGGCGTCACCAAGCCCGAGGCCCGCTCGCTCATGGAGTACTGGGCCGCTAGCGGCATCCTGCGCCTGCGCGTCGACGAGAAGACCGTCAGCGAGAAGTGGACCCTCGCCGGCAGCGGCATACTCGGCGAGATGGAAAGGGTCGCCCTGTACGACATGAGAATGCCATAGCGGCAGAGAGAGACAGAGAGAAATGCTCGTCTCAGATGCCATCGCGCGCGTGCGATGGCAGGGCGCTGTCGACAACAACGTCTACGGATCTGCCGGCCCCTAACGACGGGTGGCCAGAGGGATTGCCACGTGAGGCAAGACCGGCCTCCAGGCGGCCGTGTGTATAATGTATAAAACTGGAAAATATATAGCTGCAGCGGAAACGAGCGCGTATACACGTAGACCGGCTTAGAGGAAAAAAAAAGAAATGAAGAATCGCGGATGAGCATAGGGGCGCAATTGAGATACCTACGTGTGTTCTCTGCAGTTTCTAGGGACCTTACATGGACCCCTCCCCTTTAGTTATATTCGCTCTGTGGATCGTCCGCCTCGTGATCTACGGGGTACGGCACGAGATCTAGAACAATCGACTACTTCTAATTATTCGGACCGTAACTTGCTCCCGTTTCTGTACCCGACGGCCGATGTAGGCAGATGCCTCCCCGGACACGCATGTGCAAAACACGAGATCAAAAGTGAAGGCAAAAGCTAAGAACTCTTCATCATCGTCTATGAACCGGTCTCGGATCCGGTCTCGGATCCGTAATGCCGTTACTCATTGTTGTTTGGCACCCGCTCGGGGATGCTTCTACAGAATAGCCCAGCAGAGCACGCCGTTCCTCCACGGCTGATCGTGCTATTTAAATAGGTAGATTTCGGACCTATGTCTCCACCCCCATCCCCCACACGCTACTCGTCCAGATCGCCGGCGTCGTCGTTCGCCGTGATGAACACCAGCCTCGTGCCGTTGCCCGCCGTCTGCCAGATCTATTGCGCCGCAGCGTGTTAGCGACTCGGTATCCCGACGTCTGCTGGAAAAGAAAACGATATAAAAAAATAGCACGTACATCTAGACTCGTGTACTCGTCCAGGGCGTTGAGCCACTGGTCCTCGGTGAAGCCCTTGCCGAGGACGCGCTCGCGGACCTTGCGCATGCTCAGCTCGACGGTCCCAGCCTCGTCCTCGTCGTCCTCATCCCCCCCGTCGGCGGCGCGGCAGGCGCCGCTGTCGGCGAGGGCCTTGACGAGGTTGTAGATGCGGCTGGCGGCGTTGAGGGTGCGGCGGCCGCCGGCGGCGAAGCCCTCGTGGGCGGCGAGGCTCTCCTTGCTGGCCTCCATGAGGCGCAGGGCCTCGTCGACGTCGTCCTGGTTGACGGCGCTGCTGAAGCGCAGGCGCGCCAGCGCCTGCGACAGCCGCACCACGCCCAGCAGCGTCCGCGGCGTCGTGTGCGCGAACTGCTGGCCGCGCTTCTCCGCCCGCCGCTGCGCGTCCCGCAGCCGCACGTACGTCCGCGTCAGGTACTCCGTCACCGACTCCGGCACCGTCGGCCGGAACGTGCGCGCCTGCGCCACGTACGCCCGCACCTCGTGCGGCGTGAACACCACGCTCGCCTGCGCCTCGCCCTCGCCGTCCGCCGCCGCCCCCGCGTACAGGTCCGGGTGCCTGTTGTGCATGTGCACGTACGCCACGTGCTTGGCCAGCTGCGCGTCGCCGTCGCGGGTCGGCGTGTCGAGGAGCAGGAACAGGACGTCGAAGCGCGAGAGCAGGGCGGCGGGCAGGTTGATGTTCTCGACCGGCGAGATGCGCGGGTTGTAGCGGCCGTATATGGGGTTGGCGGCCGCGAGGATCGACGTCCTCGCGTTGAGGGTGGTCGAGATGCCGGCTTTCGAGATCGAGATGGTCTGCTGCTCCATGACTTCGTGGATCGCGGTCCGGTCGTTGTCGTCCATCTTATCGAATTCGTCGATGCAGCAGATGCCGTTGTCGGCCAGGACCAGAGCGCCGCCCTCGAGGACCATCTCGTCGGTAACGGGATCGCGCATCACCGCCGCCGTCAGACCGACGCCGCTGGAACCGCGGCCGGACGTGTACACGCCACGGGGCGCCACCTTCGAGATATACTTCAGCAGCTGAGATTTAGCCACACCGGGGTCGCCCATCAAGCAGATGTTGATATCTCCGCGAATTCGCATGCCGTCACCCATCGTCTTGGTGACACCGCCGACAAGAAGGAGGAGCAGAGCCTTCTTGACGTCGAGATGGCCGAAGATTTCCGGCGCGATCGACTTTGCGAGCATCTCGTATACGTTGCCGGACTGATTATAACTATTGATGCGCCTCTGCAACTTGTCGTCAATGGTCATCTCTTCGTATGCCTTCTTGTGCTGAGTGATGTGATGCGCCTCGAGATATGTGTCGGTCAGCAGGCCGGCTCGCATCGCTTTGAACCCGGTGTATGGGGTGGGCAGGAAGATGCCGGATATATCAACCACGTCGCCGGGGTTGATCTGGCGGACCGCGCTACCGTAGCACATGACGGTGAGCGTTCGAGGGATCTGGCCGATAGGAACCTGCTCTGCTAGTTCTTGAATCTTGACCTCTTGGAAGGGTAGGAACTTGGATGCGCGCGAGGACTGGAAGAGCTGGCCCTTGGACTGGTTCGCCTCACATTCCTCCGATGGGCAACTAGTGAGCGGCGAGAATTGCTTGTCGCTTACGGGCTGGAAGATCTCGCATCCGCAGCGATCGCACGTATACGCGCCCACCTGAACAATAGGCTTCACGTCGGAGACCCGAGTGGAAATACCGCGGATGGTAATGAGATGGCCGAGGTGATCCCCCCGCACTTCTCTAACAGCGAGGGCTTTCACCGGCTTCTCCTTAGTAGACGTCCTCGGCTTAAAGACGAGCGTATAGCGCCTGGTAAGCTGCGCCGGGAAGGTCGACTCGAGCAGATCGGGGTTGTTCGTGTTGGCGGCCGCTTCAGTCAGATCGCGATTCCGGGCTTGTCTCCTCTCCATTATGACATCTAGGACATCGTCTTTGAATCTAGCCGGGCATTAGCAAGCGAGGGAGGTATAGAGAGCCTGTAGGGCTTCCAGCCGTACGTTACCCCAGTCGTCGGAGGAGGCATCTTCTTGTCTATGGCTCTCGACACGATCTCGACGTAGTGCTTAGTGTTTGCTTCGACAGACTCCACTAGCTTCAGTCCCTCGCTATTATCATCCTCCCACTGGTTCTGGTTAGCCACAGGCCGCTAGCAGCTATGATGTCGGGGATCCCACAGAAGCAAGGTCGTCTAGCTCTATTAAAACTTCATCGGTAGCGCGGTCTGCGAGTTTCTGCATTATGTCGGCATACTTGTGCTTTGGCAGCTTCGAAGAGGCCTTCTCTCTCCGGCGCTGTTCATGCGCCTCGTCGTCCTGATCCATGAAATCATACTCGTCGCTTAGGTCATCCTCGTAGATGTTGATCTGGCCGATGGCGTGGGTCAGGGTCTGCTCGGGCGAGGTCTTAAACTTTTCAAGGAACTCCTCAAAGGCGGCTGGATGCGGCGAGACGTGTTAGCCCAGGCGTCGAGGTGGGAATAAGCATTGGCAGACTGACCTTGTTGCGCGCCGTAGTCGACGATACTTCTGTATTGAAGGAGGGCCATGGTCAACCAACTACCCAGGCGGTGATCGATCTTGGTGTATTTGTGCGTGTGCGTGTATGTAAGTGGAAACGCGATGCCTAGAGCGTGTGACAGCAGTGGTCGGATCGCGACAAGCTTCGAGCCGTGCCGGGTCCTTTTGCGTGTTCGCAGGGCAGAGGCTTCGCCAAGTTAGATCAGGGAAGTTGGAGGCTGGACGTTGCTGGGACCGGCCGGAGGGTGGAGCGGGTATGAAGTGCAAGCAGCGGCGCCACGGAATAGCAACCTTGGTACCTAAACACGCGTTGACGCGAATTTTCGCGCCTCTTGTCAGCCACACGCTCTAATGGGGTTCCAACGTGGCTGGTGCGGTGTGTCTGTGGGCATAATGGTACCTTACGTAGACAGGTCCCTAGATACCTCCTGATGTACTTCCGTCTTACATATTGGTCTGAGCTAACCTAGGAAGGCTAGCGCAATTGGAAATATCGATAAGCGAAAGGGAAAAAAAAGACGGCAGAAGGGTTATCTAATCTTATCGGTTAAGTCTTACGCATCCATCCAAATGCGTAGTGGAGCGGAATGCCTCGGTCCACGCAGCCACGGCACAAGACGACATTCTCTCGTGGAATCAACAAGTTGCCGGAGTCGTGTTTCTTGGCGTGACGTTTTAACAACACTCCCATCTCTCATCGGTCATCCTTTCGTCCCGCCCCTGCCACCCTCCGTTTTGTTATCGCGGTCGTGCTACGGCGGTGGCAATCACAAATCGTCGGTCGAAACGGCCAATCTTCGCCTATCTCCCTGCCGTGCCTGAGTCGGGAGCTGTCCCTATCGCACCGTGTCAATACGAATACCTCTTATGCCCCTTCATATGTAAAAATACCTGCCAGCATGGCTCCAGCCAAACGAAAGAATGCACCGTCCACCGCTGCTGAAATTTCCCTTACGCACTTGAAGAACTGCCTAGTGAATCTTCCAACGTCGCTGGTTAACTTGCTTGTGAACATCAATACCGTGAGTTCCCCTGTGGTTGATAACCCTCCCTTCCTCAGGCCACACATAGACCAGCTCTCGACAGTCCCAATTGACCAAACTCTCTCCTATAGCCGGTCCAAAATGTCATCGTCGAGCTTAGTTACCGTGTTCCCTCGTCCGCGAACGGGTCCTATTCCAATGGCTCGCCATCACCCCAGCGGTCGTTCTATGTTGGGTGGACGGGAATGTCCAGCAAGCGCAAGGTAGCTCCGATAGTCGATCGTGATGGACTAAATGCCATGCGTGGCGGCGGTAGAGACCAGGAGGTAGCCTGCGTCGAGATGGACGCGACGCTAGCAGCAACATTAGGGCTTTTGGACGGCCAGAAAGTCGTGGCCACTATACACATCGACCCCCCCCTCGCGCATACCGTCAACATCGAGCCGCTAACACCAGAAGACTGGGAGATCATCGAGCTGCACGCTACCTTCTTGGAGTTGAACCTGCTCTCCCAAATTCGCGCCTTGCCAAATCCAACCTACGTCTCCGCCCCAGGGCAGCCGCCTAGCCCGCACCCCCTGACTCTTCACCTCTCGCCAACCTCTACGGCAAACATCAAAATTCTGTCGCTCGAGCCGACCCCTCCTGCGGACGTCCCATTCGTGAAGATTGCCCCCGATGCTGAAGTTATCGTCGCGCCAAAGACCCGATCAAAGCCGTCGAGAGCTGGTCGTGAGGATCGCAGTGTAGGTGGCACATCGAGGAGGAGCGGCAAGAGCTCCAGCACCATCCGTAAGAAGAATGTGCGGGAGGAGAAAGAGCCGTCCCTATTTTTAAGGGGGGTAGACCGCGAGCTTTGTGACGAATGGTTTGACGAAGAGCTCGCGCTGCAGGGTCTCAACGTTTGGGTCGATCGGGATCTTTTATCATCGAACGATTTCCGAGGTGTTACATGGGTTGCCGTCAATATTGTCAAGCCAGCCGGGCTTCAACCCCCCATGGATCCCCAGAAGCAGCAAGAAAATGCGGCCAATACCGACGTAGTGAAGGCTACTGAGAAGGTTGTTGCACAGCTGCGCCCGTGGGACGACCCCCCCACCACCCAGACCGCCGCCCTCTCCACTCCTCTTTGCGCAATGCTCGGTTGTCGAGGGATTGTAGGAGGGATTCTCAAGATCGAACCAGCGCCACCGCCGTTGTCGCGCAATGCCCTACAAAGATTGAAGGTGTTTCCATTTTTGAACGACGGTTCGAGGTCCCCAGACGGCTTGAAATTCGGGGGGGAGTCCAAGGCCGAAAAGGAGGAGATGTCTAAGAAGATATCGCAGATTTATGGCCAGAAAGACAAGGCGCATGGCCTTCTGCGTGGTCCGTTAACCGACGGAATGGTGCTTCCAGTTTACCAGAGTCTCGAATCCTCACCAGGCTGGGAGGGCGGTGTTGTGAAATTGGACGGCACGGGATTGGATTCAGCCTCTAAGGAGCATTTGAACTGGTATCTAGGGTCTGAGAAAGTGGTGCCAATCGAGATCCAACCGTCGATTACCGCTCCGGCGTGGTTGGAGGATGATGAACTGGGCGAAAATACCCCCCCGGGTGACGCGGTCTTGGTTGGGATTGACTCGCTGCTGGCGAATTTAAAATCTCACCTTTCACACATGTCATCTGTCCTCTTATCTGGCGCTCTGGGGGCTGGCAAGACCGCTGTCGTACAGTCGCTGGCCCGTACATTACGGGACGAGTTCTTGTTCCACACCATCTACTTTCCGTGTCGGAAACTTGTTAACGACGAAAGCAGAATTTCCACTATAAAAGAGACTTTGAATAGGGTGTTTATGCGTGCCAGCTGGGGTGCAAGACTGGGTGGTAAGTCGCTTGTTGTTCTCGATGATCTCGACAAGTTGTGCCCAGTCGAAACGGAGTTGCAGGTAGGGAACGACAATGGTCGCAGCCGACAGCTCAGCGAAACTATCTGCTCCATCGTGCGACAGTACTGTGGGCGTGATAGGGGGGTAGTTCTTCTCGTGACCGCCCAAGGCAAAGAATCGCTAAATAATGTGATTATTGGAGGCCACGTTGTTCGGGAAATTGTCGACCTGAAGGCGCCCGACAAGGAAGCACGCAGGCGGGTCTTGGAGACCATCGTCCGCCAGCGTACTCTGTCTTCTCTCCCGAAACGTTCCCCCGAGTCAAACGAGAGCCGCCCTAACACCGCCCGGGGGAGCGTATCCGGGGATGATGCTGGCGGCTGGATGGACGGGCCGAGCCAGCACAGTCGGAGCAATTCGATCACCAAACCCGAATTAGACGGCTTTCTCTTGGACCCGGAGCTCGACTTTCTTGACCTGGCAGGGGAGACAGATGGGTACATGCCAGGAGATCTTATACTGCTCGTTTCCCGGGCTCGAAACGAAGCGTTGATAAGATCGGTTAGTGAGGGCCCGGCGGATAATTTGTCGGATATCATTCAACTCAGCCGTGCCGACTTCGATAGTGCTCTCAAGGGGTTTACTCCCTCCTCCCTCCGCAACGTTCCCCTGCAGACCTCTACGACGAAATTTGATTCGATTGGTGGTCTGAAGGAAACGCGGCAGATCTTGCTAGAAACACTACAATATCCCACTAAATACGCGCCTATCTTCGCCCAGTGTCCTCTCAGACTTCGTTCGGGTCTCCTGCTCTATGGGTACCCCGGCTGCGGCAAGACTCTTTTGGCAAGCGCGGTGGCGGGCGAATGCGGACTCAATTTCATCTCGGTCAAAGGACCAGAGATCTTGAACAAGTATATCGGCGCTAGCGAAAAGAGCGTGCGTGATCTTTTCGAGCGGGCCTCAGCCGCAAAGCCCTGCATCCTCTTCTTCGACGAGTTCGACTCTATTGCGCCGAAGCGTGGGCACGATTCGACGGGGGTTACCGACCGGGTAGTCAACCAGCTCCTTACCCAAATGGACGGCGCAGAGGGATTGTCGGGCGTCTATGTCCTAGCTGCTACGTCGAGGCCAGACCTAATCGATCCTGCATTGCTTCGCCCGGGCCGTCTGGACAAGAGCTTGCTTTGTGGCTTGCCAAACCTGGAAGATCGCGTAGACATTTTACAAGCCTTGGGCAAAAAGGTCAAACTCGATGGCGACGTCCTGTCTTCGGAAGAAGGTCTTCTCGAACTGGGCAGACGTACCGAAGGTTACTCGGGTGCCGATTTGCAGGCGCTCATGTCGAATGCGCAGCTGGAGGCCATCCACGACGTCCTTAATGACGCAGAGCTGCAGTCTTCAGGCGACAAGCGTAATGCTGCTGGCTCGCGGGCTAAACTGGATGCGTCCGGGAGACCTCGGAATTTCCTGCAGTTCCGCTACGGCGCCGAGATCGCGTTGGCCGAGGCAGAGGAGCGGGCGAAGAAGGGGTACAACCGGTCCGCCGAGCTGGCAGAAAATGCGGCCATCGCAGCCAAGCTTGGGGAAATCAAGGCGGCAAGGAGGCAGGCGAAGATGGCCCAAAAGGGCGCGGACAACGGCGGGCTAGAGAACAACGAAAAGGGGAAGGAGAGCAAAGAGACGGAAGTGCTCATCAGCTGGAAACACATGATGCAAGCGCTGGAGGTTACGCAAGCCAGCATCAGCCCTCAGGAGAGGAACAGGCTGGAGCGCATCTATCGAGAGTTTGTAGTTGGACGTAGCGGCGAGATGCACGACGGGCAGGGCAGCATGGAGATTGGCGGGCGGAGCAGCCTTATGTAAACCTGCATAGGAGTGGTTTCGCATGTATGCATGCACCTATGCATTATAAGCATTCTACCGGTACTACGGAGTTACCATGAGTTCTCGATGACGGGGGGGGGGGGCTTGTATTAGATGAACCGACATTTCCACACGCTTGATCAAGATATACTACTAGACATACTCTCGCAGAGCAGGAAAGTGTTCTTGTGAATATAAATAGCTTGTGAAGGCTCTAGAAACCTCTAGCTTCGGCGATACCTACCTTGGGCTGGGTACTTACTGAAGCTTATAGAATTGGTGCAGATAAGGAGAATAGACTCGACAAGCGGCGTTTACAAGGCTAGGTTAGAATAGGCCGAGGTGCCCACGAATTCGGGTGCCAACACGGTGAGGGCATATAGGCACCTGTGAGTATATGTATGAGTATAGAGCTATACCTTGACAAGCATGTATACCTATCTCCTATTGTAACTCCCACGCTGTCATGAATATATGCGTATACCTACATAGCACCCAGGATAGGTCCAATCCCTCCCGCTCATCCCGGTTAGGATTAGCGCGCCCTGTCCGGTCGAGATCCGCCCGGAGCCCGGATCTAGCATTTCCGTACTTGCCTCCATCCAGTTGGGTGGATTTCGAGGTTGGGGGGGTCCACCCGCATTCCGAATGGGCATCGCCAGGTCCCAATGCCTCCATCGACAACTTTACAGCACTAACAACACCAACGAGTCAGACAGACGACCCAGAGCTGCGCGACTACGGCCCTCCACGATGGATCAATGCTAGACGCACAACGAAACTCATGGAGTAATACCTTTAGTACTTTCTTCGCCACAGTCCTCATCCTCTGTCGCTAGGAAGCGCCTGGTCTATATAAAAGGGCATAGCCCAGCTAATGTTGGGTTGCGAACTCATGAGTTAAGAGGTTTGAGAGCTTGGTGAACGCGTCGCTTCTCCGCCAACACGTTCCGGATTCGAAACTCGACTGATCCCATCGGAATTTCTTGGTAAGTACAGTGTGCTTGTTTGCTTTCCCATACGCCTTCAATTCGTGCCCTTGTTTTCACTTTGTTCCCGTCACCCCGCTACCATCATCACCATCATCATCACCCTCGTCGTCGTTACTCCATCCCGCCTTCGGCAACCCCCCATGTCTTCCAGCACTTCCAGCACTTCCACCACCAACCCTCCCAACCCCTGGGAAATGGCCAGCCTGGTTAGCTCCACGCAAATCTCCGACCTAGATTGGCGCGCTCGTGGGCCTATGGACGAGACCCTCTTCCTAGATAGTGAGCTCACGCCCCATCAAGTCTGTATCCCGCTCGAGCCCAACCCAGGTATCCGTGGCGGCCCATACGGCGTCACTCTCGTCAAATTTGAAGGTTGCCCAGATATACCCCTCAGCGTTGAGGATCCAGGCCCAAGGCGAGTATGAAGCATACCATACATACTTCACGATGAAATCATACCCTGTTGATGCGTGTCCCACCTTTGTCCACCCTCACTTCTCCATGCCATGTATAACCTGCTAGGTTCACCATCTGTACTCTGTTGCTCCGTTCTACGCGCGCCGTCGTTGCTGGTATTGCGTCTATGTCCTGTCTCGTCTGCGTGTTTCTACACGGGCTCGGGCTGCGAGCTAACCGGATGCCTAGTCCCGGTGACCTTCCACAGACACCATGTCAACTCTTCAGGTTTATGGCGTCGGACCTACGACGACGCGTCAAAAAGCTGTTGAAGATGCTCGAAAAATGCAAGAAGCCGTCCAAGAAGAATGCTCCGGATCAGGAAACCCCGCCCCCCAGTACTCACTGATAGAATTAATCGGAAAGGGAAGCTTCGGTCGCGTGTACAAAGCAGTCGACTTGAGAACTACGGGTGTGGTGGCCGTCAAGATTATAGATGTCGACGAAAGTGACACGGTACATCCCAAGCTCGCAGATACATACAGTGAGATTCTCAAAGAAATCAACGCTCTGCATCGGTTGAGTCAATCTGGTGCCCAAAACATCAACCATGTCATCGAGGCTCTCCCAGTCGGCAAGGCTATGTGGATGGTGACGGAATACTGTGCGGGAGGAAGTGTCGCGACCCTCATGAAACCGACAGCGCCCGGGGGACTACAGGAGAAGTGGATTATCCCCATACTACGCGAGGTCGCCGTGGCGATTTATTGGGTTCACAAGGAAGGTATCATCCATCGTGACATTAAGTGTGCTAATGTTCTGGTCACCGAAACTGGCGCAGTTCAGTTGTGCGATTTCGGGGTTGCGGGCATGATGGAGACGAAGCTCGACAAACGATCCACGTTCATCGGAACGCCGCACTGGATGGCACCGGAATTATTTGACCACAATGCACAGTATGGAACCGAAGTTGACATATGGGCCTTTGGATCGATGGTTTACGAGATCGCGTCGGGGTTGCCACCGAATGTCCGGGCGAACATCGGTCTGCCTCAGCTAGGAGATTACCTTAGAGACCATCTGCCGCGTCTAGAGGGTGATCAATATTCAAACGAACTCAAAAGTCTGGTTGCCTTCTGCCTCGAAGAAAACCCGTCGAGGCGCCCCACCATTGAACAAGTTCAACAACACCCATACCTTTTCAACACCACCTCTAGGTATCCGACGTCGTCGCTGGCAAGCCTCGTCAAAGCCTTCAAGCTCTGGGAGGAGCGCGGCGGAAGCAGGAAGTCCCTCTTCTCAGCCGGGGGCGCGCAGGCGCCTGCTGATCTAGGTTCTACTTCGTTGGCCGCGGACGAATGGAATTTCTCCACCACTTTGGCCTTTGACGAGCAGCTTCACGATGCCTCGGACGGCATCTCCGAGGTGGAGGCTGTCCGGAATGTTTATGGCTCAGCTGTCGATTTCCCCACTACCTTCGGCGAGGACACGGCTCGCCCGAAGGAAAAAGGTCGACGCCGACCGCCTCCCCAGGCTTTAGCTGCGATGAAGGTCAAGGCCCCTCTGGAGAAGGTATTCGATCCCAATACTATCTCGAATTACGACGAGAATTCCCGCATGTATTACGGTCGTCCTATGCCACCCCCGGCTTCAGAACCGCCTCCGCAAGAGTTCTCTCAGTCCGACCTCCCACTACGCGACGATTCGCTTCACGCCACGCTTAGAGAGTCCCTGATAGATCTCGATGCGTCTCTTGGCGGCGCAGACCTCTCTAATTTCGCTGACATGGGCACAATTAGACCGGGGCCACTGGGACCTGGACCGAGCCTAGGACTCGGTCCGCGGGCATCGATGGATAACAACTGGTCCTTCTCGTCAGCCACCTCAGAGTCATCGGTGCAGGATAGAGCGCCTATAAGCGACCCTTCGGATACGGACAATGGACGCCATCACGCACCCGATTGGTCTTGGCCCACTAGCATTCCTCCCGCCTCTGCTAACCCGGAGATGTCGCAATTTACATTCAACGATGATCATATCTCAGACTTTGGCAGTGACACACGCCCAAGGCTCCAGCACCATGCCACTGAGTCAGTAGGGCTGTCGTCTCAAGGTTACGACATGCAGGGTTCACATACATCGAACGATCGGATGTCAATGACCAGTCTAATTGACCTTGACATGAGCATGCCCGAACCTAATCTCCCGGAACTTACGCGACCATCCACTGCGAATTCAGATATCGGGTCTATTGCAGGCTCCGAGATTGGCACACGAGAGCCGTTCGAGCTCGAGCGTCACGCATCCGTATACGCACCACCCAACCTCACCAGCCGCGAGCCCTCCATATACGTGTCTGACGGCTCGGAATTTTCAGCTCAGATAGCCAGTAAGATCACTGAGGTGTCGGAGCCCGGGATCGTGACGGCAATCCGCGGCCCCGGGTTGAACGTGTCACAGCAGCAGCTTCAGTATAGAAACCAGTACCAAGGCCAGGGTAACGGAGAATTCACGGAACCCAGCCCACCGGCGCAGGCGTACATTGACCAAGAGGACACAAGCGGATTCCGCTCGACCCCCGACAGCGACGGATCCCAAGGTTCTGGCCCCGCGCGACAAAACCAGCACCGGTACCATTTACAACACCTACCGCCCGTCGCGCCGCTGTCGTCAAGCGTCATGGAGGCGAGGGCCACGGCGGGAGACGTGGCGAACGAGATGCGCCGCCTGATAGGCACCCTCGGCGACCACCTATCGTTTATCGGCGAGCGCGTCGCTAGGATGGAGCCCCGCCGCGCGGGGCGCAACTTTGAGGGGGCCGAATAGCCCGTACCTGACGTCGAATCGAGAACGACGATCCTTTTTGCTGTCCGACGCAGGATATGGCGGAAATTGTACACGAGGAGAAAGAGGAGGCAGGATAGCTTTGTTGTTACCCAGATAGTCATTTTTTGCTACCGAGATACCACAGTTGGCCCGAAGATAACACAATCGAATGGAATGCCCTCGAAATACAACAGTAGAGACTTGTGCTTTTCTATTTCCAACCAAGGTGAGTCTGACCACTTCGTAAGGACAAGGACGGATATATATTTTTTAATCTTTATCTGTTGTTCCGATTCCCCGCGTACGCCAGTACGTGCAGGTATCTTTAATAGGTTTAAGTACCATTTTAACCATCGGGTAGGGGCCTAATCATGATATCGATGAAAGGGGTTCCCTGTAAGACCATCCTTCTCCTTTTGGTGTGTGGTTAGGGCGTAGGAACACGCAGAAACGAGGGACCAAGTCCACCTAGGTAGGAACCTATCCATCTACCCATCTACGTAGCACCGAGAAGCGGCCAGCTCATTCTCCTTCGATTCTCACCCGCTCCCAGCCTCCTGCTTAGTCTCGCGTGTACCCGATCAAGTCCCCCATCAGCACCGCCTGGTACTTGTCCACGGCCTCGCGCAGGCGGATCAGGACGCCGGCGGCCAGCATCTTGAGGTCGTTCTCCTCGGCGGCGCCGAGGCCGGCGCCGTCGCCGCCGCCGCGGGTGTTCTCGAACAGGGCGCCGACCCACTCGGCGGTCTCGACGAGCTCGCGGCCGTGGCGCTCGCACAGGCCGCGCATGTCGCGCTCGTTGACGTCGAGCAGGGCGACCAGGCCGAGCAGCAGGGCGCGGGCGACGCCGAGCTCGCCGGCGGCGCCGCCGCCGCGCCGGTTGCGCAGCGCGAGCAGCAGGTCCCACAGCTCCGCCGTCATCTGCGGCAGCGGCAGCGTGCTGGGTCCCGCCGCGTGCAGCAGCAGCGCGAGCGTCTTGACGTACAGCGCGAGCAGGTCCGGCTGGAACAGCACGCCGCCGGCCCGCGTCGCCGCCGGCGAGCGCGCCGCCGCCTGGAACCGCGACGTCAGCGGGAAGAAGAACGACGACGCGAGCAGCGAGGCCGTCGTGTTGGGGATCGCGCGGGCGCGGGGCCTCGCGACGGCGCCGTCCCCTCGCGGCCCCGCCGCCTTCTCCGCCGCGAGCCGCGACGTGAACGACGAGAGCTTGAGCGCGTCCGGCCCGGTGACTGCGTCGGCCGCCTCGGCCGACAGAGGGCCGAGGAACGCCTGAGAGAGAGACTGGGCGAGCGTGTCCAGCGCGTTGGGACCGAGAGGCTTAAGCCTGGACGCTGAGGACTCGAGCCGGCTCGACGGCGGCGCAGATGCGAGGTAGCGCCTCTCGATCTTGGCAGGGAGCGTTTTCGAGGGAAATTGCGCCGCCGGGGTGTATTCGGATATCTCGAAGCCGGCGATCTCGCGACCGCTCAAACCCAGCGTGATGAGAATCGACGCGCGCTGCGACAGCGAGTAGTCGCCATCGAAGAACGTCTTGGCGAACCACGGCGCCATCTTCTTCGGCTGCGCCACGACGACAGCAACCATGCCCTGAAGCCGCAGGTTGTCGAAGTCGTCGAGCTCGAACTTGTTCTGCAGTCCGACAAGCTGCGTCGCGAGCTCCTCGGCGTGCGAGCTGACCTCCGTACCATAATTTGCCTTTCGACGGATCAGGGCCGGAGCCGTGGCCAGAGCGAGCTTCTGTCGGTCGTAGCTCTCTGTATCCCGGAAGTATGCGATCAGGTCTCGGATATAGACAGGAGCTTTGGGCTTGTTGCGATTGATGAGAGTAGGGTCGTCATCCGAGTCCTCGGCGTCAGAATCTGGTTTGGAATATGGCACTAGGTCTGGATCTTCATCCTCCCCGTCTTCGATTTCCTCGATGATAAAACCTGACTGAGGAAGCGGTTTCGCTGGCCGGCTAGCTGAAGCTGCAGTAGGCCGTGCTTGAAATCGCGCGCCGGACACGGATTTCGGCGTAACGGCGATTTCTTTTAATGGGTCTAGAGGGCCAATGCTGTCTGCTACCAGGACTAATGATTTATACCATCTTGCTTCCTCGGTGTCCATCTCGTCCATTTTGAAGTCGAGCTTGGTTTCTTTGCCGTGTACGAGCCCTGAGAGGGCCTCGCCGACTACCATCCCAAGGAAGCGGGCCCGTGTTTGAGACGCGGCAATGCGGTTGGATATGGCATTCAGGTAAATTCCTGATCGTAGCAATATCGTTAACTTGATAGGCGAGAGCCTGTGAATATACCCGGCGCTCAGAAGTAGTACTTGGGCGTGTGCTTGTTCCTCCGGTTAGCATTTCTGAGCTGTGCAGTAGAATGTCAGGCATTACCATCTTGTTGGAGCAATGGAGCGTGTTTGATGTACAGTTGGTCACCAAACTGACATAAACTTCTCTCTACGATGGTAGCCATGGCCTCCCTATCACCGGAAAAGACAGCAACGGCGGCCCGTCTGATACTGCAGTTCTCGCCAATTCCAGCCCCGGATGCGCCAGTCAACCAACTCACCAGGTTGTTCTTCCATGTTTCATCGTGTCCCGCTACCGCTTTCAAGGCGCCAGACGCAGCGCAGATAACAGGTGAACTTTCTGTTACATCGCTGCCGTCTGTGTTGTTTAAGTATTTATCTGCGAGAACGGCTAGGATTATATCGAGAACCTTTCGCTGCTCGAGAGCCGGGAAGAGTCCTAGAATCAGCTCAAACTTTCGCTGGCTCTCGGCATCATGAAGCAGCAGTTCTGTGAATAACGTGTTGATGAGGATATCTGACGCACCTGTAAGTATTCCTATATATGGGATACATGAGTTGAAGATGAAGAATAAAACGTACCCGGGTTCCCCAACCGCAGTGTTCGAGCTGTTATATCAGCACACAGCTGAAGGTCTTCCTGGTCACCCGAGGACCGAGCGCATGTCACCACGTTTCGGCCCAGCCACTCTACATACGCCTTGGTGCTGCTAATCCAATAATCATCATTCGACTGGCCCGTTTGTCGGCATATGTCTTCTGCCTCGGCGGATAGTGATGTGATTTTTCCACTCGTGAACAGTGAGAAAAGCTCTTGCCGCATGGGCCGTGTTTGGGCTGGAGTGTCCAGTGAACGGATGCCGCTCCAAATATGTGTGATTACATGGTCGCTCTGGAGCAGTTCAGAAAGCAACTCCAAGGAATATGTCAGATTGAAGCCGACGTGTGAGTTTTTGAGAGCTTTTGAGTCGGATTTCGCTTCCTTCAGCAGGGCACGCAGGCGGGCGAGCACAGCGTTGATGCCCGTGAGGCTCCGCAAACAGGAAATCAACGCATCGGTATCTCCTTTACTCCGGCCGGTGGACGCGTCTCGTATCACAGCCCAGTAGTTGGGGACAATTTCCGTAATTAGAATGTGAACGACTTGGGCACTCTGGGAGGTGGGCCTCCTAACATCGAATAGATGCTTGCCTTGCACGCCGTCCTTTAGATACTTGAACGTAGAGAGGAGGGTGTCGTAGCTTGGCTGGCTCCTAAGCGCGTCGATAGCCTCTTCCGGGGATGAGACGACGAAAAAGTCACGACTCCTCGCTTCCGGCACCAGACCGGCGGGATTTGGTATCGTCGACTGCTCATTGTTCTGGCTTGGTTTACGGTAAGTCTGGCTTACTGGGGTGAGAAGTTCTTCCATATTGCCTATTACCAGCTGGAGACCTCACAGCTTTAGACATCCACACCCATCAAGCTACACCCATGGGACTTCGGGTGATGGAAGCATTCGGTATCGTCTCTCCTCGGTAGGTCTAAGAGATGTTCTCCTGGGTAGAATAGAGGGTAGGCATTGATTCAATAAGGACCCAAGGTACTTCGATCTCGTATCGTTCTAAATACACTTCGGATCGAAGCATTACCTAATATACCTATGTACCTATAGTACGGCAACATGTGCCTACATTTAGGCAGCGCGTACCTGCCCTGCTTTAGCCGGAGGCGCTAAAGGCCCCACCATTAGTGCCCCGATACAACACTATCGCGATAAAGGATGACATCAAACACAAAACACTTCCCCTCTCCACCTGCCTATCCATGTCCAGGCGTGCAACATATCCACACATTATTACCAACCTCCAAGCTCTCTCACACTCGCGATCAACAACAAGAGGGGATTAATATGGCGATTGGGAACACAGGGTCCGGGGCCTCGAGATGGCGATATCTGGACAGGATTCGCCGGACCCTCGGCCCCTTTAACCAGGATGCCGATGTCAGTGACGAAGCTCTGGCTGCCCTCGACCAGGCCAAGATATTGGTAATCGGCGCTGGTGGGTTAGGCTGCGAAATTCTGAAGGACCTCGCCCTCTCTGGGTTCAAGGATATTCACGTCATAGATATGGGTACGTGATGGATATCCCATATTGGACCCAGTCAAGCCTCAACCAATGCAAGCCAGGCTGACCGGCGCGTGCTCTATGGCTAGATACCATCGACATCTCCAACCTCAACCGCCAGTTCCTCTTCCGCAAAGCCGACGTTGGGAAGTTCAAGGCAGAAGTCGCAGCAGCGTTCGTCGAGCGCCGAGTCAAAGGTGTCAAGATCACCCCGCACAACTGCCGAATACAAGAGTTCGATGAAGACTTTTACATGCAGTTTCAGATCGTTGTTTGCGGCCTAGATAGTATTGAAGCCCGGCGGTGGATCAATGCGACACTCGTCAATATGGTCGATATGGATAACCAAGACTCCCTGAAGCCGTTGATCGACGGCGGGACAGAAGGTGATATAGAGTCCCGTGCCTATACTCTCGATCAAGCTATCTAACTGTGCGTAGGGTTCAAGGGTCAAACCAGAGTCGTATTTCCTACCCTAACACCCTGTATCGAGTGTCAACTAGATCTCTATACTCCGAGAGCGGCGGTGCCCTTGTGTACTCTTGCTACTATCCCGCGACAACCCGAGCACTGTATAGAATGGGCCCACATCATTGCATGGGATCAGGAGAAGCCGTTTCCCAGCCTGGATAAGGATGATCCCGAGCACATCACGTGGCTATACCAAAAGGCGCTGGCTCGGGCCCAGGAATTTGGCATCACCGGCGTAACCTACTCGTTAACCCAAGGCGTAGTCAAGAATATCATCCCGGCCATAGCCTCGACGAACGCCATCATCGCCGCCAGCTGCTGTAACGAAGCCTTGAAGATCATTACCTCTGCCGCGCCCGCCCTGGGGTTCGAAGAGAGCTACATGATGTACTCTGGCGATGACAGCATATACACCAACACCTTCAAATACGACAAGAAGGAGGATTGCGCCGTGTGCGGAAACTTGGCCAAGCCGCTGCAGGTCGACCCCACCTGGACGCTGAGGGAGCTTCTTGACTCGTTCGCGGTGAAGGCCGATTTGCAACTGAAGAAGCCTTCAATTAGGGCCGAAGGAAAGACTTTGTACATGCAGTTTCCTCCGAGCATCGAGGAACAAACGCGAGGAAATTTGGACAAGACCCTGAGAGAAGGGCTGGGCCTAGAAGTGAACCACGAGATCGCTATCACAGATCCAGCATTTCCGGCGCTGACCTTTAAATTTATCCTCCGCTTCGCATGAGCCTCTGAGAGGTGTTATTATCACTACCGAGAAATAATACAAATCCCCATCAAGCCAACGAATTCGCCGGCAGCCAAGTCGCAATGAGCCTAACGTGATAAGGCTTCCGTCGGAATTGGCCATTGGTCAGATGAACATTTCTCATCTGGAAGGAATATGGAAGGAATATTTGCGAAGGTTGCCACAGCGACGTTATCGCAAATGCCTTGATTCACGTCCCTAGCCCGCTCTTGTTACCGCTGCCACGGCCCCAGAGTCAGCAAGGTCCTACCGAGTACCATCGGATGAATTGCACACCTGGGCAGGAGCGTATCTCGAGTATGGCCGTAGGTAAGCTACGAAGGTTGACCCAAATTACCCACGCCTTTCTACGGGTATGAAATGGTAATCTTGGCTACCGTTTTTGGTGTTAATCCACTACCGCCATCCCACGGTTTCGGTCGGGACCATAGAAAAGGACTCCAAGGACTCCTAACAAGGCATTCTAGCCAAATATATTACCTCTTTCCACGCGTAGAGTCGTGTTTCTGCGGTTATCCGTTAGGGTTTGTGCTTGTCCATCGAGGCCTAACAACCACCAGCCACTGGCCTTTCTATAACCCTGTTGAGAATCTATTATTAACTCCGACGAAGCCGGCTTAATATTCAACACCGGCCCGGCAGAGCTGGGTGAGGCCGATGTCGGCGCAGCCACGCTCGCGCGTGAACCATAGCAATACGTTGGTGCCGCTATGGCTACCAGATCCGGCTCGCCCTCCGTGATCCTGAGGCTGGTCTTAAAGCCGAGGGCGAGTAGTTTTGTGCAGTCGGTAGCGTTGATGATTTGAGGATGCCTTGAGAGTTCTGCTCGTGGTATGCCTTGGCTCGGAAGGCTCTCTACAGCTTACGTGGGCGCATTACTCAATCCATTCTTTATCTGCAAGGTGGCCCCTGCCCCGTCAATACCGAAGCGTTGGTTCGGAAGATTCCCGCTTTCTGTTTCTGGATGGCACAAGCCTCTCATATTGCTTAGTATGCACGAAACCATCGGGTGGGCTATGGGGTCGCATAGATACAGGGATTGTTTGATCTAACTGGTTTAAGGGTTGGATATATCGTCTATGATGTTCCCGTATCCCGTGTGGAAGGCTTCAAGAGGAGCCGCGCGATTCCTAAAGCCGTAAATACCACTTGACTTTGGCAAAGCACAATGGCCGAGTTGCCTAGGCAGGGTAGGCGTGTTAAAAGTTGTCAGATCTAAGCTTGTAGGGGCGGGGGATGTGTGTATCAGCTCTTACCAGTGCAGGTACCTCTTAACTCTCTGGGTACATACTTAGATTAAGTAGAGAGTGAGAAAATACCTTCCTCCATAGCAACCTAACAGCTCAACTAACAACGGCTTAATTAACGGCTTAGTTGCGGGCTCAGTAGAATACATCCTACGGGCAGTCTGTCTGCCAAAAAGACATCGACCACTGTTCTTACGATCCGGTCCAACACGGATACTAGCCAGTTCGGTTCGACGCCCGATTGGTCCAAGCTTTAGGCTACTAAATGTGGGACATCACAACTGCGCTTCATGCTTGAAGCTAAGGTGATGGGGCACAGGTTCTAGCCTTCATCGGCTCTGTTGGGTAGGTCTTCGTATGAAAGAAGTTGTCGGCATATTATTCCATTGCAATAAGCCTTCTCTAATACGTGGCGCGTGGCAAGTTATAGGTATAGTCCCACCTCGGCGCTTGTGGGGCAGTACAGAGTTAGTTATGCCAATATGCCGTGACATAAAGCAGAGTTAAGCAACCACAATTTAGACTTGATAGCGCCGCTGGCCATGTATCTTAGTAGGTAGTAGAACAGGCGTTGTCCCTTGTGGAAAGCTGACGAGGTATGTCATTGTCTACTATGCATAACTATATTAGGTATTATGTCTTGATGTTATGTAGCTTAGCATGGTATGCATTGTAGCGCTTCCTATAATACCTACCTACCTATCTCAAGACACTCGAAGCCCAAAAGGTCCAAGGTCAAATCAAGGCAATTGGAGGAAATAGCGGATCTCCGCGGTTGTCTGGGTACCTCCCCACGATACGATAATACCTGCTCGACACCTGTAACAGGATTGTTAGCTACGCCGGGTAAATATATAACGTATTTCATCGCCGCCTTTCCCAACGACACGTCTATACACCAACCACCAGAGGAGCAAGCAACTCATGGGGTATACATAGATAAATGTACCGGGACTACAATAGGTACATACCCTAACGCATCATAGGGCTTCGACTGCACAAATCCGCGGACGTAGAAATCCAGGCAAGGTCTAGAAGCACATGTACCCGATACGTTCCTTCTCATCTGCACCTATATCGACTAGTATGTCGGAGCAGTGACGACTATACTCAGATGGAGACGGCAGCCACGACCGACCCATGTGACACATCTCAATACCACGCGCCTGCGTCAAATAATCTCACCCGCCATCCCTTCCCGTCAATTCTAGATCGGCTTGAATTCATCCCGCTCTCAGCCACCCTCACCTTACTTGCCTGCCAGCCAAGCCTCCCTAGCCGGCCTCTTCCACCTCTCACACCTTCAATGCCTCGATACCGACTCTCGTTTCACCACGCTCATTGATAACCTGCCTTATTCACATCGCATCCGGCCAAAGGGTGGCCAGGTCCTCCGAGGACGCCGTCGCCTTGTCTCCCTCGTTTGTTCTTGTGGCCAACTAGGGCACCGTTATCGACAACCTCGCCTTCTCTGCTGCCTCACGGAAAGAATCCACCGTCTCCAGAGGTAAGCCACCACTTTGGGTCGGCGGCCTGCGTTTTCGCGTCCCCTTGAACTGTCCCCATCTGCCGACTTCTTCCCTCCCGCGGGGGACTTGTCTCCCAAATCTATGGCCTGACATGGTCCGGCATACCCTTCGGAAGCACCATCCTCGATCCCGCCGGCCCACGTCCACCGTATATTGAGGGAAGGGTTCCCGGCGAATACAGCACTCGGCATCGCACGTTTAATATCACACACCTTGTCTTAACACTGCCTGGCAACCCTCTCCTGTCAACGCAAGCCGCGCTTGGCAGGATCCTATACCTTACCTTCAAGATCACCTCCATCCTAACTCAGAGGCACCATCACCATACTTCAACCTCTATTCTGAAATGTCATCTTGGCTTTCCAATGTCCCTTTCGAAATCATCATCTAGAAGGCACATATCTCATCCGACGTCATACACACCTTGCCATCCTCCTATGAAAAACTCTAATAGGACCATTAGCAATCAGGATAGCCCGGTTCTCGTACCCACGCGGCATCCAGGCGTTATCTACCATATTCGCACGCCGAAACACAGGACCTCAGGTCGTGGCGTCGTCTTCTGAACTTCGAGGATCCGCAGCACGATAGGCAGTCAGCCGTCGGATACTACAAGTTGCAAGAGTTCGATTCTCGAAAATTAGCCGTTCATCACCCGGCTCCCCAACCCCGTCGGACTGGAACCTTGGAGTTTCGAGAGCCAGATGATACAGAATTTACAGAATTCTTCTCGTCTCCTTCGTCTCCTTCGCTAACTGCCCGGAAAACCCTCAAAGTTCGTCTAAGGTCAAAATACGGTTCTCGAAACTTGCGCCTTGGTCTTCATTGAAGGACGGATCAGAGGTATATTCCTCCTACAACGAAGCTTTCTGCTCGTTGTTCCATCCGTACTTTTTCTCTGGCAAACCTCAACCCTCATTGATGCTTTGTGTACCATGAAATCCTTTTTGAGTCGACACTGGCGAAATTTAATCTTTCCTATAACATTAATATCCCTGGTATTCTAGTCTTTCCCATGCTGGCCGTTTTCCAAACCTGCCCCGGGTTTCGTTTATTAGGAAGTTTGGCGTGCTGATGATTCGGATGATGTTACAGAAAATGGCGGCATATCCTATGGATGTGACCTACGCCACCGGAGGCCACAATGAAAATCTCCAGGAAGTTCATGCTCACGCAGAGTCTATTAATTCCCCGTACCAGCCGGAGCGATCGGGAGTACCCCTTCTCTGCCACATCTGCCCCAAGAATTCGACGTTTTCCGATGTCTCCCACCTTTTAACTCATATCAGCTCGAAAGGCCACCTGTCGCAGTACTTCAACTTGTCGATTGCCAGAGAGACCGATGAGCAAGCCTCTTTCGCGCTTCAGGAATTCGACGCCTGGTTCGATACCTACGGAATTGGCCAACTGCTTCGTGTGCGCAAAGCGGCGAGAGCCGAGAGAGGCTCTCAACAACAGCGCCGAGGCCAAGTCCTTAGAAATGCAACGCCAAATCGATTGACTACGCAGGGTGGTAGCCGTCGGGCCCGTGGCCATCGAGGAATCATCGTGAGTAGAAATTTTGGCACAACATGGCATTATCTGACGTGCTTACGCCAGGGTTCTCGTGGTCGATACTCCCAGGTGAACGATTCCATAGAAGTCAAGGAGGAACCGGGAGAGGGTCACAGATTGTGTCGAAGCTACGGCGGACCGGAGAGCCCTCCCTTTGGTTCGTGGGAAAGCAACCTCATGACGCTGATTCATCAGGGCGATCGGAGCATGATACCACAAGCAAACTTTGGTGACTTGGGAGACGAAGACGATTCTTCGAAATACGAGGGGTCCGAGGGCACAACTTTCCCGTCGGAGTACATCATGGAGTCGACAGGCATGACTGAGGGAGACGCGGATTCTCTTACACTCAAGGGCGTCATCTACCCAGGCATGGGTGGCTTTGACGCCGCAAGGGAAGAGCAGCGGCGGAAGAGAAACCAACGCAAGCCTGACGGTGTGCTCCAACAACTCGAAGTAAACTCGGCCTTGGTTACAACTGAGGAGGTGGTGCTCGACCCTGCCCTCAATTATCAACGGACACGAGACGTTTACGACGAACCATCCGTAGATGGCAGCGAGGTTAGTTAAAATGGCGGCGCATACTATTGATTGATGATGCTTATCCGTGCACAGGATGACGAACACGAGGAGGCGGTGGAAAAGAAGCCAAAGCGCCGAGGCTCTCAGGCCACATCTAGCACCAAGAAAAAGGCGGCTTCATCCCAGCGCACTACGCGTACTACCCGTTCAGCTACCCGTGCTTCAGGAGCCACCGAAGCCTCTCCGAATCAACCTGTAGCACTCGAAAAGGTGGCTAAATCGTTCGCTGAGTGTAGCCCACCGTCGCAGATACAGTTGCCCCTACATAGCCACGGATTTCAAGGACAGGAAAGCATATACATCGGCCACATGGGCATGGACAATGGAGGTTGGACACACCTTCCATGGGTTACCGGAAACATTCCGGCTAATATTGAGCAGCAACGAGCCGTGCCGACACTCCCTATGATAGGGGAGGACGACAGTGAGTTCACCTTGCTCAATTTGCCGATGACATATCAGGGGCTCATGTTCCCCCTTACAGACATGACCGATTACCTGGACTAGCTTTGAGACCAGGAAACCCCAATCTTTCCTTCACATCCACGGGCCTGGAGATGAAGAAATCTTCGCATTTCCCCGGCAAAGAGAATAACCATTCGACGCTGAAATCTGCCGCCTTAGCATCTCATCCCTACTTGCATTCGAACGACTCAATTCAGGGTGATACGTACAATCCTCTATTCATCCAACCCCGAGACGGGCTGGGCTTTCAGATGTATCCGCAATACGATGACGATGTGAAACCCGTGACGACTGGTTTCCAACCCATCAACGACCACGGGGAATTTAATTCGATCCAGATGCCTGTTCATCACAGCTCAGCTTATCACTCAACCCAGGGCGGCAGTGGCAGTTTCAACCTTTAGGGATCACAGGCGGCCTGTCTTGTTTCCGCTTGCATCTTCCCGCATTCCGAATTCCATAATTTTTGGGGGCCCTGTATTAGGACACGACGACGACGATCAGAATCATGGATTCATTCAGTCTGCAGCTTGCTTGCTGCTCGTCTACTATGATGCTTTTCTTCGTATTCCGACCCCACATCATCAACGGCGGCTCTTATTTGGACCAGAGGCGACGCTTCTTGCCTTGTGGCCGATTTCTCCTCAACACTGGACTGAGAAAGTAACATGCCAGTGTTGACACGACTTATCTCGGTTACACGGTCTCTAATGCCGCCTTTTCCGTCCTGTCCCCTATCATCCCGTTAGCTTGCTAGGTGCGTTTATCTGAGGTACCTTCGTTATCTCGTTGTACTTTCGCTGGCGACTAACTATCTGTTATAGGTAGGGTTGACCTCCTCCAGTCCGCATTACCGAGCCATCTTCATACCTGAACATCTCATTCTGGACCCGGCACGGATCACTGAACTGTTCTTCAATTAGGTTCGAAGAAGAAAGCCTCCGTATTCTTTGACGATGGAAAACCGTGGTTACATCAGGTTTAAGGACAAATTCATCTTAGTCATTTTGACGGTTGGCCTCAGCATTGCGCCCACATGTAATATTAGCACATAGCTAGCATCTTGGTTGCCGCACATTGCATCAAGATGCCAGGGCATAGTTCGCATATGCAACGGGATTCATCATCTACAGCTGTTCGACACTCGATACGACATGATCTAATTGACCCAGGTCGTTCCGAAACACGTCGGCTAGTAGTCTCACTGCCCCATTTAACCGGCGTGTCTTAATCTCCAATTCAAGCTCCCTGGACTTCCTTGCTGCCACGTCGAGTACCTTTCTGGGGATACGGGCGAGCCTCGCTACGTTAAGACCGTAGGACCTATGAGCCATGCCCTCGCCCACCTCGTACAGAAAGGTAATGTCCTCGTCGCCCTCGAAATCGTCGTCTCCTTTCTCGTCGCCGCTGCGGCCTCGGGTGCCGTCGCGGCGGGTCGCGGTGAAGCGCATATGGAGATTGGTGCAGGCGCCGCCGAGGCCGTCGGCGACGCGGGCGAGGTTCTGGTAGTGGGTGATGAAGAGGGTGAGGCAGCGGACGTCGCGGACGACGTGGTGGAGGACGGCGTGGGCGATGGCGGCGCCGTCGTGGGTGCTGGTGCCGCGGCCGAGCTCGTCGAGGAGGACGAGGGAGCGGGGGGTGGCGGCGCGGAGGATGCGGGCGGTCTCGGAGACCTCGACCATGAAGGTGGACTCGCCGGCGAAGAGGTTGTCGCGGGCGCCCATGCGGGTGTAGACGGCGTCGGCGAGGGTGAGGGTGAGCGCGTCGGCGGGGACGAAGGAGCCGACCTGGGCGAGGAGGACGAGCAGGGCGACGGCGCGGACGAAGGACGACTTGCCGCCCATGTTGGGCCCGGTGACGAGGTGCGCGAGCGGCGCGGGCGACGCGAGCGCGGCGGTGAAGGGGATGTAAGGCGTGGTGAGCGTCTGCTCGGCGACGGGGTGGCGGCCGCCGACGACGGAGACGCAGGGCGGCGCGTCGGCGGGCAGGAAGACCGGCTTGGTGTAGCCCGGCAGCGCGGCGACCTTGGAGAGGGAGAGGAGGCAGTCGAGCGTGGCGAGGGCCGAGACGGCGTCGCGCAGCGGCTGGTACTCGGCGGCGAGGGCGCGCAGGAGGTCGGCGAAGGCGGCGTCGCAGGCGGCGGAGAGGGCCTCGCGGTGCTGGTCGCGCTCGGCGACGAGGCGGACGACGTCGGGGGTGTGGAAGCGCGAGAGCTTCTTGGTGCCGCTGACCTTGACCCAAGACGCGGGCACGCGGCGGAGGTCGGCGTTGGGGACCTCGACGAGGTACTCGACGCCGGCGACGGCGACGTAGGCGACGGGGCTCCTGCTGCCGAGGGTGGCGGCGGCCTGCTGGCGGTGCGCGTCGAGCTCGTGCTCGACCGCGGCGATGCCGAGCTTGTGCTCGGTGATCGCGGCCGTCTCCTCCGGCTCCCGGAAGAAGGCGTACTTGTCGTCGCGGCGGGCCGCCTCGGCGTTGACGCGGTCGAGGTACGACAGTACCGTCGGCAGGATGCGCGGCAGCGAGGCGATGGCGGCGCCGATGGCGGGGGCGGCGAAGCCGCTCTCCTCCGGCCCCCCGACGCGCGAGAACTCGGTCGCGATCCTCTGCAGCGTCTGCAGCACCGCGAGCAGCTCCGGCCGGGTGCACTTGCCGTAGTAGATGCGGATCAGGCTGCGCTCGAGGTCCGTCTTGGTGCTCTTCAGCAGGCGCTCCAGCTGGCTGACCTTGGCGGTCGACGCGTTCTCGAGCAGCTCCTCGACGGCGGCGACCCTCGCCTCGAGGCAGTCCTTGTCGAGGAGCGGGCGGCCGATCCACTTGCGCAGCAGCCTCTGGCCGAAGCGGGTCAGGGTCTTGTCGAGGGCCCAGAAGAGGCTGCCCTTCTCGGAGAAGTCGGTCTGGTTGCGGTAGACCTCGAGGCTCTCGAGGGTGGTGCCGTCGATGAGCATGTGCTGGCGGGTGCCGAAGGGCTGGAAGTACTTGGTCAGGTCGAAGATGTGCTCGAGGCCGTACTCCTCCAGGTGCTTGATCATCGAGGACAGGCAGACGGTGACGGGCTCGGGCAGCTTGAGCACGGCGTCGAGGAGCGTGCTGGCCTGCTCATTGCTGCCCTCGGACGCCTCCTTCAGCTTGGCCGAGTAGAACTGCGCGACGTGCGAGTAGGCCTCGGCGGCGCAGGTCTTGGACTTGGGCGCCCGCTCGACCCGGCTCCGGTCGCCGAACACGTTGGTGGCGCTGCCGGAGAGGTGCTGGATCAGCTTGTCCGTGGCCCGGGACAGCTCGCCGACGATGAGGAACTCGCACGGCGAGATGTGCAGCAGCCGCGTCTCGATCTCGCTGCGCATGAAGCCGTCCTCGAACCGGTCGTAGATGATGTCGCCCGTGGCCGGCTGCACGGCGATGATGCCGACCTCGACCTTCTCGTCGGTGCCGGAGCCCTTGGCCCTCGACTCGGTGATGCAGAGCAGGTACCCGCCGGCCGAGGCGCCCGGGCCGCTGCGCTGGTCGAGCTCGCCGATCTCGTCGACGTAGGTGCCCTTGGTGTAGACGTTGGTGAGCTTCCGCGTGAACGGGGCGTTGCGGTTGTCGCCGGCCTTCTTCAGCGCCGCCGTCTCGATCTGGCGCACGACGCCGACCTTGTGCCCGGCCGCCACCAGCCGCTTGGCGTGCACCGGGAGCCGGTGCACCGGGATGCTGGCCGACGCGAACCTATCTAGGTGCGCCTCGGACGGGTGCTCGTCGTACCGGAGCTTCCCCGGGATGCAGACGATGCTGAGCTCCTTCGACGCGACCCGGGCGTCCTCGCCAAAGAACTTGAACTTGTAGCCCACTTCGACGATCAGGATCGTGTCCATGTGCTTCCGCTTGATATCGAGGAATTGCACCTCCATGGGTGTCAGTTTCCCTGCCTTGCCCCCTTTCTTCTTTCCCTTGGTAGGTGGTGGCGCCGCCTCTTCCTCCTCCTCGCCGTCCTCGCCACCGTCCTCCGCAGCCTGGTTGTCGTCGTCCCCGGGCCCGCCTCGAGGCCTAGCGGATAGAATGCTGTCCGGCCGCCCGAGCTTCTGGACAAATTTGCGGTGCAGCTCCTCCCTCTTCCGCCTCTCGCTGCTGTCGCCATCGCCTAGACCACTAGGGCCGTCCGGTTGAGAGCTGGCGCTATTGAAGATATATTGCTCGGTCCGAGTGCCGGGCCTGCTAGGCCTGACAGGCGCTAAGGTGGGCGACTTGGTAGGATTCGTCTCAGGGGTATCGGCCGGGTTCTCTTCACGGTCTCCCTTTGGTCTCTTCTTCAGGGGAGTATTATTTCCGTGACCGGTGTCCTCCTGAAGCGGCCGCTTTTTATTGCCCTCGGAGGAATCGCTAGGGCTGTCGGGATTTGGGGCCTGGGGCTTTTTAAGAGATGCCGAGAGGCCATTGATGGTTCTCGGCGTGAAGAAACTGGTTAGGGATTGCTGTTTCTTTTCTTTCGGTTGGCTAGCCATCCCGAAATGTAGCGGTGGTCGGTCGACCACACTGTAATAGCTCCGGGGCTAAATGTTAGGGTGGTTGAATAGGCAGCAATTCGAAGGGCAGGTTTCAGTTATGATGTAGGCACGTAGGAAGTTGGAGGTGTAGAGAGATGTTGAGATCGTCGGTCGGACGCGTCGAAAGGCAGCGGACGCGTTAAGTGTGCAGCCGCACAGACCAATTTGCTGCAGAAAAGGGATGTAAGTAGGTACCCAAGGCGAGGTGGCAGTTGCGTCTTTCATCCTTGCCATATACCCATCTGAGGAGGTTAGGTAGGTACCCGGCCCAAGCAATGGGTACCTGCATCATCTGTGGATGCACAAATGAAATAGAGGTGCGCAGAAGAGATCTAGACTGACTGTGAGATTGCTAAATGTGTCTATGTACACAGCCATAAGGCCTCAAGGCGAGGATGTGGTAATCGAAGTTCGAATAACCCCCTGACTCCTAGAAATACATGGCATTAAATCCCAAGCGGGCGCGTACCTAGGTTCGTTGTGCAGTGGCGTGTTGCCGTTGGATGATCCGGTTCATGCACCCGCTGATATACTTATTAAGGCGTGTAGCCAGTTCTACTCGTATATCTTCCATGGCAGGTACCTCCTGAGGTACGTAAGTACCTACGTCATCTGAAATCCATCACACGGATACATTTCGATACCTCCTCTACTGGTACGAGGAGCTGAGTGCGTAGAGGTACCTACTTAGTATGGCCTTTGACGGACCTGCGAAAAATGATGCTCTAGCGCCGTTGTCCGGTCTGCTAGCGCCCAAGTACCTGCCCGACATTGTGTAGGTCCGGGACGCGTCAGATAGTCTTCATCTATGACGTTACCGCAGACTTGACTAGGGTGTCACGCAGTCGTTGAGCCTCACGTGGCCCCCCCCCGATGGATATATATATGTGTGTGTGTGTGGTTGGTTTTCCTCTCAGAGGAGACGCTCATTTGCAGTCCTTCATGATGCAAACGGATATACCTACACGCCCACGCCACAGATCACCAATTTAAAGAAAGAAAACGGCACACTGCCAATTCACACACCATGTCATCTAGCAAGAACGGCACGAGCAACTATTCCTCCAGCTCTTTCGTCTCCGTCTCCTTCTCGCAAACCACCAGGAACGGGCAGACTACCGGGGCCCGATACGCATCGCACACGGCAAGCGACCCCCAAGGCACCACGACATTCACGGGATCGCAGCGCCTGGGCGAGCCCGTCTACACGGAACGCCGCGACTACGATGCCTCGGGCCGTTTGATCTACTCGGACCGAGGCACGGGTGCCGGTGGAGGGGTGGACTCGAGTCGCCGCATCGAAGAGGCCTCAGATGGAGACGAGCGACGCAGACAGCGGGAGAATGACAGGCTCTACGAGGAACGCATCGAGGACGAGTACGCGAAGCGCGAGGGCGGGGCCTAGACTGGTGAAGAACCTAGGTATGGTAGGAAGAATGGCTATACTGGGGAGAACCAACCTACAGGAGAAGAATCAAGATGGCTTGAGACGGAGAACTCGGCTCACGGCGGAGGTAGGTAGAGGTAGGTAGGTGCCCGCCCAAGGTACCTAGAGTAAATGTCTATTTAATGTCGAGTTTGGCGACGGAGACTCGGTATCAAGGCAAATTGTCGGAGGACAATATGGGCTTCCCCATTTAGCAATCTAGGCCTGTGCGGCTTTCTGCGTAACGAAATTACAGTCGCCTAGCTGCTGTCTTATGTTCGGCGCTGCATTGCGCGTATGCCTTCAACATAATATAATACCCTATGGATCTGGCCGCCCTTATGAAGACCTCTATACCTAGAGGTAGTTACGCACCGTAGATAGGCACTGATGTACATGCCGTGCCGTGCGTCTGAACTCGTGCGGCTCCACCTCGGAACCCTTGCAAAACTGCGGTCGGCCTGCCTTCAAGTTTGACAATGTTTCTCGTAGGTGGGGGCATGGCTTTCCTCCTGACCCTTAGGAGGTACTTAAGGTACGGTACTCCCTCGTAGTTACAGGTAGATACATAGGTTGATACTTACGTAGGTACGTAGGTGCCCAGTCTATGCGGGCAGTTTAGGAGGCATTTGCAGGTTAGGTACCTACGTCACTGCCGCAGCACTGAAGTCATCGATTCAACACCCGTATCCGTAGTAGGTACTTGATAGTCGCTCTGCACTGATGTGCCCGAGTATGTACATCTACATGCACCCCGGCATGCACATATGTGGCCCGGCCCAAGTACCCTAGCCGTTTTGACGGAAGTTGCTAACCGCAAAATGTCGATAGCTTTGCTGCCCACCATTTTAGGCCCTCGATGCTACCTCATCGTTCGCCAGTACAGGTACCTTGTGATAATCTTTCATAATCTTTCAAAATGCGCCCCTACCGCCTTTCGTCCTAACATGAGTATTCCTCCTCCTCTTCTCTCCTCTTCCCCCCTCGCTGGTGTCGATGTCCTACTCAGCAACCATGGGTGCTGCTGGGGATGCGGATGACAACTGCTATGGCGAGAAAGCCGCTGGCCCCGGCAATAGCGACATCTACGTCCAGCTCGTCATCTCTCTCGCTTTGGGCACGTCGGCCTTCGTCGCCTTTTGTGTGAGTTTGGATCCGCCTCGGCTTCGCGCGACGCTCTAAGCTAATCATCACCGCCCGGTAGATCCTCCGACCGAGGTGGAAGACGCTCTACGCCGCTCGAAGACGGCACCACGATCCTCAAATCGCGATACCCCTACTGCCCGACAGTTTCCTAGGATGGATCCCAGCACTGTACAGGGTGACCGAGGAGCAGGTGCTGGCATCTGCAGGGCTAGATGCCTTTGTGGTAAGTTGGTTGTGTTGACTATCGACACGCGTCTGATACTAAAGACAAGCTGCTGATTGGCGCCTTTCCAGTTTCTATCCTTCTTCAAGATGTCCCTCCGCTTGTTCGCTACCATGCTCGTCTTCGCCGTCGCAATTCTTTGGCCCATACACCATATCTTCGACGCCGATGCGACGCCGCGACCGCTCCCCGGCGACCCGTCCGCAAACGTCTCGGTATATTTAACCTTCACGCATCAGCCCGGGACTCAGACCAGCATCGCGGAGCACCCGGAACCCGAAGATAAGAGTGGGACGTATCTACGGGCCTACCTGGTTTTCACCTGGATCTTTTCCCTCCTTACATTGTATTTCATGAATTCAGAAACTGTCAAAGTCATCAAAGTAAGACAGGAGTACTTGGGGACCCAGTCGACGATAACCGACCAGACCTTCCGATTGACGGGTATTCCGGCCGATCTCAAATCGGAGGAGAAAATCAAAGGGTTTATCGAAAACCTGGAAATTGGCCACGTTCGGAGCGTCACATTATGTCGAAACTGGGCCGAGATCGACGCCTTGGTGGCCCAGCGGCAAAAGATTCTGTGTAAACTTGAAGAGGCATGGAGCGCGTACATTGCTCAGCCGTCAGCCACTCGGTCTGGGAACGATGCGCAACAACACAGGACAACGGGTGCAGATGAAGAAGATGTCGGCGACGAGGGAGAGCCTCAAGAGGATGACCAACTCGTCGCCGGCGACCGCCTGCGACACCTTCTCACGGAGAGGGAGCGGCCTAGGATTCGACTCCGGTTCGGCTTTCTCAAGATGAGGAATCGCAAGACCGACGCCCTTGATTATTACGAGGAGAAGTTGCGCCGCCTCGACGAGAAGATTCGCGCCGCGAGAAAGAAAGACTACGTGCCCGCCGATACAGCATTTGTGACGATGGATTCTATCGCAGCGTGTCAGATGGCTGTTCAGGCGACCGTGGACCCGAGGCCGGGACAGCTTCTCTCCAAGCCAGCGCCGGCTCCGTCCGACGTGGTCTGGAAGAATACGTACGCCCCGCGATACAAACGGCGACTGAAATCCTGGGCTATTACGATATTTATTACCTTTCTGTCCATCATCTGGCTTCTTCCCGTTGCGCTAATGGCGCAGCTGCTCAGTATTTGCAGTATCTCGAAAGTTGCCCCGCCCGTCGCGGATTTCCTCTTGCGGCACGAAATCACCAAAGCCCTCGTACAAACGGGATTGCCCACGCTCGTAGTCTCATTGTTGAACATCCTGGTCCCATATCTATACGATTACCTTTCCAATTCCCAGGGCATGGTATCGCAAGGTGAAGTGGAACTATCCGCGATATCGAAGAATTTCTTCTTCATCTTCTTCAACATCTTCGTCGTGTACGCCGTCTCCGGTAGCGCCGCGCTCGCCGAGTTCTGGACGATAATAAGAGATTCTCTCGTCGACACGAGGACGATCGCAAAGCAGTTGGCTATCTCTATCCAGAATCTGAACAAGTTCTACCTCAACTTCATCATGCTTCAAGGTCTCGGCCTGTTCCCATTCAAGCTTCTACAGTTTGGGAGCATTTCGCTTTACGTCATCTATCGGATGGGGGCGAAGACGCCACGAGACTTTGCCAAGCTCGTCCAGCCCAGCCTTTTCAATTACGGATTCTACCTCCCCACCGCCCTGCTCGTGTTCATTCTCTGCCTGGTATACAGCATCCTGCCGGGCTCACACATCGTCTTAGCCCTCGGCCTTTTCTATTTTGCGCTTGGGTACTTGGTTTACAAGTATCAGCTGCTGTACTCGATGGACCAACCACAACATGCCACGGGGGGTGCGTGGCCGATGATCTGTAATCGCATAATCGTTGGGTTGGTTACCTTCCAACTCATCATGGTCGCTATCCTGGTTCTCCGTGCCGCCTTCATAGCCGCCTCATTCATTGCCCCGCTCATCGTGTTGACGTTCTGGTATAACGTCTATTCTCATCGGCGCTTTACACCGCTTACCCAGTTCATCGCGCTGCGCAGCATCAAGCGGACGTCCGACGCTGACTTGGAGACCCGCCCCGGTCGGGATTCGAACCAAGCGCCAGGACAGAGGCGACTGACGAGACGGATGAGCACCATAGACGAAGATAGGGAAAAGGGGATGAGATTCGTGAACCCGAGCCTTGTTGTTCCTCTCGAGCAACCGTGGATCTACCATGATCCACCACCACTTATCGACGATTCAACTCCCGACTCTGGCTCGGTGACTACTAGCGGCAATGATAGTAGTAACGGCAGGGCGCCGTTAACGACGCCGTTAACGACGCCGCTGAGGGCTCACGGCGGATTAGTCAGTGTTTCCAGTTCCTTCAGTCTCGGAGATACCCATATTTGGCGGGACGACGGCGATGGCAACGTATAACGATTAATGGGTTGACTGACTTGCTGACTGGTGGGCGGTAGACTGTTTCTTGATACGTATGCATAGGAAGCCAGAGAAATTGGAAATATTTATTGTGCGAAGCATCGATTGGCGGGAAAGGTCGCATATTATTGTATAAATCCACATACACCAGCGGTGATTGACGAGGGTGTATTAAACTCACTACGAGGAGAGACAGTCGATGCAAGACTATGAGGAGAAAGTCATCGGCTCGACATAAGTTAAGGACATTAGCGCGACTACGAAAATGGCTTCATAAGCGAGAACACCGACCGAGCCAAGACTCCGTTCAGGAAACACCGGTATTACTATATATACCACCCGCTCCCGGAATCCACGACGCGAACCAACAACGGCATAGATTAAATTCCATCCCCCTCCCCCCCTTCTTCTACTCAAGACTAACTCCCGATATTTCCTAAACCACTCCATGCTAGGGCTTCGAACATCGATGCCGATGGCTGAACCCTGACACGACGGTTGGCATGACGTTTGACTTCCTTTCCCCGATTCACCCGATGCAACGTCGAGTCTCCCCATGCGGCGGGTGGCCGAGGAGCTTCGGTCTGCCTCGCTCCGCAACTTTCCCAAACCAGTACTCAGCGCTGGCAGACCGAGGGTTTACCCTCCAAAGTTGGACCGACGAGAAGGGTGCCAGGTATGCTGGCTAGCAGGCGGCCCTTCGAGTCCCTCGCTATCCCGACGAGATGCCCCTAGACTGAATGGCGGTATGCTTGGTTCCTTTCCTGGGCTGGGGAGAGCGTAAGAAGAGCCAGAGGATAAGGAACTATGCCATAAAATGATACCACCGCCTTACCCTGCCTACAACATCTAACACAGACTCGATGCAATAATGTCTGGGTACTGGAAGAAGTCTTCGAGTATACGGCGACGGACCGTCGTATTGTCTCTTGCCTGTTCGGGTTTGTTACTGCTGTTTCTCTTCCATGATCATATGCTGCAGAGCCAAGATAAACCAATTCCCGTACCCGTCACCCCACCGCAGTCCCCTTCCCCAGGCTCACTCCTCCCCGGACAGCATCAGCATCAGCGGCAGTACCACGTATCCCCTCATCTGCAGCTGTATTACCACGAGGACGACGCCGACATCACCTCGGTCGATCTCTCCAGCCCCCGCGCCCCGTTCATCGCCTGGCCGCTGCGCCGCGTCTGCGCCGAGACCACCTACGTGCCAGGGCTGACCTTCGTGTGCGACAACAACAGCGGTGGGCCGGGCAACATCCGCAACTACATCCTGACGTGCGTGCGGTACGCGATCGACGCGGGTGCGACGGGGCTCGTGCTGCCGCGCATCCGCGCCCGCAGCCCCGACGACGCGTCGAACCTGTTCCGCAACCACCGGCCCTTCGGCTACATGTTCGACGAGCCGCACTTCCGCGCCGCCCTGGCCGCCGCTTGCCCGCGCGTCGCCGTCTTCTCTACCCTCGACGACGTCCCCGGCGCCCGCGACCCCGACCTCGCCGCCGTGCGCGAGGGCCGCCCCGGCGCGCGCGGCGCCGAGCGGCTCGTCGAGCGCGTCACGCCCAAGGACTTTGGCGGCCGCCGCGCCGGCTGCGACGCGCGCGACCCCAACCGGCACACTGACCGGTTCGGGCCCGCGTTCCGCGCGTGGCTGCGCGAGACCGCGGCCGAGCGCGGATGGACAGACACGCCGCCGTCGGGAGTGAAGGGGAAAGAGCTCGGCATCCCGCGCATCATCCGGTTCTCGTGGGGCGTGCTGTGGGACTGGCCGACGCACCGCGACGGGCCCGAGCTCGCGGCCACGTTCGGCGGGCTGCTGCGGTTCCGGGCCGACGTGCTCGACATCGCGGACGCGGTGGCGGAGGCGATGCGCGGCACGGCGCGGCGCCTCGCCGTTCCCGAAGATCCCGATAGAGCAGCAGCGTCGGTCGCGAGGGGCCGCTTCCTCGGCGTACACCTGCGCTCGGAGGCGGACGCGCTCGCGCGCTGGCCCAGCTACGCGAACCAGACGCAGGCGTACCTGGGCGAGGCGGCGCGGCGCGGGTTCCGGGGCGGCGCGGCGTACCTGGCGTCGGGGGACGCGGGCGAGGCGGCGCGGTTCGCGCGGGAGGCCGGGGCGGCGCTGGGGCTCGCGGTGCGGACCAAGTTTGACCTGCTCGACGCGGCGGAGGAAGAGGGAGGAGGAGGAGCGGGCGTCCTGGCGCGGCAGCTGCGCGCGCTGAGCTGGGACCAGCAGGCGCTCGTCGACTTCGCGGTGCTGCTGCAGTGTGACTACTTCGTCGGCGTCAGCCCGAGCAGCTTCAGCGTTAACGTGGCGCTGCGGCGGCACCTGCGCGACGAGGGCCTGCTCGCGCGGCCGTGGCGTGTCGGCGGGCCTGGCGACGGCCGCAGCTGGCTCGTCGGCCGCTGGGACCGGTACTGGGACGACTGGCTGTTCATGTTCGACGGCATGTGGCCGTGACTGGGGGAGGAGGATCTGCACGTTGGCCTTGCGGTGTTCGTTCGTTTTATGGGCGCGATTCTCGGGCGGGTACGGATATTTAAGGTCCAGATTGTATCTAATTCCTGCCACGCTGAATGCTAGCTATCTCGAGGCGGTAGGCCGTCGCGCGGCAAATCATCTCGGGTCTCGTGCGAATTTGGCTCTTATTATGATTACAGCATTAGCACATTACGGACTCGCCGAGCCCTGTATCTAAGTCTACGGTTGTCCCTCGTGTCGTCGCTCCTCGTCTCAAATGCATCTGTCCGCGTCCGTCTAATGAGTCGTCCCTCACCATCTGGGGATCTCTGTAAATCACCCCTTACTTAGCTTGCGCTGGCTCCCTCGACAAGGGCCGTCTTTCCCGAATGATCGACTGCTCGAAAGCGTGTCGAGGTCTCGAAGGGAGGAGACTTTAGCCATACCGACTAGGCTCCATGCTCTCGCCATCGTGTGCGCGAGTAGCCGTGAAAATATGTGCGGTTTGTTTTATATACAGCCACCGGCGGATCCGGGGTGCAATATGCGTCTTACCGAGGGTCTAAGGCGATCGTCCCTTGTTCTCGACCGCGGGGTCTAGGGGAGGGGCATCCCCAACCTCGGCCTCGTCTTCGGACCGGTCGTCCTTGGCGACGCCGAGGACGATGAAGCGGTACGCGCTGCGCAGCAGGCAGTACAGCCAGAACAAGTTGAGGGCCTGGAGCGCGGCGAGCAGCGAGAAGGTGACGGCTTGGGAGAGCGGAGACTTGAACTGCTCCTTCTCCCAGTCGAACTCGTAGGGGCCGACGGTGCCGAACTCGGTGAGGACCGAGTAGAGGATCCGCAGGTTCAGGTAGTGCCGCAGGTACGTCCACATGACGATGCACAGGGCGAAGGACGGGCCCTGGAGCCGGCTGCCGACGTAGTTGAGAGACTTGGATATCTGCCACGGAAACCACGTGTTAGCGCGAAGTGCTCCGTCCCACGATGTTGGGGGCTAGCTCTGTCGGTGGGGGGGGGGGGTGGAGGGGGGGTGGCGCGACAAGACTCGGGACGGGTATAGGCGTGTCGTGCAGCTTACGGCGAGGAAGAAGTCGCTGATGTCGTGGGTGATGTAGACGGCGAAGCCTATGTAGGTGAAATGGAAGCGGTAGCTGAGGGCGATGAGGGCGATGGTGACGACGTGGTGGAGGACGAGCTCCCTGAAGTCCCTGCGCCGGCTCTCGATGCCGAGCAGCATGACGAGGGCCTGGTGGGCCCAGAAGGCGGCCTGGAACAGGTAGTAGAACTTGAGCGCGGCCGGGTGCGCCGTGTGCGGGAAGGCCTCGTACATGGCGCGCGTGTCGAAGTACCACACCGGCGTCTGGCGCATGCAGTACAGGCCCAGCGGCCCCACGGCCGCGACGTACACGGCCACGTACATCTGCTCCGCGAAGCGCGCCTGCTTGCCCGCCGCCCGGATGCCGCACGAGCGCGCCAGCGGCCCCAGCACCGAGCGCGGACAGAGCTAAGACGCGCGCGTGCAGATACGAGAGGCCCCGGGAAGAATCGTAGAAGCAGCAGCAGCAGCGCCGGCTCTATTTCTGCGCCCCGGTTCGGGCGATGCTGGATAGGGGGAAGCGCTCGCGGAACCCGCGGACGGCGGGGCGCGGAATCGGGTTCATCTCAGCTGCGCCGACCGAGGCTCGCGACGTTCGCTGAAATTGGGCCGACGGGATCGTGCCTGAATCCCATCTCCGACGACGCCGCGGGGGTTTTCCTTCCCGAGGGCTTATTTGCCGCTCTTTCCTCTTCTCCTCTGCTTCTTTCTTTGGTTATTCTAATTGCGGCTTGTGTTTAGTAGCGTACCTGTATGTACATAGGTACATGATACCCAAGGCAACCCTTTTAGGCAACCTGATGTCATGTATTATGTAAATATGTAAGTAGGTTAGGTACCTAAGGCAGGTACCTGGGAGGTACCTATAGCAAAGTATGCCTGGGGTGGGCATGCCGCGGTGACATGCGCTAGGGCTATTATTGACGGCCATGCCCGATGCTAGCAACCAGGAGGATCTGGACTTTATAATGTCGGTTAAAAATCGATGTTTCGCATATTTGTAATTAGGCAGTCGTCTGCATGGGCAGAGAACAGGACCCAAACCGTCTTCTACTCATACAGGCCCAAGTCTATTTTGGTCGAGACATTTGAAGGGACAGGATCCCGTTTGTCGCGGTCTGACCTCTAAGTAGGTTAGGTGAAGACCCGGCTTCCATACCAGCGAATGAAACCAAGACACATCTGGGGAACGGGCATCGAGCGAGACTCGGGGGTGTCGGCGGTGAGTCGCCTACACGCCTGGACATGCCAATGGCTCGATTGTCCGAGTTCGCAATGCAAGGGAAACAAGGCAAGGGATACGGGAAGAGAGGGGGAGGGATGGCCAAGCAGGTGGCTCGGTGAGACAAGACTGACCGACGCGATCTAACCTAACCTAACCTAAAACCCCGGTAGTTCGGTTCGATAATCTCGAGGCCCTGTTAGGTCCGAAAGGCCCTCGGATTGTTGTTGACGGGTTGTTAGGTGCTATTCGATGCTACGGGAATAACCTCCTAGGGTACCAATTCCTACTGCACCCAGCGTGCGGGCCCGGTCTCCGTGCCACCCGGGGTGAGGCTCAGTTAAGACATTGGGTGCTACGTAGCATCGGATGGACGGTCGGCGGACGCCAACCAGAAACTCCGAATCTCATCGGCTCTTAAATTACGTAACTAAGCCCACAACTGCTCGACGAGTCTTTGCCGGAAACAACAATAGCATAAAAACAGACGTGGGTGCCAATTCGTATCAATGAGCGGGAGGCTGGCTGGGGGGGGAGCAGAGAGTAGGTATGTCGGAGATAGAGAACATCCCGTATGAGTATTTTACGAAGGTGGGGGTGGCGGGATAGGGATCCGGTTCAGACCAGGTACCGATATGTGATGATGTACCTAACCTACATCCCACGCTATCATGGTAGTCGCACCGGGCATGGGGGTTGCTTGTAGGGCAGGTCAGGTAGGTAAGTACCCAAGGTAGCTAGCAGGTACCTACCTACCAACCTGAACCTTTCCGTGCCCCAGATACCCAGGTACCTGTCACGTCGGCACGAGCAACCGCACAGCAGCTAACGCGCACACCAACGTGTCCCAATGATTCGCCGGTGCGTGCCAAACCAGCACCTTCCTGCAGCGTCACATCGAAGCCACTTTTGCGCCAATCCCACGATCGAGCCTGCCGCCCGATTCCTGCAACCAGCTGACTGGTCAAAATGGTCTTGTCTTGCCGTCCCTGGTTGCACAACATGGCGATCCCCTCGACTCGTCCCAACTCTTTTTTTTTTTCCCTGCTGCGAGAAAATGTCCACCGGCCTGCTCCGTCCGGCCGCAGTCCTCGCTCATATCCAGTCGCTCCACGCCCACACCGAACCCCGCCTGTCCGTACCGCGACCTCTCCTTCTGCTTGCCCGCCGTGCACGCCCCCGTCCCCGTCGTCGTCCCGCCGTGCTGCTTTTGTCCCCCCGTCGCTAATTTCCCTGCTCCCTCCAGGTCCTCCGAGGACGGTTCCTCGTGAACGCGTGACGGTATGTCTCAGCTGCCCGAGGGCACGCTGGGAGATGCCGTGGGCGTGCTTATATACACCTTCATATGCATGTTCTGCGATATCCTGCTCATATGGCTCTACTGGACTACGCGCGAAGGCCTAAGCTGTAAGTCTGTCTGGCTGCTCTCGCGCTATGCGCCCCGTCTCGAGATGGATCCGCCGACTGACGATCGACCCGGTCTGTGAAGATGTCGCCTTGATTGCGTACTTTGCCCTGCTGTGCACTATAAGCAGCATCATTCAGCAGATATACAACTACACGTACGCGTTGACGCCCCCCTCCCCCCCTCCCCCCAAAAAAGCTCTCGTGACCGGTTTCTCACCGGCCTCCAAGATTCTGGAACGATATCATGTGGGCCCAGCTGCACTATATCCAGGCAAACTTCGAGAATGCCGACGTCGCCTTCAACAATGGCAACTTCGGCTTCATGCGCGCGTTGGCGAATATCCGTATGTGAAAGACCCGCAGTCGTGCCCGCACACCTTCTTCCCCCTTCGCGCCTCGGCCACTTACACCAGCCAGGCTTGTTCTGTTACATCATGGAAGCGAGCTACTTCTTGTCGTAGTAAGGAATCACCAGCATCGCCTCCCTCTGGCCATCCTGTATTTAATGCTAAACCACTCGCCCAGCTCTATCCACGTGACGGCCTCAGTTTTCGGCTACTGGCTGATGAGGCGACGCGCCGAACGGATTTTCTCTCTGGCTAGCAAAACCGTGCCTCTTCTGTTGGCTGGAATAACGATCGCCTTGCTGCACACTAAGCTCGTTCAGAGCAGTTTTCTGACTTACATGATCGTGGCCAACGTGCAATGTAAGCATAGCCCACGACTGTTCTGCTCGAGAAACCACCTGCCCCAACCCTTCGCAGCGCTAACTCGGATATAGCTGTCGTGAGCTGCGCCATCAGCATCGCTCTCATCCTTGTCATACTTTGGAAGTATATCGAAATGAAACGCTCCTTCAGACGTGTGGACACGACGCAACGATTGAAAAACTGGCGGTTTCCCTTTGCCAGCAAGGATAACTTGAGAGCGGACGCCAATACTGCCAGTATCGGCCGAGACAACAGAGTTTTGCCAGCGGTGTTTGATAACAACTGGCTGGTGATCAGGTTGTCTATCGCGATCGTCCTCATCTCGTGGGTTTCCATCAACGCATGCCGTGTAGCTAGGTGGGTGGTATCGCTAACGATTCTAGTGGGTTTGTGTTAGCAAGTGTAATCACACATTTGCCTCAGCGCGAAAACGTGGCCAAGGACGCCCAAGCCGAGGCCCCCGACTTGAGCGTGGAGCGGGCCAGGTCGAATATCGTCGGCTACACATTCGGGGTCACCCCGGGTCTGGCCATATGGATCGTATTCGGCCTGACTAAGGCATACCGGCAGATCATGTACGAAAAGCTGCTCCCTCGCAAATGGCTGGGGAGGGCATCGCGGCGGCCATCACTACCTAAGAGCGCTTACAACTCGACCTCGGAGACCCCGAATACGTCCAAGACGTCGAGACCGAACGCGGACCGGTTCGAGACCGATGTTGGACTCCAACTAGACGATTTCGGCCAGGGCCTGCAAGCTTCGAGGTCAAATTTAACCGCCATGCCACTGCTGGTCTATAGTTCCGGCGCAAAGTCGACGGGGACCGAGCGGCCCATTGGCACCGTGGGACAGCCTTTTTACCCTCACGACTCGCCCGCTTGAAGTGGCGGGCACCCGTATTCGTCTACTAGGTTCCCTGCGTGGGGCAACCGTTACGCTTTCCGACGATTCCGCGATTGCGGTCAACCGCTACGAAATTTTGTCGTGGTGAGACGAGCCACTATTTACTCCTCAACATGTGGTCGGGTTGTACGTTGGCCCATTCGTCGACCAAGATTTGCGCACTCCCAGCGGCAGAAACGACGACCAGGCCGAGACCGCTGGGAAGCACCGGGACAAGGGCCGTAAGTCCTTGCGCCGCATTTTTCTGCTTGTTCCTTCGGCCGGTGTTCAGGAGCGTCATGTATGTATATATATTCACACGGACCAATCATAATTTTGTGGAAAAAGTCCGAGGAGACGATGTATTTACGTTATGCGTTATTGGAAATAATGCTTGGTAATGTTACGGCGGAGATATCCAAAAGTGTTTGTACACGGGGATTATAACAGCGGGCCTCGCATCGGGGCCATGGACAAAATATGTATTGAACCTTCGTCCTTTGCGAAGTATGTACGATACCACCCCACTCGGAGACGGGAGAGTGTTTTGGGAAAAATGAGATACCCCGCGAAGTGTTTTTTTTTATTACGCTTCTGCCACGGAAACGCTCCCGAAGCGGGCACCTGAATTGCGGGCCTGGACGCCGTTTGCGCCGCTAGCGAAGGACTCGTCGGTGGCAGTGATCTTGGCCTGCGCCAAGTCGTTTACGAACACGCTGATTTCGCTGCCGACAGCCGTGACCCGCAGGTTGTATTCCGCCGCCGCGGCGATGTCCAGACTCGCCTCCTGCAGCAGCGTCCACGTCCCCGCGTCCGACTTCCCCAGCGCCACGGTGCCGGCCGGCGAGATGCCCGCGTAGTACCCCCGGAACCCGTCGGCGCCGGCCGATAGGTTCGTGGCGCGGAACACGAGCCCGGCGTCGCCGGTGCCCTCGGCGACGGCGACGGTGGCGTCGAAGACGAGGCTCGAGAAGTTGGTGTCGAGGAAGGCGCGGGCGTCGGCGTCGGCGGCGGCGACGGCGAGGCGACGGCCGGCGACGGCCCAGCGGCCGCCGTACGTCTTCCAGTTGAACATGCGGCCGTCGGCGAAGTTGTCCTTGACGAGCATCTTGACGGGGCGGATGGCGCCGTCGCCGTCGAAGTACATGCGGTCGTAGGCGAGGACGCGGTGGTTGCCGTCGGCCTCGGCGAGGGGGCGGCGGTGGTAGACGATGTACCAGACGTCGGAGCCGGGGACGCGGAGGACGGCGTTGTGGCCGCTGCCGCGGGCGACGGCGGGGTCCTGCTGGAGGACGCGGGCGCGGCGGACGAAGGGGCCGAGCGGCGAGTCGGCCACCGCGTACGAGACCGAGTAGTCCGGCCCCGTCCACCCGCCCTCGGACCACATGAAGTAGTACGCGCCGCCGCGCTTGAACATCTGCGAGCCCTCGACGTAGTTCTCCGGCGTGATCTCCCGGAACTGCGTGCCGTCGTCGAAGGTGCCGAGCGACACCATGTCCGCGTTGAGCTTCGCCACGTTCGCGTGCGAGTGGCCCCCGTAGTAGATGTACGCCTGCCCGTCCGCGTCGTCGACGAACACGTCCTGGTCGATCGGCTGCGCCCCGTTGTGGTACTCGCCGATCAGCGGCTTGCCGATCGCGTCGACGTAGGGCCCCTCGGGCCGGTCCGCCACCGCCACCCCGATGCCGCCGACGAGGCCGCGCTCCGGCTCGCCCTCCTGGATGTCGTTGGCGCCGAAGTACAGGTAGTACTTGCCGTTGCGGGCGACGGGGGCCGGCGCCCAGATCGCCCGCGTCGCCCAGGAGACGTTGGCGGCGGTGAGGACGTTCGGGTGCTTCGTCCAGTGGACCAGGTCCGGGCTCGAGAAGGCGTCGAGGTACGTCTGCTGGTCGTACGGCAGCGACGACGTCGGGTACACCCAGTAGAGGCCCTCGTATATCGCCGTGTCCGGGTCGGCGTACCAGCCCTCCACGAACGGGTTGCCCGCCTCCGACGTGGTGTAGTCGGGCACGGCGCCGCGCTCTACCGGAGCCGCGCTTCCCGTCTCTGCTGACATGGCGAGGCCGATTATGAGGTTGAGGAGGGATGCACCCGCGCTAATATCCAGGCTGAATCCGGCAAGGGAGGACGAGGGGAAGGACGACACCATGGTAAGAAAAGAGTGGCACGCCAAGCTCGGCCAAACCTAAAGTGCGGGTGCGGGGGGGGAGGGGGTTGCTCGGGAGAGGCCGAGAGAAGAACGGGACGCCGCCTTATTCTGCGAGAGACGGCCTTAGCAAGGCGTCGATTCGAAGATATCCTCAAGAATAACAGTGAAGATCTGTTGCCGATCGTGGCCGATTCATCTAAGGTTCTGACCTGGTGATACGCATAATATTTATCAACTTTCTTTTCTTCCAGAGAAGGCGCGCTGGCATCGACCACGCGCAATTGACCGAGCCCATAGCGGTCAGTTGCCCGGATCCCACCATGCAGTCTCGAGTGCCCCAAAGGCTTGCCGGCCGGAAGCGCTGCAGAAGCGGGTGCAGTCCCGAGCATCGTGACGGGCTGGAGGCGTGGAAGAGAGGCGAACGTGGGTGACATCGTGGTGCTGGCTGCGGGGGAATCGGACGCCATTGCTATCTGAACTTCCTCATACAGCTGCCATGCTCCTCCAAGCGTCCCAATGAGCGGAGTTGGCCCCGACTGACGATGGCACGTTACCTTTTACCACGCTCCTGGATTCACCTGGCTGCGAATCCGGGTTGGGAGTTTGCGCAGGTCAAGCGCAGACCTGGCCGAGAGGATGGATCTCGATGGTCTCGTGGGAGGACAATCAGTTCTTGGAGTGAGGAGGGGCAGATGCTACTTTGGGTCGTTCAAGATAAGGCGAGTCCAGGTGATGCATCCGCATTTGGGCAACGTGACCGGGGTCGGCTCAGGCGCCGCTCTTCTTCTCTGTCTCTAGCGATAGGCCTTTGTAGGTCAGGGTTGGTGGCCGCCTCGACCCTATCCGTGGTAGCCTATAATCCGCAAAGAGCAGAACAAAGCCGCGGCGTTAACGCTGGGCACGCGAAGGTGTCCGGCCGTTCGGGGCCTCCTGACAGGCGATCCCTGAAACATTTCGCCAAAGCTCACAAGCGGGGAAAAGAAGCAGAAAGAGAAGAACCGGCTAGTGGGCCGTTAGAAATTGCTTTAGAAATAACTAGTGATAGAGATGGGCTGGGACGTACGCTGCTCAGTAATAAGCCATGCAGGCTTCTTCGCCTGCGAGGCGGGCCGATTCGTACAACGAACCCAGGTTTCCCCAAGCTTTGGCTGCTTTTAGCTGTTGGAATAAACGAATAATATATATTATACCTACCTACAAGCCTTTTTTACCTGTGATGCGAACAAGTTGTAGCCGGAAGAGGTTGACTTTTGGGTATGACGAAAATGACGTAACCGCCGTATTAACGAGTTGGAACCGGCCATCGATAGGTACCTACCTAGATGATCTCAGGTATTCTCAACCCCCTACATACCCGCCCCAGCAACTAGGTGGGTACTTAAGGTAGCCTGGCTACGGGAGATTATACAAAACAGACGTGCCTATAGTGATAGAGGCACCTAGATACCTAGCGTTCGTAGTAATCACCTCGCCCCCCTTACGTCGAGAAGGAGCACGCGGTTGCTATCGAGACGGCCGCGCTAGGAAAGGAGGGGAATAATTACGTGTACAAAGCCATGGGGAGATCCGGCGTTATGCCGCCATGGGCAGGGGCGCATCGCTAGACGGATCGGAGTGTGTTTTGGCCTTCTTAGCTTCATGCTGCCGTCGGCGCTGCCTCGCTACATCGTTGCCGACCTAGCATAGGTTCTGCTTCCTCGCTCGCACTCGTCCCCCCCACGAGCCTTACGGGCCAAAGCTTTCTTGCGTGGTATGCGTACGCCATGCCCTCGGCCGTTTCCAGATAGTTTCCCGGTCCAGCTGCGCTTTTTCTTTCTTTCTTTCTTTCTGGGGGGGGTTTTTTTTTGGCCTTATTGCTCCTTTTCAATGTGGCTCGCGTAGTTAGAGACCTGGGTATTTGGCTGCGTGGGAGGGGAAAGGGGGGGCGAGATGCTGCTATTCCTAAGTCTTCAGGCGGGGTAGTAATAGAGACTACCTAGGTAAATTAGGCCGTTACCGACTGTCTGGGTACCGTAATTTGATTGGCGTGCCATCTGCTGAGGGGATGCTACCGGTACCTGTTACGCTTAGGTGGGTAGCTTAAAGGGACAAATCCAACCCGCCGCCTACTATCCAGCCCTGTAGGTACCTAAGATAGTGCCAGGTATAAGTAACTTAGGTAAGTTCTTGTACGCAATCACCTGGTATCGCAGTTGCGCCGGCTACCTTAGGTACCTAGTAGGTGTGCAAACGGTATCATCGGTATCTACCTATCTACCACGGTACCTTTGATAACCCTAGAGGCCATTCAGGGGTATATTTCCCGTTTAGGTTTAGATCACATTACTAATCTCATCTTATCGCTTCCCCCTTCCCCCCCGCTCCCCGCTCCCCGCTCCCCGCTCCCCGCTCCCATCTTGACTTAGCTAGCTTCGGCACGAGTTGGTAGCGCCGCGGCCGCTGCGCAGGGTTCGATGTCCGGCGGCAGGCGGAAGATCAGAGTGCCGATGGAGTCTTGCAGGCCGGGATGCAGCGGTATGGAGCGCAGCTCGCGGCGCGTGAACCACTGCAGACGGACGGACTCGTCGTTGGGCGTCATGTCGCTGATCTCGAGCGGCTTCGCTAGCGCGGCCAGGATGGTGGTGTAGTGCCAGCTGCCGTGGCTGTCGTCCACGACCGCCCCGCCGGGCTCCAGGTACTCGCGCGCGTCGACGCCGAGCTCCTCGCGCGCTTCCCGGAACGCGGCCTGCTCCGCCGTCTCGCCGCTCTCTAGCGCGCCCCCCGGCAGCCCCCAGGTGTCCCCGTGGTGCAGCCACGGCGCCCGGAGCTGAAGCAGCATCTCGACTTCCCCCGACGCCCCGAAACGGTAGATGAGGAGCCCCGCCGCCCCGTATCGACCCCAGTGCTCGTGGCCCAGGGTGCAAGTGACAAAGCAGCTCATTTTTTTTTTTTTTTTTTAGGCCAGCGGGCTTTCCTGGAAAAGATGTCAGTACCTATGTAGAGTACCTAACGTGAGATATTGCTAGGTACCTACCATGTATGTATGTACGAACGTACGTATGAACGTACTATATGCTTGCTCTCTCTCTGCTGTCTGCTTAATACCACAGGATGGTGAACATATATAGGTATACGTCCGTGACGCTAACAATGGGGTTGTAGTGGATTCTTGAACGGTAGATAGCCAATTAAAGAATGCTGATGCTGTGTGTTTGTAGACCCTGGCGTAATCTCGGGACTGTTTCCGTTCATCACCATTCTTCGAGAACGCTTGCCGGAGCCTGCATGCATAATTAGATATACAGAAATCAGATCTCTGAAGGTGACCTTCCAAGTTGATATCGACGGACGGACGGAGACTGTAAATGCGGTTGTGTCGATATCTGCCCGTTCACTGAGAGGAGCGGTTAGGTGTGTTAATAGACGTGGTTGCTTTTAGCAAAGCTTCTGCTAATCTCGCTGCGCGCCCCGGCGGTGTGACGAACGTCGAGCAGTGAAGCGCAACACGATAGTCTAGGAACGGACCTCCGGGCGAACGAAGGAAGAGACCTTGGCCGTTTCTTCCATGATCTCCGTCTGGGGCGGGGCGGAGGTGTAAGCCGTTTAATTACCTATGTGTGTGCATGTACCGGGGAGCATGACTGGAAAAAAAGGAAAATATCTCGAAAGAGAACAAGAGTGAGTGGTTCGCCCTAGTGGCCCGATAGCTAAGAGCTGTTAATTCTTCTAACAGAGCAGCGAGTTCTGCTATGGCATTCCTCTCCTCGTATCTCGTATACCCACAGGTAAGGCCGCCTGCGTAGATTGCCCTTCTACGGATATTCGCCTACAATTAGTTGGGTAATGACCGCCTTGCCGGTAGAGAGGCTCGGCCGCACCACGCCACCGACTCTCCTACCCCCCAAACCCCCAGCCCATGGCAGGCCAATTGCCCGGGTTCATCTCCTCCGGCGGCGTCTGCCCGAAGAGCCCGGTAAAGATCCCAGCCTCGGTCCCGCCGTGGCTGCCATGCCCCCCATTGCTCATCTCGGACAATAGACCGTTTATACCAAGACTCGTCGGCATCGACACGGAAAAGCCAAGGTCATTCATATTTGTACCATTGCCGGGTTGCTGATCTGCTCCTTTTGGAAAGTACCCGTCTTGCGTACTCTGGCCCATCTGTACCAACCCTTTTCTAACTTCTATTACCATCGCTGGCGGTGTCAACGTCTGTCCTGACTCTTTCAACGCCGCCTCGCGCGCGTCCCAGGCCGGGAGCACGGTCGTGGCGAAGACTTTGAAGAGTGGGCTGTGGTACGTAGATGTGGTGGAAAGGCGTGCCGCGAAATTTTCGTCCATCAATCCCCACGCTCGTTCCGCATGCTTCCCGACAGGGCATCTTCGTAGCTCTTTGATGATTTGGAGATACGCGGGGAACGGGAAATAGAAGTTGTATAGCCAAGTATACCCTCTCGTGGTCGGCTGCGTCATGACCTTCGTATCGCACTCAAGCATCGTGAATGCGTGGGACATCGTCGCGTCAACATTGGCTTCGGCAGCGGCTTCGTTAGGGGTCGAGCCATCGTGTTTCCAATAGTGTTCCACGAGCCGGTGTTTTGCCATGTGTCCTCTTGTCATCCAAATGGTCAAGAAATGGAGGGGGATGTCGGGATCACAAAACTTGAGATACTTTTCCTCGATCATCTTCTCCAGCGCCGCCAAGTCGGGCACTTCAACCCGCTGAGCGTCTCGAGCTACCGCATGCAAGGACGGGTCGGTGAAGTCAAGGTGGAATTTGGAGTGCCTGATAAACTCCCCTATCTGAGCGCGAACTACAACGTGCGTCGCGTCGGTCGAAAATCCGCGAGCTGCTGGTGCCTGCTTCATGTGTGGCCAGAGGTCGGAATCGTTCACGTTCAGGGGTATGCTGCAGTCCCAGGTAGGGCCGAGTGATGCGCTCTTGAAGTCGGCCATCCCGCCCATGCGGTCGTCGAAGAGAGCGAAGGACCACCAGAGCCGTCGGCGCATTTCCGCTTCGAAAGGGTCGTGTTTCCTGGTGATCCCCTCGTTGTGGATGCCAATACGACGGGCGATGCGATGAGTGATGCCGAGTATGGAGGATAGCGTCACGGGATCTGTGCTGAGGCCGATCGACATCTAAAATTGTAAGTACGTGCATTCTAGATTCCGTCGTGTCCGAACACGCATCCATCCATTCATCCATCTCGATGCGACATGTGCTTACACTGTACAAGAACAACGAAGTCAAGCATTCGCGGTCGTTCGTTCGTAAAAAGCGGGAATTCAGTAGCGCTTGCTGGCAGCCGTACTGGTATCTCGATAGGAGATATTCCCTCGGGCAGTCGAAGAAGGTCTGGCAGTCTTCTTCTGACAGACTCAAGACGGCCATGGAATAGATGCTAAATAGGAGAGCCTCGAAGGGGGGGCTGATCTGTCGAAGATTGCCCATGGCCTCGATGATGCGCCCCTGCGTGCTCGGGGGATGTATGACCTTGATCAAGGGGTTGACATTGTCGAGGTATACTTGCCACAATCTAAAGATCTGGATCGGTTCGGGATGTAGGTGAGAGAGGTTAGCCGCTGTCTTTCGAGAGCCGAGAATGAGGAGGATGTTATCCCCAGATAACTGCTCCCAAGCCTTCTTAACCATAGTTTCACGGTCCTCGTAACTCGGACAGTTGCTTTGGTTCTCGATATCGTCCCGAGACTAAGGTTTACCTGTCAGTCGAGTTTTATTTGAGGATTACAAAGTCTTACCTGGTTCATGGCATGCCAGAAACTCCTACGACAATTAGTTCGTTGCCGAGCCAAGTTTCTATTCGAGGAGAAGGGGGCAGGGGGTTATGCGCACTTAGTCTCGTACGACAGTCCTCTTTCCGACTTGGCGGTTGCGGAGGGAGACGGTGACTCCGTCCCATCAACAGGCTCTGAATTCTCATCATCGTCCGAGCCGTGGTCCACTTCCGTGCTGAACGACGTCTCAACCAGAGAGGAGCTGTCGGGGAGCGATTCAAAATTAATATTGCTCCGGAGGAGCAGCTCCTCGTACCGACGGAGACGCTTCAGCAGGTCTCGCTTGGCGATTTGGCGCCTGGGACGACGCCGGGCCGGCACGGTGGGAACGCACTCCGCTCCTGACTTGATGCAGTTAGAGCAGGGAAAGTTGTGATCACATTTGACCTTGCGCTGATGGCAAAGCGTGCATGCAAGTACCCGCGGTGGCTTTGACGATTGAGAGGACGGTGCAGACACGACTGGAGATGATAACGGTGCGTCTGAGCTGCTTCCTTCTGGCATACCCTGCGCCGCCCTCGACATGGCCGAAGCACGAAGCCGGTGACTGAAGGAGAGGATTGCCGAGACGAGGTGCTGGCGCTGGACTTTTGCGAGAGTCCGGATTTCACAAGCACGAAGACGGAATATCCACGACCGCGCCGGCGAGTTGGATCGAGCAGGAAAAAAAAAAGGCGCTTATCGGACAACAAAGTAGGCCGAGGGGGCAATAAAGGAGACGAGAAGAGGAGACAAGAAACTGGGATCGAAACACAGATGACCGGCCCTCGTATCTCATATTGGGTCGTAGAGATGCTCTCTTAGTGCTCACTGGAGACGGGAATGCAGCACCGCATTGTCAACCAATAAGGACAGGGGTCAAATTGCCCGTTACTTGGATGTGAGGGTAATCTGGGTCCCAACGCCCCCAGTTGCTCTAGGTAGTTTCGGACATCGTGTGCGCCGCCTCGGTCTCGTCCAGAGTCCGAGATGGGACCTGGCCCACGCCAGGCCGCCGACAAGGCGGCAACCGAGACTGCAATGCACACACCGACTACGTAGCTAGACAACCACATGCGCCGGTTTCTTCCTGAGTTACCATCTCTCGCAGTTACAGGCCACCTATAGAGGTATATCGGTGGAACTACAGCATATACAGATACGTGTATAGGTATAAGGAGGTATGCATCGGATCTGAGCCTCTCGGTTCGGGCCTCTGAGCACTACCTAAAATACATTGCGTCCCCCCCCAAGGCAACCAGCGGAGTGGCACGAACCCCCCCTCCTCCCCCTCGCACTCGACCACCATGGCTAGGATTCTAGACGATTTGCCTGCCTATTAGGGGCATAGTAGGGTGGACTTCTATCGGCTTACGCGCTTTACTGCTACGAGGTAAAAGAAAAGGAAAAATAATGAAAAATGAAAAATAACACCATCCCGTGATTAAGTGCATGATGCCTTTTGCCGCGTTCCCTCCAGCTCGGTCCCGAAGACTGTTTGGCGAAGCAGGTTAGGATGGAATTGGCCAGGCACCGTTTCGCTTAGCATCCCGTACGTTGCCAAAAATGACACCCTCCTATTTGCCTAGGCGGATGCCCTCCGTTGCCTGAATAAAGCTCGCGATCCCTCCCCCCCGATTGGCCGCCGGAACCCCGATGTCCAGCTCACGACAGTGGTGAGGTTGTTGGCAGGATGATGGCGGGCTTGTCCGGAATACGACGCAGGGACCTCTCGAGCTGGGAATGCCGCTGGATACGACTGGACGCAACGCGTCGCATGCCTTAGGTGCCTCCATATTGTTCGGAGCCGCATACCCTACTACTTATAATTCGCTCCGCGTGGGCTGACAGATCCAGCCGGCGCGACCACGCCCCCTGCTGCATTTCGGACGGCCGTGGGAAAGAAACGGAGGGGTAGAAGGTGTTTACAACCTATCTGTCACCACGCACAGTTCGAGTGGCCACAGGCAGTTTGTATGAGCAGGCCTTAGCTGGGCCACCCGCTGGAAGCTAGGAGGTAGGTACCTAGGTAGGTAGGTCACCTTGGCATTTATTGCTTACCTAAGTACCTAATTAACCGAACTTGTACCGCTTCCACTTCCATAGTACATGTAGGACCCCTCAATCTCGCAGCACTACCGAGGTACCTATTTTCGAAAAGAAACGCCAGATAACAACCCCGGCTCCACGGGATAGAGAGATCTCCGGCGACAAGCCTGCCAGCGTAGGGAGGATGCCGCCGAAATCTGTCCTCGTGACCGGTTGTAGCGAGGGAGGCATCGGCGCCGCCCTGGCTGTCGAGTTCCAGGCTCGGGGTTGCCGGGTATTCGCGACCGCCCGCGACCTGAGCAAGATGCGGTCGCTCTCGCGCGACGGTGTCGAGAGGCTTCCCCTTGACGTCAACTCGGACGCGTCTATCGTCGCCGCCGTCGAGTCTGTGCGCAAGGCCACCGGCGGGTCTCTGGATTACCTCGTAAACAACGCCGGGGTAAACCACGTGATGCCCTTCACGGACGCGAAAGTCGACGACCTGAGACGCGTCATCGAGACCAATGTTGTCGCCGTACTGGCCGTCACGCACGCCTTCCTACCGCTCCTGATCGAAGCGAAGGGCGTGGTAGCCACCGTCGGCAGCGTTAACGAGGTCTTCTGCCCTCCGTACCAAGTGGCGTACAACGCGTCCAAGGCCGCCGTGCACGCCGCTATGCGGACTCTCCGCGTCGAGCTCGCTCCGCTCGGCGTCAGCTTCGTCACCATTATGACAGGCAGCGTGCGGACGAAGCTGTTCGATAATGCGCCGACCAAGGTCCCCGAGGACAGCCTGTATCACGCCGTAGCGGAGGACGTAGAAAGGCGGGCATTTCTCAGGGAAGCCCAGTGGGTTGAACCCGATGTGTTCGCCAAGCAGGTAGTCGGCGACTTGCTCATACCGAAACCGAAGTCGAATGTATGGCGCGGCGGCATGTCAACCATCGCTTGGCTCCTCTCGTGGTTGGGGTGGGAGGGCATGCTGGTAAGTTCTCCTCAGTTCGATCGGATGGGAAGAGAGCTGAGACAACCATAGGACGCTGCCTTGATCCAAGGTAATCAGCTCGGCAGGGTGCACCGCTGACGGTGATTTGTCGATTTGGCTTCCGTTGACGAAAGCCTCACACACCCGTTGGTGTCTTGTTCGGCCCGGAGTGTAAGTGTCTGTGTATCCCAGTGCCGCGTACCATCATGACCACACCTCCGATTGGATTGGGATATTGTGTAAACGTGATAAAATTTGGAGCTACACACGAGATTTCGGTGGCGCCGACACCTAGAAGTACAAATTACGCCAAATATCTACCTACTCAGGAGATTAAGCCCGACTCCCGGCACCCTAACGATTCCAAGAACGTCCCTAGTCCCGGAAGCGGCCCGATGTGTTCCACGTAGCCGTCCGGCCGGATGTACACGTACGAAGGTCTCGGAAGGCCAAACTCGCTATGCAGCCGATTTCTCACGTCAGTGTATCCGGAAGCTCCGTGTCTGTCCGCGCCGTCGCCGAGAATCATGTGCAACTTCGCTCTGTCCGGGTTGTGCCGCTTGAATAGAAATTCGGCTTTTGAGAAGACCTCTTTCGCGGCAGCAGCCGCTTCGACTCCCGAGAAAAGGACCAGGTGGTGTGTTTCGGCGGTGAGGAGGTCGTGGAAGTACCTCTCCTCTCCGGCGATCTCGATTTTGCTATCTGGAGCCCGGTCGCCTCCCCTAACCGGCCCCGAAAAGTTGGTGGCCGTACCGACGATGAAGCTTTTCCTATAGCTAACGCCAAACTGAGATATGAACTTGAAGATCTTAGCACGGCGGCTTGGACTGCTCACAAACCAGGGCAATGCCCAGGTGAACAAAATGTTGCGAAACAGGACGAAGAGGGGGTTCAGAGAACACCCCCAAGTGAACATCTTGTCAGACGTCTCGAGCAGATACTGTCCGATTGGTCGACGTTCAGAGTCGTAGCTGTCGAGAAACGAGCTGGGCCGCTCGCCGCGTATTACCTTGGCCAACTTCCAGCCCAGGTTTATGGAGTCCTGTATGCCCGTGTTCATCCCCTGCGCCCCGGCTGGGGAGTGGATATGGGCGGCGTCGCCTGCGACGAATAAGCGGCCGTCTCGGTAGCTATTCACTCCTCGGTGATGCAGGTGGAATTCGGTGATCCAAGTGGGGTCATACAGTTCCCCAGCACCCGGGAGGAGTTGGTCCAGCATCCCTTGGAATTCCTGCAGCGTCAGGTTGCCGTCCTCTTTGGGATAGAGGCGCGATACCACGACTCTGCAGGTGCCGTCTTGGAGCGGGAAAAAGGCGAGAGACCCTCGCCCCATGCAGAGGGAGAACCGGTTCCAGGACGCCTTCGGGTTCCGGATGTGCGCGTCGCACAGGATGAAGTCCTGAGGATACGCGGCACCCTGGAATGTAAACCCTTTTGAGGAACGCCGCACGCTGCTGTGCGCCCCGTCGGCCCCGACGACGTACTTGGCGCGAATGACATCTCGAGAACCGCCCGGATTGCTTACTTCGACTGTCACGCCTTTGTCATCCTGGACGAAGGACCTCGCCTCGACCCCACGCTCCACAGCACATCCGTGCTTCGCGAGACAGCCGTCTAGAAATGCCTCGGTTTCGCACTGAGAAGTGATGAGGATGAGTGGAAATTCGGCGTTCCCCGCCATGCCAGATATGTCGATGTCTGCCATCTTCTTGCCGTAGAGGTAGAACGTAGCACCGCCGCTTAGGTTGCCCTGAGCGACGAACTCGCCGACATTTCCGTGACGGCTCAAAAGTTCGAGGGTACGAGGCTGGATAGCCAATGCTCTGGATTTGTCTGACCGCCGAAGCTCTTTGTCGATGATGCGGAACGATATCCCCTGGACGGCGAGCTCCAGTCCCAAAGTCACTCCAGTCGGCCCACCACCGACAATCAGAACATCCGTCTCCTGCATCCTCGTGGTATCCTGTATGTTCCGGCAGAGCTTGTATTATCGCTCGGCAGAGCCGTTGTCGTTCATTGATGCAGTCTGGCTACGATATTATATTCGTATCGGGGTCTGGGGTCGGGGTATAGGTGGCATTGCTATATATTTGTCGTAAAGCGCCCTCCCCCCCCTAATCATCTATCACCGCGTCGGTGTGGGCGTCAACCCTCCAACAATGCCTCAGCTTTCTTTGCCATCCCGGCCCAAAATCCCGCATGACGCGTCGATCTCACGTTTATCTCTTCAGTTCCTCCTGTATCGTGGCATTCTAGATCAAAGAATCTCAAATCAGGTACATGGCGTGTTTGCTAGCCTAGCCTCAGAATTACCCCCTGCGAGACCGGGACTGAGTGGCCCTACATTGCCGACAAGGACACCATGCATCCCTACCCAGGTGTCTGTAAGATCGTGCATGGAAAATCGTTGCCATAAGTTCTGCGGAGGGCAACTGAGGGGACGGCGGATCAGACGCGGGTGACTACACACGCCTATCGAACCAGAAATCTCGGGCCATAAATTCAAGGGGGTTCAAGTGCAACACGAGATCTATCGTATTTGCGCGCTGCTGTTCCGGGTAGAGACAGGGTGAGCGGGGACGGGTATGGACAATATTTCCATGCGATCTCCCGCTCTACTCGAACCCTCAGGATCCCTACTCACGCAAACCATCGAGCATTATTAAAGAGCCAGGCTGCACAATAGTGGGACCCGAAAATTTCAGGAACCGCAACTCAAGGGACACTGGATTTCGCATGGTTAAAATAGGCCTCCGAGGCCTACGGTGCCAATATGCGTTTGGTGGGGTGAAGATCTATCGCGCTCAACAATCTAGCATCGAATAGGAGTTGGCGAAACGCCTCTCTGTTTCGGACATAGATACGTGGCAGAGCTTCTCATAACGGGCCTTAAGCTTGATAGGTTACGTCGATGGGGGCTGCTGGTTCCATCTGACGCCACCGACATGTCGGTTGACCGAGCCGAAAAATCGCCAGGCCCGGAGTTATTACTACCATTGGATCCAAGAGCGCCGTGGTGAGACATTTTCTAAGTCAGGCTTATGGTAAATGTAGTGGAGCGATACGCCCATCTATCACAGATTGACCAAGTCTAGCGTGTGCATATCTACCGTAGCCAGTCAAGACCCGAGAGGGGGCTTCGTTGGAATGTGGTGATATTAATATGCGGAAACCCTTTGGTAACCGCCAGGCTCGTCTCGCCCCCAAGTCCACCGCCAAGTCTCTCCAACGATGACGGTATCAGGCCGTCCATGAATCAAACAAGTTCGCAGATTTGCTGTACGGTGGCACCAGAAGACGATGGAACGAAGAACGGATGGCGGAGCCAGGTTTCGTCACTACATGTCGGTTCAGTGAGAATGCGCCTCAAAAACGCTCGGCCAAAGGGGTATTGAAATTTGGGGTTGATATTCTCCGAAGGCCCTTGTGTCTTTCTTTTCCCCCTAGAGAACACTATTATGTAGACTCCAAACAAAGGTCTTCAACCTTCGCATGGAGATCCACACATATTCGACTCCAGAATAAGCAAGGCAACTAAGGCGATCCGTACGTTGGTCGTCAGAGCGTTGAATGCGACAATATCTTAGCATGGATAGGATCACGCCCAATAATAATCAGCCATCTCTCACCGCTGCCCAGTATTATCTACACCATCTTGGCAAAAACGCCCACCGCCCGCAACAAGCTGCCGTGACATTTGCAAATACCACAGGGTTGGGAAAAGACTTAATGCATACCGTATTATTATCAGTGATGGCTGTCGTCTGCACTTACGAGAACACGACACATAATAGAAGCTCTCACAATGCCGCGTACGCGACGAAGCAGGTAGGAAACCGCAGTGTCAGTGTCTAAACTGACGTTCCCATTGCACCGGGTGCTCGTAATGGGAACAATAAATTACAGTACTCTGTATGCCCCCAAAGCCTATCCACTGTCTTACGAACCTGTCTATTGGTGTAGCATGGTCGGGATTACCAGGCTTCACCCAAAGGAAGATGTTTATTCAATTACCAAAGCTACAAGTTAACTATTTCCACATTGGTAATGTTGTATTGCTAGTTTCAACTTACAATTCTCTTGTAATTTCTATCAAGAAGAGCTATGTCGATGCAGAGCCAACGTAGTGACTACACGAGCGTCTTCGATTAATGTTGGCGTAAAGGATACCATTCTAGAAAGGTATTGTTACCCTTGGAAGTGGAGCCAACACACGTAGCCAGCCTTAAAGCAAACTGTTTCAACTTGGTGCTTGGAATATAACACCACGAGGATAAAGAGATACGGAGCTCGAAGCCTCAACTGTGACGGCAACGAGAGAGGCCCCTAGGGAGTATATGATAATAACGTCGTTAAGCGACTTAATAATTTTAACTATGTCACGTTTACGTATCAGCTTTAGGTTATCGAATCGAACAAAACTGATGTGCATCCGTGAAGAGGCTCCAAACTGAGCAAATTAAAAAGATACATATTAATTTACGCATTACTGTCGTCCTTTTCCTATATGGAACTCCTCTGTAGGCTTCACCTACGCTGACATCAGTGTAAATATAGGACCTCCTTCAGGGCTATAGACTCCTAGGCGGTAATTCCTGCCTCCTCCTTTTTGTGCTCAGCCAGGTTAGGTGAAGCACCTTGCTTGTTCAGCGATGCTGTTCCTTCCTCAGCGTCATGGATGGAGCTCTCGATAGCTTGGCCGCTGATCGTTGCGTTCTTCCTCTCCTGCCTCTGTTGTCTCCGGGTAAACCAAACGACGACTGGTAACCAAGCCGCTAGTGCTAGCGATGCGGCAAGGCCGGCACGGTAACCCCGGTGAAAGCGAGGCGCTTCAACGGTCGGGACAAATACCTGATGAAGGACCAGTCAGCAAAACCACCGGACGAGTAGGCGAGAAACCCACCTGATTCCACCAAGTCCCCTGAGCCAACCCGATCGAGTTCAGCGCGCCGATAACGATAGCTCTCTCTTCAGCATCCGCGGAGCAGACCATGTGTGTCCAGCTGACGATGATCGGGAAGAGTGACTGAACCGTGCCGGCGATATAAAACGCGAAAAAGATGGCCGGCTTGCTCAGATCCCAAGCAACTAACATGGATTCCGAGATGATCTGGAGTATGCAGATCAAGACGACGCTCTCCAATTGAGAGTTTCTCCAGTCGTTATAGGTTCCAGAGAACAACATAAAAGCGATCGAAATGGCGGAATAGACGGTAGGCAAGTTGTTGACATCCGGTACCGAATACTTCTCGGCCTTCAACCATAGCGCCATGGTAGAAGTTGTCGGCGCTTGGTAGACGAAGTACATGAGATAAAACCATGTGCACTAGAGAAACCGGGTTAGATAAGCCGAATCGCAACATCTTCCGAGGTGGCTTACCAGGATCCAGAAATGCCACCTCCCAAGCAAACGTTTGAAAAGGGACCGGTCAAAGTGGCCAAGAGGCTTGCGATTATCGGCCTCTAGCCGCTTCATACACATCTGGCGCTCCCTCTCCGTCATCCACCAAGTGCTCTTCTCGAATAAGGGGTTGGGGATAATGACAAGCCCGATAGCGACCACTTTGTATATTGGTCGTCAGTCGTCAAGCAGCGTGACTGAAGAACATGAGACCACATTTTCAAGGCAAGAAAAGGGAACCTTACTAGGGCAAGTAATGAGGAAGTCTGATAACAAATACATCAAGATACGTTAATAATCTTCACGAAGGTGAGTGGAGAGTTCGGCTAAGTCTCACCAATAATGAAAAGCCATCTCCATCCTCTTATTCCCAGATGGCCGTCTATCGTCTGGTAGATGCCGGCTTGTATGTAACCGGAGAACATGGTGGCGGCAATTCCGGAAGCCGTAAATATGCCGCTCCTCTTGTTGATTTCGTGGTTGCGATACCAGGTTCCGATCTGCGCCAGATCGGAATATTGTGTTAGAATATGTGCATTCATCAAAGGAGCTAATGTGTTGAGTTGCATAGCCAGATGTGGGATAATAATATTATCCCGCGTTTGGATGCGTTACCGAAGATTCTCCCCTACTAATATGGCAATATTAGCATCCGCGTACCACATTGCGAAATGAACTTCAGACTTGACGCATACCCATGAAGTGCAGACCAGGCCAGCTAGCAGCTTCGGCGAAGCCAACGCAGAACCTCAGGGCATAAATCTGTTCGGGAGTCTGGCACTTGTGCAGGAAAAGCACGAAGAAGGCCCAGAGAAATTCGGCAGCCGGGAGATACCATCGCGGGGAGATCCTGGTGAGCAGGATCTGCGACGGGATCTGACCAACGATGTATCCGATCTGGAACCAGGTTACCATCCAGTTGAGTTCATTGCCATATAAGTTCAGGTCCTCCTTCATGCCGGAGACGTAGGCATTATTAATGTTGTTGCGGTCGAGATCCTTGGCGAAAAAGGTCAAGCAGCAGAAGACCAGAACGGTGAGGTCGAGCTTCTGGACGAGTTTTCTTTCCTCTTCCGACGTGCCCGGCCGGTTCCAGAAGTAGAACTTCTCATTGGCCTTGGAGGAGATGACTATTACATCGTGGGGAGTTGTCTCCGTTGCTGGCGATTCCGCTCCGTGCTCGGTGGATTCACTCTGTTGGCTCTTGTCCGACATGCGCGCGAAGAAACCCATCGCAATTACGTAGGTACAGAGAGATCAGGTCTGGCGATATTACTGGTATGATGAGGCCGGTTACCGACTTCGGATGGAGAAGGAAATTTGAGATGAAATACCGAATTCCACAACTGTCGTATTAATATAGTCCTACTCTATCTCGATCATGGAGACTCTTATACCGAGTCGTTATCAAATCGAAGCGAAGTAATATTGATATGATGAGGATCGCAGCGACTCCCTAATATCGTTTTTACGGTTCCCATGAATGATTGCTATTCCTATCCGTTCCCGACTGGGGGAACAAATTGGCGTGGGGGGTTACTGAGAGGTTGAACAACGATAACTCGGGAGATAACTTCAAACCCATGTCTTATCACGGAATGGGTCGTGGTTACAGCGCTTGGGGCCGATGGCGGGGTTGGGGATGGAGGGGGCTCTGACGGCTTGTTCCGACTCCATAGCTCATGTCCGGGTAATATTCAGCGACAATCGCGAGGGGAGATGAGCAAATAAGTGAAGAGGGCCTCTCCATCAGCGCCAGCACGAAAGCCAACCAATCAACTACCATGGCGTCGGCAAGATTAACCAAGGAATGCCCTATCATCATTGTGGGTGCGGGCGTCTTCGGGCTGTCGAGCGCGTTGCACCTCTCGCAAGCGGGCTACAAGGACATTACCGTCTTCGACAAGCAGCCGTACGCCGAGAATGAGTACTCGACGGCTCGAGGCGCCGACGCGGCCTCTGCCGACTTGAACAAAGTCATGAGGATGAGCTACGGCGAAGAGATCGAGTACCAGCGCCTCGCCTTTGACGGCGTCGACACGTGGAATGCCTGGAACCGGGAGATCCAGTCCTCGAAGCCCGAGGACCTGCCGCGGGGTCTCAAGCCGTCAGATCTCATCTGGAACAACTGCGGCTTTCTCCGAATGAGCACTGACGGCCGACTGTCCGCCATGGAGCGTGCCACGCTCGGGAACATGACTCGAGAGGGGCTCCGGCAGACGCAGTTTGTCATCGGAGACCCCGAGGATGAGGAGAGGGCGAGATCTCACTTCCAGCCCGGCGAGTGGGAGAAGAAGTCAGACCCGTTCGGGCGCAGGAGGCAGGGCAAGGAACTCGTCGGCGTCTTCGACTCTACTGCTGGGTTTGTCGAGGCTAGTAAGGCCTGCACGTGGGTGATGCACCTGTGCCGCAAGAACGGTGTGCGATTTGTGCTTGGCAAGAGAGATGGTCAGGTTGCCTCCTTCATCAAGGATGGAAACGGTAAGACGGTTGGTATTCGCACCGTAGGCAGCGCCGAGTACCGTTCGAAGCTCGTGATCTTAGCTGGTGAGTCGACTTATATCTATTCCTTGTGGAGGAGACGGGGACGTGACGTAATGGGATTCGTTCTCGCTAATCTCCAGCGAACTTACAGCTGGTAGCTGGACCCCTTACCTGTTCCCAGCTGTATCTTCGCTTCTGGAGACAACCGCTGGGAGCGTTGTATTCTTCCAGTTACCACCGAGGGACCGTGCTCCTGATCTCTGGGACAGGTTCTCTCCCGAAAACTTTCCCGTCTTCTCCTACGGAGGGTGGTCAAATGGGCACGGCATCGGTGGCTTCCCCCGGACCGAGAACGGGATAGTCAAGATCGGCTACCGAGGCACTAAGTATACCAACTACGAAGACGTCTTGGACCCTACCACAGGTAGGACACATCGAATCAGCGTTCCTAAGACGGCGTACTGGCCGCAGACATACGACCCGGCCGTCACTAAACAGGCCGTCGACGCCATCAAGGAGGTGGTCAAAGAGGCCATGCCAGAGCTTGCGGCAATTGGGATCACGGGCTGTAGGAATTGCTGGTACACCGACAGTCTCGATAACGGATTCCTTGTCGACTACGTGCCGAACGACGAGGGCATGGTCGTCTGCTCGGGAGGTTCGGGCCACGGTTTCAAGTTTCTCCCCACGCTCGGGCGCGAGGTGGTCAAGATTATCGAAGAACCCGAGGTTAAGAACGACTACGGGAGGCTCTGGCAGTGGCGGACTAAGGAGGGGCCGAAAAACGGGCTGGAGCAGGGGGAGGCTGGACCGAGGAATTGGAAAAAACAGATCATGGCTACCAAGGAAGACTGGAAATTCGAGGAGGCGTCGAGGATCTGAATAAGAAACAGAGAACGGCCAAATCCGGGCACCGAAAGGGCCGCCGGGTTTGCTATTATATTGTAGATAAATAATATTTATGTATTAAGGAGTGGGGGGTGCCGTGACCCTCATGTCAACTGCATGATACGTGTTCGTCCTCTCGTATGTCTTCATAGGGGAAGCACTTTGAGATCATTGGACACCAGCTGTGTCACTTCAGCGAGACCATCGACGCTCTTGGTAACCTCTTGGCGTACTGTGGCGCTCTGCGTAGAGTTAAGTTCCTTTCCGGCATCCGGGCGTTAGCGAGGTGGTCTCCTGGGGGAGGTAGCATGTATGGCACTCACCGTTTCGCTCGGGAACACTCTCAAGACAGCAATCTTCTTCAGGGGCAGGTTCAAAGAGCTGCCGTATACAGCGTCCGCGCCCCCGGCCTTCTCCAGGCTCGACTGCACCTTCTTCGACAGAGCCAGGAGATCCTCGTCGCTCGGTGCGGTTTTCGGGCTAACTAGTAGGATTTCCAGCGTAGAGCCCCCGGTGAAGAGACTCGAGGCAGGGTTGGTCTCGAAGATGTTGAGCTGCGGCGGGCCGTCGAGGAAGGGCTTCAGAAGACCCGTGTAGTTGGCGAAGGCGGGAGAGCCAACGAAGTCATGAAATGCAGAGACGGTCGGCCATTCTAGTTGAAATTAGCAACCCAACACGAAACTCGGGTCACCGGTGTCTCTCACCGAGAACGAGAACTTCCCTGGACTCTGATGTTACGTCTCTACCATTCTCGGAAGCGAGGAACCCTTGGGCCACTCGTAGAACGCCCGCGTTCTTGAATGCTTTTATTCCAACAGGGAGGGCCTTTAAGACAGCCTCGATAACTCCCGGGTCTTTCTTGAATTGAGGGAAGACGACTTCGATAATAGCCATTGTGAAGGGATATTAGGTGGAACTGCGCGGTGAGACGTAGTAGGCTGTGAAGTCACAAAGGCAATCCGTGGCTTTTCGACCCCGAATAATCTGCAAATACACACTTCTAGTAAAGCTATGCTATCTGCCGGCTCTTATACTTCTTGACTAGCCGTAGATTCAGCATGGCAAGTACTTAATAGCGCAGTTGTTTCTGTGATGGGCTTCCGTTGGTGGTAACAGGTTGGTGGTAACAACCACGAATGGCTGGCTTAGTGCATGAGTAGCTATTGTCGTTGCAGATATGTGGTGGAGGGGACACATCGCAAGAGATCGCGATCCGTGCTCCTTGTATTAAGCTTATTATTCATTGCATAAGGATGTGCTGGCGGCACTGAAAAATCTCAACATCCAATCGCGAACCTCACTTCAGACGGTAAGAGTCGCTATTTTCGCTGCCGTCATATTAAACGACCATTCTACGTGTTTGGGGGGATTAGTTTCGCCGCAATCGAGGGGATCGATTTCTAATCGTGTAGACGGGAACGACGTAGAGTATAGGTCCAGTGCCACCGCACGAGACCTCGTTTGCGCGTATCGGTGAGTTGAATCCTCGGCCAAGTTCGCCGGAATGTCTTCGTGCTGACGCTTCGGGCCTTGGCTCCGACTCAAATGACCTCAGGTCGGGGATACTGAGCACTGCGGGCATAAACGCCGACGAGTCATGAGCACCGTCTTCGCTCCGCTACACCCAACGTGATGCCATCGTTGCTCGCGCAGTCGGCTTATCAAGAACCCCAACTCGAAACATAGGTGGTCGGGTCGATCGGTTGGCGGGCTGGCTATCTCACTCGCACGGATGATCCGGGTTCTTCGGAGGCATCCAAGGCGTACCGCTTTTTTCTATGATGAAGCCACACCCCGCGCAACGAGCTGCGAGTAGCGTCCAGGGAGCAGCACGGCTTTCCCGCCCTAGGAATATTTCGGGTGGTGTAAAGACACGCAGATACGCACGGCGCACCTGACGGTCTTTTCCCGCCGACGAGCTGCTATCCGCACCTATCAAGAAGCCCCGTGATTACCGGATGGGTCTCGCGAGTTGAGACGAGAAATGTTCGACACCGGAAGGGGAAGCGAGCGCCGAGAAACATATGGATTATCCTCGTATTTGATATCCGAAGGTTTCCGCGGACAGAGCCGTTGGGCCATCATGGCTCTGCCATAGGTACCTCTAGTTATCCCCGCGTAAGCACGGTATGGCCAGAGGTAGGCAAGTAGGTAAGTACAACAAATCAGAAGCCTCTGGACAGTCCGTGATTCTCCGAAAACGGAATATCTGGTCAGCGCTCTGGCGGAGAACCCGCGTCTGCCCGCGATCCCCGCAATGCCACACCTACGGCGCTTGGTAATCTACGCCCTCTCCGGCAGCGACCGTCTTTCGATTCGCTCTGGCCCCGGCATGGAGAAACCAGAGCCGTAGGGCCGTCAGGACGGTGACGAGCGCCCAGCGCTCGCCGAGGGACCCCGACAACGCGTCTCCTACGAACCGCAGGTCGAAAGGGCGCATCAAGTTTGTCAGCGTCTTATTCCACTTGAACACCGCGACGACGTCGTATCCGTCCTCGGTGGCAGCTGCCGGCTCCTGGGAGGGAGAGGCGGCGACGCTCTCCGGGTCTCGCCGCGAGGACAGGCGCAGGAGTTTAAACCCGCCTTCTTTGAGCTCGCCGTCGGCTGCGATGTCAGGAGCAGTTAGCAGAGACCCTTCATCCGTAACCCAAGCGTCTGGATTATCGACTATTTCCAAAGCCCTCTTCCCTCCATAGCCAAGGTACGGGCAACTGGGAATTGTCGAGCGTAGGGATACGAGAGGCGGTTCCCGGGGTTTCTTACCGCCCTTCTTCACCTTCCTCCACTCGAATTTCTCCCGCACCAGCTTGGCGCTGTGACTGACCTCGATGGAGAACTCGTAGCCGACTCCGGTTTCGCCAATGGTGTGGGCTCGCATGATCTCCGTGGCCAACTGTTTAGGATCCGCACTAGGCACGACCGGCGGCAGTTTCACGATGCTGTTGGGAGAGTACACGTCGAGTCTCGTCACCGTTCGCTCCTCGCAAGAGAAGGCGAGAACGGGGTCCTTATCGCTGGGGCCATTATGAAGCACGATGCGCGGCACTTCCCCGTCCCACCCCGCGTGCGTGGAGACGGCGAAGAGGCGGTCGTCGGGCCGCTCGCCGCCGCAGAGGTGGAACGTCGCGGTTATCTTCCATTGGTAGCGCGCCTGCATCTCGGGGGGAAAGGGGCGGTAGAGGCGGCTCGGGCCTGTCGCGACCGCGACATCGTAGTCGGGCGGCGCTTCGGCGGGCGGAAGGCTGGTCCCCGATGCTTCTCGGCGGTTTAGGTCCTCATCTGCTGGATTTCCCATATTCGCACCCGAATTGGGGGGTCGAGAATGGAGAACGAAGCCAAGGCGGTCTTGCGACAACCAGTATGAGGAGGGAGCGCTGCCGAGCGGGGCGGAGGACCCTATCGTCCAAGAATTGCCACGGAGAGGTGCAGGACCACAGGACTATTTGTATAGCGCCACGTGCAAATGTAGCAGCCCACACTTCGCTGGTGGGCGCTGTAAGGTTATATAGGCCTGTCTATGCAACGCATAGTCCTGTAGCTCGTACCTACAGGTGGTGACCAGGTCGATGAGCTCGATGGCACGCTGTTGATGGTGCCTAAATGTTCCCGCTCCATCGGCTACTTTAGCACAAGTTGCCAGGTACCAGAAAAAAGAAGTACCTACAAATATCCACTCCTCAGGTACCCAAAGGCACCTATAACCGGCCTAGACACCTATTCTGCCTCCCTACGCCTTCGTCCTCATTTTATAGTCCCCCTTACTCTGTGTTAGATACCGCTACAAGCAGCTTTGATCTCGTCTAGGGCGTCTGCGTAGGCGCTGAACTAAATACCTACGTGACGAGCCGACCCTGTGCACGTGTGGGTAGGTACCTGGTAGGTACCTCCCCTTCTGCCCCATCGGCGCTGCGCCATGCCACCGTAGACGAGTGGGACCGGGGAGGAGGGGTGATACTAATAGGGGCATCTAGGGCGATAGTGGTTAGGGGGCTGACTTAACAACAACCACTTCTTGGATGGCACAACACACACCTCTCTAGTCCACAGAATTTCGAAATATCCCGAATGCGCAAACACACTGGTGTCGTCTATTTATGAGCTCCCGTTGGCATACCAATTGACGCGTCCGTTGTCGAGCCCGTTGGAGTGCCCGTTGCCCTTCTCTCCTGCTGCGCCAGAGCCTCCCCACGCGCCTCCACCGGGAGTCTTGACGATGAATCTTTCGCCGGCCTGCAACTTGACCAGGCCACGCGGGCCGAGACTGACTACCCTCTCCCTCCCTTCAGTCTTCCTAACGATCAGATTCTCGCCCGGGGCCCCGTCCTCGCCGCCGTGGAGACCGTACGGCCGACTGACGCGCCGCTCCGATATCATCGAGAAGGTCAGCGGCTCCCGGCACTCGATCTCTCGCACGACGCCGTCGCCTCCCTTGTACTGTCCCCGCCCGCCCGAGCCGTGGCGGAGAGAGAACCGCCGCAGAATGATGGGGTAACGTTTCTCCATTACCTCGGCGTCCGAGATGCGGGTGTTAGTCATGTGGCAGTGCACAGCGCTGTGAGCCGGCCGGCTGGTTAGCATGCGTTCCGGCTAGTGTCGCCTCCCTTCTTTCTTCTCACTCTGTCGCGGGTCGCTTATGGCTTACCTCGCGCCGTTCCACCCGGGGCCTGCGCCCGAGCCACCGCAGATGGTTTCGCCGTACGCGAACTTGTAACCGTCCTTGGGCTTTCTGTCGCGGCCGCCGAAAAACCCCACGCTATTCATGCATCCTTGGCTTGCGGCGCACGCCTGGGAATAATACACGTTAGCTTTGAGTGTAGGCGCGGGCGAGCGATGCGGATAAGAGGCCAGGACTTACGTCGAATGCTCTGAGGATAACATCGACGATGCGCTGACTCGTCTGCGTGTTCCCAGCGTAGACGGCCGCCTGGTCGCTGGGATTCAGGATGCTGCCTTCGGGATTTACGACTCGGATTGAGGACAGGCAGCCCTGATTCAATGGTATTTCTTCGTTGATGAGACAACGCAAGGAATAAATAATCGCAGACAGGCAGATGCTCTTGGGTGCATTGTTGTTTCCGACCACCTCGGGGCCCGTGCCCGTGAAGTCGAAAACGGCGCTGCCGTCTGGGTTGATCTGGATTTCGAGCCGTATGCGAGTTCCGTTGTCTAGGCTGTCTACTGCGCTCAGATTCCTCCCACCCAGCCGTTCCGAGGTCCTTTGGAGGAACTTTCGCACTGCAACCTCTGCATTCGCCTGGATTCGGTCCATATAGAACTGGTGCCCGCTTGTGATTTAGCCAGAGTCAGGCCGGCCAGCTACCACGAGTACGCACTCACCTGGACAGTCTTGCGCCCGTACTCTCGGAAGAGACTTTCGATAAGTTTCGATCCCTTGACATTCGCGGCGACCTGGGCTCGCAAGTCCGAAAGGTTGTCGTAAAGGCTGGATGTCCCGACGCAATCAGGGAACTGTCCCGGCTCGTTGACGAGTATCTTCGTGATGCCCTCCTCGTCAAAACAGCCATTCGAAACGAGCTTGAAAGACACAATTCTCGCACCCTCATGGAAAAGGGAGGTAGCATTGGCATTGCCAGAAACACCCTCAAGACCACCAATGTCTCGGTGGTGGCCCCGAGAAGCGGTGTAAAATATAATCTCTTTACCACTAGGGTCAAAAACCGGCGTAATAACGGTGATGTCTATTGGATATCAACCGGAAATTCCGATAGCGTCGCCTCTTTGGTCCTTACCTGGCAGATGTGTCCCCCCGGCAATCGGGTGGTTTGAAACTAGGACATCGCCTGGTCGAAGTGCGCCACCATATCTTTCGTGTTGATACTTCACGGCATAGGCCATGCTTCCAAGATGAACCGGTACGTCTGTCAGAATTCGTTAGTAAGGACTACGATATTGCCCAAGGCCTCCTTACGTGGCGCATTTGCTACTAGGTCACCGCTAGGGCCGAATATCGCACAAGAGAAATCGAGCCTGGAGTTTGTCAGCGCACGGGGGGGAAAAACAAATGAGTCGACAAGTGTGCACCTTTCTTTGATATTGATGCTTACCGCCGTCTTCTGCAGTGTCCTACCCATTTGTTCGGCAATGGACATGAAGCCTGTTTACGAAATAATGAGCTCAGGGGCTACGGCCAGGGGTGGGGTAAAAGTCCTACGATGGCCAAATATGGATAATTGAACTGGATCTGGATCCGTCGATGACAAAGACTGGGGCACAGCCGTTTGGTTCTGGGAACCAACAGCGAGGACAACATGCTCCGAGAGTACCTTCGCGGTTGAGAACGGAGTCACGACAATCGTCTGTGTGTTGTCGATGATGATTCCCGGACCTTCGATCTGAGCGCCTCGTTGGAGATTTCGCAAGAGGAAGATCGGTGTATCAAGCCACCCGACGCTGGCAAAGCAGGCTTTCGTCAGCTTCTCGGGGGCTGTAGCTGGAACTGCCATCGTGTCGACGATTTCTCTGTACACGTTATGGGACGGCCGCTCGAATTCCTTCGCGATACCTCGAACACGAATGTCGTCGACGACGATGCTTCGCGACGGCAAAAGGAATGAGAACTCCTTTTGGTGAAGGTCTTCAAAGGCCCGCCTAAAGTCTCCATCGTCCGGCAGCGGCACCATCATTTGGGTATCAGTGCCCTCGTAGCGCAGATTCAAGAACTCTTGGGTTTTTATGTACTTCACAGAAGAAACCCCCTGCTGCAGAAGGCCCTGTGTGGCACGCTCCTTCAAAGTCTCAAACCTCTCCAAGATCTCGGGCTGCGATGACGGTTCTAAGGTAAGGGAAGAAGGCTCCTGGGCTTCTTCTACAAGGTTCGCGAGGGCCATTCCGTATGCCGACAGGATACTCGAGTATTTGTGAATAAGAACGGTGCCGATGCCTAGGTTTCGGGCAATGGAGGCCGCGTGCTGCCCGCCAGCTCCTCCGAAAACGGCGAGGTGATGAGCAGAAGTGTGATAACCCTTCCCTTCCGTTAACGCGCGAATGGGTCGACACATGGCTTCGTTGGCCACGGCCAAGAACCCGAGTGCGACCTCTTCGGGAGTCTTCTTGGTTGCCGACGCGGAGTTGATGGAGTCGGTCAGGTCTAGAAACTTACTCTTTGTGACTTTGTGGTCAAGGGGGAGATTCTCGTCAGGTCCAAATATAGCAGGGAAATACTCTGGAAGTAGCCGACCTAGGAAAAGGTTGGCATCCGTTACGGTCAGCGGACCACCTTTCCGATAGCACGCTGGACCCGGATGAGCCGATGCACTCTCCGGTCCGACAGTAAAGAGTCCATTCTTCCAGCCAAGGATGCTCCCTCCGCCAGACGCCACGGTGTTGATGTCCAGCTGAGGAGACTGTATGGTAACCCCGGCAGTTGTAGTTTCGAAAACGTGGCCGAGCTCGCCATCGTAGCGACTCACATCCGTCGAAGTGCCTCCCATGTCGAAGCCGATGACCGGCGTAGGGTCGTCAGGATGCCACGATGTTTTGGCATATCCAACCACGCCGCCAGCAGGTCCGGATAAGATAGCTCGCAGACCTGAGAATTTTTCAACGTCAACGAGCCCGCCTAGGGAGGAGTTACATCTCAGCCCGTGTCTGCGTGTATGGGAGTAACAGAAAATGGTTGGAACGAACCATCGCTCTGCATGAACTGGCATCTCGTGCTGCAGAGTCCATCTTTGAATCCGCGCCTGAAATTGGATACATATCTCCTGATCTCGGGGGTAAGATACGCGTCGGCCGTGGCGCTCATGCCGCGCGATATCAATTTTATCATCGGGATGAGACTTGCGGATGCAGATATGCTGGTGAACCCGACCTGTTGGGCAATGTCGCGGACAGCGTTCTCGTGGTCGGGGAAACTATAGCTGTGTGCGAGACATATACATATGCTCCGATACCCCTTCTTGTAGAGCACCTCGAGGGACTTCCTCGTACTGTCAATGTCAAGGGGCTTCAGAATGCGGATGATATCACCACTCTGGCCAACCCTCAATGCCGAGTCAGAGTTGACGTCGATGATGCCTTGGAAAGGATCTTTCGTCGAGTCTTCCATAGTCACTCGTTCTTCGACCTCGACGACCTCCGAATAGAGAACTTCAGGCTTGTTGATGGCGAGGTCGAAGAGTTTCGGCCGTGCCTGGTAGCCAATCTCTAAAGCATCACGGAAGCCCTCGGTGATTAACAGGGCGGAGCGTTCCCCCTTTCTCTCGAGAAGCGCATTGGTGGCAACCGTTCTGTTGCGAATTGTTAGCCGGAAGACCGTTCCGCGTGTTGAAGAGAGCACTCACGTCCCCATCCGGATGATGCCAATGCAGTCGGAGTTGAGCTTGGCATCTCTTGGGTGCGGCCGGCCCGTAAACGCCCCCAAAATTCGCCGGATGCCTTCGGTGGGTGCATCTTCGTAATTAGCGGGATCGACAGACAGCAGTTTTATCACTATGTCACCCTGGTCGCCGGCCTGGGGGATGCCGATGCAGTCCGTGAAAGTGCCACCACGCTGGATCGCGAGCCTAGCTTAGCAGACCAGGGGCCGTCGCGAGAATGGGGAGACTCACATCGATGAAGATATCGATCTTAGGCGCCGTCGTCGTATGTGACATGATGTTAGTCTGTTCAACAAGCCCAACCCCAGGTAGTTTTCAAGACTGCCAGGCTTGGCCAATTCCAAAGACGAAAGGCATCAAGAACGAATCACCGCGGAAGGCCCTCGAGGCTTCAGGCAAGCGCACTCCATTGTGTCTATAGTATGGGAACCTGATATAAGCGACGGGCACCTCCAAGACCCATATTGCTGCAACCGCCTATCTTCGGAAGCACCGCTACCTGCACCACTGCTCTCGTTATCTCGTCGCCCCTCGCTCCGGTCGAGTTAAAGCGTCGGGGTGTTGGGGTATCTCCTACGATTGCTTGGCGTCGGCTATCTGCGACGCTAAGTAACATGCCAGCCTATCCTCACACTCAATCTCATTGGAAGCATTGGGTCATCTTGCTGTTTTGGCCTTGGCGGAGTGGTATGGGTTGGGATTCTGCCATGAAGGAGACTCTCTGCCACCTCATAGCCCCAGCAGAGTATCGTCAACTCGGCTCAGCAGAAGCACAAATGCCTACCTACGTGAGATGCCGCAGGAGGAAGCAACGGGTAAGGCAACCAAACCCCGTCACTCCCTAGCCAAGGCAAGCTGAAATCCGGCCCGCCTGTTCTCAGTGCGACCTTCGCTATTTAAAATGTCCAAGTTGTGAGGCCGTTCGTGTGCTGTGTCTGGCCTACGATAGTGAGAAGCGCACTGAGGTTCCGCGTAATTACGGATCGATCCTCGAGGAGGTCGGGAGGCCCAAGTTCGAACTCGACGAGCTCAGGAGACACCGCACGTCGAAGGCGATGGTGCTCGCATGCGTCAAGGCCGACATCGCGATTCTGGCATCGCAAAGTCGTGCCAGGGGTTCGCTTCGCATGGCAGCGCCGCCGTCTAGCATCTCCTCCTCTCTTCCTCCCCGCCACGCGGCTAGCACATCTCAGACGTCTACTTCTGCTACTGAACGCCGCACGCGCCCATATTGACGCGATCTTAAGTCGGGGAGGTCTTGGGACACATTTACGACGCGTTTGAACCGCCGTACTCGGACTTTTCTGGAGTCGCCGACAGAGATCTATTCATCGCCAACATATTTTTCCCCGTCGGACTCTATAGTCTGCCAGTGACAGCGGGGGATAGACCTCCTCGGAGCGAGGATTGCTTTAATTCGGCTCTGCAGTGCCTCGATAGGTTGCTCTCATACTCGCCCAGCGTTCTCGAGACCCTGACCGTAGTCCTACTTCTAGCCTAGTATATTCCTCTAAATCCGTGTAAAGGAAACCTGTAGCAACTGAGCAGTACAGCGCTGCGCTTATGTATCGACCTCGGCTTGCATTGGGGGACGGAAGCCATCCTGGCCCTGCCGCAAAGCGTTCTTGACGAGAGGCGTAAGCTGTTCTAGCCGGCCTACCGTTTTGATCGCATCCTCGTTACAACTCTGCATCTAATATGGACCTCGGTTGAAGCGTGTCCATCGAAATACTCCGAATAACAGGAGAATCTCCCACCGCATACGTGGCTATCAGGTAACATTCAGAACATCTTGGTTTACTATGTCATTTTAATCATAATCCTCGTCGCTCACGGGACCGGAACCTACATAGCCTGAAGACATTATATCTTGCTCAGATGTCTAGGTTGCTAATATCTCCAGGACATAGTTTTATCTGAAAACCCGGTTCTCGGTCGAAATCCCATTTCCCTGCCCTTCAGACCCCTTCGGTAACGAGCAGTTACTCGGATTACTTTCCCCTTCCGAGAGGCGCGGACGCTGTAGGCAAGCTATGTTAATTTCTGTCTACAACGGCAACCTCTCCTTCCGACTTCCTCACAGCGCCACCCTCTGCTCCATTCGGCCAATGGACGACCGCCGGATACTGGCGCTTCTCAACGGCATCTTCGCCCTCAGAGAGTCTGAAGGATTTTGGCCGATACTGGGACCTCTTCACAGCATCATCTGCTCCGATATACAAGCCTGACCTCGCATATTGGCGCTCGGACAGCCCCGATGGGACCTAGAGGCGATGCATCGTTAGACTTGGAAAATCCAGCGACGGCGGGTAGACGGCACTTGGGTTACCACACAGGGAGAGGAGGGGGCGGGGGAGGAGAAAAATACCTCAACGGGAGCCGCCAGGGCAACAGTAGCTAGGCTGGTCAGGAAAAGAGCAGAGAAACGCATTGTTACTGTACTTGATGAAGGTTATAGTAATATCGATGTTGACTGGAAGCTTGCTCGACAACCAACCTCAACGAGCGGCGGAAATACGGCTTATTATACACTTCCGTCGACCGGACTCACAGTAGAGATGAGGTCGAGGCGATTACGTGAGTCGTGAAGCCCTCCGATCCGGCAACTGCCTAAAAGTTCTACATACACTTTACCCCTCGGTGCTTAAGCATCAGTTCCCTCAAGGAGCACAGTTGCTCTTAGGTGCTACCTAGTTACTGCCGTGATGCGTAGATCCTTTCTATACCAGCTATCCCAGCAAGCCCATAACTAATCGCCACATAATACGGCGCTGTCCACGGTTGCGTCGGGTTGTACACGTCCCCCCTGTTGATGGAAATCTCTTTTCCTGTAACTACCAACCCACGCTGGGTATCTGTTCGGACTCTCCTTTCCCAAGCAACCGCCTCACACGATCTATAGATCTAGATCGATCTGCGTAATGTTGCTCTGAAAACACAACAGCAGATGCAGGTGTACGTCCTAGAGGAGGGATCTTTTTGTGAGAACAAGGAGGGCGCTGCATAAGCCTGGTATAGTTGCATTCATATCACACTTTCCAGGAGGGGTGACGGAGAGGTTCCCACAACCAGGCAGCACGTTGACGCAACAAACTAAACATCAACAACATGCCCACGTGGAATGGACCGCGAGACTATCCTACGTAGGCGTCCGCGGTCCTCTTCGGTATCCCCGGGCGGTTTGGCATCAATCTGGTGTGGCCCCTCCTCCCTCCGCGATGTCCTCCCCACGCCCGCAGAGCCATCCCCGACGCGAGTCCCGGACAGAGAGAGAGCTCGCAGGACTGATCTGACGATCGCGCCACACAGAGATGCGCGGATCACCGCGGTGCAGAATGGCGATCCCCGGAAACCGGATCCGTACGTAGACAACCTATGCTCGGTGAGCACAACCAGCATCCGAGCAGGCCTCCGGAAATGCACTGCTAAGACACTTCCTCACGTACAACTGGAAGACGCTCCTGGTCTATTGGCCGCGGGGAATGTTGTCAAACCCTGAATTCCAGTCTGGACGAAGAATCCAGACCGTTCTCCTCGTCCAACGTTGCAGCGCGGTCCGCATCGTCGCCGGTTTTGCCTCCTCCCTCGAAGGCATCGAGATTTCGACGTCTATACCTCGAGTTCCGGTCCCAGGACCCACCGGGGAGATTTCTAATCCTCAGACCAAGTAGCCGAGGCCATTTTTAACTCCGCATCCTCCTTGTTTGTCGGCGGCCCTGCTTGACACTCTCTATCGACAAACGAAACATGGCGTCTTCGAAGGTGGCATACGAGCCAGTACGCTCCTCGCCAGATGGCGGCGCCTCGGGCATATCTTTACCGTCGCCGTCTTCTCCCTCTGCCGCGGCCGGTGAAGGGGCCGAAGGGTTGTTGCGAGAGAAACCGCGGGCCCGCGGGGGGTTCAGTCGGCAACGTTTATGTACGAGTGGCACGCTCGTAGTAACGCTCCTGAACGCCGCCCTGTTCTCGGCATCACTTGTGCTCTTCCTCCTGTCACGGAGCGAGAAGAGTATACTGAACGCCGGGCTGCGGCAGGCATCTACATTCAGTACGCGTGTCCCCCTCCTTTCCAAGTTTTGGTCCGAAAACTCTCGTTTTCTTAGCGGAATTCCCAGAGGCGGAGAGAGACTTACCCCGTGGCCATAGGTCCGGTCTTCGACCGCATCGACTTAGAGATGCGGCCGCGTTTTATCCAGGGAACGTTGTTCCCAGCGCGGGAGGGCGCCTCGATTGCGCGGGAGCTGCCGAACCCGGCGGCAGATGGGCTGTGGGAGGAGTGGGAGCTGAGCCAGTTCTACCCGTTGGCCTGGGACGAGGTTGTGCGCATGGGAAAGGACCCGTCGACTATGGCGAAGCTCGAGGACGCCGAATGGGGTCTCGGCGACGACGCCTACGTCGGCACCCTCGACCTTTATCACCAGGTCCACTGCCTCAATATGCTGCGCCGCCAGGCCTATCGTGGCTACTACAACCTGAGCGAGCGCAGCCACGAGACCCTCGGCCTTGCCGAGGTCCACCTCAACCATTGTGTCGACATCCTCCTGCAGGCGCTCCAATGCGGCGGCAACGTAAACTTCATGACGTACCACTGGATTGCCGGCCAGGAGTACCCGCAGCCCGACATGTAAGTCCGCAATTCTTCTGGTCCACGGTTCACGGCACTCGGTGCAACTGCCATCCTCTGCGAGAGAGAGAGATACTAACCGGCGATCCCGGGATTCAGGTCGGTCAATCGCCAGTGCATCAACTTCGACAAGCTCACGGCGTGGAGAATAGAGAAGGGACTGGACCTGGATAAGTATGTCAAGGTAATGAAAAAGTCGCTACACCCAGGCGTCAAAGAATTGCATCAAAGCGATGCGTACTACAAGTACTACAATAGGACCAATCCTAACCATATCAATGGCTCTAATCCGGGAGAGGACTTTAACTTGTAGATGAAAAGACGGAATAGCCATGGGGTATATATATATATATATAGGCATTTCGCCGTTAACAATCCTAGTGGACAATACGTTATCGACTTGGACTGTGAAAATCTTTGTATTTTATCAACACATCCGGCCGAGTACTCTTTCGAGCTAAACCGGGCGCTTTTTCGAAATACGAAGCCACAGATAGGAAATACGGGAATAGACGTACGCGAATCTTGATGGCCATCTCTGGGTAGGAGCAACGTTGCTTCCAGGATTATACCGGTCTCTATATTTGTTCATTCACAAAGGAATATCAAATATATAACCCTACCTAATCCAAGTTGGAGAAGTAGGCGCTTACGGTTTCACTTGTGACAGTTCGGCATTAGTGGCAGCGAATGGGTGTTAGACCATGAAAACTCTTCACTCCATTAGGAAACTCAAACACGAAACTCACCTTTAGGCTTCCGCAGTCGAATTGGGATTTTTTTAACCCAATTTTTTTTCTCCTAGCCTCTCTATGACAGTCATTTTAATCAGTTCCCATCTTCACTTCCTCGGCTTGCGCCTGCTTGTGTGACACAATCAATTTCATCCATCCTTGAAACGAACTCATCCTGGAGCCTCTTCAGATAGCTACCCAGCGTATCGTCGTCCATGTCTGATTCTCGTAGCTGGAGAAGTGTATCGTGTAGGTTGAGGATGAGTTTCCGACGCCGGAGTAATTTTCTCGACTGAGAGTTTTGCTTCTTCTTCTCGATATTCTCTGCAAGAGTCTTCGAAACGTCTCCCGCAACCTTAATGAATCGTTCCGGAAAGCCGATGGCGCGTGCAAGGTTTAGACCATAATACTCTTCCTGTATGTGGCCCGATGTGATTTTGTATAGCATTGTCATCTTGGGATTGCTGCCATGTAAGTCATGGGTCTCAGTAGCGAGATGCAAGTTCAAGACCCCTGGTCGGTTACCCAAGACCTTTGCTATTTGATTAATGAGGATGTATTCCGCTAAGAGAAACGGAAGTCGACGCACCCAGTTGCTGGAAATGGGTGGCAAACCATATCAGGGCATTGCTCTGGACTAAGGCTTCCGATATCGCCAAAGCAATAGCTAGCCCATCCCTGGTGCTTGTCCCACGCCCAAGTTCGTCAATGATAGCCAGACTATGCCCATCAATGTTCCTGCATATAATTAGGCTGTGTACTCAATGTTTCTGGCTACTTACCTGAGTATAAATGCCATTTCTCTCATTTCCAAGGAGAATGTGGACATATTAGCTTCAATGCTATCATCCGTCGACATTCGTACGAAGAGCTGTCGAAGCACGGGGAAAGTTGCGTACTGGGCCGGTACGAAACAGCCAATCTGGGCCATTACTTGCAGGAGGGCGATCATCCTGATATATGTGCTTTTGCCGCTCATATTACAACCCGTGATAATCTGAAACCGATGTTGTTCATTGGCGAAGACATCGTTAGGGATAAATCTCTCCGGGTTGACCTATAACAATCAGTTTTGTTGAGGGTTCTCGGCACGCAAACGTACCCGCTCGCAAATAGGGTGCCTCGCACCCCTGAGGGCCAGCACTTGACCAATCTCAGGACGTACGTAATCTCTCGTAGTAGCAGCCTGACCGAAAGCAGCTATCATATCAAGCAGAGCGATGCTCTCACAAACGCGAAAGAGATTCGGAACGTACATTCGGATGGCATCAAAAAGCTCCTGGATAACCTTGTCGCTAAGCATGATAGCCTCGTTATGTGAGTCGGTAATGCGGTGGTTCAGTTGAACCAGGACCAACGTCTGGCATTCCAGCCAAACGCCTTTGTGGACTTTGTTGATGAGAATATCGGGAACTGATCTGTCCTCAAAGTCACTCTGCCTAAGCCGTAGCCAGTACTGCCGGTTACGATCAAACCGGAGATCCGCGGTGAGTTTGTGATTCCCTGCGAGGTCAGGCCGGATAAGTCACGCATTATCACGGGGTTAAGATAACTAGACTCACTACTGATATCTTCGACGTGTTGGTGAACATCATCCGTTGCCTCTTTGTATGTCTGACGGGCGACATCAAGAAGGCCATGGACCCCAGACTTCGAATGAAACGAAATTAGTAGAAAGCTGTGAAATGGGCAGAAAAGCCAGTACCTTGACTGCATAAGTTCTCTGATGCCTCATATCAAGGGGTGATTTCATGGCTGTGACATCCTCGTTGATCCCAGCCATAATGAGATCTATGACTGGTTGAGTAAGCTCCGGACGGCATATTTCGCGAATCCTACAGAGTAAGTCTGCGCGTGCGGTACTCAATGCCCCGTAAACGGAAGAGACAGCAATAACGAAGGCCTTGATACCTAGGAGGTTATTGATAGCCTGTTCCGAAGCATATATTGATGGCTGGTTTGGTACGATTACGAGCTGAAAACGTTAGCTGTGGTGCCCATCATACCGTAGATCCGGGCATGTACAATAGTAAGAAGCTTTTCGACATCCGTGAATCCTTTTAGCGCTATACAAAGTCAGCGGCATCTGTGTGAGACAGGGTCACCGGCCCGAACCTTTACGTATCTCGAAGAACATATCCTCCTTTACAGTTATCTCATCTAGTGCATCGTAGCGCGGGATAAGGGTACCTTCAACCTGGCATGAAGGCTGCAAAATGTTGCTCCGTAGCATCCTCGAACCCATAGGGGTCAGGGTTTCGTTGAGAAGACCGAAAAGACAATCTCTCCGTTTTGCATCATGCAAATTCTGAATGAGTTCTAACGATTGGATGGTGGAAAGATCGATCATCATCGTGTTTTCTGACGGCTGATACCTAACACGAAGCGAATGAGACATGATGGATATGCGTCGGGCAAGCTCTATATACTTGACGGCCTAGCAATAATAAGACTAGATCAAAAAATCGATGAGATGTTTCGCTTACTGCGGCGAAGGAGCTTGTAGCATAGAAGTTGCCTCCAATGGCCACCTTGATAGCCTCGAGGTCTTCCCTAAACGCCAGTGTCTGGATGAATTCGAGCCCAGCATTCTCAGACCAGTACTTCCGATCTAGTGCTTCTATTCGCGTCTCTGGGACCTCTTCCTCGACAATGGAGAGGAGACTTGACTTTGGATGCGGTGGGAATGCCGTGTTGACCATGAGAATGCAGGATGGCTCATACATCTGGATCTTATGAACTGTCTTGACATAGAATTGCGAGTCACAGATTTGGCTTAGGATTGCTTCATTGGTGGTAATATTGATAAAAGCTAGGCCGACGGTAGGGGACACGCCGCGAGACTCAGTAGCAGCGCAGACAATCTCGTGGGATTCGGACCCCCAGACAGACGAGGCCGAGCGAGATTTGCGGCCAGAAGTAGTGCTAGCACGGCGGTGGTGCCGGGAGGAACGGGACAGACATGTTGCAGAGCGACTATTGCTATTCGAGGTAGATGACAATTGACTCGCAGAGGTGGGTGGTCTAGAAAGAACGCCGGGCAAGTTACGAGGATAGGGGGTTGAAGACGTAGTCCGTGAGCTAGAATGATTGGAGGGAATCTGGGCTGAATGTGAAGGGGGCTCGTAGGTCGAAGACGCTTGGAGCTCTTGAGCGCTTGGTACCGATGGCATTGCAGAGTGCTGTGGAATATGGCCGGTGGAGAGGACGAGATAACTGGAGGGAACTCGGACGTGTTGGCTGTCAATACAGGTCAACGGAACCTAATAGGGGGAACTGAAGAAGTCCAGATTGCTTCTCGAAACGAGCTGGGCGAGATGATGATGAGAAGAACACCGACAGATATCTAGGTGGTTTGAGATAGCAACGAGAACACGTTGAAATACGGGAGAACGACGGGTGTCTATAGCTCCGACCCGAGTTGCGACTTCCTTCTTTTGCGTTGTGGATTTGATGTCGTGATGCCGTCCTGTAACATGGAATGTAGATTCGCCCTCCCTCGATCTTAGGGGAACACTCAGATCCTGCATATGCATGTAGTAAGAAATATGCAGGTATGTGTGTATGGGAAACCTGAGCTTCTCCACAGCCACGCTTCTTAGCGCCTCCCTCGAAACAAATACCTAGGTGAAGATGAATAAGCTATCGATAAGATAACGATAGGCGGAACTTCAACTTTTCATTATCGAAGCATTGAATGGTTTATCGCCCCGCGCTGCGCGTAGAAGCCGACGAAGCTTATAGAGGGAGGCCGGCAATCTCCTGTGCCTGTTTCCAGAGAGAATTCGGCGCCATCATCTGAGCGAAGCGCAATATTACTGACACCTTACCTACCCGTCTCATAATTCCGACCGCGACAAATGGCCACTCTAGTCCCGCCGCCCTCGAAGCGACAGCGGCGGGAGGCTCTGGAGCGTAGTCAGATACAGCAAGATGTCACGTCTCAGGCCATCGACGCTGGGTCGTTCAAAGCTCGCTTCGTGGACACCGACGGGAACCAACTGGCGGAGACGATTGAGGTGCCCCTGGCCGACGCGACGGAGAAGAACGTGTCCCTACTACTCAACACACTATTAGGAAGGGTACGACCATTGGCGCCGTTCCCAATATCGCGTGCTTGGAGTGGCTAAGGGCTGAAATATCAGCTGTCATTTAGGAACGAGAAGATTTTACCCCTTATCGCTTCCGTATACACGTACCCAATTCCGACGTGATAATCGACAACTATCCCACACCCTCCGAGTTTCTGGCTGTCCTGCGCAAACATGGAATCGAAAACCCCTTCGAGACCACCATCACCTTAGCCGCAGAGCCCCAAGCTGTCTTCAAAGTACAGGCAGTAACCCGCATGTCAAATCGGATACCGGGGCATGGCGAGGCTATCCTGGCAGCACAATTCTCCCCCAAGACGAGCAGCCTTCTCGCGACTGGCTCAGGCGACAATACAGCGAGGATATGGAACACGGATAGCGGCACGCCGAAATACACGCTCAAAGGTCATTCGGGCTGGGTTTTAGCGGTGACCTGGAGCCCCGACGGCCAGAGCCTCGCAACTGGCAGCATGGACAAGACGGTCCGGATATGGGACGAGGCAGGCCAAGCGGTTGGCAAACCGTTAAATGGCCACTCTAAGTGGATCACGAGCATCGCCTGGCAACCCTTCCACCTATGGCGCGACGACACACCTAGACTAGCGAGCGCCAGTAAGGATGCCACAATCCGGGTATGGATCGTCAACACGGGGAGGATCGAGCATGTTCTATCGGGGCACAAAGTGAGTGCTGACCGGGCCACAGCATCGGTACCGGTGGGAAGCTGACATGGCGCAAAGGGTAGCGTAAGCTGTGTGCGATGGGGCGGAACGGATCTTGTCTACACTGCTAGCCAAGACAAGACAGTGAAAGTCTGGAATGCGGCAGATGGGACGTTGAAACACACGCTCGCCTCGCACGCTCATTGGGTGAATCACCTCGCGCTATCTACAGATTTCGTGCTCCGAACAGCGTTCTACGACCACACAAGAGACGTGCCGGCAAGTACGGAGGAGAAGCGGGCCAAGGCGCGAGAGCGGTTCGAGAAGGCGGCGACGCAGCAGGGCAAAGTGGTCGAGCGGATCATCTCTGCCAGCGACGACTTCACCATGTACCTCTGGGACCCGTCGCAGGGGACGAAACCTCTGGCGCGACTGCTAGGGCACCAGAAGCAGGTGAATCACGTTTCGTTTTCCCCGGACGGAAACCTGATTGCGAGCGCTGGCTGGGATAACCACATCAAGATATGGGCCCGGTGAGTCACCAACGCCAGCGACTCCTATTCCCTCCCCTCCACCAGACTTGCAGGGGAGGATCCCAATCGTAAGCTAATACGATGTGCAGCGATGGAAAATTCCTGACGACGTTGCGTGCTCATGTAAGTCAGCCTGCCTTGTTCCCGATCTCGTCATTCAAGATTGCCGGCATTTTTCTGATGTATCAAACTCTCTCACTTTTTTTTTCCTTCGGGCCGGCTCGGGTCTGGGCCCGCTTCTCACATTGCTTGGATTGATCGAATTACTAACACCATGGGGCAGGTCGCGCCGGTATACCAATGCGCTTTTTCGTCTGATTCGGTAAGTGAGGGATTATCGAGATGACGGAGTTGCGTTGCTTGCTTGACAAAAAATCGCAAGGCTAACATGTGATATCTAAGCGCCTTCTCTGTTCCGGGTCGAGAGATACGACGCTGAAGGTTTGGGACATGAGGACGTTCAAGCTGTCGGTTGATTTACCCGGCCACGAGGACGAGGTCTATGCCCTGGATTGGTCTCTGGACGGTCGGCTCGTGGGATCCGGCGGGAAGGACAAAGCTGTACGGCTCTGGCGCAATTGATCCCATCGCCCAGGACAGGTGGAAGGAAAAGGAATAAGCTGCACGCACATCGCTTGTACAATGCAGCTATGGGTACGAATTTGTTGCCGGAGCCGAGCCCATCCCATCCCATCTCACGGTACGAATTCCAATGCATACATACCCCAATCGTCGGCTTGTTCTCCATCTCGAGGGAAAAGCCCAGACCCATGTCCGTGTCACGGCCCAACGCCGTGGCCTGTTCCCACCCTCGTTGTTGGAGTGTCACGAAACCGACCTTCATAAACCTGCCTTTTTCTCCCTCTGCGTATGCACACACACACGTCAATCCGCGTATCAATGGTAGCAGATAATTAATCGCCATGCATATCCGCGTGATATTTGTCGATAGGCAATGGGAAAAGTCGCGGGTGGGAATGCTGGGAATCCATCCAAACAACAATGTCCACGACCAAGTATGGGGTTTATGGGGACGCCCAGCGACGACTAATGGTAATAGATGTGCACTTCCAAACTTCATCATCGAGTACCACGTAACACGCTACACGCTACATACATACAGCTAGGGCTGCCCGTCCGCAGGTTGTTTCTGGGACATGTCTGTCCGCCTGTCTATCTACCCATTCCTTATTGAGTAGACCAAAGTACACAACACGTATATATATCAGGTACCTTATGTACCTACAATAGGAGGTACCTAAGCTCCTACCTCTAACGTGCTTTCGCACATACCTCCTCCAGTACGCCGAAATGCGGGCCGTTCCTGCATGAGGTCCAGTTGGGCGAACGAGTTGGGATCCGTTGGTCCCTCTCCCCGGTCGTCTCCTCGCGTCTCTCTCGCTCGCTCTCGGTAACATTGTCGGGGAGTGCGGCCGAGGGGTGGGAGGGAGACGTACCGTAGATCCGATTTCCACCCCGAGCCGTGATGCGCATGGTATCATCACGCATGGAGCTAGGGATATGCCTAGCTAACGCGCCTACGGTAGGTATCCACCAGGACCAGTTCGTCCGCCAGCGGGGGGAGGGGTGCTGACTCGCGGTGGGCGGGCGGCGTCGACTTCGTCCTTCGACGCGTCCTGGCTGCTAGCTGGTAGGAGTATCGTCCTAAAGATGTAGCACGAGGTAGGTAGGTAAAGTAGGTGTTGTATGTAGGCACGTACGTACGTGTACCTACGTGTGGACGTAGCCGGACGGACGTCTTATTCGAGCGGTCGTCAGGTTATTCCACCACGCTACCAGATCCCCGAGATCGTGATGGGCCGCTTCGGAAAGCGGCTTCGACGGCACCGCGAGTTTCAAATGCGGGTTGTACACATGGAGACTAGGTCTCGTTACGAATCCGTACGTTTCCATGTGCGTATGCCTGGTGGGGCTCATCACGTTGCATATAGTATGGTTCGGTGACAGAGTCGACTGAGGTGGTATGTAGGTAGGTAGGGAGGGAGGCAGGGAGGGTGAGCCAACCTCCTTACTGCGGGCACGCAGGCGAGACAAGGGGTGCTACACAGTAGAGGCCAGAGAGGTAGAGGGAGACGGAAGCGAAAATAGACTGGTCGAGGCGCCGCACGCCAAGAATCAGGTATCTATTGGAGATGCCATTTGTTTCCCGTCGACTCCGAACATATCGTCACTACAGGTGAATATTTAGGGGAGGAGGAGGAGGAGGAGGGGTTTCCTCCTAGCTATCTATTGCTCTCAGGTGTCGTATCGGATGCAAAAGCAGGAGCGCCAACAATCCAGCCAATACGTGAGCTCCACATATAAACGAATTGCTTGTTGATATGTAGGTAGTTATTGCTTGAGAACGTGTCCCCGCTCGTGGTTGTGGTTGTGAAGAGGGGCGCTATCGTGGTAGTTGCTGGCGACTATCCTTCCTCCGCGTGACCGGGACAAGAGCCTGAAATGTCTGCGCTTTTCTTGGCGCGTAAGTGCTTTACAATGAGCTGGATCTGATAGGTGTGCGTATCGGGTGCGGCAGCTCGGTCAGTTGGGACAGAGAGCTCGTGGAGGGGTTCGCGGATGCCTCCCAATCAGGTTTGCCTGTGAAGAAAATTCGCATCTTCTTCCTGCAAGGGGATCCGGCTCGAACCAGGCTGTCCGTACCGGCACATGAGGTCTGTTCCCAGGTTTGGGATGTCTTACACTGCAACTTTCTTGGATGTCCAGGAATTGCCAAATTTGGAAAGCCGCACTAAGAGCTGCATGCATCTGCATATATGTTGCGGAAAGTTCCAGACTCTACGAGCATCTCCAGGTTTCCCGTACAATACGTGCCTCTCCTATGCTCGTTGACACGTTTCGATACGGGGCCTAGTGGGGAGCTGTGGGAAGAATCTACTGAGATGATGCGGCTTAAGAAAAGAACCCAGATGTCCAAGCATTACCTCTCTAGCAGGCTAAAAGACACCTAGCAAGATTGGGTACTAGGTGTGCAGTGAATCCAATTCCGCCGAGTTGGTAGGCTAGCGTGTTAGTTAGGTTGGTAGGCAGCAGGGCCTAATATTAGATGATAGAGAGACAGCGGATAGCCACCAGGTGGCTGACGAGATCTTGGGGTTGGGGGGGGGTGGCCGAGGGTATTTACAGGGCCGAAGCGGTCCCGCCTCTGGAGGTTAGGGGCCGCCCGTAAACACCCGACGTTGCATTGCGGGGGGTATCGGTGACTTAGTCTAAAGTCGCGCCGGGAGGCCATTTCGACGGCCAATTGAATCCTTCGAAGGGACAATGTGCTTGGGATCTCGAGGATGGTGGAATGAGGAAGTTGGTGCTCTAGATGCGCGACGGAGACGAATCGCAAAGCGAGAAGATTGGCGAGCCGGCCTGCATGGGAATGCATGGAATTGCATGGGGAGAGGAGAGTGACCGAAGAAGATCGAATTCATCTAGCTAACTCGGCCAAGCATCTTGGTTTCCAGGCCGAGCCCTATTCGCGCTCTTGGACCAACTCGGCCTATGTGGAAGCTCGCAAATGCACGAACGTGTATGGATGCATTACGTACGCGTTTAAGTAGGTACGTGTCGGTTGAATGGGAGATAATTTGGCGGTTCTTTTCGGACCAAAGCCTCCTGGGTAGGTGGCGGAGTTTCTGGAAATGTCTATGGCTGTCTGTCTCCTCATAGGGCTGTGATATTCATCAAGTCCCCAATTCCTGGGTTGTGACACACCTAGGCGTACCTAGGTGGGTAGCACCTAGGCGGTACTTGATGTAACGAGGGAAAATGTCAAGTAAAGATTCCGCAGAAATGACAGAATTCCGGGGGCTGTGAAGCTGCTGGAGAAGTACGGAGCATAAGGAATTCATGGCTACATGATCGGCCCTCTCAAATTTACTCGCTGGCTTTCCCGGGGGGAATTCCATTGATACTGAGGAGCTCTCTCTAGCTGCGATTGAAAGCTGGGTACTAAGTACCTACCTACGTTATGCACCCCCTGGTGAGTGCCTGTGCCCGGGGTACTCGGTACCTAGAAGGTAGGTGCTCAGCTGTAATAGTGCGAATGTAGGTACAAATTCCATACCCTCGATCTATGGAGAAGCGCGGGCGCTGGTGAGGTCCGGCGGGAGTCGAAGATATTCTACGAACGGTCGAAATAGATGGATTGAAGTACATCAGGTAACTCTACGTGTTTACGCGTTCTTCCCTGGTATCGGTTTCTCCTCGTCGAATATATAGGTAGGTATGTGCCTACTTTCCTGCCTGACAGGTGCCCAAGTCCTAAAGACCGTAGGTACCCGTTACAGGTATAGGTAGGTATATCTACCTAGGTAACTACCTGTAGCGCTAGGTACTGTAGGAGGCAGTGCTACGGAGGTGCAATTCTCCCCCCTTCCCCTCCCCTGCCTAGGTATCACAATTTAATAACTACCACCTGGCAAGTACGTCATCAATCTCCTATTCGCCTTGGGAAGAGGCCGGTCCAGTCCTTTGGATGTCTCAGCACTCATCGAGAGCACTCGTCGAGAGAGAACACTCGGGCACCTGAGCGTACAGTGCCTGTATGTACCTTGCTCGTATGCTCATGGCTGTAGGTACCTGACCTGGGCAATAATAGATCTATATGTATGCGCTGACATCAGTTTGAATTCAAGGGTTGTCGAGCCCGGCTCTGTGTTGTGAATCTACCTCTACCTATTCACAGGCATTATGCGAGATACTATGAATTCTCCAGGCGCAAATTCCCGCCTGCCCGCGTCAGCTTAACCTATCATCGGCCTTGCGTCGCATAACTTAATCCTTCCTCTTCCTCCGACTAACCGCTCCCGGTACTATCCGTAGTAGCCGGGTCCCATCTCCATCCCCTTCCCCATCCCCATCCACCCCTCCGGATCACTGCCCAACTTTTAAAGGGAGCATGTCCGATCCCCAAACTTTTTTTTTGATCGAGACCTCGCCGCGTGCTCTCAGCTCCCTATCCAGCAACCCGCCGATCAAGGCGTCTCTCCGATCCCCAGTTAACGGTATCGGCTTCTTTCTCGTCACCTATCTTTACGTCTGCTCAACGCACTAAACACGAAGCAGAAGGAAAACAACTTCCCGACAACACAGAGGAAGCCTTCCCTAATGAGCTTGTTATTATAAGCTTCCCAGCTATCCCCCTCCCTTATACGGGCCTGCTCTGTCGGATTTCAGCCCGGGTTGTGTCGAGACCAGCCTCCTATCCAGCGCTCGCGTATACACGCCGTATCCGAACCGACATAATTTTTCACCATGACCATCTTCCTGGCTTCGTTGTAAGTTTGAGCCCTTCGTCGTTGCCCAACCACCCCGCCTTGCCCTCCCCACTTGTCTCCTTGAGGCCTGTCCCACCAGGAGCTCCCCCGCCCCCAAGCTGTTCGCCAACCAACCCCCCCCCCCCCCCCCCCCAGGGTGCGCGTTGCCACTAATTTCAGCTGCAAACCCGCCCTGGCTCAAGTTGTGGCATGATAGCATGACGATGGCCCTGCATGATTCCTGACCTCTTCTCTTCTCTAGATTCCTCCCCAAGACGGTTTATTTCAAGCTCCCCGCTACTTCGTCCTCTCGGGAGCGGAAAAGCCAACGTCAGAGCGGCAAGAAGATCTCGAAACGGCCGCCCCTCGAGCTTCGTACCAGTCTCTTCCCCGACCCTACCATTACGCCTCCAAAGACGCCTGATGACGAGGAGGTCCGCATTGACGATGCGCTCTTCGTGAATGAGGACGGGCTCCGTGTAGTCAACGTTTCGGACGACGAGGAGTTCAGGGCTCCGACAGATGAAGAATCACCGAAATGGGGCGGCAGACCCAACCAACCCAAATCGCAAGCGAATCTGCCACCCCCGGCTTCTCTCTTGGAGCATGCCAGAACCTTAGAGAAAGCCAAAGAGCTAGGACGTCAAGGCATCATACAACCTCGCGTAACCCGAAGTGATAGTCACGATCGAGTATTCGCACACGCCGATTGGCGCATCGTGAATGCTGACCAGGGAAATGGTGGTCTCCGCAATGCCGCCGAGGCCGCGGCACGCGCCGGCTACCCAGAGGAGTACTCGTGGGTTGGCACCTTGGGAATGCCTACTGATGCCCTCGAAGGGACACAGCAGAAGGAGGAGATCAACGATAGACTGGTAACCGAATTCAACATGTACCCCGTCTTTTGCTCGGACAAGGACTTCGACGGGCACTATCTACATTTCTGCAAGCAGATCCTCTGGCCCGTCTTCCACTACCAGATCCCCGACAACCCGAAGAGCAAGGCGTACGAGGACCATTCCTGGCAATTCTACGTCAATCTCAACCAGGCCTTCGCCGATAAAATCGTCAAGAATTGGAAGCGAGGTGACACGGTATGGGTCAACGATTACCACCTGCTGCTAGTGCCCGGTATGATCCGCAAGAAGCTCCCGGACGCCAAAATCGGCCTGTTCTTGCATGTGGCGTTCCCTTCATCCGAGGTCTTCCGGTGCCTCGCGGTTAGAAAACTGCTGCTCGAGGGCATGCTTGGCGCGAACTTGATTGGTTTCCAGATCCACGAGTACACTCGCCACTTTCTCCAGACCTGCAGTCGTCTCCTCACTGTCGAGGCGACACCCGATGGCGTGCAGCTGGAGGACCGATTCGTCAATGTCATCAACCACGCCATCGGTATCGACCCCCTCAGCCTCGACGCCCATCGTAAAGACGAAGAAGTCACGAGATGGATCGGCATCATGAGAGAGCGATACAAGGACAAGAAGATCATCGTGGCTCGCGATAAGCTCGACCACGTTCGCGGTGTTCGGCAGAAGCTTCTCTCCTACGAGCTGTTTCTTAATAAGAACCCTCAATGGAGAGACAAGGTCGTTTTGATTCAGGTCGCACTATCTACCGGCGAAAAAACCGACCTTGATGCCGCCGTTGGGGATATTGTCACCCGGGTGAACTCGAGCTGGGCCAATCTGGCTTACCTCCCTCTCGTATATCTAAAGCAGGACATTCCGTACTCTCAATACCTCGCGCTTCTGACCATCGCCGACGCTCTCATGATCACCAGCCAGCGCGAGGGCATGAATCTCACGTCTCACGAGTTCATTGTTTGCCAGGACGGTCAGTTTTGCGATCGCAAGCACGGATCCCTCATCTTATCCGAGTTCACCGGCACTTCCTCGCTTTTTGGGGGGAAAGAATTGTCGGTCAATCCCTGGAGCTACCGACAGTGCTCTGACGCCATAAAAAAGGCACTCGAAATGTCCGACGAGGAGAAGGCGGAGAGATGGCAAGGTCTTCGTGACGTCATCGGCCATCATACCGGGGCGCAATGGTTCTCAAAATTCTTGGCATCTCTGGATCACGTCTACGAAGAACAACATCGTCACGATCAGACGTCTGTCCCCCGACTGAATCTTAATGTTCTTGGCCAGCGGTATACCCGAAGTCAGAACAGGCTCTTCTTCCTTGACCTAGAGGGAACCTTAATTCCCTATGGCCCGATGAACGAGATCATCCCCATGAACCCCCAGGTAGGCCATCGTAACATCTCCTCTCGTTTGGGCACATTGTATACTAATCGTCATTAGCGCACTATGGATGTACTGAACGATCTTGTCGATGATCCTCGCAATACTGTATATGTCATGTCTGGGCGCAGGCCGGAGGAGCTCGACCGCCTTTTCCGCGTGGTCCCCAACCTGGGTCTCATAGCCGAGAATGGTTGCTTCATCAAACTCCACGGTAGGGGCATCTGGACTGAGATAGCTGATCACGATCAAGTCGCGTCCTGGAAGGAGTCGGTTCAAGGTATACTTCAATACTACCTCGAACGTACGCCCGGGTCGGAAATTGAAGACCGAAACTGCTCCTTGATCTTTCACTATAAAAATGCTGACGACTTTGCCAATGCTGAACGGCAGGCAAGCGACTGGACCGGCCATATAAACGAATCCTGCGAGGAGCAGCGAGTCCACGCCTTTCAGCTTGACAATTGCGTCGTAGTCGAATCAATCGACTGGACCAAAGAGACGGCTGCGGCCCAAGCCTACGACGCCACAAGCAAGGAAGTTCAACAAACCCGCGGAGGCGCCGTTGATTTCCTGATGGTCATCGGCGACGGCCGCGAGGACGAGAAGGTCTATAGGTGGGCCAACAACCTGAGGAGCAACGGAGAGGTCAAGGAGGTGGTGACGGTAAGCCTGGGCAGCAGAAACACCGAAGCTACCTCTACTTTGACCCAGGGCGTCAGCGGTAAGCAAACCCACCCTCGGAGCCACCTGACAACGCGGCCTAATGCGGATTACAGGCGTTCTCGTGACGCTGCAGAAGCTTGCGGGGCTTTTCTAGGCGGAAAAGATCGCGGTCCCAGAGTGGGGCACGGAGCCGTCGATGTTTCCGCTGGGCGTCTCAGTTATTAATGATTTTGCTTGCTGGTCATGGAGTTTATGACACGGGCTCACGCGATGCAACGGCGTTAAGCGTAGCGGGTTATTAATAGGTGGCGCCCGCGCTTTGTTTGCATTTTTTTTTCTTGTAGCCGAAAGATCCTCTTCCCCCTCGCGCTGCCAAACGCATCATTCTCCATTAGAGCAAAACGCACTGAGAAGAATCTGGGAGGGGGAATACGCATGCGGGCGGTGTTAATAGGAAGGGGGAGGGTTCTACGGGTTTCCCATGTTATATCTCTTCTTCGCGCTGCCGCGCCTTGCTTTCCACCTTTTAGACATGCATCATGGAACCCATCAAAAAAAATGGACGACCGAGAAGACCGAAACGGCTAAATGAGTGGGTGATCTGGATGGATGGAGGCTGGAGCTCAAAAAAAAAAAGGGGGGGGGGGGGGGGGGGGCGTGTACACGAATCATCACACGATAATTTTCATATTACTTGTCACTTCTCAGTTGTTTAAAGCTATCATTCTGGTAACTAACATCGGATGGCCCGCTGGTGGACTACCTACATTTGTATCTTCTTCATACCTACTACTACTACTTACTAATAAGCACAAAGGAGGTTGAGCAGAATAGCTGAGCCAAGAGAGAGAGCTGCACATATATCATTGTGTCCCGCATTGTATAATACCAGGTAGAGAGATGTGTACAAGTAGCGAAGCCGCGAAAATAGCCGCACGCTTGGGGTGCGAGCCTTTGCCTATCGTTCTACGGGAGCGATCCCGAAGGCGCTTACCTCGTATCATGCGATAAGTAGCCGACGAAGAGGGAGAGGAGGAGGGGTTACGGGTCCAGCTAGAACCAAGGGAATTCGTGCAGCTCGAATAGCCAAGGTACTTGCTTGCTCCTCTCTCGCCGAAGGCGTATCTGTACATACAGAGCTGCGTACATTGCCGACGCGGGTGGCACGATCAGGAAGAACCCCGCGTCCCACGCGCCGAAGAACCGCTCTTTAGACGTCGCTCAAGAATGCGCAAGTCGCCAAGTAGGTTAGGTTAGGTACATAGCCTAACGTAGGCCTTGCTACTGGTCGTGTGATGTTCGGCAGTGCCGGGGGAAAGCGGAGGGCGATCGTCGAGGTCGTGCCGGAATATCCCCCCCCCGCGCCCCCCCCCGCGCGCGCGAACTCATACCTGCTTACCGTGCTTATTTCCCCACAAGCCCCAACCGAGTTAGTTACCCGTAAAAGTTAGGCCGGATCGGAACGGGTTAGGCGGGGGGAGGTGAGGCCAGGTAAGGCGCGGTGAGGCGAGGCGAGGCGCGCCTTATACCGACGACGTCGTCGGCGGGTCGGCCAGCGTCGACGCGGTCTCGCTAGGTCGTCCCGGGGAGCCGGGCGGGCGGACGACGGACGGGTGGACCGAAGGGTGGGGATGGGACGAGCTCGTCTGATGTGCGCGGAGGACACCTTCCCGCTTCGCCCAGAACGACTGACTCTCTGGCGGCTCACTCCGGGCTCCCCACGGCTCGACTGGTGAATCTGACGATGGGACTAGGCTGTGGACGTATAGACCTCAAGTTCCCGGTTTACTGGCCAGCGAGGTTGTATTTTCTTTCTCTTTCCTCCCAGGCGTCGCGGTCCTTAAGCGGGAATGTGGATGCGAGCATGCCACGCGCATAGGCATGAGGGTAGTTGGATACCCTCCCGGATTGATTGTCGCAAGGGTCGGGCCCCCAAGTTCGAAGGGCTCGGGGTTATCCGATTCGATAGATAGCAAGACGACGATGTGATTGCACGGGTTGGAGGTGCGCTGATGGGTGCGTTTGTGTGTGTTGCATCGCCGGCCGGCTGGTGCACCCAAGGCCGTCGCATTCGAAGGCAAATGAGCCCACAGAAGAGGCGTTCATTAGATAACGGCTGGTAGGCGTCCAGATAGATTGCCTTCCCGGACAGCCTAATGTTGATTTCCATACTGGCCTGTCGATGAAGTTGTGCGGCACGAGCTTTGTGTTTCATGGTGGTTCGACGCTCAGATGGTCGGCCTCGCGAATTGGCCTGATGCCCGAATATGGTTGCTTCCAGTTATCTAGCGAGATGGGACATGAGGCGACCGACGGACAGACTCCACAGGTTCAACTGTCGACCGTGGGTGGCTGTGTCGATAATCGTTTGTGCGCGCATCGGACGATCAGGAGTGGTCGTCCTAAAATACCGGCATGAATATATGGATTCTAGCCTCTAGGACACCGACGCTGTCCTGTATTTAATAGCCTGGAGAGAAAGAGATGTGTTGCAACGACGAAACACGGCATGGCCTAGGGTTCCAACGGCACGGTTCGGTCAGCCCAGCTTTACATATACCTAGGGGACGTATGTCGTCGAAGAGGGCGAAACCTGTCCCCGGCCGACGTACGACCATCCAATATCCAGAACAGCCCAACCCGCGGCGTCGTGCCTATAAATTCGACTGATATGGAGCAGAGGGGTAGCGACACGTCGAAAAACTCCGTGCAGTCATGCCATGTCGTGGACCGGAATGCATGGGGCTTACTGTATGTCACGGTTGTTGATCAGCCTACACCTTACCCTCCGCGCAGCGAGTGCGGAGTAGGTGGTATTCGAAACGCAGACACGGCCCACGTGTACGACGTGTGAAGATGGGAAAGCCGGCGTCTAGAACCACCAGGCTCTCCATGCTATCGGCCGAGAATTCGTTAGGCAGGCATAGGGAGGAGTCGTCGTCGCGTTAGGCGACGTGGGAATGGGTCGATAGTGCAGCGTAGATCCCACGTCTTACCTTGTTGTACTCTCTCCTCGAAGTAGCAGCGACCATTGAGGTGGATGACGGATCTCCGGATGGTGGCGCCGGCTCTAGTATGTATTAGTCGTGTAAACCAACGGACTTAAAGTAGGGCATATCTAGACGCCAACAGCATGAGCGTCATCCGTACGTATTTATATGAACGTGCCCGGACTTCCAGCTCATCTGCGACTCCTCATCTTCTCTTACCTACCCATACCTACCCAGCAAGCACAGCCTAATAGCCACGCTATCCTCAACGGCAGAGCGACCAACTCCCGGCAAGATCGACAACACGTATATGTGTATTTGCCAAGAAGCAGCTGATTGGAGGCCACCAGAAACAGTCGTCTCCGCCTTCTCCCCATATCATATCTGTCCCGGAGTTTCGCTATCTGCGAGCTCACTGACGTTTGTCCTACACACGCGGGCACAGGTTCCCCGCTCTCAAGTTCTCCAGGAAGAGGAGCGAGCGTCAGACGGAGTTTATATTTAGACGCCGGCGTTGTCGATCTGGGGAACCGTCGGAGAACGAAACAACGCGTAAGAGCCCACCTCCAGTGCCTGGCGGAAACAACGTACCTACTCACGGCCCAGAAGCCGCGAGAGATTTGCAACCGACGAAAACAACCAGAACAATTCGCCCTTTTTTGACTCGACTCGAAGATAATGGAGCCCACTACCCACGCCGGCACGTCGTCAGTGGCCGATCCAGATCCCTGGTTTTGGTCCTGGGTCACGAATTCGTACCCCAACTAACTCGGCCCAATGTCCGCAGGAGCAGCCAACCCGCAGGGTCGGAAAATGCTCTCCTGTAACCGTTTCTGACCGCCGCGCTCGGAGAGGAGGATTTGGACCTAGCCTGGAGAACCACTTTGGTGTCAATTGACGTGTTCGAAGAACAAGGCGGCCGCTCTCGTCCGCCATCGTGCTGTCGCTACCTACGAGCGGCTTGAAGCCCACGTAGGAGTGCTACCGGCAGCCTGAGGTGCTCTAGGCTACTCGGGTGCCTGCGAAACGCGTGACGGATACTCTGACGCTCGAATGAGGAAGACTTATCTGCGATGGAAATCTACAAGCAGCACACGCGTACATGATGGGGGTTATGAGGGAACAAGGTCTAACCAGCCGACCGATTGGACGCCGAGGTCAGGGATGACAAACTTTTGTGCTTAAATGCTTTGTTGGTGTTTACGGGGGGTTTGGTTTTGCTTGGAACTCCACGGCCCCTTTGACAAGAGGGCCTGGAGAGTGGGATGGCGTCGGCGTTACCTAGGGGGAATCTCGGACGGTGGGATGAGGTCGGGCGGGGAGAATGATCGTTCTGCATTGTGATGAAAGGAGGAGTACCGAGGTAGAAATCTGCGGGTGGAAGCCAAAGGGATTTCGGGCACAAAGCTACGCCAGCCTTTCTTGTAGGTATTTCAGACCGAGGGGGGCCTCCCTTCCGCAGAGATGTTGGAAGTTTACGGCTGGCTTAACACGGAGCTCTTATTATTGAACCTCCCCGACCATAAAACTCAGTGCTCGTAGCTCGTCGGATGCCTGGCGATCAAGAAGTGTGAAATTTCCCGAGCACAAAAACAGCGGCCAAAGCTTGCAATCTGCCAATATTTACACGTTCGGTTAAGTGCATACCTAACGTATATTCGATACCCCGGGTGAGACCACGCTGCCGCATCACTCCCTGAGTGCGAACCTGAGCTGACGCTGTCGGCCGTTCAGCGACCCCGGCCCACCCCACCATCCAGGCAGATTCAAACTACCTACTGAAATACCTACCCCGCGATTCCGATCCTCGGAGGTAATAGTTCGTCTATGTCTGACACGACACCAATTTACAACGCCACAAAAACAATAGGCCAATGAACTAATCGCGTATTCTCAGCTCGATTATTGTGCCTAGTCCTGTCGCCATTGCGGGAAACGAAGGGGAAAAACTGGGAGATCAAGAGTCTCCCCTGCAATCATCGCTGCTTCGGTGGAGATTCAGGCGCGACCAGGTTGGTAAAGCATCCAAGCGCTGACCGAGGAAGACGACAGCACACAGGCCAGAGACAATGGCTTCGTTTCCGCCCCCGCCAGTCAACACCATTGACTGGTCTAACGTGGGGTTTCGCGTGCGTGAGGGTAAGCCATGTCCATGCTGTGCCTCTCCTATAGTTCATATGTGGTGTTTTGGGTACTAATAGCCATCGGTGCCGCCGACCAGTGAACGGACACATTGAGTCTCACTACTCCGTCAAGACAGGTCAATGGTCGTCACTTCAGTTCGTAACTGACCCTTACATTCGCATCCATGGCATGGCACCGGCCCTCAACTACGGCCAGCAAGCCTACGAAGGCCTCAAGGCCTTCCGCAGCCCTTCCGGCGACATCCTTGTCTTCCGACCCGACCGCAATGCCCTTCGCATGCAGCACTCGGCTGAGTTCATCTCCATTCCTCCGGTACCCGTCGACCTGTTCGTCGATGCCGTGAAAGCCGCCGTTTCTCTCAATGCCGAGTACGTCCCACCCCACGAGACCGGCGCGGCCATGTACATCCGCCCGCAGATCTACGGGTCCAGCGCCCAGCTGGGCCTCAACCCACCCGAGGAGTACACTTTCTGCGTCTACGTCCTGCCCACCGGCGTGTACCACGGGACACACCCCGTCAAGGCCCTGATCTTAGACGAGTTCGATCGTGCGGCGCCGAACGGGACGGGGAGCGCGAAAGTCGGGGGCAACTACGCGCCCGTGCTGAGATGGAGCGACAAGGCGCGATCGGAGGGGTACGGTATCACATTACACCTCGACAGCGCGACGCATTCCGAGATCGACGAATTCAGCACGAGCGGGTTCATCGGTGCTACTGTGGATGGCGATTCCGTGACGCTAGTAGTGCCGGATTCGAAGAATGTCATCCAGAGCGTGACGGCAAATAGCGTAACGGAGATCGGCCGCAGCTTCGGCTGGAGGGTGGAGAAGCGATCGGTATCTAACCCCCCTCCTCTCTCTTTCTTTTTTTTCCTCTTGCCGAAATGGAGAGGCGGCAATATTCAACGACTGCTAACATTCAACCCTAGATCAAATACACCGAACTGCAAAACTTCTCCGAGGTTATGGCCGCGGGGACTGCCGCGGCGCTCGTGCCCATACGATCCATCACGCGGCGCCTCGACCCCGCCTCGCCGAAGTCCCTCACATCTGCTGCCGTATCTCACCCTCGCGTGTCGGCCGAGGCCGCGGCCGAGAAGGTCACTTACATACCCGATTCCAGCGAAGATGCCGGCCCGATATGTCTGCGACTGCTGACTCAGCTTAAGGGCATCCAGGCGGGCAAGGTCAAGGACGAGTTCAACTGGTGCGTCGGCGTCAGCCGCGAGGATGGCACCAAGGTCGTCGGTGAACCCAAGGAAGCAAATGGCAACGGGCAGACCGTCGACCAGCTAGACTAACTCGGGGAAGGATATATAACTTTCGTGGGGGGTTGATGTTGGGAATCCTCGAACAGGCTTGGGTGTTCGAGGCCCCATCCACTTTTCTTTTCTGCCGGTCGCTACGTGATCATGTGAAATGTAAAATCAAAATAGGTTAGGTGAGAAAAGAGGCTGAGAATGAACAATTATGCTAGAAGAAAAGGGAGAGGAGACGTTGTTCGCGACAATGGGTGGGACATGCATTCGAAATACTGCGCACTGCGGACAAGGATGTCTTGCAGCCGCTCGGAATGGGAAGCCTTAGTGACATCATATGAAGGGGAAGAACTGGGGACTCGCGGCAAACAGCCGGCATGTACGTGATATTATCTGACTGCTGTAACGTGAATCCTGTTGGGCCGTTTTGCAGATGCTCCGCCGGCCTGGTTGGCTGCGCCAGCCTTCGCTAATCACCGCTTGTGAGCGTAGAAACCGAGAGAGCTGCAGGCCAGAACTTGGCTCGGGGCGACTCCAACGACTGGATATGGCTCGGCATGCCGCTGTCGATGCCTGGTGACGATTTGGGCGTGCTGAATGAGGGAGCGCTGGTCACCTCGCATACCGTCGGCACAGTCCATCTGTCACCTGCCCATATCGTCAGTCCCAGCCACGAAGATTTGAGTCTCTTCTCTGGGGCCGGGTCATCTCCTGGGCCACCGTCGGCGGGTGACTCGAGATGAGGACCCCCGACGCACTGGTCTCTCTTCCGCTCTGCTTGCCCCGGAACCCCCGGCCCTTTGCTTCACACCTGCCGTCCGCCTAGGAGATACGGTTCGTACGACGCGACGCTACCCCGCGCCGGGACGATTGGTTTGCGACTAGGGGTGCCCTCTTGGCTCCCTTGGGGTGGTGGTGGTGGTGGTGGTGAGAATGGCCTCGCATAGCCCTGCTTCTAAGAGGAGTCGGCAGCAGCAGCCAATGCTATCAAGGGGGAATTGGAGAGAACGCCGTCGTTATTCGTTGGGTGTGGAGGAGAGTTGGGGCGGCGGGACGGGACGAGAGGGAGGGAGACGCGCATCCATGTCCGACGTGGCTTGAGAACTTCCCGGGTGTTCTAGCTGCTCCGGTTGCCTGCCTCCAGTCGGCTTGCTTGTAAAGCAGCGACGCATACCATACGTATTCCTTCAGGAGTCCATCGCCGCTCTAGCCGGGGACGAACACCATTTTCCGCTGGGGGTGGCTCACCCGGCTCCATACCTACATATTATCGTCAAGTTGCACGCACAGGCAGCCTTACACTGGCATAGGACTTCTGATGGATCCCTTCCACGACATGTGCGAACGAGGAGAGGTCGGCGGTCATCCACCCCTCGGGCTCGTCCTTGCGGGGTTCTTATCTATCATCACCTCTCATCTCTCACTTCACAGGTATGCATGCACGCGAAGTGACAGCCTTCCACTCCACCCTGGAGAATCGTAACCGGGATTCTCGGTGGCGCAGTGTTCGGACGTATTACTCCAGCCATCGACTCCATCGCCACGGTGGGCATGTGGTGTCCACCCAACTCGTCGCGTCCCGTTCCCGTATCCGGTCGATGGGGTACCTAGGTAATAGATGTCTGCACAGGCCTTGGGCCAGCCTGTTCTCCGCCACAACCGCGTGTGTGCAGTCATGAACGGCGCAGAATCTACGGATACTAGACTCTGTCGCAGTGCAGACGACCAGAGGCCGCGCGGAGTTGCCGCCATTCGTGCCTTTGGAAAAGCAACCCTACGCGCCCGACAACGCCCATTCCAGCCGCGAGAGAGACGAGGTGGTGTCATCCACTCGCGCAGCTCATCGCACACTGGTAGGTAAGCCTAGAACGTTGAGGCTTATAGCTAGGTAGTAGCCAAGGACTACCTCGTCGAACATATGAGATCTTAAGTTCTTTGCATTCCTTGGTGAATTTCCCTGGCTGGGGGGCGAAAGTCTAGTTCTGACAGTTGGACCCTTAAAAGGTTGTCACCAGGGGAGTGTCGTGTAGTCCTAAAAGATACAAATATAGATAGTGCTTCGGAGCCGCTCAGAGGAGAAAGAACGAGTATCAATAGCTATAGCGAAGGACATTGTTCTGGAAATTGTAGCAGAGTCGGGATTTACCAGCTTTGAGAAGGCCAGAGAACAGGGGTTGAGGGTAATTGTTGCTTGATCGAATCACCTTTAGCTCTGGGTAGGTACTCGAGGCGGGAGGCATTCGGATATCTGGGAGAGCAGGGCGAGCGTTGTATCGGCCGGCTCGACTTGTGATGCCACGTGTGTTAATGTATATTACACGCGGCCGGTCACTATTCGCGGGCGTGCCTCCCAGAGAGCTGCGTGGGACAGTGACTCAACCGCAATGTGATATTAGTAGGTAGCTAATCGTCCCAGTATAAGAAGTCGCAGTATATAACTACAGGCGACGCGCGATAATACGACGATCCTTACCTTGATTCATGAGATAATTTTCGATGTCGAACTTGTTGGGACAACGAGATCGCCGGATCCCTAGTAAACCTTTCCCTCTTTACAAAAACTCACCAAACAAGCCCGTCTTTCAAGAAGCCTGAAGCTGACCTTATAGTCTCTAACCCCCCAACCCACAGCCTTTGCGTCTTCTGCCTGCGACCTCGCCGTTGAGTGTCTGAGTCCTCGAGCCGTGTGGAAGCTCAAGCAGGGCTAGCGTACCTGCCCTCCAAGCTTATAAGAGCGCTGCTATTATCCGTCATGCGGTGAAGGTATCGCCAGAGGCACTCCTTCGACATCGCAATCTCAACCGAGGTCCCTCCGTAACTTATTTCCGCCTCTCTGTGGCATGGTACAGCCCGCCTCGCTAGGTCGATAACTTCAGGACGCAGACGCCCGAAGACGGGGAGAGGCCGTAGGGTAGAACGTCTCCAGCAAGGCTATCAAATGACTTGCCGCCCACATGCAAGGAGGCTTCCCGGCGTGGTGGTTCGGCACTGTGAAGGCCTCGGGGTCGTCAGCCCCCAGGAAGCATCTGTTCTCAGCGACTGAACCGGAGGAGTGTTCATGGCGAGGACGGGCGTCAGGACCAACTAGGCCACGGCAAGGAGGTTAGAGAGGATGCGGCCTGGTCTTAGCCCATCCGGACCTACTTGCATCAAGCTCCTAATAAAAGCCGTGCGACTGCGACTCCGTACTTGGCGGCGATCGTTGAATTTCGTCTCAATTCGCGCCCTCTTCGTCCTCAGTCCAGCCCCGAGTACGGTGAATCGGAAAACCGCACCGGTTCGTCCCGCTGGGTAGTGGCCAGCTTGTACTACGGAGTAAGTGTATCATAGGCTTAAAAGCAAACGGTAATAATAGTGGCAAGTTTCCCAACGATTCCCGACCGCCACTCTTGTTCCTTCTTACACCAAGCCTGTCCCGCATCGGTTTTTGTCCAGCGCAGTTTGCTTGGCGATCTCTATGTCGTCCCCTGTTCTCAGCGCAGGGGATTGATACAGTATGCGAGCACACGCTGGTTCGGGCACCAGCATGGCGGGCGTTCTTGACGGGAAACTAATGCTAACCGAAGATCCCGGCCCCGGGACAGTGATTCATTTCCGTCGTGTGATCGCGCGTATGGCTTCATTGTAAGGTAAATGCATACAGGGAAACGAGGTGGATAGGAAGGCATGAATCTGTCGTGGGAGAGGTTGGCGCTGGCGGTGTAGGTAATATTATTACGTGGGAGCTGTGCACGGAACCCCACCGACGTAACCGACCCGGGCATCAGCCCGAGAGTATCCACTGTAATTACGTGACAGTAGAAGGAGAGGAGACTTGGGAATCTACGTCACGATTTCCGACCAAGATCGCGGTGAGATTTTGGGGCAATAGGAGTGTGTCATGTATGTAGTGCAGACGCCAAATGTCTCTCTTGATCTCACACAACCCGTGGATGCGGAAGCTGCTGGGGTTACTTCGCTTGCACGGCATGGTTTGGATTGGTCTGCGAAACCACCATTCTATAATGCTCGTAAGCGATTCAGCCTCGAATCGACCGAGGTTAAAGCCAGGGCCGGGTCTGTGTAAGGCATGAGTGGCGGCTCAAACTAACATGTCACAACCTCGTCCAACTGCATATCAATAGCCATTTGACCTGCCGTGGAGTGAGGCTTTGTTACATCTTTGAGACAGCAGGTAAAGAAGTAAACTCCGCTCTCGTTGGGTACCAAGCAAGGAGTGAGGCTTTGCCAGCTGTGGAAATTAACGTAATAGAGAACTCGTACGTAGGCAACTCCGCATAATATTTGTTGCCGTATCCCCTATTCAACTATCCCCTATTCACCTTAGTCAGGACTGAGTCAGCGAGCAGGGATAAGAGACCGAGAGATCAAGAGAAGGATAACGTGGCCGTACCTAGTTATTGGAGCTTTTTAGCTTTGCGAGCAGTAGCTTAGATTCTAGGAGAATCAAGCTTTTCCCACTGAGTTTTATCTGTCCGAATCGTGATAATATTAGATGCCTCAGCCGCATCCTCTGCACGTGCGTATCTCCCGATGACAGTCCTTCATGTTATTCGCGCTTCGGAGTAGTTGATCCTAACTTATACCAGGCCAGCACAATCCTATACTTAATTGGACATGAGTTACCTAATAATGGCAATGCCACGGTACGTATGTCTCAAAATATAAAGTATAGACGGCTACAGTTTCCCGCGCCGTATTATTGTTTCTCCGAATGCTAGGTAAAGTTGGGTTGCCAGGAATACAACCCAACCCTAAAGGTCTAATCTTTTACGTTTCGTTTCACGTTTTTAGGTATAGGTACTCAACTTTGCAGGGTCAATAGCAGGTCCCAATTATAGGACCCTTGGCGTTGACCTCTGAGTCTCAAGCGACGTTGGGCCTCCGCACAAAAAGAAGGTTGAGAAGCTGCTCCGAGAATCATTCAAAAATAGAAAGAGGACAGAGGTAAGCTAGGTTATAATATTCGTGGGCTTGCGGTTTAACTCTGTGCATCGGCAACTCAATGTCCAAGGCTACACTAGCCACTAGTACAGTAAGTCCTCCAGCAAAATAATTACCTCGATTAGACCTAGATGACGGAATGGGCGGTTACGACGGACGAAATACTCTATGAGATGAAGAAAATGCAAGAAAATGCTGTGCAATGTGCGGTGTAGGCTCGATGGTGATCCGAGTCCTTTCTAGTTCCACCTTGATGCAGCCAGACACGAGGATAGGCGCATTACACAGGTAGAACCTATGGACGTCAAACGATTCAGAACTCGGAATCCTGTGCTGTTTCAAGGCCGCATGCAGCTGTTGCAGGTGAGGGGACATGATGCGCTCCCTATGTCGCACCCTCCAGTTGCCAATGGGCCACCCGGCAGCAATTTCTATTCTATAAAGTGACCCTCGGACACCAGCCGTGGTGGGAGGGGTGGAGGACAACGACTTTCTCGCTTCTCTTCTGATGAGACTACTCTTGTGCTGTGGGGCTCTTCTAACGACGTCTCCATTTCTTTCTTGCCCAGAGGTCAACACCTGTTCAGAGCTCCAATCAGCATTCCTCGAAGCGGCACAAGCTTTCAGGGTGAGATCGAAGAATATCCATAGACCCTTCTAGACTGCAAGCATATGTAGGCTCGGGTAACGAGGAAAGGATGTCTTGGACAGCCAATAGCGTCAGGGAGGGGAACGCTATAGAGCGTTGGGCGAGTTAGGTAATATAGCTGAAACATCACCCAGAAATTCAATAAGATAGCCTCGTTATTAATACTAGATATCGTATTTATGTCTAGAGCCACACTGTGAAATTCACCTCTTGTTCTACGAAAGCCGGAGTAATAGGTAATTAAGAACGTGCCCTGTAGAGCTTGGTCTTAGTATTTCTCGAGAGCATTCGTCTACGTGGGTGGGGCAGCAGGCATATTATATCACAAGTAATAGACGAAAGGCATATGCCGTTCGTCACGACCCTCTCCGCTTGAGGGTTGGGCGGGGATTATAAGGCCAGCCTATTGATACTCCCCAAGAGTTCTGATAAGAATCACAGGGATTCTCCAGCCAATGTTCGGCCTGCTTCGAGGAGACACAGGACGGAATTCCCGGCCCCGCGGCAAGTGACTCTTGGCTGATAAGAGCGCGCGCATCAAAGCAGCATCGTGAAGTTGCGACGTGGTTGACCTAGCACAGGCCAATCTTCTCCGGGGCTAGGCCCACCGCGTTCCTTTTTCCCTATCTTTTCTTCGATACCCCAAGTGGTAGATACCCCTACCCCATCTCCCTCCCACGTGCGTGTCAGAGCGATAACGGGTCATGTGCCTGATAGATTGGTTCGTGACGACCTGACCTGGTGGGTCAACAGATACCAGACGGCTTGGTGATCCTTTTCAACACCAGCACCATGAATATTTCGGGCTGGCGCTGGAGTGAATCAGGTCAAGGGCATAGTATCGCACGCACAGCGATCCTAGTCACGCACAGAGTCTCGAGCTGTATGAGTAGATGGTTTTTTTCTCAGTTCCGCTTCCATCACGATCAAATATTATACCAACACTTACAAGAAGGCGTCTCCGGGAACGAAGCCGCGCTTATGCTAGACGCCCGCATCCCCCTGCCCTTCCTAAGATCCCTCCTGATATCTGCCAAACCGCGGACGGGTTGTCCCTCCCCCTTGGTGTGGATGGATGGCATTGCGCCGTATCTGAAGTTCCCACCAGCTCCTCGAATCACCACGGAACGGTGGGTTCCAGGACCCCTCCATCACGCATGCCAGCGCCAGCTTCGGTTTTGTTCCCCGGAATCAGGCCCTCGTACCATCTCTCTTCACATGCAAGGCAAAATTCCGTTGGGCAACTTTGTTCTATGCGACCTAGCGTATTTTTAGCGGTGTATCGACACGCCTCGATTTTACGCTGTGTGCTCACAACCACCCACTGAGTACTTCTAGTTGTCGGGAGGGGGGTTCACCCGGAGGTAAGCAATAAGGAAGTACATCTACGGGAGGGATGTAACACGAAGTTACCAATATACATACGAGGGATGCCTATATCGAGCCGCCGAGATCTACTTGCCGCTTCTGAGGTGGTAGGGAGGGGGATCTGGGGAGGCGATAGGCAGTTTCTCTGACATCACAACAATGGAGGATGCCCTGCTCGAGTCGTTATATGCAACCGTTCGGTAGATGCTACGCCGCGGCCGCAGATAGACCTATAGGAATTCGTTGGCATCTCTCCGCATTACGAGATAGACCAATTACACGCCATCCACAATATGGCATGGCATAGAAGCTAACGACACGTCGCAGCGAGTGGTTCGTTTTCTGATAGATCAGCAGGGAGGGAGGATATTCATCTGGAGATGAGCAGCCGTCTATGGCTATAGCAGTGCGATTTGGTGATAAGCAGGATGCGCCAGGGCGGTCTATCCCCTCCTAGCCGCCTTCCTTTATCTCCGTTATCGGGCGTCACCTTCTCATGACTTATACCTACGGAGATAATGTCGTATAGAGAGGACGACGACATGAGCGACTACGACAATTGGGACAGGGTGGGACAGGGTGCCAGTATGTGACAGGGTGCCCGTCGGTAATGGATCGGGATCCAGGCGTATTGTTCCATCGCCATGATCGCTGTCGTGTCGACTTGATCGTGAGTCGTATGCCGATGATGCACCATCCTACGAAGCGCGTGCGGCGCGTTTAAAGGTAATACACAAACGCTTTTGGGCAGAATAAGAACCGGAAAACACCACACAGCTGATAGTGTGGTACTGGATCATGGATGAAAACCGTGGATAGTCTATTAGAGGGCAATGCTGGTTTCCCACTACCCGGCCCTGGGTCTAGACTGCTCGCTTCGATGTTCAGCTAATTGACGCACCGATAACTAATGCGCCACGATATTCGGTATTCGGACTCTAATCCTTAAGCAGCGTCGGGTAATGCGTCGCGGCTCTTCTTCCAGGTGGCGTCGCATCTAGTGGTATGGATGCCGCTTTAGTCGTCGGGTCCGGTAACGCTGGGCGGCCCCTCCACACCTTTCACGCTCATATCAATCTCCTCTGCCAGGTCGAACCACGTAAGTTGACAAGGAGTTCCCGTCGAGATAGAGTCAACGTCGGACCCGCCAATTGGGGGAATCCTCGACACAAAGATGGACCAACACGTCCCCGTCGCAGGCTCGATCGCGGTGCTGCTTTACGTCTGCGATGCTGGTGTTCCTGGCCATGGGAAAGCAGCCTAGGTCTTGTCAAGCCATCGTCGCAGTGCCCGATGGTCAACTGCCATCGCCCATATACATGACTCTAGCGGCGTAACTTCCGGGGCCCCGTGGCTTCGCGATTGGAGATAGTCATCCTGTGGGCATATAGATAAGACCCAACTAAAGCTGCCCCGTCACGATGATAAAAGCCAGCGTCGCTCTCCTCTTTTGGGCTTTGCCGCTAGGAAACTACTTACCTATATTCAACCGAATCCCACTGCACTGGAGCTAAAGTAACCCCCCTTCCTAACTCCTTTCCCGACGTGCCACGATATAGTTACTCAGAATGGCAGCCGCCGCAGTCCTCCCAGCCCCCGTTGATCCCGAACGGAGCTGGGTTCCTATCATCACGGAGCCTAAAGCATCAAGTCTAGGAAGCGATGAGTTTACTCCTTCCAAACACCTCGCTTTCAAGGAAGTACCCAAGGTGTACACTATGAGCGATATAGGCATGCCAGAGGGCACCGGTATCTCCCCCGTTGCCGTCTCAGAGCCCTTCCCCTTGTTCACGGAAGAGGCTGTTATGAGGATGAGGCAGGAGGTCTTGAGTCCCGAGGTGCTCAAAAACTGCCAGTACTCGAGCAATCTTGCCCAGTGTCAACTGCGAGGCTTCGCGAACAAGTAAGTCGCCACGCTAATACGCCTCTAGGGCTGAAGGTGTTGTATAATAGAATATTAACGATGATTACTATCTCAGGTATGCGCCCTTCGTGTATGATGTGTGGAAAAGCCCGGAAACGCTGGCCATCATTTCCAAGGTCGCGGGCATCGACCTGGTGACGGAGATGGACTTTGAGATTGGCCACATCAACATCTCGGTCAAGTCAGAAAAGGAGAAGGAGGAGGAGCTCCGGGCGTTCACCGACCGGGCCCAGTTCGAAGCCGACGAGGGCATCGGGGGCTGTCCGTGGGAAGATGACAAGCCCATCGTGGACTGGCACACGGACAGCTACCCCTTCGTCTGCGTGACCATGCTGAGCGATTGCACGACGATGATCGGCGGGGAGACCGCCCTCCGTACTGGCTCGGGCGAGATCATGAAAGTGAGGGGTCCGCAAATGGTACGTGGTATTCCCGGGAACAACCAGTCTACAGTACAGAGCGGGTAGCTAACGACGGAACTAGGGCTGCGCGGTCGTGCTGCAGGGCCGGTACATCGAGCACCAGGCGCTGCGGGCGCTCGGGACGGCGGAGCGCATCAGTATGGTGACGTCGTTCCGGCCGCGCAGCCCGCGGGTGCGCGACGACACGGTGCTCACGACGGTGCGGGCGATATCGAACCTGCCGGAGCTGTACAACCAATTCAGCGAGTACCGGCTCGAGATCCTCGAGGAGCGCGTCCGCCAGCAGCTCAAGGCGATGCGCGAGGCCAATGCCGCCGGCCGCCGCGTCAGCACCCGCCAGCTCAAGGCCTTCTTCGAGGAGCAGGAGAAGTTCCTCGCCCACATGAACCGCGAGATCGTCGACGACGAGAAGGTCGTCCGCGGCAACATCGACGACAGCCACCTCCTCACTAACCGGCGTTGAGGCGCCGGCATCCTTCCCCGAACTCTCGAGGGATCGAGTCCCAAGAAAAACTGCCCGCGACGACCCCGAAGGAGTCGTCGCCGTGGCGCATGGCGGATCATGCGGTTGGAACCCGGCTTCTGGATAGAGGCCACTCTTGGCCTTACTTGACGATGACAATGGACCAAGAGGTACCTATTGGTATGCGTCTGGGCACATAGCGTACGGCGCATAGTTGTGTGGAAAGGCTCTCCCGCTGCCTTGTACTTCAGCCAGCTTTCACTTCGGCGTCGTTGGTATGCTAGCTAGATATATGCCTCGTACAACGTCCCAGGTACAATGCTAAAAAGTCTCGTACGTGGTTGGTGCTGGAAGAAATATAAAACCAATACGCTCAATACAGTACGGCCAATGCATCGGTAAATCTCGCTACCGTGGTCGATGATCTTGCCACAGGCACAGGATTGAAGCCTACATACACATCTTCCCGACGACAACAGTCTCGCCCATGAGTGTTTCTCAGTAGTCTTCACTGGTAGTTCATCGCGGGTACGTAGAGTAGAAAGGTTGTCCGTACAAGCTCAAAATAGCAATTTATTTTATTTCGTTCAATAATGTATTTTTATATCGCTGTCTGACTCTGCGTGGGGTTTCTCGTATTTATGTTATGGCGTGAAAGTTGGCTCTGGGTAACACCGCACTCGAACCACGCGGAAAGTGAGGGGTGGGAATGATAGACAAGCATACATCTGCCAATGAGCCGTGCCACTATCTGAGCATCTCGCTTCGAGGTTTTGAAGGAAAGGAAATCGCTATCGAGGTTATCATCGCCTAGCACACACAGGGCTTGGAAGTCGATACATTGTAGAGAATGGCAAGGAACGTCGTTTACTCTTTGGAGGCACAGCTGGAGGGATCATTGGAGGGACCAGCGCCGGGAAATGGAGGGGGATCGTGGGTGGGGATACCCTCGTCGCCAGGGGCAACGCGGTAGAATATCTTCCTCCTCTCCTTTTGGAGTTTCTCTTTCGTTATCACCTCAGCCGCTCCCAGGGTTTCTGCTTCAAGCCGGAATTTATGATGTCTCAGCACGGCCTTTTTCCTCTCCTCGGCCAGTTGGCCCTTTGCATTGTGGAGTCCGAGCCGAGAGTCGTGAACGGCATCCATGAAACTCCTCGTGGCCCAAGGCTTGGAGAGAAAATCGAGCATCAAGTTGTGGTACCCAGTTTTGATATCGAGAAGGTTTGGCACTTCAGACGACATCACCTGCGCCTCCAACACAAGTACCCGTCCCTTTCTGGCATCAATATCGGCTTCGTCTAGCGCGTTTATCACCGCTAGGTCGTTCGGCGAGTATTCTGACCTTTTGGTGCCATTATTTAGAGCCCTCTCGGTGTGATTGTAGGCTTCCTCCAGTCGCGTGATCGCTGCTTCCAAGAGATTGGCGGCACATCCTTCATTCTCTGCCTTGGAGGCTATGTTGTGGTATTCTTGCATAGCATCATAGGCGGTGATTTCGTGCTCGTCTTCTTCGGGGAAGGCTTCCGTCGGGCCTTGGAATAAGTGAGTATATAGGCGATCGAGCTCATGTTCCGCTGTGCGACGAAGGTCTACCCGCTCCTCGAAACCTCTCTGGATCTCTGAGGATTTGGCGATCCAGTCTAGGATAGTGTTCTCTCTATCTTGAGCCAGGCGTATCTGGTTGTTTATGTCGCTATCGTCTAGCCCTTCCTGAACCTGCCCCTGGACCTGACCCTGGGCTTGTTCGTGTTCCTGTCCCTCTTGGTATCTGGCCCCCAGCTTCTTTCTCCCGGACTCTATGGGCTCGAAGAATCGTTTCATAGATGCAAGCATACGTGGTTTGGACGCTTCACCCTCCTTCTGCATTTCATCTTGCCCGGTCACTTCGCTTTCCTCGGACACTACATTCTGCTCGGCACTCGCGTTCTGCAGCTCAGCGATGCATTCGCGGACTTCGGAAAGGTCCCGATTGAGACATTTGATCACTTCTTTCTGGCCCGCCAATCCTGACACGGCGTCGGAGGATTCGGATATAATAACCACCAGCTCGGTATGCCGGGGCATTGCCTGTCTAATCTCACTTATAATTGGGCGCATGATGAAAGATAGGTAGCTGGATTACGCCGGCGGGAAATCGTATTGTAACTGTCCTCGGGGTACAGCGTGAGATGGGGCTGGTTTGCGGGCAATCGTATGTCTATAGGACCCTGTTGAGGTAGGTAGGCAACGAATGGAAGTTTATGTAAAAGAGAGATGCTTGGCATACCGTCCCTATCGTGCGGTGGGCTGGGCGATTCGCACATGTAAAAGGCGACGATGATGATAGATATTAACTCCGAGAACAATATGGGATGGCTGTGGCTATTGAGAATAGAGAAGAGAGAGGAGAGGGGAGACAGCTGGCGGTTCTCGATCCTCTGGCTACTCTACGCATACTTGACCACGGCATAGTCGTCGCTACTCGCGTTATTCTCTCATGGTGCCTACCCCTTAAACCATAGCGCTGTCCCTACGCAGGGAGGTGATAACAACATACATACCTACATACCGATAGCTTCGCGAAGAGTTCTTTTTTTTCACGTCCACCGCACAGAGGATCTCTTTCCCGCTCGAAGGTACCCCATCTCGCATAACTCGTTCCTGCTGCTGCAGGCATATGCGCGTTTGGCGATAGAAGCCGTTAGGTGCCGCCTTCTACGAGCGAACGCAGCGTTCTGGGTATCATCGGCGTCGTCCTCCCCTCCCCATTTAGGTGCCTTAGGCGCCTCGTATACGCCCTCCTTTCACATGGCAGCTTACAGATAAAACGGAAGTAGGTTCGTTTCATCGAAGACCTGCTATATTGCTGTTGCCGATACAGCTGGATCGACTTCTGACCCGAACCGTCTCTCACGCAGGGCTTGAGCTCGGTGATGATGATCTCGGTATTTCGCCCTCGGGAAATATCAACATTAAGAAGTAGTGGAGGCTGACTTGCTGCTTGCTTCACCAACCAGGAGAGGAGCCAGGGTGACAGGGTGTGGGTGTCTTGATTGACGTTGTGATAGATGGTAGGTCGGCTGCAGCTGTACGCGTATGACGCGGTACTAGGAGGAATGGACATTACCTATCCGAAAAGGTACCTACCTATATACTAGCACTCGGTCAACGTCAATGCCACAGTGAGCCCAGCAGCTTAGGTAAGTAGGGAGCGATACTAACTTTCGTGGGAGCCACGTGAGGCTCAACTACCACCCACACTTAAGGTACCTAGAGATCAGTAGGTTACTTAACGAAGGATAGGTTCGATTCCTAACAGCGCTACTTGGTAGTCTTCGCTACTTCGCTCATCTGGCAGGTACCTAACGTCCTAAAGAAGTGGAAGTACCTACAGCCCACAAGGAATTGCTCATAGACTCGATTCAATATCTTTACATTATGTACATGGCTTCGTAGATAGGTACCTACCTGCCGCCATACGGCGACGAATACAACAAAAAGAGCCTGCTACTTTCGATTGAGCATTATTAGTCCCTTCGTCTCAAACAAATGCCATCGTTCGTCTCAAACAAACGCCATCGTTCCCCTAGGTTCAAGTCTCTTTCAAAGCTTTGGATATAATAAGGTATCGTAGAGAAGAAGCCCCATGCTGACTCCCTATGCACCCACATTCCCCAACCAAACAGTGTAGCTACCTACATTTTTCCCCTGTGCGCAACCTTGTGCGGGCATCTCGGTAACATTTTAGTATCTCGCCATTGACGTCTAGGTTGTCATTAAGCTACACCGGCGAAATGGGCCGTTCATGCGAAGACTTATTCTCCAAGTTGCCAACCGATGTACTGGCCTATCTGGTTGACCGCGAACTTCGCAGCAATCCAAGGGACTTGATCAATTTAGTGTTGGCCCATCCGCGGGTTTTCCTGTCGGGTACCTTCAATGTTGCCACCCTCGATGCTACTCGTCAAATAAGACTAAGAGACCTCCCGTCTCCAGAAACACGAGATACAATCCCCCTCATAAATACTGCGATAGAGATGGGAGCAGTTGTTCCTTGGTGGCTCATCCGCCTATTGGGACTGGAATTGGAGAGGGCTCAGCCGGGAACGCTCAATGGCATATACCCGAGCTTACGGCCTATCGAGCCCCCTTTGCATACCGCAGTCCGCTGTGGTCAAGCCGACATCGTCCGATCCCTACTCCAGTGGGACAAAGTCAACGCCTGGGTGAAATATTGCCCCACAAGAAATTCTTCTGCCCAGCCGAGCAGCTGTAAGTATAGATTCTCGGCACACCTCCCGCCATGCACGCCTAACTCGCCCCTATCGGATTGCAAAACAGCTGTAGAATATGCCATATCAGAACATAGAATGGCAATGTGGGGATTCCGCATGGGCCCGATTCGCAGCAACATCGAACACTGTGCGTTAGCCTTTGTTGAGCTTGGGCACACCGAACAAATGATGCAGCAGGGCCATGATTGGGCGACCAATATATGTATCCGGGCAGTCTTCGCTGGGATGAACAGGTATTTTGCTGCCGTATTAGATCGAGTATTTGAATTGCCCCCCGAGAACGCCCATCGGCGATGGCTTCATGATCAAGGGTTGCGCTCAATTCTCTATAGGATCGCTGACCTGGTCCGAGACGACAGCAGCGCTATCCAGCATATCGTCGACAAGTCTATCGAAACTGGTGCGGTCTTGTTCCCTGGGTGCTCGGAACAGGAGCTGAGCCCTATTCTGACGGCTTTGGGCGATCGCAAGGTGCTAAACGCAATATATCTCTTGAGGCTAGCGGATAGCGCAGGGATCGAGGACCGCGTCGCGTTTATGATGTCTACGTTGGACGGCGCGCCTCTCGAATCGATGCAAGACGATTACGAATTTGCTGGGTATCGCTTAGCGCAATACAAAGCCGTCAAGAAACTTCTCGACGGGCTCGCGCCGGGTTCCTTGAAGAGACTGCTGGAAGAGGGATGGGGGCGATATGTACGTCGAGTCTTTTCCCTGAACCAAGCGTCAAAGGAGGTGACCAAATTTCTAGTCCGGAATGGGCACAACTCGCCGGAGTGGATGCAGGAAGCTATAGCGGAAGGCAGCGAGGTCGCGCTCTCGGAGATAATCAAGATCTGGGGCGAGCAAGGCATTCGCATAGACACGCCCTTCGCCGAAGACCCTAGGAACGTCACCGGAACGCTTCACGGAAAGGTGCTTGGCAAAGTGTCAGCATTGCAGTTTGCGATTAGGGGAAGGAAATTGTGGGCGATTTTGATGCTCATGGACGCACACGCAGACGAGTCTCTAGTGGACCGGATAGACTGGTATCTGTTGAAGAAACATCTCGACTTTCTTCAACACACGCCTTTCCGCCACCAGTTGGGGTACGGTCCACCGACGTATCTGTTTGGGGAACGGTGTGAGGTCGAGGATAAAATCGAAATGCTCCGGCGGATAGCCCAATCGCATCGCTAAAAGGCGTTGCTGGCGGGCGTGCCGAATCTCATCAGTAGCTTGAGTTAGGAGAGGTAGGTAATATCAGAAATTACGGAAAGGCCCGTATGGTATGTGTAAAACGTAGGTAGAATGAGGTAGTGTTCGTCCAGAGTTTGTCGCACTCGGGCTTACGAACCTGAGTAGTGCGTCGGTCGCGGAGGAGGGTGCCCGTTACCAGCCCGGTCCAATCTTACCGCATGGCGTTGTCTTGGGTACTCGAAGGATAGGCATAATAATCATGATAGCCTGTTGTTGCCAACTCGGTTGCGCCATCGGTGCGTCCAGCTGGCCAGATGATGATCCCATATCAATAGCCCATTACCGACAATGCAGAAGATGAAAGGAATCGAATCCACCGGCCCATGCCAAACCTATTATGAGTAGGTGCACGTAGATCCACGAGCAACGGCGTTGGCAAAGGGGACGTGCAAAGACATCGTAGGTTACTTAACGAAGGATAGGTTCGATCCCTAACAGCGCTACTTGGTAGTCCTTGTTATTTAGCCCGTCTCCTGGTAGGTTAGGCCAGGAGGTAGGTACCTAGGTACCTACTTCTAGGCTACATGGGATCGAGACTGGATGCCCCCCGGGCAGTTGGATAGGTACATTATGCGACTCCATCGTAGGTACATAGGATACCCAGGTACCTTATGTACCTGACCTATTAGCGTCCACGCAACGCACAAACCGAAAGAATGACAGGTTGCTTAACCCTAGATGGACCCCACGAAAGGGGTGCATGTCGCAACGGCGACCCTGCTTTTGGGGGATTACTACCTAGATACGTACCGAGGTAGGTACCTACCTAGGTAAGGTAGGCACTTTAGAACGCCGGGAACGCCAGGAACGGCCAGGAACGCCAGCGGCCCGCTCGTCCTCAGAAACACCATCACACCACCACCAGCTTCTCAAAAGCCACATCACGATACATATCCCTCCCCCTCTCTTCGGCCGCCACCATGCGCTGCATTCAGGCTCCCCCCCGCCCAACTCGGAGAAACTGAATCTCGGACGCGTCTCACAGCCAAGCAAGGGCATAAGCAAAGTGTGCGCCGGTCTGGTGAATTCCCACAGGAAACCCGGTAAGGCTCTGTCTGCGGCATCCGGTGGGACACATCCAATGAGCAAGCTAACCGAGACGCCCCCACAACCTCCCCACACAGTCTCGTTCGCGCTAGTGTCATACTAATATAGGTTCACATCTTCCTTCACCCTTCTGCCCGTCTGCCTGAGGAAACGCACGCCGGTCCAAAGGCGTCGTTCTGTTTTGCATTAGACACGCGTAGGCCTTGCTATGAGCCGGGTGAAAGGAAATGGGGCGTGGCGAGGCTAAGATACGCCACCTCCCTTCTCATCGAGCTCCCTTATCGCACCATGCGCGCCATTCCATGGTGTATGCCTACGGATTGGCTTCGGCGACAACTTGGCGCTCTTCCTCCTCCCTCTATTCCGCTACTTACTTGCATGGCGCCTCCGCTGCGACCAGTAAGCACTTGGTCTGGCCAACGCATAGTCCCAGCAGCGTCCAGACCAACATGCGGGGAGAAGCCCACAATCTCCGCAAATTCCCCATACTTGGCAACGGGGTCATGATGGGGGGATGTCTGGGGACACCTACCTTGAAGCTCGTGCCGACCTTGTTGCCGACGACATCGTTGTCTCCAGACCGTCTGTTTCCAAGATACTGAGATCCATCTGAGATCCGAGGCTATCTAATCAGAGAGAGAGGTTCCGTACGTGCGACGGACTCAGCATCCCCCAGCGAGTGCTTTTATGAGCATGTCTCGATGTCGATTGGATGTGTACACGCTGTGATGACCACCTAGGCGGGCCCTCCCTGCATTGCAGACACTGTAGTTGGGGATAGTGGAGGGATACCGCCGGCCTACTACCCTTCGTCCATTTGGGTTCCCCGCGCCGGCGCGCCGCTCATGTGCATACACAGCTGCTTGGAATCTGTCGAGCTCCTGTTTGATTATTTCTCCGTAACGGGATGCCCCAGCTGTGAAGGCAGGTCTATAAGTAACATGTCACGGATTCCCCTCCTCACCCGACTGTTCCAGGAGAGACGTTCTGCTCGTTATCCCACTTTATCCTGTTCTAAGCCTTCTTCTCTTCTCGCCCACCATGGCACCCTCTCTTGAGATCTCGGACTCCACGAAGAAAGATGTGGTCCATCAAGAGCTTTGCAGCGAAAAGGAGCTGGATAGTGACATCAGTCGCGCCGATGTTCTGGCCATCGCTCCGGAGACGACCCTCGAGTCCTTTGCGCACCTGGATGAGAAAAGAATACTGAGAAAGGTTGAGGACACTGTCGGTAATTCGCGCAAGAACCCCCCCAAGCTGACCCCGATTTCCGTTAGATGGATATCCGCTTAATCCCCATGCTTGCCGTTCTTTACTTGCTATCATTCCTAGACAGAGGCAACATCGGAAACGCCAAGATCGAAGGTCTTCAGGAGGACTTGGGGATGACCGCCGACGAATACAACTGGTGCCTGACCGTGTTTTTCTTCACATATGCTGCCTTTGAGGTGCCCAGCAACCTGCTGCTGAAAAAGCTACGCCCTTCCCGGTGGCTCCCATTAATCATGCTTGCGGTACGTGAACCACGAAGTACTGTCCCTCTCGCCACCCAGTTATCCGCAAATGTAACGCGGGCCCTTATTTCGAAAGCATCGGCGCCGGAGCGGTCCGCTTAGAGAAAACCCCCTGCGGAGAGGGCTGCGAGCGACGAGGAGAAGAAAATCAGCTCGGCTAATACATACTTTCACCACAGTGGGGGACCGTGATGACCTTGATGGGCATAGTGAGGAATTACCACGGATTGCTGATTACGAGGGTAATGCTTGGTGCTACCGAAGCTGGCTTATATCCTGGGTGTGCTGTGGGTATTATCTACCGCCAGAACTTGAACTTCATGAGGCTAATTGTCCATCAAGTACTATCTCACCATGTGGTACTGCCGCCATGAGATACAACTCCGACAGGTATGATCACCCAGTTCACCACGGCTTTTCACGATGGAGGCGGTCGCGTTCGTGCTTTCTCGGGTTAGCTAATTAATCGCCAGGCTATGTTTTTCTCCGCAGCTTCGATAGCTGGTGCATTCAGCGGGCTTCTGGCTTTTGCGATCGCGAAGATGGACGGTATTGGAAACCTGGAAGGTTGGCGTTGGATCTTCATCCTCGAGGGCCTCGTCACCGTAAGCAACGCCGACAGACCCTGCCGACGCCGAAATAATACTGAATCCTCTAGGTCGTCGTTGCCGTTATTTCGTTCTTTGTGCTACACGATTTTCCAGAGACGGCCAGTTTCCTCACCGAGGAGGAGCGAGCCTTCGTGTTGTTTCGTCTGAAATACCAGGGGCAGCGTGAGGGGAATAGTGGGCAGCCACAGGTGGCGGAAGCCGATGAATTCAAGTGGAAATACGTTCTCGACGCGTTTAAGGATTGGCAGATTTGGGTCAACATATTTGTCTACTGGGGCGTAAGTTATACCTCTACTTTACAGACTTTCCCAACCCGTTGCTAACCAGACAATACGCAGATCGTATGCCCACTTTACGGTGTCAGCCTCTTTCTGCCAACCATTATCAGGAACTTGGGGTACTCTTCAAGCACAGCGCAGCTCATGACCGTACCTGTCTATATCGTAGCCGCAGTTCTCGCGGTTGTCTTCGCTTTTTTTTCGGACCGTTTGGGGAAACGCAGCCCGTTCATCATCGGATTTCTATTTATCATGGCGGTTGGGTTCGCAATGTGAGTATTAGTGCCAGAAGACCCGTGCAGTAAAGCCGGGTGCTATTGCTAACATCGGGAAGGTGTATATCCACGACGAACCCTCGAGTTGTATATGGTGGCGTCTTTCTAGCCGCGTGCGCCGTTTACCCGGCGTTCCCTGGCGTGGTTACGTGGCTCTCGAATAACCTAGCGGGCAGTTACAAACGCAGCGCTGGGATGGCCATCCAAATCGGGATCGGAGGTCTTGGTGGTGCCATGGCATCCAACTTCTACCGCCAGAACGACGCTCCAAGATATATCCTTGGCCACGGCCTAGAACTGGGATTCATCGGCGTGGGCCTCGTTGCCTCGGTTATCCTCGTCATATCGTACACCGCTATCAACAGGAAGAGGGAGAGACTCCTCCGGCAGGGCGGGGACACTCGATTTACCCTGGACGAACTATCCGCTCATGGCGACAGGGCAGTGACTTTTAGATACGTAATCTAGATATATGTAAATATTCCAGGCGATCTTGTGAGTTTGGATACTAGGTACCATAGAGACCCCCGTCTATAATCGAAGCTTACCATAATGGCAAACTATTATTAGTAAGGAAGAAGACCACTATGTAGCAAGCCACCCTTGTGTGAATGATTCTGTCTCGATTTCACGGCCCTTAGGCCAAGAGTCCATACTCGTTGCTGATAGACCTCGTTCATCATTCGACTATAATACTGCGGGGTACTTTGTTCGTTATGCACCCCTATTCATAGCTTCAAAGGCAATATCTACGAGATACATAGCCTCAGGGGATATTAAAATACATTGTTCAAGCAGGCAGATACTGCTAGGCCTTCGCAATGAGAAACAGGAAGATAAAGAACCTTTTGAACATAAAAATCTCACTCTAACATGTCTTTGCGTTCTCGGTAACAAAGGAATCCCCCGTCCTCGTCAAAGGGCATACCAATTTGGTCCTTGTCGAAAATAATATTCTTGATATCGCCATGGGGAATCGCGTAACAACGAGAGTTTTCTGGTTAAATCTACTGCGATCATTAACCGTGGTATGGATGCGACATAAAGTGCAGCTGGACGTACGCGTTCCAAAGCTGTTCTCTTAACCCTGATCTGGTCTCCTCATATCGGCCACGAAGGCGAATAGAGAAACGAAATGGCGCATTCACCTCTCCTTCGGACGGCGATGCGTTTGAAGCTGGACGGAAGGAGCATATCTTTGGTCAACTACGAACTGACTCTCGAAGACGCTTCTTCCTCCATTTTACCAAAACCTCCAAGCCAGAAGAATTTCGACGAAGTGAGGTGGACCGAGCTGCGTAAAACCCATGAAAATAAAAAGGCCCGAGAGACGCGACAAAAAGAATACGAGCACGATTTCATGAAGGCGCTGGCGGGAGAACTTCGGAAACGCACCCAGAAAAAGCTGCTTACGGCGTGGAAAGGGGTGATTCCGACCAAGTCGTCCGCGTTGAGATTAGCAGTAGCCAAGTCGGGGTTCGCGGAATGGAGGCCACCCTTGCTCTCGGAGTGCCTGCTGTTCGAACAGAGCTCATCTTACCCTCCGATCTGCGGCCGCGTGCACGCTGCCGAGATGGGGATTCTGGACAGGAGACTGCTCCACGTGGCCATATCACCGAAGTACGTGCCGAAGCCGCACTTTAAGATGGAAAGAAAGAGGCTCGCGGCCAAGAGCGCCGAGTTCGCCGCCTTTGTCGCGCAGCAGACGTCGGGCGCGAACAAGCGGAGCCTGATACCACGCCCGCAGGACGAATCGTCCGACGAGGGCCTCCTGACCGTGAACGAGGCGCCGATCGCAGGGCGGGCGGGCTCTGTCTCGGCCGCCCCTAAGCCGAGCAAGATCGCCAGCATACTGGGCAAGCGGAAACGGGCCCCGGCGAAGCAAGCAGCAAAGGGCGCTCGGAAGCCGCCGAAGTTCGTCAAACTGTACGACTGCAGAGTCCACGACCGCGCGCAGCTGGTCGCCCAGGGGATGAACCGCTGTGTTCTGATGCAGCAGCGACTGCCCCGGGTCGAGAACCCTGCGCCGGAGCTCGTGAAACGCAGGATCGTCGGCCGCAAGGCCGAGTCGCCGGAGCCGATGGACGTCGACGGCGACCCTGCTGCCGACGCCGCACGCGAGCTTCAGATCCACGGCATAGCACTGCCCGTGCGGCTACTAGGGGGCGAGTTGTCGGACGAGCAAGAGTGCCCGTCCTTGGAGGACGCTGTGCGATACCGATCCTGGAGGACCCGGGCACGGCGGTTCTTTAACGAGCGCGATCGGTACATGCAGAGTAGGGTGTATCAGGAGCGGTCAAGCGACCGTGATTTGCTGCGCGCTGTCCAGGCGCTGACAAGTTTCTGGGTCAAGTTGAAGATATAATGAACGACGGCGTTATTTTGTTTTGGCCTGTTAGGTTTTCAGTGGTGGTGTAAGGGCGGGGCACAGGGGGACTTTGGCGTACGGCACATTTTATCAGCGCTGCTGCACAGAATATTACTTAGTTACCTATATCATTAAATTCGGAGCGGTTAAACGGTTAAAAGAGAAGGATTCCGAGCACGAGTATAATAAATATACCTGACATAATTGCTTAATCAACCTCGAGCTACCTAATTACCAATGTCAAGAAACCGTCAAGCTACCAAGTATTATTGGCTACGACATACCCCTCCCTCACGGTGAAACCGCCCAAGCCCTTTTTATGATGTCTCTTAGTTCTATTCAAACAAACCAAACAGCATCTAGTGGTAACAAATATTCATCGTTCGATATTCAGTCAGTAAGACAAACCCTACAAAACCATGAAGATTTGAAAAAAAAAAAGGCCCCATTTACGGCAGAAGAATCACCTAGCAATCAGCGATCCTAACTCCTTGTCGACTCCAGAACTCCCCCCCCCTCCGCTCACCCCCACACAAAACCCGTCTACATAGGACAAGACTCGCTGGAGGGGATACCGAATCCACACGTTATCCCGTCAACCTGGCGAAAGGGGGGATGTGGGGATTATCTCTCTAAATATTAAACGCTTCTCTCCCTTCTCGACCTTTCTTCGGTGGTGAGTTCCGTGCGGCCGTTGGAGCAGTATTCGCACAAGGCGATTCCTGTGGCTCATCATACCTATACCTAGAGTATCTGCAACACAGTCTCCATTAGAGCATCAAGTGAGCGTCGGCAGTATTCTTGATTCACGGATGTATATTTATCATGCTCTCGTCTTCCTCGAAGTCGAACACGTCGTCGTCGGTTAGCAGGCCGGCATCCCGTGCCTCTTCTGCGTTGAAATGGATTGGCGGCTTCTCTGTATTCCAAGGCGTCTGTGAGGACAAGTCGAGCTTGCCCACATCGAGGTGGGGGAACACGAAGAAATGGGGCTTGAAGCCTTGGTAGATCACAGGCGTGAGGTACTCCTCGTAGAGCGGCGACGGGTGCTTCTGGTTAAATTGCCAGCTTTGCGTGAGAAGATTGAGAAGGCCGTAGCCAAAGAAGTGCCTGTCGGAGAAATCCAGGGAAACGGTCGAGCTGAAAATCGCGTTCGGTCGCCATTCGTCCACTTCGGTGCCCACTCGATCAGCAGCCATATTGTAAAGAGTGATGATGAACCTACAGGCGTGATCCTCCTTGGACCAATGTTGCTTATCGGAGACGTACACTTCCCCCGGGAGCCCCACTCCGTAGGCCGCCCTCCTTGCCGCCGCCAGCCTCGGATTCGCTAGGATGGGCTGTATAGTACCCCAGCAGGGGTTCGGCTCGAACGGGTGGCTCTCCAAGTAGTCCCGGCGAAACTCGAGCCAGGGTTGTCGAACGGACCGCGAGGTGATAAAGCCCGGCAGGCCGAACCAATCATCATCGCTATATTGGAGCCCGAACAAGGTAAATATTATCTCTTCAAATCGCTGGTTTGGCCCGATGGTATCCGCCGTGAAGGCGTTCATCTGCTTGCAGACACACATGCGCGTCATGGAGGCTAGCGTTTTCTGTATCGTGATGCGATTTTTCATCACGTACCAAAACGAGACGTAGCCCCGGTCGTAAACGCCGCCGAAGAGTTCGGGGTTCTGGGGCGGGTACACGTGAGCCCTCCTGAGCCTTCGGCAAAAATGGAGCATCCACGCCTTGAACGGGATCCAGGTCTTCCCGTCGGGCGCCAATACTTCGTGAGGGATCCCGTTGCGCATGTAGAAGCTGGTTGTCGAATCGGCACCCTCGATATACCTCGAGTCCGGGGTGCACTCCTGCAGAGATGGGTCAGCCGTGGCTCTATCATTCCTGGGAAGGAATCGGTACCAGGCTCTCCGAACCCACATCAGCCTTTGTATCTTAACCGAGCTTTCAGAGGTGAACGGCCCATACACGACGGGCGCAGCAAGCCTGCTGAAGTCGAAGGGTCTGCTCATCTTGATCGCGGCCGCTAGGTCGGTTAGTCAGAGCTCATCGCCGTCTCGTAAGAGCGACGCGAGTCCGACGATTTTGCCCTATAAAATTCCATGTCCAACCCCAAAACAAGAAGGTTGTTACAGAGCACAGCTGCAGAGGTGATACAGCAGCATTGGTGCCTGAGACATTACTCCCGGCTATACGAAGTTTGTTGTTAAGCATCTAGTCCTTTCAACGATGTTGACTCGCGGAAACTCGGAGCCCGCCGGGACAACACGGTGGAGCGCGGGATCTATCTAGAGTGAAGAAAATGATCAACCGAAATATTACTCGTATTAGGTATTAGTAGCCGGCGGCGGCGGCGGCATCGCAGCATAATAGGGACATATACACCTACATTTCCTCGTCCGAATACTACTCATGGACCTACACGGGTGATATTATTGTGCCTGGGTGGTTTGTTGTTTTACTAGTAACGAAAGCACGAACGGCCTAACAAATAGTGGCATGACAAAGGTGGCCGTGCAATTATCGGCCTGCCCGTCTTGGTCTCCTTTTGGCGATGGCTTTGTTAAACAGGCGGCACGACCGGCCTGAACAATGCCCCTCTGAAAGGAGGAAGAGAAAGGTTGCGTCGGTGCCGGAGTTGACATTACCTAGCTAAGCAGGGCGATGCAGTGAACTCTCTCTTGACGCCGGTAGACCACATATTAGCACCTTCTTGCGATGTCACAAATAGAAAATCTGGATGGAAATCAAGGCCGTTGCGTAACCAGGGCAAACGCCTGCCGCCTACAGTAGGGAGTTGAACAATCACCTAAGGTGCCTATACCTAGCCTACCTGAGTAACGTAGGTACCTACCTGAGGTACCTACTAGTAATAGTCTAGGTGCTTTTCCCCTGCCAGGTGAACCCCCGGCTACGAGAGAGCAACGTTAGTTCCACTATCACAACCTCTCACCTGCCGTAGTGATCGCCAAGTTCCCTAGCGGGGGGCACTCGAGGGGCACCGGGCGGGGTATTCAAGTAGGCGTTGAGTAACCGGCTCTGCAACTTGGACCCCACCGACAGACTTGTACCATCTATGAATACAGCCACAAGAATAAGAGACTGGTCCCCTACCCCGAGCACATCCGGCCCTCCTCTACTACGTCTCCCTGCATTAAAATCGCTCTCAACGACACTCCTATCTTCGAAGGCGCCGGCGCCTTATACCTCTAAGAGAAACAATACGGCATTCCGTCTTGGCAGCCCGCCGCGCCGTTCTTGCGTCGCCTGCCCGCTCTAACCAACCCTGCTCTCGCTGGTCCCCAGTCAGCGTCGTATCGATATCATCTGTCATGTAACGATATAAGCTGTTAACTTAGCCTACGAGGGAAACGCAGGCGTCTACGTCTCCCTCGTAGGCTATGTAGGCGTTTATTGTTTGGTTTTCCTACGTGACAGCTTCCCAGGGTGTTTCAAACAAGCCCAACAAGATTGGTTAGAACTTCTTCACAGGCAATATCCACGCAGGGTTGCGTCTCGGGTGGCTCTTTGGCCAAGAGCTATTCCTACGGAGAGAGCAGCTCGGCCTACATAAGACGGATTAGCTTGCTAGCCGCACCATCCGCCTGCCACACGCGTAACAAGGCAGTCAATACGTTACTGGGGAAGGTAGCTACGTGACAGCAATGTTATCGTATCTCTATATGTTTCCACCTTGCTTACTCACTTCATTTAGTTGACTATTATATCCAGACAACAGTCTTCGTTACGAGAATACACTTATTGTCTGGCTCTAAAGGATTCTATTACAGCCGTGCTGGATTTTTCCACCCGTTATTTTGCCGTCGAGGAGGACGAAGAGGGTAACCCCATTGTTGAAGGCTACATCTACCTCTTCGGGCTTCGCGTCGCCCTCCTTGAGCTAGTATCCCGCCTCCTCCACGCCTTCGAGCAAACGGAGAAGACCCATCGCGCCTCGTTCTATAAGAGCGGTGTTAAGCGAACCCGTGCAGCAAGATACCTATTAGCCTCCTTCGCGTTATAGTCGTGGACGCGCCTTAAACGCGTTTCCCGTGCTGATTTTCCTTGACGAAATCAAGAGTATGAGACCCGGGTAAACGACCGGCGCCAGAAGCTCGCGACTTGATACCCACATCCCAGCTTCGAGGTCGTAAGTAGCTAAGCTAGGGCACCCCTCCACGAGCCACCTCTTTACGGACTACCGCGTTAGGACCTACGAACGCGCCTTTTAACGCGACGCCTTTACTTAAATAACCTATAATTTCTCGGTTAGTTTTAATCTTTAGTAATTCCTTTTACTATTAATTTCTTCCTGATTTTTTATTAATTAAGATAGTATCTTTAAAGGAAACGTAAATCCGTACGGAAGCCGCTATTCGGGAGGTTATATGCGGTATTAATATCCGAAAAGCTACCCTTCGATATAGCGTCTTTCGTTCCTACCTAGCGCGTCGTTTCGCTAGTAAACTAACGAGATAAAAGCTAAATAAAAATCGGTAGGCTTTATTACCGATCTTAGAAGCTAAATTAACTCGTTAAGTTATTTCGTAGGCTAAGTTAGGCTTCGCGTTAGCCTTTATTTAATTTAAGTTTATAACCGACCGCTTATTAAACGCTAACGGCGGCTCTGGAAAGCTAGGGAAGTATTAATATTATCGTTTTTTAGATCGAAACCTAAAGGTTAAGGCCTTTAAGGCTAAGATCGTCGATTATAAGCGGATTAAGAGCGCTACGACGGTAAATATTAACCTCTTTTTCGATCGATTAAAAGCTTTCGAATTATTAGCCATCCCTTCCGAGCGCTTCTTTAACGCCGACGAAATAGGTATCGTATAAGGCGTTACCGGTAATCATTAGGTAATTTCTAAAGCCGATACTTATATAATACTTAAGAAAGGCGTCGAAAAAGGTTAATGGATTATTACTTTTAAGTATGTAGGCTTCGGCGGAAAGCCTCTTCCTTCTTTAATACTTTTTAAAGGTATCGACGTTTAGGTTTAATAGTTTTCTAACGATTCTTACGATCTTTAGAAGGATTAGCGGTTCTAGGCGTTACTTAAAGGATAAATTAGTAATAATATTACGTTAAGTTAGCTCGAAGGTATTTTTATTCCTTATATTCGGGCCCGTTTCGGTAATAAATAAGTCGTTTTAATTTACGACGGCTATAAATCGCATACCTACGACGCTTTTCTTACGCGTTATCTTTAAAATAAAATATGGCTCGTGTAGTGGTGCGGTGGATCTAGGCCACGTAGCCTTTTCGATGTGTATTTATATAGGTCGCGCACTTATATTTTCATCAGCTAGACTTAGACCTATAGACATCACAGCCTACAGCCATTCACTCGTTTCTTGCCATGCCTTTCTAGCCATCCTCGATTGCCGTTTCTAGTCTTCCTTTCCCAGCTGCCGTTTTCAGCTGGCCGATCAACCGATTACAGCTGTTTACAGCTGTGATTCTTAGTTGATCGGCACTGGGCCAGTTGTTGGCAGTTGGGCAGTCCTTGTTTCGTGCCTCCGTCAGCGTGCCCACGCTGCTCCTGTTCACTCGTTTTTTACTAGCCTTACTATAGTTACGTCGTATAGGTTTTAGATATCGGAATATTTAGGTTATTAAAAAAACGGCTTAAAAGTCTCCTTAAGAAGAGCTAAAGTACGAATCTAAACCTATGCCTTATTAAAATCGATATATTAAAGGTATACCGATAGGCTAGGGTCGATATAATAACTTCTCGAATTATTAAAGAAGCTTAAAGGACTTCTAGGATTTATCCTAAAAACCGCGAAAAGCCGTTATCGTCGAGATTCGTAATTATAAAAGATAAAGGTATTCTTAGATCTCGGCCGAAACGGTCGGAGGTATCGGAGGTTATCGAAAGGCCGAAAATACCTAATTTCCTAACGTTATTAGCTCTAAAATACGTTAATATACCTTTAAACGGCTAGGTATTACGAAACGTTACTTAACGGTTTATTTCTATTAGTTCTAGGGCTAAGGCCGTATCGTAACGGTTATTTATTCGGAAAATTAGCGATGCCTTCGACCGGTAGGCTAATACGATCGCGACTCTTATAACCTAGCTTTAATATGAGACCGTTAAAAACGATAAGGCTATTACTAAAACGCGTAAGAAGATATACGTAGCGCTAGGGGAGCGCTTCGTTCGTATGGCGGATATACGGCGGGTAAAAAGGTCGTTAAGAGGTAGGGTAATATATAAGGACGAGGTAAGCGACGAGGAGGTACCTAGAGAGGCTAAAACGGCGCTAGGAACGCTTAAAAACGAAGTATCGTAAACGGAGGATTATATCAAGGTTATAACGCCGGAATTAAAGGGTTTTAATTAATTTTAATAATATAAATAGCTTTAATTATTAACGTAGTAGTTACTAGGTAATGCTTAATTTAGGTAGCTCGTAGAGGGGTAGCTCGTAGAGGGGTAGCTCGTAGAGGGGTAGCCTAACTTACTATTTCGTTTGTGATTCTCTCGCCTAATTATTTACGTTAATAGGGTAAATCTGCTGTTGCTAACCGTGTTACCAGGTGGACTACCGCCTCACGAGCGGCGACGCTGGCCATTAAGCCCGATTTACTGTTAAGCGCGTCTTCATAGTAAAGCTTGACGAGGCAACATGGCCTCGTCAGTCGACTTCACTTAAAAGATACATCCTCATCCCAAACGCCAAGCCAACTCCAAATATCCGGTTGACGGCCTCCTCTCAACGGAGGTGATTATGAAGGGGATCGAGTTACAGAACCCAAAGCAGCTTCCCCCCAACGGCAAAGAGTGCCTTCTGGTGATTAGAACGGTCGAGCCATAAACACCATTTATCTGACGCATGACCGGTGCCGGGTCAGTCATCCAGTACAGCAAGGACGGCCTCGATGAAACATTCACCACATGGGAGTTGAGCCTCTGATGGCTCCTAAATGAAGGCATCTCTCTGTACAAGGATCTATCGGGAATGCTCAAGCAAACCATAAATATATTTGAGAGCCCTGGCTTTGATTATTCCAAGTTATCATTCGGGTCAACAAATCGATAGGATATCAAAATTGTTATTTAGGGAAGCGGCCTTTGTTAATGTAAGCCCACGTCTGCAAGTCGAGAATGTAGGCGTCTACGTTTTACGTAACACAACCCCTACCTCTCTGGTTGACATATCAGCCCACCTTAGCCTGAAAGCCTACCCGGGTTCATAACTAACAATTACGTTGCTTGTTAACATCTAACCAAACGACCCCCTTTCTTTAAATAACTATCTTAGCCTATTCCGCATCCAGAACAAATGTCAGCAAATAACATTCTGAACGGTTCAATTTGTTGCGTCACCTGTTGGCCTGTTAGATCTTGATGATATTGGCGGCCACTTATGTGGCATCCACCGTCCCCCGCACGAAGTCTTCGGCCAGCGAAGCCTAGCCAGCTAGAATTCCCTCCGTTATCCCGGGAAACGTCGTCGCCGCGTAGCCTACGGACGTTAGAGAGAAACGGAGAGGGGGGAAGACGGGGACAGATCAGTATCAATCCTAGGTGCAAATATAAGATGCCATATCACCATGGTAGGATCTCTAAACAATACCTAATCATTCCCAGAACTTCGCCAAGGCCAATGAGCGCATCGCGGTTCCTACGCAGAGGGTGTACATAGTCGTGCCTCATCTTCAGAGCACTTACCTGAAATGCAAATAATATACCTACCCGCATGCCTACTCTCACCTCCCCACCAAAGCCCGATCTACTGCCTTTCTTCCCATATTGTGGCGGACTTGGACGCGGTCTTCCGTCTCGAATACAGACGAGTGCGCCTCATACCTCGCCTCCTCGCTCGCTCACCATACAGTGACATGTACCAGCTAATTCTCGACTCTAGTAAGGTTTCCAGCAGCTCGTCTAAACTCATGCACATCTGCAGTTGGTCACATCAACCGACGAAGCCTACATAACTAATCGATTAAAGGTAACGAAGCTCACCGCTCTCTAGCCTATCACATCTCTCGAGCCACCCCTTCGGTGTCCTGGGTCCTGCACCGATTGGGTTGGTTTATGGTTGTTAACTGGAGCTAAGGGTACTACAATATGCAACATCCCGATTTCAGGCCTGTCTTCTATCCAGCTCTCTTTCAGAGCAGGTCAGTCCGACATATGCAAGGGCTATGTTGGGTTGCACACCAAGAGGTCTGTGGCTGGGGGGGGACGCACCCCTCCCTATGTGGCAAAAAGTTGGGTGCGAGCAAATGACGGTGAAAATCGACAAACAGTGAGGTGAGGAGGCCAAGGGAATTTCTCCTAATTCGCCCGACTCTCTTAAGGCGCGCAGGTAAGCACCGGAAAAGGGACCTCCTATACGTTATGCTCCCCCAAGCGAGGTAGACCTGTGTAGGCTGGGTTGGATGTAAGGGCGTCGTCGAGTGCTATGTTCTACGCGCGACCCTCGGTTTTCCTGATGCTCAAGAACTCCTGCCCGTCGATATCCCGCCACTTCTTGTACACGTCCATCCCATGCGAGCCCACCATGACATCCGTCAGCACCGCGAACATGTCCTTCGGGTCGAAGAAAAACCGGTCCATCCTGCCCACGCCGTCTGGGTGCTCCCTCTGGGCATAGACGAGCAGCATGCCGTGGTCCGCGAGGTCGTCTCTCTTGGTCAGCACGACGAACACATTAGGGTACCAGGCGATCTCGGCGGCGCCGCCGTCACCTGGCTTAATGATATTTTTGTCCATAGCAGCGTGAGCTGCGACGACATCTTTCAATGTCTTGCCGGCAAAGTCGAAGGCGGGCTTGGCGGGGCGCGCGAGCCGGCCGGGATACTCGTATTCTTCGTACTCTTGTTGCGGGATGTTGGAGATCTCCTCTATCTGCGAGGCAGTCATGTCGGGGACCAAGCTGTAGATGGCAAATGAAGACGAGCCCGTATCAATGCCTTCAGCATACTCTTTCAGTAACTCAGGCGCCCGATCGGGGAGGGTGAGGTCAAGGTTGTGGGTCTGGAGGTCGGCCATGGTCGCGATGGCAGAAGACTTGGCAGATCAGTAAGCGAATAAATGGAAATGCAGCAGCTCGAAAGTGAGAGGGTCAATTTTGAGGGGGGATGATGGTTGCTCTTCTTGCACCCGGCCTCCAGCTGTTTAGCTCGCGGATCGTACCGCTAGGTATTACCCGACTAAGGTCGGCGATGACTGAGATCCCGAAAATCAAGTATTTATCGTATTGGCCTCGCCCGGGGTCGGTGCGAAGCCAGAATTCTCTGCGAGACGTCGATCCGATCAGAAGAAGTAATGAGGTGCAGATCAGCAACTCGACTTCGTCATGATTTGCCGGATGTACTACGGCGGATGACTTGCGTTACGTTTATTTAATATCTATTGTAAGAGACAAATCTAGTCATTGTGCCCCTGTAGGGACGCGCGAGATTTCGGAGTAGGTACTTTTGTGAAGACCGCACAGGCGCGACACACCCTGCACCGGCACTAAATCTGCTGTACCTCAGCGCTATGTGAATAACTTTAATGAGGGACCTTTTGGGGCTCCTTCGCCTTCTAGGGGGCGACAAACGACTCCCTGCAACACAGCCCCTGACTCTACGGCATCGATCCAGATGAAGTGATCGAGACTGCATTGAAGAAAGGACGGTCAGACTGATCAACCAGTGACCCAAACAATTTGTAGCTCTGTAGCTGATGATTTCAAAGCTTATTCAAGGATATCGAGAGGATAAAGTCGGTGTAGAAGATATGAGATGAGATATGATATTCCTTACTATAACGAACTGTGTTTATAATTACAATAGAAATTTTATTAAGGCTGATAAGAAAGCTATCTAAGGAGGAGAGTAGTTAACTTACAAAGCTTGAATGATACAGCGAAAGGCGAAGTGGCTGTCACTTTTTTTTCAAGTTAACCTTTTTAGTAGGTAGGTATAATGAGGGTTTGACTGTTTCCGGGATATTACCGGTCGTAGGTCACCGTGTACCGAGGAAGTACCAAGTTAAGGCATAATACAGCGATGTGTACTGCATGTCACAGAGCATACGGTGTTCCCAAGGCCGTTATCGCGTAATATTCTGCCGGGCGACCACCAACCACCTGCTGTTTCTCACCTTGCTGCCCCGATACCGAATGGCCAAAGAGATGTAAGACCACGTGACGGCACCCCGGGAAGCTCCAACAGCTTGGGGGCCTGGATGACATCCACGTGAGGTGGAGAGAGCTAGCAGCTGCTAGGTAGTAGCTGGCGACTTGCTGCCCACGCATCTACAGTACGCAGCTCACGTGGGTGGCTTGTCGGGACAATGCAGACCAATGCCCAATACACTGGCTGGCTGTACGGAGAAGGATAACGCAACCATGAGCGTAACGAAAAAGACCGCCACGGACTGACCAGAACCCGCCATAGTTCAGTGCCCATGTCCGCGAATACCTCGCCTTCAAGGCCAACGGCCGGTTACCAGTACTGTCGGCTGTCGTCCCCACGCTCAGTCCGACTCCTGACACTCCTCCCATCCCCCAGTCTCACTGCCGCCTTGGAGCTTACCTTGACGGAGGCAAGCCTTGAAAGTATTACCTCACAGGCCAAAAATGGCTTCGAGGCACTTTCCTACGTCTGGGGGGCACGAGTCGGCACGGTGCCTATTTCATGTGACGGCCAGCAGCTGTTGGTGACGCCAAACTGCGAGTCTGCTCTTCGACATCTACGGCTGGCAGGCCAAGATCGTGTCTTATGGGTCGACGCAATCTGCATAGACCAGGGCAGCGACACCGAGAGCGTGAAAGAGCGCAACACACAGGTGGCGCTCATGGGAGAGATCTACCAGAAGGCTGCGCGCACGCTGTGTTGGCTGGGTCCGGGAAACGACTTCACGACCGAGTTGATGGCGCACCTGGAGCGCATAGGGTCTTGTCCTTCGCAGCGCGCCTTGAAAAAGTTGCTGCTATTTGACTGTACGTGCGGGCAATCATCCTCGGATGCTAATGCATGGTAGTTGACGCATTTTACTTTGGCGGAGCCGCAGCAAAACTCAGGCAGCAGGGGAAAATAGACTCGGACTCCTCTGCTCTCAACCACATATTCTGCCACATTTGGCATTCTCGCATCTGGACAGTACAGGAGGCGAGTTTTTCTCGCGACTGCCACGTTGTGTGCGGAAAATGCAGCATCCCGTGGGATATCTATTTCAAAGCAGCTCGTTTTCTGGTGTTTGAAGAATTCATCGATGAGCTCGATACTCAGGCACAGAAGAGCTATATTGGAATTGACGTGCGGAATACTCTACGAGATTATCTTCTGGGCCGAGTGCCCTCGGAGCCGGACCCTAGCGCGGAGGATCTAGACGATGAGCGAGACCGAAGAGTCGTCTTCCTATCCTCTTGTCTCGCCGAATGCAAAAAGTTCCAGGCGACAGAGCCGAGAGACAGGATCTATGGGCTGCACGCACTGTATACGAGCCTAGGCATTCAGCTGCCAGCAGTGGAATATTCGAAACCGCTCTGGCGCGTCTATGAGGAAGCTGCCGTCGCCATGATCATGTGGTCTCAAACACTCAAGGTTCTCGGGGATGCGTGTCATGATCACCCTTCTTTCCCAAGCTGGGTGCCCGACTTCTCTGATGCCGATGTCAACATCTCTACACCGTCGGGCGACGCAACAGGGGGTTCCAAAATCACCGTACAATTACCGACAGTACTGAATCCACGACCCGGAGAGCTCTGTGTCAGAGGTAAGGTCGTTGGAAGAGTTGTGACTTTTGGGGGCGAAACCCCGGCTACCACCATCTTTCCGACGCGGCCTGAGCAATGTGAACTAGGCATCCTGACCCGCCCGCTTGATGGTCTCGTGGAAGAAGTTGATACCTTGCGTCTTTTGGTTGACAAAATTAGATTCTTCCGCCAGTTATACCGTCTCTTGCAAGATAACACGGAGTACTGCAGCGGAGACGCCGAAGATACGTTTCTCGACCTTCTGAGCCAGGACAGCTATTCCGAACCAAGCCGAGTTTTCAACATCTGGTTAGACATTCTAGAGTATCCTGACACGAACTATAGCCTGAGGGCTGGGGAGGATCTAGTGGCAAAGTGGCAGAGGGCCGAGTCAACCGCAGGAGCAGCGGGGTGGACTGCAGAGCTGACAAGCTGTGCCATCATCGCGGCTTCGTTAGTATCCAATCAGATTCAGCACGACGGAGGTCTTCTAGATTGCACTTCAGATATTCTCAACCTACTCAGCCAGCTATCCACCAATTTGAACGATAAGTCATTGATATTGGTACGCCTCGACTCTCTCCAAATAACGGCCCTCGCCACAGGAGTTGCTTCGGTGCAAGAAGGAGACTCCGTGGCGTTGCTAGAGGGAGCCGAGTGGCCCGTCGTCCTGAGGGAAGCAGAAGAAAGAAAATGGCATTTCGTTGGCCCGACGTTTGTGCCCGGCATCATGGATGGTGAGCTGTGGCAGGATGAAATCAGAGAAGTCGGCGGGACGACTGACTTCTGTGACTTTTGTCTCATCTAGGACGTTAGTATTCAAAATTCTGGATAAACCCGGTCACTAGGTACTTAGGTATTGTTGTAGCTTGAGTTCGCGCACCGTAAGCGCGAGGCTTCAGTAAACCCTAGTCTTAAGAGTGTTGCTAAGCGCCTGCTACGACATCCGGCCGTTTTCCCTCCAACGCCCACCACGGCGCGGTCCTCATTACGACGCGGTCGTCCAGGGTCAAGATCGGCCACCTCACTCCGCTCGGGAAGCTGAAAACCCTCGAAGACAGCCTCGAAAGTCTGCCTCACGCATCGAGTCGGCAAGGCTTGCATGAGGGTATGTGCGCACCTACGTTGAACAGAATGTGACACGGTGAGCAGATGAGCCCAGGCCGACCGTGCTCCAGCACACCCACTACACACCCACCACGCAGGTTAAAGCCGCAGCAGCACCGGCCCACTTACGACGAAGGAAACCCTCAATGCCTAGACTCGTCTTTTATTATATTGAGTTGATATATTAGCTAAGTGGGGGCGAGTCAGCAATCCACCCGCGACGGCAACTATTAAACCGAGGATAGAGGTAAGCCGTGTATAGAAGCATACCAAGCATATCAGCCTGCATATCCAAGCGAGGAAATATTGTGCGTTTTGGCGGTTCGCTCTCGTGGCCTCGCTGCCTCGATTGTAAGGCATACAAGACGTTGTTGAAAGCTGAACCTGTTGTTGTTGAATTGAAGGAATTAAGCTAGCTGCTGGAAACAGCTAAAATACAGCAATTTAAGGTCAATTGACTGTTGTGCGTTTCCTGCCATTTCCACCCATCACAAGGCACCGTTTTGCATGCCGTAGTGCCTCAGGTTGACACAATATCGCCCCTTGCATTTCACGTGACGGAGTATGAAAGTACGTGGAAAATGCTTGGTGTATCTATTCTCAGTTGGCGAGCAGTTAAAGGATATACCTCCTTCGATTGCGGGTGTGTTGACATATCAGCTTCTGAGAAAGCCCCTATTATAATTCCTTTCTTCTGCTCTAGTTGCCGATATTGTCACGTCAATATCTTATATAATATCAGGTCGAAGGCCGGCTTACGGGATTCTGGTGCGAGCAGTCTCATATTGGCGGTCTCATCCTACAATTACACCGCAGATACGGGCGGTTGAGACTATCCCACGGTATAAGAGAGCGATCGGCTTACGGGCGTGGTTACTTTTAGAACTCCTCGACGTAGATCTCGGGACTATGACGTTGCAATCGTGCCTCTATCGCAACTCTCCATATTGATCTGAGTAGGACGGTGGGACCCCAAATGTCTCTTCCTTGGGCAACTTAATATCAATACCTTTAGCGCTGATCGGTCACTCCTTCAACCCCGAGCAAGAGATTAATCAGTAAGCATTGCTGAACGGAAATAGAACGACGTACGCGACCGAATCATGGATATAATGGTAGTTTCTGTTTCTCATTCCATATATAAACCCCCTCAGATAGTCCCGTCTCTGCTCGAAATAATAAACTCGCTTTCAAGCTGTGCCCAAGACTCGGATTTCGCCTAATTCTTCAAAATGAAATCTGTCCTTCTTCTCACTTTCGCCGTTGGCCTATCTCACGTTGCCCCAGCATGGGCCGGGGCAATAAGCATAGGCCAGCTCATCGCAAAAAGAGCCCCGAAGCACATCGCCGTCGAGTATGACTGTGAAAAGGACAACGGGAGGGGCGGTTTCGGTGAGCCCTTCCGACAATATTATACCAACACAGAACGTCACGTACTTACGCCCAGACAGAAACCTGCAACACCATGTGCTTTGGCTTGCTCTGCCGGTCCGGTAACGACAAGCTCGAGTTCGACCACCCCGACGACGACACTAAGGCCGCACGGAGGAACAGCGCAGGATGTTCCCGTAACAATCGCTGCGGCGAGAGCCCCTACGGCTCGGGGTACGAGTGCGACGAGTTCCCTTTCGCAGAGACGACGGGGGGTGGTAGCCGGTTCAACCGCTGCGTGCTATCAAAAGGGCAGAAATGTGCGTACCTAATTCCGCGAACCCTCTCTCTCTCCCAGCCCACAACAAGGGGAGGTCTCCAGAGAAGCCGGAGCTGCTGACACACGGGCGGTATCTACCAGACCAAGGGGGCAAGATCCGAGCGTGGCGGGACGCGGGAAAATACTGCAACAAGGAGAAGGGCTGCACGATCTCGATAACGCTCAACCGCGCGTCGAACTACCGGTACTGCAAGCCGAGCCCCGACTGCACCAACGACGGCAACCTCTACGACAGCAACGGCAAGGTCAAGTGGCCCGAGAACAAGAAGTCGAAGCGGAGCACGGGCGCCGGCTACTACCGGCTGCGCAGCGGCGGGATTACCTGTAAGTGGCGTTCGAAGAAGTCTCAGACCCAACGTGAATCCTATTACCTATTACCGCCGAGACAAGGATCCCCCCCCCCCCCCCCTTCCCCTCTCCCCGGCCGGACGGCTAACCCCCTTTTGAAACCAGTCTCGCCGACTCCGCTCCCAATCGGGACGCTCGTCCTGCGCGACGTGCCAATCAACGGCACCCTCGACGACGAAGACGGACTAGTGGCGCGGCCCGCAATTCTCGATTACGGCGCCTTCGAGCAAGACACCCAGATCGTCGAGGACGAGGTCGTCGGGGTCCTCCTCTAGGAGGTTTGCGGAGAAACTTGTAGGGAGGGCGGAGCGGACAAGATGACAGACACATTACACACGCGTATCAAGGGAACTTTCCTGAAATGGCCTGGTAGAGTGGAAGTTGCTAAAGGCTATAAGAATTGACTATATACTCTCGTTAAATAACTAGTTTTCCCTATATTGCATAACCAGATCACCTTTTAGTGTCATCGTGATATTAATAAGTGGCGAAGACTTTGCTCGAAGGCGAGTCGCATAATAGTCAACTTATCATCGCAAAAGTCTATCCAGTTGCGTGGGTAGCGGTAAGAGATTCTGGTTGTATCTGGTAGTGTTTATAGGATTTCGTTCCGACATGATATCCCGGAGGCATTGTGACGTTTCGGAGAAACAGGTAGGGCTCGTAGAGTCCCCTCATGTATTATTAAGGTGTATTTCTATGCGTTTCACATAACACAGAGAGCGCCCGTTTCGGATTCCCAAGCTCCCAGTCGTGGGGGCTACCATCTCGCGTAGGCATTAATCGTTAACATTGTTTTGAACCTGGAATGTGTATAGGTACATCTGGTGAAGACGCACGACGTGAATTTAATCCAATCCCCGATACCTGAACGCCGCGCAGGTCAAGTTGCCTCCCGCCCCTCTCTTCCAAGATAGAACGGTGAGAGGTAAAACAGGCAGAATCACCCCCAAGATTATGTGATATACCAGGGCCCCAGTTTCATTACAGCCTGCTTCCGGGCCTAAAGTAGAGAGAGAGAAAAACCATAAAATTAAAGGCGAGCATCCACGTCGCTCGGGCCTCAGTGAGCGGCCACGATCCGCCTGTGGTGATCGCTCTGCATCAGATCCGCATATCCGGGGAGCACGGGGGTTTGCTCGCGGCGGCGAGGCTCGACGTTGGGCCGGCCGGTGAGCTGGCGGGGGCCTAGGTACGCGTCCGCCTCCTCGGCAAGCTCCTGGGCTTGGGCCTCCTCGAAGCTCGGGGGAAGTCCCGTGTCGTGCACGCCCGACGGGCTGACGCCGATCTGCAGCGGCAGGCCGAGCGTCAGGTGTGCGGTAGCTCCGCCGGACGCGAGCGACACCGTAACCCAGAGCACGTAGACGCGCGACGAGATGCACGAATGGAACGTGGGGATGAATGCTTTCTTCTGCGCTGGCAACTGAACTGGGATTTGTAGCCGGGCAGTGTAGGAGAACGGAGGCGATATGGTCTTCGTTTTGCCCTTCTTCGTAGCAGAGGCTTTGGAGGTGCTTATGGGAGAATGATCCGAGTCCGACGCTGAGATGACTTCGGTGCCGGACCCCGAGTCTGGCCTCGCTTGAGCCAGCAAGCGACGGCCCCATTTCGCGTCGTCGACGGGGCCAACACAAACCGAGGTCGTTCCAGAGTATGAGCCACGCCCGCCGGGGCCGAAGGACGGGTGCCCATCCTGGAGATTGGGGTAATGATTAATACCGTTGCAGCTGAAGTATGTAACCGCTGTGACTTTAGCGGACACCCCCGTGACCTTTGGAGGTATCACGTCGCTTGCAGCCGGTATGAACTCGAGCTCAAGCGGCACCGTGGTCGGCGTAATCGTCTGCCCGTCTGGACTGAGCATAGCTGCGCGTGGCTGGGTGCCCGTGAGAGATACCTTGCCGGACTTCGGCGACAAGATCGTCCTACGTAGCGTCTTCCGCTTGGACATAGTGTACAAATCGTCGTACTTGGTGATATTCAACGGTGCGTCTTCGGTAACAACTGGCAGGACTTTGATCTCTCGACTAGCCTCCATGATTTTCGTATGGGGTGCGCCCGCCTCTTCGTCTGCATATAATCGTCCTTTGATAGTATATTGGATTCGACTCATGTCGGGTGAAAAATCGTCCCTCTCCCAAGAGCCGAGCGTGGGCGGTAGTCGAACGTGATGTTCCTGGACGGAATCGTTCGCAACTTGATGGTGGCACGCGTTGAGCGTAAGAGTGCTGGGGATGACAAATGTGAACGGAACGTTGTAATTGATACCCGCCTCGAATATGCGCGGCACTGGGTACGATGATTCTGGAATCGGCATTGTGAGTTTGAGGAAGTTATGGGAAGTGGCTTGCGGAATGTTGACAGTGTCTATGCGGGTCTTGCTGGTTCCGAATAAGACAATCTGAAGGGCATCAAATCGTACATCGCTCTGGGGACTGATCGTGATATGGCCTGATATTTCTGAGGAGGTCGTGTATACTTTGGAATGATAATGGTTGTCGATGTGAATGGTCATGCTGGGCTTGGTGATGATGGATAGCTTGCGAGCATATCCGCCCAGCGTTCCCGCCTTGCTGCTCCCCGACGACGCACTGAACGACATCGCATCGGACCGAGCCTGTGACGCTTCAAACAGAAGAAAGAAGAAAATCCGGCGTCCAAACAGGGGGATGGGACTTCCTGGTTGGCAGCTCGATACGTAGCGAGGTGGTTCGGATGAGAGCAAAAGGTCTGCGGGGTAGGAGGGGTTTACGAAGGGAGGGAGGGGGGGATTATTGGTCTTGAAGTTGCGAGATGGTAGCCTTTGGACGAGTGTTTTTCTTCCTCCTTTCATAAAAGTATGCCGTTCTGAAGATGACGGGCGTTGCCGCGGAGTGTTGATTTAAAAAAGGGGCCAATTCTTCTATGAGACCTGCTTATGTAGTATGCATTCGTACGTATGTAGGTAGGTAGGTAAGTAGGCAAGCAGGCAGGCAGTAATACCAGCGATACGACGTTATGATATTAATAACTTGGCGTGGGCCGCGAAGCTCATGCCAAAGAGAATGGGGGCTGTTCTGGCAAAGCAAGAAATGCCCTGTACGCTTATATTATAGGAAAACCGTCGAGTTGGCAGCCGGTCCACTGTGCACAGGGTTCTTCTATTTGTAGTTGAGTCAACGCTTGAAGAGAGTGAAAGTTTTGCGTAGGTCATGGAACTAGAAAGACTCGCTGCTATTACGGGCTGCAGTAGGTTAGTTACCACCACTGGCAGAGCACAGCTCCGTTCTGACGTAACGAGTATTGGTTGGTTCCGCCCTTCGTGTCTCCCACTCCGTAGATGGAGAGACCCTGGTGGTCTGACGCGGAAGCGGACCTGTCCCGGACATGGGTTATCGCGCCATTGCAGGAGCAGCAATCAGCTTGGCTCTTCTTTTTGATTTGAGGTCCCAAGATCGTGGGCGTGTAGCTTTCCAGAACGCTCGGCCGGCCGCCTTGCCTCTAAAGGCGACCACTTCGAGGCTTTACCTCCAAAGGAAGAGGTGCCCAATAATGGTACGTAAAAGTAGCGGCTGCATACTAACGTAGTGGCATTGTTGGGTGGAGCAGAGAAGGCCGGCGGTCGAGTCGTCAAGGACCTCCCTCCTCTCCGGCATCCTTGCTAGGCACGGCCGTGATCCGCCCCCACTTTAAGGCTCCTCTGGCGAAGCTCGAGTCATCGAGGCCTAGGTCGACAATAACCGAGTGCCGTTACCAAGTACGAACACCGATCTCGGCTTTAAGGGGTTTCCCTACCGACGGGCACGTCTAACGGAGACCAGGACGAGTCAAAGCTCCGCTGTGCTGACGAACGAAGGACGGCAAGCTTGCCCAGAAGTCTCGCCCCCTACCTAAAATTTGACAGCTTCAGCGACAGCTGGGGCTGAGACCCACCACGACAAGCACTCGCAGGTCCACGCCCCCATGTCGTTATTTCTGTATTGTCTGTCCGTATAGGGCGCACGCCCTTCGCCATGCACTAAGCTCGCCAACCTATGGCATCGAGCCGTGAGACATGCCGCCTACTAAATCGGGGAGAGAGGCTTATCGCGACCAGAGCCAGCCGGTGCTGCGCTCGATAAGGGCGAAGAGGACGCGCTTCGACGACGCTCAGCTGGGAGCCGGAATATTCGCCCCGCCTCGACGCGACGAGCCGCGCCCTCCACGGAGCCGTCTCGTTTGTTTCGGGCGTGCAGATGGCGGTATGTAACGAAGGCATGGTGCGATTTTGCGGTGGATAATCGTGCTGCCGGCACCTTGCCAGCACCTCAAAAGGCGTGATCGTGATCGAGGTCAGGCTGCATGGAATAATACTGAAAATGCCTAGGGCTCACCACCCACCCGAGCGCCTGGCTGGCGTCGGAAGTAGCACTAGTCCGCAACCAGGCACAGCAAACGGCGGTACTAGATTGGATACCTACCAACCCACCCGTAGATTACACCTAGGTATACGTAGGATGGAATCGTCCATGATCTTTCGCGAAGCAGAGGGGACAGGTCTTGCGTGTCGGAAACGCCTGGATGGACTAGACCACATTGCACTAGGTGGGTTGAGATGTTACAGTATGTATACACGAGCCATGCTGGCACGGTAATATGTGACCGCAAGGTCGTTCTTCCTCGCTCTGGGCTGACAAGGACAGGTTCATTAGGTAATTACTACCTAACTAGTAATACCTACCTAACCCGTAAGGATTTCAAAGACACCTAATTATAACTGTACCCTGAGTGTTATTACAGGCTTGTTTATTTCTTTTTCTTTTCTTTTTTTCTCTTTTTGAATATTAGAGGTTTCTTCTCTTCTCGCTCTCCCGGTTCATGCTTACGGGGAGAATACTTTTAAAGATCCATACTCACCATACGTATAAGGAGGTACCTCAGGCATTCCAAGGTTCGGGAGGTAGGCCGGGAGGTAGCTAAGGTATATTACCAGTGGATACGTGGAACTTGGGTAATTCGCCAACCGACTTCGGCCAAGGCCGTGTGGATGGTCCGTGTCATGCACACTCGCCTACCTCGAAGCTAGGTAGCACTACTGCTGCCAACAAGCGACCAATGCCTTCAGCTCCCGTCCACAGCTACCAGGCGACGGATCCCTACCTCGACATGCCTACTTACCTCCTCTAAACACCTACGTGACGACTAGGGGTATGAGGCGTACGGCAACGCACGGTCAACCGACCGGTCCGGTACGGATCTATCGATGGCTTAGCGACAGGCAGCCAACCAGCCGAGATAAAACGACATCGTGGGGATATTCTCGCTCCCGCACCTGAGTTTTCCCGCCCACCTGACTTCTCCACTCGGTATACGCGCTTCTGTGCGTCCAAAGCACGGAAGTATTCTGCGCGGCGAACGTCCGTATGCGTATACCTAGACGAGGCCTGCGACAGGCAAGCGGGACGGATCACCGAAGGCATCGGGAGGCGGTCCCGGTACGCGCATCTCCACCTCGCCATGGCACGTACGGAAACTCTCGATCTGATGGCCGTTTCATGGCACCACGTGGTGGCACTATGACATTGATCAACCATGCATAGCATGCATAGCATGCATGCCATGTATGGAATACTCCTGTGCGCGTCGTGAAAATCAAGAGCTCCAGTCACCCATATCCAAACGGCAGCTCGCACATCTAGCTGCAGGAACGGGCACTATGGAACCTGAGGTACCATGCGCAAATGCGCCAATGCGAGACCCTCTTGGCATCTCTAAGGCCCTCTCGGCCTCATATGTGTGGCACTGCGGGTTCCACTGCGGCTTGTAGCGGAAGCATGGGTGACGGTCTCGGGGGTGGATGGATGGCCCAGCGGCTCAGGTCGGCATATCATGGGGAGCGTAAAGGAAAAAAAAAAAAAAAGCCCAGACCCGTCCGAGACTGACACAACCTGGTGGGATGGTAATTAGGTGCCTAGCAAACAAACAAAAAAACAAGACAACTCCCCTGTGGGTGCCTTACATGTGATAGCAGACATGCTACGCTTTGAAACAACATGTCTCGTAAAAGGCGTCACGCTGACCTGTACACACACTCTTCGTCGATACAAGTGCCTTTAGTTCCATGAAATATACAGCATGATCCCGGCGCCCAACGCGATGGCAGCAAATTGGATGAGGGTCTTCCGAAGCTCCTCGAGCTTTCGCGGTCCCGTCTCCAGCAATTCCGGTATCACTGCCACGGTCCCGACGTAGAGGAAAGTTCCGGCAGTGAAGGGGAGCAACAGATCGCCGTAGGTAAGGCTGGTGCCCCAGATACCGCCGCTCATGCCGATGCCCTTGCCGTCCACGCCATTACCACCGCCGAATTCCTGGACGGCGATGCCGATCAGCGTCCCCAAAAGGGCTCCCAGAGCTGTGACGAACTGCGCTCCCATGGCGGCTCGCTTAGAGAAGCCGGATTGCACGAGCAGAGCGAAATCACCAACTTTGCCGCAGAGGTTAGCGTCTGGCTACATCGACCAGGGAGGGGTGTGGTCGGATGGGTGAATCACCTTCGTGAGGAATCTCGTGGAAAAACACGGCTACGGTAGTCGTGGCGCCAATAGTGGGCGACGCATAGAAAGACGCCGACATGGCAAGGCCGTCCGTTATGTTGTGAGTAAAGTCGGCACTATTACACGCGAGTTAGGCAAGGGTTGTCAAGGCCACGTACATACCGTGAGAACCACTATGCTCACATCAGGTTAAGGTAACCGCCTAGCCTGACGCTGGGATTTATGTCCTTTTCCTCCTCCCTCTTCTCGTCGGCTGTTGCGCTGCCCCCCTCCTTCTTGCGTCTCGTGGCTTCCGTCTGGGAGACTTCCACCGAGCTCGACGTGGCTTTGGTTTCGGGCTGCGCGCCGTGGGAGTTGCTCTCATGGCTGTGGTCGTGTCCCTCGCCGCCGGTCGCAATTCGTAGCCCTTTGTCCATGGCCACAAATGTCATGAAGCCGACCATGATGGCGACGCCTAGGAGAAGGTTTCGGTTTGGCTCGACGAGGACAAGCCGCACGTGCTCGGGGCTATCCTCTCCGAGAAAGATCTCGGGGAGTAGATGGAATAGCGTGTCACCCATCAACCCCCCTACGGCGAACGCCACCATGACGGACAGCGAAGAAGGGTCGATGTTCGGCGGGCACAAGGCCAGCAAGAAGTTGGGAGGTCCCGAGATGTACAGCGTCGCGAGGAGAGCGTTCACGGCAGGGCTACCGGGGAAGAGGACCGCGAAGATCTGCTCCGTCACGGTCGAGGTTGTAGAGGCGGCTGCGAGCTTCTCGGCATTGAGGTCTCGCACGACCGCACATGACTAACACGCCAGTCAGCAAGGCGCATTTCTCAGGAAAACGATGGCCTGCTAAGGAAGAACATACCTGGAGCTTCTCGTCCAATTCCTCCAAGCTCAGAGAGGCACGCGACGCGCTCGGGGTGCCCTGGCTAGCTGCGATACCGGAGGCGATCGCGGCGCCTAGAAATAGCGGCACAATCCAAAGAATCTGACGTGTCGCGCCCATGATGTTTTGAGAAGGATGAGTCTCTCTTCGCGTAGTGTATATCCCGGGTTCTATGAGGCGTAAAGAGACGAAGAAAGGCGTGAGGAGACGGTATGAGCTATGAGGTAGGTACTTAGGCTCTATTTCCTCTGGGGGCTTGGGAGACAAGCCCCCGACTCAGGTATGTATGTAACTATGTGGCGGGCTTAGGTACATAACCACCTACTAGCCAAACTACTGATGTAGGCTGACTAATATCGGCTCCCCTCGTAATTCCTGCAATTCCTGTTAGGACGCGTCGGCATACTGTTTGTCGAAAATACTGAGAAATCCCCCTGGAGGCAGGCCGTATGTAGTCACACACATAACCATAAGTATAATTTTATCTTATCAGATCGAACCCCATGTCCCCTGCGCTCTGGATGCAGTGCGCGTGGGGGACCTTGAATAGCCTTAGCTCTGTTCCCTGATGTTACAGCTTCTTCGTACCTATCTCTTTCAACACCCTACCTACTCAAAAGACATATCATAATTACATGCAAGTAAACTAAACATAGAATAAGCTACAATTCATGTATAAATAACGTATTAATATAACGTAGCTCGTAATTACTTTAAGAATACCGTTATCTGACTTATTTTTCTTCTATCAAATATATATATATATATATAATATTTTTTAAAATTTAAATTTATATATAGAAAAAAATCACAACCTTTTATTTAGATTAATATAAGATTAAAAATGTAATTTAATTTAGAACAAGCAGCAAGTACTTTATTATAATAATTGAATTATAAACTCTCTCCTGCTTGTCTAGTTTTAGTTATTGACTTGAAGCTGTCTTTATATTAAATTCACTCTTCGCACTCTTATACATATTTAAAAGCTCGTCGAAGCCGCCATGGGAAGGTCTAGTAATATAGGTACTGGTTACGACGCCTCTATATAACGACATTAAATGCATTCCTCATTGTCTTCCTTGGTTCCTGTCCCAGTCCTCGACCCATGGTATTTATACCAATTCCCACCCGATGAAAATTGCCCAGTTCATGCTGTAAGCGCCACTGCTCTTCGTCCGGAAATACTCCTCTTTAGTGACACCTCGGGCGTCTCTCTTATTCAGTGTCGTTAGGGCGTATAAGAAAATACTTTGCCCGGGAGCCCCGAGATCTCTCGCTGGGATATCTACCCACCACCAGAACCCATCCGTTTCGAGCGGCACCAGGTCTTCTTTTCTACCGTCCACGCCGTGAATCTTCATCAAAAGTAAATAGCTCTTGCCCTTCCCGTGTCGTTCGGGAACCCAGTGCTCGCAGATTTTGGAAAACTGGAACCGGACTACCTCGCCGCTGTAGACGGGGATCTGCTTCTCGGCAGGGCTGAAGGTGAACTCAGAAACGCCCTCCTCCATGGTAGTACCGTACACTTGGGCCTTTTCGCCGCGGACCGGTCCGATGATGTATTCCTCCCAGGTCGGAATACGACCGTCGCTTCGAAAGAAATATCGCTCATCCTTTGGGAAGTGCTTTAGGCCAAAAAGTTCGTTGTTGAGGTAGAACTGCAGGGGATTGAACTGCTTGTGATATTGCTGATCACTTACTGAACCTGCTCCCCAGCATGCATCGAGCAGTTTCCACTCCCCGTTGTCTATGCAGACCGCATTCCAGGCATCTGTCCCGCCAAGGATTAGCAATCTCTCTACGTTGAGAGTCCAAGGGATTAGAGAGAGGTAGGTCCGTCCTGGGTTCGGAAACATGAAGGGGCAAGAAAGAGGAACTAGCGGAGAGGAGACGGGGTGATGAGACGGGGTGATACATACGGCCTGTAGGGTCACGCGGCGGGGGTGGTTGGCCACTTTTAAGAGGTTTATAGCCGAAGCCCTTCCCGTGCCCGCTGACTACGACGCATTGCAGTCCAGCTCTCTGGGCGATAGCTTGATAGACTTCTGCATAGCCTTGGCAAACTGCCTTGCCGTAGAATATGGTCTCTTCTACACTTCTACCCTTGATACACTTTCCAAAGAACTCCTCCACATTGTAGGCAATGTTATGGTGACACCAGGTGAATATGGCCCTTGCCTTGTCAGTGGCTGAAGAGAATGGGCCGCAGAGAACGCCTGCCAAGTAACCGACCGGGTCGCGTCTCGAGAGGGATTGGTAAGGGTGTTGTGCAGCTACGCTATCCGGCGCTGAAAAGTCTCTACAGACTAGACATGAGGCGGCCTGGTTTGAACTCGCACGCACAGCAACCGCATCGATTTCCGCAAATGTCGGCCGCGAGCTGATCGGGACGGGGGGCGGTGTCTCGTTACTAGGCCTCGAGCCAGGTTTCGAAGGGGCCGCGAGGGCAATCGTCGGTCGGACAAAGGCAGAAGGTGGTGGGGGCAGGCGCCGCGGGGCCGCGGGACTTTCGCCAACGTGCGAAGGAGCTGACGGCTTCGCAGGCCTTGAGGGTAACTTGGGAAGCAGATTGGGCCTTGGTCCGACTTGAGGCACCGTTGGTGCAGACCGCGCAGGCAGAAGAGGGGCCCTGACGATTTCCGCAGCCTCTCTCTCCGCTGCCTCCTTGGCTGCTTGCGCCTCTCTCTCTTTTCTCGACGGGGGAAGGGGAGGCAGCTTTGCCTGGTCTAAGGTGGGAGCGAGAACTCTTCTTGTAGGTTGCGTCTCGGTCGATGTCGTGCTGGTGCGGGAGGAAACGGGTTTCAGCGACAAGTTCGATGCGCTTGATATGTGCGACACTTCGGACGAATTGGAACCTCTCCTGCTGTTCAACGGCTGCGCCGACGGTCGACGCGCCGGTAGCGCAGGCGAGGACTGGACTGAACTCTTCCGATCAGGGAGCGGCGGAGGTGTAGGACGGGTGGGCAGGCTTGGGGAGGCGTCGATGGCGCGGTCTGTTAACGTATTGGTTCGTTGCGGGAGACTAGGTTGGCTACCCTCCTGTGATCGGGCGGGTATGTTGGGACTTTGCGATGCGGTACCGTTTGTACCTGCAGTTGGAACCCGAGACGGAGACCGCCCAGAAGCGGGAGGGGGCGGAGGAGGGGGTCGTCTGGCGGAAGAGGGAGGAGCAGTGAAGTTTTTCTGTTTGTTCAGCGCAGCGATGCGATCCGCGAGGGAGTTGAATTTGGGTTCTTCGACATCAGCCATGTTGAAAGAGAGGTGAGGAGGAGCGTATGGGTGTACGAAAAGCGGTTGGCCGATCGATCATAACAGCAGCAGTAGTAGTGACCCTTCCGTCTCGTTTATCCGCATACCGAGTTGGGGCAGACGAGGTGGTTAGTAGTACTAGCGTGGTTATGGTTTCTGATGGGAAAAATAGCCATGACCCCCAACGGAAGCGAAATTAAGGCAGTGGCCTGGGACAGGCGCAGCCAAGTCGCATCAAGGGCTGAAGAAATTGCTCAGTGAAACCGAACACAGGTAGTGAGAAGTGGGATGGATGGAAACTCGATATACAGGGAGCAGGTGGCTAATATAAACGAAACTCGCAAACTCGATACTGGGAATGATGCTAGGAGTCACTAACGTCAATGGTATGAGAGTGGTGAGAGGCGGAAAACACACAGAAGCGTCCAGCGGGTAGGCAATTAGATGGATAGATAGGTATTAGCGAAGGTCGTTATCTCGTGTCAAGACGACGACGGAAAGCGGCACAGCAGCTGACATCCAAGTCTACACAGCCCAGCGCGGGAAGCGGAGCACCGGCCGATCCTTGATTCCCCTCATATCCAGGAAAAGCGAGGCCCTAACCCACCTACGTCTCCGAGTTATCTTGCGCTTGAGTTAGGTGGGTTAGGTAATACTTGATGCAGTAGAGGCCAGGTAGGTACCCATCTTATTCTTAGGTCCCTAAGATGGGGATCTCCGTCTCCCTACCAGGAGGCTAAGCCAAAGCTGCACTACCTAGCGCTCCGCCACCACGAAGAATTTCACGAGAATGCCATTCCCTAAGTAGGTACCTAGGTAGGTACCTTCTTTTGCCTCCCGCAAGACAACTAACTGCTCGACTTCGCTGCCTATAGATAAATGCTCGCGTACCTGCGTCTACCTTGGACGCGACTGTCGAAAAAAGCTCTCGGCCTACTCGGGAATTAATTAGCTATGGGTGTGTCACTTGTTGCTCGCAGGTCTTCTTTTTATTTTATTTTATTAACGGCGCGTAGTGATTCGAGTTTTCGGCAGAATCCAATCTCTGAAGGGAGGGCAAAGTGAAAACGGACGCGCAAGTTTTCAGGTTGGGTATTGCTGTGTCCGCTCGCCTTCAACTACCTTAGGTACCTCCTAGCTTCAAGTACAGTAGGTACCTAAGGTACACAAGGCGCCTCAGCAGCAGCTTTTCATCGCCTAAGCCATTCAAGGTGCCTACGCAGGAAGCACCGAATGATAATTCGTCCGGTAGACGACTGTCAGAAACTTACATCTCACGATCAGTATTTTCCATTTATATGGTCGTTGACCTAGTCGTGATATACCTCCGACCCGTCTGGTAGGAGTCACGTAGGGAACGCATAGTCGTTGCGTAGTTCATGTCTTTCTTTCTCACATGGATGATATTTCTGCTTAGCGGCTCTGAAATCTTTCCGGGCTCTGTTTTTGGGTTAGTCTGTTGCTCGTCGGTAGCGTCGCAAGGCACGAGCCGTGGTGACATATACTATACACCTAGGTGCCTAGGTGGGTAGGAGGTAGGTACCTATGTAGGTACCTAGTATGAGTACCTAATGTACTACCTCTATTATTATCTATATGTAGGTACGTGCTTCGGTGTCTGAGCCAGGCCTGCGTCCCTGTTCTTTTGTTGGCGGGGTCCCGCCGGTCCCGCCTTTCTGGCCACCGATGCCTTCCCCTGTTGTCCCTGTCCCATCCTCGAACGTTCCTACCCAAGCATCCAAAACGGCACCAAGTGATCAGAACTCGCCACCGATAACTTATCGCTCCCGTCCACGCAAAAGGTACCTGAAGCTAACCAGGTACCTACTTACATCTAACATATGCCCGGCTTCCAACCGTCAGCGCCACGCCCACTCTCTTCCGCAGGTGTCTCTCACCGACCTAAGGTACCTGACTACCTATCTCTACCTACCTAGGTAGCTTCTACCTCTCAAATAGCATCCCTATCCGCACGCCTGCTCTGTACACCTAGGTACAGGGCTATCCGGTTCTGCAGGGCTACGGCGCACCGCCACCGCAGCCATCCCTCCCTCCCTCCACGGTTGGCCCAAGGGGGGCACCCGACCCGGCGCATTCCACTCCTACGGAAACCACGCTTCGAGTGGGCGCGGCGGAGATTCCGGCCAGCTGCTGTGAACATCATCCCAAACGAGACGTCTGAACATCATCCCAATCGAGACGTCGGAACTGGTTCGGCCTGCCGGCTTGCTTTCCATCACGCCAGGTGGCATCGGGTTGAAGATCAAACAGTACCTATCTACCTACGTTGTCCGTCGCCGTGTGTGGAACTGAGACAATCGACGACGAATCGGGACGCTCTGCCATTCGCCATCCACCATTAAAAGCGTCTATCCGTACTGCTGCCCTGCCCTGCCCTGCCCTGCCCAGAAGAACTCCCGCAGTGACCATCGCCATGGACGCCAACGCCGACGCCTCTGTTAGCATGCCTGCTAAGATATCCAGTGTTCTGGATTTACCCGACGAGATCCTCAAGGAGATCTGCAGTCATGTCAGTACCCGACCCATTCTTCGCCAGACGGCCAATCTCGCCTACGTTCCTGTCCGGATTATATGTGGCTGACAAGCGTGAATCTTGCAGTGTCTCCAATGCGACTGGATTTGTCTCTCCCTCGTCTGCAAGCGATTCCGGGAGCTCGCGGCTGCCCAGCTATACCGAAACTTCCACATTGTCTTCCCTGATGAAGGTGATTCGTGCTTCGACTCGCCAATCGACGGCCTCGCCGGTGGCCTGGCTACCTTCGTCTCGAGCGACTACAACTATGCGAAACACCTGAGGGAGATTTCGCTCGACACGCTTAGTGTCGGCGATAAGGCAGAGACCGCCTACAAGCCCTACTTGGCTTCTGTGAGCTGCGGGAAATTTATGAATACCTTATTACTTCTTACTTTGCGGAAGGCAATGTCTCTCGACTCTTTCCGATGGAATATCCGTGTCGAGCTGAGCAGACCCGCCTACAAGGTCCTGCATGGCATCCAGTCTTTGAGGCATCTTCATCTTCGCCTACAGGCCGGTCCCTCGCTGTACGAACCGCCGCCGCCGCTTCCATATCCTACCCCTCCCTACGAATATACGACGTCTGCTCCGTCAACGCAATGGGTCAACCCTGGCGGAGGCCCTCCTGAGCCTGTTGGGACTTTGTATGGTCCTCCTCCTGTGACAGCCTCGTTGCCGGCTGTCAAGTCGATCTGGAAGCATAGGGCGTCCAAAAAGCCGATTCTCGCTAAAGAACCGCCGACGATCTCGGGTTTCCAGAATTTAGAAAGCCTGAGCGTGCTTGACATGGACAGTCTTGATATAATCACCGAGATCAAAGCGTGCGTACGCAATTCTTCCTCGACATTGCGAAAATTAAAACTGTCTTTCTCGGATGGCCTTGCAAAAAGGGCGAGAAAACCGTGCGTGGATGCAGATCTCGACGAGTCCGAAGATGATGAGTTCCAAGTAGTCCCCCTATCCTTAACCCCCAACTACGACAACAACGGGCCGGCAAAGGTCTTCAGGGCCCAGGAAGAACGGAGGACGCAGGAGTCCGTATTGGGTCGCATATTTGAGGTCGAGCCGTACGTTGCAAAAAGCTTTCTAGTCCCAAGCGAAGACCAGAAAGAAGAGGATCTGTCCGAACAAGTTGCCTCGCCTGAGGGACAGCGTTTCATTGATCAGGTCAACGAAGTCTTCCGCCGCATGGTCGCGCATGTTAATGGAACCACCGATTACAGATATCTAGGCCAAGTAGAGAGCTTAGACGCAATCGCTAAAGCAGCCAAGCAATATGTCAAGTCCGAAGAGGCCAGAGTCAAGGCCGCTTCGGCTCAGGGCCCATCCAATCCCAGGGAGTCGCCTCCATCCTCGCAGGAGCCCGAGGCAAAATCTACTCCCGGTGGCAGCACGAACGACAACGTCGTCATGCCGGGTACCGGGGAGACGTCATCTCCGGCGGACGACCGCTCGGAGCACCCAATCCGGCAGAAAAGCAACATCTACGACGCGAACCCCGATGATATAGACATCACCGCCCCTGAGGAGCAATTGGGGACCGAACTTCAACCAGCCATTGACGCGGACCTTCCGTCCTCAGATAAGCCTGCCATCACAGCAAGAGTAAGCACCACTTTCTCTGGTGCGGGCGAGAGAAATATAATTGTCCAATGCCGTAACCTGCGCGACTTGAATGACACGTTGTGTCAATTAGAGAAGAATGCTGACGCAATCTCGAAGGAGACACGGGATATTGACAGCTTCGACGAGGACGCCGAGAGTCGGCTTAAGGAAGCTCGGCAGCGCCTGGAGTCTATTCATCGTGATGTAGTAGACATCCAACATGAGATGAACGTGGTAGAGGCGGAGATTGACGATGCCACTGCCCAGGCAGTCCTGGCCCGAGACAAGAAAGAGGCCAATCGTGACATTAGCGAATATGCACGGGACACGAGGGGCATCGGCCTTCACTCCCTCAGCATACATCTTATCCCGGTGAAGGCTTCGGTTCTGGGGAAGGCCATAGACTTGCACATGCTCAGGAGGATAACCCTACTGAACGTTGGCGAGCAGAAGAAGTTTTGGGCCTTGATGATGAAAGAGAACAACCTTAGGCCGTTGCCGCTGAGGAAGGTCTTCACTGATGATGTCTGTCTGCAATTTTTGCAGCTGGTTTCCGAGCTCGACTGTGCCCACGAAGTTTTCATGCTTCAGCGTTCAGCAAAGTACAAGCCGGAAAGCTTTGCGCCAAACCCGGGGACGACGATTGAGCAAATACGGAAATTCGTTCTACGGAAACGTGCGTATCCCTACTTTCCGTGCCCCGTTTCGATCTACGAATACCTATATGGGATACTGGCGACCCCAAGTCCACCCCCTCCCCCTCTAACCCAAAACTATCACCAAGCATACTGGCGAACAAAGGTTACTAACTCTCGGTCATAGATCTACCCACCCTCAAACGCCTCATGATCAAGAACCAAGCAGATGAATCCTGGGACCTAGACGAGAAGACGACCCAGCTGATTTGTCGGCGGGGCAAAGCCCTAGAAGAACTAGCTGTAATCATGGGAATGCGCGCGATCGTGAGTATCGACAACACCCACCACCACCTTATTGAAAGGCGACTAACAAAACCTAGCATATCTTGATACAGCACATACATGGCCTCGTCAACCTCCGCGCACTGCAGCTCGTCTCGTTCAGGACAGAAGACACCTGCCTATCCGTCGTGCATGAGACCCGCCGCTTCATAGCTGACGCTCTTTCCCACCATCCCATGCTGAAGCTTGAGTGGCTTTCCTTGGGTGACGAAGGGAGAGCTACGAGAATTGTTAGAAAGTTCGAGGTCCCTAAATCCGCCCAAAAAGGTAGGGGCAAGGGTAAAGAGGTTGCCACCAGCCTACATGGCGATGGCAACAGCAACTACCCGGTGATGCCTATCAGCTGGGATACTGAGAGTGAGAGTGACGAAGATGAAGATGACGACGGCGGCAATTTTCCTCGGATTCCCAGGTTAGAACTGGTTGAAGGCTTCGCATTCTATGACGTTTTCGGCGTCCGGATCTTCAAGAAGGAGGTCGCGAGTGGCCGTCTGTAAATGAGCATTAGGAATACTGGTGGCGTCGGGCGGCATTTTCTCCAAAAACACAGGCGGATCAATCTTCACTAGTCGGGAGAATACCCCCTCGTTTGATATTTGGTAGAACGGCGTTGAGCGAGGAACTAAAGAATATACCAGGTTTCCCCAGCTATTGATGTGATCAAGTTCGCTGACGGCGAGGCGTAAACTTGCCGGTATACTAGGGCGTATCGCATAAATGCCTTGATGCCAATTCCTTCCAGTTCAAGCCGGACACTCCCTGAAAATACCATATTAGGCAGCTCTCGACGCTGGATACGGATACGGAAACTCAGACGCATTTCCCAGCTTCGCTCGAAAAATTAAAGGGAACTTGTTAGCAAAGTCAACCCGTCGCCAACATATAAACTCATGTTAATAGAGGCAAAGGGACACTCTTCTATTACTTTTATTCACGACTTTCACGGACTCAATGCCACAATTGGGGATATAGCCGGTGCCCTTGTCGTCCTTCGGGGTATTTGACGCGTATATAAAGTTGGTCCTCTGCCACCTAAGCCATCAGGGATGGCTCCCACCCACACCCTTCCCCCCCATCGAGCCATCAATCCATCGATGCTACCCTTCTTTTGCTGCACTCGTGTGAACGTTAGACAGGCCGTATCATCATCGCCATATTTGGGGCGTGGCCCCGAATTCCCAGTCCGCTGGCGGCGCGAGCATCTCGTCGTAGCACGCCTCGTCTGCGATCGGGGGAGGGGCCGCGGGCCACACGCTGACACAGGAGCAGCCTGGGGGGTACGGCGACGCAGAGGAAGCAGCAAAGGCTGTATGCGATTGCGGCGGCGGCGGCGGCGGCGGCGGGGGGTTGGTAAGTCCGTACGCGGCACCGGTCGGGTCGAGGTTGACGAAGAAGCCGAGCAGCAGAAGCCAGTCGGGATGCGAGATGCGCGGGGGCGAGCCGTCGCCGTGGGCGCCGGTCTCCTCCTGGCCGCCGCCGCCGAACGGGGGAGCGCCGAAGCAGACGGCGAGCTCGGAGGGCGGGGCGGCGCGGATGATGCGCAGGCCGTTGGCGACGTGGGAGACGGCGGCGGCGTCGTTGCCCCGCGCGGTCTCGATGCACACGAACACGAGGCAGCAGATGAGCGTGATCTCGACGCTGGCCGGCGGCGCCCGCGGGCCCGGCTGCACGTGGCGCTGCAGGTGGTAGATGGACAGGTTGTACTGCTGGATGGTGAAGAGCTCCAGCTGCTCCGCGTAGCTGCCGCCGCCGTAATATCCCCGCGCCACGCCCCGAGACGGAGTCGCCGCGTACCGCAGGCCGTCGTGGTAGTCCTCCGGGGTCGTGCTTCTCGAGCTGGCGGCGGCCTCCTCGTCGTCTTCGTCGTCTTCGTCGTCGTCGGATTCTTCTTCCTCTTCTTCCTCCTCCTCTTGCTGCTGCTGCTGCCGCTGCTGCGCGCCCTGGTACGCGGCGCCGAGCGCGATCAGCGCGTGCCGCACCGCCGGGTCCGAGTGCCCGACGCGAGGCACGAGCCGCCGCCAGAACCCCGACCCCAGGCTCGACGCGTGCATGGCGAGCCCGGCCTCGGCCGCCCGCCGGAACTCGTGGAAGAACAGCCGCTCCTGCTCCGTGCCCTCGATGTCGGCCGCGAGCGGGCGCAGCATCGTCGAAGCTGGCCCCGCGGCCCCCTGTCGCGCCCGCTCATGCCGCTTCGTCGTGTCGGAGATCTGGCCTGGCGTTGTCGGTGCTGCCGTTGCTGACGCATACGTCATCGTCCGGGCCGGAACCGCCGGCGGCGAGAGGGGGCAGGGCGGCGGCATCAGATACGACGAGGAGAAGGCAGGTTTGGGCGCCGAGGGCGACGGCTTCTTGCGCCGCGGCGGCGCCGGTCCCCCGTACCCGTCACACTTCCGCCCAGTGGTGGTGCACCGCGCGCACGCCGGCTTCGTCTCGTCACACTTTACGCGTCGAATCCTTACGGCGCTGTTAGACGGGGATGTAGGATAGACGGGCAGACGGGGATAGCTTTTATATAACGGGGCAAGGCGTATTGTGTAGCGAAGCGTGTGAATGTGATCAGCATTATAGGTGGTACTCACTTGCTGTGCCTCAACCGTTAGCAACATCTTACAATAGAGTGTCCGGTCGGTGCAACATGTGCATGCACAACTATTACTCGATCGGAATCTTACGGCGGGAAGGCTCACCAGGTAATACACCCCGTTCGGACCTTGGGCTTGCTTGCTCTCTTTCGCTTTGTCACGGAGGTGGTTGAGGAAAGGGCATCGAGCACCATCGTCGGTTCGACGACGTTATCATCCACGAGGGTCGGATTCGTCCGTCGGGGGTTCTTTATAGGTACCATCTCCAGGGGCTGGGCAACAGAGTGAGGAAAGGTAGAGTGGTTTCGGTTGTCGGTGCGTGTCGACGCTCTGGTACTGGTGCGTGCTAGTTCTTGGGATAAATAAGCCGGCGTTAACAGCTCTCGGTGGTCTTTGGATAGTTATTAGAATAAGGGGAGAGAATGGGGGGACGAGTCGGCTCGTCGCATTTATTATACGTATGACCGCATAGTCTGGCCCTCCTTATTATCCCCCTCCCCAATCCTAACCAAGTAGGAACCCCCATCTTACGTGCCCGTAAACCAGATCCTAGTGCTTTCTCAGTTCATCTGATGATGTGCATCGCGTACCCATCCCCGTAAGTGAAAATGAAGGTACCTGGAGGCATCCATGCTCTGGATCCTCCCTGACGGGGTCAGCTACCCCTTCACCCCCCGTGGACCCCGAACCCCATCTCCAGAGGGTAAGCTAGTGTGCGAGGTCAAATTATCGATTTCCCCATCTTCCATCAGCTCATGTTTTCCCCGAAAGAGCGAGAGACGCCTTTCCCCGTTCGATGCAATATTACCGCCGAAGTGACGACACGCCAACTTAGCCATCTCACATTAGACGGTAGGTTTACGGGGAGGTTGCGAGCCTGAGTAAGGATCTCGGTTTTTGATCTGACGGGACTGATGTAGTCGTTCCATTTTTATCACCAGCTTTACCAAGCAGCGGGCAGCACGCTAGCATACGGCATGTAGGTAATCATGCTGGCCGCCTGCGATGATTGGATGACGAAGTGGAATAAGTCACGATAGGCGACATAGATTCGTAGATTTCCTCACTCGGAAATGCGCCACACTAATAAGCCCATGTGCTCTTCTAGTAAGAGCGTTGGCGACGAATGCGACTCGGCCCACACGAGAATACCACCGTATATGAAGGTAAGTCGGCGGGCCTTCAATGACAAGACCGGCATTGTAGTATAAAATTATGCCTTACGCGGCGCAGTGCCATAATATCGTAAAGCATTAGGACATCCGTAGAACAGAGCAGGCAGGTCTTTTTTTGGGTGTTGGGTCCCGCGGATAGAGGTCTCCTGCATCCGTCTGTAGCGATTGCAGACCTCGCTCAATGCCAAGCCTCGTTATCGGACAACCTTTTTCTCAAATAAGGGATATTCCGAGCCGACTTCTGAGTTGATGACGCCACAGAGGTATACCATGCTCGATGCATGTTTCTATAGCGGAGAGGCTTCTGCTGTTCCCAACTGTCTATGGGGAAAACAGAAGGCGGCAAGCGGGTCGACTAAGGAAAGCACTGTCTAATAAGAAAAAACGACTCGAACGATGGCTCGTAGTTATCGCCGAGGCTAATCGAGAGTTGGTATTCGACTACGAGAATGTCGGGAGGATGGGCAGCGGCCTAGCATCTGCGAGTTCGGAATACAACCGGCCGGGGAGTTGGCTTAAAATTTCGACGGGAGCGGTGAAGCGCCAGGCTAATTGATAGAGATGCCGCGGGTCGTCCTCATGACGCTTCAAAGCCACGATGCAGCACCGGCTGGTAGTAAGTTGCTCTCATCAGACAACGGATCTCGCCCCGGGCAGTGTAGTCGCAAACCTCCACATTCTCTGATGATAACAGTGGCGTAAATAGAGATTTCCGTCAGAGCAATGAGCACGTCGTACCAGGCAACCAATCCGCAGACGAAACTGGAGGCTCTGAAGGGGCTTGGAGCACACAAGCAGCTATCATCTGTGTAAATGCGGCAGGGCCAGCGAAGGCTTTAATACAGGTTGAATCCCCGCCGACGGGTGAGGTGAGAGCAAGGGTATAGCCCTCGCCGCCTGAGTCGTCCCGCTCGTTCCCGAACAATTGCAAAGAATCAGGATGGCGATGGCAAGTTTCTGCGCGTCGAGCTCTTACCGCATGAAGCCGTAGGCCATGTTGGTGAAGGTTGTGCCAAGAACTTACAAGCTTGGTTGTTGAATTTTGACTAAGCATCGATGGCCTCGGGTTATTTTTAGATCGGCCCTTCGTTATACGGATATTCCATTCTAGGAAATGGCCGATTTAATAAACGGGATTCGGGGTTGGGAGGTACCTCTAGGAGGGAGGTACCTCCTACCTACCTGGCTACGTACCGACGTACAAATAAAACGACTTGCTCAGTCCATGCGCGCGCCCTGAGGCCTCCACGACTTCTCACTTGTACGATACGTCGGGAGACGATTTCTCTTGTGGATGATATCTATCCTCTATTTACTCATCATTCATCTTCTAAGACTTGGCCTAGTGTTCCACTGCCCCAATACCCTCTCCGCAGTGTTCGACGGATATTCTCAGTCTTATATCAGTTCAAAGTCACCTTCTCTATGCTTCAATACAAAACCAACGCCATTGCTGGTGTCAGCACCCAAAACATCTTCGAAGCCTCAAACCCAAATGCTCCACGCCGCTCCCTCTTGGTCCTTTACCCAAAACATGCGCTTGTCTCCTACCCATCGCTGGTTTCCCCAGTGCACGTATGTCTCGATCTCGCGTGGCTTGATACTAAGGACGAGATTCCTTAGATTCGCGTTCGTCCTTATCCGACCGGTCAGAGGGGAGCAAAGCGGGATCCGCCGAGTCTGGCGTCGCTAACACTTTCTCCGTGAGGCTTTGAATGCCAACTTTCTCCTCGGAAATCGAAGAGGGCGATTCCTTTGTCGTTGATTCTTCAGACGGCCTCGGCAGCTCGCTTGGCCCCGTCTTCTTGATGTTCTTCCATTCCACGAAAAAGGCGGCGACGAAGGCGACGAGTACGATTCCCATGCAGCAGAGGAAGATCTTCGTGATAGCCTTGTTATAGAGCTCCCTCACGCCGAGCTGATATTCAGGGGCGACATTATTAACGACGTCAGCGGCACCCTGGTTAGTGATCTGTTTAGGATCCAGGCCAGGAACTTCCGCCACGTGTGCGACCATATAGGTGCTTAGGAGATTCTGTCCTACAGACGTGAAGACGGCACCGCCCAGCTGCTGGCAGAAAAACATCAGGGCAATGCCAATCGGAACATCCGGGTTGGCGAGGACTGCTTGGGCAGCGAGACCGGCTGTCTGCATCCCCATACCTAATCCAAAGCCTGCGATGAACTGGTACCCAACCCAGTGGCCAGTTGTTTCGTTAACTCTAAAGGTAGTCATCAACCCTTCACCTATGGCCATGATAGCCGGGCAAGCCAACATCGCCGGCACATAGTAACCGACCCTCTGCGTGAAGCCTCCGGACAGAATGCTGCCAACGACGAGGCTCAAGACGAAGGGTAGTGTGTTGACGCCGGACTGCGTGGCGCTCACACCTTGTACGACTTGGACTACGTCTCGACGTTAGTGTGCGGTTCTATCTAAAACGGTGCGTAGGGAGGTCGCTGTTATACGAGAGAGTACGTACACCACAAGGGCATATAGTATATGCACATCATCATCGAGCCAGCAATCGCAAGCATGAATAATGCTGCAGCCGCGATACTGCGCTGGGTCATTACCCTCACGGGAATCGTCGCAGTATCGGGCATTCGAATCTGGACGGCGGCGAAGGCGAGGAGAAGGACGCCGAAGAGAACAAATAATAGAATGATGCGCCAATTCCCCCATTCATACGTCGAGCCACCCCATTGGAGTGCGAGCAGGAGGCAAACGATGCCGGGGACGAAGAAGAAGGTGCCAAGGGGGTCCAATCGAGTAAAATGTTCCCAGAGGGGTGCCGGCGTTGACCTTTTCGTCGGTATACGCGCCAGGAGGAGGCCGAGCGCCGCGGCCGCGCCAACCGGAAGATTAATATAGAAACACCACCTACGTAATACGATGTTAGTTAGCTCTCTGCTTCGTCCTTGCGATGAAGGTATTGCCCACCTCCACGTGACGCTATCCGTGAAAGCGCCGCCGATGAGAGGCCCGATGACGGAGCTGATGCCGAATACAGTCCCGAAGATGCTCTGGAAAACCGGCCGCTTTCGCAGAGGTACCAACGAAAGCATAATCATCATAACGCCGGTGAAAATGCCTGCGCTCCCGACACCTGCGATGGCGCGACCGATGATGAAAGCGATCGAAGTTGGGGCAGCACCGCAGATGACAGAACCAATCTCAAAGAGCGCGACGGTAGCTAGAAAAGTCCTGACGAATGTCAGCCACCAAGATCACACGCGAGTTTTCGCAGAGACGAAGAGCTTCGGACACACACCTCTTCACCTCATAGAACCGGTAGACTCTGCCGAATATTAATTGAGATGCGGCTGTGGTTAACTGGTACGCCGACCCGTACCATCCAATATCGCCAAGACTGTTGAATTCTTGCGTTATCTGGGGGATAGCGGTGCCGATGATAGTTCTGTCGAGGGAGACAAGAAACAAGGCCAAGTAGATGCTTAACAACACGGACCAGAATTTGAGGGTCTTCGGCTTGTAGTTCGCTTCGGCTTCATCGACAACACTGGGATCGGCATTGCTGGCATCGGCCGCTTTTTCTACATCGCCATCCGTTGCCGTCGCTGCCGTATGGCCATCGATGTCGGATGCCCTTCGCGACGGCTCAGCGGCCATCGGGGTGTTGTAGGGTGAGACGGGCGGGGAAGAGCTAGGTATGGCAGATCTAGCGGAAGACAATGCAGAGATTAAGAGCGACAGGCCGCCTCAAGGCGTAAGGCAGTGAGATGGGTATATATCAACGTTCAAGATCTCCTTCCGCTGGGCTCACTGAAACGACCGTAGCTGCGTACGATCTTATCTTCTCAGAAATCGACTGCGAAATATTGAAGAGTTACAGAGGGCAGTCAAAGTCGCAAAAGCAAAGATATAGTTAGATTCGACGCATGCGTATCTATTTGTATGAATGGCGGCGCCCTGGCGCCCATCGCATATCACATCGGACCTAGTTGCGAAGGGTGGGCTCATAAAGGAGCAGAACCCGGGCCTTAGATCCATAGAAAAGGGCGTGGGTCGCATATTATTGCTTCCGTGTTCCATTTCCTCGATCGCGGTACAGATTCGGTGCCTATGGAGGTTGGGGAGGTCCGACACGGCTGGCGATTCGGACAGTGCTGGGGCAGAGAAGCCCGAAAGGGGTTTCTTTTCGAAGTCCTCCCTCTCGCCTGCTATTAGGTATACGGTGGAACCAAGACAGCAGCTTACCTAAGGCTAACAATGACGTCAACCCTACCAGAACCAACAACACAAGAGGCTGACGACTTGAGCAGGTACGTAGTACCTACTTGTTTGGACCACGTGACTGATTTAGCTGATAACCGCCTGAGGAACCAGACACGCGATCTCCTTATGTACCTACCAATCGGGAGAAACAGGTTCGGAAACACCGGGAGTACCTAGGTACCTAAAAAGGTTGCACAGGCAAGAGAGGGCGTCTCGGTCCCGAACGGCCTTTTTCTCAAAGCCGAACCGTAACTATACCTACCTGGTAGTAGACTCACTGCTCAATCTTCATGGGCGCATATAATGTAATAATTCACAGCACTTGTCGGCCGCACTTGGTTGCAATTTGATTCCATCTCACTGGAGGAGAATAAGCCTACCAGAGATACAGGTCAAGGTGAGATCTCTCTCACGCGTCCTGTCAAAACTCCCACTGGTCGACGACTACCGAATCATATACCCGCGCCCCACCCCTCCCGAAAGGAGAGCTCCCTTTTTACTCATTTGCTTATGGCGAGTTATCTTGCTATGTCTCTCCTGCACGAATCCTAAGTACTGAAGATCTGCTGTGCCTCTGTTCCGCGTTTCCCAATGCTCTGAGCGCAACTGGCCTAGGTACCTAGCACACCACCCCTCAGCAATTCCTATTTTAAACCTCCCCCCTCCACACTCTCAGACGACCCGCTCCCGCACAGGTCCCTGCTTTCTTTGCAAATGGAACAAACAATGTTGGGCGTGACATTATAAACGCGCACGGCGACGTTGACTTTCACTGCTACCATAGACTGAAAGTAGAGAATATATATATATTATAGAAAAATAAAATAGCATAAAAGTTCTACGAAGACATTCGACGCCTACGTTCTGAATCCTTTTTAGGACTAGTACACGGAGCGCAGTCCCGCCAAACGAACCAATCTTTTGCATACTCTCTGGTACTTGGGTAGGTTAGCAAGTACTACGCTGACACGCCTGACCCACGGCTACCTCAACATAGCCTAATGTACATGCTAATAAGCGCCTACAAGGACAGGTAAGGTGGGTGTCAAGGTAGGTCCCTACGTCTAATTCCATGCCGTAGGTACAGGCAACGTACCTGAGCACCTGCGCAACTCAACAACCTTCTCAGCCTCACGGATCGGTGGTCGGCGCCTAGGAATCGGCGAGGCCCCGCGCCTGGCCTTACGCCCCCGGTGCGAGGGTTGCGAAGGTAGAGGTAGGTACCCACGAGGTACACGACATCGCCTTCGAATCTTGATGTAGGTAATATGCAATGCGTCTGTGCCTCAGGATTGCACTTTATACGAAACAGTCGGTGTCACCCCTCCGCCGCCCTTTGCGAATCGAGAGAGGGCTGTCATACCTACACAGCTACAGAACTTACCTGACCGTCCGCCGTCGTGGTCGTCTCCAGGTAGCATTCTTGCAACTGGCTTGCGTCGAAGGATGGCGACTCTGCACCGTGGCTGCATGGTAGGTACCCTTGCCGCCGCTTGGCACTCCATTGCTACCTTCTCCACTGCCTCTGCTCTATACCTAGGTAGGTGCCTACTGTAATACCCATGTTTCATTATCACCTTGAGGCTGCATCCCTCCAGCACTCGCAGATACCTAACCTTGACCTACATGTAGGTTAGGTACATACCTGCCTACCTGTAGGTAGGTATGTACCTAAGGCGGGTAGCTAAGGCAAACTGACCGTAGGTCCGGTAGCCTCCCACCTACTGACAGGCATCTTGCTTGGTGTACCTACATAGGTATGAATAGGGCCTACCTTAGTGGTTTCTTCAGCTGCCCGCGCCCCGTCGATGGTCATGCTGTCGTTGTCGTCTACGCAAGGGAGGAGTAGCAACATCAGCCTAGTCGCCTCGTCCACCGTCGATTCATTCAGTCACTCACTCAACCCATCAATCGGCCGACCAACCGGCATCGTACCCATCGTAAGCATGGCGGGTAGCATCGTAAGGTCCCTAGTTATTGCTCCTTAACGAGCAACGGCAGCTCGAGAGAGGGCGAAGAAGAAGAAGAAGAAGAAGAACAAAGAAGAAAAGACCCCGGTGCGATCTTGCTCGGGTTTTCTTGGTAAGGGATCAATCATCCCCAGCAGTCACGACAATCTATCGTCAACCTGGTCTAGTTGTTGTATTACTCCCTCTCCTGTTTTTCACTTCTCGCCTCCGCGTGTGACGGAATATCGACACCACGCATCTACGGCGCATCACCATACTCTACATATACCTACCTACACACCACGCATGCGCCGCCGATACCACGTACTCCCACCTGCACGCTCACACACCTATCTCTTCCCTTTCGGCTTGACCTGCATACCCCCCCATCTCGCTCTCTGCTCTCTCGCTCTCGCTCTCACCTCTCACACCTCTCACCTCTCCGCGCTCTACGCTTAGACGGCGTCAATGAAACTTGCCTTCTCTAACAACGCCCCTCCCTACCACCCCAAGCTTCCCGCCCCTCCCCCCCCCGTCCCCCCTCCATCCGTCCATTGATACGTTCTATCAGCCCGTCCATCCCACCGTCCATCCGCCACCTCTCCAGCGCGACACAACAGTCCCGCGCGGTCCTGCACAAGCCCGCCCGCAAGGCTCTCTCTAGCTTTCTACTCGCCCATATCCTCTCCCGTTGGCGTGTCCTCGTCGCTCGGTCCCGAAATTCGCGCATCAACACCACCGTTTCTTGGCCTGCTTGCCAATCATCGCATCGTCCGGCCCGCGATAGCTTGTCGTCTCATGTGCGAGATTGAATAAACTCATTTCCGGTTACCGAGCTGAGATTTAGCCAGTCGCTAACTAGACCTCGGCCAACGTCCCCCCGACGCGCATGCCAACAGTGCACAGAGCCATACAGTTCGGGACCGATTGAAACCGCTCACCCGCCATGCCCCCGACCCCAGAGTCCCAAAATGGCGATGCGCCGGCGTATCAGGACACGACACCTACCGGGTCGGCTAGCTATGCGCCGCATAACTCGGACCCTTCCATGGTCAAGGTCACGCGGGGCCACAGCTGCGTACTGTGCCAGCAACGCAAGGTGCGCTGCGACAAGAGCAAGCCCTGTTCCAATTGTGTAAAGGCTGGTGTCGATTGCCGTATCGTACCACCTCAGCCGCCCAGGCGGCGCAAGAGGCACGTCCCGGAACGCGATCTAATGGAACGCCTGCGGAAGTACGAGGCTCTCCTGTCCCAGAATGGCATCCAGTTCGACTCCCTCGGCCCGGACGTCAAGATTATCGACCCCGGCTCCGCCGAGGACGGCGACGAGCTGGAGCCGGACTTTATAAAGCGGAAAAGCAAGGAGTCCTCGGTCGTAGACCCCGATCTCATTTCCTCGACCGGCGAGACTCCCACCGTTCCTAGGTTAGCCCCCGCCGCCTGAGTTGAACCCCGCGCGTCCCCGTCCGGTGCCCGCTGAGACTAATACCGTGCACTTGTCGCTAGGACTTTCAAGTGGTTTCCTGTTCAAAGGGAGGCCAGTGACCGCCCAGCTCCGCCGGGGCCGCAAGCGCTAACGTTCTCCCAGTTCCAAACGACGCAAGATATCCACAGAGACTCGTCCGACGAGGAAGACACCGGGTCGACCATCAACCAAGCGTACGACCAGATGTTTGAGAACCCCAGCGGGTTCCCCTTCATGGTCGGCGGCCAGTTTGAGAGCGTTACGGATCAACACCCGCCCCCCGTGCAGATTTTTGCCCTGTGGCAGATCTATCTCGACAACGTCGACCCACTTCTCAAGCTGACCCATACGCCCACCCTGCAGACACACATCCTCGATGCGAGGACACGCCTGGACAAAGTGTCCCGCAGCCTCGAGGCCCTGATGTTTTCAATTTACCTCATGGCCATTACGAGCATCGACGAAGAGAGATGCCAGCTCTCGTTCAATGAGTCGAGAATGGTATTGCTGGAAAAGTATCGCCAGGCCACCCAACAGGCTCTCCTGAATTCGGGGTTCATGCGACACCCAGACATAACCCTACTGCAGGCTTACCTATTATACCTCGTAAGACGATCCGTATCCCGTGCGTTCCGATTATTTTTCTAACGCGGCGCGCCCGTCAGTTGGGTATCCGGCATTTCTCGGATCCTCGGTCTCTGTTCTGCTTGACGGGAATAGGCGTGCGCCAAGCCCAGCGGATGGGCCTGCACCGCGACGGCGCGCCATTCCATCTATCGCCATTCGAGGTCGAAGAGAGGAGACGGTTGTGGTGGAACCTGGCCGGCTTCGACCGACGAATCGGCGAGTTATGCGGCGCGAATATCACGGCAATATCGAATGGCTATAGTTGCAAGCTGCCGCTCAACATCAACGACAACGACCTGCATCTCCATGCCAAGGAGCCGCCGCCGTCACATTCGGGCGCGACCGAGATGATTTTTTCGCTCACGCGCCTCGAGTTTTCCAGAGCGCCGGGGATCGACAAGATGAGAACTCGCGCATCCGAATCGAACCCGCAGGGCGTCGGGAGCGTCGCCGACCATCGAGCCCCGAGCTATATCGAGAGGCTCTCTGCTCACCTCAACGAGACCTATCTGAGATTCTGCGACCCGGAATTTCCTCTTCATCTGATGACTCGTCTCATGACCCAGGCAAACATTTGCAAGATGAAGATCACGGCGGGCTTCTTCCATTCCGCTCTGATCCAACCCGCTACCCTGCCAGCAGCCGAGAAAGAGGAGCTCGTGAATCACGCTATCAACATGATCGAATGCGATAGCATGATGCAAGCTAGTCCGAAGCTGAAGGGCTTTCTTTGGTATACGCAGATGCATTTCCCATTCCTGGCATATATTTATCTGCTCCACGACCTGCACACCCGCACCACTGGCGACCTATGCGAGCGCGCATGGGCCACCATCATCGACCACGGTGACAAGAGAAAGATGACGACTCACATGCGTAGTCCGATGCATCTTTCCTTCAGCCCCCTTTTCGTGAAGGCGTGGGATGCGCATGCGGCAGCGGAATCCGCTCTCGGACGTACCCTCGTGGCACCGCACCTCATCACCCACATGAGGCAGGTCGCGGCTCACCTGCCCAAGACGGGCAGGAAAAGAGCGCCGATGCCGACGCCCTCGCCCAAGATGCCCGTAATCAGCGGCGCCTACGGCATGGCGTCGCAGGCGCCGCCGGTGCAACCACAAGATATGCCGAGTATGGTTCCTATGTATCCCGAACAGGACATGTATCACCTGTCGCAGGTTGATATAAATAGGCAGCTTGCCACGGCGTTCCCGTACGTCAACTTCGGCGGTACCGAGATGGACACGAACTTCTTCATACAGGAGATGGTGGGGTTCATACCGCAACCGCCCCAGCCGATGGGCATGTATCCGAACCCGCTGGACATGGGACAACATACTGTTACCTGGCAGTGACTGCCCGCCGCGGCGTGCTACCCTCGAGCAACCTATAATATGACGAGCGGAGGGGATATTATACGAGTGATGTTATATGTTTCTGACCTAGAAGTCGTATATGGCACATACCCGGCCGATTCCTTCTTCCCCTTTTGGGGGGTTCCGCTTGCGGCACCGGAGGACGGCCTTGCCAAACACCCTAATAACAGAGGGGATCTTATATACGCGCGTGTTCTCTCCAGAGGGAATCCGTAAGATTAAAAATAATAAGGAGCCCGAATTCGCTGTAAATTCGCTGTAATATTGGCCTACGTATTCCTCCCAACTATTTTAACCGATATCCTGACGCACACCTAGTCGTCCTATAGTCGCATTAGGTATTTGAGAATTGTTATACCTGTCACGTGACCGTATTTTCCACGTCATTGTACTTCCCGATATGTGTATTGTTCTTCACCTCTTCTTCGCTGTCGGATAGATCAGATAGCTTAGATGTAATAATAAAACGCACTTCACCTCGGCCATTATGGCATGCTTCTAATCATAGGGATGGGATCCGTTAAGAAAACTACCTTCTAAGTTACCGAAATCTTGGTCATCATAGGTAGTTAAAACTGCGGAACCAAAGTTTCCCGAGTTTCCCTCGTGCGCATTTAATATACCTACGAGTTCCAATGCCCGTTCTGCGAATAGACGCAATTAGGTACCGCTTTCGTCCGTTCTTTCTTTTTCCTAATAAACCCTCATCTACCGTAGACCGCCCGGGCTGGGTTACTAATTAGATTTTCCTTGTCGGTTGCGTGGTTCGGTGTCTCTACTACTCTTCATTGTGAAAGCAGTTTCGACTCCAACATATTATTAGCCTAGCAACTGCTTCCAAGCGTATGCTTATACTAGCGATGCCAAGGTTAACACACGCCGTGTTTCCCCATACTATTCGTCATTACGGTCCCCTTTCCCCAGGACTGTTATCCTAGACGTAGGTATTCTTGGAGCAGTTTATTCGCCCGAACTAGCTTGGGGGTTCTATTATTGTCACTTGACGTTCATAGAAGCAACACGGCTACCCAGCAAACAGTAAGTAGGCAATAATAATATCTAGCCACATAGCAAACGGTAGTCGCAACAGACAAGTCCGAATTGGTGTAGTGGCTAACATATGGGATTCTCATTCCCGGGCCCGGGGTTCGATTCCCCGATTCGGAGAGACGTCTTCCTTTTTCACCTTCTCCTTTTTACCTTAGCAGTTGATTTCCTCGTCATCACTCCTTCACATGACCTCTCTCTCCCTTCTTTCAGGGACGTCGCCTGCCACGGGGCCCTTATCAGGACGACGCGAGTGCTTATCACCATAACGCGAGACCGCTGTTGTATCTCTACCTATCTAGGAGGAGCGGTCGTAACAGGGCTCCCGGAAGGAGCTGTCTCAGCCGACCGGTCCTCCCCCCGTGAGCACCCTGCCCTACCTTAAAACCACGGTGTCACTTTTGGACTCTCTACCTGGCTGGCTTCGTACTGACAACCGTGCCTCGCTTGCCAACTGTATAAATGGGTACAGGGCGACTTAGTTTATGACTAAGAGACCAGTGGGCAGCTCCGAGTTTTCCGATGAATGGTGTATATTTCCTGTGTCAACAATAGCAAGCCGGGAGATATCGGCTTGGTTATGATGGCATGCTCATCTAATAACTTAAGTGTTAATTCTCACCCGCTTCTCAAAGCCGCCGGAAGCATCAACCTTCGAACGGCGAACGTCTCGCAGGATCCACGAATCTGTGGGCCGTGCCAGGGGCTTCTCGGCGTCGTCCTTATATGTTTCACGGAGACGCCGTATAAGACGGGGCATCTCGATTCTGATAAGAGCACTATTAATGTTACAGGAACCACATCTAGAGGGGAGGGGTAGGGCACCAGCATCAGACAGGATCCGACCTCCTCGGCAACTCGTTGCTCGGGGAGAGAAGCTCTAGCAACATAAAAACTAACCCTAGGGGAGAGCCATAGCCCCACCGGAAGTGGAAGCACTACCAGTATTACACGATGATGACGAAGGCCAAGGCAGACCCATACTCGAGTCCTGGGAAGGGCTAGAAGAGTTTTACGGCCTGCGAATTAAGCCCTTTCCCAAAGGACGTCGGCGCCAGGCCCTTTGACAGCGCGACCTTATTGCGGCTGCTCGCCGAAACACGAGGACTTGGTGATCTGGGACCGGCGGTCCGGGAGGTGTTTTGAATCTGCGGCCTCCGGGGAAAGTGGGGCCCTCCGCCTCGCTACGCCATCGCGCGCCGACGGATGTTGGGTAATATCGAATAGGGCAAGCGGCCGGGTTTGGGACCTGTTATCCGGGACATCGACTCCTCGCCTGCCTCGAGGCGGCTAGGGAAGTTGCCATTATCGAACGAGAGAGCCCCAGGAAACGTTTGAATCAATACCTACCACTCATCCAACACCAAGACGGGGTCGACTACGACGGTTTCGGGCGGAGGGCAGGGGTTGCTTAATATAGGTAACACAGTCATCCTCGTATGGCACTGTGTGTTAACGACTGACTTAAAGAGCACAAGGCCATTCCGAGGATGGCGAGAGGCGTTCTCGTATTTACCCAAGTTCAGCATAAGTCGGATAACCTGTCTTGATCGCTAGCTCCAGAGCCGATCTGCCCTGTCGTGGTTCGGCTCCGTAAGCATCTGACGAAGGACGTTGGATCTCACTTAAGACGACAGTATGGACAATGTAGGTATTCCACGTAGCACAGGCACACGTGGGCGCAACGTGAGCCAGTTGGGCCTCTTATATCACACCCAATGCGAGACACGCAGGTCATTGTGCATTTATGGGCGTAGGAATGTAAGACTCTGCTGTCGTCCGTGGTGCGGTGTAGACAACCCGTCCGGTGATCCCTACCTAGGTTGGCCACACAAGCAGGACGGGCCTATCTGTGAAACCCACCGGCCGTCTCTTAGACGATAAGACTCTGCGTAGGCGTCTTACCAAGTGGGCAAGCGAGGGAAGACATCAAAGGTTGTCTACGCACTCAGCTGGTTCGTGCGGCGGCCCTCCTCGGGGTTCACAGGAGCGACGGCGCCGGCGGGTCGAGTGAGGGAGTCGCGAGACATGTGTTCGCATGTGTCCATACGAGGGCGGCGGTCGACGCCCGACACGGAGAAACAGCAAGCTCACCGACTCGACAGCTCACCTTGCGTGCCTTGCCTCCGGGGCGGGGACTCTCTAGAGACAAGCCGTCCAAGTCAACCACCCCCCTGGGGCCGCGCGGGCAGCAGACACGGATATCGAAAGGATCTGCCCTTGTAGTGACGACCCGGCTGCGCGTAAGCTAGCCCAGTCTCCGCTGACCCGCGAAACACGCAGCCGAACTATCCGCCGAGTCGCATCCGCTAGTCGTATCGACGCACAGGCCGCGAAGACGAATTCCCAGATGGGGCGGCGCGAGATACTCCGTCACCGAACCCCACGGGAAAAAGAAAAAAGGGATAGGTAGGTAGCGAGAGTGACGGAACTGCGCCCATGCGCGTGGTTGATTGGCCCGGCCGCTTGGCGGCTCGCAGCGCAGAGTGCGAAGGCGGACGGAACGAGACGTCGCGGTTGGGGCCGTCTGTCTGTTACAAAAGGGCAGGCAACCCGCGGCGAGGGCGGGGGGAGGGGGCCGCAAGCGGTTGCTCTCCCCTCCTCCGCCCTCCCTCCTCCCCTCCGCACCGGCCGTCGTCGTCGTCGAGAAGTATATACTCGTTATCCGCGACGATGAAGCAGGTTTTCGAGCAGAACGCGGGCGCCTCGGGCTACAAGCCGAAGGTGCTGATCGTCGGGGCGGGCCTGGGCGGGTTGACGCTGGCGCAGGTATTCCGCAAGAACGGGGTGCCGTTTGAGATCTTCGAGCGCGACGAGCACGAGGTGTCGCGGGCGCAGGGGTGGTCGCTGACGATCCACAGGTGAGTGTTGTTGCTGCCACCAGCCCCCCACCAGTCCTCGAGGGGAAAACGACAACAAGAGAGCTAAAAGGCCGCGCCCTCCCCCCTCGCCTTACGAACGACGCAGCGTGCTGGATGATATGGCCCGAGCCTTCCCCGACGACATGCCCGACTTCCGGGACGCCGTCCACCACCTCAACCCCCTCGCCCTCGAGACCCAGGTCGTCTTCTACTACCACAACGACCGCCTCGGCACCGAGAACTCCCCCGCGACGCCCACCCTGCGCGCCAACCGCCGCCTCCTCCGCAAGTGGCTCGCCACCAACGTCGACGTCCAGTACGGCAGGGTGGCCGACAAGATCGAGAGGCTGGGCGACGCCATGGTCGTCACCTTCAAGAACGGCACCACCGCGACCGGCGACCTCGTAGTCGGCGCCGACGGTGCGAACAGTATGGGTAAGTGAGGCCTAACTAATATGCGTGAACTCTCCTCCGATGGCTTTCCCCCCCCCCCCCCTTCTTCTCCTCCTCCTTCTTTCTCCCAAGCTTCCTCTAATAATAGCTCGTCCGCGCACGCTCGGCGCAGTCCGGGAGCACGTCTTAGGAAAGCCGAACAGCGAGGTGCTCGAGAGGGTGCCCATCAGCTCGATCACGGGCGAGACGCGGCTGAGCGGCGAGCAGTTCGTGCGGCAGCTCGAGGTGGCGCACAGCCTGGCCATCGTCCCGGTCACGACGGGGGACGCGTGGAACAACCTGTTCCTCGGGCTGACGGCCGTGGCGCCCGACGGCCGGTCCGGCGAGTTCTTCTGGATCCTGTCGTGGCACGACCCGCTGGCCCAGCAGACCGGCCGCTTCGCCGTCAACACGCTCCCGACGCGGGACCGCCTCGAGGTCGCCAAGAAGATGGTCGCCCACCTCGACCCCAAGTTCCGCCGCATGATCGACGAGACCCCCGCCCGCGGCGTCCGCGACGTCGGCTGGATGCCCTCCGACTGCCACCTCGACGCCGTCCCGCTCGGCCGCGCCGTCCTCCTCGGCGACGCCGTCCACCTCATGATGCCCTACAAGGCCGAGGGCGGCATCCACGCCATCCGCGACGCGCTCCACCTCGGCAAGCTCGTCAGCGAGCTGGCCGCCCCGGACGACGCGTCCCTCTTCCGCGCCCTCACCACCTTCTACGCCGAGATGCTGCCCCGCGGCGCCGAGGCCGTCAACCTCTCGAGATACTTCCAGGAGAACTTCCGCAAGGACGCGACCGCCGTCAAAGCCTGGGGCCACCCAGTTAGGAGTCTCCCCGACGAGAGGCTCGAGATAGGGCCGGAGGGGGTGCGCAGCATCACGAAAGGGATTTGCAAGTTGAAGTTGGTCCCGAGCATATAAACGTTGCTCTTATCATGCGACCGCTGTTCAGATCCTGTGTCTGTTTTGCCTCGAGATAGTGGTAACTTCGCATAGCGTAACCGGCGACTTGAGAGAGCTATACCAGATAGGGGCGAGAAATAATAATACTGCTCGGCATAGTTCCATAGATTTGGAGATTCATCTGCTCCGAGGGCTGAATTGACTTAGGGTAAAGGTGCACTATTCTCGTCATATGCTTAGCTCCTCATCAATACGTAAGCGCTCTCGTCTCGTAGTGCAGAAGATTGAAGTAAAAAAATCACTTGAAACAACGTCTCTGCGCATCTTTTGATACCTAGATAGACACGCATAATTACTTGGTGTATATATATCTACACCGACTACTATCCACGCCTAACAGTTTTACGCCAGGGTTGGATAACGAGAGGCGGTCACGGGCCGGCGGTCGGTAAGCATAGATATATATCACTTCATTAACAGACTCGACTGCTAAGGAAAAACATCATCCTTTGGCTTCAGGCAGCCTAAAGCTGAGAAATGTATCGAAACTAGAAGACGCAAGGAAAACACAGAACTGTGTGGGTTGACGCAAGGAAAACCAGGAGCCAAGTTACTGGCCAGATGTGGGTGTCGAGCTCATCGTCCTCCTCGTCGGACCGCACCAGCCAGCGAGGCTTTGCATATACCGATCCGAAGAGGAGAAAAGAATGCTCCTAAAATACAGGCGTCTAAGACGGGGGACTGCTTTTCGATCTGACATTCTCCGTGTCCTTCACGAGCACATCGAGTCGCCCACCAACTTTCCGCCAACCCCGGGTATTTTATCGTAACGGCTGAAAAAACAATAAAGTACGTGACTACGAAGGTGAATGAACGGCAGGATGGGATGTCCGGAAAAGGTATGGGAAGAACCAACTGTCTTAGGTAGTGTTTGATTTCCGCGGGTATGATTCCGGCCGACCGAGGGGCGTTTTCCATGCCGATTCGCCAAATGTCATACCTTTTCTCCTGCAAATCTTCGATGGATCCTTAGGGTGGCATCGTAGAAGGCGGCCTTGATGCGTGAGGTTGGAATGGGACGCAGTTCATCAAAATCCCGAGCCAATTCAGTGTTGCCGTGATGTTCAAGAACTCCGAGGAAATAAAACTAGACGTGGGGGAGCCTCGCCTCTCAGACGCCTCCCGCCCCTTGTTTTGGTTTTTTTTTTCCACGGTACATGTGAATGACCTCGATGGCGCAACACACAACCAGGTCCTCGTCCGACAGTCGCCGCCAAGGGCAACCACTTCGTGAAGCGCATTAGGTTACGAGATATTAAAAGAGAGGTCGAACAGAGAGAAACAAGAAGCGAAAGAGCGCGGCGGGCTGGTCCTGTAAGGGCATCATGAAGGCTCGGGCGTAGATCGTAGACTGAGAGAAGGTCGTTAAGGTTAATTCCGTAGGGAGAAACCTTTCCGCTTGCCCTCCTTCTCTAGTGGCCGTCCGCTCTCGACTCTGGCCTTCTTCTCCTCCAGCTCCAACCGCTGGCGCTCGAGCTGCTCCTTCATCTCGCGATGGCGGGCGTATAACTCTTCTTCGCTCTGCTTCAGCTTGCTTTCCTTCTCGGCCACCTTCTGCTGGAACACCATCTTCATTTCGGCTTCCATCTTGGCAAGCTTCTGCTCGTGGAGAGCGCGTTCCTCCTCCTGCTTCACAGCTGGGTTGACTTCCTTGAATACGCTCGGGTCCTGAGCAACGCCCATCGCGGTGAGCTTGTCGGTACGGTAATTCTCATAAAGGACATTGTTCGTATGCTCCTTGAGCTCCTCCATGTGCGTTCTAATGAGCATCTGTCGTAGCTTCACGAAGTCGCAGTGCTCCTCATTGTCGACCTCGATAACACCCCACGGGTATCGGCGACCACGAACCTTGCGCCCATCGGCGTTGGTGATCTCGTTGTTGGCACCGACAACGGCGAAGGGGACCTTGGACATGATCTCGTTGTTCTCGGCAATTGTCTCTTCATCATCCAGCTCGTAACGAGGGCCCTCGAAGATCTGGATGCCGTGGTGCTTGATATCGGCGAGAATCTACGAGAGAAGTTAGAGAGCAATGCAAGACTACTAGATGGGTAGACATACCCTAGACTTGAACCCGACGATCTCCTCGTCGGTGAGGGTATCGGACTTCGCAATAACCGGAATCAGGTTGACCTTGGTGTGCAGGCGACGCATAACTTCGATATCAAGAGGCTTCAGGGAGTGGCCAGTGGGTTGAATGAAGAAGACGCAAGCGTGAATACGATTGTCGACGATGTTCATGCGGTTGACCTTGTTCTCGGCGTCCAAATAGGCATCGAAACGCTGTTCAATGTTGTCAATGATGGGTCTCCACGACTCGTCGTTGTTCACGAAGTCTCCGAAGCCCGGAGTATCCACAACGGTCAGCCGTAGACGGACACCCGCCTCCTCGATATCGGCACTGATGGATTGGATAGAGACAGTCTTAGGTATTATGTCAAGACTCGGTCCCTTTCGGTCCTTGGGCGGGTATAGAGACGTGTTAAACAGCGTGTTGACCAGAGTGGACTTGCCCAAGCCAGATTCACCTAGGCGTCGATCCATCGTCAGCTTTAGCCTCTCCCTGAAACTGGTAGGGCCGGACACGTACCAACGACCATGACATTGAAGTTAAAGCCCTTTCGGACACTCTTACGATGCCATTGGTTCGGTAAATTGGCAAAACCAACGTAGCCGGTGAGTTTTCGTCGCACGATGTTCTTGCTATCGTTGGCAGCGGGAGCGGAAGCCGGAGCTGTAGACTTGAGGTCAGAACTCGAGGTCGGCGCGGGCGATAGTTGGGGCGAGGACGGCTTGCCATCAGTCGGTGTAGGCGACGCTATCGTCGGGGTTACTGCTGCTACAACACGCGTTAGCATACGTATCCAGCACGGGAATCAATACGGGCGGAGAGGCATCGCAACAGCATGTCCAACGAGGTGTACCGGTAAATGGCGGGCCGACATGGAGCTCCTCGTAGGAAATAAGCTGGTGAGGACCAAGGGACGGGGCGTCAACCATTAGCATGCTACGGTAGCTGCGAACGGAGGGAGGTTGGTCCACCGAGGCCCGATTGTTGCTCCGTGTACGGTCAGGGCCTAGAGGGGGAAATGATGTCCTCCCGGACAGAGGAAGGCTCTCCATGGCGTAGTTTTATCTGTTGCCCAACTGGATACCGCGGGTCCGCCTGCTCAAGTGATAGTTGATATGGGCGCGAGTATGGGTATTTCTTGTTTGTTGATCCGCGGACTTTCGAAAAGGGGGAAAGAGGTATTCGTAGCTACCTCCGGATCCTTGAAAAAGACGAGGCCAATGGCCCAAGTGATACACGGACCTAAGAGAACAAACGAATGTGGGGAATCCGATGAATGGGAAAGCCGGTGGTGAGACGAGAGAAGTGGTGATCGACGATGAAACGTCCGGCTTAATAGCGAGAGGACCTGGCTTCGGGATTGGGCCGAGTTCGCTTCCGAGAGAGGATAGCTCTGGCAACATGCCTCTCTCTTATCGAGCCGGCAATTGTGTAGCAGCAGAAGGTGGAAAGCGCTTACCCATACTGAATATGTCAACCGAGATGAAGACGTAAGAGATATGTGTGGGTGGCTAAAGAAGTCGTCAGGCCGAATCTGAAGATGCAGGATGATGGTTAGCACTGGGTTTGAGTTCGTGACTGCGTCTCGTATAGAAGGAATAGAAGCCGCGAGCAAGGGGCAAGAGACGCCCCCTGATGACAAGATGAAGAGGGATGCAGCAACGGGTGACGGGACAATCCCCGACGCCAACGAGAGGCCAGCGGCAACGGTGAGTATACAGGGAAGGGCGACGTGTCGTCGAAGATGAATAAAATAAGAATCAACGGGAAGCCCTGCAGAGGGCCATCACAGGGCCACGACGGCGTGTTTGTCACGATGCGGTGGGAAACCCCGACGCCCACATACCCGAAGTTAGCTTTAGAGTCGTGTCGCAGATCGCGAGGCGGCAAGGCACGTCGAGAATATTTAGATTTTGTTGATGAAGCGAGCGGAAGAATGAAATGGGCGGGAATTGCGAGCGACCGACTCCTCGCGTACGGGTATCTCGTGACTGGTCTGGGCTAGAGAACGGCGGCTGTCGGTGGAAAAAGAGGGAAGGGAAATAATAAAAAGAGGATGGAAGAATTGGACTGGATATTGGGGATTGGGGGGGGGGGAGCGGGAATGGTAGAGCGAAAGGCCAAGCTGCCAGATTCGAAGGAGATTGGCAGTGCAGTGTGGTGTAGCAGCAGAGCAGGAGTGCGTAGGTATGTATTGAGGATGATCAACGGGGGAGTGAAGAATTTACGAGGAAAGAGTTGAGGTTGAAGGTGTCTGGCGTGGTGCGTGCTGGCGTGGTCCTGGCCAAGCGTGTAGGTACATGCTATTGTGTGGATGCGGCCCGACCTCTCCTGTCTCTGGCCTCCTCTCCAGAGAAAAAAAAAAAACAAATTTGGGGACACCCCGGCCCTTGTTCGATTAGAAGCTGCCTTTGAAAGGGGAGGCTTCTGGTACCCCCTTCGCTGGAGCGCGTCTGCATCCTCGTACCTCTTGGCCCGTCTTTACATCTGCACTACCGAAAATCAACCCTTCTGCCACGTATTTCTGTTAGGACGAGGTCGTAACCAGGACCACTGGTACAAGACCAACACTGTCCTCGGTCGCCATACGGATACATCCATCCATCCATCCATCCACCCCCTTCCCCCAACCCTAGCAGAACGGAGGGTACTTGAACGGAGGGTACTCGGATACCTGCCTCCTACATAGCATAGCGTTACCTCATGCGTGGTTGCCGGCGTGCTGGCCACCTAGGTACTCCGTAGTAGGGGACGTATTTTAGGTGCCAGGGCCTGAGGGCAGGGGGAAGACCCCTTGATTGGCCGCTGAACTTTACCTAACGGAGGATTTAATCTACTACGGGGTCAGAGCTTCCCATGCTCTGTGTTTTTGGTTTCGCGTTGTATTGTGTTTTTTTTTTCTTGCGTTTATTCCTCTCCTATTCTCGTCTAATATCCCCCTCCCCCTCTTGTCTCTGCTCAACACCCCTTTTTCTCCTATCGTCCCAACACGGCTGCCTCTCTTCTCTCTGTCATCCCAGATGGGGCTTCCCCCCTCTCGCGGTGGTGAGCAGGTTCATAGGTCTAATGTTACAAGTCCCTGGGAGCATTCAGATGACTTCCGGCCAGCCACCGGGTAGTTGCAGCTTTGTCAGGCCAGCGCTTGAGTGTTGCTACCTGTTTTAATCTAGTGCACCTATCTGAGATTGCTCATAATAGCCAGGAGGCAAATGTCTGGCTGGCACAGGAACGTAGACAGCACTTATGCAGGCCCGGCTCCACCTATATATGTAATTTCCATGGATGCTGCTGCACAGCAGATTTGGCGTGGCTTGAACCCAGAAGCTTGGTACCTATACAGGTAAGTACCTACCTAAGATACCTACCCGCCTGCCTCATGTTAATCCCCTGAGTTGAGCCCCGTATCGTTGCCCCTAAAACATGTACATAGTTACATCGAGACAGAAGACGAGAAGACGAGAAGCCAACACCATCCTTGCCTCCTTCTTTCTACCTTACACTTAGTTACCTAACCTAGAAAGCCACATCTTATAAATAAGAGGCAAATGCGTAGAAGCCTAGGTACCTACGGAGAGGCACCCAAGGTACATAATATGTACCGAATGATTTGACCTAAAACAGCTAAAGCAGTCCCCAACGGTCAACGCAAGCAGGTTAAATACACTTACTAAGTATGCGAAGATTCGTATTCCTGACGCACACAGCCTATTCAGGGAATTAATGCACATCTATGCAACGTGTATACCTGCGCTCGTGTTTACGGAAAAGGGAGTGAGCAACGAGAAATGCGGTCCAGCTGGGTTGGCTACCAGGTATCTGCCTACGTATCTACTGGGCTAGCCGACCTGCCTCACGGACCTAGGTAATACTATATATATGTAGAGAGAGTGGCGTGGGAGGGCATGTTCGTTTGTGGGGAAGCCTCCTGCATTAGGTCAGCATCCGTGCCCGTTTGGCCACGCCTCGAATTGGTACATATACATATGCGCTGTGCCAAATCCGCTCGGACTCATACTCTAATACTATAAAGCTGCGTAACTTACTAGGAAAGGTAATAAAAATAACGTTGTTTTCCGTGAAGAAAACGGAGAATCCGCCATTCGCATCGACTTCGTTGCCCGCCATTAACCTGGTAGCCTGCCTGTGGACATGGTAGAATTAACGAAAGTAGGTCGGAACAGTTATTCCGGCTTCCGACCCCTAGATCCCCAAGCTAAAATGGCACGAAACATTCTTCTTGAAATTCTTAGGTGTCTAGGCCCTCTGTAAGAGTACGGAGCATATCAGGCTCTGTGCCGGCTGAAGTACAAAGACTTATGTAATGATGGTACCTCTCTCCACTCTGCTGGTTGCGTACAACTAAGTGAGCGTTCCCGCGGAGCCGTGAGGACATTCCCACTTCCAGCGATAACATACGTGGTGCCTGTAGTCATAACACTTTGTAACAGGCCGGAACTCCTCCTTCTTAAGAACATCCCGCCTCCTTGTGACGTGACAAGAGCCAGTGGCGACTTAACGGGCATGGCTAATCCACGATCTGCTCGCAAACCACCTTAACGTGTTCCCTATCCAGTCCCACGGATCATTGTACCAACCGTCGGGCCACGACTAAGCGTCCGCTGTTGAGAGTGTGCCCGAGTCATTGTATGAGTTGCCGGAACTCGCATCCGCTAATATCACACTGTTGCCCACGTTGCTCGCTGCGCTGGACGAAGTCATTGAGCTCTCACTGAGGGTCGTGCTAGCTGCAGGGTTCCCATGGTCTGCGTCTAGAGTTGCGGCCGACTTCGCTGAGCCCTTGGTGTTGACGTGGACGTACAAGCTCGGTTCTACTCCCGATGAACGCTGAAAGACTTGATTTTATTGGCTCAACGGCCCTTACGAAGCCTCTCGGTCGCTATCATAAACGCCATCCGCGTCGGTATATATATGCATCGGAAATTCTTCCTCGGGGCGTGATGCTCCTTAGTACTAAGTTGGGTCGTTTGATGAGGGAACGGGTTGGCGTTAGTAACGATACGCCGCGCCATCGTGATTCCGGGCTGCGACAGTGTTGGTGCCGGCGGTCTGTCCAGAAATGACCCTGTCGCCAGTAAACCAACGTCAGCTACCAGAGTCCAACTTGGGCAGTTAGATCCCCCAAAGACAGACAGTGACTCACTTCGCAAGACATCTCGTGAGCTTATAGGCACGAAGATAACGATCTCCGGCAGGAGGATTTCGGAGGTACGCAGCAATACAGTACAGGTCTGACGCTCACTACCATGGTGCCAGCCGGAGCCTCCCCGACGGTGGCCGCTTATGACGAACAAGGTAAGACACGAATAGCTGTAAGGAGTATACAGACTAGCCTAACTACCCAATCCCCTTATACCGCACCCCAAAGCGGGTCACGGCTTCCTGAAGATTTTATTAGCCCTTTTCAAAACAGCCACACTCTGTCAACTAGTTAAGGTAAGGGTTATTCGATTCCTTAAGCTGCTACCCGCTGCTACTAATACTACTAGGTCACTTGCACCACCAAGTCAAGGTAAGGTACAGGGGATTAGTTAGGCCAGTCTGCGGCTTCGCCGTGAGAAGGAGTTGTGTAGATTAGTAGATACAATGCTACTGAGCGCCTAGTGCTAGGTAGTTCGTAAGACCGTAAAATAGATCGTATGCGAAGACGTAAGGCTTTGCTGGTTGATGCACATTAATTGATACACGTTGTTGTATAGCAAGGTTTGATGATTAGCGGTAAGTTGGCGCAGGAAGAGGCGACGTTCTCTAGTGGTTAATATCATGACGTCGAGCTAGCTTCCCTCGATTCCCGGTGGCCCCTGGCACGGCTTATCCCGCAGCGGCCTCCGAACTGGCGGCCCTCTTCTTTTCTCGAGCAGCTTGGAGGAATTGCCTAACCTCTGCGTCGACATCCATTCCTCGCTTGCGACATTCCTCGATGAGCCTCTGGACCCTGATGTCCTCTTCGCTAATGCACTTCTTGATAAATCTTAGAGCCGTCTCCCGGCTTATCCACCAGTTATTCGGCACACCCGCCGTTTCTTCAGAGCTCATAATCTTGAGGAAATAGAACGCCTGCTCGTAGTTGTCCTGTGTGCTATGAAACCGAATTATGAGGTCGTAGGTGGTTCTCGTGGGTTCGATGCCTATGACCTTCATTTCCTCAATTATGAAAGTTGAGAACTTGCTTTGCGTGCATCGAGCGAGGAGAATATGATACGTCTCGATATCCGGCCCGTCCGAGCAGACTCGGCGCACACCTCTATATAGATCTAGAGCCATCCTAAACCCCCGGTGGATTGCGGTAGCCTCCAGGACAACGTTGAACGCAGCAGTGGGTACGTCGTAGAGATACCTGAGGTCATTCAAGAACTGGAGGGCGAATTTGGCGTCCTCCGCGGATTTGCGGAGCGTCCGAAAGATGGAACGCGTGCTTGATAGATCAGGGCGTAGGCCTGCCTTCGCCATGATGCAGAGGGTCGTAAACGCTTTACGGAGCTGCTTCTTCTGTACGTGGATCTCTATTAAGGCTTCGTAATGTTGTAGCTCGAGTTTTCTACCCCGATTCGAGAGCGTCCGAAGTGCGTTAATCGCCAATGCCGAGTCCGAGTTTCTTGAAGCCGTGTATAGAGCATTTATGACGACTCCATCCGGTGGGTTTATGTATCCAGGCGCAACGGCGCGATCCCATATGTATCTAACTCCATCGTAGAAAAAGTCCCTACAGAAGACGTCAAGCAGAAATTGCCACATATTTAGAGATATCGGCTCGACTAAAATGCTTGTCATCCTAAACCTGTGTTTTAGAATTAGGAATGCCTCCTCATGGAAACCCAGGTCTCCAAACGTATAGAGAAATATGTCGTAGAGCCAAGGTGGGACTGCAGCCGGATCCTTGTGCAATTCCTCAAGCTTCTCGAGTGCAAGCTCGTATTGGTTGTCTCTTAATAACCCTAGAACAATGCTGATGTGTCCATCCGATGTTGGCGTATACCACCGGTTCTTCATCTCGAATAGTGCCGTATTTCGAAGGACATAATCGGGATGGACGGCTGTGACCTATGCCGCGAGTGTTAGCTTACGAGGACCTAGCTAATAAGCGGGTTGGGCCGCTTCACATCTAGGACCGCCTGATAAATTTGAGGCGTGGTAGGTATCTTCAACTTATCCATCTCCTTGAGCAGTTCGCCGGCGGCCTCTGCAGAACCGTAATTTTTATCCACGTTCGCCCGTATGAGACTCTCGTACAGTATAGCATTTGGCCTCTCTCCCCTCTCCTGAATTAAGTATTCGACCAGCTTCACGACAGAGAAATAGGTGTCTTCGCTTCTCGTGAGCTCCTTGAGGGCGCTATAGATTGTCGGCGTCGGGATCCTGTCGAGCTTCGTAGCGAAAGCGTCCACCCCTCGGAATAGGGCGCCGGGGACCCAAGGGCTGCGTTTCGCTAACCTCTTGAGGTATTCGATGCGCGATTTCTCGAACGCGTCGCGCTCCAGGTCTGCTTTTGTCGTGACGGCAACTCGACGGATTCCTCGTCGGCCCTGCCGCTCCGTGATACGGGCATTGGTGGTCGGGGGAGGACTCGATCGCTGCCGAGGAGGGGGGAGGGGACCAATGAGCCTGGGGAAGGCAGTAATATCTATAGAAGGGCGTAAGCATCGCCAGAGGCCGTCAACGACGATACGGCCCCCGAGCATTGCGCGGAAGCTGGCCAATTGGCTCAGAGCCGAGACGAACCGTGGCGGCCGTGGTTCCTAGCTGTATATAGGGTATGGTGTCGCGCGGGTTTTGGCAATTTGCCGATGGATTCGTTCTTGGGAAAAGATAAGATCGGAGATAAGAGATACTGAGATACCCCACCTATGTAATTACCCAACGCAACCCGCCTGAAGCTCTTATTAGCTAGGGGGATTCGCCCGCAGCCGGCGTCAGCCAGCGTCAGCTGGCGGCACCTGTCGACACAAGACCCTAATACGAAGTCCTCAGGTGTACTTTGTTTATGTGCATAGAAACTGTGACGCCATTTAGCAGGTGCGTAGGTATCCTATGCCTTGTTCATCCGGCATAAGGCCCTAATATCTGAAGCAAGTCGGCACTGGTGGTATGGCTGCGTTCCATACCCGAGATAGGTGGGTGATGTGTCAATCTAGGAGAGGCAGTCGGCAAACCTGAGAAGACCGTCATGTGTATATATCTAGCACCACAAGAGCCTGGGATGGCGCCTGCAACAAAGGTAGCCTGGGAATCGAAGCGTGAGTTTCAGCATCGCTGGGCCCCGTAACCCCCTTGCTATTCCCCTTTGCATGAACGTTGCAATAACTGCATGGTACTTTCCTCGCGAATACTATCGCGGTGGGATGGGTATCTTTCGTCCACAGCGGCCGGTCCTGGCGTTTCGAACTAGCTCCGCCGAGCTTCTGAAGAGAGCCTATGTTTGATGCTGCACTCTGGCCGCAGTTTGCTTGCTCGGTCGTCTGACATCGCCGCACCCTCTCGATCCTCACGCGCCGCGGCCGCGGCCTCGCCCTCTCCCTTGACCGCGTCCGCTACCGCGGCCGCCTCTGTCGCCCCCTCGGCCGCTGTGATCTCCTCGCTGCTGGGCGTGCCCGCCATGACCGTGCCCTCCGTGTCCGCCGCGACCACCCCTGAATCCGCTTTGTTGAGTGTGTTGCTGGTCCTTCACTAGATCGATGATCTCGTCCGGTACTCGTAGGTATTTTATCTATTAGTCCGCTTAGTCAAGTGGCTGGCAGAGGAAGGATCGTATGGTGCAGCGGGCTCACGTTGTTTCCCTTGACGTATACTTCGGGCAGCCTGACGAATTTATCTGCGTCCTGGTCGTCTCATATTAGCTGGCCTGCCACTTTGAGGGGTCCGTCTTGGCTAGGTATCCCTACAGGACTCGTTTGTATGACCTCCTTCAGCGTTAAATTCATCCAGGTATCGCACTGTATTAGGTGGCCGTTGAGGGTCTCGCCATTCTTGAGCTCGACGAGCATGGGGTGGCCTTGAGCCGCGTTCAAGAGGCCGAGAGGTAACTGGAGAGCTTTCGAGTTAGCGCACAACATGCACGAGATTCGATTTGCCGGAGTGGCGCACCATCCTGAGTGAGGCACGACTTGGTGGTTAATTCACAGTCATGCAATGAGGAGTCTTTGGGTGATGATAAGGAATGATGAGCTGCTCGCCCAAGCCGGAACTTGCCTGGCAGAATTTAGTTGAGTTAAGATGCTTCAGCCACAGGTACATCGATACATAACTATAGACAATATACCTCCAGCCACTGTCTTACGTAACACATATACATAGGTAGCCAAGGATATACTTCGGGATAAGCACCGACCCACCGAACAGTGGCGGCCCCCTTAAAATTGCTAACGTGTTATGTACATATGTACCTACGTGTGTGCCTCGAATCGGGCTCACTCTGAGAGTCAACTTATCAACACATCAGTTTCTTCACGCAAGAAAATAGCCCACGGACTCGGCAACGAGTTGACAATGTTTTGTGGATAAGTATGCCATCTCAACCTTGACAGGAGTTGAGAGGGGCCATCTTGGCTCTCTTAGCCGGTAACCAACCCTAGGCAACCCCTCGCTACCTCCGAATTCCCCAGCGAGATTCCTACGAGGTTGTTGACGTTATATCACAGATGCCTCTTTCATCTTATTATAGTAGTTAAGCATCTTCGTTTATTGCATCCGCACGAGACGACTCCCTGTGAGGACACATAGCTATTAAATACCTCTCCCTGCTGGTAAACAAATCTCACCCCCTCCCCGGTCTTGGCCCCCTGGAGCACAGCCTCAGCACAACCTGGGTTAGAGGACTCGTCAGCTCGTTAACGCTCATTGGCTAGCGCTACTTGGGATCCCTCCTTTCGGTTATGAGATAACGCCATATCCTGTATCATTTCCTATGCCGGTTTCGCGCCGGCTCAGGGAGCCAGCGGGCTTTGCTACTGTGGTGCGAGGTTGGGTCTGTCGCGTTTCTCAGCTCGACCTACATGGCTTCTCCTCCCTGATGACGCTCTACGTAGGTATGTGACCTGAACGTTGGAGTGGGCACACACGCCGCGCGGCACCCCACATCCCCTTGATGAGGATAAGCCGAGGGGGGGCAAGGACATCGTACATATTTCTCTCTGCCCGCATTCGTGTATAGGCAACCATATTCCGTTCCCCCTACCCTTCCCCCAGCTGACGACGGGTTTTTTTCTTCCCCGTGGGAGTTGAGTCATGCTAGGGCCGCTTTGCTCTCTCCATCGTATTTGCTATCTCTAGGCTCCTAAACCGACGATGATCCGTGGCTATTGGAAAGCCCAGTTGCTGGTGGTTCCCGCGCTGGTGGCGGCTTTTCCGACGGCGAAAAGTGGTGAGATACAATCTACCAACCATAGTGCCTATGGCACCGTGAAACGGGCCTAACATCGAAGCATTACCTAAAGACAGTGCCGCCCCGGCCTTAATCGACTTCCGAATAAATGATAATGGCGGTGCTGAAGAAAGGGTTAGTGAACCTCGGAATCTATCCCATCATGGGGATATCGTCAGTACGTGACTGACTGCGGCGTACAGACTCTCCGGCTCGATGTCCTCGAGTCGGCGACGCCCTGTGGTTATGGAAACGTGACCATTAACGACCAACCACTCGCCCAGGATGCGGATGGCCATGGCTCTGGCTCAGTGATTACTAGCTATGGGAATGCTATTATCGCTGATTGGGCGTTTACGTGTGTCCATCTCGAGGATGGGCTCCAAGGACAACTGATGACTTTCCAAGTCAGCTCTGTAGATGATGCTGTAGTCGAAGGGGTTTCGTTTGTCGTTCAGTTCCGCCAGACCGTGCCAGTTTCCGCGTCGGTCGTCGAGAGTGCCGGGTTTACCATACAACCCGGGGTTTCCGCGGGGACCACAGCTGACAGCTCGGACGGAGGGGTGCCTTCGGAGCTCGCTGATGAGCTGGCCGAGTTGAACGTGATGATGCGACAATTGGCAGCGCTCGAATACGCGATTTCCTCGAAGATGCAGCACATATCCGAAACCTTCGACGTCGGGCCGTTAGGCGGACCCCATTCGATTGCCGAGTGTGATAGTCTGGTGTGCATCTGGAAGAGTATGTATAGCCGGGTGAAGCACATGGCCAGCCGGCTCTACGGACATAGTATTGGACACGGTGGGCACTTCAGACACCGACTTAGCGGCCATCACTGGCCGTTCCCCCATCCGGAGGAGGATCATGGCCACTACCATCCTTGGTTTCCACCCCATCCCGATCATCCCCACAGGAATCATTCACATATACCACCACATGAGCCTCATGGACCTCCACCACACAGGCCTCCACCTCATGGCCCTCCACCTCATGGCCCTCCACCTCATGGCCCTCCACCTCATGGCCCTCCACCTCATGGCCCTCCACCTCATGGCCCTCCACCTCATGGCCCTCCACCCCATGGACCTCCGCCTCATGGTAATCATCCACCACCCCCGCCACCTCCTTCTTGTCATTGCCGGCCGCCGCCGCCGCCGCCGCCGCCGCCGCCGCCGCCCCATCGCGGCTTCTTTGACGAGCTAGCTTACCCGGACCATCGGATACCAGGGGATAACTTGCCTCCTCCCGATCGGCCGGCGCCTGATGCAGGAACCCATGACATTGTAAGCTCAGGCGGGAAGTGATATTTCAGAGCACGCATAACTGACGACTTTAGGAGCCCTCCAAACAGTCGCCACACAGCCTAAAAGGTGGCCCTGATCTCGTGCCGACTTCAAACTACCTAGGACATACTGAAGAATGGCACGATGCTATACGCCCCCCCCCTCCCTTCCCCCCCTTCCCGGTACGTATTTTTAATCCCGACGAAACTTTGTCTACCTACTGACGGAACGAAGCACCCGGGACGTCACCGTTTCCACGTGCCACCGATTCTTTACATTGTAGGTACCGTCGTCTTCTTGGCCGCCGTGGTCGGCATAGTACGCATATGCTGCTGCGCCAGGTCATGCCAGAATCGACACTCTCGCTGCACCGAACGACGTCGAGCGCGAGAGGCGCGCCGCCAGCGCCGCGGTGGGGCCTGGGCTGCGCGATGCGCCGCCGTCGGGGCGATGTGCTTCGAGGTCGCGGGGCGGGTGCGCGGGAGCGTGTGGGGCCGGGAGGCCGAGGCGGAGGCCGAGGAGAAGGCGGCCATCATGAGGAGCCTGCACGCGTCGGACGGCGACGAGACGGAGGACGACGCCCTCTCGACGACGATCGAGCAGGAGCTCGCGCAGTTCCGCGCCATCGCTGACGTCGTCGGGAGCATGGTCGCGGCGGAGGAAGGGCGCTCCCGCGAGTACACGTACGACCGGCCACGGCACGACATCCCCGCCCCGGCACCCCGCGGCCCGACCACGGCGTTCCCTGACTACGCATCCGTCGACGAGGAGCTTCCCGCTTACGATGAGCAGGCCAGCGAGCACCGCTTCGTCGCCGATGGGTTCCGATACACCCACGAGTGCCCAAGCTACAGCTCCAGTTGTAGCCCGACTGGACCTTCGACGACAGCATCGTCTCTCGACGAGCACTTGGGGGGTAAGGATTGATGGTCGAGAGAGCCGAATTACTTCCGGACGTAATGTAATACCGCTGGTCTTTATCTACGGCGGTGTGTCTAGCATGTTCTATATTTGAAACCTAACAGTGAAGCGCACCTTTTCTTTTCTCCTTTTTCTTTTTTTCTTTTTTTGGCTCCTCGGCTGGAACTAGACGGCCTTTGGATATTGATAGACGAAAGAGGGAAATTATTCGCAGTATTTGTTCAAATAGTGTATCATCGGTGCTGGTATGATAGTTGCCCTGTGTAGGTTGGGCTATGGTGTGTTGTCCCTGGACTGTGATCCCGAGACGGTAGCTAGTTACTGGCTGGCCTGGTAACTTGTGACATAGGGTTCTTACGAAGTTTCGTTACTATACCTAGAGCGTTCCCCGGAGGACTTTCATTCTTACCGCTATCATTGCCGGAGTTGCTAACCTTTTTCTCTCGGAGAGTGTGGGACAATCTGATGTGTATTAAGAGGAGTATCTGTGTATGTGACCCATAGCCTTTTTTTTTCGTATGTAGTTGAATTTGCCCTCCACCCTCCCATGTTGCTCGAGTGTGTAGGGTATCCCTCTTCTCTCCCTTAAAACGCCGTATCCCAAGTCCGGCATGCCGAAACCAAGTCTCGTGGGCCAGAGACATCGACACCATTCTCTCCACAAGCATCAACCCGTCTATTGTCCTCGCTAATAGTCGTCAAGGGTGTTTCTATGTGTGACCTGACCACGAAAACATCACAACCCAGGAACAGCACCCCGAGGCATAACTATACGCGCAATTAAGACTGATGAAGAGATTGGACCCCCGGCGTCTATGGCACGGCGGCCTCGACGTTCCGGCCCTTAACGCTCTTCCACTCGATGGCCGCGCTGCCGAAGACGGTGAAGGCGACCAGGCCTGTGGCGACGAGGAAGGTGGCAGTCAGCGCGTTGCTGTATGACAAGATGACGGTCGATAGGCTCTCCGGCGGCACAAGGCGCAGGACCTCGGTGACGCCGCCGTTGCGCAGGGCGGAGAGGTCGAGGCTGGGTAGGCGTGCGGCGAGCTCCGAGACGAGCTTGTTGGTGAAGACGGTCTGGCCGACGCTGACGAACAGCGCGCCGCCCATGGTCTGCACGAAGACGAGCACGGCGGCGCCGGTCGGCACGTCGCGGATGTCGAGCACGGTCTGCGCGGCCACGAGCGGCTGCTGCATGCCGACGCCGATGCCGACGCCGAAGAGGACCTGGTAGCCGATCCAGGCGCCGGCGGTGGCGTCGGGGGTCCAGGTGGAGAGCAGGCCGGCGCCGACGGACATGATCACGGTGCCGAGGATCATGAAGGGCGCGTAGTAGCCGAAGACGGTGACGGCGGCGCCGGCGGCGATCGCGGAGAGCACGACGCTGATCAGCATCGGCAGGTTGCGGATGCCGGAGCCGACGGCGGACACGCCCTGCACCGACTGGAACCAGATGGGCACGTAGTAGACCGTGACGAAGAAGCCGGCGCCGGTGCCGAACGTGAAGATGCCGCTGGCCCAGATGGTGCGCTTGCGCAGGATGCGCGGCGGCACCGTCGCGTCCTCCTGCTGGACGTGCTGGACGTACGCGAACGCGAGCAGCAGCACGCCGGCGACGACGAACAGCGCGATGACGCGGCCGCTGTTCCACGGGTGCTCCACGCCGCCCCACTGCAGGGCCAGCAGCAGGCAGATCACGGCCGGCATGAAGAGTACGGTGCCGATCGGGTCGAAGTGCCTCACGCGTTGGAGCAGGGTCTCGTCGCTGGAGAGTCCCCCTCGTCGCGACGGCGGCGGGTCCGGGAAGAAGACGGCGATGGCCGACGCGGCTACGGCGCCGATGGGTAGGTTGATATAGAAGCACCACCGCCAGCTCTGCGGCTCGCAGCTCACGTCAGCTTCTCTACCACTTGGGAGTCATTCGGAACTCAGGGGAAGGTAAGTGGAAAGCAACGCACCACTTTGTCTGTGAAAGCACCTCCGAGGAGGGGGCCAGTTACGGAGGCAATTCCGTACATACTGCTGATGATACCGCTATCGTCGTCGTCTAGGTCAGTTGTTGACCCTTATTCGAAGCTCCCATAGGTAGCCGAGGAGAGTACAGTATGTGTGAAGGAAAGGAGGGTTGGCTTACGTATACATGGGCCGCTTAGCTAGTGGGACGCTATGGGCGAGGATCAGCAGGGCGCCGGACATGAGGCCCGCGGAGCCGAGGCCGGCGACGGCGCGGCCGATGATGAGCGTGACCGAATTCTGAGCGACGCCGCAGATCAGACTACCGAGCTCGAAGACGCCGATGGCGGTTAGGTAGACCCATTTGAGGCTCAGGAACGTGTATAGTTTGCCGAAGAGTAGCTGAAGGGCCGCGGTGGTGAGAAGGTATGCTGAGCGGTAGGAAGCTTGGTTAGCAAGCGTATTTATTCAGGAGTGAAGGTGGATGAAGGTACTTGCCACTTCCGTACCAACCCACGTCAGGAAGGCTGTGAAACGCATCGGTGATCTTGGGGATAGCGGTAGCGATTATGGCATTGCTAGGCGACTCTCTGTTAGTTCCGAGAAGAATACGACCTGCCCGTAGCAATATGAAATCAAGAGAGGACTTGGTGAGGAGCTTACTCGAGAGCCATCAGAAAGACGCTTAGGCATAGTGCAAAAAAGATAAGGCTAAGCTTCAAGCCCGTAGGGTATTCGGCGCCGTCTTCTCGTGTCTGTATCTGCCGTTTAGGATCACTATGTTGGGACTGGGTGGCTGCGTGTTTGGCGAGAGCTCCGGACTTCTCCTGGTCGTGATCCCCGGCGGTAGCGATTTGGGAAGTCTCAACGACGGAGCTGCCCGAGTCGGAAGAGTGATATCGGGAGCCTGTGACTTTCTCCTCGCTAATAGTTCTAGCCTTAGGGCTTGCTGTGGTGGTGGGCGCTCCAGACGCCGTTTCACCAGAGGACTGAGGCCTAGATTGAGCAGCCATTGTTACGTCGAATCCGTCAAGGTAGGAATTTCCTTAGTTGGGCAGTATCTAGCAGGAAATTATACGCGAGGATATCGAAAGGGAAGCCAATACTCGTCTCTCTGTAGAATACGGATTCCGGCGCATCTTCATATTCTACCCAGACACGTCGCGGTGTGGTGGAGGCAGGAGATGTACTGCCTTTATACCCGTCCGCCTTGCTATACCACGGCACGTACGGTTCTATACGCAAAAATTATATCCATGTCTACTTAGGCTAGGGTCCCAAGATGCGATGCCTACCCCATCATTAGTAATTCATACGAGTCCCATCTATAGACACGCGAGCTTTAGGCACATTGGGAGGTCCTTAGGTAGGGATGCTAGAGAGTGCGACATGAATTGGGCTGTCTCTTTGGCGCTGACGCCCACTCACCCCCTGCGGAGCAATAGTTCCCCGTATGAGCCTGGTAGGGCCAAGAGAGGAGGAATGTCGAGATGGAAAGATATAGCAGAGGGTTGCCGGGACTCGGAGACCGTAAGTTTCCGGGAGCCCTAACAGAGGCCGGGGTTCAGAGACAATGTACACCCCATTGGTCCCATTCATTATGGCCGGGGGCTTTTGATGGATCTCATACTGGCCAGCGACATTGGTCGGCCGGTTTCCTATTTGTATTTCCTTTCTGATTTTCTTGCTCTGAGAACATGTACCTATCGCTTGGCCGGTTGTCCCCACTCGGACCCCGGCTCGGCTTCGCTGCCCATAATTGCCCCGATCTCTCTCTTGTTCTCTTGGTATACGGACATACTATGCAGATACCTAATGTGGTATTAGTGAGTAAGCAGACAATAGGTGCGTAGGTATCATCTCCTAACCGCCTAACCATTTTCTTCTTCGTTCGCGTTTTGTCGTTGTTATACGCGAAAAGAACTTCTGCCCGTACACGTATTCAAATCTATATAGGTATACCTACCTTCTTAGAGTATCGAGGTTCTGTCCCGAGAAGTCCCTTACAGGTCAGCGTGTGTGCTATGCCGACGTGTGGAGCGTTTCTTGTTATTTTCTGAAATAACAGTGCAGAAGCGGTGTCCCCTTCGGATATGTCTCTCGGTTGGCGTGCCGTGCCGTGCTTGGGGAGGCGGCGTTGAGGGATCGTTGCCACATTGTAGGCTTGATCCCACACCGGCCACTACGTGAGATGCTCGTATCCATGCGACAGGCGGGCTGCGGATTGCGCCATCTCATGCGCCACGGCCACCAAAGGGGTTATTCATACCAAAAGCGAGGAACAGACAAGCTCGATGTGGCTCCACGGCTCGGCACTCTAGTATTGACCAAGTCTATTCCCGCACCAGGGTCGCATGGCTGGACCTTCAATGCACGTAGAGTTGCGCCGATGCGCGGTCATGATGTGTTTGTCCCGCGGGGTTCGCAGGGGTTATTCACCCATCTTGCTACAGCTTATAAACATGATCGCCTCTCACGCTCGCTTCTGGCAGCCAGAAAGGATACCCCGCTGTTGCCTCTGGGCCCCGAAGGGACCACGCTTGTTGAGGTCATACCCAACACAACCATATCAGAATGGTCTTACCACTAGGTATACCCACGGGGTCCATATTGCCGGCAAGAACTTAAGCATGGCAGAGTGGACCGCCGACCGTTGGGCGGAGAACGGGCGGAATTCGAGTGTCGTTTCCTACTACGTCTACTTGAACTATCCCGTCGACAAGTCGCTGAGCTTGACGTATTCTAACGGAAGCATCTACACGCCCTCCCTGGAGGAAGCGGTACTGAATCAGGACGAGACGACCGGCTACCCCGATCGGATACTTACCCACGTTCCATGGTATTCGGCTAGCGGCAGCGTCGATGCTGAGTTTGTCTACGTTGGGCGCGGCCAACAAACCGACTTCGAGAGGCTGATCGAGCTGGGCGTGCCTCTGGAAGGCAAGGTCGCTGTTGCTAGGTAAGTATGGTGGTCCCTTCAGAGGCCTCAAGATGAAAAATGCGCAGGAAAACGGCATGACTGGCGTTATCATCTTCACAGATACAGCCGACGATGGGAATATTACCGAGGCTAACGGGTATGCCGCATACCCTGGTGGACCGGCGCGGAACCCAACGGCTGTGCAGCGAGGTAGCGTACAATCTCTCTCGATATCCGGGTTGCCCGTCAAAGGAGGATTCGCCGCGGGCAGACTATTCACGGGTAGTGCCCAGGGTCCCTTCAATACCGATACCGTATGTAGATGCCATTCCGATCCTCGCTACACTTGACGGACACGGGACAGCCGGTGATGAGGTAAGCCGAACGGGCTGGGTGGGCGCGTTGAATGTGACGTACCTATAGCACAGGCCCCCCTCCTGGTTCGACGATCAGCTTGAGCAACGCGATGGAAGATGTATACGCCCCCATATGGGACTCCATTGGAATCATCAATGAGACGATCGGGGACGAGACAATCGTCATAGGGAACCATCGAGACGCCTGGATTATTGGAGGCGCCGCCGATCCGAATAGCGGGACTGCCATTACCGTTGAACTCGCCAAGGCGTTTGGAAAGTTGCTGTCTCAGGGGTGGAGGCCACGAAGAAATATCGTATTGTGTTCCTGGGATGCGAAGGAGTACGGTCTCGTGGGGTCAACAGGGACGAGGCATGTTGTAAGATCGATCTCCGCCCCTCCCGGGGGCCACCCGAGAGGAAGAGCGAAGAGTCCCGATTAGGCGCGTGTTTACTGGCCGCGTGCTAGCGGCGTCGAAGTTGATGGCTCGCTAATATTAGCAGCTGGATGCCGCAGTGAACACGGCCCTTCAGACGCCTTCTGATTCACCTACGTAACTTCCCTCAGACTGATCTTGATGGAAACGATAAACTGGATCCAAAAACAAAGAAAAATAGAAGAAGAAAAAATCACATTCGTTACTATGGGTGATTACCTACATTGAAACTACCTCGACTACCGCACGGTGCAACTGTGATTCGGCCCGGTTCCTCGGAATCAGGATCGATCGGAAGCCCTGATAGAGGCTCCACCTGCTGGTACAGCTGTATGGAGCCCAAACCGGAAGCATCCGGCGAACCTTCGCGATGTGTTAACGGCGACGCTACTGATCTAAGTTTTCACGAGAGGCTTTCCGACTGATGATGGGATCACAGAAAGGCTACGAATTCTGCAGGACGGCGAGCTCTCAGCGAAGGGTCGTCGGGCTTTGGCACTAGGTATTTAGGAAAGGGTCTTTCCCCCTGTTCTTACTCTTGGCTTCTCCAAGATTCAGTATCTGTCGTTACTTGGATAAAAGCCGCCCAAGTCAGACGGCCCCCTTCGTGTGCCTGCCTCGCTGGTGACCGTTGTGCTGTTGCCAAGATCGCTTGTTGGCATCGTGGCCATTGGTTCTATTGGGATTGGCCTACTACTCTACGGAAATCTTTTATCTAGGCTTTGCTATTATCTACAGAAAGATAAGCCGCAATCCCCGCAAGGTTCGTTAGGAACCGACCCAACTTCTCTGTTGGAATATTGATAATAATAAGGGTGTTTGTCTTTGGTAAATGATACTTCTCTACTAGAAGTCTTCTTACCTCTGCTTACACGTACATGTACAAGTGTTACTAATTGTTACCAAGCAGCTCTGGAAACAGCTCCGGAAACAGCTCAACCATTCTATCATGGGCCCTTGCGGCATCTTGCTTTAGGTTCCATTCGGCGTTTTCAGGTGTATTCTGAGCAAGCGTCTTGAAACCAGCAGTCCAAGCCCTCCATTCGTCTTTGCCTAAGGGATAGACCGGGCGTTGAGAGGGAGACCTGATCTCGTTGGCGAGCGCCGCCCCCGAAATCAAGATGTATTGCGCGGCTATCGCTCCCTCACACCATCGAGCGAGCTCGGTACGTGCTACCGCCCTGCTCTCTCTCAATCCCAGACCCTCAGCAATACAGATGGCTGCGAATTGCGAGCCCCGAACTCCCAGGATCCCTGCCTCAAAAAGCCTGGCAAAGAGGGTGGCGATGCTAAGAGCCGATTCGCATTTTTCCCTCAGCTCGTTTTCTGTCTTGGAACTCGGTACTGTTTCAGTATTAGTATCAAATATAGTTATCAATGCTTGGATACCTACCCTGATACCTGTTCCAGCATGTCTCTACTGCAATACCGACAGCCTCGTCGTAGGGCTGAAAGTCAAGATCCTATATTGGTTCAGTATGGCAACATATAAGGGTGGTGAAGTCGAAAAACTACCTCGACACCAAAAGCCTGCGGCCCAAGCCCCTTGATGTCAATGACGAGACGGACGAGCCTTTCGTGTTCGGAACTTTGGAACGGCACCTCACAAGTGAGCTCGAAGGACAAAGATGCAACTTCATTTATGAAACCCAACACATCGCTGCTGTGGGATTGCGCAGACGGGGCAGAAGCGCTAGGGTAAGCTTCCACACAGTATTCAAGTATTCGTTGTGCAGCTTTGCTACTAGCCGTAATGTCGTCGCCGAGGGCTTCCAACATGTCGCGCAGGATGCCTAGCAGATCTCGCTGGACATCGTCGATGTCGTCGTCGGCAAGGAGATTGTTTTCAAGGTGGGCGACCCAGCGTGGCTTGTCTTGGCTGAGCGGGGGAGGATCTCCACCGGCTGGCTTAATTAGGGTGGTCATGCTGACGATACGTTTGGTGGAGGAAGAAATTGAGGAAGAGAGAGAGAGAGAAGCTACGTTGAAGATAGGCAGTGCCTAGGGGCCATGCGAAACGGAGGCCACGGGTTAAATAGCAGATGGCGTAAGGCGAAGTTGGTGAGAGGGGCGGAGGTGTGTCTAGTTGCCCGATAATGGTGGGGGATTACCGAGAATGACCGCCGAAATTTGGTAACTATGTTCCGTGCTGTATTTCTGCCCGCTGTGCCACTGACAAGCCGGTCCCCTAGCAATATCACACATATCGCGACGATAGAATTCACATTCTAGTCGCAGAGAGACAAGCGGATGAAGCTGGCTATCCCGCGAGCCGTCGCCGAGGATTCCACCTGGACGAATACCTATCGCAACGACGAGGCTTACGGAAGAAATTTCGACCACGGGGAGTCCAGGGAGGATAGACTATACGAGATCCCCGTGACGTGCAACACCCCATACGATATGGACAGGCGCCCAGCCACTCTCCAGCAGGTCCGGAGTGCCAACGAGAGGCTACATCATAACGACAGAGCCTGGGTAGCTCGGAACCCGCCTAACGACCCTGGCCCTTACCGTGCTGTCGTGAGTGTCAACGAGGATAAAGGGTACGTGTACCCGGCCACTGGTCTTATGTATCATCCGGAAGGCAATTCGAGGGCCTTTACTCGTGCTCCAATTGAGCCCATGGACCGGCGTGGACACCAGGTTGCTCAACGGCACGCGGATGACCACGACGACAGCCTAAATCGAGTTTCAACTTGGCCACCCAGAGACGAGGATGGCGAAGACCTAGCCGACTATGAAACTCGGTACAGGAAGGAGAGGGGGCCCCGGGGACGTCGTGTTGATAAGGGCCGGGCTTCTAAACAGCCCCTCTAGGTGGCAGATAGTTAAGAATGTATCGGCGTTACCGGTTGTTGGACCGAGGCAGACTTGGAGTGGCTTGGATTGTGCGTGGTAGATGGGGCAGTCAGGGACACGTTTACTACGTAGGGCACCATTTGGCCTTGTTTTGGGTCTCTGCATGGGCGTATGACCCTAAAGGTGGGCTCTCTTGAGCAGCTCAGCCCAGCTCAGCCTAGCTCAGCTCATGTAGATACTCGACTCCGTACTCATGCTCAGTGTTGCTTTGTAACCGCTCAGCGGCAGCTCGGCTTTAAAGCGGCAGGAGCTCAGCCCTGCATCCGAAACTGGGTATTGGTGTGCTTGAGTTTCGTCTCCGACTACAGTGGAATCTATATTTAAGTCCTGCACTAATAGCGCCCACAGACAAAGGGAACGGCCAATCGTCCTCTTCCCTCAGTGGGATCTTTTATATACGATAAGTCCCGGCGATACAACGGTAGTCATCGGGGACTGCGGACACAAGATGCCGCATCGCGCTCGCGAGCCGATAGCGGCTGCGATTCTGGCTAACGCGAAGAAGGGAGGGCAGGATGAGAACGGTAGTAGCAGTTGATTCGCGGGCTATAGAGGGCGTCTAGCTTTACGGGAGCAACCTCGCCACCTTCAGCTTAGATATAATATGTCCTTCCGTCGAAACTCGCCCCCTCAATGTCTAACTGGGCTTACAGAGACTTTCTTGTCTAAATCACTGGGTAAGGTGATGCCTGTAGGTAAGGTTGGTAGGGAAGTAATGGAAAGTAAGACTAGTACTTTCTTTGCACGCGAGAATCTTTGCGAGTTTCAAAGATACATCGATAGAGACAAACAGCTAGTGGGGTAGAGGGTTTGAAAGTGATGATTTCTGTCCACACCGAAAAGTCGACGGAGGTTTGCAGAACTAATAACCACTTTTACATTTACAATCATACCTGCAAAGCAAAAACATGGCGTGCACGATACAGCCGATGCCACTATTATCTATCGCCTGCGGTGAAAAGCAAAATAGTAAATATTTAAAGACGTTTATAGATATGCTTGCTACTAGAGGCAGAAGGGCGTTTGTTCAAACAGAGCACCCCTATCAACAATCTGCTTGCGTTAGGCTCGCTTAACAAGCGGATTTAATAGGTGCTAGGTAGTGTTGCGATACGTCTCAAAACGAAGCTATCGTTCTTATTTTGGTCCTTGAGTGACCTTTAACTACTAATTCGAGAACAACTTGTGGTTTACACAGCACCAAATTAGCCGCACAAACCTACAACACATCATGAAGTCAACTACGCATCAAGTCTGATGATCTGCAAGAGAGCGTTGTACTACGAGGAGTATATATAGGAACGCTGGTTCATGCGCATAGAAGTATTCAAGCAACACTACATCAATATCCTTAAGGTCTCACTAAATTATTCTACCCCCTCACGGTATCACCAGGGGGTCTACCAACAATAGGCAACGAGAGTCTTAGTCTTGTGAACGGATTTTAGGGTTTGCTATATAATACTAATGCCGAAGGAGCTTTTCTTAGAGCAGGAATGCTGCCGTCCGAAGCGTATCCCTTTCCGACCAGCACTCACGTCTAATCCCCTAGCCCGATGCCGGGGAAAGGCTTGATATAATATATTACACGTAAGGGCAATTTCGAGGTCACGTCCACTCTCGCCGTAAGATACACCGTGGATCCCGCGGCTTCCCACCCGAGATGTCGGTACGCCGCGTCCTCAACTAGGTTAGTTATACAAAAAGATACCGAGAACTCGCAGTGAAGCATTCTCGGTCCTCTCTCATGCCGTGTAGTCCTTCTGGAGTAACTTGGCAATGGTATTGAGCCTGCGGTTGGGGGTTGGGGTTAGCACCTTCGTACCGACGGTAGGCGTAGATAGGTAGGCCAATCGACTTACTGAATGTTGCTAGTCCCCTCGTAGATGGCCCCGATCTTGCTATCCCGCCAGTATTTCTCGGCGAGACCCTCTCGGACAAATCCCATACCTCCCATCCACTCGATCGCGAGGCCGCTGACACGGCCCGCGACCTGCGAAGCGTACAGCTTCGCCATCGCTGCGTCTCTGACGAAGTCTTCGCCCGCCTCCTTCTTTCTAGCCGCGTTGTACACCAGCGCGCGGGCCGCGGAGATCTCAGTATAGGACTGCGCGATTTGGTGCTGCATGCCCTGGAACTCGCCGACCAGCTTTCCAAACTGCTTCCTGTCGTTCCAGACGTATTTTACAGCGTTTTCCCACGCGCCGAGCGCGAGACCAGTCATCTGCGCCGCGATACCGATGCGGCCCTCGTTCAAGAGCCCGATGGCGTATTTGTAGCCCTGGCCCCGCTCGCCCAGCAGGTTTTCCTTGGGAATTTCGACGTCGTCAAAATTAAGAACGCAGGTGCTGCTCGCCTTGATGCCTAGTTTCTTTTCCTTCTTCGCAATCGAGAAACCCTTGGTATCCTTGGTGACGATGAAGGCTGTGATGCCCTTGTGTGCCTTAGCAGGGTCTAAGTTCGCGAATACGATAAAGAAGTTGGCTTCTATCGAGTTCGTGATCCACATCTTGCTGCCGGTAATCTTAAATCCGTCGGCGGTTTCTGTCGCCCTCGTTGCGAGTGCGAAAGCGTCGGAGCCCGAGACGGGTTCGCTGAGGCAGAAGCTGCCGACAGTATTGGTCGCGAGCGCCGGAAGGAATCGCTTCTTGATCGAGGTGCTCCCCCACTTGAGAACGGCTGTATTGACTAGGGTATTGTGAACGTCCACGAGGACACTGACGCTGGGGTCGACGCGAGCGAGCTCCTCGATGCCCACAATTGCAGAGGTGAAATTCATGCCGGAACCGCCGTACTCCTCGGGGATCTCTATACCCATAAGGCCTTGCTCAAAGAGCTGTTCGACGAGCTCCGGGTCCATTTTTTCGGCCTCGTCCATATCGCGGACTTTAGGTAATATCGCGTTGTTGGCGAACTTGGAAACAGTCTCTTGCATCATTGCCTCGGTCTCGGAGAAGTGTGTTATGGGCGTCGGCGGGATTTCGGTGATGTCAGTCATTCGGCGTGGTGTGGCAGATAGAGATCTCCATCTACAGGCGTGGTCGATTAATACCAGAAGCTATGGGGTCGGATCTCGAGTCCTGCGAGACTCACTGGTGCACATTAAACCTTGGCGCCGGCTTGTGTGCTGGTCTGGCACCACAGCATCGTGGCGATAGCAGGACCCCGGGGCTCACACTAGAACATCGCCGGAAGGCCGGCTGAAGGAACCTCACAGTTGCGGACATGATGCGCTTGATCGAAACGATGCGTATAGCGAAATTGGTGACGGGACACGGACGCAGCACCCTGAAAGCAGGCGGGCAGGACAATCGCTCGGCGATGGCGACGGCGACGTTGGCTTGTATCGTGGGGTGGAACTGTAGGATGCAATGATGCAAGGGGGAGAGGAGGAGGAGGGATTAGGAAGAGGAAAGAGAAAGATGTCACGATGGCCAGAATTCCATGCCTACTCCTTTCGTTATCTAGGCATAGGCTACAGCTTACATTCCTCGGATTGACTTTGGCCGCGGCCGGACGGGTTTGTGTGCACGTTCAGTTCATTCTGCCGAGGATAGCCATGTCCTAGCCGTGGCTGGAGATACGGAGACGGATTAGAGAGATGGAGGAGTCCCGTGAGTTGCGCCAGGGCGGAAACGCGGGGAGCTTTTTCGTGGGGCATGTGAATAGATGACCTAATGGACCCTCTCTTTGTCCACCTAGGTCTGCGCTATACCCACCTAGGTGTAGGTGCCAAGGTGTACACGGTACTTTATGCCAATTTACGCCTTGGCTAGCTTAGGTAAGAAAAAAAGTACCTGGTACCTCTCTTCAGGGCCGACATCATCTGGCAGCCATTTGTCCCTCTCCTGGTCAAAATAGTGGGAAATACACAGACCAGAATCCCCAACTTACGCTCTTGGTCTGATTGACATTGAGGATCTAGACTTGGGACACAGCTGGCCCCCGTATCCCCTATGGCGGTGCGCATAGCGAGGTCCCTCTGGCGGGCGACCGCGATCCCGATGCCATTTCCAGAGTTGCGCCCTGTTCGACTCTTCTCGACTACCCCGTCACCCAATGCGACTCTGAACCAGGTCCTTCGAGTACGTTCCCCCCCCCCCCCATTCTTAGCTTCGACTACGCGAACTCGATGAGCCGGGGAAGATGACTTGCCCGACGAGAAGAGAGAAAAAAAAGTAAAGCATTGAAAATTTGGATCCGACTAACAGGCAATTCTCCTTCGGAAAATCACCAGGGCTGCCGCAAGCCCCAGCGCGCCCGTCATGCCGTCTCTCCGGCTCTATCCGATATGCACTGCCCGCAGCAGAAGGGCGTATGCCTCAAGGTCGGCATCACGCGTCCCAAGAAGCCCAACTCGGGCGAGCGCAAGACTGCCCGTATCCGCCTCTCCAGCGGCCGTCTGATCACCGCCTACATTCCCGGAGAGGGCCACAACATCCAGCAGCACTCCGTTGTCCTCGTCCGTGGAGGGCGCAGCCAGGACTGCCCCGGTGTCCGCTACCATCTCGTCCGCGGCGCTCTCGACTTGGTAGGTTGGGAATGGGGGGGAGAGCCAAGACAGGCTTACGAGAGCGCAGCTCGAGAGTGAGGACCTTGCTAATACGAGTCAATCCTTTGTGTAGGCCGGCGTCGCGAATCGTAAGTCCAGCCGAAGCAAATACGGGACGAAGAAGCCGAAGAAGGCGTCGGTCGGCTCCTGAGGCAAAAAAAAACATTGGCGCGAGGGTCGAGTCTTGGCCCCAGGGCGAGACGGCTGGTGTGGGTATTGCATCCCGTTAGCCGATAGGGGCGATGGGTTCGGAGCAGGATGTGCCAGCACTTTCACGCCAGATATTGTATAAAATAACCTCGCCATGCCTTTTCTTTGAGGTGATAATACCCATAACGATGTATCTACAGCCGAACAAACGGATATCCGTCGTTTCGAGTAATGAACAAATCCAGACGCCGCGTCCCACCATAGGAATCGATACCCCACCGGCCTAGACAATGCAATATAGGAGGAGCAGGTCGTCACTGAAGAACGAGCGATAGCTACTTCACAATCATTTCTTCTAGTTTTTTTTTTCTCGTATCTGCCCAAATCAGTCTAGTCTTGTTGATTTTGATACCCGTCTGGCTTCTCCAACCCGTTGAAGTCAAAATATCTCGTAGTGCCTAGAACGTGCGGTTGGTCAAACTACGCTGGGAAATGCTGGCAGTGAGATGGACTTACATGAGTACCCCTTCCAGTCGAAATTTTTCGCAGGTTCGCAATGGCAACGAAGGTCTAATCGCCTCTTCTCATCGGTCGGACAATGAGTGAATGGGACATGGTAGTAAGCAATGTCGTTGAAGAAGTGAACTTCTTCCTTCTTCAGCAGCAGGCCCGCCGCAATGGAGTGGACTGGGGCATCCCCCCACCGCTCGTAAAAGAAGCCGCCATCTTTGTCGAGGGACTCGAAAAAATCAGTATAGGGCTTGGAGCGAAGCCATTCGAGACTACCGACTTCAAAGTTGGACCACTGCCGACCAATTAGGGTTTTTGTTTCGTTTAATCTTCATCGATTCATGACTTACGAAGTGGCAGTTGGTGTAGGTCTCACCACCGTCATCGCTTAGGAAACCCATAGAGTTGCCCTCGACAATGTGTTCTGGATAGTTCTTCATGAACTTCTTGACACTGTCCCAGAGCGTGGGGATGGTGTCGACGTATTCTAACAGACTGAGGACAAAACTGTATTTCTTCTTGTTCTCGGCCATGAAACGAAAAGGGTCGTAGTGGATATCACAGAGAAGCTCGATGCTAGGTTCGACTCTCCAGTACCATTCATAGTTCATCATCAGCGGCTGGCGGAAGAAGAAGCCGGACTCGAATCGACACATGTGACGGTAGCTGACAGAGTCTCCATAAATAATTTTGCGCTGTGCCATGTCCTCCCGAACCTTGCGCGCCTTGTCCTGGTCGATATGGTCAGGGAAGGACCAATTCTCGGTTGGGATTTGGCCATAATACGTCGTCCCAGAAACTAGCGAAGTGGTGACCTTTTTGAAGGTAGCGTCGAATGGTTGGTCGTTCAAGAAAACCCAATCGTAGTTGTATCGGCGGTTGAAGCGGTCTTCGACTTGGCGGATGGAGCGAGCAATCTCCCACACATCACTGTTCCGGGCGAGGGTGACGAAGGTGGCATTCATACGAGGGCCGGGAGCGGTTCCTTGAAGGTCACCCCATCCTGGATCAGATGGCGACAGTGCCATCGGGGCCTCGGCGAGGTCTTCGACTTGCTTGGGGGAGCCGTTGGGGGGTCTCGCTGAGCCCTTTGTAGATCCGGACCCGCTGCCCTTTGAGCTGCCGGACGACACACTACCACCAGCATCGTGTACGGACTCTCCGGGCTTCGAGGATGACCGGTCTTTACCCACGCCGAACGACGCGGGGTTCAGAGGCACTCTCTCGTACGAGGAACGGGACGCATAGTATAGGACGGCGACAAACTACAGGTTGTGGAATATTCCTGTTAGATGCCAAGATGCCAATTCCACCGGGTTGCAAATGCGGCCGGACCAACAATGACTTACAAAGAAGGCGAAGAGAATGTATCTCACGATGCGCGCGCTGCCGGCGGCCATGATATCGAATGCGAACCAACGACCCGATGGCCGTCAGGAGTTTGTCGAAGCGAGTCCTCAGGTAAGACGGCCGTGGCTGCCCAAGGGCTGGAGGATTTCGCCAGCCGGAGAAGAGGACCGGGGTCCTCCAAAAGGGGGAAACTTTGTTCGCCTACTATCGCAAGGAGACAAAGAGGGTGCGGAAAGTCATCACCGGGAGTTTCGATGTGGCTGATGCAAGTCCGCTGGCACGAACCGAGTTTCTGAGCTTAGAGGGCGGGAAAAGGGTGGAGAGGAAGGAAACGAGGAAAAAATAGATTAAAAACTCGAGACGAGGAACGGAACGAGTCCGGTATAGGTAGGGTAGGGGAAAGCGGGAAGGTGAATACGAAGGCGTATATAACCGCGAGGAAAGTGCAGGGGGGGCGGGGGTCAGACTCCTGTTAGGCTATGTACCTGTACGCGACACGGGGCAGGACAGCACCTCCGGGTATTCGAGAAGGATTACGGAGGGGGGAGAGCATAGGTAGGATCGCCCGTAGGAGGGCCCTTTCTACCGGACAATAGGTCGTCGACGGGTGACGGCTCACGATAGAGACCTGATTGCATGGTCTAGTCGAGAGCAGCTTATAGTAGGTTAGGTAGGCAAAACCGAGAGCGGAAAACGGCGAAGAGACGGGCGGGTTTGGGATGAAATCTCCAGGGATACCTATTAGTTGAAACAGTTGCCAACGCGGCATACGATAACGTTACCTAGGTACGTAAGTACCTACCTACCCGAATGCTGGCATTTGCATGGCCAGACGGGGGAAGGCCTCGTCCCAACACGGCACGCAGCCTCCAGCCAACCACATGGGTACGGATGGAAGTAACAGGTGACACATCGGTACCAGCTAGGAGAACAGGTACCTAAATAGGTAATTGCAGGTTAAGCACTTACCTAACCAACACGAGGAAGGGCCGGGCCGACCTAGGTAGGTACCTGGCTATTACCTAGGCAGGTGTTACTTCCGCGCGCCGCCTCTCATCCACTAAGGTACCTACCTGTATCTACCGTACCCAAGGTACTTGCCTCGGGAACCTGAGGTACGTCAGGCACGTCAGGGACCTGGTCGGTACCTCTATAGAACTTCCCCTACCGCCTGTACCTCTTCTCCCCACCTTTTACGGATACTCATGCATGCCTGAAGGTGCCTATCTGAAGTACCTACCTCTAGGTACCCTAGCCTCTACTCATATGTATCTCATAAGGTAGACCTCATAAGGTAACGTACCTACACCTCAAGCATGTACGTAGGCTGCCTGTCGGCCACATCCAAATTTCCACCTCAAACAGCTGCCGAATGTTTGAGTTAAACAAGCACTCGACTGCCATGTAGGGTCCCGTGGGCATCTCACTTGGCAACAATCACACATGGACGGTATGCTCGTCCTTTTCATATGCCGATATGCCTCTTGGTGACTCCGTACGCCCCAACCTGTAAAAAGATAGGCTTGGCTATAACACAGATCCGGATGAGTGGCGACTGTTGCGCATGGCGTGCGAGAGTGCGCAACCAGGCATCTAGTTCCTAGCGCATGTGCTACCGGGATTCTAGAATGACATATATAGCTGTTGGGACGGACAGAGGTATGTACGGACGGTGGGTTTACGCTGACGCACAGCACTTAACGCATGCTGGAGGGCCATAAAACGTACCATCTTCGTAAATGAGGGGCCGATCCTATGGGCGATTGGACGAACTAATTTGCTAAGAGTGTTTCAGTTCTGACAACGTGGTATGCTAGGCACAAACGACTTCGCGTCGTCGTCGTGTGCAATACTTGCCCAGCCTATAATCCACTTCATGCGGATAGAATTGGCCAGATGGTTGTTACTTATGGTAAATATATTAAGTAGGGCTCGAGAAGGGAGGCACTGATGTCGGGTTCTGAGGGTGTCTAATTAGTGTTGTCTCGCTGAGGTAATCCGTCTGATGTGCCTTAGGTGCCTAGGTACTTCGCACAATAAGGTTGTTGATTGGTTATACCTACGTGTATAGTATGTGCCTCTAGGCCTCGCATCTATAGAGCATGCATTCTCTAGACGATACCAGCGAGCTAGCAGACACAGGAGTGTGTGTGCTTCGATAGGCGTATATGAGTAATCACCACACAACCCAAATTACGCGCCTGGGCAGCCAGCACCTTGGTGAATGAGTATTATCAAAATCGCTGAAATGGCCTCTGTTGGCTGGTCTGCCTACTATACCTTAGGCATGTGCTACGGGTACGGGTCATTCCGCTAAAAGAGAACGCCCCGCTCGGAGCCCAGCTTGTGGGGCTCAGCCCCTGATCTTTCGCACGTGATTGGGTTCCGCATCAATATTCTGCCTGATTCCGTCCACGCCTCCTCCGGGCTTTTTATTGGCTCGTCGCCACAAAGCGAAGACCATTGTTCCTCAATCCCACCAGATATGCCTTGCCGTCTGTGAATCGAACCAGCCTTGTAATATAGTGCGTCAACTTATCCACCTCAGAAAGCTGGCGAGCCTACCGTCTTCCTCAACCGCAAGCCGCTGTACTCTTCCATACCGGTACCTGCTTCGTTGAGGTCCGGTTTTGCTGCATCATTACGATCATTTAATAACCCCAAGGCTGCTCGTGTAGGTCTTGCGTCTCGCCAAAGCTCTGCCCAATCTGCAGGTATTTCCCCGCCGGTGTTTTCATCTCTACCTGACCGTCAACACCCCTCCTCTTCCTCGCACTCCACCAACGCCATCCATCCCCCTCTCCGCATCATGATCCAGCAAACCCTCGGCCCCATCATTTACGCATCCCCTCGGTTCTTTTAGCTGTAAGTATCACTGTCTCCCCGTTGCGTCTTCTCGTCTCGCCTCTCTTCCGACGAGTGCGTTGTGTCGCCCATTCATCATTTCATTTTGGCCCTCTTCCCTCATGAACGCTGTACTCGCCTAGGAGGCACACGCCTTGTGCGTCTTAGAATTACTCTATTGCTCCTATACCCGAATGTGTATTTACTGCATCCGCCCTCTCCGTATTGCTCCCTTGGCCTGAACGTGGGTTGTTTCCCAATAGCTGGTGATCGTGCTCTACACCCCAACTATTGCTGTGCTAACAAACTACCGTTTCGCAAGTCTTTCTATTTAGATCCTACCTCCCTCCTACTCTTTCCTCTAGAGCTCAGTTGAAACTGCAAGCATCGCAAAGCTTGCATTGTTCGCCATGTCGTCCCAGGTGAACCACTCAAGCCACGATATAACGGCTCCTGGCTTTGGCCAACCTTACGATCCTTTTGCCGACCTTTCGCATGATGCGGATGACACGGACGAAGCCCTGGACTTCGATGATACATACGATGGGCTAGGTGATCAGTTGGATGAGACGGACGACGCCTTTAACGACGACACCTTTGGTGGGGGCACCGGAGCATCCCACGCGCCCGTTGGCAAAGATTTTGATTTCTTTGGTCAGACTGCGAAAGTCGCAAATGCCATCGAGGAAGAACATCAACGCTTTAGCCGCCAGAAGCCTGTCCCTAAGACAGCGCCAACTACGTCGACGCAAAACTATAGTTCAGGATATTCGTATCAGCCAGCGCCGAAACCGGCCAGAACGGGCTATGAGAAATACAAAGAGGCTGAGCCCGTCTCTGATCTCCAGGTTGATGCCTCAATATGGGGCGTTCAGCCCAAGAAGGCCGCCGCACCAACATCAACAACCCAGGGCCAACCGGCAGGCCCTACGACAGGCCGAAAGATGATGAGCTTAGAAGAGGTCGAGGCGGCAATGAGAGCTCAGGCAAAGGCTCCTCCTCCCCAAATTCCACAGGCTCAGCCACCCCAACCGTCTTTTGGGGCCTCTCCCGAGCCTCAGACATCGACCCGGCAAGCGCACCACCCCCATCTGGAGTCTCGAGAACACCATCCTCCACCGCAACAATTTGACAATCGGCAAGCTCAAGGCCTTTACCCGCCTGGCAACCATCAGGTCACGCAAGGCCCAACCGCACACGGGCACCCCATCGCAATCTTGCAACGCCCATCTTCGAAGCAGGCCCCGCCTAGTCCTCTGCCCGTCCAGAATCAGCCACCTCCTATGGGCTTTCCGACGCAGATACTGCAAAATCCGAATCGCCTCCCCGCAGAACCTCCAAGGACGGGCGTGCCAACCCACCGACAACAGGGATCACTTTCTCACCAACCACAAGTTGGCGCAACCGCCCCTCAACTGTCTCACATGACTGAGCACGAAAAATCGGCCTTTCTCGAAGCTGAGGCAAGGCGTGCGAAGCGAAACCACAAGATTCATGTTCTGTCCAAAGACAATGGCCTAATGACTCCGCAGGATAAAAGTTTTATCACCAGAATTCAACTTCAGCAGCTCGTCTCGGCCACTGGAGATCCGAACGAGCACGGCACCGACGCCGCCCTTGCAGAGGATTTCTACTACCAGGTTCTTAGCTCCTTACGGGCGGGACAGCGACCGAATCCAAACCAACCATTGAACACATTTGCCCAAACATACCTCTTCCAGACAGGTACCCGCCATGGAGGTATGAGACGACAAGGCCGTGGTCCGGAGAATCATATGCAGCGCATGGAGCAACAAGTGCAGCGCGCCGTCGAGGCTGCGAAGAACAAGCCCAAAAACAAACAACTGGTCATCGAAGGCAGCTTGGGAAAGATTTCTTTCAGTAACGCGAAGACACCCAAACCTCTCCTAAACATTAAGAGGGCCGAAAGCAACCCCGAGACCCATCGTCCACACCCAACCTCTAAGGGGACTGATAAGAAGGAGACGCTCCGAAACATCGAGAGCGCGTACATGACTCTGATGAAGATGGAAGACCTGGCTCGCGTTATGCCTCCTTCTCCATCTGACGGTCAGCCGGATCAAGCGTTTGCCGAGCGACAGCTGGAGAAGCAGAGACTGAATGAGAAGCTGTGGAACGAGCTCAAAGTCCACGAGCCTATAGGTGCGACTGCAGTACATCCATTCATCGACTTTCTTTCCTATCCCAAAGGGAAGAAAGCTATCCCCCGCGTCTTCCAGCATCTGAGTCCCGAACAGCGTACGACTATCTTGACAATTATCATTATCCACCTGGATCAACTTGATGTTGTTCGAGGCGCGCAGGTCCAGACCGGAGAACCTCTTAGCCTTAATGCTGCCACGCGGGAAAGCATCGAGTTATTCTCTTTGGCAGTGATGCCAAGCCTCTTCCAGCTCCTCAGCGAATCAGAACTCCACATCGTCACCGGCGTGCTGGGATTGATAACCCAGAATTTAAACGTGGACCTAGTCGCACGGACACGTATCGGCGTGTCTATGTTGACTATGATTCTCAGTCGAGCGGAGCTCGTCAAACAAGCGGGGCAGGTGGACGAGCATTCCCAGCCTTGGAAGCAATGGTGAGTAACAAGGGGCGGCTGAGTAGAACTTGCAATGCTGACGAGACTTAGGACCTCGACTTTCAACCAATTTTTCAATGCCTTAGAGCCGACGCTGCCCAACATCTTCCCTGGCACCGTCACATCTGGAGAGGACATTTATGTCTGGCAGTTTCTGGCAGCCATCGGCATTGGTGCTAACCCAGTGGAGCAGCAACGATTGGTCCTAGCCGTGAAGGACCGCGTCATGGAGACGGTGGGCCTAGCGAAGACACTCCCTCCTGACATGGCCAAGCAGCGATTGGACAATGTCAACCTCTTTATGCGATCCATTGGCCTCGACGTTGAATTATTGAACTAGGCCATGGTAAGCAGACCGAAGGTCTCTTCTACTGGGCCAGCCTTGGCCCCAACGGCGGCTACATTCAGCGAATATGCTTATTCACGCCGGACGGCGCAGCTTAACGAAAAAGCTGTATGCGGCTTGATATGCGACGCAAACTGCTTACCAGGGGGAGTCATGCGAGAAGCGACAGGACCATGGATATATAGGCGGGGTCCAAATGGCGGGGTCTATGCGTATTCCTGTGAATCGTGACAACCCGGAGGTTATTGACGAGGGGAATATGAAGACGAGGCGAGATTACTTCGGGTCGGTAGCTCCCGATTGTCAAAGATGGTCTGTACGGATGCTTGATTATCACAGGGATAGGGTAATATGGCCCTACATTTGCATCACGAGCATAGTTGCCGAGAACATATAGCAGGGTGCGAGATTCCTAACACTGCTGGAAAGGACACCCGAAAATGCCAGAGGGGTAGGGTAGCTTGTAAATCCATGTTACGTAGCGTGCGGGATGATATCACCCGTGTGGTATCTTTATAGAACCGGCGAATTCTTCTATGACGCCGACTCGTAAGGAATCCTATATCCTTGTCGAGGGAACGACAGCTCCCAACCATCTACTCCTTGAATGCGACAGATTTGCCTCTCGTGTGCTTTCTAGACGGAGAGGCGGTAGCATTAGTACTAGCCCTAGCTGCCTTTGCTCTTACTGCACCGATCCCCCGCCCAGGCTCCGATTGCGGCGGCTCAACCTCGTCGGCCTTTGCCTTGAGGCCCTTGTCTCTACTGTCTTGCAGCGACTGCTGGTCATCTCTCGAACCACTGACGGCATGCAGGAACTCGGTCTCGGTCCACTGCGCCTTGTATGCCTGGAATGCCTGCTGGCCATCGTCGTCATCCGCCGCGGCGCCGGTGCCAGCTTTCTCCTTACCCTTACCTTTGTCAAGCCCAGAGCCCCTCACGCCCCTAGCATGGGCGTATAGGAGGTTGTTGGTGAACATGTTCCAGGATTTGGAGCTCTCGTCGTCCTCGTATTTGAGCTTCATCCACGGCTCCAGTTGGACCTGACGTAAACGCGAGCTCATGGTATCGACTGTCAATTCTCCGCTGTCCGTATTCGCGCTCTTGATCGACATGTGGATGGCGCGGGCGGTACCGGTACTGCCACCGGCGCCGCCGCTATCCTTTCCGGCAGGTGCCGCACCCCCCGCTCCTATAATGCCTTCTCGCGGCCGGCTGAGGCGTTCCTGTTCGGTGTGTGCGTCGAGGTGGTGAAGCTGCGGGCGCAGGTTGATGATGGATGTAGCCGGGGTGAGGTGTAACTGGTCTGCCCGACGGATGCTTGTTAGCCATCGAGTATGCGCGCTTCTGATTATATCCCGGATCGCAATCAGGAGCACCCCAGCTCACCTCCTTTAAAAACCCCCACCATCCAGCGGCAGTTCGTCTCCGTCTCGATGGGGAACTGGCCGCCTAGGGTCTGCACGCGGAGCACCTTGTCCTGGCGCACGGCTTCGCTCCAATCCAACATGCCGATCTCCTGATCCCAATCGTCCGTCCGACCTCTCCCTGCGCCTGCGCCCCCGCCAGCCCCCCCTCGCATGGGAAAGACGCCGACGCCGAAGCCGCCGGCCAGGCCCAGGCTGCCGCCGTTCCGGGAGGCGAGGCTGCGGGAGAGGGCGCTGCCCCAGCGCAAGCCCTTGTCGCGGTCGTAGTCGGCGTGGGCGTGGGCGAGCGGCACGTCGACTTCGATCATGCCGGTCTTGTTCTTGATGCGCACCTCGTTAAGCTGGCCGTACGGGGCGCGCACGGGGCCCTGGCGGTTCGGGTGCTGCAAGACGAGCAGCTTGCGATTCTCGGGCAGCGGCGCGTTCGTGTAGACGTCGTAGCTTGCGACGACGGGGTCCGCGTCGTCGTCGTCGTCGCCGCCGCCGTTAGGACTCCTGTCGTCCTTGGTGGCGACGGGCTCGGGTTGGGGAGAGATCGAGTCTATTTCCATCGGAGCCGCCATAGAAGACATGGGATTAGCAAATCGGCGAATGGCGCGGCGTGCTGAGGTCGCCGGCCGGAAAGCAAAGCCAAGGAGTCCTCAGCGTGCCGGTCCTGCGTCAGAACCGCGGAGGGTTCACGCAGATTGTGTTGGAAATATTAGGTAGGTGCAAACAGCAATCTGGAGAGGGAAAAAAGGAAAACAAAAACGGATATAGGCGCCGAAGGGGTCGGCTTTCCCTACTCCTAGTATGTGTCTGGGTAGGCCGCTTATGTTTGTAGTTGAAGCCGGATTCAAGCTGTACTGAGTAGGTCTAGGTAAGGTAGGCAATTCGCACAGTTACCTAACCTGGCCGTACGAAGTTTCTAGCGGGGCAGCCGCTTATCGAGGGCGTGGGGCTTATCGTCGCCCCCTAAGAAGATAATACAAGATAGGAGGGTAGGTCCTAAGGGACCTTCAGCCGGACGGCGAGATGCATGTAGGTACGGGTACTCAGAAAGTACTAGGCGCCTAACATAAGCCGGCTGCCCGGCTAGTACCCACCCACCCTAGGTACATACTCATACATGCCGCTACCTGAGATGAGCATGCCGTGGCCAATCACGTGAATATGTGTCGCACACAGGGCATTGATGATTGGCCCCACCACAACCTGCGATTCCCGACCCATCCCCTAATTCATTATGGAATTTGGTAGGAAGCCGATTATCATCGGGGCCTATTCATCGTCGTCTCACACATCCATGTGACGGATCGTGAGCCGTCATCTTCTTCGGTCTGGTTGCTGTTAACTGTCCCGTCTAATTGCCTACCCGTTCGGCGCTATTCCTTGACGGAAGACAGAGAGGTTGCTTTTATCCCCTCTCGTGGCAGTACGTCACGCACGATTACACAGCACTTCTTAATACTACAATCCCAGCCAGACCGTTATTTCCCACCATGGCGATATACAGCGCCGTGCCGCCTCCTCCGGAACTCACGGGCACAACGGCGAGTTCGCATCTACACCAACCGCACCAACAGCACCAGCAGGCCCAGAACCCGGGATCTCACCAATTCCCAGATTCGGCGTCGCAAACCGGCGCATCACTCTCCAACGGCGTTGACGTCGGAGCCTGGGTGGTTTCATCCGCCTTCGAATCGCTTAGTGTGTCGCCCGCTGCCTGCGGTGCTGGCAACCCGCTAGTTATTCCCCTCGACGAGCCTCTAAAGAAGCCCTCTGTGACGGTCCGAGATCCTCGCTCTGGATTGGCGGCAACTACACCGATCCCGCGCCCACCGTCCCGTCGCGACAGTCAGCATAGGCGGGAGGCATTGTTGAAGGGCAAAGAGGGCAGTCGACAGCGACGGCGCTGGGAGAACGGTACTTGCCTCTACACGCCCTCGTTCATATCCCCGAGGTAGACGGGTAACGCGGTGAATTGCAGCACTAACGTGACATTTCCTCCCGTCCTAGACCGCCTAATGCATGTTCCCAATGTCCAGCCTCCTCAACCGTTCGATTGGGAACCGCGCCCGCTCCATCCCGTCACCGACGTCCCCTACCAGATAGCTGCCGCCTGGGACCTACACGTGCGTGCCGAATTCGAAGCCAAGAGAGCGGCCGCGGCGCGCCGTAAACAGATGCTGACCCGGACGCTGGGCGACGAGCACGTCGCCGGGCGAGTGCCCCGCGAGCTGTTTCAGCGCGCAAAGAAGACGCCTGCCGTCAAGCTGTGGGTTCGCTCGCTGGAGGAGCCGGTCCGGCGGTACTTGGTTGAACATCGAATCGCGAGAGAACCAGAAGAAGCCTCTTCCGCTGAAGACGGGGCAGACACCGAAGACGACGAGATAGTATTTGTTGGTCGCAACGGCACTAGCCGAGACGGTTGGAAGAGGGCTAAGCGAGATACCGGGGGCGAGACGGTGGGAGAGGGCATGGTAGTCGACGCTTCAGGCGATGATGCCGATGGCGCCTTCAGGTATGGCCTAGAAATCACGACCATTTCAACTCGGAAGAGCTGCGATGATGCTGACACCCCTAGACGATGGATCACGCATTCCATCTCTGATTACTACGGCCTCAACTCCCACTCGGTCTTGGTGGGTGACCCAAAGCGCAAGGTAGTATACGTGCAGATGAAAACTGGGCATGTGCCGCCGGTACAAGCAGAACTCCCACGGCCCTTGTGGGAGTTGTGTTAATGAGAGTTTTCGCCGAATTCCACCGCGATGTTGCTCGGGGCCTCCACGACGCAATGTATACATTTGAGTCGTGGCACGCCAAGGAGCTAGATTCGTTGGCGAGGCGAGAACGCCTTTCCATACGCCCATATCGGTGTAGGCGGAATCGCGTATATTATTCTGTCTCTGTACCCTGACTCTGGCGGCTCTCTCGTCTCTCATCTCCCCCTAATATACCCTTGTATGTGGTAGACACCATCGCCCCTCAAATCCCTGCCTACCCAGTCCCTTGAATCTCCATTGTGAATCGGGATGTATCTCGTAACCCTGCCTCCAGAGACTCGGTACCGGCCCCCTCAAGCACCAAGGGCCCGGTACGGTTCCAAGAGCAAAACCCGACGCTGGCAGAACTCGCTATCCCTCCGACCTCGGGCAGGCTGGCGCCGACTCGGCGTGACCTGGGGTGCGGGTTCCCCGATACGAATCCTGAACGTGGCGAAGGCGCTCGAGATGCAGGGTAGTATGTCGATGTGTTACGAGTAGCTCAAGGTCGCTCTCCTCGATCCCGGGCCTGTATCTTATTCCAAGGAGGAGGCGGGGAGGGGGAACTCGAATGAATCAACTGACGACAAGCATCATGGAGGAGGACCAAGGAAGGCCATCTGACCATAGGCCTGCTATACGCCCTCCTTGCTTCGGGCAAGGGCACTCTAGGGGACTCGACAAGACTCTGGCGGCTGCTGCCACGTCAACGCCGAAGCCAATACGACGGGTGGCTGGGGCTGAGAGCAAAGCATAAAGACCCGGAAGACAAGAAGGTTATAGAGAGATACTTGCCGGCGTTCTTGTCCGTCACAGGAATTAGAGGGCGCGTGCGATACACGCCTCGGCGGTAGCCAGACAAGCCGCTCGAGGAGGAACGGGCGTGGTAGCCGAAGGCGATAGGCGGCATTCCCGTCGTCGGCCGGAACGACAGGGGACTGTCAGGGATTTATTATACCTAACAGATTCTGCCGTATATATTCCGTCACGGTCTACATTCTGACCCGGGTACGCTTCGGCCTCTGCATTTCCCCGGTGCTATGTGCGTATCATATTATCGTCACGCTGCCTCTCGCCATTCTTAGAAAAGGTGCTAGCCAGGATCTTGGTTCGCGGTGTTTATCATTCTAGATAGCGTAGCCGGAAGCACAAGCAACGACCAGAGCCCTAAGACCGTAGCAGGTTATAGAATGGCTGCTAGTGGTGATATTATAATGAGTATATCTGCACGTCATTCTCCCGCGGTGCGGGGGGGGTTTAAACGGTTATCTTGACGTAGGTAGGTAAAATCTTCTGGAGCGAGGCACCTTTATAACTAATGACTAGTTTGATTTCCTCTGTGGTGGTAACACGGGACGGCGTAACGAGGTAATTTCTCTCTAACTAACTCCTACCAGTATTGGAAGCGTGGTCGACGGGCCCGAGATTTGGCATCCAGGTACTCGTCTGCAGAGTTGGAGTATTAATAATGGCTGGGCCAACATTTGGATGTCTGGTACCATCGTCAGGTCCCTCCCGTTCAAGAATCCGGCAGGGAAATATAAAATACCTGATAGGTCGCTCGAGTGGATATGATTCGAGCGAGTTGCTTAGGTCCAATCTGCCCCCGTCTGAATAACGCACTAGGTAAGTAAAACCCCCCGAACCCTAAAAGATCCGCTTCTCACGTCAACAGCACATCGTTCTAATATTCCGAACCGACAACGGTCCGAGACCCGCTCGACTGAGCACAGCTGAAAGGCGGGATTGAAACTGCAGGTCTAACAGTTGGCCTGGACTGGATACCACGCAGGGGCTTACTGGCCGAGGTCGACACGGGAATCCGCGGTGGGGAGTCCCGACGGCGTAGAATGGGATCCAACCCCCCTTGTCTTCCCGCTTAAGAGAGGCTCTAGCTAAAAAGCCACGGGCGTTCGATACGCAGGAAGCTAATGCTCATAAATGCAGAATGTCGGTAGTAATAACGCCGAGGACTAGACGGGGGCGAGGTAGGTAACCTACATCGGCCAACGTAATAATCCCAGAGCCTCGTCCTCCATCGTGCTACCTCCGTCTATTCGGACCTACTCCAGAATCCTCATGTGCACGTGGGTTCAGGTACTTTTCCGCCCAGAACCCGGTGTAGGCAATTAATCTGCAGCCCAAGCAGAGGTTCCGGCTGCCATGTCGGTTGTGAGCGGCTGGATGCAGTCTATGATCTCACGGCGATAAACCGCATCCACTCCTGCTACAACTGAAGCCCACGAGTCTCCGCCAAGACTGGCATTCAGCTCCTATAGCCACCGCCGTTATTACCATGTATGACCGTTGGGGGAACTAATCGCTGCCAACTCACTTTCTCTCGGGGGAGATGATCTCTAGACGAGTAATAGGTTGGTAATAATATTGCTCCCGTGTGACTCGTCAGCCATTAGAGGATTCGAGTCTGGCGGCTCTGCGCGACCTCCGAACCCCCGCACCCGGACTTGATTACCTATACCTACCTATCCCAGGTCAGCCGCCGTACACACATGAAAGTGGTTGTCTAGGTCAGATCAGAGTGCAATAGGTGGCAGATATCAAATGGCGCGCTCCCGGTTTCTCGGCATGATAGCTTCCTGGTGACGTGTTGCCAGTGTCTTACTCATGAACGGTTGCTCCTCCCTACGGAGACCACCGTATAATAAATTCCGCATAACATGGTAGCCCTCCTAAAGTTGCACACTACTAGCCAGACGACTATTCCGAGTGGGGAGGGGGTGTTGATGCATGCCTTACAAAATTGCAGTCTTGTCTCCTTGGCAACTGTGGTATGGGGATTAGTCCTCGTGAAGAGAATCCGGTGTACCGTCGCTAGGTATAAGACATTGACTAAGTTGGTAATGGGGGCAAGGGGGCTAGTAATCGCCGAGACTTGGGCTTAAAGCCTCTACGGCCCATAGACTCCTGCCATTTATCATCCCTTCTATCTTGCTTTTTTCTTTTGGGGGGAACGAGGGGGAAGCCGGAGAGGTCGGGGGAGGGGAGGGGAGGGGAGGGATCCGGGGGCCGGATCCTTGGTTATCGTTGTTGGTGCTTTCATGGTTTGCCTTTTGATAATCTCGATTTGATAGTGTGGTCTACAGCGCACCGTGTGAAGTATGTGGTGAGATGCTCACATGCCTGACCCTCCTCCGGCGTAGGAATGCGTGCTTTGGGTTTGGGGTACTACGACAAGATATACCCAGATTCGGTGTCGATTGGCTGCAGCGTCCTTCGGAGACCTGTGTAGTGCTTCGCCGGGGCCAAGAGAGGGCCGCTTCTTTTATATAGAAGCGCGCACTCCTCTAGGGCAGGAATTTACGTACATGTCGGTGCGCACTGTGTCCGGAGGAATGCAGAGCGTGGCACAACGTTAGGACGGACATTGGCCATATGGTAATAATCGCCCGCTACAATCCAGAGATGGCATTGCAGGTCGCGAAACTGTGTGGCTGAGCCGAGACACGATCCGGAATAATGACGGTTGACTGGAATTTCGTCAGTTCCGAGGCCAACGATTCACCTTCCACCCACCTCTTGTTCCTCCCACAGTCCGCTAATACTAAGAGGGCTGAGATTCTTAAGCGTAAGACACCGCGAATTACCGCCTCACCCCTTGTAGTGCAAGGGCACGGATACTCGTAACCCAAACATGTGTTGCTGGCTAGAAAAGCGCAAAGTGATCCGGTGCTTTCGCCTTCCAATCCTCCTGAACATTATGAGATAATAATTAGCTTGTCGCGCGGTAAAGTTATGCAGGGTCTCATCCTATCACGACACTGGTCGGGTTATCCATAGTGACTTGCCTCGTGCTGGGCAAGCCTGCGCTCCGGAGCTCCCCTGTGCGCCGGACCTCGAGGACGAGTTGTTTCAGCGCCTCGGCTTCCGGACAATTAAGCCAAGACTGGCTTACATGAAGTATGTTTACTTCTCGGATAACCCCTTCCTTGCAGTGCCATGTCCGGCGTGCTGCTTTCGGCATCTCTCCAAGATTGTCCGTAAAATTGCTCTCCAACTGGGGGCAGATGTGTCCGTAGACGATGTGCACACTATTACCTATTATATAGCGAGTGCCTACTACACCCACCTGGTCTGAGTTCGAGCCTCCCTTACAACCATCCCATCCGCATCCCCAACATCCTATCGCTAGATCTGCCTCTCTGTGTGTTGTGCACGAATCGTCGTCTACCGGATACCTCTTTTTTCAGATACCCCTTCGCCCCGCCCTCAAGATGCCTGGACTCACTGGTCAAACGAGCAAGTACGATGCCATTCCCGGCCCTCTAGGTTTAGCGTCTGCCTCTCTAGCGGGCAAGGTTGCCCTCGTTACCGGTGCCGGTATGTGCTTTTGAACATTCGCCAGCTTCGTTCCTTTCTCTTGTCCTTGAAATACGCCGACCTCGTGATCCCACGCTGGCATCTCGAACCTCGGGCGTGGCGTGTCAGTCGTCCCTCCAGGACGGCTGCCAGTAGCATGCTGGGACCACAGTCGGAACACAGCGCACGTAGCGGCTCTAACAGGGTCCGACGGATTCACAAGCAGACAGGCCTGGTTTTCTAGACGGCTCCCGTACTCCACGAGAGCTGTCCTCGAAATGGATCCGCAATGGGGTTAACGGCTGGCCTGAATACTAACACGTGTTTGTAGGCCGTGGCATTGGTCGCGAGATGGCTCTCGAGCTGGGCCGCCGTGGAGCGAAGGTTATCGTGAACTACGCAAACAGCTCAGAGTCGGCCGAGGAGGTGGTGCAGCAGATCAAGAAGAGCGGGTCGGACGCGGTGTCGATCAAGGCCAACGTGTCGGACGTGGATCAGATCGTGCGACTGTTCGAGGAGGCAGTCAAGGTGTTCGGCAAGTTGAACATCGTCTGCTCCAATAGCGGCGTGGTGTCGTTCGGGCACGTCAAGGACGTGACGCCCGAGGAGTTCGACCGGGTGTTCAGCATCAACACGCGTGGGCAGTTCTTCGTGGCACGCGAGGCGCACAAGCACCTCGAGGTCGGCGGGCGGCTCATCCTCATGGGCAGCATCACGGGCCAGGCCAAGGGGGTGCCCAAGCACGCGGTGTACTCTGGTAGCAAGGGCGCTATCGAGACCTTCGTCCGCTGCATGGCGGTCGACTTCGGCGACAAGAAGATAACCGTCAACGCGGTCGCGCCCGGCGGCATCAAGACCGACATGTACCACGCCGTCTGCCGGGAGTATATTCCCGGCGGCGACCAGCTGGACGACGAAGCCGTGGACGAGGTGAGTTTTGAGTCTCTCCCAAAAGCCGCCCGGTGCTTGGGTATAGGTATACGGGGTCGACGTGGGTAGATGGCTAAGATGGACTTCTTTACTTAGTATGCCGCGACGTGGTCGCCTCTGGGACGAGTCGGCCTCCCCATCGACATCGCGCGCGTCGTGTGCTTCCTAGCGTCCCAAGACGGCGAGTGGGTCAACGGCAAGGTGCTCGGCATCGACGGCCACGCGATGATGTAGACGACACGACGGCAGCCAGGATAGCATGTTAGAATGCAAGCATTAGGGGTCTTGCGATGCGGGTGGAGAGAAGGCTGGGGTTAACCGCGCGACACTCGCTGGGCCTACCGTTGGGCAGATGTATTACTTCCCTAGACAACAAGAGGGAGAGGGGGGAGAGAGAGGAGAAAGGAGGGGGAAGAAAGGAGAGAGGAGAAGGAGGGCAATCCAGCGAGCTGCGAACAGGTCGAAGCTGCGAGTGTGTGTACCAAGAAGCAGTGCACGGGATCGCTTATCCCTCTCTCGGTAGGGTAAGCCTCGTGGCGTGTAATAGACGTTCGAGGTAGCAGCGGTGAGGTGATTTTGCGGGGAGCGGTTGGGAGCACGGCAGGCTCGTGGGACGGAACACGGTGCAACATAGACCTACCTAGGTACCTAGGTACCTGCTACCTCTTACTACCTAAGGTACCTCCTACCTAGACCTCTAATTAAAGAGAGTGCCCTATATTCTCGTGTACTCTAGGTATCTTGGGCAGCTTAGGCAATTGCCTACCTCAAGAGCAAGCAATTACTTTAGGTACCTAATTGGCACCTACCTCCGTAGGTACGAACCCTATTAGATACAGGTACCTAAGGTAGGTAGGTACCTACCTAGGTACATTAGGTACATACCCTACAGTACCCAAGGGAATTAGATCGGGCGTCTAGCAGTTGCCCCTAGCGCGTCAGGTGCTCTTTCCTTGCGCACACCCAACAACACCAAAAAGCAATTACGCCCCCAGTTCGTGTCCAAGGTGCGGTGCAGCCTGCCTACGGTGCTACGGTGCTACGCTAGGAGGTGGGTACCTAACCGGGGCGGCCAGCCGAATTCGGTGGGTCAAGCATCATCCGTCCGGATCTCTATGTCCACCCCGTTCCCCCGATATCGTAAGTCCTAGCCGCACATAGTCTTATCCGGCGGACAACGATTTCGATGTCTACGTTGTGATAAGTCCGATATCAGGGAGTGAGGTTCTCACGACGGGATTTTGCGCAACTCACCCAGCCAGTCGATCGGAAAGCATCTAGGTAGGTAGGTAGGTAGGTAGGTAGGTAGGTAGGTAGGTAGGTACCTAGGTAGGTAGGTACCTAGGTAGGTAGGTAAGTACCTAAGATAGGTACCTACGGTAGGCAACTGCTAGCTAAACCCCTGTGAGAGAGACGTGAGGTAGGTACGTGTACGTCTCGTCTCGTCTCCCTCTCGACCGGGCCTCTCGTGCTTCGACTTACACGTCTATATCCGGTGGCACTTTGTAATACTTGGCTGGATGTAAGATATACCCACCTTGTAAGAGCCTGCTTCTCCGTGCCACTCCTGCCCGAGCTGGCACCTGCCCCGGCGTATATAAATACCGAGCCTGGACTTGTCGTGGGATCCCTTCCTAGCAATAGGCACACTTTGGTTTTGGAAGATCACACTTCACACCTACCATCTTCTCCCCGTATCCTCGAGCTCTTGGTGAGTGAACCTATCACGTCTACGATTGTTGCTGTCGTTGCTGTCGTTGTTGCTGCTGCTGCTATACCACTATGAATACCTCTCTCCCAGCACCTAATGGGTTGTCGGATCGGGTAGGTCCAGAGGCGTCCCAGACGAACGGTGAGACCTCTCCACCGGACGCGGCCTTTGGCGAGAGGTGTGAATTCATAGCATACCACGAGATCGTGAAACACGGCCAAACCTCGACGGAGCCAGCCTCTGATCCCTTTGGACGGTATGACTCGGGCAGCCAGGACGGCGCCTATGCTCTGGTCATCCGAAGGAGATTTCAGGAAAACGAACCGAGTAGGACTGCGCTGCAGGTCAACTCCCCCTTCATCCGAAAAGCCTTCCGCGAGGTCATCAAGTCGTACGTGGCCGTGCCCTCTGATTTTACCTCTACCGTCGAGCTTCACAGCCCCTTCGGGATGCTAGTCCACTACTGGGACGAGCTGGAGGCTTACCGGCGTTTGGCGACCGACGTCATCGAGAGGGAGCATCTCGGTCTGCTCTTCGAGTTCATGGAGCACGAGGTCAAACCCCAGCGCGAGCGCGCTCTCAAGATGATACAGAAGTGTCAGATCGCCTACGACAACGCCTGGATCATCTACCGCCCCGGCGACGTCATGTACGTCGAGGTCGAGGGCCACCCCTGGCTAATGGTCTGCCGGAAGACGGCCTATGAAGTGGACCACGTGTCGGGTCCCTATTTTGAGGTGTGCTGCTCGTATACGGACGATAGCGGCGTAACGACGGGTCAAGCTGAGCACATCATCGTCATGAACCAACGTGCCAAATTCCCCGCCGGAAGCGCTGTGCTTATCACGGACCTCGACGTATACCCTCGTACGTTCGCCCGAGAAGGCGATAGTCTCGAGGCCCGTCTCAAGGTTCGCGGGGAAAAGTTCCTCTTGTTGAAAGACACGACTACTGTAGCATATGGTATGTTTAAGAATTGTTTCATTGTATAGCGATCCAGACGGATCTAGTCACCAGTCCCTCTTTCACTTAGAACCCTTCATACTCACGGTGGCACCTCTTCCCACTCCCCTCGCTCCCCTCTACTTGCACATTCGGTGTTGCCTCTCTCTCTCTCTCTCTCTCCGGGGAGGAAAGAGAAAGGCAAGGGCGTTGGGCAAATTCAAGGCTATATCCAAGAATACTAGCGCGTGAATACAGACGGTGCTGCCGAATGGCTCAAGGAGCCGCCCTACGATTACTACGACCCATCGCGGTGCAAGTTCCGCGGTGTCTGGCTGCCGTATACCGAGACCGGGCGCGTCGTACTCGACCGAAAGACCTTCGGTGAGGAGCTGCCCCTAGGCGCTGCTAGGGTCAAGAAGTCGGATCCGGACCCGGTCCAGTGCCCGCCGTTCACGCTGGGCTACTCGCTCGGGCGGAAGCAGTGGTGCCGTTTCTTTGTAGATAACATCCGTGACGTCGAGTGGAGCCCGAACGCGTGGGACTCCCTCGTGCTCCTAGAGAAGGAGAAGCATCTGCTTCGCGCCCTCATCTCGTCGCATGCGTACTCGAAGAACCCGCGCGAGTCCATGCAACAGAAGGGCAAGGGGCTCGTGATCCTGCTTCACGGAACGCCTGGTTCCGGTAAGACGCTCACAGCAGAGACCGCTGCCGAGGGGTCTCGGAAGGCGCTTGTTTCGACCTCCGTCGGCGACCTCAACAAGGGCGGCAAGTAAGACATCTGTGCTTTGACCATGAGGTAGTATTGTCGTTGTTGACCTAAACCTAGTATGCTTACCGGTTTGGCTTCGTTTGAGAAGGAGCTGAAGAAGATCCTCCAGTACGCAACAGTATGGCAGGCGGTGGTTCTTATCGACGAGGCCGACGTGTTCTTGGAGGCTCGGAAGGACGTCGGTAACTCGGAGCGTAACGTATTGGTTGCTGGTGAGGTTTATCCAATACCGAAAAACGACGACCTATAGCATACCGCTCTAACGCAAAACGTGCATGCAGTCTTGCTTCGAGAGCTCGAGTACTTTAGTGGGATTGTCTTTCTGACCACGAACCGCGTTAACTCGTTCGACGTAGCCATGAAGTCTCGGATCCACCTCTCCCTCAGCTACACGCCGCCCGAGACGAAGGTGCGCCGGTCGATCTGGCGGAAGTGTCTCGAGACCGTGCTCGCCGACGTCAACGAGGTAGACATGCCGGAGACTCTCAGCCTGCTGGCCGCCGTCGAGCTGAACGGCAGGGAAATCGCGAACTCGGTAAACACGGCGAAGACGCTGGCACGGTTTGACGAGGCCCCCCTCAAGCTGGGCCACATCCTCATGGTTCTCGAGGTGCGTCAAACCTTCGACCAGAGCTTTCGCGCCGCGACCAAGACTCCGTGAACACGGTTATTACACTATACAGCTTTCTATAAATTCGGAGCATATGTGTTATAGAGAGTTTCGTAGGACGGACTGCATGAGGTGATGCGAAGTGAAGCGTATTATATAAACTCTGGGGTGGGTCACGTTGTGGAGAAAGATGGCAGACTGCTTTGCTACTATATCCCTCTCGGCTTCCTCTATTTGGAGCCTTTCATATACGAAAGATCACTTATCTACATGGTCGGAGGGCTTCGGCGATTTAGTGCATCTTAGCTAGTATAGGCGCGCACGAGTTAATACATGCGTCGTTGCATTTAAATGCCGATACTACGAGAACATGACACGCTACTTCGAGAGTACCGCGAGATTGGTTTCTGTTGTGCTACCCTGCGTTTATGATGCCGTGTCCCAACTTCTTGGTCCAGCGGCGAGCGCGTGTCTCAAAGCCCCTCATTCTCTCGTGTTATCTACATAGCTAGCGAGTAGCCTGCAGAAAGACGCCGGCATCTTGCTGAGCGACACCCGGGTCCTGCGGCCACTCGTCCAGCACGAAAGGCTCGCCAACGAGGGTGAAGTTCCACGTAGCCTGCGTCGGCACATCGACGAGCAGGCTGTACTCGCCGGGATACAACACCAGGTTTCCGTCCTCGTCCCGACGTCCTAGGCTCCCTAGAGTCAGCGCCAGGCTTGCCACCTGCTGCTCGCCGGCGGCAACGTCGTGCAGGCGACGGTAGGCGACGAGCCGCTTGATAGGGTACGGCTCGGGGCCGTGCGCGCCGCTGAGAAAACCGAGGACGACGAAGTCTGACGTCGCGTTTCCGGTGTTGGACACCTGCACGTCCACCGTCTGGAACGGGCAGAGCTCCTTGCGCGTTTCCTCCTCGGAGCAGGCGCCGGCGAGGTCGGCGACGTCCCACCTTTCGTCGTCGTCGTCGCCGCCTCTCGCGATAGACGCGTCGAAGGTGGTGTAGTGGAGGCCCCAGCCGAACGGCACGGTCGCCTGGTCGTACCACATGTACGTGCGGCCGGGGTTGCCGGTCCGGGCGTCGGGCCGCAGGCCCATGTCCGTCATGGGCACGTCGTCGACGTAGCGCGCCGGGTACTGCGTCACCGGCAGGCGCCCCGCGGGGGCGGCTCTGCCCGTCAGGATGTTCATGAGCGCGTCGCCGCCCGCTTGGCCCGGGTAGCCCCCCCACACGATCGCCGAGACGTTGGCGTTGTCGAGGAAGGGAGCGTCGTCGAGCTGGCCGCCCATCTGGAGAATAACGAACGGCTTGCCGAGGCTGGCTAAATGCGTCACGATGTCGATGCGCTCCCCAGACCAGCGGATTAGCGTACGGTCTTTTTCCTCAGCCTCGGTTTTGAGCGTAGGGCCGTCCGCGTAGATGACCACATCCGCGGCTGCGGCAGCTTCGAGAGCTTGGGGGTAGCCGTTGGTTGTGGGGTCTCCCGGAATACCACCGTATATGGCGTTGACGTTGGGGATTTGGCTGGCTGCGAAATACGGAGAGTGTAAGTATTTGGCAGTGCCGTAATAGTTTCCTTGCATATCTGTCGTGGCGTTGGCCCAACTGCCGATCAGGGCAATAGTTAGGTTACTGCTGACCGGAACTTGGATAGGCAGAGTGCCGTCATTCTTGATCAGCACGATCGATCGTTCTGCGGCCTTCCGAGCGAGTTCTTCTGCGTCCGGAGTGAAGACATCGGAGAACTCCAGTGACCTATAAGGATTGAACTCTCCCGGGTCGAAGTAACCCAATTTCATAAGACCTGCGTAGATTCGCGAGATAGCCGTGTCGAGTGCATCATCATCAATAAGGCCTTCCTCGTAGGCAGAGGGCAGGTGAAGGCCATAATACTCACCACAGTCGAGATCTGTGCCCGCGAGGAGGGAGCTAGCGGCAGACGCCGAACGAGTCTGGCGGTACTTGTGAGGCAGGTAGACGTTCTGGATAGAATCGCAGTCCGAAACCACGTATTGGTATTCGCGCGTCCAATTCCAATGATCTCTCAAAATGTCTTGCAGAATGTAAGAGCTCGAGCAGGCGGGAACACCGTTGAGGGAGTTATAGGAGCACATAATGGACCCGACATTTGCTCGCGCGCAAGCCTCAAATGGGGGCATGTAATACTCGGCCAATTCCTGGGGAGTTACTCGGGCGTCGAACTCATAACGCTCATTTCCGTGCCAGTCCTCGATGTCATACGCGACAAAGTGCTATAGCCAAAATTTACTCAGCACCTCTCAGACGTGGTATACCGAACGAGAACTTACCTTGCAAGTTGCCACCACCTTAAGCACATCGGGATCCTCCCCGCCTTGAAGACCTTTCACTACCGCCCTCACATACGAGCTGAGGTGATAGGGATCTTCGCCAGGCGTCTCCTGACCCCGGCCCCATCTGGGGTCGCGATATGGGTTGATGTTAGGAGTCTACGGCGACATGTTAGTACCCACCACAAACGGCCTCATAACAACAGTCTAACATGTATTCTGTCTCCTGATGTCGGGAGTATGTATGTATGCGTCCTAGCACCAGTTCGCGAGATCGACAAAAAAGGAAATAGATCCAAAGATGCTCACCCAGTAGTCTAAACCCGATCGGTTGAAGTTGTTGAACGCCCGAGCTTCGGTGCTGACGACTGTCGCAACGGCCTCGACGAGGTCGTCATCGAAGGAGGCGCCCAGAAGAATCGGTTGTGGGAAGGATGTGGCGTAAGAGAAGTCGCCAGATTCCGCAAATTTCACACCTGGTGAATGCGCAACACCGTGTAATGCCTCCTCTAGAATTAATTAGCACCAAGGCTTTCACGAATCAGCTAATACAAGGAAGGAGAAAGGAGAGGGCACTCACGCCACCACTCGTAGCTGGGCAGGCCCAGCCTCTCGGCACCGGGCGATGAGCTGCCGAGGAGTTTGAATTTCTCCTTCGTCTCGAGGGCCGAAACAAGGGCCTGGACTCGTTCACCGATCGATAATGTCGCGTTACAGACGTTATTACTGCTCAAGGGCCCACTGATACAATCTGGAAAGACATGTCCGGCGGCAAAGGCCCCCGGACTCATCAGCAGCAGAATGAATCCCCAAACGAACGCCATTCTGGCTCTGACGGGTCTGTCGAAGGCTCTGGGTTTGGACTCTCTACACATTGGATGGATCCGAGTCCCATCTTTATAGACTTTCCGGGCGGCGGTACACTATGGATCCTCTTCTCTTCCCCGCATTGACGTTGCAGGATGATCCGACCGACTCCAGATCACGGCCACGCGGGCTCCAATCGAAAATATGGGAAATCTGGGTATGCTTTCTGCAGAGGCACATCGGACTTGCGGTCCGAGACATGTCTAGGCCGGATTGGCTATATTTGGGGACTGTAAGTGCCGGACGCGTTCTCCGACCTTTTTCCACGCCCAAGGAAACATGAGGGAGTAGGCGGGAAACGTACTTGGAGATCTAACAAGGAACGATCGCTTGATGCGTAAACTATGGGGCTGTTGTATGGGGCTGTTGGGTGGGACTGTTGGATGGGACGATTGAGCTCTTTTGCTGGATGAAAGTCGAATGTGCCCCGTCGGTGAGCATCTTGGTTGCAATTGAGATTTTAGCGTAGTGGCCCATGAAGATGGCACAGGGTATTTTCGAGAAAGGACTTCCGGTGAATGGGTCAAGGGCGCCTGGTGAGCTTTTATAAGATAAGACCCCCCGAGCGGGCGGAACTACCGTTTAGCTAACCGCAAAGTTGGATAAGGAGTAAGTCTGGCTCGGGCAGTTATCGATGTCATGAGAAGAAGGCCGCCCATCACCCGCCGTGCTTTACGCTCGCGAGAACCGAATTGGTTTCCAGAAAATATGGCATATAAGCTGTAAGCTGATCTGAGCGATGGGGGAGACTTCACAGCGGCCTTTTGTCATCACTTCAGCAATCTGAATACTGAAATGTGTACGCCCTAATTCTTAGGGTGTTGCCGAAACTAAAGAATTGTAATGTCTCCCTGATGGCCATAGAGTTCTTGGATGCCACAGGTACACTTCTCACTGCAATCTCCAATGTGCTTCCGTACGCGCCTACGGACGGTGCCTTCTTTCGGAACGCCCACCAGTGGTCTTGATGTTGGGAACGCCCAGATCGATGGCCATGGCAGGCCCCCTAGGTTTGGAAGCTGCTCGAGGTCTTTCTCAAGCTGCTTAATAACAACCGAGTTGCATGTTAAGGTGGTACGCTCGCTCGCCCAGCCGTACGAAAACACTGACCTCCCGGGGTTTAAAACGGCCTCCAGCAGCTTCTTAATAGGAGCCGTGAAGCGGTCCTGGCAGCCGTTTTCATTTGCGTCAACAATCCTGATCGGTAGCTGAAAGCAGGATGGAACTTCGTGGATGGATAATAACTGTAGCTCCTTGACCCGTTGGTCTTGGGGCTTTCCAGGATCAGAACCAAGTATCAGATGCGCACGAGCCTTCTCGGATGCGGTTGCCAACGTGTCGACGATGTGAGAGAATGTTTCTGCCGCGTCCTTGGTGCAGACGAGCTTATGGCTACCTATCACGGGATAAACTAACGAGAGTATTGACTGTTCACTTTCCAGATCTGCATGATCATTGTGCGAATGGCTAAACCAGGGCTGCTTCGTGACCGTAGTATGAGAGAAATCCGACGCAAGAGCAACTAGAAGGGAGGTATCAATGTTCAAAACCTCGGTGAAGTTTGCTTTCGGGCTAGGGGCCATCGCATGTAGGACGGCATCAGAGAGAGGCGGAGCTGGTGGCAGGTCATCGCTACAGAGCAATCCGACGCCCAGCCGACGGCAAGACCCCAGCACCATGTCGATCTCAGGGTGCTCACCAAGTTTAATACGCGGCAATACGAGAAAAGGATTTGGGCTTTTCGCCTGGATCCGATGCCCCTTGGCGGCATTTGCTAGATTCCTGGCAAGCTTTAGAAGAGGAATATCGGCGTAGTCTAGATTAACGGGGTCGCCATCATCCTCGTCGTCGCTACCTCCGCAGTATACCGCTTCTTTCGCCATGTCGAAAAGCAGCCTCTTATTTGTCATTGAAGAGACTTTGTACCACGAGTGGCCCCCGTCGGCAATCACATCAATCACGAAACTGCCCGACCGGAAGGACTGCGATTCGCCCTGGGTTCGGACGATACGTGTCCCTGGTGCCATGATCGGTTTCTTAAACGGGCCAATGGATACAGCACATCGCAACTTGACGATATCCCGGGAACGTTTTGCCGTGTCCCACACGGGCTCTAGGAATGGAACATTTGATGACTGGCTGCTGTGCAACACCGAGGGGCGTGTCGATCCGAGGTCACGAGCGGCCCGCTCGATGCTGTCCGCTTCGGCACGGAGATCGCTTGCAAACGACGAATGTATGTAGGCAGGCATCTGTTGAAAGTAGCCATCGTATACCTCGGTGAGGTGGACCGCAAAGCGCTCGAGTTCGGATTGTAGTGTTCTTACGCGATTGAGCAGAGCAGAGGTCGCAGCTAACCTAGCGGCGTGGTCTCGTTCGAGGTCGGCCGAGGGATGGTCGTCTGTTAACAAGACCATAACGAGAACCGCGGCCTAGGGCATTGGAGAAAGATGAGGTCTTGTGGTGTCGTAGGTCGTAGGTTGTAGGTAGTGAAGGCTCAGCTCTACGCCAGCACGACGACGTGGGGGAGTTATGGGGCGCTGTGCGTTACCTAATGCACTGCGAGGTACCTAATATGCCCGCCAAGGTACCTTGAGTACTTGTGCAAGGTTGGCACCCCACACGCGCGAAAATTCCTGAATTGCTTCAATAACCACCCTTGTACCTAATATTGAATAGGAGATACCTAACCTCCTTTATAGGCATCTTTAGGTGCCTCGTCTGCCTCATAACGATCGATGCACTCAGCACCTAAGGAGCGCCTCTGCCCTTTTGCCTTGTAGCACGATGTGCTCACGGACTTAGGTACTACGACCAAATATACAACTAGCTGACCTGCTGTTTTGCTTCGTAGGTACTGATTTCGATTTCGATGTGGCACGATTCCAGGTTGTTATTATTGCTTCTGGGTGCAATAAGATGAATTGCCAGCGCGGAGTACCGATTTGGACGAGACTTCCTCCCTCACACAACCTACTCTGATTCTTTCCACAGCATCGAAATGGGTCCGAAGAGATACTCATTAGTTTCAAATAATGACAGGCAGCCGCCTGACGCGTCTCTGTCTTGTGACATTCTCCCTCGGACTCTCAAGGACCGTACCACTTCGCATAATCATCTGTGGTGCGGGGATCGGAAGACTGTCGGCCGCAGATTACCCGCGTGCCCGTCACGACGTTACTGTCCTCCAGCAAGGCCCCCTCGACTTCGCAGCCAATGACTACGGACTAGTAGTAGCCTCTAACTCTTCCAATCTTTTGCAGAAGGCCGACGTTAAGCTAGAAAATACTAATCTAGTGGATATTACGCATGTCTAGCTACGAGGTCTAAAGAATGGGGAAGTAAAGGCTTAATATGAAGGCCGGATTTAGTGCAGCTCCATCTATCTTCCGCAAGAGAGCTAAGCTACAAGGGGAATTTCTGAGGTTTACCACGAGCACCGAGTCTGCCGGGACGCTAACGAAAGTCATAGAGAATGCCGAGGGGACCAGTGTGGATTCGCTTGCTGGCAAGGCGTGGACAGAGAGGTGGCCGAATCTTCGAAGGCAAACTCATTATCAGAGCCGACGATATCAACTCCGTGAGGTTTACGACAGAGCTACCCGCTCAGTAAGTAATATAAAGTCGAGAACCGAAGCTTTCTATTATCTCCCCCTAGATTGCGAATTTCAAGATTCACCCAAGTATTCTTCGTAAACATTCACGAACAGCACTATGTCCCGGAAACTGCGAACAACAGTCAGATATGACACGAGGTAGACGGCAGTTTAGCAATTAACGGCAGCGGCCCTGTTTCCCCATCCAAAAGGTGCCCTCGACCTCCACAATATCGTCGTCGTTCAGCCTGCCCACCTCCACGATTGTCCGGGGAGGGTATTTTCTCGGGTCATCTCCCCAGAGCTCCACCTGCACCTGGTTACACATCGGTCGGTATCGAAACATATCGGTCACGTAGACGACGAGCCGGACACAGGAGTTGAGATCAGACCCAGCCATCTCGGCGAGGGCGGCCATGTTTTGGTAGGCTTGCCTGATACGAGCAAGTCCCACTGGAGCAAGCGTACTGTTTGCTGGATAAATGCCGCGCATTCCTGGTAGAACTGGTGAGCAAAGACGACAACGTTCACGTTCGACACTGCGGCCATCTTGGACCAGGGTGGGGTCTCTCTATACCAGAAATATATAGTGTATCACCTGCGACAGACATCAAGCTCCATGGACCAGTGGTGTTAAAGAAACTGGATGGATTGAAAATCTGCACTCCCGATGGTGACGTGTAGTTCGCCTGAAGCTTCGCGTAGGTGGTTGGCATTTGGGCGAGGAGCCCCAGGATGCAGTGGAAGAGGCGGATTCGCATCTTTTCATCGACCGCGCGTCACAGACAGTTAACTTCCGATGCGTAATCCGCAGTGTTTAGCCCAGGGTCGCACGGCTGGCATAAATAAGAAAAAGAAAAGCATCGTCAAGGCACGTATGGCAAGCAGCTATTTAAATGCGATATTGGAACCACGATGAGTTCTCGTTTTCAATCGCCTTAGCATACGTCATTACACCCTGTCAAAGCTCGATTCCGGTATCTTCGATCCGACTTATCTTAGCACTCATATTAGCCAGCACCCAGGTAGACCCTTATCTATGCAAGTCGAACTATTGACACAGGATATCGATCATCTAAACCCATCACGGCTAATCCTCCAAGACTAACATGCAAAGCTACGGTAGGTATAATCAATAGATTATTGTCAACTATCATTGCTGTGATGAAGAGTCCCTGCTCTAGGTGGTAGTTTCTCACTATCCACGGTAGGCTGGGGTGCGCCTATGGGCGGCGCATAAATGCTTGTCTGTGTCTGTCTTCGTCTTGAGGAGGCGGCCAGCGAACAGGACGGGGCTTAGTAACGAATCTCTAACCCTTTAACGGCTGGTATAGGCGAAAAAAGAAGCAGAAAGTTCGAATATTAGTAGCTGTAGGGATGCCGGTCGCGAATTGCTTTCGATGCAAATGATTGCTTTCCAAATGGATGCGAGGGAAGAAATCTGTCCGTCTTTGCCGGCTACCTTGGACGCATTTATTATGGCGGACCGCAACCGATGAGGCCTCTCCACGTCCTGTGACAATTTTGAGTGGATACGGAATACAGAAAGTATAGGGGGGCTATGAAGCTCTAAACACCTCACGTCAAGCGGAGTTGCTATAACTCCTTCAGTTACACGTTCGCTACGTTAAGCTTCAGACCTCGAGCCACCAGGACATCTTCATACTCGACCAAAGAGTACGCGCTAACACTAGAGACTAAACGGACTTGATACTCCGACGGCACCGGACGAAGAAACCCGTTCCCATGCGCGCCGGGCCCGCTCGATGACACATGGCAAAAAAGAAAAATAAAGTAAGAACACAAATGAAGTAAAAACATCTTAATGCCCGGAGATTCGTATGAAACAGCACTGCTCAAAATAATATACACAACCTCATAGGCCTCTCCCTTATTCTATAGGTAGGTAGATGCCGCAACTCACACGGTGGCCCGATGGACATGCTATGTGTGTAAAACGTAGAGACCTATATTCTATCACTCGTAGTATGTTGGTATATAAGGGCTGATTCCACACGTGGCATTATGTTCTAATGAAACTAGGAGGAACCTCTGACCCTATTTGAGGCTCTCCCCAAAGGCTATCTTCCTGATGTATTACACAGTGACATAAAAGGAATCACGTGCCTTATGGACCAGTTATACCTAGGATATTCAAAAGATGGTCTTTGGGTTTGTCAAGGGTCTATTTACCTAAGATATGCCGGCTGATTATTATCAGACATTATTAGGGGGGAGTGGTGTGCTAGGCAGGACAGGGCACTACACCAGTAGGTACTCCCGCCTTTCCAGCTCTATGGAGGTGAAGTCGTCCTAGCCGATTGGGATAGTTTGCAGCGCGGTGCGCCACTTACCGGTGTATGGAATGTCATCAATCCTCCCATTCCGAATGCGACACCGCCTGAAGACCAAAGACAAATTAACCGAGAAGTGGGGGAGGCGTAATACGGCAGCCGGGGTTAATATTGGAAAGGTCGACTAAGTCCGCTACCTCGCCGTAAGACGAGATATTTTGCGAAGTATCTACAAAAAGACGCGTGTAAAGAGCCTCAAATATAAGTATATGTCAACGGAAACCCCTAAAGATGGAACCGGAAGTGAATATTGTGGTAGGCTGCGCTCAAATAATCTTATTTCTCCGTGCGTATCTCGCTAACAAATCCAGAACGCACCTGTTAAGTCAGCTATATGTCTAGACGTGATAGTCATAGGTGCTGGGTTAAGCGGTCTCGGGGTCGCTATCGCAACTGCGCTCTCTGGCCACCGCGTAACTGTTTTCGAAGCTGCCGCCGGGCTTCACGAGGTAGGTACATAGAACCAGCTGAGGTTGTGCTTCGAACATCCGCCGGGAGTGCCGCGTCGCTAACGCAGTGGCAGGTAGGAGCCGGAATACAGGTTACCCCTAACTCATCGCGGATCTTACAGCGATGGGGCGTTTCCGATGAGCTATGGGCTTCGGCTGCAGAGCCGACGTACTTTGCCGTTCGCAAATACACCGGCGGGATCCTGCTTCTGGAGAAGGATTTCGACAAGGCGATGCGATCAAAATACGAAGCGCCCTTTCTCGAACTGCATCGCGTCGATTACCAAACATCACTCTACAAGCGTGCGAAAGAGCTCGGCGTCCAATTCCGATTCGGAACTAGGGTCGCTAAGGTGGACTTCGAGACAGGAGAAGTCATCAGCCAGTCCGGGTTGCGAGCGCGGGGCGACCTGGTCGTTGCCGCCGATGGCTTATGGTCTCTATGTAGAGCCCAGTTCCTCCCCAAGGACTTCGAGGGCGTTCCTAGGCCGACAGGCGACCTGGCATACCGACTAACGCTGAAATTAGACCAGATCCAGGACCCGGAGTTGAGGGGGTGGGTGCAAATCCCGTCCTGTAACGTATGGATAGGACCCAAGTCGCACGTTGTCGGATACGCCTTGCGAGGTGGTACTGAGTATAACCTTGTGTTGATAACCCCGGACGACCTTCCGAGTGGTGTTACCCAACAGAGCGGCGATGTTGAGGAGATGAAAGCCCTCTTTAAAGGTTGGGACCCGATATTGGACAGGTTTCTCGCCGTTGCCAGCGCAGTCAAGAAATGGAAATTGATGTATCGTAAGCATCTGCCCTAGTTGTTTCCCTGCCCTGAAGTGAATCATCGCTCTGATAGGAACCTCGGCTCCCAGGGGAGGAGATGCGCAGATGGGTTCACGAATCTGAGCATGGCAATTTCGTATTTGTGTGAGCTTATCACTGACGTCCCGTCTCACATCTGCTCGTTTGGCTGATGCGTCTGACGCAGTGGCGACTCCTGCCACCCTATGCTCCCATACCTTGGGCAAGGGGCCAATCTAGCCATCGAAGACGGCGCTGTGCTCGGCCGCTTACTGGGACATATCCAAGCCAAGAACCAGCTTGGGTGGGTGTTGAGGATGCACGAGCAGCTTCGAAAACCACGGGCAGACGCGGTGGTGAAGGAAGTATTCCAACAGGTATTTGCCGCCCAACAGCAGCCCACACTAGTACCCACGCTCTCCGTTGTCCACGAATTCGATTCGAGTCATCTCTCTAACGCGCGGTGGCCCAAATTAGCGCAATGTATTTCACATGGTGGACGGACGTCAGCAACAGGCGCGAGACGAAATACTGTTGTCGCAAGTGAGAGAGGGGACGGAGGGCGAGCCATTTCCGATCCGCTGGTGTTGTCCTCGAGTTCAACCCTGGCTTTTCGGCTACGATGCCTACGTAGAGGTCGATAAAGCTGTCAGGGAGAATCCCTTGAGCCTCGGGGAAAATGGAAATGCATCCGCGGGAAAGGAAGATAGTGGCGTGTTCGAGGGAAATTAATGTCCTCTATACCTGCGGTTGATCTGGTATTAGGTAGCAGTTGTGCTGCTTTTCCCGCTGTTGGCTCGCGGTGTGGTGACCGAGAGGCACCCGCGTGAGCTATTAGATCGTCATGGAATCAGGTAGAGTTAATATAATACTAGGTACTTTCTACGCAACGTATCTTGCAGTCTCGCAACTGAAGACGTCCTCCACCTCGACAACTGCGACTCATAATTTCCCTTGTTTCTCGCTTGGCTTCCGCTGGCGTTGAATTATGCCATCCTGATACTCGGTCGCGACGTGGACACCTGTCGGACTCCATATCTTGCTCATGACGATTCCTCTCCCGGCCTCGACCCTCGGGAAGCAGACTTCTTGGACCCACCACTGGTCCGGGCCGTAAGACATTACCGCATCTTCAGAGTTGACATGCACTATGAATGAGTAGCTCAAACTAGCGGCGCGACCGAAATCGTAGCCAAATCCCACGTGGTTACCCATCATAAGCAGGCCATTCCTGTCCACTACGAAAGCATGAACGAGGATGTGTGCGTCATGATCATCAGCAGGGAGTGGAGCGAGGAGTTGATAAAGGATAAGCTCTCGGCGTTCGTGGAGGGGTTTACCCTTGTTGAAGGCGGTTAGGTCGACCTTCTTCATGTCGACCATGGGAAACGTGCCGGGATTACACATTGGAAATAAATCTACTAGAAGCGCGATGTCGACATGCGGCGAAGGACCCCAGGCGGACGGTGGCCGCGAGTTTAGAATACTCGCGAACCGCGTTTGCACTGTCGGCTCTTGGGCAACGTGCTGCGACGGTACAGGTGGTCTCAAGGACACCAGAGCGCCGAAACAGACCGGGCCGAGGGCGAGATCGGAATCCGCTAGTGGGAAGTGGTCTTTCTCTTCATTCGTGCTCGGGGACAGCGGTTGTCGCGCCGTGACGAGAAAATTGGGAAACCCCGGGTTCGCAGAGATGGTGGTTACATCGTATATGAACGGCCGGTCTATCAAGCCACCTTCCGAGAAGTAACCATGAATAGTCTGCGCCAGTCAGCGAGTCTCTCATCGCGGGGGGGGGGAAAATAGGCGGCCGAAAGAAGTTGGATAGCGTAGCTCATCGCTGGCAACATCGAGCGAGTAGAGCGCCGTCACAGCCTTCCTCGAGGGCAAACGCCCATGCCCCTCTCATCACACCATCGGACTCTCTCAAGGCCGTATTGGTAGGCCAGGTGCATAGGGAGAGAGGGGGGAGAACTCACATGGATTCCAAGCTTCTCTCGAGAAGGTATCTCCGCCGAGGCCAGCGAAGCCGCCAGGCCTGCTTGGCTGTAAACGTGTCCGCCAAATGAAGTATTATGGTTGTTGAGCGGCACCACTTTGGAATCGTCCATCTTACTCGCAATCGCGACGTCGCCTTTGGGGAACCACGCTTTCCGTTGGCTCATGTATCGCTTGGTAGCCTTTCCATTCCCGACCCCGTCTGGCAGGGGCACCAGGGGCATAAGTTCTTGGAACGTGAGACGCCCATCGGCGCGTTTCGTCGGCGTTGAAGACATGGTAAAATCAGCGACGGTTCCGCTCAGGATCCCTCGTGGGAAATCAACTTGACGTGAGGTTACTAATTATTCTCATGACAGCTCTGTCTACACATGCCGCGCAGACCGGCCCTGCCTATGATATGATTGTGGTGGTTGGGGACTTACCTCGGAAGCTAGAGTGGAGAGCGAGTGGGTGGGCTCAGGAACTGCCTTCATGGGTCCAACGATATCGTCGATGGCAGAACCCGCCCATCATATACACACCCGACACCTACTCATACGTGTATAAAGATGCGATGTGTCTAATGTTATACCCGGTTCGTTATTGCCAGAGGGAAGCGTATACAGGTGCATACCTAGGTGTGTCAAGTAATCTCACGGACGACGACGGTAATACCACTAGGGTGGACTAGCGGGCGTGGCGTGCTTACTCAGGTCTGGGGTCTCGAATTATCGGGACATGACAGATTGCCTAGGCACTCGGCTAGGCACATCCCGAAAAACAAGCGACGACCAGGCCATGGGAGGTGACAGGCGGAAGAAACTAATCAGAGGAGAGCCGCAGTGAGAAGGGAGATAGTTGTCGCTATCGGCGTCCGTTTGAGGCCTTGGCATAGGAGGAGGATGTACCTAGGTACTCAGGAGCCACCCAAGGTACCTGATATATGCCCAACCGTTTGACTGTATCCTAGGTACCTCTTACCTCAAGATACCGAGGTGCCTAACCTCCGGCAGGGAACGACACCCCCGGCGGCGCAGGTCACCTACCTACATACATGCACACAGAGGAGGCACCTATGAATGAAGCCTGCTAAGCCAGAAACCCACACACTCTCTCTCTCGATCAAGCGCAAGCCACAGAATTACTGTCAGGAGGGCGGATTCTCGCCCTGAATTACTACGACTCCACGTGCGAACCAAATACCTGGCACCCGGCCCCATAACATCGACGCTGTTCCCCGCGCCTTTCCCCGCCTACACGCACCTTGTCCCGCCCGAAATGCACGTATGCATTTATGCGGGGCTAACTATTGAGCCGTCACGTGCAGCGCCAATTGCTGGCGTCATCTTGGGATCCTCGTCCGACCCATTCCGCCGTTCGCGGAAACATGCAGATGGGTCGCTGGCGGTACAGGACGAGGGATTGTCTCGTCGCGTCCGTGAAGTTGAACTCGGACGCGACGATCTGAGAGACCTCGTTGCCATTCTCGACCCAGTCCATCAGCGCCAGCAACGCGTCGTGCCGGCTGTCGTTGTACCCCAGCGGAACCGAGAACCCGGCGGTGTACGGCGGCCTCTGCGCCGCTTGGCCGGCGCTACCGATCATCCACGGAGCCTTAACGTTGTCTGCCGTGCCCCAGCAGTGTCCCATGCCGGGAATCTGAAAGTACCGGAAGAAATCGTCCACGTTCCCCATCGCTTCGACCGTTCTGTTGTAATACAGCGTCGTGTGCTGCACGGGCACGTAGCCATCCGCAAGGCCTCCATACATGACTGCAACAGCACCGAGTTAGCGGCGACAAATTAGTGGCTTTTTTTTTTTGCAAAAAAAAAAAACCCTTGCTCCCGGCCCTGATACAGAGAATAGGTAGGTAGGTACTTACTAATTTTTCCCCGATTCCGGAATCTGCCCAAGTCGTAGTGATCGGCGGTGGCGTGCACCGAGCGCTCATCGCGAATTCGCGAGTCGTCCACCACGGTGTCGTTGTACGAGGTGATTTGCCAGGAGGGGCCGTAACCCATGAACGTTCGCTCGTATTGCGCATCGAATCCCCTTCTCACGTTGTTGGCATCCTTGGGGTTAGCTGGCAGGAGATATACAGCCCACTCTGCTTCTGAGCTGTAGTCCAGTCCCTTATAGACGAATTCCCCGTCGTCGGTAACGTAATCGCTATACATTTTTTGCGCCGTTTCTATCTGTGCCTGCGTCCAGCAGTACGCCTGATCCGTCGTGCCACAGCGGATTTTGGTGATATCGAAATGGTCTCGGCAGGCCGAGGGGGCAGAGATTATATTGTCCTTCACCCCGTCAAGGGAATCGCACTGTGCCAGAACTTCCTGCTGGAGCCGCAAGTAAAGGTTGTAGTCGTTGATACTCCGTGGGGAGCTCTCTGGGAGGTGGAGTGTCGCTAACCTCGACACCCACGGCATTAGATTCTTCGTATCCCAAGCGGGTGCCCCGATCAAAGCGCCATCGAAGATGTCGGGATCCCTCTGACGTTGTCATACAATTAGTTACCAAATCCCCGCGATATTAGCACGAGACTCGTACCTGGATCTGCTTGAGACCCTGCCTTCCCCCGGTTGAGCAGCCACTGTAGTAGGAATACGCAATCGGCTTATTGTCGTAGTAAGCCTCAATGAGCATTTTGCCGAGATGAATAGAACCTTCCATTGCCTGGTAGGCCCAGTTGACCTTCACGCTTTCAGACGTTGGCCATGTCAAGTCCCCCTGGCCAGAATTATGCCCGGTGTCGGTTGAGAGGCTCGCCATGCCGTAACGCGCCCCGGGTCCCATATCAAGCCAGTTGATTCCGCCCAGAAACGAGTAGCTCCCCACAACCAGGAGCCGGGAGTTCCAGGTCTCTGGGAGGAACATTCCAAACCGATAACCGGCAGTCACATTGTTAACTATAACCGCGCAGAGTGGAGGGAGTCCAGATGCTGCCGATGGGTATCCCAAGTTGCCGCTCTCCGCGAAATACCCTGAGGTCACACCATCCGCATGCTCAACCGAGATGCCGTCAAACAGAAACCCATTCAAGTAATCCACGGTGCATTTTACAGCCTGGCCAGGTAGCTTCCCGTGTGTCAGACTAAGAAGCGAGGCTATGCAAGCCAGAACGGCAGGGACTTTGAGAATCGCCATCTGGATACTGTGATAGCTCGAGAGAGGGATCCCGGCAACGCTGCATTCCCCCTTCATGTAATATATACTGCAGGGAAGATCTCGGATACGTACATGTCAGCCGTCGGAATAACGAATTTCAAATTGCTTTGGGTTGCAGAGGAGGGTTTCATGCTCACAGCCTTCCGTCACCTAACCGTTGGGCTTACCGTGCAGTTTGCTGGCAGAGCAAAAGGGCTTCAGCTACTAATAAGGCATTCTAGAAACCAACGCCTGTCCCACGCAGGCCGAGCAGAGCGGGAGTGGTGACATGCGTATATCAATTTCGACGCAACGCTGTGTATTACGGCATGGTCTCGATTTCAGTATGATGTGCAACGCAACGGCGAGAAAGACGAACGAAGGTCATTCCGACGCGCAGACACGACGCAGCAGCGAGGGCCGTTTCGTCGACACGGCAGACCGGGTATCCTCGGCGAACTAATACCGGTCTCTTTGTCCAGGTGCCATAACGTAGTCTGCAAACGCGTCCGCTCATCACACGAGGATGGAAAGACGCCGCGAGACGATGGCCTACACCTTCTGAATTCAGCCACGCCCTAAGGCAGACGGGTGAGGAAGGAGTGGACATGGCATTCGCTGCTCGCATAGACTCCCGATTCCTGCTGTCATGAGGTTGAGTTCGTCCCACCCCAGAGCCCGCGCCGAACACGGCTGCTGTCAGGGTGTGACGGCGTAAGCCACCTCAGTCATCCTCCGGATTGCGCGCTGTAGCCAGTAAGGGAACTGCCGGTTGCGCGAGTATAGCGTCAGAAATCCAGTGTCTGAAAGAGACATACTCTTACACATCGTGTGAAGTTGCATTCCTGGGGCACAACCCTGAAAGGGCAAGCAGACCCAGCCGGAAATGTAACCCTCCCCACAAGCGAGAAACCCAATCCGGGTAACTGGGGCCGTCGCCCTGTAGCATTCCAACTCCGCATTTCTCCGCAAACCTGGGTGTTCTCGTGGGGTATCCGAGCTTGTGGTCTTAGACACGGGGCGGCAGCCTATTACTAGGTCTGACTGTGACCTACCTCCTAACATTAGGTAGGTTACATGGTCACTGTGTGTAAGCATGTGATTACAGGTCAGGGCTCAAGATCTTTGCGCCGACGGCTTAACAGACGAAGTTACCTTGGGTCAGGCAGCGAGCTGTAGGTGCATCCGCCATCCACCGCCTCCTTGCAAGGGTATTTCCATCAGGTCGTTCCCCTCGTGCTGCAATGCCAATTATGGACAGCACGAAGTTGGGGAACTCACAGTTGAGCCCGTACCCTATCTAAAATCTTGACATGAAGTGCTATAGCTAACCGAAAATACCTAAGCCGTTGCAAGAATCGGGCACCTGTATTAACCCATCCACTTGGTATCCTCAGCTAAGTCGTATTACAATACCGAGGTTCGGCCGCTGGCACCAGTGCCAGAGGAACGGCATAATACAGCGCCAAAGCCATTCTCTGCAAGCCTAGAACCTTCACATGTGTTATGCCCCTTTTCGGGGAGGGTCTAGGGAGAGGAGGGCTGCCAAAAGCTGCTTCGTATGTTGAATGAAGTTAATATCAGGCCTCTGGTGACAACGAAGCTTTTCCGTCTTGTCAACGCAAGCTCCTTCAGATATACCAATTATCATCGAGGCTGGGTGAATATACTCCGTGGTATCGGTAAACTTCAATACGCTCTGCCTGTTATATAATATTAGTCTAGTTTCACGCATTGAGGTGTGTGCGTGGGTGGTGAAGCTGATAATGTGAGAATTCAACGACACCCGATTCTACGCCCCGCCGTCTTTTGTTTCTTTTTAAGAAAAGAAGAGGAAAACAGAAAGCCTACCCTTCAATTATCTATACGTGTAAATACGTGGTAAATCAAAAAGGGATGGGGATGGGCCCGGGAAGTCCCTCTGTAACACGTACCTAAATCCATGTAAACCTTTTCCTTCTATTATTATCCTTTCTACCGCGCGGATTCTCCCCGCATCATGAAAACCCCCCTCCCAGAAAAGGGGCAGAAGTTGATCGCTTGATTGCCAGGCCCTTTTGATACCAATTACCCGGCTCGGTAGTTAACGATATCATCTACAACTACGGAACTACAGGCATACGGGATAAATACTTGGGTAAGATGCGACTGGGGGGGGGGGCATATTATTACTGAGTAGTAAATTCAGAGCCCCCCCGAGAGCCCTATTACGAGACAAAATCGGATCGGCACGTATGTATATATTTTACGCCTTTGTCCGCCTTCGCCCAGGGAGCCTCCTGACCTTTGGCACCACGCTGCCTTTTGCCCAGTAATACTCGTGAAATGACGACCGCCTGTTCCCGAAACACTAAGCTATGCAGTTTTCTATTAGCGTCGCAGTCTTTTGCCTCGCGAGTGTGATAGCAGCCACATACGGGAGTCCCCCGCCTCCCCAGCTGCCAATCGTCCTAGGGATAGTATCCGACACAGCATGGCAGTGCTCGCCAGGAAAAAGTATCAACATTACCTTCCTACCGCACACTCTTAGGCTGGATCTTCCTGCGATGAGGTTCGGAGCCGAGGGTCATGGAAGAACAGATGAGCTGGCCGTATGCCAATTCACGGCGGAACTCACGTCTTGGTGGTATAAGTACCGGTTTGCGATTCAGAACGTGACTTACAAAGGGCACCTTACGGCAACAGACGGCGCTCAGCTTTACCGGTTGTCCGCGAACGCCGTGTTTCGGTACGAGAACCGCAAGCTTAATCCCGGGAGGGCCCCTCCGGATATATGGAATGTGTCTATGTCTACTATGGTGAGTGAATCCGCATCAGTCTCTCCTCATTCTACTCCCTCGCCTCACAATCCACCGTCGTGCGCGGAAAGGGGCCGGGGCCAACAGATTTACAGATTGACAGCGCTAAACCGACCACAATCGGAGGCGACGGGGACTTCAACGGGGACTTCGAGGTCGGCGACGGGAACCCTCGGTTAGAATGGTCCACGTGCATGGACGGCGGTGAGGGCACCGGCGACGTTAAAACCAAGCTAGCGTTCGCTCTGACCGCGACAACGAGCGATCGAACTGGAAAGGGGACCGGCGTGTTGGCTCGTGGTCTCACCGTCGACTTCGGGATCGCTTGGGAGGAATGCTACCCCAACCGCGCGGTGAAGAACGCTTGGGGCCAGACGCGGATCGATGACTGGTCGACTTGCACATATAAGAACGGCAACCAGACCTCGCGTCCATTGCGCCACGGTGTCGGCTTACTATTTTAAACCAGACAAATACCACTTGCAATAGATGGCCAACGCCGGGCTCCTCTGGATGTCTCGGTGGTTATGCGTGCGACTATTTTCCGAGACGACGAAAAGGCTAGCAGCAAAGAATAGAACATCCTCGACGAGAAGCCGAAACAGCCTAACGTTCCGATTCTCAATTATATCCTCACGAACCCATACCCCACGCATGGCTTTCAAGCACTCGTTGTTGGCATGGATGACGTTAGTTGCATGTCTGCCAGCTAGAGGTTCTGATTAAACCTAGACTGTGTTGGTGTCATCTTCGCCAGGCGGAATAATAATGACCAGGATTAAGGATGAATCTATTTTCGGTTCTGAGGGAGAACGAATCAGCATTTCGATCCTGTTAACCTTTTGCCCGTCACGCCAATGAAGAGACTGGACGGAGTATTAAAGTCACCTATGGTTGTCTTGGGCCCTGAAATCGCTGAGGCCTTGAAGGCGCGAGTCCCTATATTCTTTCGAAACCAGCAAGAGAAGAGATGGCTCTTGGGACGGATTAAAACAGCTATATTTTCCAGGTGCCTACTACCTCTTATAGGGGGCGCAGGGTCGCGGTGGGCTGTCCCTCGATATTTACGGATAAGAGAGCAGATGGATTGGTCTACCGCCGAGAACCACGATGACCTTCCCATATATTGACTCTCTGATACGGTACGCCTGCACAATGCTACAGAATGGTAGAGAGAGACACGTCCTCCGCAGTGGCTACCATCATGCCGTGGTCGGCTCGAGACGATCAAACCGGGGATATCCCGTCTAACTGGGCTGCAATCTGGACAGCCAGGAGCCTCGAGAAGTAGCGGCACACGGCCAAATTCCCTCCGTGAAGCCAGAGACCGGGATGGCCGCTCGGCCGCCACATCACGTTTGCCTCTCCTTCCTTGTCATAGCCCCATACGTTGGGAACCTTGCTGGCAACGGCCTCCCCGAATATCGCCTCAGTGGTGGTCCTCATATTCTGGTAGCCTGTCGCGCAGACGATCTCGTCCGCCTCGAGCTCGATCCCGTCGTCGAGGCGCACTCCGTATGGCAAGATTTCGGCGACGCTGGCTCCGTGGTGCACCTTGACCTTGCCGTCAATGATGAGCTGCGACGTGCCCACGTCGATATAGTACCCGCCGCCGCGCTGCATGTATTTTGCCCACAACCCGCAGTCCATCGGTCCCTTGTCGGTCTCGAAGCCAACCCGGTTGAGACCCTCGAGAATGCTCTGATCAAACTCTTGCTGGAGCGCGGTGACGTCGTAGAGCGCCGCCTTATAAACCTCGCTTGGGCTGGACCACGTGAGCAGGTCTGCCTCCTCGACTGGCGGACCGCCCTCATAATAGGTCGTACTGAGCAGGATTTCCAGCACCGCCCTACTGCTCATGACGGTGGTCGACGACCGCTGAACCACTGTCACATCGTATCCGCTTTCGTAAAAGTCCTGAGAGATGTCCATCGCAGAATTGCAAGCGCCGATCACGACGGCTTTGCGCCCCTTGGTGTTCTTCTTGGCGCCCCGGAAATCCGAGGAGTGGCACAGAACGTCGCCCTTGAAGTTTTCCACGCCTTTGAACTCGGGAAAGTTCTTCTTCCCGGAGTGGCCGGTGGCTTGGATGATATGCTTAGGATACATCGTGCGAGTTTCGACGGCCCCGTCCTTATGCTTGCGCTTGAGCACCACGGTCCACTGCTTCTTCTCCCCATCCCAGCTGCTCGACTCGAGACTCGTGCTGTTCCACACGTTGAGCTCGAGAAATTCGGCATACGACTTTAGAAAGTCGGCCATCTTGTCCTTGGGCGTAAAAACCGGCCAGAACTCTGGGAATTTCAGGTAAGGCATGTGGTCGTACCATACGGGGTCATGAAGCACGAGCTGATGATAGCGTTTTCTCCAGGCGTCACCAACCTCGTCGCTCACGTCGATAGCAAGAGTGGCGACGTTGAGCATTTTCAGCCGAGCGTGGACCGAAAGGCCGGCCTGTCCGCAGCCTGCCGCAGGTTAGCCAGTGTTGGTTCTCGGCAGAAGGGCAACTCGAACCCACCGATGATGAGCACGTCAGGGTCGCGATTCTCAAAGCTGATCTCCTCCTGCCTCCTCTCTACCCAATTTCTCCTATCTTCACGATAGCCATGCTGGGCACCAATTGGCCTATTTGGGCCAATAGACTCCTTGCGGGAACTAAGCGCATTCATGGTCGTATAAAAAGTCCATATTTTCCATTGGCCGTCGTCGTGGATAAGACGCGCAACGCCGGGGCCGGTTCCGTATTTGGCGAAGACATTGATGAATACTTGGATACCCTCGACGGAGGCGTCTGCCCGGAAGGGTACTACTTGGACCTTGTCGATAGAGATCTTGGTGAGGCGGTGCCCGCCCTCCAGGAAGGAGACGATCTGGGTTCTTCCCTTCACGGTGCGGAAATCCCAAGTCACGGCGAGGTGATCCCGCCAATAGCCGCCCTCGACGAAGAGGTCTGCGATCGCGTTGTAGTCTCCCTTGGACAACGAGGTATTGAAGGAGTCCACCGCCTTGTCAGCGGCCTCGGATGCATCCCCGATGCTAATATCACCTTTGCTGGGGATGGGCCATTTTGCGAGGGGAATATCTACAGACCCGGGAACTCTCCGCTGGCTCGACGGGAGAGAATCCGCGGTTGCCATTTTCGCAGGTGTCTGGAGGGCTGAGCTGGTACGACACGCCGCTGGACGGTGTGGTGCTGGTAGCTGGAGTGTCGTACCAGGACCTCTGAAGAGAGCCGGGGAAGTTCGAGGTTTTGAATTCCCCCTCTCAGTCACTCATCGGCTCCGAGGACGACAAGACCCCGCACATAACCCCAAGGCCCCAGGGCTGGGGGAGGATAGCATCGATCCGCTTCGTACATGTCTCTCACGGGGCCAGTAAATCGAGTCGGGGGCGTACGATGTCGGTTACATCTGAGGTACCACCCCCACATGGTATTCAGTCTAGCAGCTTACTCTGACTTCCTCTCCTCGCTCCCCTCATTTGATCTATGCGGGATAATCTGGGGAAAGTGGATTCACCGTCACCCGACTTACCCATCGAGGCGGTAGTTTCTAGGCTATTATTGCTGATACCTACCTCTGAGTTGGTGTGTTGATTCGCCTCATCGACGGCGGTCACCCCAGTCGGAATAGCACCCAACACGCTTGACGCCGCCTCGTCTTGACGCGGCCGTGGTCCAGAGGCTGTGTTCCCTGGTCGGAGGATGCGATTGTTGGAGACGGCTTTCTGTTCCGGGCGAGCCTTGGGGTTTTTATTACCCCATGTTGACGTAACCAAGCGTAGAGATACCTAGTTAGAGATACCCGCATGTCCCTAGCCTCTTTGTCTACCGAGGTTGCTGCCGGAGATCCTCTGTAGGAGAGGCCATCGTAGCTTGGTGGGTGAGGCACGAATACGGCGCATTGGACTGGCCGCGTTCGTGTCTGCATGTGGCCTCCCTTTGCCATACTATGAGAGGGGGGGGTTGCCCGCTTGCTGTGGAGGATGTATCGCGAATGGGAAACCGGGAACGCGCAACAACCACTCCGCCCTTGCGTCCCAATCCGGCCCGCCGGAATGCCCGGACTTGGGCGCTATAGATGGAAGGCTATCCGAATTTCACGCACGCGAGCTCGCAGGCGCACGCAGGCAAGAGGCGGCGACGAGACTCAGAGTCGAAAAGTCCAAGACTGGCCCGTCTTCGGCCTCTACATTGCCCAAACAGGAATGTGGATTGCCGGTTGGATCCTGGCACTGGCCGCCGTCTACGCGGGCACGGATTTGCGGATGCCTCTGCCCATAAGAAACGTCTCTAGACGAAGTGATAAATGACAGCTATCGTGCGTGGACAGAAGCTGATACAGCGGTGAGATGGGGTCGGGGAGAGAGGTCAGCATACTCACTGTTATTGGCTAGGACGGGACGCCTCTCTGGGTCGGGTTGGTGGAATCGCGAAGAGGGCGAAAGCAGGCTGGACTTAGCGCGCGGGCGCGCGGAGAGCTGCACTGGGTAGCAGTGCTGGATTAATAAGAAGAGAGAGCGCCGAATTAAAGAAAAAGAAATAAAAATAAAACCAAGCGCAGATGGATCTGCCCTCCCTTCCTCGCCCCCCCCCCCAGTAAGATGCCGCCGCTTCTTCCTTCATATCACATTTTCAAAGGTCAACAGACAAGGGTCCACGATCCGACATGATTTCGACATCTGCAATCCCTTAGCTTCCCCTTCCCTCTCATACACGTACACATCCCACAGCTTCCCTGGACCCTTTGGTCAACTTCCTTCTTTCCCAGCGGACGAACACCTCCTCGGAGCCTCGTCCCTCGTCGTTTCACTCCAGCCCGCACCGGATCGTACGACCGACGCTCCAGCAATGACCAAGCACTCTCTTCACCGCGTCCCTTCGGCAGGGGCCGTTGAGCATGGATACCCGAGCGGGCACCTCGGCCATCTCACCGACCACGAGGAGCAGGCTCTAGCGGAATTCAAGGCCCTGGTAGAAGAGAAGGGTCTCTATCGGCCTGGGAACCCACCGTCCCATGACGATCCTACCCTGCTGTGCGTCTAGCCAATTCCCCCCCCGTCGTGGCAATCGAGGTTCTCGGGAACCAGGTCGAGGGCGATGCCGCCAGTGCTAACATTGGTCGCCAACAACGTAGCCGATACCTGAGGGCTCGCAAATGGATCCCGCATGATGCTCTCGTGCAGTTCAGCGACACCGAGAAGTTCCGCAGCGCAAACGAGATCGATGTCCTATACGACACCATCGATATCGACTCGTTCGAGGCGTCTAGGCGGCTCGTATGTGAACCCCTCCACGAACCCGGCAGATTTGCTCTCGGCGTAGGATCCTCGTCGTTCTAATCACCGCTCCTCTAGTATCCTCGATTCACCGGGCGACGTGATAAAAGGTGCCCTTTTTTTTTCCTCTCTTCCCTTTTCGCCAGCGGAGTGGTTTGCCGGGCGAGAATGAGCTGACGATGCTCGTAATAGAGGCATCCCGATCTACGTGTTCCAGATCCGACACCTCGACTCTCAGGCCGTTGCCAAGTATGAGAAATCGACCGAGACGACGTACAGCCGTGCGAAGACGGACGGGAAGACGCAGCCAAAGCTGCTGCGGCTGTTTGGGTTGTACGAACACTTGACGAGATTCGTCCAACCGCTCGCATCCGAGTGTGCCGACCGACCCTACGCCGATACTCCAATCACTCTTAGCACCAACATCGTCGATATCTCGCACGTCAGCCTGCGCATGTTCTGGAATTTGAAGGCGCACATGCAAGCGGCCAGCCAGCTGGCGACCGCACACTACCCAGAAACCCTCGATCGTGCGTATTCATGACTTGCCCACACTTCTGTGACACATCCCTCGCGCAAGTCGCATTGACGTACACGTAACCGTACACATACACACATGCTCACGCAGTAATGGGCGATCAGGTATCTTCATTATCGGGGCGCCGATATTCTTTTCGACCGTGTGGGGCTGGGTCAAGCGCTGGTTCGACCCCGTCACCGTATCCAAGATCTTCATCCTCGCGGACCATGACGTGTTGCCCGTCCTCACAACCTTCATGGACATCAAGGACATCCCGAAGATATATGGCGGCGAGCTGGAGTGGGACTTCTTCGACCAGCCCGCCTGGGACGACGAGATCAAGCGGATATGCCAATGGGAGAACGGTTACACGAGCTTCCCCACCGGGCCGATGTACTGGCAGCCCATCGACGGCGGCAAGCGAGTCGAATGCCTCGCCGTGGGTAGTAAGGGCGAGACGGACCGCAGGGAGCGCGTCTGCACCATTACAAGAGCCTATCCGCCCAAGAACGTAGAGGGTAGCCCGGTTTCCGCTGCTGTTTCCCAGGCAGACGACGCGCTCGAGGGCGAAGAAGTGAACGAAGATGTGTTCGTAACGGCTAGCGAAAAGCCCATCATCGGCGACGTCCCCACGGCAAACATCACCGCCGTCCCGATCGTCGGGGAAAGCAAGTAAAGGGATGATGCGGCCGGGCGTTGCGGCGTCTATACACGGCATCTTTGATGGAGAGATTTAAACCAGACTTGACGGATGTTAATGGGCGCGAGCATGCAGTCTACAGATACAGACGTATCAAGTTGGATATCAGGTAACTCTTTTGTATTTACAGGCCAGAATCCGTTGGGGGGACACAGCGGCGCATGATCGCAGGGAATCATGCTTTTTTGGTTTAGAATTATCGCGTCGACGAGAGGGTAGACCGGTTTTGGCTCTCTCCATGACTAGAATAAATTTGATTTTGCTACACTCCGAACGCCTCACTCTCTATGCCCTAGCAAAGACAAACGTGACGGTATCACTGCGGAACTCGGTCTACGCTCTATCCTTCATTCCTCGTAATCCCGCATTCCACTTCGCTGGGTGCATCTAGTAGCAGGTTGCTTAACCTTGACGCGAAGCAAGCCAGCGGTACGTATGTCTGCGGTCTTCATACGCCCCTCCGCCTCCTCCATTCCTCGATCCCCTTTTCGATTTCATCCCACGAGACGCCGTCTCTGACTAGCCACATCGTGACACCCATGGATTCGGTGTCCCTATTCCTAGGCTCGTCGTCGAAGAACAGCATATCCGTATGCGGGACGCCGGTCCGCTTGCCCAGGGCGTCGAAGTGCCGCAGCTTGCTAGTAGGGTAGATCTCGAGGCCGGCGTCGAAGAACTCGATGGCCTTTCTAACCTTACCGTCCTTCTTGCTGGTGCTGGTGCCGCCGCCGCCGCCGTCCGCATCGGCGCCCAGGTCCCCAGGTCCCAAGACCGTGCTCGCGGGCGGGACGTGCAGGAGCTTCAGCATCTCGCGGCCGAGGTCGGGGGTGTGGGTGCGGCTGGCGACGCCGAGGCGCACGCCGGCGCGGCTCAGGCCGTGCAGTATCGAGGGCACGTCGGCGTAAAAGGAGAAGGTCTCGCCGACCTTGTCGGTGCAAGCGCTGTGGGCGGCGTTGGGGCGCAGCGGCGGGTACACGTGGGTGTCGACCCAGAAGGGCCACAGGGTGTAGTCGAGGTCGAAGACGACGACCCGCGGCAGGGGGCGGCCATCGCTGAGGGCCGGGGGGAGCACGTTCAGATTCGCAGACGAAGCGCCCGATATCGATGGCTTGGACAGCTTCCTGGGCATGTTCTGTCTACTTCCTCGAGGCGAAGGCAGGGGAGGGGAGGAGAGGGGGGAGGAGACGGGCGGGGCGGCCGGACTTCGGAGGGGATTCGAGAACCGATTGGTCGGGGAAACAGGATGGCGGCAGCGATGGCGCTGATGAGATGCAAGCAATTAACGCGGACGCACAACGGTAACGGTGAGGCTGCTCGTGGGCGGACGTGGTGGATGTTGTTGTCGTACTTACTTTGCACAAGTCGGGCAGATGTAGGTGATCCCGCCAGATTCCGGGTTCGACAAACAACGAGACGAGAGGAGATGACGAGATAAGGTGAGATGAGATGGACCGAAATGGGTTAGGACTACGTAGACGGCGAGCGATGCTAGTCCCGATACCGACCAAGGTTGTGCAGGTACAAATTACCTATATGAGTAGGCACATAATATGGGACGGCAAGTTGGGGGGGGAACCTAATGTAGGCACATAATATAATGCATGCAGATCTCTGCCCATCTTGAGGCACCCTGGATGCCTGTCTTAAGAGGTACCTAGGTACCTCTAACCTCGAGTTAGGTACGGACTTAAGTCGGTGGAAGCTGGTGGCGCCCGGATGCATCTGGCAGGAGATGCTGGGCTCTGGTAGGTTGGCCCACTGCCCCTACAGCGGGGAGCTGGATGGGGATCACAGGTACCTAAGGTAGGCACCTAACCCCCTAATGTACCCGTCTACAGGTAAGAGGTAGGTATCCCGTAGGCTCTTCGGGATCGTTTCGGCGAGTCAGACCGTTCCAGCCCGTCAGCTACGTCATCCTTCCCATGATCAGCTGGCGATGTTGTCCCCCCCCCTCCCAACCCGGGCCCATACCCTATCTTCCTCCGGTCTCCTACCCCTTCCCGAGGCCTCAACCCTAGCTTTTCTGGGTTACCTATATCAGGAGGAAATAAAAGCGCTAGCCGTTAAATCTCGCCCTACTTTGGTCCCCAGCAGCCGACCTCGCAAGTCGGGAAGATTACACGAGCATTAGGTATAATTACAATTTGGGTTTCGTCCTAATCGTTTTTTTAAGCCTCTCGAGCCTCCCAGCTCAGCGTGACTATGCTGCAGAATCTACCCGCGTTGCCTATGAAAGGCACGTCCTGGCGGCCACCCTCTCGCGGCGAAGAACCGGAGATCTTGGCTTGGCATTGTCCGTGTTGTCTGAGGCGTCACGGTGCCATCGCGGCGTCCGAACGAGGGAGGGGTTGGCCCCCTTTACCCTTCAAGTTCGTACCTAGCTCGGGATCTCGAGCGCCCTAGCAACGTGAGAACTGCCGAGCAGTCGGATGGCAAAAACACCAACTTCCATGCGGGGCCGCGGCTGGTGGGGGTGGGCCCCAAGAGAGGGTTTCTTGGCACAGCTAGGTAGCTAGCCTCGCTGGAGTGCACGCAACACCGAGAGGCCATCATCGCGCCCAGGCAATAGTCGGGACTACCGCTGCCATAGCTACACCCATACGTACGCATCCCCCCAGCGAGGTCCACGACGGCTCAGGTAGGGATATTGATTTGCCGTCTGGCCGTGGACGGACTCCTCCTCTGCCCACACCACCCAGACTTTAACCGTTTCATAAGCCTCTGTCATACACATGGCGCATCTAGGTCTCTCGAACGCTTCTTAGTGTTGGCACGTAAATCTGCTAGTGATCTTGCATATATATACATATAACTCCGCCCGGACGAGCTGAGAGTCGTGCGTCTCGGTTCGTTCCCTCCAGCAAACCACCCGACCCTACTCAACAGGAACCCAGATAGCGATCGTCTCAATATGCCGGCAAACGAGATTCCCAGGAAGATTCAGCTCGTGCGTATTGCGCACGTCTACTACCAGTACTCGGACCTAGAGAAAGCGGTTGCCTTTTTGAACGACTTTGGTTTCACCGAGGAGAAGAGGGTCTCGGCCGACAAGGTCTACTTCCGGGGCTACGGCACGGAGCCGTGGGTGCTCTGCGCCACCAGGGGGGATAAGGCCGAGTTTAAGGGTGCCAGCTTCGTCGTCGAATCGGAGGAGGACCTGCAACTCGCAGCTCAGATACTCCCGAAGGCGACAAAGATCTGGGAGCTGGAGGACGCTCCTGGAGGAGGCAAGTGCGTGACCTTCCACGACCCGGTCGACGGATATCCGATGCACCTCGTGCATGGGCAGGCGCCCGTTCAGATGCTAGACATTCCCCTGCCGCACGAACCGGTCAACTATGTAAGTACATGCGGCGGGTTCCCCTATGAAGCTATATACATACCTAGGTTATATTGACGACAGCGATAACAGCCCACCGAGAAGAACCGACCCGTCAACAAATTCCAGCGATTCGAGAAGCGGCCAGCCCCAGTGCACAAGCTGGGCCACTTCGGCGTGAGGACGACCAACTTTGCGAAGGCCCACGAGTTTTACACGGCGCACTTTAACTTCCTAGCAAGTGATGTATGAGGAAGCCTCCCCTTCCCTCCCCGCGCGCATCTGCCTGACCCGACTGCGGGGCTCACACACTGCGACAGCTCATCCACGACGCGGAGAAGATCGACCGCACGGTGTTCTACCGGCTGAACCGGGGCGACGAGGTGGTCGACCACCACGTGTTCTTCTTCGCCGAGGGCGCGACGTACAGAGTGCACCACTCGTCGTTCGAGACGCACGACTTCGACACGCAGGTGCTCGGCCACGACTGGCTCCGCGAGAAGGGCTACAAGAACTGCTGGGGCGTCGGCCGACACGTCCTCGGCAGCCAGATCTTCGACTACTGGTGCGAACCAAAACCGACCCCCCCCCCCCCCCCCCCCTTCCCCCCCCAAATCGGGCGTTCTTTTTCTCCCGACGCCCAAAACCCCACCACTGCCACCAAATCCGAGCTAACGAACTGGCGTATTTGTAGGTACGATCCGTTCGGCTTTATCATGGAGCACTACGTCGACGGTGACCTGGTCAATGCCTCGGAACCGACGCACCGATCCCAGGCCAATCCCGGCAGCCTGCACGTCTGGGGTAAGTAAGAAAACAAACAAGATCTAAGGGCCGCGGCCGCGTCGCCGCCGTCCCAAGCCTTACCAAGACATTTGCTAACCAGGTATGCAACCAGGCCCTGCCGTCCCCGGAGAGTTCCTGCCCAAGGATTAAACCATCGTGATTTGCTACGTGACGTCGTCTCTAATCGGAGCAAGTTGCTTGCCGTCTCACACAGGCCACGCGCCTCTCCAGTCTTATGTATTTATAGCTTTGAATGAATGGGTAGTGAGTTGTTGGATGGCTAGGTAGTTCGAATGCTACCCTTACTTGAATGTACTCGCCAGTCGTATGTTTCGTGCGCACCGTGGACAATCTTGAGCGAGCCGTTACGTTACCGTTAGATGTGCTACGGGTATATACGAGCGTCCACCTCCCCTATCCCGGCATTGCCACCTGGGGTAATGTGCCGTGTCCGTCCAAGGAAGAACTCGCAGTTCTCTCAGCTCTCCGCTGCAAGAGACAATTACCCGAGTAACCAAGTGCCTAGGGTAGGTATTTGGAACACGACACCCTACGACCTCCCCGAACGTGCCGCGAGGCCACCGAATTCCACCTAGTTTGTCTCGACGGCTATCCAAGAAGAGGAATTCGGCACATCCCACTATTTTTCGTTTTCGCCCACTATTGCCGTCGCATGATGGCCGCACGCGGGCCGCTATTACCTAGTTAAAGCGTGTTTCGCTACTTCTCAGCTCACCCCCGCCCGAGCCACCGTGTCCCGAATGCACACGTGTCCACGGCGTCTATATCGTTCGTGGTCGTTTTGCTCTTCTACGCATCTCGACCACTAACGCCTATATCTCTCTCCCTTGGGGGAGTGAGTGAGTCCGGCGAGCGGGGTTTCCTACGACTATCGCGGTGGCGCGACCGGCTTAGCTAGGCTCCTGTAATACCGGGCCAGGACTCCGGAAGGCGTTGAATTAGAGTACCAGAGTTTATCAGAGCTCTAGGTAGCGCCGAACTTTTCCTGTTTAACGGGACGCAGGATGTTTTGCGTGCTGCACTCTGAGCTGCCATCTGAGCTGCCATGAGAGGGGGGAAGGGGGGGGGGGGGGGGGGGGCAAGGTTGCGTATTAACAAGTTTTTCTTTTAGTCTTCGCTGCTTCGTCTTAACCAAGATTTCGAGGTACACCGGGGGTTCTCGCGTAGCTACATCCAGTTAACCTCATTACATATCGACAGCCACATCCTCGCCGACCAGCTATCGCCAATAGATCAGTCTAGATAGGTAGATAGTCTCTGCCTTACGGGCACACACAGGATGGCCCTGCAAGGGTTTAAATACGACGAGTGCCTGGACCGAGGGTGGTTGAGAAATGGGCCCTTTGTCAGCGGGTCTCAAGATTGTAGAATTATGAAAATCGTAAATAGTTGCCTACGCGCATGTTAGCTAGCAGAGCCTAGCCGCGCGGTCCCGAGGGGGGGGGGGGGGGGGGGGGAGGGTTATATTACCGTTCGTCTATCTGTTTTCGAACTCGGCGAGCGGGAGTTTCTGTACATCTTTCATACCCCGCCCCCCCCCACGGCAGCTGAACGCGAGGCACCGACAGAAGGTGACCGTACCTCGAGAGCCAGGTCTCAGTCCCGTTTGCTCAACCTGGGGCGGAGGCAGGATGTGGAGGAATGCTGGTCATATAAACCTTCCCCGCATGACTAGTCGGCGCCAGACAGCCTCTTCGTCCTCGTCCTGATCGACGGAAGAAGTGGCGGGGGTGTGATCGATAGGGTCAGGGTTCTCACATAATTCGAGGAAGTCCTCGACCATCCCTTCTCCGGGTGCGAAACCGAGATTTCGCAGCGTATCAAACGGTGTCGAGTCAAGCCTGGCAATATGACGTTAGGATCAACTACAATGCGCCGAGGGAACGTTGGCCGTCGAAATTTCTTACCATCGAGACGTGTCGTCTAGGTTGGTTTTGTTGTTTTCGTGCGTCGTCGCAGGCGCGTTGTTCAAGTCTTGCGGCACGTTCCCGGACGGGTTCAGGCTTATGCGCCTTTCAGGCAGCACAGCTGTTTGTCGCTGGCCCTCTCCGTAGCCGTCGGCGGAGCCATTGGACCCGAACGGCGTAGCGCCGTGAGATCCGCTCAAGCCGCTAGGAGCACGGTCCAGGCCAAAATCATTGGGCCCGTCATCGGGGAAATCGGGGTGATAGCTGTACATTTGGTGGTTCTGCGCCGCGTGGTAAGGGCGCTTCCGGATATCCTCGCTCTGTATGTAGATGTCCCCGGGATCCTGCGGAGCGCCGTGGGGGTTCACGGGACAGGTTTGCAGCATCGAGGCCGACGACGCCGACCGGTTGGACCGAGTCGACATACCCTTGGCCAGCTCGGACTGGTGGTGGGAGTTCGCGGCTTGGCCAAAGCTGATCTCGCCCTGCAACTGGGAGATGATTGGCGAAAGACGCTGGTCCAGAGGGGGGAGGAGCAGATCTGGAGATTCTCCATTTTGCAAGTATCTACCAAGGCGACTCTCGTTGAATCTGCTGACGAGTTCCGCTTGATTGTCGTTGTTCTTGAAGTAATCCAGATTGGGGATGCCCGTACCGCCGTACGTGCCCCCGCGCAAGACCTGCAGAACGATATCCTCGAGCTCCGGCCTTGCTTGGAGCACTATAGCCCACAGGCGCTCGCCGTTCTGGCCGGTGTATCCGCTTCGGGGACCTCTCTTGCGCACAGGTCGGTTATACGTGCACTCTGTCCCCGCGCGCACGCAGACGCTGCACTTGGGGGCCGCGTTATCGCACGGCTGGTGTTGCGAGTTGCAGCGATCACAAGCGCGGCTGGCCTTGCGCTTTTTCGACGCCCTCTTGCCATCGTCGCTTTCACCATCGCTCATAGCCCCCACCATACGGGCCGAGGCAGACGCCGGTATCTCCCGCAGCGACCTCGCCAATTGCGGTCGCGTCTCCGTGATAACAATTTAGCTGACGGACGTCCACGAGTCTCACGATATCAGGCTACTGATAGATGCGTGAGAGGATTCGCGACGCCAGTTGTCAGCCCTATCCGAGGCGACGGCATGAGAAATTCAATTGCCGTTGGGTTTCTGGCGAGAGTGCATCGGGGGAGGCCACAGGTTGCGTGGACTCGCAGGCCGGGTCTGTTGGCGTTGACGGAGATGGTGCTCGACTCTGAACTGAACGCGCCAGGACTAGTCGGTGTTGTAATTGTTGCAATTGACGAGGTGAGGTGAAATTACAGCTCTAAGCGACCAGAGTACGAAATCGGGCCACCTGCGCCAAAACCCCTGACCGGCGCGGGGTCATCGCGGGTGCGTCCAATTGCAACCCCTGGAGTTACCTAGGTGTTGTGGCAGTGCGTAGGCAGTCGGAGGAGCGCTGGGATTACATATGTATAGGGGCCTGACCGCTGAGACGGAGAGGGTAGTACGTGACCGTCACAGCGTGACAGCTGCCGGGGACGATGACGACGGGTTGGTTGTGCGGACAGGGGCTTCGACAGGGTTGGCCCGAGCCACCCCGGCTGGGGAAGACGCCCCGTGCGTCGGGGGTATTACCCGCACTACGTGGAGGTACCTGGAAAGGTATCTAGTACCATACGGTCCAACGTCCAACGTCCAAGTCCAACGTTGGACGGTGTCGCCGTGGCTGAGGGCGGTCGTTGTTGTGGCTGGTGAGATCAAGGACCAACTTTTTTCATCTTCTTGCCGACCAGGTTGCCGTGTCGTCGCTCCCTTCCCCCTGGATGATACGTGCGACCCACCCGCTCCTTCGTACGTACTTTTGGCCGACAGCCTCCCTGCGAACATGTAGACAGAACCGTCATGTAGGCTCAACCTCGTTCGCTTCTCTCCCGTGCCATAGCTATCGACCCAACCTATCGTACCACTTCACGGACGACTATCGATAGAGGGTCATAGATGTGCCCGAATTTCCATGCGGGACTGCACGTGGGATCTCGTGTGGGATTTCGGAGTATATCACTGCTGATGTCGCCGGCCCGTCTTGCCAGAGAGGATCGGTATTGGTATTTCTCTCTTAGCATCAACAATACAGGGATCTCTCGACTGCCTTTCGTGCTGCGCTTCCCAAGCTAGAGGAGGGGCAGTTGTCTGTCGGGGCGCCTAGTTCGCTTCCAAATTAGATCGTACCTGGGTCTTGGCCGAGATTCGCAACCCTCGAATCGCCAGCCCTGGTCGTAAAGAGCGGCACAATTCCTCTCGAACCCCAAGCACCTGCTCGCCGTCAAACACCGTCAACTACGGGCCGCCCGGGAGATACCGGGGAGACGACGTTGGGATGGAATTGATGGAGTCGACTGTGCTCGCGGACGGGCCTGTGGTTGCTCCCGGAAGATCCAAGCGTAGAGTGTTCCCTACTAACTCCTCCATCATCCTTGTGGGATGCCGAGGTGCTGGGAAGCGGACGCTCGGCTTCATCGCCGCCAAACACCTCGGCCGCCGGCTTGTCACTGAGGATCATGCGTTCGAACGTTTGATCGGGTCGAGTCGGCCCACCTTCTTACGCAAGTACGGGCGAGAAACCTTTAACCAGCGGATGACGATGGTGTTCGCCCAGATGCTGAAGCTAAACCGTACGAACTGCGTTATAGAGTGCGGGACGGCGACGCTATCACCTGAGATAGAGGAACTGCTCAAGGCGCACGCTGAGACCAACCCGGTCATTTATATCCACCGCGATAAGGATGACCTCCGCAAATTGCTGAACCTGCCCGCCGCGGAGGCGGAACGTGCTCTCGCCACCGACTCGAGACACCGCGAGTTCTCTAATTTCGAGTACTTCAACCTTTTTGACCCCAGCGGAGAAGGTCAAGTAGCGAAAGACTCCTCGCTTCGTTGCGCACCCACCAACTCGGCTAAGCTGGTTCAAGCGAAGGAAGACTTCAAAAATTTCCTCGATCACATCTTTGGATACGGGTTGACACGATCCTGGATGGCTAACCCTTTCTCCATGAAGGCCATACCTCCGGAGTATCGGACGCACACCTTCGTCCTGTCTTTGCGCCTCTCTAACCTCGTGCACATGTCTGATGATCTCTCCGTATTGGAGGCCCCCGGCGAGGCCGTCGAGCTCATAATCGATACCTGGCCGAGCAACATGCTCGATATCATCGCCACCCAGGTAGCGTTGATTCGCCGCAAACTGGACCTCCCGATTATTTACAACGTCGAAGAGAATCCTCGGGAAGAACGTCGGCGGCCCCTCGAAGAAAGAGACGCGGTGGATCTCGAATTGATGCTCCACGGCCTACGGCTAGGGGTCGAGTACCTAAGTCTCGACCTCGAAAGGAGTCTAGGCCTAGTCTCGCACATTTTATCCATGCGAGGCAGGACTAAGATCATTGGAAACTACACCGTGAAGGGGTTCGGCGCACCGCAGTGGAACGAGGACATCTATGTCGAACGCTACTTATTCGGTCAACAGCTGGGATGTCACATTGTTCGCATCGCTCGATTCTGCGCCGTCGACAGATCTGACGAACTTCGGCAAGTTTTTATTGACAGGGTTCAGGCTTTGCCTGACCCGAAGCCATGCATCATCGCATACGATTACTCGGTATTCGGTGTGGTGACTCCATTTCAGGGACAGATTATGAATCCTGTCGGACACGATTCTCTCGAGAAGTCCGCGCGTGAACAAATGGTCGGCGTAAGTACGACGCGGGGCACTCTGCGTGATATTTTTCGGAAAGGATGGCTTCAGCCACTCAACTTTTACACATTGGGGTCGAATGTCTATTACTCGGCTTCCCCGTCCATGCATAGAGCAGCATATGAGCACTACATGATGCCACACACGTTCGACGCCAAGCGCTGTACCTCGCTGGAGGAGGTGGACCGGGTTCGGTGCGAGCCCGGTTTTGGTGGAGCTTCGTTGGCCGCCCCTTTTAAAGTCGCCATCATGCAGCACCTCAATCATCTCAGCGCTCACGCTGTCGCGGTCGGTGCGGTTAACACGCTTTTACCGCTGCGCGGAGACACTGGCTCCATCCTGGACCACGCCAACGCCCGAAACCGAGCCGGTTCTGCTACTAAGTTTTACGGCGACAACACGGACTGGAATGCCATCATGACCTGCCTACGGCGAGCAATCAGCCCTAGGAATTATGTGCAACCCTCGCGAACGACGGCCCTCGTGATTGGCGCCGGGGGTATGGCACGTGCGGCTATATATGCGCTGATCAAGCTCGGTTGCCGGATGATTTTCATACATAATAGGACGAGGGAGAAGGCAGAAGAGGTGGCTACTCACTTCAATATGTACGCGGCGGAGCAGCGGCTCTTTGGTCGCCAGAATGAAGGAAAGAAAATTTGTCGGGTCCTTGAATCGCCTAGCGATCCGTGGCCAGAAGACTACCTGCAACCTACGATGATCGTGTCGTGCATTCCAGCATCTGGCACGGACGACAATCCGCCTGTGGACTTCAGAATGCCCGCACAGTGGCTGAAAAGCCATACAGGCGGCGTTGTAATAGAGGTAAGGGAACTCATGATACCCGCATAGCCACATATTTTCTAACAGATGCTCTTTATACAGTTGGCATACGAACCCCTCATAACGCCGCTGGTCAGTCAAGTGCGCAGCATTCGGGAAGAAGGCAATACCTCATGGGTTATCGTCGACGGCTTAGAGGTCGTTGGCGAAATGGCTATGGAAGCCTTTGAGCTGATGGTTGGCCGCCAAGCACCTAGACGATTGATGAGGAGGGTCTGTGATGAAACCTGGGAGAGGACAAGCGCACCTTTTCAACCACAAAGATAACTCATCGCAATTACTTGCAGGGCGGAAGACGGGAAACTGCTCTCGGGAGAATCACGGAGTCGCAGAGAGCAGAGCACACTTCAGTTGGTCTACATTAGGACCGTTACCAGCGATTTGATCGACCTATCCGTTGCCCCCGCCGTGGCTCGTCAAAATGGCTTTCAAGCTGTTTGGCAACGATGCCTACGCTCAAACTAATACACGGCTTAGGTGCCACAGACGTCGGAGATATATGTCCTTCTCAAAATGGACCAATACACAGCACGCCGGGGTTTCTGCTAATACATGCCTGACTATCGCGATTTTTTCAAAAATTCATTATATATATACCCACTACTTATGCTCGCAAAAGTCCGGGGAAAATGGCGATCTTGGTGTATATATATTACGGGAGATAATATTCGGCCTGGGAGAGTACGAGACAGCGCTTTTGCTCCAGTTCTGTGCAACTGAAGCACCGATTCGGCTTATCGGGATCCTCATGAAATTCATTAGCCGCGTGTTAGAATAGCATTAGTATGAAACAGTGCCAAACTAACAGTAACCAGGAATAGCCGGGTTCCATGCTGCCTAATTCATTTTCTGTCGAGCTTCAGACCTCTAAAACTAATAGAAGGTTACGAAGACATTGATCTGGTTCAAGGGCATCCCTCCTACCATAATTATTTGCTTTTGACGAGTATCACACGAGCCCAGTTTATACTTCTGCTGACATAATCCCGTCCCATATATTTAACCGTGTGCTCTTGTGCTCTTTCTTTCCCTTCCTTTTTCTCTTACCCCATTCCACCATCTATCACCATGAGCGATTCCAGAGATCGCGTAACTCTGTTTCTAGCACGTCTAGAAGCTTCTTCTATCCTTCTTGTCGAGTGGGAGACGAGCCTTCAGATACGTTTGGGCTACCCACTCGCGTCAAATGGAGTAAGTCGGCGAACAAACGCGGTCCAATCTGATTATGATTGATACTCGATCCCGTTACTGACTTTTCGATAGAGCCGATTTCTCCTCGTCCCTGATGCTCAACTACAGAAGGTCCAAGACATCGCCGCTGAGTTAGGCTTCTCGCCGGCGGACGAGGATACTCTGCGCTCCGCCTACCCATGCGAGCTGTCAGGTCTGGCGGTCCGCTACCTCATCGATGACGCAGCCCACGACGAGGGCCCGCCGCGACGCAGGTTCGTTTTTCTGCCCATGTCTTGGACGGGGATTACGCGCGATGAGCTCGTGCCGATCACGGTCGACGACGGCCTCTGGCCCACACTACCTAGTTCTGTCTGGACTGTACCGCTCCCGGCTGCGTGCGCTGCCTTCGCACGCATTGCCGCCCGCGAGAAACACACAAGTCCGATCCACGACGCGGTCACCGAGCAGCTTTCCAGCGTGATCGGGTATAGCCTCTTCGACATGAGCTACGAGGGAGATTATATGGAGTTCTTGCCCAACGACCAGCCGCTTTCCGATCAGGAGAAATTGGAGATTGAGCACGCCGTGATGGAAATCAAGAGTTGGGCGTTCAGGGAGCATGAAGAGTGGATCAGGGACGTCTTGATTGGCATTTACACTGGGAAGAAAACCTTTTCTGATCTGTCCAACCAGAAAAGCGCCACGCTATAGCCGCCCTTCAACGTACCATGTCAGGCTCCTCAACGGTGGTACTCATTTTCGTGTCGGCGTTTTCCTACGTCGTAGGTTGCCACGGATTTCTGGACATTCAGATCCCCGTTGCTCCTGCGACGCAACACGAACAACCGAGGCGGCTTAAAATAACGGCATTTTATAGTGGTGCGGCGGGACTAGGCCACGTAGGCCTTTTAATGAGTATTTATTAGGTCTTGTACTTATATTTTCATCGACTAGACTTCATCCTATAGACATTATACCCATAGATAGGAATTTACTCGTTTTAATTTACCTTCCTAAAGCCCCTATCTCCCTTTTCTATCCCTCCCAGCTACCTTTACAGCTGGCCGATCAATAGTTTACAGCTGTTTACGGCTACGATCTCGCCTAATCGGTATTAGGCCAGTTGTCGGCAGTTGAGCTGTTCTTGTCCTATCCGGTTCCCCTAATAGCGTGCCTACGCTGTTCCTCTTCAATATCCCGCTGGATTAGGGGGTCGAAACCACAAACTCGTATCAAACGAAGCTAGAAAGCACATGTTGCAGAACATTTAATGTTACGTAGCCTTGTTCCGGTCGTCGTCCTCCAAGACGGAGTCCATGAGTTGAACCAATCCGTCTTCACCAGTGCCCTCCCAGTACTCCCTCAAGGTCCTGACCGCTGAGTATAACCTGTCCACCTTGTGGGTAGAGTAGTCAATGAAGTCCACCTTTTCACTATGCTCCGCAAGCCACACCAGCAAGAATTTGACGTCGATAATGTTTTATTTAAGCTTAGTGATTGACTTTGGCCGGATACCCACGATCAGGTGTACGACAAACCGCTTGATCTTGGTAAGAGATCAGTAGGTTACTTAACGAAGGATAGGGTCAATTCCTAACAGCGCTACTTGGTAGTCTTCGTCATTTAGCTCATCTGTAAGGACCAAGACGTCGGGGCAAGAGGCGGGAAGGGTAGCTGTAGATACATGTATCAGCTTAGGTTTTTCCCCGAGGACCGAGATAGAGTGGGTAGGTACCTACTTACTGTCTCCGGGTCAGATGATGCTTAGATGGCTGGGAAGGCCAAGCCCTTCAATGGGAAGGGTTTCGATCGAAACATGCTGCTCTTGGTTATTGGCAGGCGAAAAAGTCAACTTGTTGTGCTGCAAAGAGAACCTTACATCGCTTTCTGTCAGGACTTCCAAGATGCGGTCTCGCAGCTCGGTGACGCTAGCAACATCAATCTCGATGTCAACATCCATGGTGACCCTGGAGCAGCCGAGAAGGTTGACAGCAAACCCCCCAGTAAACGCATAGTCAATATTGGGCTCGGAGAGAATAGCAGACGGCGCCTTTGCGGCTTGCAGATGAAGTTCTTAGGGAGCCATGGTAGGGGAGGACGTACGTGTGTGTGTGTGTGTGTGATGTTGGGACTGAGAGGCCAACTGCTGGAGCGTCTGATGAAGAACCCTATTATGAGGCAGAAGGGGAGAAAGAGCAATCCGACAGCAGTATTAACAAGTCCACCTACTTTCAGTCCAGGCACGGTGAAAACTGGGAAAGAGCAGCCTGACAGCAATGTAAAGAAGTCCACCTACTCTCAGTCTGGGTACAGGGAAAACCACATAACGGGATCATTTTTCGTGTCTACAGAAAAGGACCTCATATGTCGCAAATGCGACTCATCATTCAGCGAAAGGGCGATGCTAACACGACACGTTTATAGCAACACCTATGTCCCCCCCGACGTCCAGGAGAAGGCCCTGGAGCAGCGGATCGAACGATGAAGAGAGAAGCAAAGCCTGAGCCAGTCTCACCGTCAGTGCCGAACGCGGGGGTGACGTTGAGGTCCAAACCAGACGATCAATCGAGAGGATTTGAGAGAAACTCGTACTGTCAAGTTAACATCAGAGCAGACAAACGCGAAGAGGCGATGGATGTCTGCTAGGCTCCGGATGTTGAAATGCAATGGTTAACCGCACCTAACCGTAACAATGTTTCCCAGAAGCTGAAGTTAAAAAAAGGTGAAAAGGTGAAAATGAAGACAGCAGGCCAAGGACTCATCTCCGTGAACACCATGGCGACATTTCATATATTCATCCCAGGACAGATTCTTGAGATTAACGTTCAGGGAAATTTCGCTGTTACGGCTTACGTTTTAGATTCCCTAAGCCCAAGTATACCGCCGGGAACAATCTTCCTGAGCTCCAACGGAGCAATCATCAACTATACCAAGCAGAAAATCAAGTTCACCTCTTATTAGGATCTGGAAGTTCGGTTTCAGATCATTAAGAAAGCCCCCTGGGTTGTCTGCCGAGTCTGTTTGCTGCCGAAAACCACAATCCACCTAGGAGAAGTAGTAATATAGCGGTAAAGTACAGCCCCCCCCCCCCCCCCCCCCCCTTCACCAAAAAAAATAACGAGAAAGGAACAACGCGATACTACATGTTCTGTGCCACATTCGGAGCAGCACGGAGTTGTGTGGTGAACGCTGACTCTCGAAAAGTAATAATGCGCCAAGCACTATCCTATTTGCTTAGAAAATTTGACAAGTCGGGCCCGTCAACATAGAGAATGCAACCCATCGACACCATACCAGCGTCGGGTCACACGATAGCTGTTGAATTCATCCTGGCCTTACCAAAGGTCAGGCGATCCGAAATTTGGGCACTACTAGGAGACGGATTCGACTCGATAATGTCAGTGTCCGGTCAGTACGATAAAAGGACTATGGCAGCCCCAGGCCGATCAGACTGGACAGCACAACAATGGGGATGGCCTGGCAGAGAGAAAGAATCAGAGGTTAGAATTGGCAATTTGATACCATATCGCAGTGGACGATCAAATCCCATCGACCGACATCCTGCCTGCACTACAGCACCACCTAAACACGCTATACCTACACCGACACGATTAAACGATCCCTCCTCGAACTGTTGACAGGACACAAGCCCAAAGACAACTCTAGACGTCGTTTTCGGAGAAGACCGTGAGTACAATGAGGAAGCGATGAGGATGTTGTACAAGGAAGCAGACACGGCATCGACTCACGCAGCAGCAAACACCAAGATAAGGTATACCTAACGCGACCCACGACTACCGAAGCTTCAATAAGAAGGGCAAAGTCTACCTACCTCAAGCTACATCATGACTAGCAGCTTTCGGGAAATCTGAATCGGAAGTGACCGCGACAGAGAGCAGGTCCGTTTGCCATCATCGAGAAACAACAGCGACTTGGTTAGGGTGGGCAAGGGGCGAGCAGGGCCTGAGCAGGGGTGAGCAATATCACGTGGGCCGTGCCGGAACGGGAGATAGCGAGACCGGGACATGATGAAATTGACAAGGAGTTGGGGTTGAAAGATTTCCCTGGAATGTAGGTTCGAAGGACGCTCGCTTGGATTCCTCTTCTTGGGGCAGTGAAAGCTTCTCGGCACTAGCAATCGCGCTCGATATGATTCCCGAATTCTACGAACTGACTGCATCGCGAAAGGCCCCGTCTGTATTTCTATCTACCTAGTTAGTCGCAAGAGGCGGGGTGCGACCGGCGTTGCGGGTGAAGGGAGGATGAGAGATTGTCTCTGGTAGTCGGTGGAAACGTAGAGACTCCTGCGTGCGGTCCCGAGCCTCGTACTCCTCCTGCTCGACGTAGTCTGCGAAGCCGAAATACACGTAATTCTGAAAAGGGGAAAGAAAAAAAAACCAAGGTAATTTCGTGTTGTTTCCGAGTCGAGTTGAAAAGACACCGTGGTCCGAAAGATGGCTTCTCGCCTGTCGCTCTGATATAATATTCTCTGGTTGCCTATTTAAAATGGCCAGCCTCGCGTTTTTGTTGGGGTTGGCAGCCCGCCTGTTATGATCATTGGGGATTTGCCTCGCACGATGTCAACCGAGTAAGTACCTACCTACCTACCTACCTACCTACCTACCTGCTACTAACGTGTGATGGCTAAATTGATAGGTAGGTATCGTGGGAGCAACTACATACATATGTGTGATTTCGGAGACCACCGAGCTCGCCGTCGAGGATATCCTGCCTAGGGTAGACAGGCATAGCTAAGCGATTTCCGACGGGGGCTGTCGACGAGAGCGTCCTGCGTCCGTCCCCTCGGCACCATCGTAGGCGGGACGCGACAGGTAGGTAGGTAGGTACCTGTACCTAGTATAAGCCGTGTATAAAACAGGTACCTCGATGAACCCTGTCGATTCCGTAGTCAGATGACCCCCGGATCCAAACGAGCAGCATCGTGAAGATGAGGTCAAGACGGCTGGTTCACGAGACACACACGGTGCTGGGCCCTGTTGGAATCCCTTATGTCATCTCTCCGGCTTCGACGAATCAGCCAGAGGGCATTTTGCTGCCCATTTCACGTGGTTGTGACCGGCCCCCTTTCCCCGGGGCCAGCTGGGCGGCTCCAGCTGCACCCGCTGTTAGCAATGTGACCTACACCAAATACATAGATTGCCTTATTCGCGCGGGGGGTTCGGTGAGGCGGAGGGAGGTACTCGGCCAGCCCGAATCTGGAAGTCATCACATAGACTCGACGCTGAGTTCGTCGCAGCGTGTCGAGGCTTATCGCTAAGCGCCACGAACCAACACGGGGGGTGGGGTTCAGGGGGTGATGTAGCTCTGGTACCTATAGGTAGGTACCTACGTTCGCTACCTCAGGCACGTAAGCCCGCAGTGTAGGTACGTTAGGGAGAACCACCCCGCCCCCGCGCGCCCGCTGCAGGTCGTTAGCATGCATTAGGTACCTAACATACCATCCTATATTAGAGGCCCATCTGTGTCGTAGTCGGGCACCTCGGTATCTATCTACGCTTGCATACCTCCTCGAAACCAGTAGTAGCATTGCTACGACGCGTTGCGTGTTGATTCGTAACACGGAGGAAAGGGGAGGGGGAGACTGCAGCTAACCCACGATATGCGACAGATCGGCTGTATCGGGGACAGCGCGTGGAAGCGCGCCGAGGGAAGCGTCCAGATGCTAGGCGGCAAGCCGTCGTTTGATAAAGCCTCCGTTCGATAGGCCTCCCCAGACATCTGATGGTATTCGGGCTGGACGACGGAACCTTCCTATCGCCCGCGCGGAAGCAGGCACATGGGCGCTCTGATTTGTCCGTGTCGTCTTATCGCGACAGCCCACCCAGGCTACTTTAGGTACTGGCTGGAGGTGGAAGTTCTGAAGAGAACTCCACGAAGGTACCTCCTAGATATAGTACCCATAAAGTACTATTAGCGTACCTACACGCCCAAGGCTGGCCTTCCAGTCAGTTGCACAATGGTGTCTTGGAAATGGCGGCTACCTGGGGTACTGTTACCGCGAGTATGTGTAGATACTTCCTAACCTTCCTAGGCAGGTAGCATACATACCTGTAAATACCTTAGGTAGGTAGGTAGGTAGGTGCCTCAGGTAGGTAATGCAGACACCTATCATGGAATTTGCTAATCGGCTGTGCCAGAATAGATACGATTGGGGAGGGTCAGCATGGTGCCCAAGTCATCGGCAAGCTGAGTGAGAGGTGTGCGGCAGCAGTTGGCATCTAGGGAGACGTCGTCTGTTAGCAGCGCGATGCAGCTCGGATTTGCCGACGATAACTGGTGCATTCGGGGCTGGCAAATGATACGGCTGGACCAGCAGCACGAGCTGGCGACAGCCAGTCCGAGCCCGAGCCCGAGCTCTCCGTCCTCTCGACTTGCTTTTATACTCAATGCAGATTTATCGTGGCATTTCTTGCTTCGTCTGCGTATTCGTCAAGGTAAAATGCCACGCCCTTCAAGGCCCCTGACAGGCGCCGACAAGGTCAGCTGGCATCCCAGGATGCTCGCGACTACATACGTATCTAGGTATGTACGGATATACGAGACGAGTTGCTGCCACTCCCGCCGCTCCTTAAGAATCACACAGTAATAACCATCGCGGTGTGTTGGTGATGTGCGCAACTCGCTAGCCCGGCCTAGCCCGGCCCAGGCTCTTTTTGGCCTTGCCGTCGTCACACGCGCACCCAACACAGGACTTAGAGTCGAAGTGACTGGTTAAGCCAATATAGAAGATTCGCCAAGGGAAGAGGGAGGGAGGAGGCAGCCCAGGCGGCTGACCAAACTAAGGGATAGACACGACCCTCATAATACCTACAAGGAGGTAGATATCTAAGCCTGGCGCGTCGAATAGGTAGGTGCATGGGCAGACGTGCCCATTATATAGGTAGGTAGTAACTTTTATGAGCAAATCGCCACGCGCCTCTGAGGGTAAGGGGGGATGTAATGAGATGCCACAGCGGTAGGCGACATGAAGTAATCCTAACTTCATCAAGCCCAATTGTGTTAGTCCGATCCCCTCCCGATAGAATGGGGAATACCGAGTTGGCCTAGAGGGCACGACAGGAGGCTGTCCGGATTGGGTTCCCTTATTAAAACACCCTTGGGTTTCCCTCCTTTGGTCAACTACGTTAGACACCATCCTCTCCCCCCTCTCGTATAGCATCAGCGGACGGCGGACGGCACCAAGCCGCCAAAGCGCCAAATAGAAACCGCATTTGCGTCGTGTCTTCAAGTGTGGGCCTGTCGCCCATGCATCGCCTGTTCTGGCTGTTTTCAGGCCAAGGTTCCCCGTCTCAGCACTCGCTCTCTGGCCGGTCCCTTTCGGTTGTCGAAGATTCGATCGAAGCTCCAACGCCTGCTGCGTCATCGTCTCCGTCAAAGCCGAGGCAGATCTCGAAGCGAAACCGGTTCTCCCGTCGAGGCGTTATCGATAGATAGTGCGGCAACCACTGCCACTGTCAACATTGTATCGCAATCGTCGGAGGGTCTTATCGCCGGCGGTACAGGCAGGTCCTGCGGCCAGGTCAGGTACCTGCCCAGGTACCTACCCAAGTACCTCCAAGGTACCGCCGCGGACATCCACACCCCTTATCCTATCTAATCTGAGTCACCCCGGCCTTTGTCTTTGCTCATCGAGTCGCCCGCCCGCTCCTTTCCACCTGTGACATAACGACCGACGAACAAAGCCACGCTTCCCCATCACTTGACGGTGTCCTGCCTTTGCTTACCCTTTGACTCCCCTTGCTCTCCCCTTATTCTTCTCATCACAATCCCAGCTCGGCGGGGACACAAACAATTTCCCACTTCGCAAACAGAGAAACCGAAAGAAGAACCAGGCCTGCTCTTCTCTTACCTAATCGTCATCTTCCGTCTGCCCTGTGACTCGACCATCCGCTTCTCCCCCTGATCAGCTCTTCTTCATCAACAATCCAGAAAGCACCGAATCCCTCTTTCCCCTTGACACCGATCTTCTCCCTCTTCCTCATCCTACACGTCTAGCTCGTACTCGCAACCCTCTCGCCGCAGTGTAATTAATAGCTCATCCCCTGCATCGCTCTCACTACCTCCCAGCTCGCCCAACTCGCTTTTGAGATAAACGTGCGATACAACAACGCAGGCCATCGGGGATATTCATCTACCTCGAGGCAGCCCACCAAGACCAACATCATAATATCCCGCATCGTATTTCCCAAGACCGTTCCTGTACCGTCAGCCCACCATGACCTTCGAGCAAGCCCGGGACCTCCGAAGCTCCGCCCAGGACTCGAAGCGATTCAAGGAGCATGCCGAGAAATGGTCGCGGGGCACCCGGCCTTTAGCTGGACGTGTAGGTTCACTCCAATCCCCGTGGGGCGACCCGGGCGACGTGGCCATGGGCATGGTCCACCACGAAAAGATCCGACCTGAGCGGCATTTGAGGTGAGTCGTCCCGCAACTGTTTGCGTGCTGTCAGGAGCCGTCGTTAACATGCCCATAGCCATATCCGCCTTCCAACCCCAAATATCGTCAAGCCGCGAGGAAGCGGGTTCGTTCGACACGACCTTCCGGGGAATTATTCCCGCGCCAAGCTGAACGCCTTGGAAGAGCTGCATGACCAATCAAGCGTCTCTCGATCGATCCACGACCTCCTGCCGTCACCCCACACACGACGAAGCCACAGCATCTCCGATAACATACTATACAGCTTCGATAGGGCCGAAAGTCCGGGGAAGCCGCTGACGCTCGACGTATTCGTCAAGACCAACCCCAAGGAGACGGAGAAATTCGTCGAAAAGGAGTACGAAATCCTCGACAACAACGGCGATGCCCTCAAGGGCCGGAAGGCTCGTCAGAACCTCCGCCGCAAGAATCGCGGACCAACGGCAGACGAGCCGGAGGTCATCGAAGACGACGGCTTCGAATTGCTGTAAGACGAGGTAAATCGGATCGCTTCGAGTGCTCGTAGTCCACTTTCACAATACCGCGACTGCATCCATTCTTTTGCCTACAAGGTTCATCGACGTTGTCGATGCTCCTCCCATTTTTTCTCCTTCCCGAAAGTGGGATCGTCGGTGCGATGCAGTACGCTTCGCCGTTCTTATGGACCCGTCACGACCGAAACGATTTTGATTTATTCGACTTCAACCGCAGCTGTGGTCTAGCATTTCGGAGGAGTGTGCTGTTGGTGTTGGCATTAGATTTCTTCTCGCACAGTGTCCCTGTCGCCCCGAGCATGCGCATTTTAGACAGCAACAGGCTTCTGTACGATGCATATCCTATTCGGAGTTTTGGCAGGCGATGCTGAGCCTTACTTTGACCGTGGAGAGAAGGTGTGGTTAGAGGAGGACGGCTCGGCGTATTCTGTCTAGTAGATTGTGGTGGTATGTTTGGGTTGACGGGCACACGTGCTGTTCGGGCCGGAGCTGACAGTTCCAGTTGGGTGTATTGAGCTATCGTTTTTAATTCTTGTAGCATCAGGTATCATTCAGCCCCAATACATACCACGGTTTGTTTTCACCGCGGACCTCTGGAAAGGGTATGAGATTTATGATGTCGGTTGTTCGGGTTGAAGAGGGCGACGGTGTAAGTATTTGAGAAAAAGTGAGAAATCGCCTATTCTCCAAGTTGTGCGCCTCTCTCATGGTCCGTGCTTGATTACATAAGCTATGTATCTGCATTCATTGCCTCTTTGGCTTGTAGGTATAGTAGGAGAGAACTTGGAGGAAGAAGTTGTAGCTACTTGTAAGCTCACGTTTATGGCTTCCATTTTTTCCCCCGACTGGTAATTCTTCCTATCCGACTTGGTTGCCTTGTCTCTTCCTTTCGTACTCTATACGCCGCCTTGTCGAGTTCCGCTAACACCTACCTAAGCTACCTACATTTAGCCACCTTTAGTTCAAGTGTTTACCTCCTAGTTTGTAGTGATAAACCCCCCTTGGGTTCATTACAAGGTACCGAGGTTTACGAAGAAACATTTCTGTATTCATAAGAAGGTAGAACGCGTAGGTGAGTGCACTCGTCGCCCTTCGACGTGCGTGGCGAGCGGCGGATGTTAAGAATACTGAGGAGTTAGGTACGTAAGTAGTGGCCAAATTTAGGTGCCTAGGTACCTAAGAATGCAGTACCTAATTGTAGGTGGATGTATTTGCTACCTAGGTATATCCCGTTATGCCAAGCTTTATTCACTAAGCGAATTCTTTCCTAGAATGGACGTGTTCCCTGCCAATCTCTTATCCGCTTATCGAGGTAGGTAACGTCTGTACCTAAGTCAACGCCCCCAAGCTTCGAAGCTATTTCGGTGTGTTTGCCTTCACTTCCCCAAAAGCCATCAGCATCAACACATCCGACAACATTAATTCCTCCCTACACGCGACTCCCGGGCCTAACCTCGACCCCATCCCTCGAAGAAGAACCCATATATCTACGCGTCCTCAGCACGTCCTCCTCGACCCTCGACGACACCCTGAACCGGTGAACCAACCCGGCTCTTCGAACCAGCCGACTCCCTCCTTCGCCCCCCTCCCCCCCTTACCCTCCCCCAAACGCCGCCGCCGCCATGCCGTCAGACCTGTCCAACTACCTCGCGACGCGGTACCTCGTGGCGGACCCGAAGCCCTCCAAGAAGCGCAAGCGCAAGCCGGCCGGCGGCGACGCCGCGGGCCTCATCATCGCGGACGACGACGAGTCCGGGTGGGCGAGCCGGGGCGACGACGGCGCGGACGGCGAGGGGGCCGCCGTCGTGGCCGGGACCAGCGCGGAGTTCCGGCGGGCGAAGAAGTCCGGGTGGAAGGCGGTGGGCGGCGCGGCGAAGCCAGCAGACGACGGCGACGCCGCGGAAGCAGCCGCGGTGCTGGCGTCGGCGGCCGCCGAGACCGCAGCCGAGACCGCGGACGCGGACGCGCCGGTGCTCATGTCGGACGGGACGCACGCGGGGCTGCAGAGCGGGGCGGCGGTGGCGGCGCAGCTGGAGGCGCGGCGGCGGGCGGAGCGCGAGGACTTTGAGCGGTCGCGGCGGCGGCGGGGAGGCGGCGACGGCGAGGCCGGAGACGAGGAGACGGTGTACCGCGACGCGACGGGGCGGCGCGTGGACGCGAGCATGCGGCGGGCGGAGCTGCGGCGCGAGGCGGAGGCGGCGGCGGCGAAGCGGGCGGCGGCCGAGCGCGCGCTCCGCGGCGAGGTCCAGGAGGCGGAGGGGCGCCGCCGCCGCGAGCGCCTCGACGACGCCAAGCTCATCCCCGTCGCGCGCCACGCCGACGACGCCGAGATCAACCGCGAGATGCGCGACCAGGTCCGCTGGGGCGACACCATGGCTCAGTTCATCGGCGGAGGAGGAGGGGGGGGGGGAGAGGGGAAGGGGAAGGCGGAGAAAGGGAAAGGGAAGAAGAAGGACCAGGAGAAGGGCAGGCCAATATATCAGGGCGCCTGGGCGCCGAACAGATACCAGATCCGCCCCGGATACCGCTGGGACGGCGTGGACAGGAGCAATGGCTTCGAGGCGGAGAGGTTCAAGGCGATTAACCGCCGCGAGCGGAATAAGGGCCTCGAGTATGCGTGGCAGATGGATGAGTGAAGTGGGAAAAGAAAGGGGGGGGGGGGAAGCGGGGGGTTACGTTGGGAGGTACAAGAGCAATCGCTACGGGGAGTCGTCTATGGTAATAGACATAGTGTGTACTCTGCATACACTGGTGATAATGGAGACCTCTATTGTCGGAGGAAATACAAATTGATTAAAGAAAGCATACTGGCCTCTTGGATATCCACCCTGCAAATTGTGTATTTACTGTCTACCTTACTAACCTGTAACTCTGTCCCACGGTAGTGTGGGCTTCCCTCTCGCGAACTTCGTTGATTCCGCTGCCCACCTCGTTGCTACAGGGAAACAAAGCCTCATTAATAATAACGACCATTGGAAAATGGGGGAGCGTGCTTGCGAGCAGCAGGCTCTCTGCAAGGCCAATCTTATCCCTGACGAACCGCATTGAAAAAAAAGAGGCACCCACGCCGTGTTCCTCGGGACCTTCTCGCCTCCAGGTCCGAGGGCTCCCGCTGGATTCTGACTAGATATAATCTAACCCTTTCTCACTCTCCGTTCTTCTTAGATACCACCACGGTCTAGACACTACGATAGTGCAAGGGACTCTTTCCCGGGAATAAAGAAAAAACTAAAGCAGATACCCCCAAATCAGAAACTGCAGGCCCTGCATCCGAAATTTGGAGTGTCCAATAGGGCGGAACCCCTCGAGATGAGAGAGAATCACTTAGGCCTTGCGACGAAGCAGCTTCTCCACCGTGTTGAAGTTGGCATTCTCCTTGACCAGTTTGAGCCATTCCTTCCGCGACATACACCCTGGTTTCTCGACGCGGTCATGGAACCGCTTCAAAAGCGCACCGATAGTAATGCCTTCTGGAAGGGGTGGCAGCGCGTCAACGATTTCTTGAGGTGTAATAGTATTAGTGTACTCCTGTGTTGGGCTCTGAACCGCGGCGCCGGGGGAGTTAGATCTGGGAGCGGAGGTTGCTCCTCTATTGGTGGGCGGATTGGCGCCCTGGAGAGGCGCAGGACTGCCTGCTCGCGAGCCTGCAGGCGTGCCTCTTCCACTCGTACTCATCGGGCCGAGCCGCTTCTTCTTGCTTCCCGCCCCGTCTGACATCTCGCCGGCTGTGCCTTCACCGTCGCTAGTGGAGCCGGCACCCGGCTTCACACGTTGATTGCCGGGTAGGGGTGTGGTGCCGCGGCTACCCGGACCTGAAGTTGTATGTGTAGTCTTCTTCTTCTTTCGGGTAGACTCGGTACCGCTAGAGTCTGAAACCATGGGAGATCCAGCCCTTTTCAGAGATTTGCCCTTCTTTGCCGCCTCGGCAGCCGCCTTCTTTCCTTGAGGTGTGTTCGCTCCCTTAGAGGAAGTGCCTGAAGCAGCTGGCTTGTCTTTATCTCCCTTCTTCTCCTCGTCTTCCTTCTCATCGTCGTCCGAATCGGATTCATCCTACCTTTATATTAGTCTTCCACAGGCCAAATCGAGAGGAACGAATTCTTACCTCTGAGGAAGCGAAGGGATCCCTATCCCGAGATGAATCGCTCTCGTACTGGAACTGCTTGTCACGTCTCTTCAGCGCTTTCTTCAGATCCTTGCCTAGCAGCTTTCTCTCCTGCTCTTCCTTCTGCTCATCAGCCTCGTCCTTCTCGACCTTGAGCTCATCAGCTTCGCCGAAAAGATTAGCATTAAGCTGATCTCGGCGGATGCGACTATTAGCCTGTCGAGTATCCTCATCTCTGTCGGGCTCGTATCCAGCGGTTTCGTCGTCATCCTGAAACTCGTCCCCCGACATATCAATGTCGTCATGATCCATTTTCTCCTGGCGAGAGGACTGTTTGAATGTACCGCTCTCCTGCTTGACGGCCGTGCGGCCGTTCACGATAGCACGGGATTCCGCCATGGCCTTTTCAGCCTCTGCGCGCTGGGTGTCTCTGATAGCCCATCGACCTAGCGCGACCTTCCTGTTCATGGCTTTTTCGGCTTCCTCGATCGACAAGGCCTGGAAAGCCCCACGCTTCGAAGTAAACTTGTACCATTTTTCCAAAGGCACTATCCGAAACCCACCATTGTGAATGATCAGCGCGACTTTGCAGTCGGACAGAGGCGCTTCGTACTGGCCGACCCAGACGTTCTTCCCATCAGCGTCCTCCAAGTGCCACGGCAAGGCCTCTTCGTACCGAATCTCCGACTCCTTCTTCTGCTTCTCCGTGCGTGGCTGATAGTAGATCTGCATGCCGTGCCTCTTTTTGGGGTCTTTCTGTTGCTTTCCTTTCGGATTCGGGTCCTTAATGGTAGGTGCCTTCAAGGCGTCGTCGGCTGCACGTTGTGCTTCTCTCTCGGCTTTTATCTGGGCGAGCTTTTGAATCTCTGCAGTATCGACAGGCGCCTCCTCGACTGGAGGCGGCTCCTCCTTCACGACACGACCGGGCGGCGGCTGTCTAGGATCGCGCCGATGCAATGTTACGGGACGTGTGAATTCGTTCTGACTAGTAGGGTCAACTCCCGGGTCGCCAGGTTTCGGTGCTCTGGCCCCCGGCGGAGCTAGTCTCATCACGTGGAAGCGCAGACCTTCCTTCAAAGACTTCTTGGTGATAAATAAAGGATACTCCTGAGCATCAGGCGGTTTTGGGGTGGACCACCCATCATTCTGTTTACGCAACGCTTCGATGTCCGGCGGGCCTTGCTTTGCTTGTGGCTTGGTACTTGGTCGGGACGCGAGGTTAGGTCTAGTACTAAGAAAGGACGGAGGGGCGGCGGAAGGCGGCGGCCGGTGTACAGGTCTCTTTCTGGGAACGAGGGGATTTCCGGTAGGACGTGGTCTACGCCGCAATGGGGCACCCGGAAGACCCGGAGGAGTTGGTCGCTGGCCGTTAGGGTCGCCGGAGGGCGACGCGCTTTCGCTCATGGCGCCAACGTATAGAGAAGCTGGGGTTGGCGGTCGGTCACTAGCTGTCCAGGAACCGCGAGACTGTTGACGGATCTAACCAAGCCCACCGGCTTATGGGGTTATGGTTCGTGAATGCGCATCGGCGGATGCTGGATGGTGTCGGGCGGTCAACGATGGAAAGCTGACTGTGACGCGAGGGCGTGGCCAGCGTAGGTATTGTATCAATGGTCGCGACCAGGTCCGGCTCGGAAATGCGTGGAGAGAATGCGTGGGCGGGATGCGTGGGCGGAATGCGCGGGCGGAAAAGGAGACGTGAGTATCGCAATAAGATATGCAGTTCTTCGCGTCGGAATCGCGAGCCGGGGTCGAAGCAGACGTCGTCGCAAGGCAGCCTGGGTTGTGGCGAAACAAGATGAGAAAAAGAAGGAAAATGGATGAAAGAAGAGGTAAGGCAGCGAGCCGGAAAATGATGAAGGAAAGTCGGACGGGTGCAGCCACTTTGAGAAGAAGGTTGTGGGTCATTGCGGCGGCCATCCACCGACGTGCCTCCGCCTTATGTAAGCGGATGCTGGGGAGGAAAAGTCCCTGGTGTACCCGACCTGGCCTAAGGCAGGTACTAGGTCCATAAGGTTGGACTACGAGGTAGGTACCGGCTCCACCCCGTAACAGTCTTGCATTGCCCTGATCATCTCCCTCGGGCGTCGTATCGGTACCGAGACCCGAGCCCCTGGTACCGATCCGGTAGGTTCTAAATGTACCTAATACAGGTCCGTAATGCATGCCACAGAAAGGTATGTAGGCACCTATGTAGGGCATGTCCGTAACCACAGTCTAGGTACCTGTAGGTGGATGTCTGTAATACCAGGGACCTTGGGTGAGGTACCTACCTACCTACCTACCTAGGTACCCTGCCTCATAGTTACCGTCTGCGGACAGCCGCTTGCCAAGAAAAGATTGAAACGTGGGGTGCTGCCAGATTGGAGAGGTAGGTACCTCTACTTACCTGTAGTTAGGGCAACGAGGTACCTCCTACATAGGTACCTTACCTTACCTCCCTCATATTCTTCCAACGCTACCTCTCAACAAGAGTCTGTTCAGGCTGGATTCCCAGCTGCCATGCGCTGTGCCAGGGACTGGGAGGGGGTCCGGCACACGACCTGCGTAGTACCTGTACTTACCGACCTAAACTGAACCGCGTATATGCCTGCTCGGATCACAGCCTGATCTCCTAGTAGGCACATGTACACCGTCCTCCACCTAACCTGAGCCGCCTCGAGCAAAGCCCCGCCAATATCTCTAGGAATGCTTCCCTAGGTAGACCTCTCTCGACGAGTCGGCGGCCAATCAGCGTAACAACCGCCGCCTATCGACTTATCGGCCCTAGTCTTGGGCCATCCGAATTTGAGGCTCTCACTTTGTATCCCCGTTAGGCCTCGACTCGACTGTTTTCTTGTCCTTCTCTTTCCGAGGCCTCTTCTTCATCCGCTTCTTCCCCTTTCCAGTCCCATCTGAACCAGGAGCCATTGATACGATCTTGCTGTACCTAGATTCAAGATTGCGCCGTTGATGATCGGCCAGTTCATATCTGGCTAACGCCGTAGCTTGTTCGCCGCACGGCCAGCATTTCTCTGTACCCATCACCTTCTTCCTTGGAAGAAGCTCCGATAAGGTTGGGCGTGGAGTATAGCCGCGGGCCCTTCAGACCGGACCCAGAGTTGCTTCAACAGACAGAAAACCGGCCGGCCGTACGGCCACCATCCTTTAGGGTTCGGCTTCAGATCTCCTCTTCACATTCCCACATATCACATTTCAAGGGTCCCGACTTTCCCTTCGGAACATCCCCCTCAGGCAGATTGCACCCGAGTCGACTCCAAACGGCATTGGCAGGCAATCTGTGAGTATGGGATATGCGAGTCGATTCAACGAAGAGAAGCCTTGATGTACAGATAGTGATCCGCAGGATCCGTCTACCCTAACTGCCACCGTGCTATCACACAGAACTATCTCGTCTCCGGTCACCACAATTCCGACGACAAATCTCACTACTCGCCATCGCAGCCCCGCATCATGCAGGCACCTCAGCCGGGTGATCAACTTGAGGGTCGCTTGCGGAGTCTCATTCTCAATAACGCCGAAAACAGTCCTCGGGCCTTGCCAACACCGATCGTCTCTAACCCGACTGAGGGCAGACCTGTGGGCGGGCAGTCCGCAGCCAAGGGAGGATGGCAGAATACCAATCAAGCGCCCGCTGCTACACAACCTAACCCCAAGGCTAGCAAGAAACGCCCAAACCAAGCCCAGCGTCGCCAGATGCAAACTCAATTATCTATCCCTATCGACTTAAGAGCACCGGAGCATAACGATGCAGGATCGTCCTCAGCAACCTACCAACATCGAAGGCAGCGGTCAGCATGGCAGAGCCCCGAGCAGAACGCGTTGCGCCCCAATCCAGGCTCACACCGTGGCGGTTCCCAGGGCCGCTCTGCCACGACGAATAATCGCCCATTCCCGCTTCCGCGGCGTCATAATAGCGAAGCCGGACAAGCATCGTCTTCTATTCCGAGCCACCATGCTCCCTGGAGACACCAGCAGCCGCCAAACCCCGATGCAAGAGGCGTAAGCACTGCGCCAGCAGAGCCATTTCCGCCCCGCCGCCATCGGCCCTCACAGTCCGTTCTATACAACCCCGGCGGGCAGCGCCCGCTTACATTCAGCCAGGAGCAGCTTGCGAATCAGTCTGGGTTGCTTGACCGGTTATGCCACACCGTGCTTTCCGACGCTGAGATCGGGCCTGGCGAGATTGCTGAGAAGGAAGACTTCCGTGCCCATGTGGAAGCGATTTGTCGCGAGATCATCAGTCGCTACGAAATGGAGGCAAATGGAAATTTGGAATTTCAACCTCAGTCGGTTCAGTTGAAGTGTTTCGGAAGCCTTTCCTCTGGGTTTGCGACAAAAGCAGCCGACATGGACCTCGGGCTCCTCTCTCCCATGTCGAGATCGCCACCTGACGCGTTTGATTCTCCTATCCCACGCCTGATCGAGAAAGCGCTGCTGGACCATGGCTTCGGCGCGCGTCTGCTCACACGAACACGAGTGCCAATCATCAAGCTCTGCGAAAAGCCTACCCAGGCGCTCCGTCAGGCGCTCCTAGGTGCACGTGTGAAATGGGAGAAAGGGCTAGACGACGATACCCATGAGGCGGCCGATGATGCCCTAGACGACCAAGAAGCCCCAACGGGTACCAGTGCTGCTGTCGTTACTAAAGCCGAGCACCCATCCCCGAGTAAGCAACAGGATAGTTTACAGCACCCATCCGATGATACAGTAGTTAAAACATATGAGGAGCAACTCGCGTTATTAAGACAGTCAGAAAACCAGTCTCTCACCACATTCTATAACATCGCCAAACGGCTTTTGCGCCGATTAAATGGCAGAGATGTCACCATTTCAAATGCAGCAGATTTTAAACCTGCTGATTATGAGATTCTCAACGATGTTTGCAGTGCCTTCATCAATGGGCTCAGTGACAAGAGTCTGAAAAGCAGAGTGCAATCAATCCCATCCTTGTTTGTTGACAGCCCGTTGCCTAATCTCCGGTCACTCCAAGGGGTTTTCATGATCATTGAAGGCGAGAAACATGTGATCCTTTGGGAAACACAGGCAATGGCCGAGGACAGGCAGCGTGACTCGGCAGTCATTCAAGCATGGAAAGATCTCCAAACCAAGCGGACATTTGGCACGGACCCCGTCAGGTTCAATCGGGACCTTCACTTGGCTCTCCAAAGACTCCGTCAAGTCCCCTTAGTCCAACTTGTGCAGTTTAAGCAAGACCAATACGAATCACCAACACAATATCACCAAAGGGCTGCTAAGATCATGACTGACCTTGGTAGCAACCCCTCTTTAAACACAGATCTATCTACCCATATTACTCGACAATACATTCTTGGTATCCGTGACCCGAATATTCGGGAAAAGGTTCAAGACTTTACATCTTCTGTTGGACAGCCAACCTTGAAGACAATTGCTAGAAAGCACAAGGCCGTTCATCTTGCTGCTGAATATGAGAGGGCAGTTGAGAAAGACTTTTACAACAGGGAGGATCATCCAGTCATCAGACAATATATCCAGATTCTCCGAGGAGAATTGCTGCAGCAAGTACCAAACGTCCATGGATATGTCATCGATGAGCCCGCCTTTCATGTTCCAGTTGCTGGAGATACCATGGAAATACTAGAAAAGATCAAGCAGCTTCCCGACCCATCCCAGCTAACCCCGAATCAACCCAGAGACAGATATCACGACAAGTTGGAATTCTCCAAGAGTGGCATCGGGGTCCAGTGTGATATCAACTTCTCAGCACACCTGGCTCTACAGAACACTTTACTGCTCCGCTGCTACTCATACTCCGACCCCCGAGTCAGGCCCATGGTGCTCTTTGTCAAGCATTGGGCCAAGGCACGCGGTATCAATACTCCGTACCGAGGTACCCTCAGTAGCTACGGCTACGTTCTCATGGTGCTCCATTACCTCGTCAATGTTGTAGATCCGTTCGTCTGCCCGAATCTTCAGCAACTCGCGCCTCCGGACCCGGACCTTCCGGCAGAGGCCCTCGAAGGCCTCACGACTTGCCAAGGTCGCGACGTGCGCTTCTGGAGAGACGAGCAAGAGATCCAGCGCCTCGCCATCCAAGGCCGCCTCAACCAGAACGGAGAGTCCCTCGGGTTCCTTCTGCGGGGTTTCTTCGAGTACTACGCGCAAAGCAGCATGATGAGCACCGCTCCCAGGCGCGGCTTCGACTGGGGCCGAGACGTCTTGAGCCTGCGAACGCACGGGGGCCTGCTCTCGAAGCAGGAGAAGGGGTGGATAGGAGCCAAGACGGTCATGCAGCCGCAGACGGGCGCGCCGCCCAATCCGGCCGAGGCCGAGCTCGCCAGCGCCTCGAGTCATGCGCCCGCGGACGGCGCCTCTGCGCAGCAGCAGCCACCCCACCCGGCCGACGGGGGCGCGCCGGCGACTCCGACGGGCCAGCCGCCGCGGCCCGCGGAGCTGAAGGAGGTCAGGCACCGCTTCCTCTTCGCCATCGAGGACCCGTTCGAGCTGGAGCACAACGTCGCCCGCACCGTCACCCACAACGGCATCGTGGCCATCCGGGACGAGTTCCGCCGCGCCTGGCGCATCGTCAAGCACGCCGGCAAGACCGGGCACGCCGCCGAGGACCTGCTTCAGGACGCCCAGGAGGAGAGCAGCCGGGTCGAGCGCCTTCGCTTCGAGGAGCTCCTCGCCGAGATCCACGGCCCGCACGTCTTCCCGGACCTGGCCCCGAATCGGCTGGAGAGCTAGCGGGTCGGCTTTGGGGACGTGGTTTTTTTTTTTCTTTTTTTTTCTTCCCCCCCCCCCCCCTTCTTGAAAGATTGGGTATGCTTCGGCACCAGGAATGTCAGGTAAAGCAATCAGTTGGCAAAGACGCGACGGATCTGGAAACCGGGAGGATATGTTGGCGGGATAGGTTAATTTCGTATAATTCGTCGCAATACTTGCTACTCAATTCATCATCTCCCTTGAGTTTTAACGGTTCCCTCAACATGGACAACCCGCCCCCCCCCCCCCCCCCCCTTCCCCCAAGATGGAAGCGGACGCCGTGATTTAGCTGTTCTCGTTACGCAGGTTGTGACCTCGGATATTGCCGCGTAGAAAGCCATATATCTACCAAGATCTCCTGCCCAGCGAGGTGTGAGCGCCCGACTGCCGGCCGTAGTAGTAGTGTGCATATAGTCACGGGGGCACATAGTTTGGGAACGTATTGTTTCGATCGATTATCATCATCTCAATTTAACACCCATTTATACTCCAGCGGGCTATCCATAATCTACAACGGGGCCGCCCGCCTTTACCGAAGTTGGGAATTACACATGATGAGAAGTAGCGTGTTATTTGAATTGTACGAAGTTTTCTCTTGCCAAACACTCATGATCCACCGAGGAGGATGCGGTCATTGATTGAAAAAAAAAAAGAACCCGAGTGACTGGCCTTCTAGCATCGTGGAGTCCTCAAGAGGACGATTTGATCTACCAACGTTCCGTTCAGAGGCTTGTCCTAGAGGGACTTGGAAGCCCTGGCTATCCGAAGATAGCACCGTTGGAGGAATTGACATTTGAAGGAGAGGTACTCCGGAGGGGAGGACCAGAGCACACAAGGTTAAGTCGATTTAACATACCTGGAATGACAGCTTTGAACGAGGTATCTGATTTTGTCCCCGTAGCACTATCCGTTGTCTTCGGAAAGGAAAAAAAAACCTCGATGCCCCATCTCTATCCCGCCTCCTCCTGGACGCCATACCAATACCCACAACCTCACCTATCGATGTCTTTGTTTTTCATAAAGCGTACATAACTGTACGCAATGACAGTTTCATTTATAGTAATCGTGACATTTGGGGTTGTTTAGTCTGCCATGTGTTGGAATAGGGGCGAGATAGACTCGCCGTAGTGGTTCCGTCGGATGGCTTCGGCCAACAGATAGGAAAGGTCGAGAATGACCAACTTACTTGCGTTTTTGGCTCTCCTCTCAGGTATTGGGAAGCTGTTCGTGACGATGATTTGGTCGATACACTCGCACGCTTGTAGCTGTTCGAGGCAGTCGGCTCCAAACACTCCATGGGTGGCCATGCAGTACACCTTCTTGGCCTTGCCTCTCTTAACGACCGTCTCGGCCGCCGCAATCCACGAGCCAGCTTTGTCAATCATATCATCAATTATCAAAACTGGGCGGTCCTTGACGTTGCCAACCAGAGTGATCATGTGCTCGATCTTAGGATCTTGGAGTTTCTCTTCCTCCTCGTCAGACGACTCCGCAGCATCCCCCGAGCCGCCGAGAGCATGGGGTTCGGGTGCGAAAAAAGAAGACGCGTGCGACATGGTCATGGGATCCTCGTCGCCGCCTTGGTATGACTGGCTCCCATCTGCCCCATCCGATTGCGCCGGAGACGGGAAATCATCCGGTACAACGTGGCCTTGAACCAATCTCCCGTGTGTAACTTCCTGCGCGCGTTCATCGGTATACGCCTGCCCCTCGTCGCCGTTCTCCTCCTCATCCTTCAATTCCTCGATGGGAGACTTCTGAGATGGCGTGTGATATGGTCGTGCAAACGGTGACCGCATGGGATTAGTAGTCCGCAGGGGCGGTGCATTAGCACGCCTGGGAGAGCCTTGAGGATCGGCCGTGGCTCTCGACCAGGTCAGACCGATACCCTCGGATTCCCTGTCCTCTGATATGGTTCTCGAATGTCGAATACCATTCACGAACCCTGGTGGATTGTCCCATCCGTCGAGGTGGTTCATGATCATGCTCGCGGACATGTTAGGAGCGCGCTTACGGTCTGTGGTAACCAGACCAAAGTTGAGCTTCAATGCGTCGGCCAACGAAGTGACCCTCTTGGTTCCGCCCGCATTTTTGGACACGACGACGGCCTCTCTCCAGTTAGGGATGCTTAAGCGAATCCAACGTGCAATGAGGGGCTCGGCGTGTAGGTTGTCGACAGGGCATTTGAAGAAGCCCTGCATCTGCGAAGCATGGAGATCGACAGTGATAACGTGCTTCACGCCAGCTACGTGAAGCAGATTTGCTAGCATGCGGGCGGTGATAGCCCCTCGGTGCGACTTTTTCTTGGATTGTCGACTGTATGGGAAGTACGGAAGGACAGCTATGAGGCAGGGGACGCGCGACGGTTAGCAAATAGATGCCGATTAACCAAATCCATCAACCATATAGAGAGGCTAAACGCTTCCGGCCCACCACTTCTCGGGCAGCAAATCGCTTTCAGCAACTCACCGGTGATTTTACTCGCGGAACCGCCTTTGCAGGCAGATATCATAATGAGCAGCTCCATGATGGTGTCATTGATGGTGGGGCTGCCCGACTGCACAACGAAGACATCTTTATCACGGACACTAGTCAGTATACGGACACTCGTTTCGCCCTGGAGTTGTGATGACAAGACGTTAGCGAGGGAGGTTAGAGGTCGGCTTTGCTACGAGGGTGTCGCCCAAATCCACGTCCGAGAGCTTGCGTGGAGAGGAAAGCGAGAACTGAAAAGGGAAAACGGACATTGGAAAACTGAGACAGGTCAGCCTCCGCCGGGGCCATGCCCAAGTTCTGACATATCTTGCCAGTGAGGGCAGGGCAGGACGTGCCCGAGAATACCAATGTTCCTCGCATGCTGTTGGATGATGAAAAGTGAGGAAAAGTTTTGGCGGTGGGCGAGGCGATCTTGACTTTATGTGGGTCATATGGAGGGATCCGACCGGCAAGGAGCGCATGCCCATACCACATACTGGTAAGAGGTAGGTAGGTACCTACCTGTGATAAGTGATCCGCCTCAGCAGGCTGTTATCGGGTATGTATATGTATACGTACACATCAATTCTATGAGAAGCTACTCATATCAGGTAATTACCTGGGTAGGTACCTGCCTACCTAGGTAGGTATCTACACGTACCTCCTATGCAGCTTTAGATAACCGAACAGAGGCAGAGAGATAAGGCCCATGGTAGGCCCCGAGCTTAGAACCTTGGGTGATTGTAGGTACCTGTTACGCGCCCATCTACCGACCTCCCAGGTAGGTACATCAAGGGTACAAGTGACCGCATCCCGTTTCAGTACCTCCCCTCCTACATTTGGCGTCACAACACCTACATATATCTACAGGTAGGTACCTCTTAGGTAGGCGCACCTCCGCGTTAGGTCCCCCCTATCAAAATCGATAGCGGGACATGTGACCAGGCCTCGGCGGGTATTTTCGGCGGCCAAACTCATTTTTTTCGTAGATTTCGATACCGGGAAATGCAAATCGCGAACCACCATCTACCCCGGCTTCCGACACTAAAATAATAAAAAAATAAAAAGTAGCCCCCTTCCATACTGGAGGCACATATCTTGAATTCTGACGATGCCGCGCACCCACCTATGCAAGTACTTGACTTGTCGATAGGTTGTCGATTAAGATGCTCCCAGCCGGGCACACGTAATACTGAAAGACTTTACTAAAGAGTACAAACCCCGACGTCCACACAGAACAAGCACGAACGGCCTAGGATATAACAACAGCCTAGGATATAACAACCAAGGGGCTGCCATGGGGATCCGGGGACTCCTCGGTCCTATTCGGAAGCATGGAGTAGTCGGACCTCTGAGCGGCGAAAGTGTAGTCGTGGACGGGCCAGCTCTCGTCCACCGCATCTTCGAGTCCTGCATGACACAGGAGTTCTCGTCGCCCCGTGATAGTTATCCACCTCCATATTGCCTCCTTAGCCGCCTGGTCATAGGGTGGCTGGACGATCTGGAGAAATATGATGTGAAAGTGTAAGTCATCTTCGAGGCAAATGGGTATGCGAACCGTGGTTGATATCAGATACGATAGGAGGAAGATCTATTTCGATGGATATTTGCCTCCGGCCAAATGGGGCGTTAGGCTAGAGCGACTTACCCAACAATACCAGGTTATGAAGGGGCTAAGGAATTCCCACTTTGAGGGACTGCTGAGGGTACCGGAACACGCGTTTCGGGATATCAAGACCGGCATAGGCATGACCAGCTTGACGATGTCATCGACCACTGACAAGCACCCCAAGCCCCCCTTCCTGATTCCTTCCGTCCTCGACGCTCTGAGAAATAGCCAAACCTGGGGACGACTGGTCCAAGTCGTCCCTGGGGAAGCCGATACGTACTGTGCGCAAGATATTCGGGAGAGCGGGGGCACCCTACTGACAACCGACTCCGATCTGCTCCTCCAAGATCTTGGGCTCGAGGGGAAAGTATCACTCCTCCATGACGTCGTACTCTCCGACGACGACTCCGAGAGCCCCCGTGTTATGGCACCCCAATTCACCCTTGGCGAAATTAATAAAAGATTAAACTTGAAACGCGTCGGTGGTCTCCTTCGCGTTGCCTTTGAGATGAAAAGGCTTAATACAACTTTTGAGTCAGCTCTCCGGAGTATTCGCAGCGACGTTAAACGCGCACGACATTCTAGCAAGTACGAAAGCTTCGTAATGGGATTCCAGCCGAAGGAGGACTTGGGAGACAATCCGCTAGTGCTTGGAATGATCTCTAGCCTCGACCCCAGAACCTCGGAGATTGTCATCCAGACTTTGTTATCGAAGGCTCGAGGGGCCCTCTCCGGGGTCCTGACCACGGAAACCACGGAAGCATTACGAGAGCTCGATATGCTTTCTATTTTTCTGCCCGTCTTGGTCGAGAATCACCAGAAGAGCAGTGCATGGGAAACGAGTACGGAGGTTCGCCGGATCGCATACGGCGTTCTTCGAAATTTTCTATACGAAAAGTCAGATGCCATTATCGAATATCGCGCAAAGCCAAGCATACCGAAGACAAACACAAAAAAGTCGAGCACATCGAAGATGGGGCGACACATAAACGTTCCCGACCTGGAAGAGATGGCAGAGCTATGCGCTAGCCTCTCAGACGTTCTAAAGAAGCTAACCGGGGCATTTGGCTCTCTAGAGATACGATGGCTCGCGTTTGCCATATATCTGGACATACAATGGTCGGTGTCGGAAGAACGGGGCTCCCCATCTGCCGTGCTCACCAACGAAATAATTAACCGACCCGCAGAGGCATCCGAAGACGCCGAGAACTACTCGTGGGACCTGACACACTTCACAGCTCAAGTTCAGGCCTGCCTGTTTTCTCTCCGTATGGGAAAACAGCTCTTAGACATGCTACCCGTTCCAGGCCGAGAGCTTCCGGCACCGCTAAAGCAATTACGCGACTACCTCGCGCCGCTTCCTCTCATCCAAGAGTGGCCTACGGCTGGTCGCATGACGACGCTACTATCCCAGTTTGAGGAGGCGAACGGCCTGGCAACAATCGCTGGCATCCTGGGGCTCTCCAGCGCCGAACTCAAAGAGGGCTCTGCGGTCGCTGCCAAGCCGACTGGGGGCCAAACCCGAACGATGTCTTTCGGGGATAAGAAGGCGGCAGGCATAGAGGTCCCCGGACTTTGCCCTAGCAATCCTTACGATGTTCTCAGCCATCTCAGTCAATAATAGGATACGTACTTTGCCCAAGCCGCCCTGCCGTTCCCAGACACACTCCGATAGCCTCTGGAGACTTTTCGAGGAGGCCGGTCCTTTGCCATTCCACTTCCCAGCACTGCGAGGCTGTCCTCAGGGCATCTTCAGGATTCGAGCCGTATCAGGAAACGCTAGTCCGTGTGCAGATCAAGCAGTGCAATTGGAACTAGAAGGGAAGAATTCCAACTTGAGGGTGGAGAGGGCGAGTCTAGGATGATGTTTAGGTGGGTAGTTACCGTTACTTACCTACCTACCTACTTATGACGAGATACCTACTATAGGAGGTTCAGATATTGTAAGAATGGCACTATGAACACGCATCTTCAGACATACCTACCATTAAACGCATAGGCGGTACGCTTGGCGCGTTATTTGCATACCCGAACGGTCATATCGAGTCATAGGAAACCCGTGAAGCCTTAGCCCGCTAGGCACCAACCGGCATCGTCCTGAACCCGACTCCCCGATATGCTCGCCTAGGTACCGAAGAAGGACTATTAGCACAGGCTTGCATATGTACAGGTGTGCTGGCGGAACTGGCGCCTTACTTGCCGTATTAAGTGCTTTGCTGGGTACCTGTAATATCGATCGGCTTCCTTTCCTCGGCAGCTCCTCTAACCCAAGTACTACAAAGGACACAGGCTACAAAAAAGACATATATCCCCGCCTGTCAGCCGCACGGAGACAACAAGTACCTAAATCACACGCGCTACCTCCCGTCCTGGGCCGGGTCCAGAAGTGACAAGTTAGGTACGGAGAGGTAGTGGAGGTAATGCAGGACTGCGTCGCCGATGGAAAAGTCCTACATACCTCCTTTGATACCTAGGCATATATCTATATACATAGGTGTGTATATATCTGTGTGCGTGTCTGTAAAACAGGCCTCGACTTGTCGCTTCTCCTGCACTTCGAGTTCCAACTGAACTCCTCTCCGTAAAACAAGTCCCAGCAGACTTGCCCTAACCTGGTCATAACCTGGTATTCACTGCGTCCACGGCGTGTTGTTGTCTGCCGCCAGTTACCGTCGTCCCAGTACCCGGGCCGGCCCACCGACCAAGATGGCAACCACCGCGTCCCTTCTGCCGACCTTCCCGCGGATCTTCTTTCTCTACCTCGAGCCGGTCGCCATGTAAGCCATTCCCTGCGCGCCCTCCCTCCCTCTTGCCCGGTCCCCCCCCCCCCCCCCCCCTTCCCCCCTCCCCCTTTTACGCTGCCAACCAACCCGCCCGCGCAGAACCTACGGCATTATCCAGAGCTACGCGTCGCGGCACGCCGTCTTCGAGCTCTCGTCCGCCGCGTCGGGAGGCGGCGGGGGCGGCGGGGGGGCGGGCGCGCTCCCGGTGCCGTCGCTGACGCCGCCGGCGATGGCGTCGGGCTACCTGCTCGTCATGCTGCTGTACGGGCTGGCGGTGCTGCTGGCGTCGCCGCCGAGCCCGCGCCTGCTGCGCCTGCACATCGGCATCCTCATCGTCGCCGACCTCGCCCACTGGGCCGCCCTCGCCGCCACCCTCGCCCAGTCCGACCCCCGCGGCTGGCCCGCCGTCCTCGACACTGCCGCCTGGTCCCCCGCCCTCTGGAACCTCGCTACCTACCCCGTCTACACCCTCGCCATCAAGTTCGCCACCCTCGCCGGCTGGTTCGGCAAGATCGGTGGCTGAGGCTCCGCCCTCGCCCTGTTCGCCTGGCGCCGGCGAGGGGGGGAGCCCCGCTGGTTGGGCAGCGGTGTGAACTTGCTGCCGAGCGTAGTGGTGTCGGTTGGTGTGTGTAATGGTGGTGCTACGAATGAGATTACGTTAGGACAAAAGGTGGTTATGGATATGGTAGGGAGAATGTAGGTTTATGGAGCGGTTGAGGAGGAAAGGCCTCGCGACGGTATTAGTGGTGTTTATTAACAAGCTATTCCCCTATTCTACCGGTATGGACAGCCCTGAAATTCACGGAGGCATGCTTTCTTTAATACCGAGCTATTATATTCCCCAAGTCCCCCACTGTCTCTTCAAGGCCGGCCTCCTGCTACCCCTACAGGTAATCTACCTGTCTCGAGGTGATGCCATGTGTTTCACGCCCTGTGCTGGTCAGAAGTTTTGGCCGCCGCCCGCGATGGCGGTCATGTTGGGGTTGCCGGGCTTGATGAGGGTCTTCTCCTTGGGGAGGGCGTCGAGGACGGCATCGGAGAGGTTGAGGGTGTCCTTGACGACCTGGCGCGGGGTCAGGGCGAGCCACTGGCTGGCGCTGATGTCGCTGAACTTGGGGGCCTGGAGGACCTCGAGGAAGATGACGTCCTCCGTGCCCGTGTTCTCGACGTAGTGGCCCGCCGACTTCTTGATGTACCCAACGTCGCCGGCGGTGAAGTCGAACGTCTGCGACGCCGACGGCGCCTCGTACACCGTGATGCGCGCCGAGCCCTCCAGGAAGTACGACCACTCGTCGCTCTCCGTGTGCCAGTGCACCTCCCTCATCGCCCCCGGCTCCAGCACCACGAGAGCCGCCGAGAACTGCGCCGCCACCGGGAAGGTGAGCGGGTCGAGAATCTTGACCGAGCCGCCCGTCGTGTTGTGGAACTCCTGCTGCGACCAGTGATACGTATACGCCGAAGCTCCCCAGAGTGCGCCGGCCGAGGACGTGATGTTCTGCTCCGAGATGTTGGCCGGTGCCGGCGTGCCATTGAAGATCTACAATCCCCTTGTTAGTCGATCTACGCGGGTACAGCATCGCCCAGAGGCACGATTCCGCTCAAGGCACTACCAACGTACATATTTCTGGTCATCGGGGATGTCGTCGAAGGAGCTAACATCTGTCTGGAAATCCTTGGCCCAGACGGAGACGGGCGTGCGCAAGAGCATCTCTGTGGCGAGGAAAGTAGTTTCTTCGGAAAAGTCGCCGCTATCGAAGACTAGCAGGAACTCGGCACCCTCGTCGAGGGCCTGCAGGCTGTGGGGGACGCCCTGGGGGAAGAACCACACGTCTCCCGCCGTGACGTCGTCGACGAAGGAGGCGCCGTCCTGGTCGATCGCCGCGACGCGAACCGAACCCTTCAACACCAGAGCCCTAGTAGGAGACAAAATTAGCCCTCACCTCGGAAATCTAGGGGGCCGGTGCCATACCATTCAGCCGAGGTATGCCAGTGCAGCTCCCGGTACGCGTTCGGGGAAAGGCGCATGTCGACGCCGGCCATGGCCGTTGCCACGGGAAGCACGTCCTGATTCTGCTGCCGGGCCCAACCGGAGTGCTCGCCGGAGCCGAAGTGGTTGTGGCTGAGGCCCAGAGGCCACATCGCATTGGGAACGGTGCCCTGGTCGGTCTCGGGCGGCGCGTAGACGTCTGGGTTGAGCTTCTCGTACTCGTAGGTGCGCGGCCCGGGGTCGGTGGCGCCGCCGGAGCCGCGGATTGGCTGCGGTCCGTTGGGGTACTCGGCCCCGTTGAAGTCCAGGTACAGCCCGAGCTTGCCGTCGGCCTCCTGCCCGCCTACGAGCTCTGGATCCGGAACTACCGCCGAGTCCCCCCCAGACACGGGCGGCCGCGAAGCGATGCCGCCTTGCAGGTTGGTCGACCCGCGCAGGTCACCCACGGGAGCGCCGGTAAAAGTTGGAATCGGCGGGCTGATACCACCGACATCTCCTTTATTGTCCTCATAGTTCATCCTACGAGAAAAGTGTTAGCCAGCTTAGTTTTGACAGAAGGTTGTGTCTGTATTGAGAACAAGCGATGCTTGCCCCTATTCTACTTACTGTGGTGCAGGGAGAGCAACTGCTAGATTGACTAGGCCGTAGCCAACGAGACACCCCGAATACTTCATTCCAGTGTATGAACCACGTTCTCTGTCAGGAATGTCGGGGCGGATGTGTCAGGTATACCGGAGATGTTGAAGCTTGACTTGACTCGATTCCTTGGGATACCAGAGATGACTCTAGGAGCGTTTGAGCGTGGGAAGTAGACCACATTTATATCCGACGCTTTCAACCTCATCCCCGCCCTCTCTCGCGTCGGCACGTTTGCCGTCGCTATTGCCGTCATCATAGGTAATACATACTGGCGGTCAGTTCTCATCACCCCTACTGCCGCCATTTGGATAACCCCGTAGGGGTACTTTGTAAGTGGCTACTAGGGTCACTGTATTGACTTGGAGAACAAAGACACATGGGCCAGGCGACGAACCCGGTGTGTGTTACAACGACTCGATGGATATGGCCGTCATCGTTGGTGGCGCCCAATATGCTGGCGGTTGTGACATCGTGCCCTCTGAACCCTGTATTCCTGCTCGGATGCTCGTATGCGGAATCTCCCTTCCGGAGCCTGACTCAGTACAAACCCCATTGATGTTATTCTACGGCAGGACCGTCCTAACAGAGTTGGTCCCTGAGGTGTATAGCACACCGAGCAGCTCAGCCTCACATGCAGAAGCGTTACTAATCCGGAATGTAGGCGCTACAGTGAAGATGCCGAACCTATCCCGTCGTAGGATTCGTAGAACGTGTGCCAATCTACCTAGTATGCTGACATTAGCAATCCCGAACGAGGCCGAAGTGACGATGGACTATAGCTTCCGCTTCCTGACGGACATGACCACCTATGATGATGGATATATCATGGGAATAACTTTAGAGGTCAGAAGGAAATAGTGTCACGTCCCGATCTTGCTGGCACGCACATAAAATCACGGAGCTACACTTCCTGCAGGCCCTGCTCCATCGTGAACGTCGCCAGCTCTCGTCAATTCGGCTCGGAATCTCTGTTATCGATGCCGTGTCCGCGATTGACAGCAGGTCAGCTTACTTGTTGCCGAACGCCCGCATCTATCTAGCTCGGCCTGGTCAGCAACGCCAGGGCGCCCAATCACGTCCACCGGCGAACCAGCTAGCGGGATGCCGCTCAGCAGGAGGGCACGTATGAGAGACCTTGAATTACTCGAGAACCCGATAAGAACGACGGAGCTATGGAAATCCCTTGCATGACCATGTAGGTCAGACCGAACACGCATGCGAGTTGTCTTAGATTCCACTTCCGAGCAACGGAAGCTGCAAAGTAGTGGTCGCGAGGCGAGTATCTTGCGAGGTAAACGTCTGTCCCGGTGCCGATAGATCCGGAGGGGTTTGTCTCGCCGTTATATGGGGATTATATCGAAAATAGATGCCTTTGTCAGGGCGGAGTAATATAGGGAAAGGAGGTAAGGGACACGACCGAGGTCGAAAATTGATCGTGCAGGTGGCGCTTCTCTAGAGGCCCTTTCCATTTAACCCTCTTGATAGACGACCTGGGGATACCCTGTTTCTATCGTTAGAGCCCTCACGATCTCTCGCCTCTTCTCCTCATGTCCTAATGGGGTGATTTGGGGTATAGTTACACCACAATCCACTGTTTGATACAAGGACAGGCGAGCCAGCAAGTGAATCAACCCCTATATAAGACCTCAAGAAGTTTTTGCTTCGTGAGCAATACAGGATTCACCAAGGTTGTAAGTACTAGATGGGATAAGACCCTTTCGCAACAGCAGATTGTCACATCTGAGTTTATCGGCTCCAGGCTCAAGCTCACTCGGTGATAACGAGGATTCCTACGGCTAAGCCCAAAGTTTACTCCAGGTCACAAGATCCCCCCCCCTTGTATTCCGTCCCCCCCCCCCTGACTTGTCCATACCATCCCCGCCATTACACCTATTCGCCCCCGAATCTCCAGGTGCAGCTTATTCGTCCACTGGTCACACCTCCGATCCCACCTACATAGATTAAGATTAGGTTACTCCATGGGCGCCGTTGGCGGGCAGGAAACCATCAGTTCACTCGCAAAATGGCTAGCAACGCTACTGACTCGTCAATTTCTCCCGCAGGGCAACCTCTAGGAGTGGAGGAAGAGGACTACGTCAACGCAGCGGAAAAGAGTCCGCGATGGCTGCTCTCCACGCATGCCCTCGCTATCCGCGCAGTGGTCGGCTTCGCATTTAGGGCTATGAACAGCTTGGACTCGACGATCCCGGCTATGACCGAGACCATCTGGGTCGACTCAACCCTGGGGCAGTGGCCAGGAAAACAGAAGATCAGCGTCGATGTCTGGATACCGCCCCGGGCGCCGGGCAGCCCCGAGCCTGCAGGGAAGCGACCCGCAGTCGTAGATTTCCACGGCGGCGGCTTCATCATGGGCCAGGCAACCGAAGACGCTCGGTGGGCGGGGGTGCTCAACCGCGACGTGAACGCCGTGGTATTTTCCGTCAACTACCGGCTCGCGCCCAGCTACCCATTTCCTACGCCGGTCGAGGACTGCGTCGATGCGACCGTGCAAATCATCGGCCTCGCCGATAAGTACGACATCGACCCGGACCGGATCGTCATTTCCGGCTTCTCGGCCGGAGGCACGCTGGCCTTCAGCACCTGGGTCGTGCTCCAGGACCCGGGCAGGTGGGGATACCAGCTGCCGAAACACCTCCCGCGGATCGCCGGCCTGGTCCTCTATTATCCCGTGCTGGACTGGACCATCGACCGCCCCAAGAAGCGCCTTACCTGCGCGCGGCCCGACTTGACCCTCCCCAGAAACTTGACAGACCTCATAGACGCGTCGTACCTATACCCGGCGCTCCCGCGGGCGCAGCGGGACGACCTGCGGCTGTCGCCGGGTCTCATCCCCGACGATATGCTCGACAGGCTGCCTCCCGTCCACATGTGTCTCTGCGAATACGACATGCTCCTCTCGGAAGGTCTCGCGTTCGCGAAGAGAGCGCAAGCACGAGGGAAGACCGTCAGCGTCCGCGTCGTGGAAGGGGAGAGGCACGCATGGGATAAGCCTCCGCGGATGACAGCGAAGAAGAGTGTTGCAGTCGAGTACGGCGAGGCACTAAACGCGATCAAGGAGTGGTTCGACAAGACATCTCGGTAGGCGGCAGACATGCCGAGGCGCAGATGACTTTTAAGAACAGATAGGTACATACGGCTGGAAAGGGTGGAAGGTCACAACACGGAATATCGCAAGGTTGGCGTCAAGAACGTCTGATAACAAACGTCTACCTTAGGTACTTACAATACACCCCATGGCTACGTACCTATAGCGTCCATCTTTACTAGAGGCTGTAAGAGGAGCCACGATAAATATTATATCTTTCCTCCTGACGGATGCCATCATCGTGTGCTGCTATCCCGCCAGCTCGGATATTACGCCTGCCGTGTTCTTCGATTAAGTTGCTCTGCTACGTTGCCAAGGGCCATGTCGCTGAACAGTTGCAAAAGCCCAATTTTATAAGCGCTACAAAGAGTGCGTGAAGATAGATAGGCCATGAAGATGTAACCATCGAAACCCCCACCCCTCCTCCATCCTTCCTTTCCCCCCTTTTTCTCTGTCACTCGTACGAAGTGCCTACATAACACGAAAAGAACGGAAGGGCATTCCCCTGAAATCTTACGGCGAGCCTCTCCGATCTGCACATGTGTCTAGTCAACACCTGCACCTAGTTAGTTCACCATGGCAGAGACCGGGTAGCACAATCGTGGAATCGCTTTAAAAAACACTTACGCATTGCTTTGCACCGATGCAAGACGAAAATTAAGAGTTGGGGACGAAAAGATGGTCGGTGGCAACGGGCTCATTACGTCATAACGGGGGGCAACCTGTATAAATGTTCTTAGCGCGGGAGCAGCTATCGGCCGCGTAGTGTAGTGGTTAGCACGCAGGATTTTGACGACAAAATTCCTGAGACCTGAGTTCAATCCTCGGCGGGGCCTAGTCTATTAACTGTCAACATTTTGTCCTGGAGTGCAGGACCGTTGGGATATTCACTTTTTATCGCTGTGTTTATTTTTGCCTTCTCTGGATTCTGCGCGCTCTTGTCCTCGACGAGTTTGGTTTGTCTGGGATGCGGCTGGGATGCGGCTGGGATGCGGCAGAGATGCGATTACCTGCATATAGGACTCGGTCCCGATTCAGTACGCCACATTAGGTCGTACCTAGAGATGGATAATACAAACGCTATGCACGTAACAGGCAGGTAATGAACGCACAACCGAATAAACAAATGCAGACAGAGTTACATATATACGTACAAGTTTATAGATACGTGGACATGTATTCCTATATGCCGCTTTGGAAATTCCGGGTCCCGTTGCAATATGACAAATGCCCATCTCGCAGAAACTGGCCCGAACCGAAGCGCCGCGATACGGAGTGGGAGGTGGGGGTAGCTAATGATAGTGGACGGCGGGGTTGAGCACACCATCAATAGCGCGGGGACTCGGCACTAGAGTCTTCAGCAGTTCGATGCGTTTACGGCCACATACATTATCAGGTATTGATGTGTATTGCTACATTATAAGCACCGGTTTTTCCACATCTGCCTCAGAGGCAGTCGTCGACTTAATTCGTCCCCGTCTACCGCGCCTGTAGGTTTCAAAGGTCACATATGCCCATCCTACGACCCGTATCCCTCTCCCTATCCCGGCACTCTGCACTCTCCGCGCTTCCTAGAGCCTTTATCGCCAGCAGTTATTGTGCGCAACCGCTCCGCAGGCGCATAGTCTCACTCGCCGCCGCCGCCGCCACTCCCCTCGTCTTCCGCTCCCTTGCCGCCCCTTCGGGATCCAGAGCCATGTCGTCTGCGGTCGCGAAGCGCCTCGAGGGTAAGACTATCGTGATCACGGGCGCGTCGTCGGGCATTGGGCGCAGCACTGCGCTTGAGTTCGCGCGCACGGCGCCGCGCAACGGGCTCAAGCTCGTCCTCACAGCGCGCCGCATCGACGCTCTGCGCCAGCTCGCTGAAGACATCGCCAGCGAGGCTGGGCCCGGCAATAACGTCCGCGTCCTGCCCTTCCGCCTCGATGTCAGCAACCCCGACGAGGTCCGCGGCTTCGTTGCCGCCCTACCCGAGGAGTTCCGCGACATCGATATCCTCGTCAATAATGCGTACGTAGCTTCTCTTTTACCCCCCCACCGTCTCCTTTTCGGCCGCCAGGTCTGTGTTACAGTCGGCCATGTACACTACCATATAACGAAGTCTCCTCGGACCTTCCCTAACCGCGTGGTCTCTCGTCTACCTTTTCATTCATCTATGCTGACGGACGTGCACGTCATGGAACAGCGGCCTAGTCAAGGGTGTCGCCCGTGCGCCCGAAATTGCGGAGGTTGATATAAACATCATGTTTGCGACCAACGTCACCGGCCTTATCAACATGACGCAGGCTGTGCTGCCCATATTCCTCGCGCGCGACGGCGGCCGCGGCGATATCATCAACATCGGTAGCATTGCCGGTCGTGAGCCGTACCCCGGCGGTGGCATATACTGCGCCACCAAGGCTGCCGTGCGCAGCTTCACCGACTCTCTTCGCAAGGAGCTTATTGCCACCCGCGTCCGTATCGCCGAGATTGATCCCGGTCAAGTCGAGACGGTAAGCCGAAGGCCACCCAGCCGATGATGTCCTTGCTTGCATGGTGTGCCTTCGTCACTTGAAGAGAAAATACTGACAATGTTTTCGCAAGGAATTTTCTATTGTTCGGTTCTACGGCGACAAGGCGAAGGCAGATGCAGTCTATGCGTGAGTGTCTTCCACCCGGCTCGAATTGTTACAATGCTAATGCTCACTTAAGCGGCTGCGAGCCTCTGACACCTGAAGACATTGCTGAAATCGTGGTGTTCGTTGCTGGTCGGAGAGAAAACGTCGTGGTTGCTGATACGCTCGTCTTCCCCAACCACCAAGCTGGCGCCGGAATTCTACACAAGAAAACGTGAGGAGACCCGTTGCAAAAAGAGATCTCCTGTATTTCCCCGTAAGACTTTTCCGCAAGACCTGAAACCTTGCCCCGGCCAGTCATGACTAGGTAGATGCGGTTCTATTGTGAAAACCGGAATGTTACAGGCTCTTCTCGCCTTTTCGTGTAGAAAAAAATGGAAAAAATACAGCCTGTGGAATAGGGGCTAATCAATGCACTTACCTGGCGGCTGGCGATCGTCTTGTCATCTGAATCGGGTTGCTACTCCCGGTCAGTAGAATTCATAGACGGGGATACTTGAAACTTAGAAGGGGGACAAAAAACTCAGATAAACCAGTTTACTCATTCACGCAAGTCGGTCTTCTAACTCCACATCTCAAGACGAGACACGGAGGTTGAGGACGCTGAAGCCAGCATAACACCGCCCAACTAGCCTCAACCGAAAGCTGATGCCGTTAAGAGACAACTCCACAACCGATCATCGCGCACCCAAAAGAGTAACTACGGTGCGGGAGGGTGGCTTGACCCGCTGTGAGATAGTTGAATGGATAAACTATTCTCATCATAGGAATAGGGTAGCGCTGTGAGAATATGGCTTCTGCTTACATAGAAAGACGTAACTTCTTTCGTCCGACATCGGGGGCAAAGCTATTACTAACCACAGGTTAGCTATCAAAGGTAGGGAATCACAATATGCTATAGTAACGAAGTGGGACACGGAGTATAGGGTCAGAGTTTGGTATTTTGGTATGTAGTTATCTTCACAACACTTCAGAAGCAGAACTGAAAATATAAGACTCATCACAGACAGAGAGCAAGCGAGAGGTGGTACATAGAATGCAAGTACTACTTACCGATTCCAGATGCCCCGGGAGCAACTATGGCTGGTCGTAGGCAATGTATGATGATGCGGCGCTTCCCTGCAAGATGTCAGCGGAAAAGCTGGGGAGGGTAATTAATGGTCCCATAGCAGGTTCATGCTTCAGATGGTAGTGCATGTTTGTTCAGATGCTCAGGAGATCGCAGGAACAGTGGAATAAAAATCATCAGTAGCGAGCGATGGTAGCGGCATAGCCTGGAGAGTCCGTGCCGGTAAGGAGGAGAGGGTAGATGTTCCTACCTTATTATGACCATGGAAGCCCAGGTTGGGTTATTTCAAGCACTGGGCGATCGACCCTTTGGGGGCATGCTGGATGAAAGCGCATATCTGGTGGTTATGGTATCGGATTCATCCCATGGCAGCCTTAGAACGACAGATCTGATATAAACCTGATATTGATTTTATTTTGCCAGCTGCGATCTGAAGTGGTGACTGGACGGACGAATGCCTCGTTGATTTCAAGACCGTGTACAATGCAGAAAGGAAAAAGTTTTGGGGCTTCAATCCATTTGAGGTCAGGGTCCTTTCAAGAAAATGTTCGGAGGCCGGCAAGTTTTCGACCGATACGGTGGTCTGTGCATAGCCTCTTGCTGTGCTCAGTAAGACGGGATACCTCAGGCATTAACATGTCGTGTAGGTACCTGGAGATGTACCTACGTAAAGTACATTAGGAGGCACAATTCCACCAAGGTGGGGCAGTCTTTTTGAGGTTGGATTTTCAATCTCTAGAAGCTTACCCTGCTTGACCAAGCATCGACAGTTTGGAGGAGTTCGCAGCCATTAACAGAATACCCTGGGTTGGCCTACTAAATTCCTCATAGCCCGACAGCGATGGCTGACCGTAGAAGAGTAAATGGTCCGGTGGGCCAAACTGCTCCGCCCGTCTACGATAGCCCTCGATCGCGAAGAGAAGCGAAGCAACTTGGCGACAATGCTATACGGAAAATCTGTGGGTTGCTTCCATGCCAACTCCTGTACATTTATATATATGCTGACTTGGGCTGGGACTAGTCCTGAAAACTGGAGTTACTCCTTCGGCTTCCGGGTCTGCATATCTTGAGATCGAAGACCCAAATGCGACGGGGCCTTCGAGCACCAGCTTAAAACTCACCTGTACCGTCCACGGCCCCCGAGCCCTTCCACGATCCGCACCCTTCTCGCCCCATATCATCCTCTCGACCCATGTGAAATACGCGCCCTTTGCGACGAGGCAGAGACGAGGCTACCTACGCGACGCTAGCGAGCGAGATCTAGGCGTACATTTGGAAACGGCCTTGCGCGGAGCCATCATCGCGGATCGCTGGCCCAAGAGCGGTGTTGACATAATCGTCACAATAATCGAAGGAGATCAGAATCGAGATTCCCCGGACTATGACGGCGACGAAGGTTGGGACGTGATGAACGTTCTGAGTGGCTGCATCACCGTCGCCTCTGCTGCGATTGCCGACGCGGGTATCGACTGCGTCGACACAGTTGCTGGCGGCGTCGCAGCCTTAGTGGCTAAAGACGACAAGAGCCCGCCATTCGTCGTCCTCGACCCCGACGTTGCTGGTTATCACAAGATATTCGCCGCGTGCTGTGCGGCCTACCTACCGACGAGGGACGAGGTCACCAACATCTGGTTCAAAGGCCAGTTACCCGGTGCGGATGCCATGATCTACAACAAGATGGTAGAGAGAAGCCTCGTAGCCTGTCGGAACGCAAATCGCGTTCTCGTCTCGGCTCTGAACGAAACCGTTCGCTCAGGGTAGCAGGCCCCACCCCGAGTTTGACTAAACGTAGGTATAACCGCAACTTCGCCCATCGAACGGAAAGTAGGGCTTCGGCTGGCGAAATAGAGAGGTACATGAAGATTTCTTCGTGTCACGGTACATATATAATGTAGCTGGGAGCAGTAGGGCTTCGGCTGGAGCCTACACGTATTCCCACTCACTGAATGTGTAGGCCGTCGTCTTTCCTCCGGGGTATCCACTACCGTCTGCACTCCCGTGGTCTCTCGCTATACGACGAAGGCGTAGGCGATCGATAGGAGAGCGCTAGAGAATCCGTGATGTGGCCTAGGAAAGGAAGGAGTGATAGCACACGCTCAAGCCGACATGGGGGTATTATATTGACAACTGGAGCCCTGACATGGCATTTCACAAATCCGCACAGCCTCGCGTCGAATATCGACCTGCGATATGGATAGACGACGTGAACGGCGAGTGAGGACTCAGCCATCACCCAATGTGCAAGCATTCTAATGCGTATCGGATTTAGGAGATGCGCCTAGAATTCAACGGGTGGTCGACAACACGACAACGACGACGTGTCAAACCTATAGCTTACGACCAACCAATGAGCATTGTGCGTAACAAGGCAAAAGCAAGATTTGCCACGGGCCGATGCCGTATCCGATTCGCGCTGGAGTTGTGGTAAATAGAGTTATTATATGATATAATACCCAAGATTGGATGTAAGCAAGAGCTTCACATTCGCTAATTACTACCATACAGGGAGGGGGGGGTCTATTAACACTATGTCAGCAACCCTTTCTATAACTAGACATAGTATCTGCCTCGTAATAAAAAGGAGTTAAACTCTAGGCTAATATTATTACCATTTCTCGATATAGTTACCATCCGGACATAATGTCTTTATTTTTAAAAAAGGTACATTCCATAGGATTACCCGGTTACCTCTATATTACTAAGTACGTACCTTTGTACCTTTATATCTTTTACGTCTGTTACCTTAGGTATCTCCTAACCTCCTACCTACCTACCTACCTACCTCTTCCATAGGTTCGAAGATAGATAAATAGATTCTACGTACGCGCGCGCGAACTAGCTCCTATAGGTTCGTAGATAGGTAGATAGATTCTACGCGCGCGAACTGGCTTCCATAGGTTTAAAGATAGGTTTAAAGATAGGTAGATAGATTCTACGCGCGAACTAGCCCCTATAGGTTCGAAGATAGATAGATTTCATACGCCTAAATAACCTCCCATAGGTTTAAAGATAGATAGATTCCATACGCTTAAATAAGCTCCCATAGGTTCGAAGATAGATAGATTCCACGCGCGAACTAGCTCCCATAGGTTCGCAGATAGGTTCGAAGATAGATAGATTCCACGTACGCGAACTAGCTCCCATAGGTTCGTAGATAGGCTCGAAGATAGGTTCGAAGATAAATAGATTCCACGTACCTAAACTAGCTTTCATAGGTTTAAAGATAGGTTCGCAGATAGGTTCGTAGATAGGTTCGTAGATAGGTTCGAAGATAGATAGATTCTACGCGCGAACTGGCTCCTATAGGTTCGAAGATAGATAGATTCTACGCGCGAACTGGCTCCCATAGGTTCGCAGATAGGTTCGCAGATAGGTTCGCAGATAGGTTCGAAGATAGGTTCGTAGATAGGTAGTAGATCATGGTATTTATAGAAAAAAGATAAAGATAATAGGTCTAGGTAGGTAGGTAGTCTAGGTAGGTAGGTGGTCTAGGTAGGTAGGTGATCTAGGTAGGTAGGTAGGTAGGTAGGTACCTATGGAATATATAAACATTATATCCGTCTGGATATTAGTTCCTACGTAGTTATAAAAACTATCCTGAAATAATAAGAAGAAAAGGTAATAAGGTCGGTACCGTAACCCTTGCTATAATTCTTTTAGCCCCTCCGAAAGAATGACTAGTTAAGGTAACCCTTACTAGATTTAGTTACCGTATCGGTACCCCGACTCTATTACTGACATACTGTCCATAGACCCCCCCCTCCTTGTATGGTAATTAGAGCGGGCGCCGTGCTCGATAATGCATGCATAATCAGTTGTGACCCTGGCGGGCCGGTAGGCGCGTGCGTGCGCGTCGATGCACGCATTCCACGTTGATGCATCTCAGCTAGGACCGACCTACCGAGATCCTGAATTCCGTAATAGCGTATGGATGCATCCAGATAAGCACCTCCTCCTAGCCTCTGCTGCGACGTGTAAATACGTGTAGGTACCTGGGAAGGTACCTACCTGACCTCCTAACCTAGGTACCCTGAGCAGTTGATAGAGGGAATATGTACCTTCTTGTGAGGATTACCAACCTATATAACAAGTACCTGCTACTAGTTAGAATATGTGTAGCAAGTTGAAGCAAGAGGTGCCCCGCTGAATTGCGACAACCTGAAGTTGACTGATGTAGAGTAAGAATGAAGGAAGGTAGGTACATAAAACATGTAATGCACCTGCCTAATCTAACAACCCCGGGTTGGTTCGTGATGGACCGACGTACAGTGTACATAGGACGCACCCATTTGGCTAGGCGGCTCCTGGCGTCGGATCCACGTACCTCGGTACTAGACCCGTTGCGAGGGTGAGGGCGAGGAGGCAGGTGAAGTGGACCGAACCGGACCTCTCTTGTCATAAGTCATGGAAGTCGCGGACCCTCTTCAAGACATCATCTCTCTATAGGCAATTGCCTAGCTATATTCCATAAACCAATAACCACATAACCTCGCAACCACAAATCCACAACAACAATGTCCATCAGCATCCAGCATCTACACGTCCACACATGACAAGGCGAGCCCACATATATATTCGTAATGAATATGTATTGCTCGAGTCGAGCGCTCCGACACTCGTGAACGCCTCGCTGCTTCTTGTACATGTCTGATTGGAAGCTCGGCATCCTCATACAACCCAGGCTCGGAGCCACCGGCCGACCCTCGATACCCAAGCCATGGCTTCGCCCGGCGCGACCGCTGTTCCGGCACCCACCACCTTCGAGAATACCAGCGTCTGGCACAATCTCACGTCCTGGACCGTGCAGCATCTGAGGGATTCCGTCAGCAACGTCACGAGATACGCCCCGTCGCTCGAGGACCTCATTCTGGCCGGCCCTAGGATGCTCACCAAGCTTGGCATCCTCTCCTTTCCCGACCCCGTCGATAGCTTCGGACAGCGCGTCATAGCCGACCCAACCGCTTCCGACTACTTTCTGTCCACTTCCACATCCAGGATGCTCACTCAAGTCTCCGAGGTGGCAGCCAATGCTGCTGCTAACGCTGCCAACATGCTCGACGGCGACGACCAAGACCCCGCTGCCCTGGTATCCAAGTTCTCGACCGAGGGCGCTAAAGGCATCGGGAGCGTCTTCAGCTATGCCACGAGCAAGTGGGCGCTCTGCTGCGTGGCCATGGTATGTTTACCCCTCGAGCTCGCCCTTCCCGCTATATCCGCAGCACCGTACGCAGGTTGTGATCGCTCACCTCTGGACAATTCTCGCAGGCTATCATCCTCAACCGCACCCACATATTTGCCGCCTCGCGGAGGAGGCTGCGTTTGACGTGGACCGTCCGACTCTTCCTCCGCATACTGCCCATCGTGCTCTTTATGTACCAGGCCCGCCAGCTTCTACAGTCCATCCAATGCCAGACCTCGCCCGACTTCGCCGAGCTACGCTGGGGCAACGCGAGCAAAACATCGGAACTTATGTTCGCCCAACCCTCTGTCTTTCTACACAGTCTCAGTTCGACTCTACTCTTAGGAGCCACCGACTACGACAGCTGCCGCGCTATCGATATGATTCCCCCGAGCAACCATAGATTTCCCGCCGAACTCCGGGGCTCGTTGTCTCAGCTGTGGCCCCTCTTTGGGACCCTATGCCTCAGCCATTTCCTAGAAACGATCTCGTGCGCGGTGCAAGGACGTCCTGTGGCCGTCGAAACGGGCATGACACTCTTCGAACACTCGCTAGCCTTCGCCGAGGCAGACGCGGCCATTGGCAACCAGCTTGGTTGGGGCCTGTTTTCTAGCGGTAGCGCAAATATCACGTATCAGCATTCTTCTGGAACTAGCATCGCCATCTCGCGGTCCATGATCATGAAACGGGTGAACACGCCGCCCGAGGTCCTCTTAGTAGCCTTCTTCTCCGCCATGAGCCATATCACCAGCCACGTCCTAGGAGTATTCGACTTGCAGAGCAGATATAGGCTGGCTAGCACGGGCTTCTGGGCGATGTGTTTCATGGGAAGCATAGTCCTAGAAGCCCTGGACTTTTCCCTTGATAATCCATCAAGCATGGGGCTTTTTAGATTTCCCACGGTCTGTATCATAGGTTTCATCCCCCACGTGATGGTACTTGCAGGTACTCTTGTCTGCTTTACCATCTACGCGATCGCGCTAGTTCTCTCTGCCTTGGACCCTCCGGACAGGCAGACTGCTGTCGGGCGGCCATTATCGTTTCGAGAACGACTGGCGAACGCGCATGAAAACATGCAAGCCAACATTTCTCTCTCCGATATCCACGTCTCCCGAGACATGGACTTCTATACTGCCCTGCTCAGAACGGGCTTCGGTGTCATAACGATGGCAAGCGAGGCTGTTTACCTAAACGAAGACCGAGGCGTGAACGTGAAAAGCCGCACGTGGCTCGAAGAGGATCGACTGAGAGAGCTCGAGTCTCTACGAATGCAGTGGGCGAGCTCGGGAATGAGTGCCTCGCGCTACGATTCCATCGGAACTATTGGGCTGGTGCCTATCAAAGACGGCCAGCTCGGAGCATCGAGCGGATACGCGCGAGAGCGGGCAGCACAGAAGGTGCCCAAATCACGCATCGGAGAAAAGCGCGCTAGGGACGGAGTTGGGGCTACCGAACGTAGCTCGCGTTGGCTCCTCGCGCTGGAATTCCTCATGAATATTAATCGACTCTTATTGCGATGGACCGCGGTACTAGTGTTGAAAGGGCTCGCGCGTCTCGGAATCAGGACCCGGCCCCGCTTTCTCCTCTGGCTCTCCCGCTTGTCCAAGCAGGATAAGAAAGACGAGAGCCAACCTAGCCGGGAGGGACGATCGTTGGTTGGCCGATCCGGGAGAAACAGCAGGCTCTATAACGATGAGACTGCTGATGTAGAGGCCGAGGTACGAAACCGTCTTAAGGCATCACCCGAAACCGCAAACCTGCCGGACGAAGAAATAGACTCGACATTATACTCGTCCTGGAAGCATGGCGAGTTATGGGGTTCCACAGATACCAGTGGCGACTGGCAGCCGAGCGAAGACGACGAAGATTCGGACGCGACGAGCGTCGTACATAGCATTATCGGGGATGATGAAGACGAGCAGAGTCAGTGGGAGGATGAAGATGAAATTTTAGATGACGGCCAGAAAACCCCCACACAACACGACCACCCACAGTTCTCGCGCGAGACGACACCCTTTGACCAGCCGCTGGCCCTTGACGATCTAGCGAGGCTTCTCCATCCGAGGAGCCCAGAAGAGCGTCGGGAAGCTCACGCTCTAGCCGCACATCTAACTAGTGATCATATCGTCACACGTTCTCAATATGCGCGCATGCAGCACAACCAGCGCGGGCGCCTTCTGCTCCCGGCTAGCCGACAGCCCGGCGGTGGTAAGCTTACAGATGAGGATCAGGCGGAGCTCCTCGAGCACCTGATCGTTACGCGGCGGACCGAGGCGACCCGCGAAAGGGAAAGGCAGGGTCGCGCCGAGGACGAGGACGTTGGCAGCGGCCCGCACTGCGTCGTATGCCACTCGGCGCCGCGCAAGATCATCGTGTGGCCCTGCCGGTGCCTCAGCCTGTGCGACGAGTGTCGGGTGACGCTCGCTATGAATAATTTTGACAAGTGCGTGTGCTGCCGCCGCGAGGTCGTCAGCTTTAGTCGTATATACGTGCCTTGAGGTGGCATGGCCCAACCTCAATTTTCTTTTTGTTATCTGCGTAAATCGCCGGGGGGGGGCCAAGGGGCGAGCGAGGATGCGATTATGACGAGCACGACGACGATGACGACGAGTGCCCGGGTGATGGGATACGCGCATGTGTGCGCTACGTATGTATATGTTGTTTCGGTTCAGCTTTGGTGAAATGGATCACATTCTCGTACTCGGCCCGCCCTGCAGTCCCTCCCCGGTCTACCTCAACGCTAGATCCCTGTCGTTCGATATCAAAGGCCATATGCTGCTGCGACGCTTGTCGTCCGGTGACGGCCTGTTTTCGCCTGTGTTCCTATTCTTCGCCATCCCCGTGCTCGTCGAGGGAAAGCAGCACGCCTACTCGTTCCTCCTCCTCGCGCAGCGGTCGCTGTTCTGAGTAGAGAGCAGCGAGGACCGTGACGCCGCAGGTTGTTGCACACTAGACTAGTCATCTGCGAAGACCGGAATGCTGTGTACGCGTGGACACTTGCCTCTCCCAACCTAGATGAGCTTACGTTCTACGTCAGCGTGCGGCTAGCCTGCGCTTTGCGCGACGAGGACATATTGTGGTAAAGGGGTATCTTGGTAATTCCTCGGGGCGCTTCTACTCCCTCGAGAATGTCTAATGCGTCGGGACTACCACGACGCAGCGGCGCGAGCTGAAGTAAATAGTCACAGGTAGGAGAAAACCCCTTCTCTTTTTTTCCCTTCCGTTCTACATAGCCGCCCATTCTATGCAGAAGACCCTGGCGTGCGGCGCCGCGGGGCTCTGCTCGACTGCTTCCTCTCCTCCTCCGCCCTTGCCGTTCGCTGCTCCGCCGCCGTCTCCACCCGGAGGCGGCGCGGTGGCGCCCCCGATCAGATACCCCTTCTTGACGCCGGTGCCGAGGCGGCCGCCGGCGACGATGTCGAGGACGCGGACGGGCGCGTCCCAGCCGTAGCCGGTGGCCTGGAAGTGGCTGTGGAAGCGCAGCGGGTCGCCCGGGTACACGTTGTAGTCGCAGCCGAAGCGCAGCCCGGGCATCAGGTAGTACCCCTGGGCCTGCAGGTGCGCGTAGAGCGGGTAAGAGGGGGGCAGGTCGATGTCGGCGGACGCGGGTTCCCCCGGCTGGGGGCGTGGATAGAGCAGGCTGCTCGTGGTGGGCGTTACCGCGAAGCCCGGGGGTTCTTTTGCTGGCTTTGCTGCTTGCGCGCCGGAAGACGGCGAGGCACTGCCCGGCGGCTCGTAGAGAGATACATCTTTTTCGGTACCGTCCCTACCAGCCTCACCGTCGTTCCTCTCTGGAGTGACTCTTCTAGTTTGTAACTCACCGGCCTCTTCTTTTTGCTTTGCTTTCTTACCCTTTGCTCTCTTGCCTATTCTCCCCTCTCCCGGCGGCGGCTTCGAGCGTGCCTTGCTTTCGGCCGCCGCCAGCTGCGCCCTCTTTCCTTCGGCCTTGATAGCTTGCAGGTACAAACGACGAGCCTCGGTATCGAGGGCTTGGGCGAGCCGGGAGGGGTGGTGGAAAGAAGCGTCATCGACGACGAAGGCAACGCGCTTATCGACGAGGACCCGCGCCTCCTCGGGCATCAGCTCGACTGGAAGGCCCATGAAAATATTCTGCTGCGAGTTTTGCGGGATCGTGCCGACAAAGACGGAGCAGATGTTGTGATGGCGGCGCAGGTACATGACATCGTCGATATCGAAGAGTAGGTATTGGCCTGCAACCTTCGAGATTCTCACCCGAGAGCGGCTACCTGGACCCGCGCCCGCGCTGGCTGAGGGAGCCATGGTAACCGCGAAAGCTAGGGCAGCGGTCGTCCCGATCTGCCAGCTGCTGCCAAGTTAGTATGGCTGATGCCGGGGAAAGGTTGGCGGTGTGACGACTGTTTCAATAGATATGAAAACAGGCTTGGACGATCATAAATTTCGGGTTTCAACACGTGCGTTTGTCAGAGGATTGACAAATAATAATTTTGGATAATCATTTCGTCGCAATGTCTAGGGCCGCATGGAGTAAATGAGGGGATTCAACTCACCTTGATGTTGTGTTGGGTTGGTGGATGGAAAGATTTCTTCGCCTTTTTTTCCCGCTCCTTTTAAGGTCCCTCCTTGTGGGGCCTGAGGACAGTGTGTAAATCTTGATGTGAAGTCCGTACACTGTGCATTCGTATGTGACTACGCGCCTCAGCAGAATGTGCCGGCTAGCGAAGTCTATGCGGAGGGGAAGCGTAGATAGGAAAATGGGCCTGATTCGACTCAATCAATCGACTACCTGCTGATCGGCATGTTCTTGATACTGTGTGGCAGAGTACGGCCTCTTTAGAACTCCATACTCCCCTTGCCAGGTTCAGATTTGCTTTTCCCTCCCTCGTCTTCCCCGACCGGAGGCAGGTAGAACGGTTTGATCACCAAGCCTCTTGAACGGCTCAAACTAAACGAGAGGTCCTCGCCAGCCGAGTTATTCTCCGAGGAGCCCCCGCCCCTTTCGTGGAATAGAGGTAGGCTGTGTACTTTGAGGAGGCCCTGCATCTGCTCGTCCGGCTTGGAATCGGATTTTGATGATGGAGGCGGGACATGGATGACGCCAGATTGGAGCGGGATGAGCTCGACGACGCCGTCGCATAGTATCTCCATCCATCGTGTCAATCCCGTAGTCCGGGGATAGAGAGAAAGCGGCAAGGCGATCACAACGGTGAGCCTCGCAGGGTACTGTCTCAGCAGCGCTCGCAACGCGTGTAAAAATTGCAGCACCTCCTCAGGTCTGGCGGACGAGCCGTCGTAGGTTGTGGGAGACAGGAGGCCTGGGACTACGATCCGGTGGATCCACGAGGGCGGCGAGCTTCCCAGCTTAGAATCGACGTCTTTAATAAATGTCTTGAAAGGAGACGGCGACTCTCTCCTGGTGGGCGAGGGTAGACTTTGAAAGCCGCTCATCGAGGGGTGGAAGCCAATCTGCCCCTTCGCATCCTTAGGATTAAGTCTTTTTGAGAGGTCGAAGGAATGGCAGAACGTAGACATATTTCCCGTCGAGCGGCCGTTCTGTCGTTGAAGGATCTCTCTGTCCCTCGGGGCACCCGCGGATGTCAGGCTTTCGTATCTCCAGGCTATCTTCATCTTGTCGTTCGAAGGCGCCTCTGATTGGCCCGACTCTGACTTTTCCTGGATCGAAAGGCCAGGTAGTTCGTGCCTCCAGCTATCGTACGGGCCAAGCACGTGGACTTGATGTCCTTGGACCATCCCCTCGGCGGCATAGTAGCGCAGAAGAACGCCGGCAAAGTCGGTAGTGCCGTGCTCGCCGATGAGCAGTGACGTGCCCAACGGTAGGCCAGCATGCCCGGCTAAGAGCCCATCCAACGAGGCGGTGCCGGTGGAAGTAGTGAGCCGCCCATCGACGGGGGATGGACGGACGCCTGGGGCGGGGAGGCTCTCGGTCCTCGGCTGAGCGGGTTGGGAGGAAGAGGAAGCCGAGCTGCTTATCACAGCATTTCTCTTCCTGAAGGACATCGCCCCAGCGTGCGGCGTCTATGAGTTTGCTGAGAATCTTGCAGAGAGTCGTGTGTAGGTTAGGTAGAGGCGCGACACTAAAAGTAGAAGAAAATCCATTTGAAGGTATTTTCTACCGGTAGAGTCGGGCAGGTATAATAGAAGGTATCCTTCAACCCACATTAGTACGCGAGTATTTTATTTTAGGTACCGACCTCAGGTACTTACTTGCGAGTTTATGCAATTCCATCCCCTATATGCAAATGCAGGTAGCCAATGTACCTCCTATAAACCAAGAGTCTGAAAGTACCGCCCAAGTTCGGTAGGTACCGATAGACCTCTTTCATTGAATTGTCCCGCCTCAACCTCCCACTGCATACCATCCAAACAGGGAGTTATCGATAACCTCCAAAATTACCTACATTCTATCTTCATCGGTCCCTTCGCCGAAAGAAAAAAAGCAAAACAACACCAAAATAAACATACCTACCTACCTAGATACAATTGACGACAACGTCTCTCTGCCCCCCGACATCTCTCACTGCGACACCCAATCTACAGCCGCCCACCTGCTCCTCTCCCACCGCCCCGGCGCGCACGAAGACGTAGGAACGACAAAGAAAATACTCTTGCCAACATGTCGAACCTGGGCGGCGGCGACGCGCAGCTGTTCGAGGACAGCTTCACGGTGACGGCGCACGACCAGTCCAAGTACGACCGGGTGGCGCGGATCTCGGCGACGTCGATCGACAACCAGACGCAGATGCAGCTGGACATCAACACGGAGCTGTTCCACGTGCCGGTCGGGGTCAACCTGCACGTGGTGCTCGCGACGAGCCTGGCGATCGACGGGTCCCGCGAGGACGACGACAACAACGCCGCCGAGGACGGCGCCGGCCGCCCCGGCCAGCCGCAGGGCACCGCCGCCGCCGCCGCCGCCGCCAAGGGTTGGCGCTACGTCCGCGGCGAGTCCAACCTCGCCGACATGTTCGACTACGTCTGCCACGGCAAGATCTACAAGTTCGAGGACGGCGTCGACGGCATGACCATGTGCGTCTTTCCCCCTTACCCCCCTCCCCCCCTTTTCTATTTTACCCTCGCTGCTGTCTCTCGGCACGTCGGTCCTAACGCAATTATTGCCGTGCTCTAGCCGCGCGTACATCTCCTTCGGCGGTCTTCTAATGATGCTCGAGGGCCCTTACAAGAAGCTCACCCCGCTACACGTCGACAACACCTACCTCCTCATCAAGAAATGAAGCGGCATGCCCATCGACGAAAATACGCCTTCGTCGTATTATCTATTCCCCTCCTCCGCGACATCTTAACCTCGACTCGCGAATTCACGGCAGACTACGGATTAGTGCGGGGTTGGATCTAGGGATACGAAGACGCAGAGGGCGGGACACAGTGCAGGGCATTATACATATAGACACGCGTTTTGGTGGCAGCGGAGCATGGACGCGAGCTGCGACTGGTCTATTATTATAGCGTGCGGAGGGCTAGCTATGCTATAAAAACGGGCGATAAAGACAGTCTCGGTTGGGCAAAGGCAAGGTAATGCATGAGCACGAGAGAGTACGAGGTGGCTTAGTCTTGGTTTTCGTTTTTGTAATTACTCGGCGACAAAGACGGGCCCGGGAATGGCAGCCTTCGATGGAGCCGCTGGACGATCTCGGCGTAGTCGGGTTCGTTCTCGGCCGTGAGGATCTTGTGGCGGATGAAGAAGTCGAGCAGGACGAGGCCGCAGTTGGGCTTGAACCGGCCGCGGGCGAGCTCCTCCTGGACCTCCTCGACCGTCAGCAGGTAGAACTCGGCGACCTCGCCGTCCTTGGGCGTCGGGCGGAAGCCGGCCGGTAGCTCGATCTCGTAGAGCCACTGCGTCTCGGGGTAAATCTGACCAGCTTCGCCGCCCGCGCGCTCGTCCGTGATGTGGATGTACGTGATCTGGCCGGCGAACCGGGCGCGCTCGCGCATGAGCGCGGCGGGGATGTCGGCCTCCTCGTCGGCCTCGCGCACGACGCAGGCGAAGGGGTCCTCGCCGGCGACGAGGCCGCCGGCGACGGTGTTGTCGAGCATGCCGGGGTAGGTGGACTTGGAGGCGGCGCGGCGGGGCACCCAGAGGCGGAGGCCGCGGCTCGCGGCCGGGTCGCGGACGTAGCCGGTCATGTGGACGCCGTAGCGCGCGACGCCGAGCAGGCCGGTGGCGCTGCGCTCGACGGTGTAGAGCAGGCGGCCGCCGGCGCCGTAGACGGGCCAGGGCTCGTCGCGCCAGCCGCGCAGGATGGCGAAGGCGCGCCGCTCGCGCCAGTGGCGCATCAGCGCGGCGACGCGCGCCGAGCGCTCCGGCTCGCTGGCCTGCTCGAAGGCGCGCACGGTGCGCGCGCCCGCGTCGACGACGACGGCGCCCCGCACCGCCTCGGGCACCGCGACGAGCTGCGCGACCACCTCGTCGAGCATGTAGCCCAGCGGCTGCCCGCCCGGCGCGACGAGCGTGTGCAGCCGCGCCGTCAGCGCCGCGAGCGCCTCCGGCTCCTGGCTGCGGTACGGGAACGTGTCGCCCTCCCTCACGATGTCGAGGTTGGTCATGCGGCGCGACATGGCGGCGGCGGCGGCTGGGGGCCGGGGGTGCCGCAGCTGCCGGAGCGTCTGGTGGATGGTGGATAGGACGGCGCTGGCCGAGCTGGAGTGCCGGCGGCAAGACGTGGTCGAGCTGGGCGAGCGACGCGGAGCTAAGATGCCCGGCGGCCAATCTCCGGCGGGGTGCGAGGGGTGGTTCGAGAGGTGTGGGTGGTAGGGCTGATTAGGCAGATTCTTCGCGGGCGGGCGGTCTGCGCATTCACTTCCTGCTCTGGCCCCTCCTCGTCTCGTGCCCGGCTGCCCCGGCTGCAATTTATATCCTCGCGCGGCCCCAGCAGCTTGCCGGGCAGTGCGGGTGAATGCTATCCATCGAAGTCTATGCCTCTCAGGCGCACATGCTGACATGTCTTAGAGTGCCTTATAGTAATACCTCGTCGCTCGATAGTTTTTTCCTAGTCTAGAAGCGTTGAGGCGCGGCGCTATATGTCTACCTCTAAGGAACACGCCCGGGAACGACCAAGTTACCTACCGACCTACCTACCTAGCTAGGGCCTCCGCGGGACACCACCCACCGCACGTAGCCAACCCCCGTCCCCCTATTCCCCCTATCGCTAGCTGTTAACAGCCCTATGCCTCAGCGAGCAAGCGAAGCAAAGCTACTTGTACCAGCAGCCGGGCGAGCACGTACCGTCCAAGTACACGGCGGCGCGCTAGTAACGCCAACATCCCCATCTCAAACATCGGGATGAGGCAATATGTTGTCGAGCTGACTCTGGCTTCTGTTCCAAGACTCAGCGGTGCATTATCCGCACGTCCGCCCAAACGAGGGCACGGAGAGGAGGCTGCCGCTCTAATGCGGATGCAATACCGCACCACAGCATGGCCGTCACAGGGGGCATTGAGGCTGGTAGATGCATACCTATAGGTAGACGCATATGCACTCATGTAGATGCATATGCCTCGGTAGGTACCATTTGTCTTGGGTGCATAGGTAATACCTCTTATGCCGCCCCACGCGAGCTCCAGGCGGGCGATTGACGTCGAATTAATAGCTACCTACCTAGCTCGGCAGCGTCTGCCCGGGCAGCATTCTCACCCACGCGCGTGCAGAGACCCGGACGCCGCCTGCGAGCCGACGACGAGGCCCGCCAGCCTACCCCCGCTAGCCACCCTAATGCCAAGCGCAACGCGAGGCCGCAATACAAACAGGGAGACAGCTTTTCCTCTCATTCCCCGTCTTCCCGGCCGTCCGGACCCCCCTCGAGTCCTTCGCCGCCTGTCCCCGCCTCCCTCGAGCGACGGCGTATCCCGTCCGTCCATCCCCGCCAGACGAACACGAGCACGGCTCGCCGGGCCAGCAGCTACTTGACCGCCAACCCGCCCTCTCGCACCCATGCAGCAACCACAGCCCCAGCCCCAGCCGCAGCAGCTCCCCTTCGGCCTGGTCGCCGCGGGCCAGCCCGTGGTCACGGAGCCCGCGTCGCGGCCGTCGGAGACCTCGTTCCTGTACCAGGTGCCGTGGTCGGGGGCCAGCAGCGGGGGCGGCTCTGGCTCCGGCTCCTCCTCGGCGCCCGCGTCGTCGCACCTCGCCGTCTTCCTGCTGCCGGGCGTGGTGCTGCCGGCCGGCACCGCGGCCGCCATCTACCTGGGCGCGGACCCGGCGCGGTTCCGCTTCCTCGGCGGCGTCGGCCCGGGCAAGGAGAGCGCCGTGTTCAAGGTCGAGGCGCCCGCCGCCGACGGCGGCCTCGTCGTCGGCGTCAGCCTCGAGGACGCCGCCTCCGTCGCCGCGCGCATCCAGGAGCTGCGCAGCAGCAGCAGCAGCAGCACCCCCGCCCCCGCCCCCGCCCCCAACAACACCCTCCTCCTCGCCCAGCGCATCATCCAGAACGCCTTCAACTTCCTCTCCGGCTTCAGCGGCGCCGTCGGCCCCGCCGGCGTCGAGGTCGTCCCCCTCCGCGCCTTCCAGGACTGGTGGCGCCGCTTCGAGAGCAAGGTCCGCGCCGACCCGTCCTTTCTCGAGAGGGACCAGGACTAGAAAAAAAATTTTTCTTTTTTCCCTCGACTGCTGGGCCTCGTGCGGCTTGGTCGCCTGCCAGCTCCCGCCTCCCGCTGCTGCAAACAGACCCAGTCCCGGTCTTTTTAGTTCAAATAAGCAGGCGGGGATGGCGGGGGGGGGGGGGATAGGTCTCGACGACTCGTGCGGAGGCAAGTGGCACAAGGGCGCGCCCGAGTCTTGTCTATGTGTGGGCGCGTGGGCGGGCTGGAAAAGGGGGACTGCCTTACGAAAATACCGGGTGAACTTGGACGCATCGAGCGAACGAGGGGGCCGAGGTGTTTAGCTCTTAGGTCTCTCCGCGATGGCCCCTTAACCAATAGCTGCACATGAGGGGAGCCTCGGGAAAGAAGGGGGCCGGTAGACGAGAGTGACCCGAGCGTGGCTTTAACCCCGTCGACTGGATATCCCTGGACACCAAGATGTATTTAGAGCGGGCGGGAGCTTATGGATATACAGTCACGAACAAAATAGCACGTCGAATAGAACAGTTATCTAGACTCTAGTTCGGGTTGATTGCAAAACGGGATATCATTTCGTTTGGACATACATCGTATATTCGGGCCATCGTGAGGCCCATACGTGAGCAATCCTGTCTAGCTGCGGCAACGACGAAACTTGGATCTAAACCAAGTCACAAGCGAGGCGTAGGACAGGATACTGGCGTCCCTCTCCCCCTAAGACGCAAAACCAAAAGGCTTTTGTTCCAAAGCGGCCCCGTCCAAGACCCGGTCCGTAAGCAGGGAAGGGAGTGAAACTACATATCCCCGGTATCATCCCGAACTCCTTTCCATGGTCCCCAGCCCTATCCTCGTAACTCCGATCAAGCAAGTTATCATATACAGATGACGAGATCCGCCTGGGTAATGTAACGCGACTGTTCTGGGGAACAGGGCATAGAATGTAAAAAATTTAATTCTCGGATAGGGGGCTCATCAATGGGCTCTTCAGCCTCGTGGGGCTGGCGGCTCGACTTCTCCTGCCGGCGTTGAGCATTTGCGGGAAGAGCCTTTCGCGACTTTCTGTACGGACGACTAGCCCGCTGCGGTCCATGGCGCTTCCGGGATGAGCGTGCTTCTTCGGATCGTCGAAGGATCCAGCATTGAGTTTCGGTGTGGCTAGACCTGACGACCGGCCCAGTCTCGGGGCCCCGGAGCTGCTGTCGGAATAGTCGCCCTCATCCGACGAAGTCTCCCCGAGTTCGAATTGATTAATGTCTCCCTCTTCTAGTACCCTTTCGTAATTGTACGAGCTGCGCCCGAACAACTTGTGCGTAAGGCTGGACAGCCCGAGGCTAACTTTTCGGGGACTTCCCGGACGACGGCGCCGCCGCAGTATGTGGTTGAACTTGCCGTAGAGCCGCATCCGCCGATCCCTTTTTCGAAGAAAGAAGGCGATGAATAGGAAGACCAGAATGAACAGGAAGAACACCGAAGTCGAGTTCGATTTCGCGTGGTCTATAATGTCCTCGGCGGTATCGGCCCAATCGTCGTCGTCGTCGATAGCCGAAGTCGCGTTGTAATTCGACCCGGCATGCTGGAAATCCGAAGGGACACCCTTCACATTGCTTCCGAACCCCACAGGGAGGCGGTAGTTGTCTTTAGGAGGGACCTGGCCGGCGGCGTAGAGCACCATCTTACCAAGCGTCCAGCTAATTTCTACGCTGTCGATCTCATCGGCGGCCTGGAAAGGACTTAGAAAGCCCTTTTCCTTGGCCGCCTCGCCGACCCCTTTTGAGATGTTGAACCCGGGGGTCTGAGTATGTTCTATGCCGAGCCTTGGGATGCCGATACCTTCGTGGAGCACGCTGATCAGCCAGGACGCTTTGAAACAGGCTTCCTGCGCATCCTTCCCGTGGTCCTTCTTCCGCGTTCCACTGTTCATCTCGATATCCTCCCACCGCCGGCTACAAAACTCGAGCACCTTCTTCTGATACGTATTGAAATCGTACGCCGTATCGTCGCGGCTATCTGCGAATACGCCGTGGGTGGTGTGCCAATACTCGGAAACGCCAACGAAGTGGTTCACGTCAAAATCGATGGGCGGAACGTGCTGGCCGTTAAGTAAGCAGGGCTCGTCGTCGCACGGCACATCCTTCCCAAGCAGGGGATGCGTCCTGCGCAGGCATTCGTCGAATTGGCCGGTTCCCACCAATTCCAACTTATTCGACTTTCCCTTGACGATTTCACCCTTCTCAGTGGTCCGTAGGCCCCTCGGTAGGCAAGGGTCGGGCACCTCGTGCTCTCCATCAATCAGGAACTCGTTCACCAAGGCGTCGACATAGCGATGTCGCGCCTGGTTAACTCCGAATCCGAGCCAAGTCGATGTGAACACCTTGTACTCCTTGGGGGCGCCATTTAGGCTTCGCAATCGGAGGAGCTTGAGGTCGTCCCCATGCTGTTCGGCCACGGTGGCATTTGGCGCAAAAGCGATCTGCGCCGAGGCGCCGCCCATATCGAGGAAGCCGTAGGTGTGGTGATTTTTGCCGTGGGCGTGTCCTTCGGGGTCGTCAAACCCCCCGAGCAGGTAATTGGCTGCTATCCACCCATACAGGCCTTCCGTTTCGCCAGGAATCACCTGGATATGCGTGTCACAGTCGGGGAGGAAGAAGCGCGTGTTGGCGCGAAAGTACGAGCAGGTCTCCGTTATCACGGCGCGCTGCTGAAGAGGAGGTAGTAATCGCATGCCGGCGGTAGCCATCAGGAAAATGGGAGTGTCCGCGTGTTTGTCGTCGGGAATTACTCTCAGCGCCTGCTCGACCAACTCTTGCAGATGATCCGGCCCTACATCCTCCGGGTGGTCTCCGAAGGTAGATATGCCGGGTCGTATCTTCTTGGTCCATTTCTCCTTGGTGGCAATGCTCGGTAAACTATGCAGCTCCTGGTACGATGCATCTTTCAGCGCTTTTGCGGGATCTTGCCATCGGTAGATATGTAGACGCGTGCCGGAGGACCCGGCATCTAGGATAACACCCCATCGCCCTAAGTGGCAGCAGCTCTAGTCAGAAAGCGTCGCGACGCAGACCTCTCACAATCGGCTCGGTAGGAGACAGAACTTACACCTCTTCCCCATGGCCGACGAAGCTAAGGAACTTCACGGGATAGCTTCGAGACGCAATAGGACAGGATGGGGGGCAACGGATACGACGCGAGTGCTCGTGCGGAGTGGGAGGTTCAATCTTAAAGCATGTCCGTCAACGTGCCTTTGCGACGTCTAGAAGACGGAGACTATTAAACAAAACAATGTGTAGGTTAGTGTGGTGCGGGCGTGGTGATCGTTCGGTTCCCCCGGTCTTGTCTTGTTTCGATTACGCGTTCTGTGTCCAAGTACTAAAAAGCGACCCTGCAGCGGTGACAAAGGGGGTACGGTACAACACGATGCGGGAGCGAGCGAAAAAGAATTGGAGAGAAGGACGACAGATTCGGGATAGCGAGCGAGAGGTCTGACTGTATCAAGTCAGATTGCGAATGAGGCCGACAGATCGTTGGGCAAGTCAGGCTCGTCGGTGCGGTGAACGAGAGTCAAGGCGGTTGTAAACCGAGAGGGGAGCGGGAGATGAGGATGCGTCCCAGGAAAAGAGGATCGAGTCTGATTTGTGTCAAGTTTCTGTTTCTTAACAAGGAAGGCCGCAGAGAGGCCAGGGCCCGGGGAGGCGAAGATGGTGCTGGCTGGGCATTGACATGGGTAGGGGATATTAGTATGGGGGTTTCCTTGGGTTGACCTGCTGTTTGGGCCGCGGGTCTGTTATAAGATGCGATGGCGAGATGGGACTACGGGGGGGGGGAGAGCGAGGAGTGGGCGTGCCCTGGAGCTGAGCGCTGGTTTGATTTCTTTTTTTGGTTCCCGGGGGGAGGAGATGCCTCCTCGCATGTACCCAGGTACCTAAATATTCGTGCCTCCCGCTGGGTGTGCCTTGGGTACCTTGTAGGTACCTACGGGTCGTTAGGTGGCCAGCCTTCTAGCCTCAAGAGCAGTACAAGAAAGTACCTGAGGTCCTTGCTGATATGCCTCGAGTATAAGTACGCACACCTCATGGGGAGGTTCCGTAGTGGGCTACTGTGAGATGTACCTAGGTACCTAACCTCTAATGAATGTACTGGTCAGGTACCTACCCGTTTTTGGCCGAGTCCGCTCGAACTCCCCTCCAATCATATGCCAGCCTAGAGAGCCCACTCTCACAACCTGCGAGTGGTGGTAGGAGCCGCCGTAAGACTCCCTCTCAGCCCTTATCAAATGCGCACATGTCATGTAGAGATACGCACGTGATATTATGTACCTCGTGTAGACGCACACCCATCTAGGGAATTTACGCGTAATGGTGCAAGTCTTGTGGCAAGCACCTAGGTACCTAAATCCTGTACAAACAGAACAGGCTGATGTGCGTGCAATGGATACGTATGTCCTGCTTATAAGCATGCGCATTGGAGATCGCAGATTGGAGAGGCAGGGAGCTTACGTACCGCTTATATATGCACAGGTGCCATCAATTTCCTCGGGAGACAGTATGCAGGGCGTGTCCAGGCGTACTGCACCGCTCACTGGATGCATCGATATATGAGCGCATTAGTTAGGTACAATGCCTGTCTATCTACCTAGGTATGCACTGATAACATCCACAGCTAACTTCACTTGCATGCGCCTTGGCACGGCAACCCCTCGTAACGAAAACCCCAGTCGCGAAACTTCTCCCAGTTTCCCCATAAGACCAACCAAGGCATGCAAATATATATCCTATACAGCCGTCTGCCATGCTCTATAATTATCGAGGCAGCGCCTTTTGCCGCCTCGTACCGTACCACGAGAGCGAAAGAGAAGAGTGAGAGATTTTGAGAGACATGGCGTGGTCGGTCTAGCGTAGGGAAATACGAAGTCACGCAGCTCTGCAACCTCGAGGTGTGGCATGTTCGCGCTCTCGACTAGGTCCAGCTAAGGTGCTAGGTAACGCCCGCCAATGCGGTAGAAGCCAAGAACCGGTCCGAATGGCCGCATCCCATTCCAGAGATAGACCTCTTCACCTTACACGTAGACGGGCACGTAACGAAGAAAAGAGGTAAGGCTAAAAGTACCTACACCTAGGTAGACTGCCCAGTCCGACCACAAACTTGGCTGCGATCGTCACCCGCTGCTTCTAGCGATGTGGGCTTCCGTGGCCCGTGGTTCGGTCAGCTTACCAGAAGCGGTATTAGATGTCCCCTCGAAGCCTGTGATTAGGGGGAACCACTGGGGGTACAATTTGTCCCGTCCTTCTAGGAGGTGCCAGCACTAGAGGTGCCAATACTAGGTAGTAGTGACCCGACCTCAGATCCGAGGTGCCTAACTTGGGGCTCCCAGGGAACGTGCATAATTATTATCCTGTGTCTGCACACACACACGCACACACACATACGCACACGCACACGTAACCTATGTCTGTATGCACCTCCATTAGGTACATACATAACCTACATAAGTGCCTGCACTACTTCACAATACCTACCTACAACCAATCACGACTTTGTGGCTGGTCAGCAACACCAGAACAAGACAGATATTGGCACGTTTTCCCACCTATTTCGTCATTCCTTCTGGCGACGAAACCAGCCCACTACATATGTACATGTCGTCGTTGGTTTCTCTCACGTCTGTCTCGCCTGCAATCCAGCGGATGGGAGCTGCCCGCGAGTCCATTGCCCAGCCGGAGAGATGCGTGCGGCTAGACGAACTAGCTACCTGATGTACCTAATTAATCTCCTTTCCTTCTGTCATATCTCTTTTCCGAGTCCCCCTCATTGCTCCTATGTAAACCCGACCCTACCTCGACTTATACCTACCTACTTCCCATGTACTACGTACTACGGATCGTATACGACACGCTCGGTCTGATGTAGGTATGCACCGAGAAGGACGACAAGCGCCAAGGCGTCGGTAAGCTGTTGTCTCGCAGCGGCTGATGTGTGCTCGTATGGCACGCCGAGCAGACCACAACCACACATCAGGCAGCCAGAGCGGCAGATCAGCAAACCTCCAAGTCCTCCGAACCCAACTGCCCCTCCCCTGCCCCGAGGGCTCCCTTGCTCGTCGGGAAAGATCTTCGAGATGGGGCGCTGCAGTGACTGGAGCGACTGATCCCGTATTCGGCCAGTAACCCGATGACCCCGCGTCTCCTCTCTCCCAACTTCCGTCTCAGATATATATAGACGAGGAACAAACCAGAAAAGAAAAAGCAGAGAGGAGAAAAGTCACCAACCCACCGCTGGCATGCCGTGGGTTGCGGACAGTACGCAGACACGCACACGTTACGCGCGCACATGCAACCGTCCTCGCCTCTGTCTTGTCTTGCTTGTATCGCTGCAACGGTCATACGCAGTAGAGTCAAGTCAAGTATCTTCCCCCCCCCCCCTGCTGCTGCCGACCCAGCCGAACACCCGTATCCTCCTCTTATCTCGCCCGCAGCAGCCCGGGTCGGGATGGTGGTGGGCTATACCGATAACGGAAACCTCCAACGTCCGCTTCGTCTATATAGTACAGTAGAGGTAGGGATTGATGCAATACAGGTACCTTGGGTGGTATGTCTACAGTCTAGGTACGCATTAGGCTAGCTATCTAAAACGCCCACCGATACGCCCACCGATAAGCCATACCGCCGGCGTCTGACGACGCCGCATGGCCACATCGCCTAGCCTCATACCATGGATTTGCTGGGGCGCATGGAAGAAGCTTGAAGCAAATCGAAACGCAGGTAAGGAATGAAACGGCGTAGGTTACAACATGTGCTGGGTTAGTGTTGCCTTACTTATCTACGTACCTAGGAACCTACTGGAACGCAGCTAGAGGTCTCACCTTGACCGTCGCTAGTTACATCAGATATATATAGGTATAGGTGGGTACCTAGGTAGATACATAACATGCCTCCGGGCAGGACAACCCGTGCATAACCCTGCACCAACATAAACGAGAGCGGCGATCGACGCATGCGGGATGCACGTACGCGCGTATCCTGTATGCGCCGGCGATGTGTGCATACGCTATGTGCATACCGAGTACGCTGCCGCGCGAGATGGGCTTACATACATATATACATATATATGCCTATATATATGCCTATATATATCTTCACTACATAGGTATCTAAGCAGTATCTCGCTATCTCGCGGCCGGAGGCGGGGTCGGTCGCTTATCGGCTGGGCAGCCTGTTGTGGCGCCCCTCGCCAAATGCGGCTCGGCGAGTGCTCCGCACGCAGACGGCATCTATAGCGTAGTAGAGGCCTGCAATAAACGCCTTTCGTCTACGTGTAGATAGGAAAACCGGTCAATAGTATATACCTAGCACGGAATCAAGCGCGTATATCAATAGAGCACGAGTTAAAAGTCAACCCCCCAAGGAAACGTACCCGGTCGTCCTTGTCTCACCACTTTGGAATATCGGATATGCCGCTCGACAGCTCTCTTGATCGCCATCCTAAAGGTATTATTATTAACAGTGGTGGTAGGTGGTAGTACGCACATGGGGCTAGCCGTAGATATTCTCATAGACCTCGCCAAGCTGCTCGCAATATCTAGAAGAAGAGAAAGGGGACATGACAAAAATGGCAAACAGATCTGCGTCATCCTCTCCGCTTGCTCATCCACACACACATACTCCCTCTCCTCTCTCCCTATATCTCCCTATATCTCCCTATATCTCCCTCTCTTAGTAGGGGATACCGTTGGTCATGAGCTGGAACTGGTCGTAGACCATCGTGCTGTAGCTTCCCGCGCTCCTCCTGACCAGATCTCTGACGAACTCGGCGGCCTCGCGCTCATTCTTCTCGAGCACGAACCGCTCCTTGAAGAACCGTACGCTCTCCGGCTTGAAGCAAGGGAGGCCGCTCTCCATCATGAGCAACACGATCTGGCTCAGCTTCTCTGCGTGCGGTCGGCACGCTAGGAACGCCTTGACGCATAGCTCCTCGAACCACTTGAACGATTGGTGATCGGTGCTGCCGCCCATCACCGCTAGCATCTCGCCTGTCAGCTTGAAGGGCGCGCGCTCGAAGCGTACCCCGCCCGGCGCGATATCGAAGCAGAAGCCGAAGTCGATGTGAAGGATATGACCTGCGTCGTCGATCATAATGTTGCCGTTATGTCGGTCCTTGAACTGTAGAAGGAAAGAGATGATGCTGTAGGCAGCCATGCTCTTCACGAAATTGTTGCGGGCATGCTGGAAGCGGATTGAATCTTCGTTGCCGTACTTGCTGATGAAATAGTCGTACAGTCCGTTGACGGCCTCGCGGCCGAGCATATCTCGGGAGATGGAGTTGGGTAGGACGTCGATCACGCCACAGCCGGGTGCGGTGGCAGTCACCCGGTATGGGAAAACGAAGACATCGAGGCCGACACTGTGGAAGATCCCACGGAAGGCGGCGATCATCTGCAACGCCAACACATCCTGCCGACAGTCATCGCCGACTTTGAAGATGGCGCTCTGCCACACCTCGATCGTGTTTTCCGTTGGCGTTCCGTCCGTCTTGCCCGTATCCTGCGACGCCTCCTCCAATCCTCCAACGTTGCCCTTTGATTTCTTGATGCGGAATGTGGCCATGAATGGAGCTTTGGCATGAGACTGGAGTGGCTTGCCCGACTTACGGTCGATGCCGATAACGACGCCATCGGGATTACTAGGGAGATAGACCCCAACATCAACTGTGATCTTCCTGAGCTCCTCCTCGATCTTTTGCTTCTTTTCTGGCTTATCCCGCTTAATCAGTGGCTTGAGCTTTCCGGATATGCTGGTGACCTCGTCGAAGAACGCGAACTCCCTTTCGTAGAAGTTCCTGTCTTCGTCGGAAAAGCTACCAACCATCTTCTCCATTACCTTGTCAAGAGCGGGCTTTATACCATCGGGCTAGTAAGCTGTTAGCAATTGCCTCTTTTAACTCCTGGGGCGGACATGGGCTTACAATTGTAGCATCATCATCCTTGTAAGAGTTTGCCTTCATGTTCCAGATGATCTGATGCGCAAAGAGTTGAGAAAATTGTGCAGTTTCGATGATATAACGCTCCACATATCCAAGAACATCAAATCGGAGACCCTGTACAATTTGCGGTACATAGAAGAAAGTGACGTCGATTGAATGGAACTCTAAGGTCCTCATGGCGTACTGGATGAGGAACGGATGGTTGCGGTACGATGGCAAGAAGTATGTAACAGCGGTTACGGGATTGACGGGGGCCCAGAAGAGTAGGTACTATACATGTTAGTGAGTGTACGGAATATATAGATGGTGTCAACGCCCTACCTTTAGCTGGAATCGAACGTCAGGCGGTAGTTCGCCTCCTAGTAGTATTGGCAGAGCCTCGGGTTCGGATATTGCCTTATCAGGGAAGTTTAGGAGCAGCCACCGGACTTCGTTCTGCACGGCTGGGATCGGAAATCTGCTGACTAGCTCGATTGCCAGAGAAGGGTTCTCGGTCCAGGCCACTCGGACAAGAGGTTTAAGAGTTGTCTTAGAAGTTAGCCGGAGGAACCTCTTCAACTTGGGTATACGTACCTCAAGTAGCGTCCTGCCAGAGTGCGTCAAGATATGAGGTCGTGGATAGTGGCTGTCGTTCAACGGATGGACCCAAACATTCAATCTGGCTAGTTCGCTCTCGAGTAGGATTTGAAGTAGCGCCTCCTTTTGGGCTAAGACTTTGAAGTTGCCGATTGCCTGAGCCCCAATGTAGGAAAGAGCCCCGAGAGCACTCATGACATCGCCGATCAGTCGCACTTCCGTCTTCAACTGGAGTAGGTTGCTTCCGAAGGACCATTTCGGCGAAAACTTAAACCAGCTCAGAGCCGCAGAGAGAATCTTGTCCTTGAGGCGCCACTGGATTAATGGAGGAACAGCTGTGCTCATCCTCAGTACTTTGAGGCTAAAGAGAACGATCCTTAGGCGGAGCTCTCGAGCCATAGGGTGGGAAACCGAGTTCTTGAGGGCGTCGAGAGTTATGTCCAGCGTGCGAAGAAAGATCCTATTCGTATCTGGACTGCCGAGTCGGGTAGCATTGAAGTGACTGTTGAAGAATTGTGTCAATCGGGTATGTGGAGCTAGCAGGTTGTGAACCTGCTGCCGTCGCTTCGCAAGGCCCTCATTATCACTTGGGGCAAACTCCTCTTTGAGAAAGAAGGGATCCGGATGCCTAGAGAAGTTAGTGCTGTGAAAAATGGACGCAGGACATATCTTACATCAAGGTAGGGTTAAACAACCCGAGCTTCTTATGGATGACGGCCTCCCACTGCTGGGCTATTTCAACCAGTAACCTCGACTGCATTCGAGGATTCTCGTTCATGACACCGAGCCAGAGAGAAACCCCAAAATTTATGGACTCTTTGGTGAATATTCCGAAGGGAATGCTGACGAGATAATGGGTGATGGCACTCTCATCTTTCTCACTACGACATAGCAGAGCCGCCGCTCTCCGGAGGATATCCCTCAATTCGTGTAGGGGGGCATTTCTTTTGCCGATTAGACGAGACTCCACATGAGCCAACGCTGCAACGGCGTCGGCACGATCGGTCGGGGCAGATCTGATGAAGGAATCCCGTCGCACTTCTGGCAAGAGGTTGATAAGATCCTTACCATGGTGGGCAAGCGCTTCGCCGTATCTATATTCTTGACGGGTCGTGTATTGGGCGACGAAGTGGGATGCGGTGTTGATGGCAGTTTCGCCGACAGGATCCAGAGACGTCAGTTTTTGATCTGTAGCAGGTATTGAAGATCCCATCTCCAGAGCAAACGACCGACCGAGAGACATGTGTTCGTAAGCACCATCGTCGTCAAATTCAGACAAGTATGTCTGGAGCAGGCCCTTGACATCCGCAGGCGATAGATTTATCACGAGTGAAACCCAACTCTTGGCTCTCGTATACAGGTTGTTTAGCGTCGTCTTTCTGAAGGCGTAGTCATCTGAGAGCTCAACTATAACACGCCCCAATCGGGACGTGAAGACCGATCGCGGATCGTACATTTCGGTCTCGGCCTCAAAGCAACTTGTCCACATCAGAGACAGTAACTCGAGGAGTGCATATAGTGATGATTTCTGACAAAGAGATGATGGGATCTCCCGGATGAACTTGTCGGCGCAGTAGAATGCGGCTTGTTGAACACGCTGGATGCGGTGACAACACCCGCAGAAGATTGCCGCAAGTTGCGATGCCGCATAGTGAGCAGAAAATGTCGGCAGCTTCGCCTCGAGGGTCTTGGACAAGTATTTTTCGAGCACAACTGCCGTGATCCCCTCCATAACACTTCGCACATTCTCGTTGCGCATGCTAGGCTCTAGATAATATGATAGAGTCTTGGTGCAATCGCCAGAGTCGGCTCGCAGGCTTTCAACTAGGTACGCGGCCTGTAGGAATATAGCTTTTCTGTAGCTTAATCCCCTGATATCAGCTGCCTTGGTGGGTACAAGTTCTGTGAGCTGCCTTTTCTGCTTAGCCTCCCGATCGGAGGTATTGGCTCGGCGAAGAACAGTGTTTAGCTCTATATCGCTCTCGAGCTGCTCGCCTCGCTGCTCGGCAACAAGTGGTGGAGAGTGGATAGCCATGACACGCAACTCATTGACATACTTCTGACCCTTTTCGGTTACTGGCGTGAAGCCGTGCACAACAATATTAAACCAAACATCGCGGATTAGCGAATGCTTGTCATCATCCAGCTCAGCAGCAAATTCATGCGTTGACATCAATATGGAGAGAGGCTGGAGAAGCTGGGCAATCTCGAGCGCTGCGAATTCGACATCAGACTCTTTCATGTGCTGGGACTGATGCACGTCTCCCTTGGAAATAAGCTCCTCCAGCATGTGCTCTAGATAAATGTCAAATAGTGGTGAGTGCCGCTTCACATTCGCCGATATGTGATTTCGAGCCTTCCTAACCTACGGAGGGTTAGAAACATAAACTCTAGATATACTCAACGGGGAATCGAATGCAAAGGGAGGATCTTACTGCATCGAGGATCACGGCGTTGTTATCGGCGGATGCGTTGTGGCAGAGCCTCGAATACAACCTGAGAAGAGACCTGAACTCCAGCTGCCCACCGCTTAGGGATAAAAAGCTGGCGCCGACAATAATATGGCTGTCGACAAGGTGGTTGACTTTGGTCAACTTTTGCAGAAGCATTGCTTGCGCAAGCGCTGTGATCTTCTCATCGTTGCATATATCTGCAATACCACATATCGCCTGGACGATGTTCGCGTACACCATGGTGGTGTCTTCCTCGCCATGAATCTGGAGCGAAATTTCGCTTCCCGTAGCCTGTCTCCCAGGGTAAACGTTCGGCAATACGGCGGCATTGCCCCCCAGCTCGCTAGCAGACCCATTTACGACGTTCTGGTCAGTGTCGGGGCTCAGCACATTTCCAAGGGTATAAAGCGTTGTAATGACCGCATCTTGAGACAGCACGTTCAAGGCTGACGCCAAACATTTCGAGGCCACAGCAACGATATTGCTAGACAGCGTGGTTTGAACGATGAATCGAGGCAGGAGCCGAATAACATTGGGGGCGAAGTTCGGCAAGGTTCTAGACAGGACAGCCATTGACCGAAGAACCGTCGAGGCTAACGTCTCATCTAGCATCTGCGCCGAGTTTTCTAGACACTCCTGAAGCCAGCCCATAAGAAGGTCCGGATCGGCGGCATCCTCATTGAGCACCGAACAGTTCAAGAAACTAATAATGGCACCGGCCTTCACAGCACAGGCCAACCTCTGGTGAGAGGGTGAGGCCAGCTGAATGAAATCGGCGCTGGCCTCTACGTGTTCCATCTCCTCCTGAGCAATGCTCGCGTATAATTCAATTGACTGGAAATTGGCATCCGGAGTGGTCAAACTGCCCGGTTTTAGCAGGTCGTCTTTTGACATTAATAAGTCAAGGATGTGAGAGGTCTTGAGAAGCTTGACATCAGTGATCAAAAGCGAGGTTGTAGAGACCAAGAGCCACATAAAGCTCCTCTGCAACAGAAGAGGGCCTAAAGGTCTCCCGTGATTGGCGTAGTGTCGAAGACATCTCTTCCAGTCCTTGGCATTGCGATCCGACGTGTGGGTATTCCGAATGATGGAAAATGCCCCATCTACAGCAATGAGGAATGATTCAGAAAGCAGGTCGCTGACCTTCTGAATCAAGGCAAGCCTTCCGCCGGTCCGCCAAAAGTTAGTCTGGGCGGAAGCGGCATCTAAGAACCCGATTAAAGATATAGCTATGGTTGCAATGCGCGTGGCATCCTCGAGGTTCGGGTGCACGCCCTCGTCAAACTTGGAAGGGGTGACGGCGTGGATTGCCGTACGCGCCGCGGAAAGGAAACCCCGAACAGTATCAGACACGATCTCGTGTAGGTCATCGTAGCTATTCCCAAGCGATAACAAAGCGGCGGTGACACTTGAGGCCAATGTTTCGATTGGCGACGGTTCCATCTTGCTGAAGGCGGGCGAGGAAAGGAAGGTCTGCGCGTGAGCTTCGAGGAGATAGGGGACGAGCTGGCTAACGAGTCTCTGGGCGCTCTGAATACCCCGAATCATGGGGGCAGCTTTGCAAAGAGAAATGAGAACTTCGAATTCGCGGATGGTCTAACACATGGTTAGCGACTGGCGACAGACTGGCCTTCTCTCCTATGCACTCTAAGCCGGACTATCATCACGTACCATAGGAACGCGAGCCAGCGATGACGAGTAGCCCCTCGAGGAGCCATTGGCTGCTTCTTTTCCTTTCCCACGAGCATTGGTAGCCCTGCACAAGCGATCAAGGTCGGATCTGTCGAAGGAGGTCGCGGAGCATGTGGCAGAAAGCACGGCAATCTTCTCGAGTGCCTGCTGGCGAATGTTACGTGCCATCTCTCAGGCTCTCGAGGGGTGTTGTCCGAGGTCTCAAGCGCACACACGTTTTGACAAGTATTTTGTTTCGATATACAGGGAAAAAAATAGACTGCTACATGTATGAGCATTCGAGGATCTCGGAGATGCCGATGACGAGAAAATATGAGTTTCGGAATCAGTAAAGAGATGAGAGTACAAGTGTCAAAAGGAGTCGAGGATGAATTAAAATGACGATGATGCACTTCCTTGGGTAGGTCTCTCTCATAGTAGGGGTCCCAAAAGTTAAGTGGGTCTTATCGGTAGCTTGAGTTACTTCTTGGTGTACATCCCACGTGTACTTCAACTTCTTACCCAACATCGGGCATTTAAAGTACCTGTATAGGTACCTCTGAGGTATCTAGCATAACTTAGGTAAGCATCACCTTCTATGATTGCGCTTAGTCATAAAAAGCTACCCCTGCCGGCTTGTCAGGCAGAGTCCAACAAGGCTGCAAGCTCGACGCGCGTGAAGGGAAGCCTCATCGTCACCACCCGCCATCGCTTGGAAGCTGCTCACAGCTTTCTCTCGAATCCGATATCATCTCGTTCGATTATCTCAGCCCCTATTCGGCCGTGCCAACATCTGATTTCAACATCACTCCTCACGAGCAAAGAAACTCGAAGTAAAATACAATACAACAAGGACTGCGACCGGTCAGAATGGCCATGTTCAGCCAGAACTCGGTCCTGGACGGACCCAGCTACTCGTTCGCTGATGCTCCTAAAGATGCTGTCGATGGTCTGCGAGAACATCGGTTTGACCCGTAAGATACTGCCACATTTGTTATGCCTTGCTCAGGCCAGACCGTTCTTCCTCGATCGAAACGAACGGCCACGCGCATGGATAGAATACCCCGCTAACGCCCGATCCGCGAACCGCAGGTACACCGACAACGGCGGCTCAACCCTCGCCATCGCCGGCGCCGACTTCGCCATCATGGCGGGCGATACCCGGTTGACGTCGGGCTACAGCATTAACACACGATTCGCGCCCAAGGTATTCAAGATTGGGGGCTCAAACTCGTCGCAGGACGACGCCAACATTCTGCTGTCGGTAGTGGGGTTCGCGGCGGACGGTGAGGCGCTCAAGGAGCGGCTTGACGCCATTTGCAAGATGTACCGCTACCGCCACGGTAAGCCCATGTCGGTAAACGCGTGCGCGAAGCGCCTATCAACCATCATGTACCAGCGACGCTTCTTTCCCTACTACGTGTACGCCATCCTGGGGGGGCTTGACGAGGAGGGCCGCGGCGCCGTCTACAGCTACGACCCGGTCGGCAGCTACGAGCGCGAGCAGTGCCGCGCTGGCGGTGCCGCCGGCAGCCTCATTATGCCATTCCTCGACAACCAAGTCAACTTCAAGAACCAGTACATCCCCGGCAGCGGTGTCGGCCACGACCTGAAGGAGCGTGAGCGCCTACCCCTGCCGCAGGACGAGGTCGAGGCCCTCGTCAAGGATGCTTTCGACTCTGCCGTCGAGCGACACATCGAAGTCGGCGACGCCCTGCAGATGGTCATCATCACGAAGGATGGCATCGAAGAGAGAATCCTGCCACTGAAGAAGGATTAAGCGGCGGAATAGCCTAACAAAACTCCGATGCGGAACGGGCAGCTATGTACAGTATCATCATACCTAGGCAACGGGGTCTCCAGGCGTCCGAATTCATCATGGTTCATCCACAAAGTTCTGGGCCGTTCAGTTGTTGCATGCTTTACGATGTGATCAAAGCTCTCTCTCTCTCTCTCTCTCTTCCTCGTTTCCATCTCATTGTAAGGGACGACGATATGTCCATTCGGACGTTACGGAAACCTACAGGAAATGTTACGTTTCCAAGTGAATAAGCCTTTGATACAAAAAGGGGCAGATAAGTTCGTTCACTATGATAGATATATATCTCTAGCACACTGACCCCTACTCCACCAAACTCCCCAGCACTTTTGCATTCGTGCATTGGCAAATGAGTCTGGAACATCAATCAAGGCTGTTTTAATCGACGCATTTTAACCATCACCTACAACCTCGCAACTCTTCCTAATTGATTACCAGAGAGACCCCAATAGTGGGTTGGTAAATACATACACAGATACACATTCCCCAGAATACATAGCATCTATATTACCGCACCCGTGTTACGATAATTCCCGCAGGCGTCCAATTCCTCCCTCATCATCACTGCCGGAGTGGGTTTTGATGCAATGCACATGCCCGGCATCTCGACGACGGCTACCCCGCCCGGCCACGGAGACCAGCGACAAGCGGCTTGGATGGCAGAGTCTCTTGGCTCTAATAGGATCCAACCCTCTACCCTATACACCACGCGCAGAACAGTTCGGCATGTCGCGGGGTAAGACTCGTACGCCTTCCAGCTGCCGGATACCTCTATCATGCCCGGAGCCTTCCTACGACGTCTAGGCTCCTGCAATCAATGCATGTCAACGTACACCCACCATCGAACGACAGATGATGCTTACAAGATCCCATCCTCCACTGCACCGGACCAGCAGACATGTGGACGCGAAACCCCATTCCGGTGATGGTGATTGGCTCAACAGCATCTCGGCTCCCTATGTAAATACGGCCAGAGGCCCCCAAAAGCAAAACCATGGCCGAAGCGTTGCAGGCTATGAGATCCCGCACACATGATCGGAACAGGTAGCTTAGGTACCCGGCGACTCCCGGAGGGGGCGATATACGGTCCGAGATAGCGCAAGTCAGCAGGCCTCCACACTCGACTATCCCCGAATCCTTAGATATGAACGTGATCACACCACCGCTCCGGGACGACCTTCCACGCGACGTCCCCAAACCTCTCGAGGGGGGACATTCTTCGCTAAAGCTCACTGGCTTCCGGCCTATAAGATGGGATCCCTCCGCGCACTCGCATCCGGCCGAGCCGAATGCAGCCGAACGGACGACAGAATCTCTGATAGGACCCGGAGCGCCCCGTTCCTTCGTCTAGGGCGGTATTCCCAAACGTGCTTAGAAGTTGCAGAAAGAGCCCCGAAATAATCAGAATGACCATTATTGGCCAATTCGAGGCCGCCAACAAGACGTTATGGCCACGATGGCGGGTCGACCCGGGTATGTATCGCGATACTTTGACAATTGAGGGATTCTATAGGCTATGTCGCGCTTGAATAATAGTAGATTCGGTTGAACGGGAGTTGTCACGGCGAAACTAACTAGCGCTGTCGTGCGTTCGTCCAGTAAAGGCAAGGAAGCCTAGCCCAAATTCTACCGGCACAACCTTCTACACGAGCATGCTAGGTAATGAGAGTTGAGGGCTTGGCGGTTTGGTTCACAGCGCAAAACACATGATACTTTGGAACAAGTCGAGAAGATAACGTTGGCCTGGCACAGCGGTCCAACACCAAGATCCAGTTGCTTGTCTAAGCGACATTCGCAAGCGCTTCCTATCCGAGGCGCTCCCCCCAAGCAACGGTTAAACAACGGTCGGTTCCCACGTGGCCACCGCAGTGCGTTCCAGCTAGGCAGCCCCATTGATGCCGAATCAGGGGCAGGCTCCTCGCCATAAGATGAGAATTTGGTAGCTGTAGGTAGGTATATGGGATGAGAAGTGTGGGGATTAGAAAGGAGCAGTGCGGACATGGAGGGTCCGAAAAGCGTTAAGAAGCTTTCGAGGAATCTCCGAACACAACTCCTAGAACCGAATTCAGACCAGCCCTGGTATGCCCAACGTGAGCCGTAGTCACGCCGTAATGCCCTAGCAATGCGCCCAGCCCAAACGATGCAAGATGGGAGAATTGCGACTCGGGCGTGAGTTTCAACAATTCATGCCGCAATAAGTTTGAGGCACCTGGCCCGCTTATGCTTATCTAATCACAGGGGAATGAAACCTACCTGCCTAGCGAGAGCGGTCCCGGATCCAAGTCTAGGCAATCCCGCATTCCTATACTACCTGTAGAAGTTAGAAGGGCCGTAACCTCTTCACCTACACACTATGCCTACACACTATGCAAGTCGTCTTGCGCTAGGGATTGCCACAATGACACAACACAAGCTTCAAAGACTAGCGGGTTGGGAAGTACGACAGATGTAGCGGCTCGGATGACAGGGAAACCGATAGGACGGTATGCAGTAGCCGGCGGAGCAGCAAAGATGTCTAGAGCCACGTCGCCCTTCGACGAAAGTTGCGGTCGAGAAGCATGCAGCAGCCTGGTGGGGGTTTCTCCGAGGGGACTAGGAGACGTCTGTCTCAAGGTCTCCGATAACGCTGTTCGGCATCGTTTCGAAAACTCTGCAAACCACCTAGTCGGTTTGGGTGGCAGGCCAGGATGCCATCTACGCTAATACCGGGGCGAGCCGACTTATCGTCAGAGAGCTCAGTGCGCAGATCACTTCCCAAAACGGGCCGACGTGAACTCGTATTTACCTATCTCCTCGGTTTTGCTGGACTGTCGAGCATTGGGGGGGCCAGCTGGGTCTGACGGCCGGCAGGCTTCTAGAGTTGGGACAGTCGTTCGTCGAGGGAATGGCCGGCGTTAGCGGAGAGAGTCTGGGCTGCGTCAACCGGGGGGGCGAGAGACGATCGGTCAAGAGCGCAGAAGGGCCAGAGTCATCCACGACCGGCCGGAGGACGTAGGGTGAGAAGGCGGATATACAAAAGAGGAAAAGTGAGGCTGAGCCGTGCAACCGCAAGGTTGGGCAGGGGATTCGTCGGCAGATTCAGTCTGGCAATCGCGTTCGCTGATCCTTCGGACTCCACGAGACACATCACAATCCAGTGTGAGTCCCAATCCCCCTAGCCACAACCCGGTCGACATTTTGCCCTTTGCGAGAAAGCTGCATCGACCCAGCGCCAGAACCCTACACACGTCCTACAGGTCCTACAGCATCCTTCCGAACATCCTCGCGGCCATATTTCGTCCTCCTATACACACATCCATACAGCTAGCGAGCATTAGTGCCGTCTTGGACCCCATACCTGTAGTCCGTTGCAGTGGAGGCCACGACGCCCTACCACTTACACGTTGGCCCTCCCATACGATGGATCCATGTGCGCTCACGAATACATCCACACAGGAAAGTCGCGCACCGAATCCGATACCTCCCAATACCAGGTATCCGACGTCGCTAGCCCTATCAGGCGGGTCGACGTGAGCGCCCCTTTAAGGGGGGCCATCTCACGTTAGACATATTTCTGCAGGTCGACGGACGGGAAACGTTCTGGGCCTTCAGAACGAATTGTGGGTGCGGTGAATATATCCCACATACCTACCTCAGCCTCTACGGTCCCTACCTATAGGTACCTACCTAACCCATCATCTACACACTGCTGCTTTGCACCCATCCCGTCCCGTCCCATACATCCATTCCGTCCCATACTTGCCTACGCCTCTGGCCCACCCGGACTAAAATCTCCGTAGGGCCGAAAGGGGTATGGATGTACCTACGTAGGTAAGCAATGCCCTCTGACAGCAGGAACCGCAGGCGATCTCCGTTAGGTATCTCTTAGTAGGCTTTAACATCCCTAAAGGTTACCTACGCGAGAGCAGGTATGGGGGAGGTGTCCGCGCGGATTCGAAGCACACGATCAAGACGGTCAAAATTCCGCCGATTACACATGGAGACGCCCCACCGGGAAGGAGATTAGCACTTGGAAGCTTTCCCACTTGGCTGGGCCACAAGCAAGCACAGTAGAAGCAACCTTGGCCTGCAGGCGCAAGCGCCGGAAACCCAGACAACCAAATGCGAGCGGCAACGAGATGCGATGCGCTACTAGTTTGGGCGGCAGACAGGCATCACACGGGTGTGGCGCCGTAATGTAGACACCTACCTACCTGGTATCTCTCACGCCTCTTATACGGGCATATAGTTGAAGCCCTTGTAGATGCCTAACGTGGCACCTAACCTAGAGCCCACAGGTGCCCACCCAGGTACCTCCTATAGCCCCTAAGGTCTCGAACTGGTAGGCGATTCGCAAGTACGCGAAGGCTTCACTGCTACCCAGGCAGGCAGGTAGGTAGGTAGGTACCTGATGTAGCAGATAACCGCATACATTAGGTACATGCTCCAATGCTGGTAATGCCTAATGCTGCAGAGGCACCTCATAGGCGCCGCAGAGAAGGGGGATCGGCATGCTCGCTACGGCCCCCGTGGGTGTATGTACGGCACATTACTGGAAAACACACAACCATAGGGTGCCTCCTGGCAGCAGAGGCAACGGACGGCGTCAGACCGATGGCCCGGGACGGAGAGAAGAAGCATAGGGATAATAAGGAACGTGGGTAGAACACGCTGCCCTCGAGGCACCTCACCACCAGGGAGGGCAGCCACCTAAAGCTATGGGGGCCTGGCAGGCTGGATCGCCCTCACTACCTAAAGGTATGATGGTAGAAGGGGCAACATGCTATGTAATATGTGGCGAAGGAGTGGTTGGAGGTGGAGGCTGCTGCATATACATGCACGATGTATCTCACCACGCCAGCCTTCGATGGGACCTCGCCGGACCGGGGGTGCGGAATAGGGAGGGATACAATGTGCGTCTAGGTACCTACCTACCTAGGTAGGTAGGTACACGCCTAGTGTCTGTCTGCATGTAATATACAGACACATCCTGAATCTGTAATCCTTGGAGGTTATGGTAGTCGGGTAGGTAGGTAGGTTACAAGCAGGCACTTAACCCCCCCCATCCCCGGTCCTCCAAACCGGCGGTCGGGTACCCGAGTACCTTCTCACCTCCTAAGCTTCCTGGATAGAGGTAGGGGGGTAGCATTATAGCATAGTACTATTACCTACGGTAGGTATTCTACCACCTCCTATCCTGTCTCCCTTGAATACCTCCTAATACCTATTCTCCTCCTAGCTTCTGCCCGCTCGCAGCTTCAACATCAAGCACCCCACGCGGGTCTCACCAAATATGCATGCATGTACCTATCTATTAAAAGGGCACCCGGTCTTATCTTTTGGCTATCGAATGCTGTTAAGCTTGGAGAAATTGCGGTTGCTGATCAATAACCCTACTGGGTTATCCGCCTACCGGGTATGCATGAATCGACGATGTGCCGCGTGGTGTGTGAGTTTTAAATACCTAGGTACCTACCTCCCAACCTACCTACCTAGGTACCTCTATGGAGGGGATCTCATAAAAGAGGTACCCCAAGGTGCTCACCTACCTAGGTAGGTAGGTACCTAAGTACCTAAGGTTGGTAGGAGGTACCTATGAGTACCCATATAGCCCCGTTGCTTGGGTGGGCGATTCCGCTTCCGCTGGGCGGAAGGAGGCATCTCGTGTTACACCAAGCCTTGGGTTGGGCAGTTGTACGAAACAATGGAAGGCAGGCGGCACCTACCTTATCTCCTAGGCAGGCACGTAGCTCCCCGAGTACCTAAGTAGGTACCCTAACCTAACGTACCCTGCCCTCTCCAACTGGCCGCCTCCTCCTATCCCTTCCACCCCTGGTTTTCATGCTAGAAACGCTCAGTCCGAATATCGCAAAATGGTGTCTGTCGATCTTGCTTCGGTTTATGGGCTTATGGCTTGAGCACGACGCTGCATAGAAACCAACATGCTTTTTTTTTTTTTCAATGCAACGCCGCCCGGTCGAACGCACGATGCCCATCAGCTTCCTGCCCTCTCACCCTGTTGCGTACAGGCTACACGCGTACGTAGGTTGCGGCGACGAAAATCCGCAGGCGTGGCGGACGGGAGCAGAGCAGGATGGGCTGGCGGATGGCAGATTTCTGGTGGCGGACAGCGATCACTACTCTTTTGCTGTGCAGTAGCGTGCGCTGATCTCATTGCCCGCATTCGCCTCCTGTTTAATTCGGCGGCGATGTTGCAGAGTTCGCGAAAGGCCAAGCGCTCGAGATTTCATCGTCGACATCATCGCCCGCTAAATCCAAGGATCAACCCTCTCCACAGCGACCAGGGCGACGTGGGATCAATGGGAAAACACCAATTTCCCCGATTCCAATCTCGCCAATCCGACAAGAAAGTCGATTGCGGCTCAGTCCGGGGGCCCGGGCTCCCATTTCATCATCATGGCTACCCAGGTTTTTGCCGATCGGGTCCCCAGATCTCCCATCCTCCACCAATGCCCTTGTTAGGAAATTCAATCCGCGTGGCGCAGGAGCCAACTCGCGATTAGCTGTTGACCGTGGTGCTATCCAGGTGAGGAAGCCCAGCTTATTGTCGCTCCCCAATCGCGCTGTGGTCTCGAGAGTCGAGAGCGCCCGCCCCGTCGTGTGTCGCCCGCCCGCCACTCCGTGTGCCCCTCGCGCAGTCTCGCTGGGTAGCCAAGAGTCGGCCCTCCTTCTAATCTAGATGGTTCTACTCACTACTACCGATGCCTACGACGCAGCGGGTCTCGCTACAGGCATCCCCCGTGTGCCCTTCGCGGGGTACAGCGGGTTGCACGCGCGAGAGGGGGGAGAGTCATCATTAATGCTCCTATGTGCGTTAGGGGTGGCATTAAATTGCACAAGAGGCCTAGCAGTCGAGACGATCAATACCTACCTATTTGCCCGCCTCTCCTGCGCCCTCTCTGTCTCTCTGTCTCCGAACCTATCCCGAAGGTGATTGGGGCGCCGCTCCGCTCCGCTTCGAGCGAAGCGAGTCCTGCGCGGATCTCAGGTTGCTCTCGCTTTGTGCAGAACTGGATCGGGTCTGGGGACAGCCGCACCCGGCTTGCGCGGCCGACGCAGGAGTAGACCCACGAAGAGCCAGACTCCAAGCACCACTGTTCGTGACGGGGGATCGACATCTCATCCCAAGGAGCCTCCATCGAACAGGTCTCCTTGCTGGAGGCCCGGCCAGACCCTTTGTGGCTGAGTGAACCGGGAAATGGGACGTGTCCTATCAGACGAGACCAGTAACAACTACCTAAAATCTCGAGAGACTCATGGGTCCCCGTGGACCCCCCAAAAAAGAATAGTCGCAGGGTCTGGTGGCAAAACTCGGCGCCAGCGAAACAACACCGGTTGACTGCGAAATGCCATGCCATGCCATCCCTCCGTCCCCAATTTTCGTTTCCCTCCTGCTAGTCTTCGTCCCAGGCCCATTGGCCGATGTTGCTGTTCCTCCTACGCCCCAACGTTCTGCTCGGCTCCTGTCGTTTATCTAGGCCACCCGCTGTGATACTTTGTCGACCCCTGGGCTCTGGAGCCGGGATGGTCTTGCATTGCCTTCCACTTGTCTGGTTCGTCGTCCGCTCCTCCTCAGTACTACCTACATAGACTTCGGGGTCGTGCCTAGACAGGCTCGACAGGACCTGGCTTTTAGCCACCTGCATTGCCGCGAGTCGTTCACTTGCAGTGTTTCCTGAAGTTGTCTCATGATGTTCGCCCTCATACCATGCTGCATACATGCCGAAGGAAAGGGCAAAGATTGTCGTTACATAATAACTGATTCTGCTTGATGCCCTAATGACCGGGATTGCCAGAGGTCATTGTCGGGCCACATGGGCATCTTAATTAGCCACATCGTCTAATATTCTGGTCTATATTCATACCTTCTCTCGGCCGGGGCTGAGAGGGAAGCTACCCTTTGAAATTGGGTGGTGACAAGTACTTGGACTTTGGTTTCTCTCGGCAACACCTCTCTCTCTCTCTTCCTCTCTCTCACCCTCACACACACACACGCACTCCCTCTCTCTCCTTTCTATTCGGGCCTTCGTCCCAGGCAATAGACATACGAACACCCGTAATCGCTCCCACCAGTAGTCGAAAATCTTCTCCCCTTAGGAGCCCGCTTCTCTTCTGTCCTCTCCAATTCTCAATAGTTTATCAACCCAATAGTCTATAACTTTAGATGCCACCTTCTACGTTTCTCATTATTCACGATTAGTTTACTTTATGAAGATAGATTCGAGCGCCTCAAAGTCCGTACGTGCAAGCGCTACGCCGTAGTGTCGCCGGAAAGATACGCGAGTCGCTTATTCCTCACTGATCTACTCCTCCGTTGAGGGGCCTCCAGATCTCGGTCAAGACCTGGTCGACAACCGCCCAGCCCTCGTCGGTCCGCGCCACACCAAGCAAGACTGTCACTTCTTGTAGCCCGGTGGTCCTGGGAATTTGAACAATTTAGGGTTTACCAGAAGCTTTGTTACACCCTGTATCCCGAAGAAGTACTAGCAGAATAAGCGTGCTCGAGCTTTTCGCGGGTTCGAGGAGATAGTCGCAGATTTTTTTTTGGCACCCGAGCTCCTCCTCTCCGTCGTCGAATACCTGTATCGGTCAGTGGTAAGGCCAAATGGAAGATGTCCCGCCGCCCTCGGCGGCAAACAGCGAGTTCGCAACCATGGGCGCCGTCAGCGGCACCCGTCAAGGACTTTCACGAAGCGAAGGGTACCCGCCACTACCACAGGCTCCCGGTTCTACAAACAATACCGTCTTCCAAAACCAGTATCCGCAACTCTACGGGCCCTCTCTCCATCCCTTCTCGACCCAACTTGACATGACTCATGCCCAAGGACCGTCGCGCCAGGGCCCGTACAGTATGGCCGCGATGGGCAACGCACTTCCGCTGCCTGGATACCGGCCTGGTTATAACCCGGGACAACCGCCGCAGAGATACAACCCCGGCCCGACATCAAACATACTTCCATCTATACCGCAAATGGCACAGTTCGCAGGGCCACCGGGTATGGCTCAACCCTACTATATAGCCCAGATGTCTCCGTTCTACAATGCCCACCTATCGTCGCCTCCGCAGCATCACCAGGCCGTTCACCAAACGAACCTATCCCCGCGACATAACCCGAACTATTACTCGAACCAAGTCGTGCTAAACTCGCCCCAACATGCTCTTCCCGCGGGTTACTATTACCCCTCGTCCAATCAATTTCCGGTCCCACACTCAACGATTCCGGGCCAGATGGCTCCGGGACAGTTTCCGCCATCGGATGACACAAAAAGTGATCATAGGGGGGCGTCACCATCCCACGGGTATGATCAAGCAGGCGGGGTTACGGGCTCCGCTCGAAGTGATAGTACGTCAGCCCGATCCCGAGTAGGTGTCCTGAGGTTTATGTGGTGGCTACTAATAATACCGGCGCTGCCGCTCTTCAGATTCGCTAGACGCTCGTTCTAATAATGTCGTCCGCGGTCCCCCGCGCAAGCCTCGACAAAGCGGTGAGCCTCGGTGCGTCCAGATCGCGGGCAGTTTAGCATGCTAAAAGTACACCAGGCCACGCCATCTGGATAGGGAATTTGCCGCCGCAAACCGATCTTATGACGCTGGTGCGTCACGTATGTAAGGAAGCACCGGGCCTGGAGTCGCTTTTTCTCATCTCGAAGAGCAACTGTGCCTTTGCGAATTTCGGTGACGAACAGAGCTGCGCTGCAGCCCAACAGAAACTCCACGACTCCAAGTTTCAGTCCGTGAGACTAGTTAGTCGGCTTCGAAAGAGCACGGTGGAAGGAGCTTCCGGACAAACGGCGCCAACAGGTCCAGCAGCAGCTTCATCAAGCGGACAGAACATAGCAATAGCCGAAGCAGCGAGAAGTGCTCGAGTAGATTCATCAGATGCCGCGATAACGACATCGGAACGCCGATCGGAGACTAGAAATACGCTGGGGGGCAACACTAGCGGGCAAAAAGACAAATTCTACATACTCAAGAGCCTGACAGTGGAAGATTTGGAGCTAAGCGTCCGGACGGGTGTGTGGGCAACTCAGTCACACAACGAAGAAATACTGAACGACGCGTTCAAGGTAAGTATATAATACCGAAGACGCATGAAGCCTTGGGTCTATATCTAACAAAAACACCGAAATAGGCGGTCGATAACGTGTATTTGGTATTTTCGGCGAACAAGTCGGGAGAGTATTTCGGCTACGCCAGGATGACATCGCCTATTAACGACGACCCGGCCGCGGCAATCGAGTTTGCGCCCAAGGCGCAGACTACGGACAGTGTAAACCTGCCTAAAGCTATCCCGACCGACGCTACGGACGACTGCCCGAGAGGACGAATCATTGACGACTCGGCCCGGGGAACGATATTCTGGGAGGTAGAGAGAGACGACGTCGACGCAGCAGGCTCGGCAGAAGAGTCGGACGATTCGGCCAGCGCGAGGGGCGGGCAGGAGGGCGAAGGGGGGCCTACGAAAGCATGGGGGAAACCGTTCAAGCTTGACTGGTTGTCGACGACGAGACTACCGTTCCACCGGACGCGCGGGCTACGAAACCCGTGGAATTCCAATAGGGAGGTAAAGATCGCGCGGGACGGGACAGAGCTAGAGCCGTTAGTGGGCAGGAGATTAATCGGGCTGTTCAACCGCGTACAGAACGCAGCGCCGGCACCGGTGGGCAGTCGGCCAGGAGTGCCGATGGTGGCGGGATACCCTCCGCTGCTTCCCTCGCCGTACCGTCAATGAGACGAGGACGGGATTGGGTATTAGCAGCACGAAGGCAGGCAGGTCGCGAGAGTGGGAGGGAGGTGGCGAAGGTGCCGGGGTAGCGTCGGTTAGTTGTGCTGAGCATGACAAGCGAAGTCAATCTAAGCGACTTATACGACGACGACGACGTGCCGTTGTTGCGTATCCGTCATCTTCCTTGTTTTGAGATGATGGACGTGGCGGTCCGTGATAATGCAGCAGTATAGCTAACCTACCTACATGGCGGGCCCCACCGCGACGCAACGGTTGCAGGACCGTATAGTAAGTATTAATAAGAAACACGGGTTCGCCGCGGCGAGGACGACGGTTGTGATGATGGAACGATAGGTAGGTGGTTATTAGTTGGGAGGCTTACCGAGCGAGTCGGTAGCATTTGCATGACGAGTTTACTTGCGGCGACGTGCTAATGCTAGTTTGGGTGCAGGGTGCGTCTCTTCCCTGGACGATCACGACTATCTTTACCTCGCACCAAAAGTAAGGGTAGCATTTAGTATAGAAACCCGCGTCGGATCGGCGAGCCGCCCCCCCTACCACGCTTATGTCTCGTATACCTAGGTATAATACAACACATATATACACACACACTCTCTCTCTATATCTACCTCGGTCTCGGTCTCTCCGTCTCGCCTCGCCGTCTCGCACCCTCGATCTCTTTTTGCCCGGGGCCCTGGACGGTGCCGTGGGGATTCATGCAAGAAGCATATAAACGATGCGCCGGTGGGTAGCTACTGCGTCATAGCTGCCGGGGGAGAAGCGTAGCATTGCAAAATACGAACGGCAGGCCGACGTCATCGGCGGAGAGGCAAGGATGGCTCTCTAGTTAATTATTGCCGTCTATAGGTACTTGGCCCAATTTCGACTTCGCGTGCGCATTCGAGAAGTTACCATTTCTGTCATGCATGGCGGGGCGACTGGGGAGGGGGGAGGGGGGGTTACACGAACCGGATACGATATAAAATGCATTAGGTAGCTTGGGTTATGAGTAGAGGTAGGTATGTGGGAGGTACCTACCTAGGTATGTACTATATATGCATTAGTATGAGTACAAGGTAGAGGTAGGGTTCGTTCCAAGCATGCACCATCATAGTACTCCTACCCACCCCTAGGAGGCAAGGTACCTTGGGTAGTAGGTTAGGCTAGGTGCCTAAGGTACCTAAGAGGTGGTGCGTCTAGGCAAACGTCACCAGCACCGGACTAACTCTGACGAAAGGACGTTCGGATGGACCTGCCCACACCGACCCAGGAAGTACCATTACGTACATAGCATTATACCACCTACACGGGTTAGGCGGGCAGGTGCCAATGCACAGCTTATTCGCGAGCAGCTCCCTGCCTTCTCTATGAATGAGTTAACATGTGTCTGCGCGGGGAGGTGCGAGGCGAACTAGGGCGGGTGGGTGACGTCACGGCGCGCAACCCGGCCGGGATACGATCCCCTGCCAAGATCGATGGGCTTAGCGGATCTGGCGAGCAGGAGACGGCAGCCGGCGAGAGAGGCAGAGGAGGCAGATGGCACGTTACTAGTGCCAGCTAGCAGCAGATTTCCCGGGCTTCTTCCGAGGCTCGCCGTAGGGCTGAATAATCCGAGTCGGACGCGCGCTTCTTCTTCGGCTTAACTCCACACACTACTCCTATACACAAATTCGGTCGGTGGATGCACGGACCACTAGCCCGCTCACCCCTTTCGCCCAGTTTCCATTATCTTATCTGCAATAACACGTGCATGTACTTTCCGGTCGCAGGCGCCGTAGCGTTCATGTACAGAGTACACATTTTGAAAGATCCGTACCTGAGGTAAGCGCAAGTACCTCATAACCTACCTCAAATGCATGCCTAGGAGGAGGTACCTCCTAAGGTAAAGGTCCCACGTCTTATCGAACCCGAACCAAGAGGGGTTATACTACCTGCCTAGGTACGTAATGTACGTAATGCCCATGCCTATGCACAATGTACCTACACATCTACAGGTAGGTATTCGCTCTCCTCTCCCTCCGGGTTACAGGCAGAGCGCGGAAGCAATTTCAAAATCGGATACTTTTGCACAAGCGACGAAGAATCAAATGCTAGCGAGAGATGATATCCGGAGCTGGTTGCTTGCTGAGGGGTGGTGGAGGCGGAGGTGTGGTCGGTAAATCGCAAGCAGCTCTCGTCGAATGTTCTGGTCGATTCTCACCACCTCGCGTGCCGTCTGGAGACATCTCCGTCACGACTTGAACGACAACAACAACGAGTCACGCTATACCCCGCAACACACGCAATCGCAGCCGGCGGAATCGTCTGAAATCTTCTAGATGCCTTTAGCTCCTTCCAATGAGTATCCGGCACCGTCTCGTCGAGCCTGTTCTCGAAAATGGCAGAATGTGCTCGTTCCACGACCACGCAATTATTTAAACCGCCTTGGACATCGCCAGGTCTGCTCCCCTTCTGCTCCTCAGATCAACAACAATCACCAAGACAACCAACTGCCTAGACGCAGATAAACCGGCACATGAAAACCTCAGCCCACGCTCTGGCAAACAGAGTCAGACCACACAGAATCATCACCAAAGCCCTCACTCCCATAACAACCACCTCACTTCTCAACAAATCCAACTTCCACACGCTCAACACCATGTCGATGTTTGGCCCCCGATTCTACGCTCCGGCTGAGCCCAATTTCACGGGTCTCTTCCGTCTCATCGATGACTTCGACAAGTATGCGCTGCAGAACAACGGCACTCCGGCCCAGCAGGGTGGCCGCCACCACGGCCGCCACATCCAGACCTTCACCCCCAAGTTCGACCTGAAGGAGACGGATGACAACTACGAGCTCCACGGAGAGCTGCCGGGCATCGAGAAGGACAACGTCCACATCGAGTTCTCCGACCCCCAGACCATCGTCGTCCGGGGCCGTGTCGAGCGCACCTACACCTCCGGCACGCCCCCGCCCGGCCTCCTCGAGAAGGGCGCGGACGAGGTGAGCGGCGCCCTTGCCGAGGCCCCCAAGGAGCCTCAGCACGACAAGGCCCACCAGCCGACGGTGGAGGACGAGGCCGAGCAGGGCGCCGCCGGCAAGACCGTCGCCCAGACCAAAGCCCAGGGGGAGCAGCAGCAGCAGCCCAAGCAGCCGCTGCAGAAGTTCTGGGTCTCGGAGCGCAGCGTCGGCGAGTTCTCGCGCACCTTCCAGTTCCCGAGCCGCGTCGAGCACGACCAGGTCAGCGCCTCGCTCGACAACGGCATCCTGAGCGTCGTCGTGCCCAAGGCTAAGAAGTACGAGGGCCGCCGCATCACCATCAACTAAAAGGCGAGACGGAGCACACCCACGCAAAACAAAGGCTAGCTTCTCTTGTACAACAACTCGCCCTTCTTTTTCCCACTTATTAGTTCTCGTCTTCCGACAGCAACCCATGGGCGCTGCAATCGGTTTCCTATAATCTTTTACGTCAACTGACCACTCCCCCAACCCTCCCCTTCTCGTCTTGGGGGGGAGTAGAAAGGGGGAGCGTATGCCAAGCTTGACAAGACATTACGAACTCACGACCTTGATGAATCTCGTTCGTTAGACGTGTACTTACCGTCTCGTCGCCCGAGACCGGAGTCGATGGATGGATTGACTATGGAAACCTTTCCCTCTTTTTTCTTACTGCTGTCACTCTCCTCGCCTCTCTTTTCTAGCCGATCGTGACATTGGCATGGGATGGGCCGATCGAGGCAGATTGTATCCCAACAACGGACTTGCGGTTGAGACAAAAAAAAAGAGTTGCAGTTTTTTTTTTCCCCCTCTCCTTTTTCTCGAGTGCAAGGAAGGAGTGTACAGGTAGGGGAGAGGGAGGGTTAATAGTCGCGGGCAGATTGTATGACTAGGTTGAGGTAATTAGCTAGCTACTTTCACGTTAATCCAAAAATTTCACACAACCACTTCAGTATAATACTTGAGTGACTAGGGAAAGGGAGAGTAGAGCAGGGTAATTTCATAATGCGTAGGCACTTAAGAACCCAGTGTGTGTATACTATGTTAGCCAGACCAAGACTGATAGTTGGCAAGTTGTCAACAGCCGCTGCCATCCTATTCTCCTTTCAACGACTTGTCGCGAGCGAAACTCGGCCTCCGGGAAGCAACTCGAGTGGCACCCGTCGGAAAGGGGCGAGTAGGAACACGGTCCCGTCGACGGGCGGGATCCTGCATCATCTACCCGGGCCTGCCTTTCAGCCCTCCCAGCATAGTTCCGAATCGGGTCCGGGAGCGGACAGGGGCGTACGGTCGCTGGTCCGTGTTGCGGCGGCTACGGCTTGCGGAGAGCTCTATAAAGCTAGCGAATAGTGGGATCAATGCAATGCGATAAAGACGTCTGTGGTCGATGCGTTATAGTAGAAGTTCCGATAACAGGTTTGCCGGATATGAACTCAATGCCAACGCCGTAATGACATGTCTCCCTCGATACTAAGGCGGAGAATCGCCAGAGGTACGTTCTCCTGTGTTGAACACGGCTCATTCTCCCCCATTTGTAACGTTCCAGAGACGGGAAAGAGACGTGGTCCGCCTACAACTCGCTCCGCACTTCGATGGGAAATCCCAACTAGGGGACGAGAATGATGGAAAATAAAAAGTAAATGGCAACAATGTCTAAATGTGTTTATGAATTCGTAGAGTCCAAGTAGGTAGTCGTATTGACAGCCCCGCCCTTGGGGGTCTACCTAGATATATCGGTAGGTATTAGGTAGGTATGTCAGTGCATTCCGGTCCGAAACACACAGCACACACCTACACGTAGGTACATACAATCTATCCCAGTTGTCTCTCTACATATATCCTCTTTCCCAGGCCATTATTCCACGGGCAACGCCTGCACCCCGGCGGCCCTCGAACCCGACCGCTGCATCGCCTCCGCCTGCACGCGTCGTCTAGCAGGTGAGGTCGAACTTGGGCGTGGCGCTGTCGCGCGGCGTGAGCGCGAAGGAGAGGTCCGTCTGCGCGGCGTTGGCGTCGACGAGCGTGTACCAGAACACGGTGCGGTGGCCGAAGAGCGGGCAGCCCACCTGCGCGTAGTAGCGGTGCGAGTTCTCGAGCGAGGCGACCGCGTCCCGCTGCTGGGGGCCGACTGCGGGGGAGGGGGGGGGGGATTAGCTGGGGGCACGTCGAGAGATAAAAGTGGGATAGGGAAAGAAAAGAAAAAAAAAGTAACTTACCGCTCGGCCAACCGGTCTCGGTGACGAAGACGGGCTTGCCGCGGGCGACGGCCTCGGTCTGGGCGAGGGCGGAGTGGAAGTTGTCGACGGCGAGGTCGATGGAGTTGGGGCGGGTGGTCTCGAAGTAGGGGAAGCCGTTGTGGCCGAGGAAGTCGGCGGCGGCGGCGACGCCGGCGTTCTCGGGGAGGACCCAGGCGGTCCAGGTGTCGACGTGGCCGACGGGGACGCGCCCGAGCGGCGTGCCGCGCAGCCAGTCGCGCAGCCAGCCGATGTAGCCCTCGATCTCGGCCGCGGTCGCGCCGACGCCCGCGCCGTTGGCCGCGCCCTGCGCGCTGCTGCGGTACAGGTCCTCGGACCCGACGCTGATGCCGACCACGCGCTCCGCGAAGGCCGGCCCCAGCTGCGCCGCCGCCGCCAGCAGCGCGTTCAGCTCGTTCTCGTACGCCGCGCGCCCCGCGCTCGCCCACAGCCCCACCAGCACCCGCGTGTCCGTGTCGACGGCGGCCCGGAACGCCTCGATCGGCGCCGCCGCCGACCCGCACTGCACCGCCGTGTACAGCCGCGCCGCCGTGAACCCGCCCCCCGTGCCCGCCAGCCCCCGCGCCCGCTCGAACAGCGCCCGGAAGTCCTGGTACCCCCGGCACGACCCGTCGCTGTTCGTCGCGCCGTAGTTGAAGCCCTGGATGTTCTGCGCGAGCGCGCCGGGGACCGCGGCCGCCGCGAGGAGGAGGGACGGGAGGAGCTGCATGTTGTGCTGAAGGGGGGGGGGAGGTTCTGCTCCTCGGAAGGGGAGGCTTGGGCCTTTTCGATCGCAGGTCGGGGGTATATGATGCGCTGGCAAGTCGGTAAAGAAGGGATAGGCGGAGGGTCGCTAAGTTGGTTCAGGGGTCAGCGAGTGAGATATGGTTAGATAGATCCTGAGCTCTCTGGCGATGAGAACGGTGTGAGAGAGAGAGGGAAGGAGAGGACGCGGCCTCGTATTTAACAGATCTAGCGACGGACATGCATGAGTAAATAATACACCGCCACAGAGACGTGGACTCGAGAAAAGAAATGTTACACGTCGAAAACTGCCGACTTTCGGGGATTCTTTTTTCTTTCTTTCTTTTTTCATTTCTTCCGTGTCTCTCTCCATACAGTATGGCAATCTCCTGACCCCCAGCGTCTCTCTCTCCCTCTTCACACATGCCCATATTACACACGTCGATACATGCGCCCGTCGATAGCCTAAGCGTCCGGCGAGTTGGGAGGGAGGCGAAGGGCGCTGATTTGCAACCCGGCTTTGCGCTGGCGGCGGGCGAGGCTCGTATTCTGCTCTCTCCGCCACAGGGCCAAGAAGTTCGGGCGCATCCAGGAACGGATCGATCGGATGCGTCCAATGAGGCGGTGTCGCCTCCCCAAGAGAACGGTTCCCTCCCCCCCGATCCGGCAATCGATCGGCGGCGAGCCTCCAGGGAGGGGGATGGAGCGGACGCCGCCGCTAAAGCGAATAAGGGGGAAAAGCGACGTCGAGGGGGAGAAACGCCAACACCTACCGGTACGCACGTACGTTTACCCCTTTTCCGTGTTTGCCCAGGCACAGCACGGCACGGACAGCCTCGCCCAACAGCCGCCGCCTCCCTTCCTTCTTCCCCGTCTCGCCAACCGGCCGCCGACCCGTCGTCTTACACACTCTAGACTTCATCAATCGCTACGGCTTGCTCTCTGCAAGGGCGCCCCCCCGCGTTGGACGTACAGGCCGTCACACGGGGGCCGACGCGAGTCAGCCGGGGGGCCCTAGGAGACCAGCCGCGCGCGCGACTGGGCCGGGCTAGACCTCGCTCGGCTCGAACGCCGCCCACCGCATGTGGGCATGCATGTTGGCCACCGCGAGTGTACGGAGCCGTCGCACCGCGTCCCAACACTCGTCGGCCCACGGCGGCTCGCTCCCGCGGCATGCGGGTTTCCTGGGCCTTCTGCTGCTTCCCGCGCGCCGAATACGTGCCTTCGAGGGATAAGATGGATACTATGCGTGTAATGTAGGTATGCATGCAGGTATTAACAAGTAGAATATGCACAGGTCGCCGCCTCGCTTTTACTCTGCCAACCCCTTGTTGGTTGGCACTCAAGCTGAACCCAAACCAACCAACAAAACAAACAAACACAAAACGAGAAACCATGCTCTAAGTCTCTGATGCCGTACTCCTCCTCGGGCTCTCGAGCGGGCTCACCGTCACGGGGCTCACCGCGCCTCCACCGCCGCCCTCAGTCTCCTCGCTCTCTACTCGCCCCGCGCGCGACCCGCGGCTCGGGGCCTCCTCCTCCTCCTCGCGCCACACCGGGCTGACGGGGGAGACGAGCCCGTCGGCATCGGCGCCGGGCGGCCCGGACACGATGCTGAACCGTGGCATGTTCTCGTCGTCGTCGTCGTCGTCCTGCCTGCTCGTGTCGTCGTCCAAGTCTTCTTCGATCGGCGACACGGGCTCGGCCGGGCCCTCGCCGAACGCGGCCCCCGGCGGCACGCGGTGCTCGCTGGCGGGCCGCGGCAGCCTCGAGGCCGCGTCGCGCAGGATCGCCGTCGCGCTCGTCGGCGTGCTGCTCGCGCTGCTCGAGGCCGGCGGCGTCGGGACCTGGAGCGCCGGCGCGCGCGGCGCCCAGCGGTCGCTGCCCCCCGCCGGCTGGCTGCTGATCAGGCTCAGCCGCTTCACCGTCTCCGCGTCGACCGGGTGCACCGCCAGCGGGTTGCTCGCCGACGCGAGGGGCCAGCTGGGCCGGTGGTGGTTCTGGCTACGCGCCGCTGCTGCCGCCGCTGCCGCAGGCTCGCCGCGCCTGGCGCGCCTCGCTGCCACCGGCGCCGCATATGTCGGGCTGGGCTGCTCGTAGATCGCGGATAGCGGCCGCAGGAGGCTGCGGTGGGCCGTCCTCACACGCGGCCGGGAGGCGGCCGCAGCCGCACGCGGTGCGACGTCATCGGCTGGGGGACTCAGCTTCGCGGCCGCGGGAGCGGCTGCTGCGGCCCCCCGACGGCGGCCGCGGTACCGGAAGAATAGCACGGCCCCGGCGACGGCCAGACAGACGAAGGCGACGACTCCAACGACGGCCCCCGCTATCGCGCCCCCGGGCGCCGCGTGCGACGACGACGACGCAGACGGCGAGGAGCTCGTTTCCGCCGCCGTATCGCTGGCTCCTGTCGCTGTCACCAGCCCCAGCGGGTACGGGAACATCTCCCCGAAGCCGTGTGACGTCTGGCATTCGACGTACGAGAACGTGGCGCCCTGCTGGTCCTCGGTGAGGAACGCGTACGAGAAGCAGTACGGGCTCGTCGAGGGGCTAGAAGGCGAGGGAAATAGTTAGTACCCTTCCTAGGCGTCTCCCCCCACACCGCGACTCCTTATTGCCTTAGTACTGACCAGCATAGCGTGTGCGGCCCGCACTGCTCGAGATTGGGGATCACGCCGTAGTCGGCGCAGGTCGTATATATCGTCGCGACGCAGCCCTCGATGCCGGGCAGGCAGCAGCCGCGGTACCTGCCGACGTTCGTGCATTCGTATCCGAAATCGCAGCTGACTGTCCGCGGATTGCGTTAGCAACATCCAAGGTTCCGCGCGCCGCGTAGACTGCAATCGATGACTTACTGGTGCTGGACGACGTGTATCCGCAGGTATCAACTCCTAATACAAAATCGGCGGTGCCCGGAGCGCTCGCCGGCGTGGTCGCCGGCGGCCGTTCTCCAGCGCGCGCCTCGTGAGGATGGGCGGTCTGGATAGGGGTTCTGATGAGCGGCATGTCAGATTGCCGAAGCTGGCGATTATGCCTGGGCTCAGTCCGCGCGCACATTCGGGGCGGTCGAGGGGGTAGGCAAGTAGTAAGACACCGGGGCCCGAACAAAGGGCCCTCAAAATATGCACGAGGGGCGGATGGGACTCGGGATTCGCGGGGGCGAAGCCATTCGGTAGACGCTCTTTGCCTCGAACCCGAAAATGTTTGCTGTGCGCGATCTCTTACTACTGTGCCCTACTACGTTTTACTCTTTGAGTCGGTCGTTTGCCCAAGTGCGGGTAGTCTCACAAAGGATAGGTCAAATAGGCAAAAAGAAGCTCGTGGCCGAGGCACATTGGCTGTGGTAAACTACTCAAAGCCTTGATCGCATCCGTTTCGTGTCCCTTTGCAAGATTTTTCGAGGGTTTAAAACTAAAACCTGTCACTATCCTCCCGTCTTTGTCCCGTTGAAAAGCGTGGCGGCCTTCAGATCGTTGTGAAGACATCGAGGCTAGACAACTCTTTCCCGGGCCACTGCAGCCAGGGGGTTAGAATAAAGATTCTCTCACGGGTCCAAAAGAGCCGGGGGAATAGATCACGGGGCCGACTACTAGAGGCTTGGAGTAATGCTACACGTACCGAGAACATTGTGTTGGACTCGCATGATGACCCAAGTCCCTGGTTGTTCATCCAAGCAGGTTCCCAGTAGAAGATGCCGTTGCCGTTCTTCACACCAGCCACGATCTCGGCGACCTTCTTCACGAAAGTAGTCTGGCCTTCTGCCGAGAAAGGGATGCTCTGCACGTCGCTGGGGAACGGGTAGGCGGGGGATCTACACGAAGTTGGCCAGTTTATTTCGGCAACGACTATCTCCTTACCCCAGGTGTTCGCCATGTTAGTAAGGCTCGACTTGAGACTCGAGAGCGTCGCCGCCGAACCGCTAAGTAGTCGGTTAGTCGCGAGCTAACCCTCGCCTTAGTAGTGAAGTCGACGTTGAGACACCTACTAAAACGGATAATATGAGACGCCCATCATGTCAAAGTCCGAGGCGGTCAGAGGACCCGCGGCGAGGGCGGATTCGTACCACCATTTCTGGGTGTCCCAATTCCACCCGTTGTCTAGGTGGATCATGATGCGTGGTTTAGGGGACAAGTTGCTGTCCTTAATGCCCCAGGCGGCGGAGTGCAGAAGTCGGGCCACGTTGTAGAAGTTGTTCGTCGAGCCCGTCGGGAGCAGAAGGCCAGATCTGATTTCATTGCCGATCGAGATAATCGTGGGCGAGATTCCGGCCGAAGCAAACTGGTTCGATACGTCTAGCGTGTAGTTATACAGCTTCCACGCGAGATCATCGATGCCTGTCGGCCAGCCCGAGGGGATCGCCTGTTGTCCGGGGTCGGCCCATCTGAAGGAGAGAGGCGGAGTCAACGCTATTCAGCTTCCCGCGCCTACCTAAAGGCGCCTATACTTTTGTGGGAAAAGAATAGGCTATGCTACTCACGTGTCGCTGTAATGGAAGTTGAGATAGACGTCCAAACCAGCAGCTTTTGCCCGCCGGGCCAGCTTCAAGTTGTAATCTACGTTATAGTTGCCATCTCCCGGGTTGACCCAGATTCTCTGCCGCACCGTGTTGACGCCGCTCTCCGACAGTATCTTCTCCAAGGGCTGCGTGCTTCCGCTCGTGGTGGTGTACGATATGCCGGCTTTTTCCTCGACTATGACAGACGACCAGTCCACGCCCTTGTACTTGAGCGCAGCTTGCACCAGCGCGAGCGACGAGAGCGCTAAAAACGAGCAGAGCCTCATGCTGGGTTCAGTCAAACGTAACGAACGGGGGCGGATTTGGGAGAAGACAGTCGTGAAGTAAAGGCTGTAAAAGCCTTATGTTGGCGATCATGCAGACCTTGCTGAATTTATGTCTATCCTCCGAGCCTCCCCAGTCCCCCACCCGCAAGGGCTACCGTGAATACTAGTGTGAGAAAATCAAGGCAGGAAATACATTTGCGGGGAGCGTCCGGTGGGATATAATATCGTCGAGCAGAACTCGCCAATCATGGCTCGGGTGGTAGAGTTGCCATATGGGGAATTGTGCCATCGTAACATGCCACCGGGAGGGGAGCCCGCAGTGGTCTCATGCCGAAGATGCCTCGATCTAGGATGTTCCGTCTCTTCGTGAGTGGCTGTTTAATTATTTTCCCGCCTCGTGGATGAACCCATAACGAACACGGAGAACACGGAGGTTGTATGGGATGAACTCGCATGATTGGTTGGACTTGGGCCGGCTGGCAGAGGAGACGGAGACGGGAACACGGATAGCCTATCAGTGCGGATGTGAGAAGGACGAAAATCCGGGGGAAAAGAAGATACCGGCGTCGTAAGAAGATTGATCCGTGTGTCCTCTACGTTAGGTACATGATAGTCTGTGCCGAGGTCATCGCAGCTGTACGTACGTCATCGCCATCATGGCTCGGTACCAGCAACGCCAACAACGCACGTAGGGGTTGCATGAACCGAATCGGCAGGTATCTAAATATAAGAGTGCCTGCACCCTACGATGGGTGGGCAGGCATATAAAGAATGGCCATGCCGGCCCGGGTTTTGCAGATACCAACAACAATGAAGTTACCTTCGTGGCAGCGATCACGTCGTGATCTGCCGGGATGAAGAGAAGGGAGAAGCGAAGCTTTCTCCATCCTACAGCCCACCATGATTGCGGATTGAGCCGTTACGTCTATTAGTGCGTACCTGCCTCCACCAGGTAGGTACCTAGGTAGCTAGTAGAGAGATGAGGAAGACGAGCGAGTGGGAAGCTATTGGAAGCTAGGCAGGTACATACCCAGATGGGTTGGTTTAGGTACCTAGGCTAGGAGGCACGACACAACAGGTACGCAAGGTCAAGTAATGGTCCATTAGTTGTATGTAGAACTTGAATAAAGACGGCCGCGGAACAGATGCTATGTATAGTTTCACGCGAGCAAAGCAGGCATGACGCTATGCAAATTGTGAGCGGATGGGCACGTGGAAATGCCACGTTCCTACCTTGGATACCTTTGTTACCCTCGAAGTTAGTGCTCCTCCTAAGTCCGTCGCAAGCCACGATGTCGATTATTTTTATCCCTCTGCGCAGGCAGTAGGAACGTTGATAGAAGGGCTGGCAGAGGTAGGTAGGTTGGATAGGTTGTAGCCCCTTGCCGAGCACGGTGACGAATCCTAGAGGAAGAAGTGTGAATTACATTAGGTAGGCAGGTAGGTAGGTGCATACACCTAGAGGGACCATGCGTGGGTGTACTTATATGCAGAAGTAGTAGTACCGGCGTAGATAAAAGTACCTTAGGTACCTAATGACGTTGGCTGGCGTGGCGCTAAATCGAACCGACGTGCGAAGCGCGGTGAGATCGATAGCGAAAAGACAGGAAACCCTAGTCGAACCAAATTTGCATTGACATGCCGACAAGCCGAGAGAGAGAGACAGGGTTTCGCACGACGGCTGGCATGATATAGCTGTGCATGTGCCTACATTTAAGAATGGAGGGCGTCTAGCGCAACAGACGAGGTTGACCGGGCAATGCGTCCGACGTTGCATGAAGGTGTGTAAGAGCGCACCCGCTCGACGCCTTGCTACCTTTTATTTGTTTGTTGCCGAGGACCACGTACGCCATACATTCAAGAAATATAATACCGATCTATCTCTACACCACATACCCAGCACGGGGAGATATGCCTACAATCGGTTAGGTTTGGGTGCCTGCTTGTCGAGGTCTAAGCCAGCTCCGTCGTAAGAAGGAATCGGAAAATCTTCTGCCGCCAAGTACGTAGGAGGAGGAGTGTCTCGAATGGGCTGGCTCGGTAGAGTGTTTCATGTGTACCCGGGGAGGGTGGCATTAAGAAACGGCTTATATAGGTAGGTACTATGGCAATTTGCTGGGTGGCATTTAGTAATCTTCCTCCATGCCAATTTTCATTGCTCGCAATCGCGAATTCTTCGGCGCCTCTCGTTGGGGTGGCGATGCTGCATACGCCGACCTGGCCTTGCTTATCGCAACTCCGAAGCGAACATGCTCGGGCGGAGATAGGTAAATGGCAGGCGGGCTTTTAGGTGCACCTCGCGACCCGACTCGCGGAGCGACGGGACGTATCCCTAATGCGATACGAAGGGACGAGAGATCAGACGCAAAGGCTGTTGTTACGAGCGCCCATCCATAATTGTATGAGCGACAGCAGTCTATGAGTACGGGATTGGGACAGGCCCGGAGCAGACGTCGCGAGGTCCCCATTTTATTACCTAGGTGTGCACTCATCGTAGGTCAGGTACCTGGCATGTACCTGGCCGCGTCGCCACCGCGTAACTCTACTACCGGAAGAAGCCTAACCCGACACAGGTAAGGTACCTGCATACATATGAGCGTACACACCACCTAATCGCGCAGGCAATCTCTCGAACGGCACGTAGCGGAATGCTGATGACGGCGGATGTCATCTATCTATGGAGCGGGATGGGGGTAAGACCGCTTTGGTTAGCAACTCGTCAGAAAAGATAAGCTCATAAACAATACCTATCGGCGTAGGTAATATATGTAATATTGGGCGCTGCACGACGGAGGATGTCCCCTTGGGTGGCCGGGACCTGAGTGGACGTTCTCGGACTTCAACCGAGACCAGCCCGCCCATCGCCGCAGGGGTATGAGCAGACTAGCTGATTACGGAAAGAGAGGGAGCCTACTCGGCAGGATGATTGGACGATGCCCCTTCTGGGCGTCGGCTTGGCGTTTTCGGATTCTGGCCTGATGTATCGTGTATTGTGTGGTGTTGTTGTGGCCGCAGCGCCCAGAGACGGTGGAGGTCTCCTGCCCGCGCAGACACACGCTTCTTGCGTAGGTGCCTCGCAAAACGATTCATGTTTACTCAACTATGTGCAATTAGGTTAACTGGGACTTCTCCGGCCGGACAGCTGGTCCATTAGCTTCCCCATATACCTGACTAGACAGGTCCCCAGGCGCGCGGCGCGCACAGGCAAGCTACGCCTAGGTAGGTATGTTCTGTAGCACGCATGAAGGTGTACGTGCTACGGCGTTAGGTAGCGTACGTGTAAGTACCCCGGTCCAGGGTGGTACCTCCTACTGCCATAGGCGTCGGATCCATTGGGTGGGCCCCTGCAAAGAGGAAACTAGCGAGGAATGATTGGACTGAGGCGCGTTATCGTGAACTTCGTCGTCAGGTGCATCCGTCACCTTTTTTTTTTTTTTCTCTCTCGCCAATTTCCCTGGGTCTCCGAGAGAGGGCCAGCCAGGTACCTCCTACATGTGGTCAAACCGATACCAGACGCAGCTACTGCTACCCACCCCAGCCAGGAAACGTCGTCGGTCAATCGCCAGGTACCACCCATAGATAGCTTCTCTCTGTCTTATTACGTACCCCATCTCGCTCCTTTCTCTCCGTCACAAAGCGCCCGGCTCTTCCTCTTCTCCGACCTCGTCCACCCACCTCGTCGTCCATCGTCACTTTATCTACCTCCTCTTCCCTTCCCGTCCCCCTTCATACACTTTTCGCAAGCTTTGATAGCTGCGCTACTCTTTAAATCTATTTAACTGCCCTCCAGGTTTGGAATTAATACCCCTCGATTCGGCCGCTATCAATCCCGTACGTTAATCCACCGCCACTCATCCGTCGCCGCTCCTCCGCAGTAAAGATCGCCACCATGTTCCGAAACGTCGTCGTCGTCGTCGCGCTCTCCGCCCTCTCTTTAGTCTCGGCCCAAGCGAACTCCAACTCTACCTTCAAAATCGACCCGACCACCGTCGTCGTCGCCGATCGAGGTGAGTTGTTGGTATTTCGTGTCCGAAGCTCGATGCTAACTATTTTCCCCAGTCTCTTGGTGCCAGGCCCAGCAAGACAACTGCAACACCCTTTGCGGCACTGCGGTCGATAACACATGTGACGTCGTGAGTTGCTCGCGCCGCTAAATGTACATGACTCCTCCCTGCGCTTTACTGACGAGAGAAAATAGGACTCTCTTGATTTCGCATGTGTATGCCAAGGCAACAATGCGCCAGACTTGAACCTTTACTTGAACACGATGCCCTGGGTAAGGAAGACACGCGAATGTCCCTGTTTCTTTTCTTTCTTTTTCTGAGATGGCTAGAGACTGATTTGAAATCGTTTGCGTCGTAGTTTGTGTGTCAGAGGCTTCAGAGCAATTGCATTACCCAAAACGAGAACAATGCGGCCGGCCAGAGAAACTGCACTGCTACCTTCGGCGACAGATGCGGCACGGAAGATGTGACGGACCACGCCGGAGAGGGCTCTGTGAGCCAGACCACCAGCTCTTCAGCGTCCCCATCCGCTACCGGCGCCGCCACCAGCTCCTCTGTGCCAACTTCGACGTCCCAAGGCGCAGGTGTCCCCACCGGTGTTGTCTATCTCGGAAACGGAGCCGCGGCTGTAGCCGTTGGCTTGTTCGCCTATATGCTTTAGGCCTGAAGTAGGCTGCAAGTCGAACGATGTCTCGGGGGTCGCGCCTCGTGGTCATGGGCTCCTTGCTCGGGTACATTACAAGGTTGCGACGACGGCGGTCTTTTCATTTCTTATACACTTTGACACCAACAGCAATCCCCTCAAACCGTCGACCTGAGGTACTGGCATGCTGTATATGACCGCCCTACTTCACGAGGAGACGATTCAAGTGTTGATTTGGCATACATAGATGGAGTTTAATGTTTCAGCAGGCCGTGGAGAGGGTGGTGTATTAGGATGAGTCGCATCTCGGCTATGGTGGGTCACGGATACGCGAGAACCGCTAACCGGCTACTGTGGTAGAGAACAAAGCATGCAGAGAACAATGGAATTGACCAACGTGGAATCGAACGCTTTCTGTCCAACCCCCTCCCTGCAAAAGCTGCGGGTTTGACTGCTTTCTTTTCCTACCTTTCAGCCTCTGCTTTGCCTTCCCCTCTCTTTCTCTCGAAAGTCTCGAGAGGCATAGACAAGAGACATTGTTCTGAGAGTATCTGTTTTGGCGCATAGCCGTCTGTTCACACCTATATAACCCTTTGCGGTCGTAATAGCCTCTGGGATTCAGTGGCGTGCCATTCTATCTTCCTATCGTTTTATCGAAGGCAGGAATACTCACTTCCAGTGTCCAGCGAGAAGGGGACGAACGGCTTCTCTCAAGCGGGCCAGAGGATCACATCACATCGCGCCGTCTTCAGCGAGCCTACATTCACATGGCTAGCTCTGGCCGATTTACGGTTCCGGCGGGTAATCCCCTGTCAATAGGGGTTGAGTTGGAGTTTTGTGTAGCATGGCTACCGACGAGCCAGAGGGATCCCCATGAAACGATTGTCCCTCCCCTCCCCCCTCTACTACGGATAGACAGAGATGGCTTTTGCGCGGTGGTCGATATCTTGCGCCATATACGGGGAACGCTCAGGCAGCACGGGATCCTTGTTAACGAACCTAAGAAGGAGAACAAGCAACAAGTGCCCCCGCGACTAGTCGGTACGGACAAGTGGGACGTGGGCCTGGACGCAAGTGTCGAGGAGCTCTACCTTCCCGCCTACAATTGGCAAGGCGTTGAGCTTCGCAGCCCGGCAATGTTCGACAGGGAGGAGTCCTTCAAGGAGATCATGTACGTGATTAACCTGCTCAAGGCTAAATACAGGCTCCGCGTGAACCCAACAACGGGGTTCCATGTTCATGTAGGGAACGGGAGAAGTTTCTTCACAGCCGAGGTATTGAAAAGGATAGGCTCCTTCCTCTGGGCTGCCGACCCGCTGCTCTCGCGTCTCCACGCCCCCTGGCGAAGGGCTCACGAGCACTGCTATAGCATCCGCTACGCGAGCAGGCTAGCGAACCGGACTACGAACGCGGAGAAAGCGCGAACTTTAGTTCACGAGACGGTAAGAAGATTCAGAGGCGCTTTCGATCCCATCCAAGAGACTGCGTGGTCTGACACCACCCGGGAGCGGCGTCAACACGGCAGCGCAAGAGCCTGGGAGGAATACGCACGCCGGCGCGTAGAGGCAGGTCCGTTTATAACGGTGAGCGAAAATCCTGATGATGACCACCACAGGTATGGTAGACAGGGTGACAGTGGTGATGGCGATAGTATCTGGGACGACGATGGCGGTATAGAAGGAGACGACAGTTTTGATCCCAAGGCCTCCCGCCTTGTCGACGAACCGCCTGAATCATCACCGATTGGGCAAGACACACCCACCAACGACAGTACGCTACCCGGATATCATTGGCCGGGGCGCAATATACCAATCATTAACGGACCACCCGAGAAGCATAACCTGTACAGAAATGTAGGATGGATTCGACACGATCCGCTTCAAGATCCCAGAGTTGTGGAGGCGCTCTTTCAGCTCTGTAGGGATGAATACGGCCATGAGAATATCCACGAACTGGGTATATCAGACCAACTCGGCCTACTTCTTGACGCGCAATGCGCCATCCGATCCAACGGCGCCAAAACAAACTCCGTGTCGGACGAGGAGCTGCTCCAGATTGTGGCGGCAAGCGCAGAATACGTCGAAGCTGCCGATATCGCGTGGGTGTGGAACCCTGCAGAGGAGAAGTTCGAGTTCGACGGATGCCGAATCGGCGAGTCACTTTGGCACCCAAACGCTTTGCGGGAGGTCGTCATCGATGCGCCCAAGGTCATCCGCAAGTTTGATGGCATAGCTACGTTAATGGAGCTAGACGCCGAAGAGAGTATCGTTGACCGCGCCGAGTATGACGAAGCAATCAAGACAACCCAGGGTGTCGAGCAGCTCCTCGAACGCCTACACGACCACATGGAACGCGACCACATGGAGTCGCTATGGCCATCGGATAATATACAATGCTCGCCGGACACGCCTAACACGGATATTTGGTGGGAGAGAGAGGATCACGCGGAGATTCCCTCCACTCAGCTATCTCTGGAGGATAAGCGCGCTGGAATGAACCGGCTAGCTTTAGGTGAGTTCACTTACTCGCCCTTCCCGTGCTTGTCTCCAACAGATTCCCCCTCGGAGCCTACCGCAGAGAGTGTGCGCCAAAGCACAGATAGCAGCTCCCCGCTAAGTCCCATCCCACGGAGGCAGCAGCACCGCTCGGCAACGCCTCGCAACGGGAGACCGAAGAAGATCTGTCCCCACGACCCAAAGGGTATCTCGAACGCGTATATGGACGAAGTCGCGCTGTACGTGGGATTCCCGGAGAAGCTGTGGCAGCGGATCGACTGGGTGCCATGGACGCGGTACGGGGCGCGGGCGGATCCGTGGGCTCCGCACGCGTGGGGGACGTGCAGCGACGGCGGGCGTGCGTGCCCGGGCCACCCGGCGGTGTCGGCGCGCGAGGGCCTGGCCGAGATCTGGGCGTGCGACTCGGCGGCGGCGGCGGGCGAGCTCCTGTGCGGCTCCGACACGCGGCTCAACTACAACTTCTACTACTACTCGCCGAGCGGGCTCACGGACGGCGTGCCCGTCCCGGACGACAACGCGGCAGCAGCAGCAGCAGCAGCAGCAGAGGAAGGCGGCCACGGTCACGACCGCGGCCACGCCAGCGACGCGAGCGACAACACCCGCACGATCGAGTTCCGCGAGGCTGCCGGCACCCTCGACGCCGACTGGGCCGCCACGTGGGCGCGCATCTGCGTCGGCGTCGTGCGGTTCTGCCGCTACGCCCCCGTCGACGAGTACCTCGCCGCGATAGAGCAGGTCCTCCTCCAGGAGGACCGGGACCAGGCGGCGGCGGCGGCGCGGGTCAAACCGCAGCCGCGGGGGGGCGTCGTCGAGGACGAGGACGAGGACGAAGAGCGCTACGACGTGTGCGACCTGCTCGAAGACATAGGGTTGTTCGCCGAGGCCGCGTGGGTGCAGAGGCGGGAGGAGCAGAGAGGACCGCCGAGGTGAGGCAGCGACGTTACGGGTCGGTGCAAAGAGGTAAGTGGTAAGGAAGTGTTTTTATATATGCCTACGCTGGGACTCTTGGTTGGCGGGACGGGTTAGGGGCGAGGTAAGTGGACTGGTGTAGAAGACGGTAGGTTACGTATGTTTCTGTTTTTTTGCTGTTTTTTTTCTGGATCTAGAAGATAATTAGAAGAGTCGTCTGTCCAATGAACCGTTGAACGTCTATCCCTTGGTGAGAAGAAAGCCGCTCGTCCGATATGTGAAAGTGATGTCCCTTTTCAGTGATACGCTAGCAACACAGGGACGCGTATAGTACTCAGGAGAATAGCCGTTGATCGGCAATTCGACAAGGAGGTGGAGCCGGCAAGGCCCGGTGTACACGGAGTGGGGGCAGAACCCGTTTCTGCGGCTATTTATACCTATGGGCAAAGGCACTCTGGGCTGGCTGGTTCGGCTTGGCAGGGGGTGTAGTGGTAGACGTAGGGGCAAAGAGTAGGGGGCTATCGACCAAGTTAGAACAATAATAGCATACTCCATCTCTCGTTGCACTTGTGAAAACTCAGGTTTGACTTGTCAGCATCTAGAGAAACTCCAGGACGGGTTTCGCTCGAGTTCCGTTGCTAGGGGGAGTTATCAACCGTGGACTCTAGCCTAGGAATAGAGAGAGAAGCGTCCGAGTTGGCTAGGCCATATAGTCCCGATGCCAAACACCGCGTATTTGGAGATGCCATAGTCTAAGGAACATCAGGAATAGGTTCACGTGGAGCTGGCTGGAAACGGGAGCTGGGTCAAAGAGGCAAGTTGACGAGAGAGGTTGCGAGTACGGCAGAGTGAATAGGAATGATGCTGAAGAAAAAGCAAACGTAGAAGAGACATAAAGAGGACGAAGTCACTCGAAGGCAAAGGGGGGAAAAAAAAACAAGGCCCAGCCCATACCAATTTCCACCCCCCCCCCCTCCCCAACTACGCGGGGCGCTGGGAGGGGGGGGGACTCGCGCAGCAGGTGATCGCGTCGTGTCTGGAGGAAGACAACCGGGTGGACTCGAACTGGGGCGCCCTCCCAGCCGGACCAGGTTGCGTCCGCAGCGCCCCGTACCCGGCCGATTAAACTACCCGGTTCGTTACTTTCCCGCGGGTTAGAAAACGCTACGTTAATCGCCTTATATCTATTTAACTTACGTTATTCCGCGAACGAGGTATATAATAAATTATCGGCCGTTAACCGAGTAACGCTTAGCCCTCCCGTAACTTTTATAGTTTACCCGTAGCGTAATAATAAAATATCCTTAGGTAAAGCGATATTACGGCCCCGAGTTAGGATAGCGGAAAACGGAAAAGGTAATATAGTTCTTTTCTAGAAAAGGCCCCCCGAGATATAAGCTCGGCTAGCGTCTAGCGTTAATAGCGCGAGAGCGGCGGGCCTAGTCCTAAGGTATATTCTATAGCCGTTAATTATTACTATGCTAACGAGCTACTTCGAATTATAAGTAATTATTACTCTCTTATAATAATAGATATATATGTATATATGTATATATATATATTGGGCGTAGTAACTATGTTGGGTGCCCGACTACCTACCCCTATCTCGTCCCCCCTCTCCTCCACCAGCCCGCAGGTTACCAGTATCAGTATTATATCCTGAGCGTGGCAATCGCCTGGGGACTTTTCAGAAACATACTCTCTACTCCAACTAACCTCCGGACGCAGGGATCCAAGAATCTAAATTGTCATAAGCTAAGGGGGGTTGCTTAAAGAGCCAGCTATCCCGTCGGTGAATTGCTCGTCTATCCAGAGAAGTTGGACGAAGGCCGTACCAATTGCAATTATCTTTTCTGGCGCGGGTGGGCAGTCCTGCTAATCCATAGATGTCTAGCATTATATCTAACATTGGCCTGGTCCATTACTCTCCGTGCGAACCCCTAGACGAAGGCAACGGGCCCTAGCGGGTTCGTCTGCATAAGAGTCATCCCCCCCCCCCCCCTTTTCTCGAAAGAGGACCGTCTGAATCAGTCGTTGGCCCCGGGGCTGAGACTCTCGAAGAAGACGGGACATTGGCCGTTTATCGGGGCTCGTCGATGGCGGCAAAGGCGACCGGGCAAAATGCTGCGGGAACGTGGGAAAGGGAATAGGAGGCAGCCTTATTCTTCCGTTTTTGTAACTGCATTTCTCCCCAGTTCGTTAAATGGACACCGTGACCGGCGTTGTCTGCCTGCGAACTTGGCTCGAATACCTTGGAATGGGGGGGGGGCGGCCCGGGCGAGATGCCCATTGTAGTTTTCCTGTCTTGAGGTTGGTAGATCTAAGAACACACGAGAATTCCTAAATTTGGCACGGCTATATTAAGTGAAAGTCTAGGTGAGCGAGAAAGAAATAGACTATCTACATCGGCCCCTGCTTTGGGGAGCCGTCGAGGTTGTCTCGGGTGTGTTACGAATAGGGGAGGGTCGTGTATATGAAGCTTTCAGACTGCGTAGCGATCGTGGAGGGAGCCGAAATACAATATGTGATAAACACAATTCCCAATTATCATGGGCTGACACCACTCCTTAGCGGTCGGCCTATTTGATAGACGACACATTATGTAGCAATAGGTAACTGAGTGTGTTCAGTCTGAAAGCGACAGCATTCGGCTACCATCCATAGCTGCCCCTTTACCGACCACCTTTTTGTTCCATTCCTCATCGTCGCCAAGGACGAACACGCCGGTCGTTATAGGGGCGAGCTAAGTTACAGATGGAGATGGAGATGAGTTAGGCTGTAGACGCTTAGTTAGACCCTTCTAACCCATTCCCTACTATTGTCTCATCATCTTAATTATTATACATGCCCCAATATATCTATACCTACATATCATACCCTGCGGTTCATATGTCCCTCTTAGGGAACCAGGGTTATTTATTCTCTTAAACAGATGGAGAATATCTCAGGAACACTTTCAGGGCATCCGTGGTTCCCCAATCGCCGCAAAGAGCCAATACCTGACGTTGGTCTTCGCTTAAATGGACTCCATTTTCCAACGCTAGTCTCATTAGCCACACGCCCTCCAAATGAAACGGGCCGTTCTCAGGACCTGAGAGACACGACGTAGGTCTTCGTATATCCCCATCTCTATACGCGTATGGGTTGGCGACGTACCGGCAAGCAGAGTATGTCGCCGAACATGCACATCGCGAACTGAAATTCTAGGTACAGTATCATACATTGCCAATATATCCGTTCCGTACTATGACCATGCAATATATGCAAATGCCCGTCTGCCAATCTATGCAATGCCTTTTTCTTCCGCAACGCGAACTGCGCTTACCCCAACACCCTGCTAGATAAAAATACCCATCGTCTAACCGCTCTGCTGTTCCATGTGCGTAGGCAGGAAGTTATAACTCGCGTAGTCGGCATGGACGAATGCCCTGTCCACAATCGGGACCGATTCTAGCACGTAGCTCAAGCTCTCACACAAATCGTGGGAATCCCGCAACGTTGTGGACGCGTCTAGGATGATGTCGACCTCGACATTGAGCTTGTCGCCGGCGTGGTAGGCCTGTATACCCTGAATCTGCTTGATGGTCTTGGCGAAGCGCATCGCGAGGTACAGCACTGTGTTATATCCACAGTTAGGATTGACTGGGGGTTCAGTAATGAAGATTAAGGAGAAGGAGACCCACGGATGTTTCGCTGATCGGCGGTGGCGGAGAATCCGCTAAGATTTTTAATATGTTGCATCGAAGTTTCGGACCAGTTGAAAATCACAACCATCGACAGGACGAGACCGCCGAGGGCGTCCAGCCACCAAATCTTAGCGTAAAAGCCGACTGCGGTGACGATTAGCCTGTTGCCGCGGGTCATTCGCGTCGCGAGACTTACCGATGGGGAAGAGGATAGAGCCCGTGTTGAAGATCACATCCGTCATCGCATCCGAAGCTCTGAAGCAGGTATCGTTAGATGACGGCATACGTGAGAATGAACGGTAGCCGTGACTTACAGTGCCTGAACACTCGAATTCTTCACCAGGCGACACCATAGCCAGCACAGTCCCTTGATCAAGACAGTCCCCAGCATGATGCTAAGTGCGGGAACCCCTCTAAAAGAAAAAAAAAAGGTCGATTAGCTCCGCTATGCCCATGTCCCGGCGACTCTCAATTGCTTACACTTCAATCAGCTCGTGCTTAGGCGAGGCCAATCGCTGTATCGATTCTAGGCCGACCTGGACGAACGAAGTGATCATGATGACCGAGAAGACGAGCACGCCCAGGGGTTCCAGCCTCCGCCGCCCCACCGGATACTTGTATTGGTCTTGTCGCGAGATCAACCAGGTCGTGGTCCACACTATGACTGTCGACAGGAAGTCGAGCACCGCGTCGACCAAACTAGCGAGCACCGACATGGAGGACATGGAAATGACCACGGCGATCTTGCCCAGGAGCAGAAACAGATTGGCAGCAAAGTTGACGTAGATGGCTAGCGTGACAATGCGGTCGGTGCTGTCAACTTCGTCCTCATCCAGCCACGGGATCTCGGGCTTCGGGCCATCCCACTGGTCATCCTCGTCGTCGTTGTTGAGGAACAAGGGAGTGCTCTCGATTGCACGATATATGTCCTTGGGAGTACGCTTGACTTTCTTCGCCACGCTCTGCACGACGACGTCCTTGGCGTCTTCCTCCTCGGTAGCAGGGTCGATGCCGTTGCTTCGGAAGCTCGAAAGGTTCGTGAGCGAGTTGAGGTTGCCAGCAGGATCGTTGTTGCCGAACCCGCTCTTGGGCGAGCCCTTCCCAATGCTGATGGCACCGGGATGTTCCTCGGAGATGGTGGCCGGGATGTGAATGTCCTTAAAGGAGCTATGAGGGAGGTTGTTATACTCGTTCAACAGATCGTGGGGCAGACTACTATCCAGCAACCGATCGATGTAAAGATACTGCTGAACCAGATAATTAATCCGCTCGTAGTATTCGCGAATCGGCTTCCTCATGCTACTCAGCTCCTCCTCCGTCTTCCAATACCTCGCCCACTTGTACCGGGGATTCGAGTTTCCGATCAAACGCATGGAGCGCATGGGCGAGCTGTGGAGGAGCTGGTTCAGCCGGCGCTCGTCCAGCTGAGACCGGCGATGCGACTCGTCGTCCAGCTCGGAGTGCGGGTACGGGTACATGGGCGCCAGCAGCGCAGATTCCTCATCATCGTGGCCGGATAACGCATTGCCTCGCCAGGTGCCGCCGTAGTTATGCAGCGAGCTATGAGAGCGGCTCTTGAGGAGCTGGGCGAGGGCACCTTGCCCTCGCGCCGTGATGGGCGGCGGACTTTCGTCTCCCAACAGAAAGTTGCCCCGGCTAAAGGAGAGATAACCGCGGCGAGAAGGTGAACCGCTGGGAAGGTGGGGGATTTTGGTGTCCAGAGACATACTGGCGGCCGCTCAGCGGGAAGTATATGACGTAGATGATGAAGAGGTAAGAGAAGAGATAAATAGGTCAGAGGTAAGGACGAGCTCCGGTCAGCCTAGTCTAGCTAGGTCGGACACAAACGTCAAGTTGGTCAATTGGTAGCGAGTCGCGTCTGGAGGCAAGAAGACGAAAGGGGAAGAGGGCGAGAAAATAGTAGGTAAGTTAGCAGAGGCGAGGCGAGAAAGATGATGGAGGAGGAGGAGGAGGAGGAGAGACGGAAGCCGGGCGAGGGAAACAATTCACCACTAGGTAATAATTGGGATTGGACCAATTCTCAGGTAACCTACCGTATTAGGCGCACGGGGGCTGCGCATGTACCCAGGTACCTGCGAGGCAGGGCGGGGCCGGGCGCGTCTGATTGGCGGGAACCGTACAGGCTGACAGGTACGTAGGTACATCGTGCACCTATGATGTATGCCTAGGTACCTGGGTACCTAGGTGCTCCTGTGCTTATCAGATCAAAAGGAAGGCGGACCTGCGAAAAAAGCCTCGTGCTTACCCGCTAGCACAGGCGACTTTTCTTTTTATTTTACGAGCACGAAGCAGCTCGATAGAGCGCAACTATCGGTAGTGCGGTCGGCGCAGACGGTGTTGTACGTGTATGTACGTAGCAGGTATTCCTTTCCGCTTAAGAGATTAACCAGGTAGGTGTAGGCAGGTGATTACCTGGCCGGTTAGGAGGTGCCCAGGTACGAGTATGTACATATATGTATGAGCACGTAAGTAAGCAGGCATCTTGGCCCGTAGTCATATATAGGTATCTGCACGCACATGGGTGCATCCATGCTATTCTCCGTGCCGCCCAGACTTAAGGGTGCTTAGGGGTAGTCGAAGTCGCGCACAGTGTCGACGGCGGCGTGTTTGACCGCAGGCGGGAACGCTGCAAGACCAAGGCCACCCTGCCTGTGCGCGAGTGCGCGCGGGTGCGTGAGGTAGCAGGAATGCTACCCAACCTGGAGGCAGCTCGGTTGCCACCGCGCGCGAGAGAGAGAGCGTCGCAGCATGGCGGGCTGCACGGTAATGAGATGTGTGGCTACGAGCGACTGCGCACTATGTGCACCATGTATGCAGCAGGTAGCATCAGATAGATCTCTGTAGGACCCCCGAACCCAACCGGTATGCACGATGGTAGCAATGCGTACTGACATAGTCGAGCAGACCCGTTGGCCATTGACCTGTGAGCGTGAGCGTGGATGGATCTCGGCGCTAATCCTGCCCAAAGCGGCACATGCTGCCAAGCTCCATCGTCAGGGAACTTCACGTCTGCCCGCTTCAGCTCTTGCAGGGTCGAACATGGCCGCCCCCGTCGCAGTCCCCTGATCACGCAGTGGGCTCTGGGATCACCAACCAGTCCGTATTACGGCGGCCCCTCTCCAGACCCCTTTTCCTCCAGAATAATACCTCATTCCGTTCCGAACGCGGACTGCGAGCGGTGGTTGATGGGACACTGAGAGGGCCAGACGGAAAAAAAATGTAGGCACACGCTTCACCCAACTAGCCTCTCTTACGTGCACATATACTACATGCCTCACATGCTTACGCGGTCTGCGTTCGGCGGATATCTACCTCTCTCAACATATATGTGTGCACATATACACACAAATACATTAAGCACACACCGAGGTAAGGTGGTGGTGCTTCATACTACCCAACAGACTGCCTTACGTCGTACCGGAAGCCGACCTCATATGCCTACAGGTATATATATATACGTATATATAAGACCGTGCACGCGATCGTCTCGTCCTCGGAGACCGGTTTTCCTAGCCTGTACACCCATTCATGTAGTGGTGGATGCACAAATTAAATAAAAAAAGGCGGAAAGGCTTGGTGATGGATTGGTAAGAGGGGAGGGCCGGGGGGACGGAATGTGTGCGAGCCTACATAAACCACCCCTACCTCAGTTCCTACGCCCAGGCAGGTAGGCCATGCCGGCGCCGACAATGGAGCATGTATAGGCGGAAAGGGTGTGTGGGCGTAGGTATTGCATCTATGTTGCTACTACCTCCCAGTATACCTATATAATCTCTCACGTACGCACATACCACACACGCACACGGGTACGCATCTATCGAGCTTGACGAACCAGAAAATCTCGGAGATTGAGTGGATGCCTCATCCCCCCCCCCCATCCGTTGCCCAAGATATATCATCCCCGAAGCAGGCAAGCTCATCGTCATCGGATCCCACGAAACGGTCCACACCATCCTCTCCCTCTCTCTCCAAGCTCTATATGTACTACCTACCTACCAACGAACGTACTTCCCTACACCCAAGTCTGCCTACAACCTACCGTCCATGTCGTGGCATGAGAAGTGAGTATCTACATCTGTACGGAGCCGTATCTGTGTATGGTAGGTAGGTAGTAGGTGTTATGTGGTGGAACCTGGTGGCCCGAGTTGGGACCCCTGAGCTACTGACGGATCCCCCCCCCTCCTCCCCTCACTTCCTGGACGCCTTCTTGGAAGCTATCTCCTCTGCCAGCAGGGCGGTCGCCTGGACGATGAGCCCGTGCTCGTGCCCGCGTATCTTCTGCTCCAGCGCCTCCAGGCTCTCGCCTGCCTCGATCTTGATCTTCCGGACCAAGATGGGCTCGCCGCGGTCGACCTCGGCGACCACGTAGCGGATCACGATCCCGGTCGTGCCGTCCTCGAGCTCGCTGGCATGGAAATCAGCATGGACCCTCTCGACGGCGCCGGCGCCGTCGTACTTGCTTAGGCGCGCACGGGACTATCTGGTTGGGGCTGGGTCGGGGTGGGATGCACACTGTGGCGTCGTATTGGAGACGAGCTTGGTTCAACTTCCCCGCGTCCTTCTCACCGAGTGTCTGATATCCATCCTTGACCGGATGGAAATAATCGGTGGGGATGCCGGCCTTCTCAGCCCGCGTCGTAGCGTAGGCGCCTTTCCTACTCACCGTCACCTTGACAATCTTGCCCGGTATGCTGTCGGGCGCATCAGAGGCGCACGAGTCGATGAGAGCCTGCAGGTTGGTGCCATTCCCGCTGCAGAGCACCGAGATCCGCACAGTCGACTATGTTTCAGGCAAATTTTTACCGTGCCTAGCGAGCTGGGGCGGTTAAGAAATAAACCACAAAGATAAGTTGGGCTGGGTATCCCAGGCCACATCGAGACGCCGGATAAATAAGACATAGGGGCAGAGTAAGAAGGCATACAAGAGCTGCGCAGTGCCTCTGTTGGTTATGTGCGCGAGTACCAGCTACAAGCCGACTTTAGCATACTAGTAGTGCACCAGCCCGGTGAGCTCTTGAGGGGGATCTTTTTTTTTTCTTTCTTTTTTGCCCGCCAGATGTGCCCTCAACAGTACGTCGACAATTACCTCATAAATAACGGATGTACTACCTGCAATCTACCTACCGTATTTTGTACTCGTGTAGCGGCGCAGTGCGTCAACAGCAGCAGAAAGGGGGGTTGCAGGGAGAGGGAGATATACTACCTTAGGTGGTATAGGCCCGTACACGGCACTGAGGGAGGAAGGGAAAAAACTGTGACGGGATTTATATACATTCTTGGGTACTAAGCGCACTTTGTGTGAAAGAACGTTGAATTCCTGGTGATGAGGTATTCGGTAGGAAGCCGAGCCGAGCCGATGACTAAGCGAGTTATTGGAACGGGTAACAGCGGTACATGAGTATTCCATACCTCCCGTCCTAGGTACCTACATCTAATCTTACCTACTAGTAGCTACCTAGGTACCTAGAGGTACACAGTGCCGCAGAGAGTGGCGCATCCCATCTGCACCACGGTGGGATGCTTCCTTCTACGATCTTCGTCATGTGGTGGCTGGACCACACCTTCTTCGACAAACTCGCCACCAAGATGCGCGATAGGCTGCATATCGGATACCGCCATATATATCATATATCACATATATATATATATGTAATCTATTCATGTACCCAATACACGCATACGCCCGCATATACGCAGGCAGTTATATACTTATCGCGTATTCCCCCGCAGTAGCAGCAGCAGCAGCAGACCTGGTTCTGAAGACTCGGATTGGTCCCATGGAACCTGCGCATATATCAACACAATTCATGCCTCTCCGATCCCGACGCGACGGACCGCGAAGCCGGACGTTCCGGGCACGGAGGGATCTCCTTTCTGCTGTGCAACCTACCGCCGTGACACCCACCCGTAGGAGATAACAATGTCGCTCTTTAGTGGCTCAATAGGTATATCTAGCGTCAATGCCTACCTAGAGTCTTTAACGGGTGTTGGGGAGAGTCAGCACAGGCAAATCCGAGTCGAAACTCCAGCCAGCTCTAGCACAGCCTATTCTAATACAGTTTGGGTTGGGTTAAGTCCTCATCCCCATCCCTACTGGTATCGGCTCACCATCAGACCGGTGGAGTGCAGTTAACTGCCTAGTTATCTGCGTGAATCTGGCACACACAGAGAGGGACTCCAGTCTCCTACTCTACATCTTGGGCTTCTTCGATAGCCCGCACCATCCACCAGTCACCACCTGCATAGAGTCTTCTCTAGTTAACCGATCGTCTGCTTGTATTGACAAGGGTTCGTAGTTACAGACCAAGGTCAATAATTACGAAAAGCTAATAACTATATACTAACCCCAACAAACCATGTGAAAACACTCGCCTCTGGACGTGCCAATAATATACATATACGAATAGTCTTTAAACTCATAGACAGCCTAGAGAGCGACGTCGTGTATAAATGTTGTGTTATCTCGCCTATCACGGCTTCCGATAGCTCAGTAGTTCCTAGTTAATTCTCGACGCCGACCGAGATAATTAAAGCCATGAAGCTAATACAGGACCCCGTCTAGCTGTTTATTGCCTCATGCATAGTCTATCAGATATCGTCAGTCATCGCCCCGGTAGTTACGCCAGTTACCAAAACCAGAGAGCTTGTCTATGGCCCTCCGTGAGATCAGACCCGGCCCTAATCTTCACGTCAAGCGATAATGGTTGAGGTCCCCGAGCTGTGTCAACTCTTCAACTTCATGGTCGTCCCCTAATCGCGGAGGGAAAGTAAACTGTCCCAACGTTATATAGCCCGGTCTGCCGAAGCTGTCTACGATTACCCCCCGGGGTTTGGGCGTGCCTAGTAGAAGTCCCTAGTTTCTATTCTCCTAACAACGGAAAATCGGCAGGCTAAATCAACGCCACGCGTTTCTTTGCCCGCGAGCTTAACGGAGTTAGCTATCGAGGCCATACAAGGGAGGATAAATACGGGCCTCGGTCAAAGCGTCAAAAAGGAAATTGACAACAGGGCCTTAACTCCAGTTGTGTGTATTACTCGCGTCTAAAACAAGAGTATTTATAGCACTCACTGCTAAGATAAAAGGATACGATGGGATCTGTTCACGAGCCTGGCGTGTTCTCCGCCGATAGAGCGGCGAGTCAACAATGGTTTTACCGATAGAATGTAAACGAGACACAAGAAGCGGCTAGACCGTCCAGCGGAAAGCCGAAACGCTAACAGCGGAGCTTGTTAGCAAAGCGGATAAGAGCCCGTTTTGAGATGATGGTAACCTATGCTGCCCCCTTTGAACTAGTAGGCATGGCAGAATATCAACCATCGTATAACCTCTCTATGTATGCAAGCAAAAACGGATGGTAAGGTCTTATTAATCTTGACTCTTCTCCAACATGCTTCTAACACTTCTAATGCTCCCCTCATATCTACCCATCTTACCATCAGACTTATACCCGAAGTGGTGGCACAAGCCAAAGAGCTTCTATCCATATACAACAGGCCAACATAGAGATTCTCTTCGGGTCAAGTCCATACAATAGCAATGGGTGGGCCTAGAGCTAAGCCCCAGTTGTAGTTGTAGACGTGTCAATGAAGCTCGGCATGGTCTCCAAGCAAGGCGAACAAAGAGCAATAGCATCTCTAGTTGTATATTCAGCTTCTCACCGCCTTCGTTACAGTGAGGACAGCCCCTAACTGGATCCAATATCATATAGACACCAAGGCTGTGATACTGTGATCTCCCGAATAACGACCACATGGTTATTACAAGGTCCTGACTCAAATACCCCTGGCCCGCTTTTAAGCCAGGGCTGCCAAAGCGGAACCCACAGCTTGGTATCTGCAACAACAACAACCCTGATGGGCGATGCTTACATCGTCACCCTCATCGTCGCCTCACCAGCACCATCAAGGACACCATCATCGCCGCCCAGGCCTCAAATATAACACCATGTTACAAACCATTTTCTCACACCCACAGATAAAAAAATTGGGCACACAAACCCTAACTCCTCCATCTCCTCCTGACCTCCTGACCTACTACTACCCTTCTTCTCTCCCATGCAACTTACCTACCTTCCTCTCTCACCTCTTCTTCACCTGTGACTCTTCTTTTCCCCCGCATAGCTTGCCTGCTTTCCTCTCGCCATCAAGATCTCGAGACATACAACCCGCTTCTATCGGAACCTGATCTAGCACAGCATCAAGTTGTTCTCCGTTTCGTCACTCATCCATCTATCAGTTCCTGCCACCATCACTTCCTCGAGAGACATTGTCCATTTCCATCGTAACTTGACCCAAGACAGCATCAAGCTGTCCTCCCTTCCACCACCCATCCGTCTATCCGTTCCTGCTATCATCGTTTCCTTGAGAGATACCGTTCATTTCCGTCATAACCCGACCCAAGATACCATCAAGCTGTCTTCCTCTTTCGATCGCTCATCCATCCGTTCCTGCCATAATCATTGCCTCGGCAGATACTGCCCATTTCCGTCACAACCCGACCTCAGACAAGATCAAGTTCTCTTTCTCTTTCGACCGGCCATCCACTCTTCTCAAGATGTCTGACGTAGGTTATCCCGGGCTCGCCACCTCGGGCACATGGGAGCTAATCATCGGTTCTAGGCAAACGCTTTCCAGGAGTTCTTGGCAGAGGATTACGTGAACGAGCCACTCGTAAGTTAGATATCCCCTCTGCCCCCGTCCCCGTGACCTGCTCCGTGGTAGCTCGGCCTGGGCTTGCTCGGTAGGCTAATCGTCGTTATCCAGAGCTCAGAGCCTGGACAGGAAACCCCTAGTTTCGGCATGGGTATGCCATCTGGATGGCACGGAATTCCCAATGATTTTGACACGGCCGCCCGCTGGGCCGCCCCCGAGAACGTAGCCGGCTTTGTTCCCGGCGTCATCGATCCGGTAAGTTACTCCCGTTCTCGCTCCCGTGTCTTCGGGTCCGGCGTATCTGGCCGCACCGAGGACCCGAGGGCGGCCGTCGACGGCTGCGTGTTCTGCGCCTGGTCTGTTCCTTGCGAAGAGGACATGAGAGTTAACCGTTCCCTCGCCTATTAGATGTTGGTCGGTGGAGTCACCACGCCGACAATTCCAAGTGACCTCGCCTTGGCCGGCTACGGCACCCCAAACGTGCCCGCCATGACGCAGCATGACGTCTCGGTGGGAAGCAGCACCATTCTTGGGCCCGGCATGTCCCAAACCAACGTCTCAGCGGGAAATGGCATCACTTTTAGATCCAGCGTGTCGCCGCCCAACATCCCAACCAGAAACGGCATTACCCTTGGGCCCAGCGTGTTGCCGCCCAACGTCCGGACCGGAAACTGCAATTTCACTCGGCCCGGCATGCCGCCGGCCATCCTCTCCGTCCACAACGGCGCCATCACCGGAGTTAGTATTCCGCCGGGCATCATCCCGATCGGAAACAGCACATTCGCCGGGTCCGGCCTGCCGCGGACTATCGTCTCGGCCGACCGTGATGACGGCGATGGATCCGGCGCCGGTTCTTCTTCCAATGCTCCGATGTTCATGCACACCGGTGGACGCCATATCGCCGGCCACAACGCCGGAATCGTGCCCTTTTCTCATGGCCCGATCGGTTATAACCACGGCATCCTCGGATCACGTGGCCGCGATGCTCCCCGTCTCGATACTAATGGCTCCGTTAGTAGTTTCTCCGGCGGTCCGGGAATATTTTCGAACCAAGGCAATCTAGCGTCCTACGCGGGCGGAGCTGGTCCCGCAACTTTGAACAAGTATGTTGTCCCGGAGCCTGATCTGGGTCCCTTGACTGCCCTTGCCTGCAGTGGCTGCCGTAGACGCGATCCTCGTACTGACATCCATAGTATTTCGTTTAAAGTGCAATCTGAAAGCATTGCTTTCAATAGCCAGACCGGCTCGGTGAAGCTTTTGTTCGACATCCCCCTGGCTAGTCTGATCCCGAACGCCGTCGGCTCGCAGGCTTTGGTGAACGACGGAATGGGCTCCCTTTGGCAGCCCGGCGGAAGCGGTCCCGGAGGAAATGACCAAAATGAAAATGATTCAGATGAAAGTGATCCAGACGAAAGTGATGCAGATGAAAATAAACCCAAGGTATGTCTATACTTTGCAGTTTCTTATTCTCACCCTCCCCCCCTCATCTCTCTCTGGGCGTATAATGTGTGTTGCTCCCGACGAAAAGGCCTAGGAAGCTGATGGTCAACCAACTCAGAAAAAGAAAAGTAAACCGGTTCTGGTCTGGTGTCGTCGGTGCAGCCAGTGGATACCGGACGTGAACGAGCCAAGACACCAGGCAATGCATATAAAATATTGTGGTATTCGGACGTGTGAATACTACAAACACGAGGCGTTTAAAAAACCACAAGAAGTCGCCCGGCATATGAATGAGGCGCATTGGAATCAAGCCCATATGTCCAGGAGAGAGAAGGACCCAGACCGTCCGTGGCAGTGCAAATGGCCGCCGTGTGCGGCGAAGCAGGAGGCGGCCGGTGTGCTCACGACCTGGTCGCGTTTCTCCTCGTATAGTTACCACATCTGTGGTCATTTCGTGGACGTACCGCCGCCGCCGCCGCCGCCGCCGCCGACCTAGATGACGTCCGGTGTTCCTGATCCTAGCCTGTGATCATCTTTTGTCCAAACTTCTCCTCTCCTCTCACCCGCGCACAGCAGTTGGGCTAGACTATCTCGTCTGGACTGGAGGCACCGCTACCAAGCTGACCCCCCCAGCCCCCCGGCCTCGCCACCACCGAATCGTCGAATCCTTTTATTTTAAATATCACTCGTCTCGTGTCTGTCTTCGGAGGCTTTTCGACTCTTGAGTCTTTCTTTCTCTTTTCCTCGAGAGACCCAAACCATGCAGGCTTTCGAGATTTGTCACCCTAGATACGGATGAACCCGAGGATGGCGTTCTGATGCAACCCAAACATGCGTATGTATGTAGGCACATATGTACGCAATGGCTATTATCACTTCTGTTACTACATGCACAGTGACTGAAATCTAAGACGTAGGCGCGCTGATTTCGCCTGGCGCCGATCGGGCCGGCGATCACTTGCGATAGGTTGGAAGGAGGGATTTCGAGAGCTCTAGAGAGATAGAGATAGAGACCAGGCTCGATGACGAGTTGCGTGGGTGATTGGAGGGGGAACCGAGGGGTTTGATGAGGGGGACGAGGGAGAGGGGGGGCTACGATGGTTCGTCGAAGATGGTCGACGATCCACGTCTGATTGAGCAATCCGCCTGCTCTCCAGCCAGCGACACTGGCGCGCGCGTAGGATGCGTGTACGTATGTATGTACGCATGAATGTATGTATGCATGTGTGCGTGTATACGTTCGATAATCATCAGGTATGTGTGTGAATAGGTGTGTAATATAGATTGTGTCGTATTCGTGGGTACCACCCAAGCCAGAATTCGAGCAACGTGGCAGGCTTTTTTTTTAAAAAAAAAAAAAGACAAAAATTGAAGCCGCGTCGACGTCTATTAGTAAATACACACAATAGGAAACAGGAGAAGTCAAGCTGGTTCGGGCTTGGTGTTGATAGCCTTCTCGCAACCGAACGGGAGGATTGCTCCGTCGTTAGGCCATGGGGATAGCATGTCCTCTCGATGTCCTGGGATGCGTTAGTAGCCTATATAGATACACACGCCTATGCACCTTCATACATTCGGAGAGCGGGCAGCGTGTGTGGCCGCGTACTAGATGGTACGAGATGTATGATATAGGGGGTCGTGGTATCCACGGACCCTCCCACGTCAGATCTGATCTCCGGGCTCCCGGCCGGATTTATTGTCGTTATTATCTAACTCGTTTATTATTTTTATTTTTATTTCCAGTCCCGCCTGTCTCTCTTCGAAAGGGTTCGGGAACCCCTGAAAGCCCTGACCCACCGACATGTCATGCCTGGAGGAGGGCTTGGGTGGGCTTCGTGCCTCCCAATGTAGGTTATAGGGCGAAATCTAAGCTACGCCTTGCCGCTTACAGTCCATCCATCCATCCCGTAGACCTTCTCGCAAGTAATGCCTAACATAGCGCACTACCTATGAGGTTGTGTGCCTGTAGGCTGTAGACATGCCTTACGTGTACACTAGTGGGAAGCCCCTGGACGGCGTTGAAGGGACAAAACACGGACAAGTCGGCAAGCCAGGGGGGCTTCAGGGTACGCTTGCTCTTTCTACCAAGGCATAGCAACTCTCCCTCTCGATACCGATCAAGATCGACGCCCCGGGCATCGTAGCCCACCGCCGTGGCGCGAAATATCCCACGCCCAATCCGTCGGTGTCTCCCGCTGCCCGGACTGGCACCTCTCGGACGCCGCAGGTTTTGCTGACACTGACGGACTGGGGCAAAATCCGGTTCTGGGTTACATACCTACCTCCTCTTATAGGTACCTACACCTACCGCCCTCGCTCGTAGTAACAGTCTGTAGACACGTATATCTCTCAGTATGCAGTAGAGACCTCTAGGTACCTAACGTGGAATATTGATGTGCGTCTAGAGATGTGTACGTGTATACCTCGCATGGTAGATGCCAGGCTACTCATAGATGGATACGAGGGAGGATGATCGCATCGCTGGATTCGCGGAGGGAACTAAATTTTTTATACACCAGGCAAATATCCTGGCAGGCCCCTGAGTTGACGGCTGGGTGTAGCGGCGAGGAAACCCTCCCATCGATCAGGTGCTACTTACTGGGTGCCGTTGTCTCGTACCGATGCACTTGTATTATCCATTCTGGCCCCCCCCCACGTGGATTCGCGTTATTATGCACGTCTTACAATCTTATTCTGTATTGTATAACACCGGATTAGCTATCTTGGCCCGTTGGCACACGAGGTTCGAGGGGGTTTGATCCGACACGGGAACGGCAGTTAGCGGTCGGCCTGCTATCCGGAAGGGCACGACCGAGTCTGGGTCGTCACAGAATATGTAGACATACTGGAGGCGAAGGCTGAGAGATCTAAGGATAATAATAATAAGAGCCGGTCTCATGATGACATATATTTCCTTCTACCCACACCTGCAATATGGCTGGCATCCTTGTGGCTTGGGGGGAGGGAGGGAAGGGGGGGCGTAGCGATGTCTGAAGAGGAACCATACGCGCACATAGATATGATGAAGGTGGCCGCACAGTACGGGACGGACGAGAGACAAAAAGGAAACATCAGGACGACGAATGCGTACCGGCACAATAGGGGATGTGGCCGTAGGAGGTACGACATCGACTACTGCAACGCCTAGGCTTCATCCCGTAGTGCGTTCAGGAGCCGTCAAGTAACTCATGTCATTGGGCAAGTCATTGGGCTAGTCTTGCGTGCACAAGGACCGTGATGGTGTTGCGTAGTGTTGCGTAGTGCCGTGTGGTGTTGCGCTGCTACCTCGAACAGCACGAGAGGTGGGATGGATCATCCCGGAACAGCGTCCTGCGTGTAGAGGTGAACAACAACAACAGACACACAGACACACGCATATATGCCTCGATACACGACTGAAAAAATAAAAAAAAGAGGAAGAAGAATCGCCGTCCATCGTAGGGTTGGTCTGCAACCTGCCGTCCATGCCAACCAGGTAGTCATTGACAGATCGAAATACGCCCAACAAAATATTGTCTTCTAGCAGAGGGGCAGAGAGACGCTCAGGTCCCCTCCCCAAGAATCCTTTGTTTGCGCTAGGCGGCGCCCGCATTGGGCTGATGACGACGGCGGCGACGGCGGCCTTGGTGGGGAGGGCGGTTGTAGCGACGACGACGGTGGTGGTGGGCGGCGATGCCACTGGCATTCCATTATGTGGGAATAAGTCGCCGTGCTTGTACACCCCTTATCCACCCCGGCGGCATAGGTACCTGGTCAGGCAGGCTAGGTGGCTTGCTGTCCTCTGAGATCAGCAGCGACTTGCTGATCCGGTTCAGCTCGGATGGTTTATATGGGCCTCGTCAATCATTACCAATGATGCGGACCTCGTGTTAGCAGGCCTAGCTCGCCATTGGCCCGCTCCGGACGAGACCGACCACATCGTGAATTCCGAGGTGGGAAGGGAGAGTTATGAGTACTAGTAGGTGACGTCCAGCTGTGACGGCGGCGGTTAGCTTAAGTAACCCGCCCCAGGTGGAAATGCCGGCTATCGTGGCCTTTTCTTTCTTCCCTTCCCTTTCCTCTCTCGCTCTCTCGCTCCCCCTCCTCTCTCTCTCTCTCTCTCTCTCTCTCTCTCTCTCTCTCTCTCTCTTTCTCTCTTCAGTTCCCCGGCTTCTCTGGAACGGTGGCGTTGCGAGACATACATACACCATGCATACATAATCAGCTAGTACCGTGTAAGTTAGGGTGGTTGGAAGGGCCGCTCTTCCTGATGAGCTAGTGAATCAACAGGCGATGGTTATGAGCCACCACCCCCTCTGTCCCCCGCTATTGCAAAAGAAAACAATCCGGGGCCGATTTCCAGATGCATTCCTCGTTACGCCAACGCATGCAGATGCTGGCGAGAGCGAGAAATCTCGGTGGTTGGCGGGTGAATTCTGCTGAAATAAACATGATACATATATATCCTATGCAGCTGGGAGGACTGTACATGTCCATTTGCTTGTATCGACGCGTTACAACATACCATGTACCACACCATACCGCAACTGAGGTATCTCCCCACCTGTGCAATTGGGGACCTACCTCCTACCTTAGGTACCTACCTAACCTTAGGTCCTCTGTCTCCTTCTAGGCGATATGTACCTACGTATGTAAATATGTATATACATGTACATCGTGCAGGGCGCAGCTCGGTAACCTGAGGTACGTAGGGCCCGCTGGCTCGCCCTTCTGCCGCTCGCTGTCTCTGCCCCTCCAACTCTCCCCTTCTCCCCCTGAACGGGGCCGACCAGCTGCTAGCTAAGGAGGCTAGGTAGGTACCTCTAGAGCTACCGGCCTAAGGTTAGGTGCCTAACCTTGGCTAACTTGTCGTGTGTAAAAGTACCGTGAACGTGCGTGGAGATACAGGTAGGTAGGTACAGTAATCTGGGGGTGCGTCCAGTAACCTCGACGGGGTTGCTAGCGAATACCCTCGCCGATTCTAGCGTCTCTGCTGGGGCCCTGGCTCTCTCTGGTGGGACCGTGGGCTCAGCCCAGTACCCACACATACACGCGGTCTACCCACCCCATTTATTCGATTTCATCAAGGTGAGGCGCCAAAATGTGAAAGGCGCAATGTTTCCCTCGTGCTCGTGCTCTTGCTCGTAGTCCGCGCTCGCCGTCTATTGCCATTGACCCGTCCCCATCTCGGGTTCCCGCTGACGGCCGAGTTCTCTCTCTCTCTCTCTCTCTCTGCATGTACGAATGCGTCCATACATTAGGTACCTCTAGGCAGGTCCTTTGGTAGGTAGGTAGGTAGGCAGCGATACGTGTTCACGCCTACCTACCTACCTAGACGTACACATTTATTCTGAATACGTGAGCAGGTACTGCAATATGAGGAATATATATACCTACCTACTTGTATTTATATATACTTCGTAGCACACACATATATGTAGAGGTATATACATACACATATACACATATACGTATATATATATATAGGTCATGGATTTGGGGAGGGGGGTGGCAAAGGGGGGAGGTTGGAAGGGTGGCTAATAAATAAAAATCTTGATCTCTCTCTTCTTCTCTTTTTTAGCACCTTCCGAGAATTGCTACCCAAGCTTCCTCCATCCTCTTCCTCTTGACCTCTTGTGCATATACACTATTGCGTATAAGATATACATCTGCGACCCCTTTATCGCTCCAGGCGTAGACGCGTTTCTTAGCCGACGCCGCAAGCCCAGAGCTCTGGGCCCGGACTACCTCACAGAAACTCGACGGCCGTGGCTTTGCGAGTCCTTTGCCATATGTATATGACCCGACCCGACGACCTAGCTTGGCTCGACTGAAATGCAGGCAGGGTATTCGTACCTGACGGGGTCCGAAGAGGTGATCGTGTAATGCACGGTCGAATACAGCTAGCGCGGCCGGCTCCTCCACCGTTCCCACCGGCTGGCTGGTCGGCTTGTCTCAATAGAGTAAGTATTTTGGGTACCTACCCATATAGGCCTTGGCCATCTGGGTGGGTCCGCATACCTTAGCCCGGCAGGCCCACACAATACAGATTCCGTCCTGTGGGTGTCTAGAATGTACCTAGGTACCCAAGTGTGTGCATGCACAGACAGGACTCGTGAGCTCTGCAGGTATACACCTACCTTAGGTACCTACCTACCTCTTGACCTCCCTACCTATGTCTTCGGACCAGCTGGCTGTACGTTAGGCATAGTACTCAGGAGGCCCACGGAACAACCTCGGACATGGTCTATTACGTACGAGGCATTCAAACGTTCCAAATCACCCGAACCTATAGTATAGTCCAAGAAAGCACCCGTCTATACGTGTGGATCCCGTGGCCTATAATTAGGCAGGTAGCGTCCTTAGTAGTATGTGCGCGAGGAGTACCTGCTGCACTGAGTATACACGCATATGGCGACGCCCTCCTCCGGACAAGGGACAGGTAGGCCTTGGTAGGGATGGGATGGGCTCTCGCCAACCACAGAGGGTGCCCTCGTAAAAAGAAAAGAAAAAAGTCTGCCCCTACAATAGCGTGCTGAGGGAGCGCGCGTACGTATATTGTCCTATCCGGGGGTGATTCTATGGGCATATACAACAGTCGATGTACCCGGGTAGCAATGCGAAGGAAGGTCACCGGGACAGCGCCCCATTGCGCGAATGTCCCTACGCTGGTCCTTATATGTAGAATGTCTAACAACCTTCCACCTCACCTTTCCTATAGGTACCTTATCCTCTCTATGCTGCCGGGCACATCCGTTGCCCTTCCTCGGCACTCATCATTACCATGTACCTTACCTAAGGCTACAGGTAGGTAGGTACCTGTTCATACTTGTAATCGGCCTGTGCCAGCGTAGGTACAGTGTACAGTCAAGTCTAGGTACGGGGGCAGTTCGGTCGGTATAGTGAGGTTACCTCTTAAACTACCAGCAGGGCGCTGGAGTTATGCCAGGTCAGGAGATAGGTACCTAAAGTACCTAATGTTCACACTGCAATACGTACCTCCTAAGTACTGCAATACACATAGGTACCTACTACGTATACGTAGTAGCAGGAGCAGCAGGCGGGCAGCCAGCCAAGGTTCTTCTAGGACCAGCTTCCCTTCGCATGATTCATCATGTACCCAGGTATTGGCGAAAACGACAGGAAAACAACGTCTCGCTACCTCCTCCTCGCCTGACACCACCACCTCCTCGTCATTGAACATTCTCTCATCTTTTTTTTTTGTTGATTCTTCCTACTATATTCCTGCCTCCCTCACTCCGCCCCCCTCTTCCCTCTTATCTACCGTTCGTTCATTTGCTCCGCCTAAGCCACCTGCGGGCCTGTCCTCGTCGCTCTTGTGTCGTAGTGCTGTTACTTGCTGTCGCCGCTGCTGCTACTCAACCCGCGAGGTTTCGGAGCCCTAATGTCCCCCTCGACTGCAGGATCCCCTCGTTGATTCTTTTTGGTAAGACGGTACAGGGCTCTTCGATCGTTGTCGCTCCGCCCAGCATCAGGCCGTGTTTCGAACGGGGGGGCCAGCTACCTCCGTACCTCCGCGACATCGTCTCTCTGTCCTGTCTATCTCCATCCTTGGCCGTGATCTGGGACAACGTGAACGAAGCACGTTGTTGACCTGTCCGTCATCCTGCCCGCTTCTATCTAATATAGCTCGCCGTCGGCTTCCCGAGCACTTCTGCGTTTTGGCTTGTTCACCATCCTGTCGCATACACGGTCGCTTTACGCGCTACATTAATAATTATTAAGACGTTCTCTTCGCCGTGCTCTCGATCTGGTCCAGCGATCTTCAGACGCCAAATCGTACCCTGTACTAATTCCAGACTTGTTTCGTTTCTAATTCACATACGTAAGTGGCATCCACTCGCTCGATTTTGATTCCGAAACCCGGTCGGGCAAGTGAATATTGCTCAAGATCCCGCCTGCCTGCCCGTGGTGCTGTACAGGTTTGACTCGACCTGCTGGCATCACCGCAAGCATTCCCGGAGGCTTAGCATTCGCGTAACTTGCCCTGGTGTACCATCTTCTTAACCCTTCCCACACCGTCTTCAACTGACTGCTCCTCCCTTTCCTTTTCACAAAGATACTGGCCGCCATTGCACGCTTCGGACTTAAGAAGAAAAACGAAGACTCGAGTGTGTCTCCCAACCGTCTCATCATAGCAGGACCCGAGGAAACGGGCGATTACATTTTCAGAGGACACAGCTAACCTAGGTTCTAATCCTGCAGTTTTCCGCCTGCTGCCGTCCTATTCGGGCATTCGGCAGTGTGCAAGCCTTCGAAACACGGCCTCTCGAGAACGACGACCTCCGGGTTTAATACTGCGATCTCCCTGAAAGTATTACACGGCAGCAAGGCCCTGGGATCTTGCACCCGCTTGCCGATACCCATAGCGGCCAGATCACGCTCGTATGGGACTCTCGGGATCCCATTAGGTGAACTCGAATCAATCTACCTATATGCCTAGATTTCCAGTCACCTTTCGGCGGAAATCTACCGCAGCAGAAGACCCGAATGGACCGATAGCAGAGCCTTCGTTTCGGGTCCTCGAGCGATCCGAGGTGGGTGGTGGGAAGTCCTTCGACGGCGGAGCAAGATTATCAAAGATAATGGGTTCTGCGCCTGCGCCTGCGCCTCGGTCTAACACGGCGGACCTCATAGTAGAGGACAATCTTTTTGCGGGACTCAAGCATAATCGGTATGTACGTTCTCTCGTTCGAACCCTGCCATTCTCCCTGCCCACCGCACTGGTCATATCGCCAAGAGTGGTCCCAGCGGTCGGTGGCCGATGGTTGAATTTTTTTTTTCCCCCCTGCCCAGGGTGGCCTAGATCCAAGCACGACAATGTCTCGGATACCCTGGATATTACTTGGCTAGTCCTAGCGCAGTTCAATTTTACTGATTTTTGGGGCCAGTGGAAGCGGAAGTTCTAATACTACCAAGACCGCCTCCGATAATTCCTCCCGTCACAGCAACGCCTCTACCGCCCCTTCGTCAACCGACTATCCACCCCAGGACGACAGGCGTAGCCCTCCTAGTAGAAAGCCCGCTGTCTCCTTAACCGACGGACCTCCCCCCCGCCTCACAAGAATTCTGCTGGTGGTTTTCTGAAGCAGGCAGGAAGAACATTCTCCTTCGGTAGCAGGAAGTCCACGCTGCCGACGATACTAGCAGCCGAAGAGTCGATCCCTGCCGTCCCTGCCATGCCCTATGAATACAACTCTGGATTTTCTAGTGGTCGCCCGCGAGCCGAGACAGCATCGACATCCAGCACCGCCACGCCTCCCAAAGTCGAAGACGGTGACTTCATGTTAGATCTAGGGGGTGATTTTAGTAGTGTGCTGAAATTTGACAAGCGTGCGAGTGTTGCTACGATCAGAGAACGTAACTTGATGGCGAATCGAGTCAGTCAGCCTTCTCCGCTTCATCTCGATCGTTCCGCAATGATTGAACCCCCGCAGCATTCATGGAACAGCCAACACTCGCAGGACGGGCTGCTAAGCCCAGCCGCACGAACTTATTCTTCTCCCCCCAACCACACCGAATTGCCGCCGCCGCCGCCGCCGCCGCCGGTTCCAAGACACAACACCACCCCCTTGGAACGTCGGCCATCTGTCGATGATGACGAAGATACCACGTTGTTAAGGGATTCGATTGCTGCTACACAGTTCCTGTCCAACGAGACGTCGAGTCACAGCGACAACTCTAACCAGTATAGGAGGGATGAGGACAGCACTCCAACTCGTCGGACGATCCTGACCGAGTCTTATGCTAAGCACGACGATGACAATCTATTCGACAGGCCAGTCAACCACCACCACAGGGTTTCTCATAGAAACAATGTCCGCGCGAACAGCCAGCCACACAACAAAGTCATGACCCCTGCCGAGTTCGAAAAATACCGTCAGGACAAAGCTCGAGAGCAGATTATGGGTCTAGCCGACGAGAAAGAATCCGATAAGGAGGACGAGGATAATTACGACGACGAGGAGGACGACCGAGAAAAGACGAAGCAGCTGGCTAAGCAGAGGCGGAAGCAAGAGGCCCACATGACAGTTTATCGACAACAAATGATGAAAGTGACGGGGGAGTCTGCAAACAAGCACGCTTCCCGCCCCAGTATCGCAACATCCATGAGCACTCCGAATCTCGTCCTGAACGGCGAGCATTCTACAGGTGTATCTCCCTCCCCCCCTTCGGATGGTGAGGATGAGGATGAGGAGGTCCCGTTGGCGATTCTAGCAGCACACGGATTCCCTAACAGAAATCGACCGCCGACCCGTCTCACCACTATGTCGTCAAATCCTAACCTGCGAGCTTCCGTTGCACAACCATCGTATGCTGCTGGGCCCGGATCTGTGGTGGGCGATAGTAACGGCCAAACCGGAGCCGGTGGAGGACGTCTTCCGCCTTTTGCCAGGAAGCTGCCTCAAGACCCGTATCTCGGTGCTGGCTTGATCAATCAACCCCCGAGGGAGTCGTTCGCCCTGGGAGGGGGTGCCGCGGCCCCAAACCGACTGCTGCCTCCCGGTGGTCTCGTCGGTGTGATCGCTAGCGAGGAGCGATCGAGGGCTCTGAGGCGCGGTAGTCCGGCCATCGATAACGCGAGAAACGCGATACCTTTCACCATGCCCACGAACGGAGTACCGATGAGTGGGGGTTTCGATCCTATAACTGGAATTCCTCCTCAGATGATGTACCCAACGGGTATGCCGCAGATGCCCAGTCCTATGATGACTCTTGGTGATCAAGCGCAAATCCAGATGACGCAGCAGATGCAACAGTTCATGCAGATGCAGATGCAGTTTATGCAGATGATGGCCACTCAGGGACAAGGTCAACAGATGCCTACCCAACCCCGACTCCAAGGACACATCCCTACGCAATCTATGGGATCTCTGGGTGACATGCCGCGGAACTCATTTATAGGCGATCCGCTAGCGAATAGTCTGGGACGCGGAATGAATTTGGAAATACCGAGGCCGGAGTCTCAGATGCGGACGATGAGTATGGTTCAGCCGACATCCACATCGTGGCTACAGTCCTCGAATGCTGGTTACGCACCCTCGATACGGGCCCAGGGTGCCGGTTATACACCCTCGATCGCGCCTTCGGAGCGCAGCAACATCGGGTTACCTGGACGCTACCGACCGGTCTCTAGTGTCACGATGCTCGACCACGGCAGAACCGCAACTATGTCTGGTGCTATGCCGGCGATTCATTCGAAGCTCCAGGCCGAGGTGAAGGTGACTCAGGCATCTAAGGAGGAAGACGACGACGACGAGGAAGGTTGGGAGGCGATGAAGGCCAAGAGGGAGAAGAAGAAGAGCATCTGGAGGTCTAAGAAGAGCTTCGGGTCCGATATCGGAGCACTCATCAGCTAAACGGAGGGACATACACTCGTATCATCGGGGCAATATTGTCTGCATTCTTTTCTTTTTGGCTACATAAAATGGAGCGCGTGCAGGAATACCAGATCCGCTTTAATCAGTTGGACTGTCACTCAATGCCCTTTCTTTTCCCCGTACCCCTAACGTCTTACAGTTCAGAGACTTGTATGAGCAGCACAGGCGATACGGATTCTTGTATATTTCAGATCTCACACACGCACACAATCTTTACGGTATAATTGGAGATGGGACGGAGGTGTATCTGGGTTCCTACAGGGCCGACCAACTCAGCTTCGTAATAAGAGAAAGAGGCGAAGGATCGATCTATCTGCGTGGCTATTTAGAGACAGAAGAGGGAAGGGGAGAGAGAAGAGATTCTGTGGGATAGGACGGGGGGATATGGGGATTTTTGGAGCGCGAGCGCGCGCGTGCGTCTAGCGAGAGCTCGTGGACGGGACGATATTCATGATAGACCAGCAGAGCAAGCAGCCATTATATACCAATAATCAATTAATACGTTTTGGTTCCCATGCATTCCCTCCAGCGCTCGCCGTGTTTTCTCGCGCTAGCCTTCTCTTCGTGGCTCTTAGACCGGCAGAATGTGTCATTCTCCAGTCTGGGCTGATGTCGAGGAGGTGAAGTCCTAGATCCGAATAGTTGAAAAATAGGATAGAGTAGATGAGAGACTCGCGCAACTCCTTCCCGGCCTGCACATAGAAATAGCACTATCACGTTAGGGATGCATGTAGGCATAGGTAGATTCAGATATAAAATTCTTTTCTGGTTTCTCCTATCCATTTTAACGGGGGCTCGTACATGGAGATGCTGCGATGGTGGTGGCAGCACTAGTACTAGTAGCAGGTACAATATCGGCAGCCGACGAATCTCGGCCTATCCCAACTGCACAAGTCCCCGTCTTCCTTCCCGGGCCCCCTTTGTCCTGTTTTACGACCTATCCAGACCTGTTTTTCCTTATCGTTTTTTTCTCTCTCGTCCCGTAGCTCACAATGGGCCCTTTATCGTTTCTCGGTTTTCTCTCTCTCCGCCCATCTGGGCATCGTTATCGGTCCGTCAGTCTCGTTCTTGGGGGCGCAAGCCGAAGTCGAAAAGACGCTCGAGGTCCCCCCCCCCCCCTTTCTCCCTCCTTTCCCTTCATCTTCCTTAGTCCTCTTCCCCCCCGGAGAAGAAATAAGAGAGAGGGAGAGAGAGAGCAGGTCCAGTCTTAGGCCTTCCCCTCCCCCTCCCCCCTTTTTACTCGATCCTGCCCTGGGCCCAGGCGCCGCGCTTGACGGAGAGCTCGACGGCGGCGAGGCCCCAGTCGAGGCCGTGGTTGTGGGAGCCGGGGCCGGCGGTGAGGCCGGCGCGGGCGCGGGCCTGGTGCTCGTCGAGGACGGTGAGGACGCCGAAGACGACGGGGATGCCGAGGTCGAGGCCGACGCGCATCAGGCCGTGCGAGACGGCGTCGGCGATGTACTCGAAGTGCATCGTCTCGCCCTTGACGAGCACGCCGACGGCCACGATGGCGTCGAAGGGCCGCCGCGTCGTCGTCGCCGCCGCCGTCGCCGCCGTCGCGCTCAGGTCCGCCGTCGAGCTGCCCAGCAGGTCGCCCGCCGACGACGAGCCCCCGCTCGACCGCGACGACTGGATCTGCGAGGCTGCGTACATCCTGTGGCGGGGCGGGGACGCCGGCGGGGGCAGAGGAGGTTAGTTTAGCTTTTCCTTTCTCGTATACTCACTCTCTCGCTCGCTCGCTTGTTTCGTCTCCGATTTTGCCTTTCTCAACCCTTCTTGTTTTTCTTCTTCTCATGCCGGATAAAAGTTGCAGAGGGAGAGGAGGAATGGTGGGAAGGGAGGAAGGGAGGCGTACCGTTGGACGGCGATGGGCAGCTCCCAGGAGCCCGGGACGGACTGGATGACGATGTCGGACTCGGCGACGCCGCACTCGAGCAGCTTCTCCTTGGTGCCCCTGACGAGGGGCTCGACGACGGAGATGTTCCAGCGGGCGTGCACGATGCCGATGCGCAAGCCGCGGCCGTCGTGCTCCTGTGGCGCGGGGCCCTTAAAGGAGTGGGATGCCATTGCGTGCTGGACGGGCTCGACCTGGTTCCGGTTTCTCGGCTGCTGGTCTGTCCTTCTCTTGCTCCCCACGCTACACTTCGCAGGTATAGGTAACTATCGGGACAGAGAGGGGAGGGGCAGGCTGTTGGATTAGGTAGGCAGGCTCGCTCTACCTGTATGGGGTGGTGACGGCGAGAGTGGTGGTAGTGGTGGTGGTGGTGGTGGTGGTTCCGGAAGTATCCAGCAGGATGGTCCGGACGGTCGAACGAATGGGTGTTCGGAGATGCAGGTGTCTGTCGGTCAGCTGGTAGAGGCGACTGGCTGACGCGCAACAGCGGGGCAGATCGGAGAGGCAATTGAACAGAGGAGAGCTGTCCGCAGGCTGAGTGAGGTACCTACCTACCTACCTAATATCCCTCTCGGTACTCTACCTCGTGTATGTACGTAGACACGGATACGGATAGGAGAACATGTACATACCGGGGTTATGAGGTAGGAGAGGCAACTCCTCGGTTGAGCTCAGTTGAGGTCGGTTTACGCCTTCTACCTCCAAAGGCAGTTACACCGCATCACGTAACAAATCACCTTAGATGTGTAGGAAGGCGGGTAAGCGCGTTGGGTGAAGGTGGCCGAGGGTGAGGGGAACATGACGCAAGTCGACATAGGGATGGGCAAGGTACCCAATACGAGTAATACCGCGCCTCGATACATGTAACCTCACTCGTATACCTTAGGTACCTAGACAGGTACGTACTATTACTCGCAGGCGCATAACCTCTACCCTACGTACTTTGTGCATCTCCTGCTACTCGAGCTGTGTTGGTATAACCCCCATACTTCTCCCATAGCGGCCACAACCCAACCTTGGGAAGGTGCTTAGGTACCTACGCACTACTATTTAACTCACTCTAACCTCGTGGTAAGGTACCTTCCTCCTAGGAGGCTGGTAGGTGTGTTAGGTAGATACCTCGGGTATCCCCTTCCCCGATAAGTACAGTTGAAGGGGGTTGGTAATAGCAGAAACAACAAGGAACGGAGTCCAGGTCGCAATTTCTTGTCTTTCGTAGCCTCGGGAGGACTATTAGTATATTAGTATGTTAGTATATTATCAACGGCACAATGCAGAGAAGCCCTCTTTCCCTCGTCACCCTTCTTCCCCTGTCACCCTTTTCCCTTCTTCCCCTTTCCTTGTCAATGTTAGCCTTGTCGAGCGCTGCATCTCTTCAGGGGCTCGCCTTTCATCGAGCCGGGCAGCTGTCTTCGCTTTCTACTCTCGCCCTTCGCGGCTAGGCTTTCTATTCTATAGCCCCGCCCTTGAGACTTGGTTTTTTGATACCAATAAACACTACCCAGCCATACCTACCTAGTTTCAATATCAATAGGAACCTAGTCATCAATCCAGCCTGTCGGGTGGTTACCCGCGCCCCCTCTGCAACGCTATTATCATGTCCACCATCTCTCGCCTACCCGAGTCTACCAGCCGACTCCTGGGCCCTCCCGTGACGATAGCAACACCTGTCGGTTTAGTCAAAGAACTCGTCGACAACGCTATCGATGCCCGGGCTACCTCGATAGAAGTGATACTCTCCGCTGACACCGTCCAGAAGATCGAGGTTCGTGACAATGGCTCTGGCATCCATCCCGATGACCACGATGCCCTGGGGAGACGTGGTCATACTAGCAAGCTCAGGAGCTTCGAGGAATTGAGGACCCGCTTCGGAAATACACTCGGGTTCCGCGGTGAGGCATTGGCCAGCGCCAATTCCTTGGGCCAAGTTACCGTCACCACCAAAATAGCCTCGGAGCCCGTTGCTGCCGTCCTTCATATTCGGCCAGGTACCGGCGGCGTATCCGAGCAGAAGCCAACATCGGCTCCAACTGGCACTACTGTGAGCGTCACAGACCTGTTCGGCCGACTACCAGTTCGGAAAAGGGTAGCTATCAGGGATTCTGCCAAAGCAGTAGATCGTGTTCGGGAAGTTCTGCGTTCTTACACTATGGCGAGGCCTCAACTCAAATTCTCGTTGAAGGTCTTACAGGCGCCGCGACAGAGTTGGTCGTATTCCCCCAAACTGAACGCCACAGCAAGAGAGGCATCTGCTCAATTGTTCGGTGTGGACCTTACAAATAGTTGTATCGAGAAGACTTTTCAAGCAGGTGTTCCAGTAGGGACAAGCCAGCCTATTGCTGGACACCACGACTATTCGCCAGATGATTGCTATATATTCGACGCCTTGATTCAGAAGCCGGGGTCAGACTCCGCAAAGGCTCCAGGGCGCAGATATATCTCTATCGACGGTCGTCCTATCGACGCGAAACGGAACGTCTGCAAGAAGATATCGAGCATATATATCGAGCACATAAGCCCTACTTTTCCGAACCCTTCCTCAGTAGCAGTGCCTAAAGGTGGTTTCATCCGGCTTAATATCAAATGTCCCTCAGCAAGTTATGATGCGAATGTAGAACCTTCCAAAGACGACGTACTATTCTCCGACGAAAACCTCGTACTAGACGGATTCAAGAAACTATGCGTGGCTGTGTATAAAACATCCACGGCCGATGATATAGATTCCCTGCCACAGGCTGCACTGGGTACCAACACGCATAACGGTGACAATTTAGGCACTCGGGAAACGCGTCCTGTCGAGGCTATGGCAGAATTTAACATGCAAGAAGCATCGTATTCTCCCCCCTCATTACAGCTTAGAAACTTAAATGTTTCGGGATTCGAGCCTCGAGGACTATTAGGAATCCCGGGTCTCCAGTCCCGGTCTTGCAACCTACAGAGAACGGGTATAAATATCTCTGTCGGACACTCCGCGCCGGCATGGAAGAAACCTTTAACCCCCGAAGAAGTGACAGGCGCCAGCCACGCGCCCTGTAAGTTTGACATGTTGACAGATTTAAGCAGGCGCACCTACGGGACCGAGCGCCCTCGGCCGATCCAGACACCGCCCAACCCTCGGAAAAGACGACATATCATCGTCGAATGCCCCCGAAAAATTGCTAAGATGATCACGCCTGGTCGTGGCAGGAGAGAAGAGGCCACGAATGAGTCGAGTTACGAAGACGTTGCGTCTATGTTACCGATATGCCAAGCACCCACAACTCCAGAATCGTCCGTCACTTCGGAATCACCCATCGCTCTAGAATCACCCGTCACTCCAGACTCGCCCGTCCTTGGTTACCCTAAGACAGCGCCGAAGGACCTCGATGTCCCTACTGCTCAGCGAAATTTACCCTCGCAACGCAACTACTATTATCCGCCAGGGCTCATCACGCCAGACGGCCCATGCCAGAGCCCGACTCCAACCCCCTCCGGAGTAGTGTCCCCGGCAGCAGTTGACGACACCCTGGCGCGTTTGACTCACAAGCCTCATGACTATTATAGCTATCCTTCTCAGCCTCCAACCTCGCCTACAGAGAAAACCCAGATTCGACCCAGGGATACTTCTGGTTATGAACATTATCTAGTCTTAGATAGCATGAGACAGGAGACGATGTCGCTCGAGAGTGTTAACTTGGATGGTAGCCGCCCCGATCAGAGCTCCGTGTGGTCAGGACCCGACTTAGACAACCAATCTCTTGAATCTTATCCTCCCCAGTCCCGCAACGGGGCTCGCTATACAACGGCAGGGCCAAGAGTAACTAGACTACTAAACAACTTCATGACGCCCTTAGAGGTGAATGATTCATATAACGGCCAAACCCGCTCCCTGGTACAGAGGGAGCTACTAACTGTTGAGGTTCTGCATGCCTCCATGGAGCAAGGTGCACGGTTTGACAGATACGCGAGAGAGGGGATTTATTACGGCGCGCCCGAGATGACGATGAACCTCGCTGAAGGCCGCGAAATCGAAGAACGGCTTAGGACACTGATCCGTGCTGTCCATGACAGACCCTGGGGCGAAGGCGAGCCGGAAATCGGTCTCTGTCGTGTTCTGAAGGGAAAGTGGAAGGCAACAAGTTGGTAGTGAAATGTATATTCGAGAGAGTCGTGGACACGAGTGCTTGTCTTCTTTGCTGACCTCAAAGAGGCTGGGGAGGTGGTTGAAGCTGATCCCCGGGAACTTACTAGCGTTAGGGGGGGGGGGGGGGGGATAATTATCTAATGTGACTATTTACCAAGAGCTATGCAACACATACTCTCTCGAGGCGTTCGGATATTAGACATTTGACATGTACTTATTGCACATTTATCGAGAAACCAAGAAGAAAACCAAGTCCCCTTCTACGTTCGTCTAGGTGAGACGGCTAGTGGAGCTATTGCTAGTACCAGATCATGTCCTTCCTCTAGTACTAGTGTTTGACAATAGAGAGGTAAGAGATAGGGAGATATAAAGGGATTGCGCCGGCTTGGGTTGGTGAAATCGGTAGGTAGACGGGCAAGTGATTCGCGTATCTGACGAGGTTTGGGAATGCCTATTTGCTCTACGGCAGGGCGAAGACGAGGCTAAGACCGGCGAAGGAGAAGCGACGAAGAAGAGCGGAGAGACAGAGGCGAGGCCGAAAAGGGGGGGGAGGGAAGGGATGGAGAGAAGAAGAGGGATATAGGGTCTTCACTAGGGTGTCGGCATTCTCGACTCTGAGTTGGTATGCGTATATGGCTCCCTCCGTCGATATTTGACGTCGACGTCTAGATACCTAGGCGCAGACACGCGCGCATGTCAACGTAGGTACGTAGTATGCGTGCGGACCCGTACACGGCGCCCCTTCCCCCCCCCCCCCCCCCCCGCCCCTTCCTCCCCGAGCTACCGACGACACGGTCCGCGTGTCTACGGCGGGCGGCCCTCGGGACCCGGGTCCTGCGTGCGGATGTCGTCGCCCCCTGCTGCCTGGCGCGACAGGTTTCCTGGCCTGCGCCGCCTCTCGTTCCTAAGACGGCCGCCGGCTCGTTCAACGCAGCCGGCGTTCATCCCAGGAGCGGCTAGAGGCGCCCCCCGCTCGAACCCCGGTAGGAGCGAGGCGACGACGGGTCCGCGTCGGGGCTTCTGCAGCGTTCTCGCGCGAAGCGATCGAACTAAAGGGAGGAGTGACCTGTTCTGCGAAGGAAGCGTGCGGTAGGGGGGTAGGTACGTATCTCGCTCTGAAGGCCGGCGGATCCCACGTCGGCCGGTGTAAGCGACGCTATGGCGTCTAGAGACAGGAGACATGGAAGGGGGGGGAGGGCCTTAGCGCTGTGAGAGAGAGCCTTGACGAGGCCTATTTCACCTCCTTAGTCGAAACGGGCCTAAGGTTGGCTATAGATGGGAATAGCTCCCCTGGTTTGTACTATAATATGTGTAGGTAAGTAGGTTATACCTGGGCGGCTCTTTGCTCGTTTAATGCACGTCCCTGGCCACGGAGTCGAGGTAGATGCGCACAGTGGGAGGTATCAATCCGATCGTTCCTTTTTTTTTTCTTTCCGGATGGTAAGTGATGCTGCGCCACGTTTGGAAGGCCCCCACGAAGAACGCCGATCTCGATGCGCCCAAGCAGAGGACGACTCCCACACGCGCGCACACGAGCCACACACACCCCTGGCTCGTATTAGCATGAACAGAACGAGCACACGAGAGATACGTTCGGGCTATAAGGACTGCGGGTGGCCCTTAAGATCGGCGTGGTACTCCCCTCCCCTGTCACCAGGCACGTTGGCCGAAACAGCCGGAAATACCTACTAGGTTCGGTTCGCCAAATAAGGGGGAAGAGCGGGGGGTGGTGGTGGTGGTGGTGGGAAGGGACCGGTGATTTCTTGCGCGAGGAGATTCCGCGGCCGAGAACGGCGGCCCTAGATAGGTATAAGAATGAGACCGTCTCTGTCGTGGGCGCTTTGGGAGCGCGCGCCGCGTGGGATAAGGCGCACACTACGATGACATAGCCCGTAGTCCGTACGCAGTAGCGTAGGGCGATACGAAGATGACATTTCTATGGGGCACGACCTACCGCATAGCATGGCCAAGAGCTAAGGAGTGACGGACCACCGGACTACCTGATAGGCCGGCGTAGCTTGGGGTTGACTTGGTTCAGCTTCGTCTAACGGGGGTGGGATCGCGAGCCTGTATGGAAACCCAGGTCCACCCCACCGCGCGACGACGGTACGTATCGGTCCGCCCGACGAGTGAGAGGGAGCAGAGCGGCTCTCACACATCTACGCATTCCGGGTTATTTCCCATCGCGGACGGGCGATGGCATGGCAGACGCCCTCGAACTCCTGCGCAGGTGGGCAAGGCGCTCACAGAGGAGGCATGTGCATAAGCCTGGTGGCATCGGGTAGAACGAACGAACGAACGGCTGGCCGACCACGAGCGCCACATCTCGCACGACTTTCTGCTGTCGGCGAGACAGCGATCCCTTGTCTCAGCGCCAGGTGCTCAGGTATGTATGTACACACGTATGCCTTGTCTATCCGGCGGTAGGGATGTGGCAATCGGGAAGCGACACGGCAGGCAGTTGAGATGGTTAGCTGAAAATGGGTATGGAGATGCAGGGAGGCTAGCCGCAGGCATATCATCGCCCGAGAGAGACAGTCTGGTTGAAACTTGTGAAAGGGCGAGGACGTGAGGCGCTGGTGCCGTGCTTGCTGCGTGGTGTCGTGAGGGGAGGAGAGGTTGCTCACTACCTAGCATTTTCGTGCGCGGGGATACACCGGGGCCACAAGACGTCCCACGCACGCACTCGCCCTCTCCTCTTCCTTCGTCTTGCCATCGATGGCTCCAGGCAGTTGGTTGTGGCACTGTCGTTTCGCCATTGGCGCGGCTCGTTACTCAAGCCCAAATGCTGTCATGTAGCACCCGACAGGAGAGCCCGTCGACTTGACTCGGATGCCGAGGAGGGAGCAAATGCTCGACGGCCACTTCGACAGAGAAGGGAGAGAAGCGAGAGAGGGGGACCGAGGGGAGCGACGGCTTTCGTACGACGAGGCGTCATCGAGTGCCGAGGTCTTATTTCCCCCCGGTCACTGGGATGTTGTCGTCGACCGACCTCGTCTGTCCTGATAATAGGTAGGTGGGTAGGTTCTTGTCTGTCTGGGCAATATTATCCACGCAGTGTGGGTTGCTGTCTACATAGGTAATTGCATATCCCGAAGTACTCCTATAAGCCTTCATGACTTCATGACTTCAATGACCGAGATTAGCTTAAGAATGTGCATATGCATGCATATTTGAAGCACTCAATTGTCTACCAGAGGGCAGGTAGGTACCTACCTCTACACATACGGGTACCCGTACCTAGGTACCTGCCTTACAAGCGGGGAGATTATAGATGTATAGCTAGCATCCAGTGTGGATACCAGTTTCGTACCCGCTATTGGCAGCCCGTTCCTAGCCTTACGTACATACCTAACGTAGTCTATCCTGCATCAGAGGCGCTGCCTACTCTTCATACCTTCTCGCTTGCCTGACAGAGGTAGGTACCTAGGTACCTGAGGTAGGAGGAGGTGTAGCCTGCGAATGTTATTGCTAGGTAGGTACTTACTCAGATACTAGGTAGGTACGTAGGGTACCTATATAGACGAGATATTACGTACCTAATGTAGGTGCCTAAGGTGCGGACCTCTGGGTAGGTCCTACTGACAACTACTACCTAGCCTCATAGTAGGTACATATAGAATTTGCTGGTGCAGGTAGGTAGTCATTGAGTTGGAACCTGTCTGTCTGTCTGAGCACGTCGGCCGGTTCGACCCGCCGCCCCGATCTCCCTGCCCAACTTTGCTTCAGAATCATCTGCGGTATCTCTCCCTTCCCGTCTTTCCACCATTTGTTCCAGACTCAGAATGGCACGGCGAGATGGGCCGATGCACCTTGACTACCTCCTCTTGACATGCAGATGACGGCGTCTATGTTCCCTCACAGGTCGGGGTATAGGCTATAGAGGTACTTGGGTTCACGTCACCTAAGGGCAGGTATAGTAGGTGCATGCTTCCGGTCCTTGCTAAGAGAAAAAAGTCCTACCGTAGGTACCTCCTCCTCACCTCTCGGTCTACAAGGATGCGGGCGTTACATAGCATCTATGTAGGTATGTGTACATCGCCTACATCTGATACATGGCGAGGTGACCTCATGCGCGATGGATGAAGTTACGCTGCTGCTCGTATGTACTACGAGGCACCGTCTGCCTGTCCTACGTTGGGTGCGTGTAAGTATAGTACATGGCGAGCGCGCCGCAGCTCCAGCAGGAGGTAGGTACCCGGTCGAGGTATCGCAGTTCTTTTGGGCGCTAATGTAGCAAGATGCGTTGGCGTCTCCTCTGTCTACGAGGTCCTACAGGGGTCTTCTGGCCAATGGGACGCTTCTGTTTCTGCTTCTGCTTCTCGATGATGGATTTTTCTGCCTTCTCTCGCGCGCGCTCTGTCTCTCTCTCACCCTCACTCGCTCTTATTTTCTCCCTTTACCGTCTTTGTCCTATGCCTCCTGCTCAGGTTTTATTATTAATGTCATGATGAAATATTCAAGCTATTAATATCCGTACGTAGAGCTGCCCGGTCGAAGGGCGCGATTGATCGTCGTTATCGTCTTCTCCAACTCCTTTTTTTTTTTCCTTCCCTCTCTCTCTCTCTGTGGTCCTTCTCACCACTCGCTCTCTGGTTTAGGTATTTCTCTGTTCGTGACCTATGGCCAGCCAGCAAAGCCTCACGTCGTAAACTGCTGGTATAGGCAGCCGGGACTAGTACATCGTACACCAGCTAGCGAGTAAGCAGAGGAGGGGGTAGCGAGGGAGAACAAGCAAGGGTTGGTGTTCTGGATAGTCGTATGGGCGATACGATACGACACGGCTGCCGTCCAGATTTGGTAACATCATATAATCACCAAAGCCGAACGACGCACTGCCACACAACAACAGCCCGACATCCGATCGATCCCCTTTCCTGAATCCTCCGCTGTATACGTCTACCTCCGCCGTCTTCCTGATCGTTCTTAAAACATATTGTTGGTTCTACCGCTGCAGCTGCTGCTACCACCGCTATTACTTCGTCATCAGCTCCCATATATCGTCGTTATATACTTCCCTGCCTAAGCCGCCGGCACGTTCGTCATCGCGCGCGTCGATTCAGCCGCGAAAATCACCCGTCACGTCGTCGTATCGCCGCCTCCGCAGGACTGCCGCCGTTGCTGCCGCCTGCTGCCGCTCTTCGACCCAGCACGATGCGGGCCTAGTGGTCCTGGGATCTCCGTCTCTCGCGTTAGGTACCCCCTCGGACCACATCATCTAGGCATCCACCGCCGCCGACAAACGATGCGAAGCCATACCTCGCGACTCTCCAGCACTCCCACGTCCTGTTCGAGATACGCCGATGCCGAGCCAGGTGGGAACCGATATGCGTATGCCGTGGATAATGCTTCGCCCGATACGATGACAGGTACTCACGGACCCCGGCCGCGGAGGCTCGAGGTGTCGCCGTCCCCTTCGATCCCAACTAGGTGGCGTGTCCTCGGCCAGTCGCCTCGTGCCGGTATCGTGTGGGTTTTGTTGGTGGCATGTCTTTGGATCCGCGCCGCATCTGCTGTCCTAGTTCGGTTCGACAACTGCCTACCAGAGAATTACGTCTATACCAACCAAGCCCTGGAAAATGTCCAACTGCAGTGGATTCCTATGTTCGTCGATGCCAAATTCGACACCGTCAATCCGAGTCACAATCTGAGAGTCATCGTTTGGGGAAACGTGACAGGCCGCGTGGGTAGCGATCCGCTGCCGCCGCCGGACTCTCCGAGTTGGCAAGATCCTAGAGGGGCCCTCAATGGGAAGATTGTAGATGTGCCTGTCCCGAACGCACCCGACGACCAGCGCAAGGTGACTACTCTACACACCAAGGTCGACGTCCTGACGTACGAACCTCACACCGAGAACTTGAACTTCTGTCAAAATATTTTGAATGGGTCGTGCCCGCTCGGTCCTGTGTTCGACAACGAGACTCTGGCCAACGTTGCTCTGTAGGTGGCCCCCCTCCCTCTCGGAGGAGTTGATGCGTGCTGCCCTGTCGATTCGCGGTGGTGGGTTAATGCTAACTTTGTCTAGGAACATACCCGACGGCCTGCCCTCTTTCAATCTGTCGAGGGACTTTTCTTCTAGCTATTCCTTCACCTCGTTTGCGCCTACCTTCATCGTGTGGTACGGCGATGCTGCCAAAACCTCGATCGGATGCGTTTCTACCATCCTCACGCCTGATCTCGGCGGAATCGCGTGGCCTCTCAAATTCGTCCCCTTGATTATCCTGATACTAGTGGGATTCTCGACAGCGTTCGCGGCAATCTTCAGTCCGTGGGGCACTAGCGACATCTTCCATTGGACCTCTAATTATGGCAGAGATCCGGACCTCTTGCGCCTTGTCACGCCGGGATTTGGTGACTGCTTACAGTACATCCAGTTCGTCGTCCTAACCGGAAGTCTCTCCCTGGACTACCCCGGCTTTTATCAGCCCGTCGTGAGCCAGGATTCGTGGTCGGTCTTGATGTTTAACCAGAGCTTCGTCTCCAAGGCGGCGCCTTGGCAGAGTTTGGTAGACGGCATCTATGTTACGAATGGCTCCTACGGTCTCGAAAATATTGCGCAGCTGAACGGCATGAGCGACGTGGAAGATATATGGGTCGGCATGGTGGTGTGGCTGCTTGCTATTATCGGCTCCGTGCTGTTCCTGTTGCAGCTGGGCTTCTTCGTCCGATGGCTTCTGCGGCGCATTAACCGTGTGCCGGAAGAAGACCTTCGAGCGAAGAACATACCTTTCTCCTTGGGGAATGTCGTCCGCCTCGTCTTCGGCTATTTTTTGCTCCCTATCGTGGCGTTGTCTACTTTCCAGATGGTCGTCGCTCCGCAGTCCGCAGATTTCCTCGTTGCACTGGCCGTCATCGCCTTGGCAGTTATTATTGGGTTCGCGGTATGGCTCATGTATCTCATCGCTACGACGAAACCCCGTGGGCACTTGTTTGATGACTTGCCGACCGTGCTCCTATACGGACCGTTGTACAACACATACTCCGACCAGGCGGCGGCTTTCGCGCTCATTCCCATCATCTTGACGATCCTACGAGGCATTGCCATTGGCGCCGTGCAACCGTCAGGTACTGCCCAGCTAGTAATACTGGCCGTGTGCGAGGTTATTCAGATGCTAACACTTCATGCGTTCCGACCTTTCCACTCCCCCACGTCGATGAATGCTTACCATGCAGGCTTCTCTGTGATCCGCTTCGTCACCGTAATTCTTATGGTGACGTTCGCGCCGACTTTGGGTATTTTGGAAGGTTCAAAGGGGTGGGTCGGCTACGTGATCCTATTGATACATGGCTGTGTTCTCGTCTTCGGTTTCTTCCTAAACGCACTACAGACCGTCATCGAGGTCATCGCCCGTCTACTAGGCGCGGGAGGCGACGACATCGACGGACAGACTAGGGGCGGGCTTTCTAAGATTTTCGGCGCTCGCCAGCTTTCGAGACGTGTGGACAGACGTGGACCATCCCGGCAGAGCCAGCTCAGTAGTACTGCCATGCTGAGCGCCGATGCCGTGACTAAGAGAGGGTATGGCCGGGTGAGAAGCGAGTCGGCCGGCAGCATGGGGATCATTGCCGGTGTACAGCATCGGAGCTCTAGCGCTTTAGACGCGCGTAGCGTGGACGCGTTCTCGGTCCCGCTAGGGACTGGCGGGGCCTTTACCCCGACAACGATGACCCCTAGAGACAACAGTACCTTCTCCCTACCATCTCCGGGACAAGCTACCCGCCCTCAACCTACCGCCGATCCTTACTACCGGCCTCCGCGTGCACGACGGGGGACTGGGGAGGAGATGGGCTCCTCGTCGCCGCATCGGGCTCGTGGCTCCGCAGCTAGCGTCGACTTGACAAACCGACGATCCTATCCGGCCGGAGGACCGTCCGCGGACGCAGATGTCGACAGTCCACCTTCGGGGAGAGCGACCCCGGCGGCGGCTCCGGCGCACGCTTCGCTTTGGGCGCCTGTATTTTCTCCCAGGGCGGATTACTCGACTCGCGAGGTCGATTTCTACTACGGAGTGCGCGGCCCAGCGCTGAATTCGGACGGGCTGGGCCGCAAGTTAGGCACGGGCCCAGCAGACCCTACAAGCCCAGTCGCGACCGCTACCGGGTGGCTCCGAGGCCTCTTTGGAGGCAAGACCAAGGAGAAGGGTAAGGGGTTTGAGGTAGTGAGAAGCGCCAGAATGCCACCTGCGATGAAGGCGAGGGGCGGCGAATTCGCCGAAGACCCCCCCGAGGGCATTCCGGTGGCGATGGGTGTACTACGGAATGGACCGATAGAAAGCGACGATGACGACACCCCCAGGTCTAAGAGGAGCAAGCATGTAGCGGAGGATGGTGCGCAGGGCGAATTACTGGACGAAAACGGCGATCCGCAATCAGGCGACGATACAGATACAGAAATTGCGAAGGTCTCCAAAGACCCGCCGCTTCTTCCCGATCTCGATGCCGGCGAAAGTTTCAAGGTCCCTAGCAGGATACACTCTAAAGCGAGTCGACAGCCGTCGCAGAGGACGGCGAGGACGCGTAGGGAGGTTGAGGACGTGCCAGAGGTTCCGAGGAAGAGCTCGAAGCGGAATTCCAGCGTCGACCCGCTGGGTAAGAAGCGACTTTCCTCGGCAATATCCACAGAGGCGGTAGCGGAGCAGGCGCGGCCTAGTAGCAGGCGACCGGAGGCGGGGACCTCGTCGAGGTTGCCATTCGAACGGACCGACTCCCAGAAACGTCGTCTTTCTGTTTCCTCGACGACGGGGACGGAGGACTTACCGTCGGCCGGCACGGAGGAACGGCCGACAAGTTACGGCTACGTCAGTCATCATAATATCAGCAGGGTCGACCCCGACCAAGGAGTAGATCTGCTCGGGAGCGCTGCGGAGATGGTGGACGTTTCGAGAAAAGGCTCGTCAGTGTCTCGGCGGTCTTGACCAAGGAGGATGAGCGTTCTCGCCTACGGTATCGTTACGCGTGACGAATTTTCTTGGGTCGCTGTACAGGAAGGGGCGGGATGTATAGAGTCAGTTCATATTGGCAACGGTAACAGTTCGGGAGACAGACACCCAGGCGGTTTGAGATGCTTTCAACGGTTGGGGGGGCTAGCAAGGCGCATAGGATCATTCACACGTTGCAACGACGAGGTTTCGACATCATCTGAGACTCAATCCTTGTTTTTGCACTCGCACGACGACGGCAACAAGGCAGTGTGTGGAGCGACGGCATATAAAAAATGGCGGGCGCAGTCTAGGATACATACAAAAAGGTACATGTCGGAGAAAGGGCGTAAGGCCACATTAATTACGGTGTGGGTTTGCCGAGAATGAGATACTTAGTAGTAATAATACCAACCATCAGCAGAGAGGGCGCCAGCCTGCCCAGAACGTCTATCGCGGCAACGGGGTTGGATCCCTATTCGGCGATGGCTCGGGATGAATACGGAGAAGCTGTGTGCGGCGCCCGGGAATCCCGATAACGGAGCGGGGGGAGGGGCATCGGCGGGTCCCCTTTAGAACCCTCTCGTTCCTCGTCCCTAGCGATGGCGCAAACTTGGCGCATCACACTATACAGGTGTGTAATAACGTCAATGTGGATGCGAGCCGGCTCTTTAAGAAGAGGTTGTAAGTGCGTTAGCAGTCGCTTTAGTAGTTTTCTGCTCCTCGGTTGCGAATCCGTGCGCGGCGGACAGAGAGAGAGAGGGAGGAGGGCAGCCGGGCGACAAAGAGCAGTCGGCACAGCTAGAGCTTCTTTCCTTTACCCCGCGGCCGGCCGGCCGTATATCGAGGGAGGGGGGGGATTCAATTAAGCGGGCGCATTCGTGGTTGGGCAGCATCCGGTAGTGGGGTCCTGGATCATCGACTGTCTTCCGGTAGACGAACGTTCGTCCCACCTCTCCATCTATATCTATATGTGGTCAAGCCCTCCTTTTTTTCTCTCCCCTTCGTCTTCCCTTCCTCTCCCGAGAATAGAGACTACTTGTCCCGCCGTCCCAAGCTGCAGTCTAACTCCTCTGCCCGGAACAAAGAAGAGCTTTTAGGCTAGGCCGAAGAGTGTCAAGTCTTCTTCCCCTTATCTGCCTGGCCTAGAATAGATCAGAACCGCAACGGCGAACTAATCAATACCGAGCGAGAGTCTCAGAGTCCCAGAATAGGACGGGCGTCATGGCCGGAGAGCAGAGCGACGGCGGCGACGGCGGGGCCGTACCCGTACAACAAGAGCCAGCCCACCCGAAACCGATCGTGGCCGTTGCCGAGGATGCGGGCGCGGGTCCCTCGGACTCGACGACGCAGGCGTCCAAGCTACGGCACCTGTCGCTGTCGGCGCAGACAATCCACGCCGATGACTTCCTCAACTCTCATCAGTCTGTCGCGCCGCCCATGCACGTCTCGACAACGTTCCGCTACAACCGGGACCCGGACCAGCTCAGGCCGTGGACCAACATCAACGTGAGTCCGATCCGCCCGACGGCTAGGTTGCCCCTACCCGTCTGCTTGTAACCCTGCATGTTACTGTATCCCCTGATGCGTGTCGATCTTGTTTCCCTTTTTTTTTTCTCAAAGGAGGGGGGAGACCCCCGAAAGGGTTGTCGAGGAGGCGAGAGGGGAAAAAAAGAAAAAGAGGGAAAAAAGACTAACACCTACGACCCTACAAACCACAGCCCAACAACTCGTACGACTCGCACGTCTACTCGCGAGACACTGCGCCGAACACGACGCGCCTCGAGGCGGTACTCACCTCGATCCTGGGGGGGCCGTGTCTGACGTACAGCTCGGGGCTGGCGGCGTTCCACGCGCTGGTCGTGTTCCTGAACCCGAAGCGGATCGCGATCCGGGGGGGCTACCACGGGTGCCACGGGGTGATCGCGCTGGTGGCGAAGCTGACGGGGCTAGAGGCGGTGGACCTAGACGCAGCGGAGACGGCGCTGGGGGCGGGCGACGTGATCCACGTGGAGACGCCAGTGAACCCGACGGGGGAGGCGCGGGACCTGGCGGCGTACGCGGCGACGGCGCGGCGGCTGGGCTGCGTGCTGACGGTGGACGCGACCTTCGCGCCGCCGCCGCTGCTGGAACCGTTCCGCTGGGGCGCCGACGTGGTGATGCACAGCGGGACCAAGTACTTCGGCGGGCACAGCGACCTGCTGTGCGGGGTGCTGGCGGTGGCGCCGCAGCGGGCGGGGTGGGCGCGCGGGCTGCGCGACGAGCGGCTGGTGCTGGGGTCGGTGATGGGCAGCTTCGAGGGGTGGCTGGGCCTGCGCAGCCTGCGGACGCTGGAGCTGCGGGTGCGGAAGCAGAGCGCGGACGCGGAGCGGCTGGTGGGGTGGCTGGCGGCGCAGGTCGGGACGGGGAGCGCGGCGGGGCGGGTGGTGGCGCGGGTGCGGCACGCGAGCCTGCAGGCGGCGGCGGACCCGGCGGCGGCGGGGTGGCTGCGGGAGCAGATGCCGGCCGGGTTCGGGCCGGTGTTCGCGGTGCAGCTGCAGGACGCGGACGAGGCGCGGCGGCTGCCGAGCCGGCTGGAGCTGTTCCAGCACGCGACGAGCCTCGGCGGCGTCGAGAGCCTGGTCGAGTGGCGCGCCATGACGGACCGCACGGTCGACCGCCGCCTGCTGCGCTTCAGCATCGGGCTCGAGGGCTTCGACGACCTGCGCGACGACCTCGCGCGCGGCTTCGAGCGGCTGGTGGCGGAGAGGGCCGAGAAGGAGAAGGAGGGCGGGGTGTTGTAATGGACGGCGGAGTCAGGGGAGAGAATGTGTGTTGTGTTAAACGAGGGATGGCAACAACAACGAGAGAGGGCGGTGTATATACATAGGTAAATAAATAGGACCCCAGGGGACGGAGACCAGGCGGAAGTATACGCGAGCTACGGTTAGACTGGTTATGGCCGCTCTCCTCCTGTCGGATGCGGGAAGGGTGCCGGGAAACTAGACCGCGACGACGAGTAGACGGGCACACGGGGAGCGGGGCCGCGCGGGATTTATAGAAACACGGATACTTCTCTCTTTGGCGGACAGCCCGTCGTCTTGCCGCAGCGCTCTTCTTGAGGCATCTTGCAGATGGGCGCATTCGTCCGGGCGGCGGGTGCTGCAGGCTTCGGCGGGTTGTCGTCGGTCTCGGTAGGATCAAGTTGCCGGGGTACGAGCGGAACTTAGGGCACCTCTAGATTCTCGCCCTGGCTTAACTTTGCGTTGAGGGAGGGGAGGCCGCTTGTCTTTCCTCTGGCCTGACCGACTCTTGTCTTAGACGTTCACCATCCGTTGTACGAAGCTTGACACCACTGTGCTATCTAAGTAAGCTACGGGTAACGGACGAAGGCGAGCTCAGCCAGGGTTCAGGCGTGGTGGACGTGACCCGCCTTAGGTACTGGATAGTACCCTAACGCGGAAGACCCTGACGTAGGTACATCGAGGTGCCTGCCTCATTACCTGTCTGCGCAGAGTACCTACAATTTCGCTAACCCTCCTGGTACATTAGGTATCTAAGTAGGTACCTACCTGGCGGCAGTGACTCGTCAATAGCCGCCTAACCCGCCAGCATTGTGTCGAGCTTCCGCGCCAGATAGCGCGTTGCGGCCCCTAAAATTAGCAGCCTGGGAGGTTGAACGGTGCCTGAGAAGCCCCCTAAAGTCCACCCACGCAGAAGCAGAGGTTAGGCTAGGTAGGTACCTAGCCTGGCAGCTAACCTGGCCCGGTACCTGCAACCCGTACCCACCTAGGTAGTACGGACGTCATATGTTAGGGGAGAGCAGGGGAGAGGGGAACAGGGAAAACAGCCTCGCCCGTTGGGTTTTCCTTGGCTTCGTCGTTTGATCGCAGCCTCTTTTCCACGAAACATCATCCCGTTTCCTCCTCTACTTTGCCCACGATACTACCATTCCTGTACGTAGCAACGCACAAACGCTGCCTGCCTGCCTGTCTGCCTGTCTGCCTGTGCATGACGACAGACGAGCCCGCCGCGCTGAATGAAAGGTCCCATAGGTACCGCATGCCCGACGGCCAGCACGACGCAACCTGTGGACCCGAGCCTCCATCACCGCCATCGTCCGCCCAGCTTGAATGCGCGCGCAGTCGATAGGCACAGCCTGACAGACCCCGACGCCGAACCCGCCCGCCCACACACGCACGTGACGGATGCCCCCCCTTAACTCCCACCCGTCTTCTCCTGCTTCCGTCTCCGTCCCCACCTCGCGCTCCCGCCGCCAGCCGATGCCGCGCCTGCCCGCACTCTTCCGGCTGCCCTCGAAGCTGCGGCGACGGGCGCGGCGCCGCCGGATGGCCACGCTGCTGACCGTGCTGCTGCTGCTGGCGGCCGTGGCGCTGCCGTTCTACGTGGTGTACAAGCCGCCGGCGGCGCTGATCGCGTACTTCGCGCGGCGGTGGCCGGACGTGCTGTGGGAGGTGCGCACGGACCAGAAGATCGTGGCGCTGACCATCGACGACGCGCCGTCGGAGCGCACGCAGGAGATCCTCGGCGTGCTCAACGGCCACGAGGCCACGGCGACCTTCTTCGTCATCGGCGGCCAGGTGCCCGGCCGCGAGGAGACCCTCGCCGACGTCGTCCGCAGCGGCAGCGAGCTCGGCAACCACGCGATGCACGACGAGCCCTCCCGCGCCCTCCCCGACGCCGAGCTCGCCGCCCAGATCGACGCCGTCCGCCGCCACATCCGCCAGGCGTACCTGACCGCCGCCGCCCCCGCCCGGACGGGAGGCGAGGAAGAGCCCATCGCCATGCCCCCCCAGTACTTCCGCCCCGGCTCCGGCTTCTTCAGCGACCGCATGCGCCGCCTCGTCGACCGCCTCGGGTACCGCCTCGTCCTCGGCAGCGTCTACCCGCACGACCCCCAGATCGGCTGGGCCTGGCTCAACGCCCGCCACATCCTGAGCATGGTCCGGCCCGGCGCCATCATCGTCTGCCACGACCGCCGGCCCTGGACCGCGCCCATGCTGCGCCGCGTCCTGAGGCAGCTCAAGAAGGACGGGTACCGCGTCGTCAGCCTGACGGAGCTGATCGAGGCCACGCAGCAGGACCGTTGAAAGGCCCCGGGGCGGTGGCGGGTGTCCGACCAGCTACGTTGCCGATGGCTAGCTAGTTGGCTGAGGATACTTTGCCTACACTTGACACACCAATCTCCCTGACGAAGGCTGCCGAAGTTTTATATATTCTTTCGGCTAGAGGGGGGAAGGAGAAAGGGGGATTCGGTTCTCATGGGGCTCCATCCCACGGGTTGTCTGAGGCCCGGACGAGGGAATATAACGGTGTGCGCTTGGGATTGGGTCGTCTTGTCGTACGACCCGGCCTATGGCCAGCCCTCTGGGGCTCGGCTTTTCCGCTCGTTCAGAAAGATACAGAGAGCGCCGGTCGGAAGGCATCTGCGCATCGCGCAGCGAAATAATCAGCACACTACACACTCGAAGGATCAGGCCAGGTCACGGAAGGGGGCAGGGCATTGCATACATACACATGGACAGATATCTAATTGTGAGGGTCGAGCTAGCTGGATTCGTACGAGTATGAGTATATTAAGTACCAGAGAGGCACTTTTGGTTTGAAATGTCTGTCGGGAGTCCTGGGATATATCAGACCGGCGTTGGTCGGCGCGGAGAGGCGCCGAGGAACTACAGGTAAGGTGGGGGTATAGCTAACAGAACGGAGTGTGCCGGTCTCTCCGATATTATTATAGATATAGCACGCATCTCGGAAGCTCGAAATAGACGAAGCTAGTTGCTTATGTACAAACGGCCCCATCGTCGTGCTTAATATCTCTCTATCTCGGGCGGGCGACCAGTACTGCTGCTGCTGCTGCTGCTGCTACTGCTAAGCCCAAAAGCCATGAATTCAGACTACCCTCGCCGATTACTATCAGCTGGTCTCGACGTGCAACACCGGAACAGGTGTCCGTCCACGGCATCGCGACTACGCCCGCAGACATGCCCGCCCAACCGACCGCCGCCAACCACCCATCGCCGTCGCCGAGCCTACCACAAGGCAGCGCAGCCGCGCAGTGTCTCGGACTTACACGCAGCGCACCTCGCGACCGCGAGAGCAAGTCAGTCACGCCGTCAGCAAGCCAAGCCCCCTCTCCCGTCCCCCCTTTCCCCCGAGCTCCCTGCGTGCACGACACTCACGTAGCTGCCGGCACATCCGCCCTCGTCAGACGCCGGCGCGGCGCGGCGCAATGGGCGCGAAGGAAGCGAGGGGGAGCAGGGCCGTCCGTCTGACTGCGCGATCATCGCGCTCGCTGACGTAGGTATGCGGTGGCGCGTGTGCCGCCCTCTCTGCGCGCCACAGCCGCTCAGCCGCCTGACGAGGCGTGGCCGGCGCGGAGTCAGCCGTGGCTGCGGCTGGAGGAGGGGGGAGGGGGCACGCGTGCCCCGGCCGGTGTGCCTTCGCCCGCCTGCTTACCAACCTACGCGCGCTTCGCTCCCCTACGTCACGCCCGCCCGTCCGTCTGCACACCCATCCGTCTACCTACCCGTCGACCGCGGGGATAGCCCAGCTCAGCTCAGCTCAGCTCCCAACGGACCAGGGTCACCTGGGCGGGCAGGCGGGCGCGCAGGAGCGGCGATGGGAGGTGGGGTGGGGGGTAGGCGAGGGCGGAGGGCGGACAGGGCAGTGATAGATAGAGGGGAAGGAAAAAAAGACTTCTTTTATTCTCTTTCTCCCTTTCTTTTCTTTCTTTCTTCCTCGCCTCGCCTCGCGACAGAGCCGACTCGGTGCCGAACAAAACGAACAAACGCACGAGCGGACTAGCGAACGCACCCCCCCGCCTCCCCCCCCCCCTTTTTTTCTTTCCTTGCTCCGCGGAGGGAATGAGACGGATCGGAAGGATTTGCTGGGGTGCCTCTGTAAGTCTAGACGCCTTTGGGTACGCAACCTGTAGGTACCTCGGGCTCGCAGCTGGTCGGCGTAGGTAAGTAGGTACCTAAGCACAGATACCTGGTCGGAGATAGACAGGGTAGGTTGCTAGCAAGCTGCGCCGCGCATGCATCGACGCCGTCGCCGTTTCACCTTGTTCTCGAACACGCGGTGGCTCCCCAGCTTACCAGGTAGGTATTCAGAGGTAGCACGGTAGAGGTACGGCTGCGTACTAGGTCCTCTGCATGTACACAGTCTGCGCACCGGAGGTATACCTGTAGAGCATGTCTGTCGTCTTGCGGGCTCAACTTTTCTCTCTCCTCTCGGACCCGGCTCTTGTAGTTATGCACATACCTAAAGAGAGAGAGAGAAACAGACTTTGGCCATGATCCCGGATACCCTGGGAAACGGTGAGACGAGATCGACCGTAGGTCAGGCGCACGGATTGCCGGCATGCCCTGTCGGTCTAAATATATACGCAGATATGGAGACAGAGCCTGTGCGCCTAGGTAGTATATACACATCATCTGATATTGTTTTCTATTACTTACCGCGACATCATAGTGGGCATGCAGATACGTACATTTATGCGTGCGAAACCCGGGGGTATCAGTTCGTAGACAAGGTACGTGAGGTGGGTACGCACCCATATAACGGAGAAAGAAACAATAAAATATTATATATAGATATATATAGATATATCCGGAATGGTAAGTAGGTGGATAGGAGGAGGAGATCTGCAGAGGCGAGGCAGGCATCTTAGATAACTCATGTCAGTAACGTGTTGACAGGCGCAACGGCAGAGGGCACGCACGCGGGTCACCTGCACGTCGCCGAACTCACCCACGAACCCCCCCCGCCCCGGTCGGTCATCTACACCAGACGCGAAAGCCACGACGAACTCGTCACCAGCAAGGAGCTCAGCTGGCCGCAGATAGACTGCTTGAACCATCACGTCGTTTGCTTACTTTGCACCCTCTTCGAATCCATCATCACTCCCTTCGGAATGCATGGCTCGGTCAACCTCGGGCACACCACCACTCTGATCTGATTTGTGACATAACCTACGTACATACCTACCCGGGTGGACAGACAATCTATCTAACGTCTGTTTGCACCGAACAACACGCACGTATCTTCTAGAAATTACCAGTTCGCAAACCTGCAAACAGCCCGGGGCCCCCGGCTGACTGACGATCCTCTCGGATCAAGCCACCGGCGACAGGTAGCCGCACGTACGACCTAGAGTCAGTTCTGTCTGCGTGGCCGACAACCACACGTGGGCATACCTAAGTAGTTATACAGTAAACCCGGGCAGGCGGCGGCGCAGGCGGCTTACGGCTTACTACCCGGCCGCTGGCCAGCAGCTGGGCCCATCCCATCCTCCTCCTGCTTCCCTCAGGATCGCAGGCGGGCGGCGGGGACCCCTAGGATCGACTGCCGAGCCTCCGCCCGCGCGATAGAGTGCTGATGGACCGCGCACCGCCACGGCCTTTGAGACCGGGAAAGAGGCGCTCACGTAGGTGGGTAGATAAGTACGTAGAGAGAGGTAGAGAGAGAGAGAGAGAAGATGATGAAAAAGAAAAAAAAAGAGAGAGAGGGACAGTCACCAGATTTCCGCCTCGGCTCCCTTCCTCCCCTTCCTGTCAGCAGCCGCGCTCGACGCCGCGGACAACAAACACATGACTCGCCCGGCCGCCTCTTGTCCTACGTAGGGAGGTAGCTTATCCGCAGGCCCCGCGGCATCTGGTCTCTCTCTCTCGCGAGAAGGAGGGAAGGGCGCGCGCGCGCGCGAGAGAGAGAGAGAGAGAGAGAGACAAAGTCGCCAGGTGCGACGTCGTCTTATCCCCCCCTCCCCCGCCGGGATGCCCGTAGTAGCAGGTAAGTAGGTATGCCGGGCTAGGCACGCACTTCTCTCACCTCGGTGGTGAGCCGAGAGGCGCATATGCAGCGAGCAGCGAGCTGCCGTGGAGTGAATGGGGCCAAGGACGCGAGCCTGCCCGCGCCGGCAGGTGGTAGGTAGGTAGCGGGACGCGCATGCTGTGCGCACGTACCGAATGCGCACGCGTACGCTCGGCGAATGCGCGGCGGCGCCATTCCCGAAAGAGGAGGAGGAGGAGGAGGAGGCAGAGGCGGCTCTTCTTCTTGTTGTGCTTTCTTCGCTGTCTACCACCACCAGAGCGAGCGGGTTGGGGGAGGGGAGAGGAGGGGTAGGGGAAAGGGAAGAAGGGAGGCGAAGGGAAAGGGAGGAAGGGGAGGGGTCAACGCATTGCTCATCTGTCCGTATGTCCGTCCGTCCTGTCTGTCTCGCTGTCTAGGTAGCTGTGGGCTGTCTTGATGTGTGAGATGATGCGTACCTAGGTAAGTATACCGAGAGGCATGCAGGGTGAATGGAATGGTATACCTACCTACCTCCTACCTAGAGATAGGAGGGGTTATTGCAGGTGCCGACACCACCACCGCCGGCGACCCTTTTTTTTTTTATACACCACTTGTACGCGCACGAGCACCACCGGCATGCCTCCCTGCTTACCTAGGTAGGTATCTACCTATCTAACCCTCGCATCGACCGCAACAGAAACCTGTTTCAACGATTCACCTCTCTCTCTCTGTGTCTCCCCTCTCCCTCGCTCGCCACGCGCCCGTTTCTGCTTTTTGCTTCTGCCGCCGTCTTCTTCTTCTGGAACATCCCCGGCCTGCAGCGAGGCAAGTTACCTAGGTAGGCGGGCAACCTCAACACCAACTTCTCTCTCTCCCCGCTCCGCCTACGCGACGCATCCCGCACGATCAGGGGAACCCGAGAACATACCTATCTACCTACCTACGTGCACCTAAATCTACCTACACCCACCGTCTTCTCCACCATCAGCTTCTTCTTAGGTACTACCCCAAGGGATGGATGGATGCATGTAGGCTACGCACCCCCACACAGGCTTCACGCGACTATCGTACACCCTCCATAGGGAAGTTCCGTAGGCATAGGTAGGTATCTATATTCTATGTACCTGCCTAACCCAGGATGCATGTAACAGCAGAGGTGCTGCTAACTATAGGCAGGCAACTCTACCCGTGCGCGCGCATGAACTTCTGTTCCAAGTATAGAACCCCCCCCCTTCTCCTAGCCTCTGCCGGACGAAGTGGACGGCCCGGCTACTGCGTACTAAGGTTAGCTAGCTGTCGGAGTCATCTCCCGCTGTCGAGTGCGCAACGGCCGTCGTCGGGTCTTGGATCGGCAAGCCAGCCTACGCACTACCTAGGGGGGTTCTATTCTCCCAGCAAATACCCAAGTAGGTGCTGTGTGTGTGTGTGTGTGTCTCTCTCTCTCGGGTCACGTAGAAACAATACATATCAAGTGTGTAGCATGCGCGCCATCGTATTCAGACTATCTAGCCGAAGGCAAATTCTCTCGAGCGTTCTAGTTAGGTACTACCGGAGGACGAGGCAGCCTCGCACACCTCGCGCCCGTATCCATGTCCGTATTCCCATCCCGCGGAGGGAGGTAAAAAACTAAAGGAAGGGATTATTTCTCAGTAAGAAAAAAAAACCCCTTCCCGAAATCTGTCTCGATATCGATCGATCGAGTAGCAGAGAAGAAGGAAAGAACGTCGAGGAGAGAGAAGGAAAAAAAGGTCAACACAGGAGATTGTCCACTAGAGGCTAAGGTGCCTCGTGTGTCCGGGTATTTCACCACCGATCCGCAACAAAAAAAGAGATAGAATCTTCCTCTTGAACGCCTTGGGACCCTGCCTCCCTCCCTTCCTTCTTCCCACCTTCCATAGCCCTAGAAATGATATATCGTCGATCCTGGAATGAAGGAAAAAAATAAGGGCAGTAGAAGAAAAAAGGCAAACGTGCCTCCCCCAATCCTCAGCTATATTCCTGGTGGGTTCCGGCCGCCAAACCCTCTAATATCTAGGGTCTGGATAGAGTTCGTCCGGTGCGTTCCACACCGACGACGACTCTCAGTCGGTCGGGGTTATCCGAATATGTACATCGAAAGTGCCGTGTGATTATGTGACCTTCCGCCCAAATCCCCGGCGCGATCTGGTGATGATGTAGGTAAGTATCTCCGTATGTCCTCGGTCCTTGTTTTTATTTTATTTTGTTTTAATTTTTTACTGTTACTTTTAAATCCATAACGGCTCTAAATCGGGACGCTCCGGTCGGAAGAAGGTCGAGAAGAGGCCGTGAACCTCGGCTAGGTAGTCCTCCGGTCGGAATCGGCAGAGCCCCTGCGAGAGGAGCGCTTGCTCCTCCTCGTCTATGGCCTGCATCTTTTCCCTCACCCCTAGCTCCTCCGCGAGCTCCGTCACCTGCGCCAACTCGTTGCCGAACGGGTGCTGGGACTCGGGATACTCCACCTGCCGGCGGAAGCCGGGGCGCACCGGCGGCGGCGACGTCACCGTGGGGACCGCCGGGGTCGAGTTGACCGACGGCTTCCTCGAAAAGGTCCCGGACGAGACCGAGGTGGCTGTCGTCGAGGTCGAAGACGAGCGGGAGAGGGTGAAGCTGGCCTTGGTGGAGATGGACTTGACTGATTGATTCGAGAGGCGCGAGAACTTGTTCACTAGGTTGTCGTACGACGCCTTCTTGGTATGCGACGGCGCGCGCTTCGGGATGCTCGGGGCCTCCTCCGGGTTCGACGTTGGCGACTTGTTTCCGGGCGCGACGAAGTAGCACGAGAGATGGTTGGGCTCCGGCGTAGTAGGCCGTCCGTGTGCCGATGGGACGTCTGGGCTCGTCGGCGGCGACGATGCGCTGGTCCGCGGGCTATCGGAGTAGTCGTCGTCGGACTTGGAAGATTCCGTCGGCGAAGATTCCGACCGAGGGTACAGGTCTGGTGCGTTGAAGGCGAGCATGTTCGTCGTGTGCGTGAGCGCCATGGGACCAGAGATCTTGCTACGAACCGTGGCCTTGGTGGTGTTGCTTCGCTGGGGCAGAAGGCTCGCGTCGTGCGAAGGCTGCTTTCGCCTCGTCGTGAAAGCGCGTGCGAGAGACATCTTGGCTGACGGGGTTTGCCTGTCCGCGGTATCTTACGGCAGCGATGTACTGGTCGAGTTGCGGGACGGCCAGAAAGACTTCCAGCGTATGGCGCGCGGAACTTCGGAGAGCTGACCTGGCCGGGTTGGGGTTATGTAGTGTTATGTAGGTAGTGTTACCTAGCTGCGGGAATGCGGCAGCTCAGACTCTCGTATGCGAGCTCCCACACAATTATATTGTCAGGAAACGCCGACGTGAGGGGCAAGCCGCTGTTCGAGTTGGCTAGGTGCGCGAGCCTGCTTCGAAGCGCCAAACGTCGTCTGGGGACAGGTGAAAGGTGCAGGTTAGACAGACCAAACTCGAGGGTAGAGGGAATGATTGGCGAGAGCTGGGACAATGTGACAGTCCCGAAGTGGGCAAGCGAGGGTCCAGTTGAGAGCAGGACGCCGTGACCTTGGCCAAGCCGGTGCGGGCTGGGTGCTGCTTTTGGGTGTGCTCGACCAGAGCCTGTGCAGGGCACGATGTTACACTAATTAGGCAGGTGGGCGACGTGGTTGGCCGTGCCGAGACACACTGATGTGATCCTGTGAGATCGCGGGGTGTATCGTTACTTCGGAGATGATCTAAAATGCCCAAGAAGCGCCCAAAGGTGGCCGAACCAAGTCCGGGCGAGGAGGGGAGGTTGCTATGGCTCGCCGGCGGTTGACACTTAGGAGGCGGCGGCGGCGGCGGCTGGACTTGTAGTGATGCCCCAACGGGAATTCCCCCACGTAAATTGAGGGAGGAGAGAGCTGGTTACCGACCTAAAGTCGCTGGGACTGCCGAGATGGAGCGAACTGGGTGCTATTCGTGTGTGCGTGCGTGTGTGCGTGTAAGTGTCTGTGGGTGTTGTGGTGAACAAAATCGAAGTCTCTCTCCCAGGGTTGTCAAGGTGTGGGTGGGTTGTTAAAACTCTCATGAGATTCCCTTAAATAGAGGGCGGTCCCGCGGAACTTGTCAAAGTCTGCAACGGGCGTATTCACTAAACGATCGCCGTGGATGATGATTGTTGGCTGTACAGTCAGAAAGGAGTGGTGTTTGCTTAGTCCTTGGTGGAATCGGATATTCCTTTGGATGGACGCGCGTGCTGGTGAAAGGGCTTGTGTGGGTAGAACGAAACAGTGAAACAACCAGGTTCCCGAAGTGGTCAAGGATAGAGAAGAGCCAAACGGGTCTTCTGAGCGAAAGGAAGGACGGCGGTCAGCACCCCCAGAGAGACTTTGGTTTGCGAATTCGATACCGGCGACAGGCCCCGAGGGACAAGAGAGAATGAGAGTAATCTGGAAGAAGAATCCCAGGAGCGAGAAGGGAAGAAGAAGGGAAGCAGGGAAAGAAAGATGAAGAAGAGGTCCTCCGCTCTTCTTAGATGAGAGGGAACGCGGCCAGCAGAAGAATAATAAGGCGCACCGCAGGCTTGTCGAACAAGTACCACGTCTGCCAACCCTCCATCACACCTCTGGGACCGGGATAAAGAGCAAGAAATAACAAGACAAAAAAAAAAAAGACATTAAAAAAATAAAAAAGAGGGCCTCTAGGGCGTCTAACAAGGCCCAGTTGGGTACAGGGCCCTTTCTCTCTCCCCGTCGACTTATTCCCCCGGCAGGGCGTCGGGGGGGAACCTAGGGCGGAGGCCAGCCCAAGGTTGCAGGTACTGAGGATTCTGGCTAATTCGGATGCAGAGCGTGAGGGACTTGAAACGGGTATGATGTACCGTCTACCAAGGTTTGATTTCCCTCGCATGTTCTTCGCCCTCCGCGACCATGGGATAGAGGGGTTGCATGGATTGATTCACTCGCACACCGGCCGGGTTGGAGGTACCTACATAGCGCAGTACACGGTACCTGCGATCGGGGGAGGATCGACCTGCGCTCCCGCCGGACTACCGATTTGTACCGAGTACATGGCTATTCCGGGCAACATGGAACAGCCAGAACAGTCCAGATTCCCTTTCTTCTTCAACAATCTCCTGTCTAGACACATGGGACACGCACCCAACGCACGCATACACACACTTAGCTAGCTAGCTGCCTTTGATGAATGGGCCCTCCCTCTATTGTCCCGTTGTTCGACCCTGGATAAGGGAGGGGGTAAGACAGAACCCCCCCCCCTACTTGCCGACTGTAGGCGGTAGCAGCAGCGGCAGCGGCAGCACCACACTGACGGGCAGCATCTCCGAGGGCCAGAGCCAGGTAGAGAAGACAATGGCGAAGGGCGATCCCTGCGGGAGGTTCTTTGCATGCAGTAGGGGCACGCGGTACCAGGTACATATCTTTTTTTTTTTTTGGCGCCGGATCCCCGCTTGGGTTAGCGCTGGATGATGGGGTTGTCCATCTAGGCGAGGTCCCCCCCATCTGGCAGCCGCGAGCGTATTGGCCGACCGGACTCCCACCCCTGAGCCCTAGGAGCTGGGCAGGCAGCGCACCACCGAATCAGGCGTCGCCGCCAGCTCAGGCACCGCGCTGCTCTGCGCCCGGGGCTGCTGGCGGTTCGCCGGCTTGGGGCCTGATGGGGTGTTAGCCAGGTCGGCTCCAGTGACGAGAAGTGTCCACGCCACGCTGGCCCGATTCCGTGAGAGCAATGGGAGTGGAATGCGCCAGAACGTTGCCGTATGGAGATACCTAATGTGGTAGTAGTCCATGAGTAAGAGATGGGTGCTGTGCTTACTTGCTTCCGCTGCCCCACGCCATATGCAGGTACCAATTCCAAATCCGGCCAGTGAGGAAGCCAGCGCGAGCAGAGCGGGTCTCGCTTGGGGGCTTGTCGAGAACTCGACCGGTCCAATCAATCACCCTCGGCCGCCGACGCGGCACGATGACATGCTCTGAGGGGATATATTTCGCTGTGCACGCACACACGCTGCACAACTCGTCCCGATCCTGCAGCGCAATATTAATTATCTTCATACGTGGCTGTTCCCTCTGCGACTTGCGACGGCCCGGCCTACACATTCGGCTTTGCGTCTGTCACTTTATTGACTCTCGACCTTGCTCATTCATACATATATACACATATATGTGACGGGTATTGACACTTGATTGGTATTGGCATGTCACGTAAGTGCTGCTACATCGTAAGTGAGTACCAGGTAGGTAGGTGGGTATACCACATCTATGAGTATGAGTACACACGTCAAGAGCTGGCCCGGGAATCTTCCATCTACCGGCCCCGTCCAGGCGCCTGAACAGCTCAGATCGTGCAATTTACCGCGTCCAGGGAATCCGGAACCCACACCCCTTCCGCCCCTTAGCCTTCTCCCCCCCTCTCTCTCTTCTGTTCTCCTCTCGCTCCCTCTCCCTCGCTATTGCTCTGGCTTTTGCTTCTCCCTCAGCTCGCGCGATGTTACCGCTAGGGCATGGCGACATTGGGGACCCGATCAACCGGTGCTTTTCGTGGTGTGTTATCCCCCCTTGGCGAGCGGTCCACCGAGCGACCTTAATTGCTAGACAGGGGGGGGGGGAGGAGGAAGAGAGGGAGGGCAGGGGGGAGGAGGACTGCGAGGTGGCTTCGCCACGCCTCGCAGGATAGCGTGTTATCCATTCCCCTGAATTCGTGGCAAGACCCTGTCCCTTTAGGCGACCTCACATTGATTGATTGACGGCGCATGGTTATCGGAAGAAAGACAGACAGACGGACAGACAGACAGACTCAGGATCTGCTCGAGATCGGGCCATCAGAACCGTGGCGAGACGGACAAAGAGTCGAAGAAGCCCGAGAAAAAGAAACAGGCTTTCCTCTTTTCAGCATAGAGCGAAGAGCGGAGAAGCGGAAACACGAAACGAAACAGCCTACTTTGCGTACCTACTACCAAAGTAGGTATATCACATCGCGTCCACGCGTTGCTGGATGCACACATCCATCATTCCCTTAGTGCTTATAGGTACCACCCTCCCTCTGCCAAACCCTTCTGTGCATTGCCGCGTCTCAAGTGTAGTTCGCTGTAGCTAACTCCGGTTAGGCCCGTACGTGGTTAAGGTACCTACTGGGCACTTAAGCCAGAGAGAAGCCGGCGCAGGCGGGGGGGTTCGTGCAGTTGAAACCGACCGGGACCCACACCGACACAGGTCGTTTAGGCATTTCTATTAGGTGCTATGCGTGTACCTACCTACCTCCCCAGGTACCCAAGCCAGGCAGCGGTAGGTACCTACTTACCTGGAGGTCGGCAGGTAGGCTGTTGCCAGGAGGTAGGTACCTACCTGCCCAACACGCAAAGGCAATCGACCTAGATACTACTACGCGGGTACGCAGCAGGCATGTACACACGTAGGCAGGGGGGTGGTACTGCGAGAGAGGTCGCTACGGCGTAACCGTAACCTTCGTCGTCATCGGGGTGCCGTTCGGGGTGCCATCGGGCGACGACGGCATATCATTGGCAACTATTCGCAAGCGGCCATCGGTCGCGGCTTACTCGTCGCTGTTTCATCTCTGAAGCCCTCCTGTCCAAACATTTCCCCCCTCCCCTCACTCTTTGTGCTTGTATCCGTCTTTACTCCTCTTGTGCCTTTCTCTCACACGCCAACGCTCCGCTCCCCTTTTCTCTGGTAGAGCATCCCCACACCTACACACAAACCACACACAAACTACACACCCACACACACGTTCTATCCGTCACATGTGACATGTGACAGGAGTTGGTTGGTGTGTGGCGGGTGTGTGTGCTCTGGAGCGTGCGCGTGTTATATGTGGGAGCGGCTCGAGGCTTAGTTGTCTAAGACGACCGGGGGCGAAGGATCGCGAGGGGATTAACCGCGAGAGACGCTGGCCCGGCAAGCCGCCGCCGCCCCCGGCTGCCTATCGCTCACCTCCTCGCTCGCTCACGACACCGCCGTCTCCTGCCCCCGTTCTTACTACTGCTCGCCTCACCTTCGGTCTATATTGCCCTCCGTACGCGCACCAGCACGATGCACGTAGATCCGACATGCGCGTGCATATTACACACATACATATATTACCTGCATTGCACTTGGCTACCAACCTCCGTACGCACCTGTAGACTCAACCCGGACGTGGCCCCCCTTCCCTCCGGATTAGGCAAGCGAGCATGTATCCCGCAAGGGGTTGGGGAACAGACTATCCTGAGTGCTGCTGGCGCTTCACATTTTGGCGCAGACGAGCATCGCCTGTCTTCCTAGTTATTACCCCCTACTTCTATGTCTACGCACCTTGCCTACATCCGGGGCAACAAGATATATCTGCCTACCAAGAAAAAAGTCGAGGGGGGGGAATTGCCTTAGACAAGCGAACCCCTTCCAGTCCCCCTTCCAGTCCCTGCACTCCTGCGTTCGTGCGTACGTACGTACATACTTGCCTACATCCCGTACATACCTGTATATCCGGATGTGTTACCGATCTGCTCTTGTCTCGCATGGCCTCCTCTCCCTTGATTAATCGGGGTCGGGCACGGGTTACACGTGCCACATGTGTTCCGTTCGCGCTGCGCACCACCTCCGCCCACTCTGTTGGGAGTGAACCCCTGCCCACACCGGATGGGCGAAGGAGACCTTGAAACCGCCGCAAGTAAGGCGTCGACGTACATGCGTGCCGGTGCGATATCATCATCCGTCGCCTATCGAGGTCCTCTCCTTTTTTTTTCCCCCTCTCTTTGTAAAGTCTTACTACTCTCTCCAAAGGGGGGCCGTGGTAAAAACCAGGTGTGGATGTCGAACCCGGACCAGGCCCGTCTGCGTCGCCTAACCATCGCCCACCCTCCTTGCCTAAAACAACCAAACGCCCCAGAGATCTCGAAACGCACCTGTGCGCCGATCGATTTGCCTGATCGACCTGCACCGGCAGTAGGGAGATGGTAGCAACGGTAGCAATGGGTAGTAGTCGTGGTAACAGTTTGTCTTGCCGCAACACGCGAGGCCCCGGCATCGTCTCGTCGACTGCGGTGGTGAGCTGTCACGGGGGCATCTCGTGATTACTATTCATTATCAGGATATCGTGTTCGAGGCAGACCTCGCCTATCTTTTTTTTTATTACCTTGCACGAAGCCTCTCGAGCCGTCCCCCTTTCATCATGGAAAGATGCTCTTCCAGGCAGGCATGTCCCCCCTCTCTTCCCTTTTTTTTTTCTTCATCAAACCTGGTTGCCTACGGAACCAGATCCCACCACCACTTTCCGCAATACTCGGTTACCCATTCGCTTGTTCATTCATCCGAAACCCTCGAGGCCAGAAAGATATTCTAGACCCCGTAACCGACACGTAGCTGCGTCCCGAGCTGAGCTGGCTCGGTGATTTGAATCAGAACGTAGAATGCGGCAAGCTGTGCGACAACTGTGGTACGCACAGCTCCCCTCACACATTGCGTCGCTTCTACTGGCGCACCTAGTCTTCGTCCATGGACTCGGCGTCGCCGTCATCTTCGCCGTCTGAGGAGCGCTCGTCCGCCTTGACACCGATCAGCCTCTCCTCGACCGTGTCGTCGGCGGCGCTCGAGCCCGCGATCTTGTGCGCGAACGCCTGGCGCACCGCGGCGTTGGTGCTCGTGTCCCAGATGTGCATCGTGCCCTTGCTGCCGGCGACGGCGAGCCGGAACGCGACCTCGGCGTCGGGCGCGAAGTTGGCGGCGAACACGCGGCCGACGTCGAGGTTGCGCGCCACCACCATCGCCGGCCCCGTCGGCTGCAGGTTCCAGAGCTTGACCGTCTTGTCCGTCGACCCCGTCGCCATGAACCCCGGTATGTGCGCGTTGACGTCGAAGGCTGACAGCGACTCGTCGTGCGCCTGCAGCGTCCATACCGGCCGCGACGCCGACGGGCTCGCCGGCGCGTTCCGCACGTCGTGGTAGTGCACGATCCCGTTCTCCGTCGACGCGAAGAAGTAGTTGGCGTCGTGCGGGTCCCACTGCACGTTCTCAACGTCGCTCTCCACCCCCCACCGCCGCGGCTTCGCGTCGGGCGCTCGCATGTCCGCGGCCGCGATCGTCCGGTCGTAACTGCCGCTCAACAGCACCGTCGACTCGACCGAGTGCCACGCCAGCGAGCAGACCTTGTCCGTGTGATATGAGTACGACTTGGCGCACTTAGCGGTATGCAGGTCCCAGAGTTTCACCGTCTTGTCCGCAGATGCCGAGGCCAAGAGATTCCGGTGATTCCTGTTGGCGGCGAGGGATAAGACGGCGTCGACATGATACTCGTCGTTCGCCTTCTTCTGCTTCTTTTTCTTCTTCTTCTTCTTCTTCTTCCCCTCTTCCTCGGAGTTAGCCCCTTGGCCCAGGATCGCGTTCGGATACATGCAGTCCACCGTGTCCAAGTCCCAGACCTCGATGTCCGGGTCCATCGTGCCTATCGCGACGAAATTTGCCCTCGAGTCTTGCGCCACGCTGGGTTTCGAAACAGGTATGTCTAGCCACTCGACGCAGAGGGGTATCGCCGGAAGCAGGATATCGTGGTGCACGTAAAGATTGTCGGCTTCATCCTCGTAGACGTAGACCTCGAGGTGCGCGAGCTCGTCCTCCACCTTGGCGGCCAGCAGGAGGTTGTCCGTGGCCAGGATCTGCAGCTCTTCCCTGTCGTCGTCCTCGTCATCTTCGCCGTCGGGTATCGTGATGTACGGGTCCTCTTTGTTGGATGCGTAGTACGTTAGAGATTTGACCCCGAACATGTCCATGCTCTGGCCCTCGGCGTCGTCGTCGTCGTCGTCGTCATAATGTTCCAGGTCGTACTCCTTGAGGTCGTCGTCGTTTATGTCAATGCTTGGGGTGTCGTTAGTTACCACTGGGGGTTGCGGTGAACAGAACAGTGAACCCACTCTTCGGCCTCTTCATCATCCGGCGCTGGGGCTTTCTCTTCCCCGTTTCCGGTGCCTTTCTCGGCCGAACTCTCTTTGCCGTCGTCATCGCTGACGTCGTCGCTATCTTCTTGCTCTTCTCGCGCTCCTCTCAAGTCTTCGTTCGCGTCGTCGAGCTTCAGCTTGGCTAGATTGGCTATCCTGTCGAACTCGGCTTCGTCAATGTTGTATTTTGCGGGGAAGGGCGCTGCAAAGCCTCGCGGTACCCAGGCGGACGTAGTGATCATCGACGACATGGCCGGCTCCGGGCGACTTTGCTCGTCGAAGCTTGGCGGAATGCGAGGGTGGAATTCCAACCAGGCCCAGATAGAAGCTGGGTGACGAGGGACTGTTGAAGGTGTCTGCAAATCTACCCAAGACGATAGCCAATACAAAAATTCGAGATCAAATTTTGGCGGGGCAAGTTATCGATAAGACATAGGTAGCTTGCTATAGATAGGAAACGGTAACGGTAACGGTAAACGGTGGGTAGCGATAGCAGGTAGCGGTAATGGCCGCAATGCTGACAGCTGATAACGATAAGGTAGGTAGCGCTTGAATTTACAGGGGAAACAAGTAGTAAACATCGGGTTGCCTTAGCTGTTTTTGCCTTCTTGCTCTCTCGGCTCTTTTTTCACCGCTGCCTCGACGTACTTGCTCGCCTCCCTGGCGATTCGGGGGAAACAATTATACGTCTACGATGGAAAGGGATAGGGACGATGGGAGTTTCAGCCCCAAGAGGCGCAAACTGGATTTCAACCCTCTCCGTTCCGACGACCGCTACTCTGTCCTCCCCAACCGCAGCCATCAACAAGCTCGAGCACGAAGTCGCTTCGCTAACGATACCTCATCTCGTGCCTCCACTCCCCGCGCCCAGTCGAATTACGCCGCGACTCCCAAGAACCAAGAATTTGACGGTCCAGAGCCGCTGGCTAGTGTCGACGAGCAGAATGCCCTCGATCGCGACTGGTACGCTGGCGACGAGACCGGCGGGCATACTTTTGGCGACGACTCCCACAACCCTTTCGGGTCCTACGACACATCATGGGTCGATCAGCAGCAGCGGGAGGCCGATATGGTCGAGAAGAAGACCGGGAGACACATGAATGCGCGCCAGTTACAGAAGCAAAAGGATGCCGACGCCTGGGAGACCAACCGTATGCTTACGTCGGGTGTCGCGCAGCGACGGGGTCTAGGCGATGATTTCGACGACGACGATGAAGGGACGCGCGTCCATCTGCTCATCCACGACTTGAAACCCCCCTTCCTCGATGGCCGGACTGTGTTTACGAAGCAGCTAGAGCCCGTACCGGCCGTCAAGGATTACCAGAGCGATATGGCCGTATTCAGTCGCAAAGGGAGTCGCGTGGTAAGGGACAGGAGACAGCAGAGAGAGCGCCAGCGCCAGGCCCAGGAAGCGACAAACATGGCTGGTACGGCCTTGGGGAATATCATGGGTGTAAAGGAGGATGAGGGCGACAGCGCCTTGCCGATCGCCGCCGAAGAAGACGGTCCGAAATCGGGAAGCAACAAGTTCAGCGAGCACATGAAAAAGAACGACGGCGCAAGCGCCTTTAGCCAGAGCAAGACGTTGAAGGAGCAGAGGGAATTCTTGCCTGCATTCGCGGTGCGAGAGGATCTGCTAAGGATCATTAGGGACAACCAAGTCGTCATCGTGGTCGGCGAAACGGGCTCGGGAAAGACGACGCAGCTTACGCAGTTCCTGTACGAAGACGGCTACGGGAAGATGGGCATGATAGGCTGCACGCAGCCTCGACGAGTAGCGGCCATGAGCGTGGCGAAGCGTGTCGCCGAGGAGATGGAGGTCCCTCTGGGAAGTACAGTCGGCTACGCTATCCGGTTCGAAGACTGCACCAGCAAAGACACGGTCATAAAATATATGACTGACGGAGTTCTCCTTCGAGAATCGCTAAACGAGCGCGATCTGGATCGATACTCGTGCGTGATCATGGACGAGGCCCACGAGCGAGCCCTCAACACGGATGTGTTGATGGGGCTATTCAATAAGATCCTGCAACGGCGGAGAGACCTCAAGTTGATCGTGACATCAGCTACCATGAATTCGAAGCGGTTCTCCGATTTCTTCGGCGGGGCCCCCGAGTTCACCATCCCCGGCCGAACATTCCCGGTCGATATCATGTTCCACCGGTCGCCAGTGGAGGACTATGTCGATCAAGCCGTTCAACAGGTGCTTGCGATCCACGTATCCATGGGGGCCGGCGATATTCTAGTATTTATGACGGGCCAGGAGGATATAGAGTGCACGTGCGAGTTGGTACGGGAGCGCCTGGACGCCCTGAACGATCCCCCCAAGCTTAGCATCCTGCCGATATATAGTCAGATGCCTGCCGACCTTCAAGCCAAGATCTTCGACCGCGCACCGCCTGGGGTGCGCAAGTGCATTGTGGCCACCAACATCGCCGAAACCAGTTTGACGGTGGACGGTATTATGTACGTGGTGGACGCTGGGTATTCTAAATTGAAAGTCTACAACCCCAGGATGGGTATGGATACCCTTCAGATCACCCCAATATCGCAAGCAAATGCTGGCCAGCGTGCCGGCCGAGCCGGCCGAACAGGTCCCGGCAAGGCCTTCCGCTTATATACTGAGAAGGCCTTCAAAGACGATCTCTACATCCAAACGATACCCGAAATCCAGCGGACGAACTTGAGCAACACGGTGCTCTTACTGAAATCCCTCGGTGTCCGAGACTTGCTCGACTTCGATTTCATGGACCCGCCGCCTCAAGACACCATCACTACTTCCCTGTTTGACCTCTGGGCCTTGGGTGCGCTGGACAACCTCGGAGAGCTAACAGACCTAGGCTCCAAGATGAACGCGTTTCCCATGGATCCGCCCCTGGCAAAGCTCCTGATCATGTCCGAGGAGTACGGCTGCAGCGAGGAAATGGTGACCATCGTCTCCATGCTATCTGTGCCCAACGTGTTTTACCGTCCAAAGGAGCGGCAGGAGGAGTCGGACGCCGCGCGCGAGAAGTTCTTCGTTCCCGAGTCCGACCACCTGACCTATCTCCACGTATATTCCCAATGGAAGTCCAACGGCTACTCTGACGGCTGGTGCACGCGGCATTTCTTACACTCCAAGTCCCTTCGCAAGGCAAAGGAAGTCAGGGAGCAGCTCCTCGACATCATGAAGATGCAAAAGATGCAGATGATCAGTTGCGGGACAGACTGGGACATTATCCGCAAGTGCATCTGTTCGGGCTATTACCACCAAGCCGCCAAGGTCAAGGGGATTGGAGAGTACATCAACCTGCGCACCTCGGTGACTGTACAGCTGCATCCTACTAGCGCCCTATACGGTCTCGGGTTTCTACCCGACTACGTGGTCTACCACGAGCTGATCCTCACCTCGAAAGAGTACATGTCGGTCGTGACATCTGTCGATCCTCACTGGCTCGCGGAGCTGGGCGGCGTATTCTACTCGGTAAAGGAGAAGGGGTACTCGGCCCGGGAGAAGCGCATCACGGAGACCGAGTTCAACCGCAAGATGGAGATCGAAGCGAAGATGGCCGAGGACAAGCGGAGGTACGAGGAGCAGAAGCAGCAGGAGGAGGAAAAGGCGGCGAAAAAGCCCCCCCCGGAAAAGGGTAAGAAGATCATCACGTCGGGAGCGGTAAAGAAGCCGGTAATGAAGAGGAAAGGTAGGGGGTTTTAATCAATTGTCGGCCTATTTAGAAATACCGTAGCGAATAACCTCGTCTATATCGAGGGCCCTTTGGAATTTCATAACATAGGGATGGAGCCTATCCCTGGATCACTTGCTCCTCGAACGCCAGTACTTGGATATGCCCTCGCTCTCTACCGCCGCACTACAAATAGTTCCTCGCCCTCCTGCACCTCTCGAGACTCTTGATCCAGCCTGACGACACGCGCATGCGTCGGGCCCTTGTCAAGTTCCTTGAGGAACAATCTGATAGAATGCTCCTCCCCTTGGGCTTCGCCTTCGACCTGGATGGGTGTAAGCAAACACGCCTACTCTCTGATAATCCATATAGGAGATGATGTGAATTTGGGACTTAGCGGGTTAATGAAAGGGATCTCGGTCGCCTACCTTGCCATTCTCTGTGTTCCGACACCATCCTGTGACGCCGTGCTCGGCAGCCTTCTTATGGGCGAAGTGCCGGTAGCTGACGCCTGTTGCAATGTTAGCATGGCTCGTACGCAGTCAAGCTAGAATCTACATCGTAAAGCTACGGGACATTGTACAGACCCTGGACGCGGCCGTGGGCGAGGAAGTAGACCTAGGCATTCGTCAGTTTCTCTGCTTCCTGCGCTATCTGCCAAACTCCCCCCCCCCCCCCCCCCCCTTTTCCTAGAATATGGGATCTCACACACTCTTTGTGACATCTTAAGGGCGGTGTCGCGGCGCGAGATATTGGATGCACAGCAAGAGAGATAAGGAGGAGGGTTGGTTGGGGATGGGCTTACAGCTGCATTCCTGCACCTAGCTACCTACCTATGGGGGTTACAAAGGGCTCGGCATGCGTAAGGAGGGGTTTCGAGGTAGAGAGGGGTATCGGTCTAGAACGTATATGCTACTATGCAATGTGTAACGCGGTAACGTCAAGCCACAGTCACGTGTGGTATACCGCCTAAGGTGTGCGGCCCTACATGCTGACCGGTACATGTTGTCGTACCTCGTCGGCCTTCCTATATTACGTCGGATAAATCCGCCACTTCTTCCCACTACACCCAGCATACACAACACGCGACGTCAACGCCATCCCGCACTCCGGCCAATTCCCTCGATATCAGGCGTCTACCTACCACGCTTGAGAAATCTACCGACTCGCGTCGCCGACCTATCTACCCGCCATGGATACCGCGGCCGCGGCCGCGGCCACGCCACCGCCCCGGGTCGTCTTTCGAGGCAAGAAGAGGAAGATGTACAGGCAACGACCAGTGCCCGCCGTGAACGGTGTCAGCAAGGACGAGGTGTCGACATCTTCCGCTCCGCCGCAACCGCAAGATACCACCGCGCCGATAGCAGACGCTCTCGAAAAGACTGCGCCGGAAACCAAAGCTGGGGTCTCCTCGCACGGAGATGTGCAGCGGCAGCAACAGAGGCGGGGAGAGGAAGAAGAAGAAGAGGAGGAGGAGGAGGAGGAGGAGGGACTGTCGGTAGCCGAGGTTCTGCGGCTGCGAAACGCGCGGAAGTCGAGGCTCGGCGGCGTAAAGTTCGGCAGCGGCAATCATTCCTCTGCCAACGGCGATGCCCTGGCGACCATCAACGCTGCCGAGGAGGCCCTCGACGACCTAAGCCTGATGATACGTGAGGAGGAGAGCAAGGCCCAGGAGATGTCGGTCGCCGTGGCCGGAGTGACGAACCGCTTCGCGCCACAGACGGGCCTGGTGACCGAGCTGGCGAATAAGCATATGTGAGTTTCGCCTATTTCCGCGACGCCCCCTCCTTTCTCTGTTCTATTGCAAAGCAATATCCTTTTCAATCCTGCTATCGTTCTGTGCCGCACGCCTTTCGCAGCTGCTGATGAAGCAAGGGAGGAATATATAGAAGCCGAATTGGCCAGGCGACACAACGCCACCGCGTCACTTCCTGCCAGCCGGCCTGCCGCTGGTTCCTCCACCTCGCACGACCGTCCGCCCTCGTCGGGCTGGGGTGACGACCGGACGAGCCAAGGAACCTTAGCGATGGCAACCTCTTCGACCACGGCGAGGCCCCGGCCCGAGAAGCAGCGGAGCAGGGCCCTGCAGGGCCAGCTGATGGAGATCGACCTCGGCGACGAGGCGCGCAGCCGGAACGAGGCCCTGACGGCGCGCGCCACGCGCCGGCTGCAAGGCGAGGAGGTCGAGGAGGAGGAGGACCCGCAGGCTCGCCCCAAGAAGGTCCGGCTCGGCAAAGACGGCACGCCCTGGCGCCCGAGGAACAGGCGCGGCAGCGACGACATCAGGAGGGACCAGATCGTCGAGGAGATCCTTAGAGAGAATAGACGTAAGCTCCACCCCTCTCCCCCCCCCTCTCCCATCCTATTTCCTATATATATATGCATCGCTAACGTACAACCCCGCAGTCGACGTCTACGAAACCCCAGCGGACCCGTCCGGCGCGGGCAGCGCGGCGGGGGCGGGGGCAGGGGGCGCGGCGGGCGCGGCGGACAGCTCGGGGGCGGGGGCGGGCGAGGGCGAGGAGGAAGAGGGGGCGGCGGACGACCGGATCGCGGAGCAGTTCCGGCGGGAGTTCATGGAGGCGATGGCGCAGCGGCACCGGCGGCGGCGGCCGATCGCGGCGCCGTCGGCCGGCTCGAAGCCGGGCGGCGGCAAGGGCGGCGCCGCCGGCGCGCGCGGCAAGGGCGGCAAGAAGGACGACGAGGTCCTCCGCGGCCCCAAGCTCGGCGGCAGCCGCAACGTCCGCGCCGCCATGCGCAACATCCTCCTCGAGAAGGCCAAGGAGGCCCGCAAGGCGGGCGCCGGCGTCGGCCGCTGAGGCGCCGCGGAAAGCGCGGCGGGACGGACGGGCGGGGCCGTGCCGTGCTGCGGGGTGCTGCTTGTACGGGGCGCGGATGTTACTTCTCGTCTCTCGTTTAGCCGTTGCCCTGCCCCCGTGAGAGAGGGGAAGGGGGGGGGGGGCAAAGTAGAAGGTCTTCCCGATCGTTCCTTGGCCTGCGTCTGCGCGCTGTCTCGTCCCCGCGTTCTCCGATGGCGGTGGCCGCGGGGGGCGGCCGTATTGCATTCCGCATGCGGGCGCGGGTTCACGGGTGGGGAGTAGTATACTGGCAGACAGGGTAGGTAGGGCAGCTGGACTCGGGGCCGTTGGAGGAAAAGCGAACCCGGGCAACCGGGTCCGCGAGTTGGGTTGCCCGACCGGGGGGCGGAGGGGGGCGGGGGGGGGTCCGGCCCTCGGGGACCTGGAACCCCGGGTTTTTTTCACTTAATGTTACCTGCCTACCCGTCGTCTACCGGGTCCTTTCAACCCCATCCGTCCGCCCTATACGCCCCGCGCCCGCCGTGGCCCCCGAGCCCTCTTCTCCGTTTCCCTGCCCGCCTCGTCCACCCGTTCTCATGACCTACTTAGACAACTTTCCCTTGGCCAAAAACCCTCTTCCCCCGCGGTCGGGATACCAGGACGCGGGTATACACGTGCCGCGCGCACCAGGCACCGGCGATAGCTCCGAGTCCGAGTCAAAGGGTCGTTTTCTTATTCATCCTATTTTCGCTTTGTCTTGGTACTAGATAAAAATGAAGAGCGAGAAGAAGAAAAAGGACTATGCGAGTAGTAGCAGTAGCAACAGCGTTGAGTACGTATAGGAATATCGATAGAACCGAACCAGAAAACAACCTATATATGTGTGGTATGTAGTAGTAGCAACCTAACAGTTGGTATAGAGTATGTAGCAAGCCCTCCCTCGCCCGTCGCCGTTCGTCCGACCCTTCATAGAGTACCCCATAGCCGAGCTGGACGGATCCAACCAAGGTTCCAAGTTACAAATCCGAAGAAATGCAGCAACGTCGTCGTGCTCGTGGTCGCGTCGCTATATTTGTAAAAACGTCCGTCCCAGCCATGAACTCCGCCTATAAGCATCCGCGTAGCATTCTCTGCTCTGCAAAAGAGGACTAGGAAGTAAGAAAAATGTGCCAGCCAGCTTGCGTTTCGACGCGAGTCTTGTAGCAGTATTCAAAACAAGAACCCCCCCCCCCACCTTACGAATGTCATGCAGCAAAGGAAAATACGAGCAATTCTCGTCTCGACAGTTTCCGACGTTGAGGGGGAATTCATAGATAGCCCGGGTCTCTCCCGCGGAACTCCTGACCAATCGATCCTTCTCCGTAGCCCGAGATGAGAAAAAAGGGGGTGGTATAAGGAAGCGGCCGGTGGTATAACGGATATCGTCCTCCCCGGGGAATGTGGAAACGAACGAGTTCCTGGGGCTGGCCGATTCCAAATGCAAACGCTTTCTATACCCAGAATGCACCGATCCTATGTCATGCGATGTATCCCGTAACGGTGTATAAAGAGGAGGAGCCGCCCTACATCTTCGCAATCAGGCAATTCCGGGAGCGATCGCGAGCGCGTGTCCAGGTTTTCAGCACCGGTCTGGAATATCAGCTGGCGCTGGCCACTAATCAGCGTGGCCTTCTGTCGAGACTCTTTTATGGGGAAAGCCGCAGGGTGGTGTGGTGTTAGGTGGTGTGGTGTGTTGTCGGTAAGTCAGTTGGTGAAAGGTGAGAAATTGTCGATACCGAGATATGGATCTTGGGGGCTCCGGGCGAATGCGCAGCCGAATTACACGTGTCGGCCTAGACGCCAATAAGGCGAGCGTCTTCATCTGATGTCCAACTGGAACGGCTTGAACCTGCCACCAATCGTTGCACATCGTGGACATTTTCTGCGGGCCCCTTGCTCCTCCATCAGGATGTTGACGCAATCTCGGCATAGCCCGCAAATGCACTCGGTACAGGCGTAAGATTCTCTGAGCTTCGACGTCCTCTGACAAGCGGCACAGTATATGTGCACATCCTGGGACGAGTAACCTGGCGACGAACCTGCGAGTCCGGCGACCGCAATACGGAAGTTCTCTCCGCTCTCAGCGCTCTCGACAGACGGGAAGGGCTCGGGGTTCTCTTGGGCAAATGACGGTGGGGTAAGAGCTTGTTGCAGAGGAGAAGCTTGATAACCTTGGAAATGCTGATGGGGGAGTGGGGGGAGAGAGGCCCGGTGTATGGATATAGGAGATTGGGGCACCTGGAAAGTTAGAGAAGGGAAATGACTGTGCCGGTCACGACTTACAGGAGTCCTGTCCTCGTCTATATCCTCGGTGGCTGAGGCGGCAGCGTCGATAAGGTCCTCCCATCTCTTGCCGTAATCGGCCGCGGGCTCGACGGAATGGGCCTTGCGATCCACTCCCCCGGGCTTGAGACGCTCGTCATTTTGGATTCTCCTGAGCCAGTCGGCCGCCGACCCTCGCGACCTCTGTTTCTTGTGGCCGCGCTTGGTAATGGACTGCTTTCGAGGCCGATTAGGCCCGAGCGACCGCTGGAGCGGAGGGAGGGTTGACGAGCGGCCCGGCGGCGAATTCGACAATATCGAGGGCAGCAAGTCTCTGCGTGGTACTGGGTTTAGCGAGGAAAACGGTTCACTGGTTGGTTCGCTCGCAAGATGTATCGGGGGCAACTCTATCGTACTCCTCGGAATTCTTCGGCCGTCGTTGTCGGATTGCCAGCCCTAACAATTTGGGATCAGCACCCCCGCACCCGAAAGAAAAAAGAAAAAGTCCTTAGGAGGAAGGGTGCCATGTACCGCTTCGGCGTCCCAATCCGATTCAAATTTGTGCTGGCCGCCTAACTGAGCGAGGGCGGCAGCAGCACTCGCGGCAGGCAGCAGCGAGCCCCCAGGGAAATCGTCGTTATTTTTGGGCGTGCCGGGAGCGCTAGAGCCGTCTCGAAGATATGCATGGCGCTCGCGCGGGTAACCTTGACTCGGGTCGAGACCTGCTTGGGGTGGGCCAGCGGGATTCTGCGCCTGGGATCGATCCGAAGGGGGGGTGTTGATCATGAGCAGGAAGCTCTCCTCGGTCGCTGGGAGCTTCGAGATATAGTGCTCGGGATGCGCTCGACGGATATGCTCCTGCATAGAGCGATACCTCTTCTCCTATCCACCGACGCAGACACATTAGACCCCATCTACGCCAAGATTTACGCCGCACAGCCCCCGAGTCGCAGGACGAGAGAGGCGCTCTCTCCATCCCTCTCGGGGGCGAGTCAATGGGGTGAGCAGACTTACGCCGATGCAGCGCTTGCGGCAACTCGAGCCATCCTGATTTCTCAGCGGACAGACGACCTCGTTATTGGAGTCGGTAAGAGAGAAGGAGGACGTTAAGGACGATCGAGGCGGCATCTTGACTTGATCAACCCCGCCATTTACCGGTCGGGAATCGCAGGCGGGGGGGGTCCTTTCGCGAGATCGACACGATGTTGGCGATAAGAAGGACGATAGGTAGCGATCAATTGGCAATAAGTCCAGTATTTGCGAGGCTCGAGCATTCGACGGTCAGATGCGGTAGCGAGGGATGGCCGGGCTGCCAGTATAGCTCTAAGCTTCAATACAGGTGTTACATGAGGTGTTTCGAAGACTTGGGGAGTGGTGGTGGAGGAAGAGAAAGGATTGAGAGGATGACCTTATTGGGAGGGGGAGAGAGGGTAGCTGAAAGCAGTGGCATTTCCCAGCTAGATAGGTAGGTAGGTCGGTAGACAAGCAAGAAAGGTACATGCCTACCTACATAACCTAGGTACCTGCCCTAGGGAAGTGTGCCAGGTAGGGGAGGGGAAGGAGGAAGGGGAGGGAGGAGGAGGAGGAGGAGTTCAGGTTAGGGTGGACACACAAGAGTCAGGGTGGTATGGAGTAGAGGTACTTACCTAGAGGTAGGGATGTGGGCGGGAAGTACCCAATGTAGGCACATGTGTAGCGTATATATAGATAGGTACCTGCCTCTCCGTAGCTAAGCTGTGGCGATGAAGCAAGGTACACATGCCCTGGGTGGATAGGTACCTCCTAAGGCAGGTGGGTGTAGGTACCTACCGAGAGGTATGTACATCCTTGTGCTCTTGTGCTCCGGGGGTACGCACGGTAGCAAAGCAACAGTATGAGAGGGTTAGGTACCTACCTGCCAACAAAGAGCAAGTCCCTCGGAAGGGCGACAGGGGTCGGCACCTTGAACTGGGTGGGTGGTCGTCGAAAGCGGGCGATTCAGCCAGGCCCTATCAAAAGGCAGTATACATATACCCGCGTCTGCGGTATTGTACCGCTTCTCAACTTGCGCGATAAGCCGACCCGAGGGAGGAGGAAGATGAAGAAATGAAGAAAGGGAAAGGGGCGCGTTATCCCATTGGCTCCGTGCTATCCGCCTTCGTCACTACAGCCAGCCCCAGAGGCCCGCCGGCCAGCTTCGTCTCTGACTCGATCGGGGGATCGGTTCGAAGGGCTGGCTATTGGAAAATTGGGTGTGGGGTAGGTACCTTGCCTGGTGGGCGGAGGTAGAAATTGGTAGAGGAATAATGACCCCGTAGTAGTGATAATATAAAGAGAGAGAAGAGCCGGCGACGCCAGCATTACCCGGCAGTCATCGATGTGAGAAGGGGCTTTCTGTTTGTTCCGTCTCTTTCGAGCTATAGGTAGGCCCTTACAAAGCTTCGGTTCAGACTTACGTACTGCGGAGTGTGGCCGTGTAAGCCAGATCATCATCTGCTGCATTGGAATCTGACAAGTACCATTGCCTACCGACCTCCCTTTTCTCTTCTCTTTGTTTTCGTTTCTTCGGCCGCTTCGCCTCTCGAGGCGTGCGCAACGGGCAGAACCCAACAGCTCAGGGTGCCAATTGCTCCCTCACGGAAATGGTGGTGAGATGGGACGGATTGGATGTGACCTCACCTCGCCGAACAGAGCTGGAAGCATACGTGTAAGCAGAGCTGCCACCTATGAGATACGGATACCAACGACCTCTTCTTGTATGAGTACATACCTACTGAACTCAGCCTGCAGCACCCCTACAGCAACCCCTACATGCCACATACCCAGTAGCAGGAAGCTCGAGAGGCGCGAGGGGTTCTGCAGGTGGGTAAGGTGGGCGCACCGACCTGGCCTACGCCCCCCTTCCCACTCGAGAGCTCTCGCATTGGCTGAGCCGAGCCTGGGGGGGCGATACGATGGTCGATGGTGGAGGCGTGAGGGATGGCGGGGCACGTATGAAGAGTCGTGCCGGGTAGCATGGCGGGCAAGTCGTTTCATTTTCTGAGCTCCATCTCTCCCTCTCATCACTCTCACATGCATGTATCCCGTCATGTTCCACACGTCGTGGATGGATGGATTGCCTCCTCCTCTCCCACTCGCCAGTTGGAAGCGAGAGCTTGTCGCCTGTTGCCTGTCGGCGGGAAAGACAACGCAGGATCCGTGGCTAAGCTTCCTCGGCTTGATGACATCAGACATCAGTGTTAGGGAGGTGTTCGCTGCTCCCACGGCTGAGCTGACCGTCGTCGTCGTCGTCGCCGTCGGGTTCCTCCCAACCCAGACAATTCCTCATGTGGCTTTTTTTCCCTCTCGGGTTTTCTCGAAGCACACGCACGCACGCACACACTCTCACACGCTCACTCCTCTTACACGCACCCCCATCCTCATTCCAGGACCAAGCCCGATTTCCCTGGTTGGCTATGCCCGAAGGAGGCCCCAACATGGGTGCACTAACTACCCAACCTTCGCTCGTCAATGCAACCGGCAACGAGAGCTCCCACGAGTCCCCATGCTAGCTATCCTGGTCAGGTTAAGCGCACAGCTCAATCCTGTTTAGCGCTACCATCGCAAGTGCTCGGTAGGCCCGATGTGCCACCTATATGTAGATGGTTACCCTTTTTGCGGTTTTTATCCGACCGTCGGCATCGGGACCACCCCGAACTGAGTTGTTGGTGGCCGACGTTGGTATGTTGTCTAGGCTAGGTGCAAATCACGTAGGTAATTCGGGTCCAAGGGCGCGGAGATGTAGGGAGATATAAGCGTAGACCAGGTAAGCTCTACGCTGCGTCTACTTACCTAACATTAAGAACCCTGCCAGCCTAACCTCCGTATAGCAGGTAGATGGGTACCTAGGTATGCGCCCAAGGAAGTAGGCATCCGCACACGGCATAACAACCTTAGCTAGTATGTGCCCACCTTCTCGTAGGCTAGGTACCTAACCTAGCATGTAGCTACATACCTTAGGTACCTGGCATACCTTGGGTAGGTACCACGGGGTCAAGCATGTATTACATACACCTTACTACCACCTACCTCCCTACCTAGGTAGGGAGGTACAGCCCGGATGATGCCGCCTGATGCTCGTTCCATGCGGGGAGGGCACTTGGTAGATGTACTTCCTTGGGCTAGGTGCCTTACCTTAGGTACCTACCCTTAGGTACTTACCTACCTACCTCGGGTAACCTATTAATATTACCTACCTTAGGTACCTAGCTTCTACCCTACATATGTAGTATCGCCAGGGCAAACGATTTCCAGTACGAGCTTAGGCTTCAGCACACGGGGCAGCTTGCGACTTTGGACCTGCACGCGGGCGAATTGGTGCAAATGATGCCCCGTTACAGGCGCCGATCTTAGCCTATAGTATACGGAGAGCTTCAAGGGCGAAGCTTGGGAGGAGCCTTTCCTAATTGACGAATCCTTTTCCTCTCCCGACCGCGATGCGGTACTCCCATACTCCCATCGTCCCATGGGCTGGTGTCTGCCTAACCTAGGTAGGTACCTATCGAAGCAGGCGCTGCCCACCTCAGGTCGCAGCTCACTCCTCCATGCATGCAGCAAGTAAGCGCGCCTTGGGTGCCTCTTCCCAGCTTCCCGTCCCCTTTCCGTCGAATCAAGTTCCTCTTCTCAGCCGGGCAAGAATGACGATAGCCTACCCTTACGTAGTGCTTATCTAATCGATTCCTTGCCTTGGATACCTGTTTTTCGTAAGAGCTGCCTACTAAGGTACCCTGAGAGGTACCTGGCACCCAACACAACCCAAGCCGTCGAACGCGGGCTGTGTAGGTAGGTAGGTACCTAGGTAGGTAGGTAGGTAGGAGGTATGTATGTGCATCATGTACCTACCCATCTATCGGGTACTTAGGTAGGTACCTACAACCCGACTACCCGTCATCCCCGCTGTCCATCAATCCGCATCACCTCATCGTGTCGCCTGTCATCATGCAGCCGTCACATCGCATAACCCTTACCCCTTCCAGCCTTATCATCCTCACATGTGCTCGGGCCTTACCCGCAGCCTCATAGCATCCGAACCGTCCCTGTTTCAAGTACAAGTAGGTTGAAGAAGCTATGACATCTTCTCTTCACGAGCAGACGGCGACGAATCACAGCACACCTCAGCACCACCTCAACACCAGCTAACACCAAGGGGACCATACGGCGACCCGCTCCGGCTCGATATATCACCATGCCTCCAGATGACTGCTCATCTACTCAGAATGATAGATGTTCTGCCTTTTCTTAAGAATATGTCAACAACACCGCCATACCCCTCGGAAACCAGACCCCCCAGTCCCTCTACAAGCCCTTAATCCCCCAATCCGAGGGGAAGAGTAGGGGTTCACGACTTGCCCGCTCAGCTCTTTCGCCCAATTCTCGCGTGCAAGCACAAATTCGTGTTTCTGCTGCTCCTCATCTAACAGAATCGATCTCTATGACGCCAGCCCCAAATCGCCAGACGGCAATAGCGGTCGCAAAAGTACCGACAGGTATGACCCATCTTGTCAAACCTCGTCTCACCCGTTCTATGGCCCATGACTCCATTGTAGTTCGCTCGTCGATCCAAGGTAGCGGTCGCGACATCCCCAGGCGCGTCGCAACCGAGCGTCCTATGCAACGGTTCCCGTGCGTCTTGGACGTAAAATAGCACGGGCTTATTCAGCGGTACAGCCTGCCTTGCGTGCTCGACACTGCTCTCCAGTCCCCGTATCAACGTGCGCTGTCTGTTTATCGGGCGCGCCGTGTACCTAGTTCGGCTCGTCGACCGGTAGCTAGGATATCGGGAAGGTATCTTATGAGGGACCGGGTATGGATCGCAGGTTAGTGGTGGCGATGGCATCAACCGACCTATCCCACACGCCAGGATCTCAAACAGCATAGGTAAGTGAGCTTTGCATTGCGGTATAATCGCGTAGGCTTAGGGACGAGGCAGTACGCAGATGCGTTCAAGCCACCGCATACCAATTCGTGATCCCCGATACCCGATTTAAGACAACCTGCTAGTCTTCAAACCCGCCGGTGTATTCCAAGACGTATATCTAGCCCTTCGAGTCGATGGTCAGGCCCTTGCCATCTTGTGTGTCCCTATGGCAGGTAGACTCATGTAAGAGAACCTTTCGAGATATCACTAAATAACATAGCGCTAGTTTAAGGCAGTCGGGCTCCTATAACACGTAACTTGGTTTCGTGCTTCTGTCTCAATGCCTTTTGGATCACTATCAACCCGGGCAAAAGGTCGCGGTCTTGCCTAGATAGAGGAACCAACAAGCACATCGGGAGCGTGTTAGTCCGGGCGAATACATATTATATGCCTATGTGTAATCATAGATCATCACTACTACTGCCTTTCGCGAGCAAACTATCTATATGCATTGAAGGGGCCATAGGATTCGAGGTGACTATGCATCAAGCCCTAACCACGGGCGCAAACAAATCAGACTAGTTCGAGAGTTTCCCTTTGTAGATACCTATTCTCCAAGGGGCTTTGCAGTGCTGCAAGTGTATGCTCGCCAGCCACAAATCTTCCCAGCAACGTTACAGCATGTATGGCAAACACGTTGAAAAGGCGTGCGTTCAGTAAGACCAAGGTTGTCCTGCCTTCCATAGTAGTATAGTCATGTGTGAGATCTGTGCTGAGGACATCGATGGAACTGGGCCACAAACCTACCTGCCGGGGGCGAACGGTGTCTGGTTGGTTACCGAGAATGGTCACGCCCCCGGGCCTCGGAACTATTTTGCGAGGAGGGTATCGGAGCAAACGATAGGGGCGCGGCTCTTATGACGGGAGCAGGAGCTGTATAGCGTCATCTTTCAGCCGTTATATCGGACACCGAGGCTAGCACCCGCACGTGTCTTATCGGCTTCACGTCGGCGTAATGGGGGGGGGGAGGAGGACACGACATTACGTCCCACGGAGACTATTAGAAGATGTCATTGCTGAGGGGAGAGAAGAACGGAAACCAGCTTTCCCATACTGGATGCTTGGGTAATAGAGTAGGCAATCTGGAGAGAGAGTGTAGCCGACTCGGCAAATGGGACTTTGTCTACCGAGCGGTGCCTGACCGCTATATACGGCACGCGAAGCGACCAGACGTCCAGGCTGGCTTATCAAGCAGCACGAGGATACGCAACCGCGACGGCACCGCGGCATAGATTTCGCATCGTAGATGGCACCAAGGCAACGGGGCTCGTCTGTCTCGTCATCGTTTGCACGGAGAAGGAGATGGCGCCTGGACGTAGCAGACTGGGATTCCCGAGCGGACGGGGGTATCTCGGCGGCATCCAGGTCTCGGCACGTCATGTGTTTACTCGAAATTGCGAGAGAGGCCGTTGCCGCGAGGCGTTGCGGGTAATATTAGCACTGGTAGTTGTCGTCGGGAGCGGGTGCGGCAAGGCCCGCAAGAGGAGAGGATCGGTCTGGAACGTGCCGGGCGAGATTTATTTGGGTTGACTTGGGTAAAATAAGCGTAAGAGGGGAAGAGAGAGACGGCGGAGAGAGAGAGGGACTAGCGGAGGGACGGAAGTGAAGAGATTAAGAGGCGACCTAAGCCAAAACACACATTTGTTAGCGCGGGGAGTGTCTCTACTTGATATCCGAGGTCAGCAACTTACCCCGACGACTCCGTCTATCCTCCTCTACGTGCGTAAACCTGCGAGGAACTGTGGGGAGACACTACACCTGCCCATGCAACATAGGTAGGCAATATACGGCGATGTTGATTGTTATTGTTGCTGGTATTACTAGATGTTTCCTACGTAGGTAAGCGGGCAGTATTCCCACGAGACGAAAATATGCGATTCCCGCATGGCCACCGGTGTAGGTAGGTAAGGTAGATTGCAGTTAATATGCCTCCGAGACTTGTTTAGTGCGGGTGTCAGTCGGGAGCGCGTTACACGTTGATATCGACACAGTTCACGCCCGCAGGTTGAGGCTACCTACTACTAGTTACGTCAAAAGGGGAGTAGGTAGCTAACTAGGTAGGTACCCACTTTCTCCCTTGCCGAGCGCCCGGGGAAACGATGGCGGACGCTGGGTGAAACAAGCAGAAACCAAACAATCGGAACTCCCGGACGGACGTCGATAGGAGGATAGAGACGCCATCGCGGCGGCGGGGTAACCTGTTGGGTGGCTTGCTTACCTACCTTGGATAGGCACCTAAGGCAGATTATCATTTGGAGACGTTAATGATTCTACGGCAGGCCTGGCGGCGAAGAAGAAATGACGTACGCGCCGGAGGTGGGTAAGCGGGCAGGTGGGCAATAATTCATCGCGGGCTCGTGCCGTCCAGCCGCGTGCGACGTGCAATGTTGCTGAGAGACAAAGAGCGAGACAGAAACACCTAGACAGACAAGAGACAGGTCTCGACGGAGGGTATAGGTATACGTTTTCTACGGATTTGATAGGCCGCCACCCTCTCCAAGTAGCACGCAGAGGTCGTATCTCAATTTCCCTCCCCCGGGCGGCGGCCCCGCGCGCGGGTCTTGAGTTCGCGGCCTGGTGCGAGGAGGAGAGGAAGAGACACCCTGCCCAGGTACCTGTAGATGTCTTTCCTAGCTTCGTTGATATCAAGCGGGCAATGTAGGTAAATACCTACCTACCTACCTACCTAGGTACCCTCGAGCTCAGGAATCTGCCGTCGCTTCCGTTATTTGGATATACGTTGCGGTACCTGGTGCGGTACCTGGTGCGCCGCGTACCACCGAAGCCAGTACCTTGCCCGATTGTAGTGTGGGCAGGTACCTAAGGTAGGGTACCTGCCTACACTATAGATCGGCATTGTCCTACCCGTCAGAGTCCATTACGTACCTTCCCTCGAACTCACATGGAACTTTCTCCAGCGCAGCTACCTCTCGGGCGCGTGTGCGCATCTATACATAGGCGTCCTATAGGTCGGCTGTTTCTCCGGCCCCACCGGGTGGGATCCGCTTTCACCGGCAGGCCAATGACCGGGCTTCCGACGCCCCGTCTCCTTTTGGTTTTGGGGGGTACCTCTCCACCGTAAATAGTATGTGGACGTACTTGCTTACTACGTTGGGGTACCTGCCTTAGGTACCTTAGCCCACTACCTTAGGTAGGCACGCACCTTAGCTAGGTAGATTGCCGGGAACGGCTCCCAAGTCCGGCCTGCTGGTCGCGTAAACTTCCCCCGTTGGCGAGTCCGTCGAGAAAACGCCTAGAATTGCCCATCTTACACCTCCAGATCTCCTCTCTTCCCTCTCCTCTTCTCTCTCTCTCTGCCCTCCCCCCTCTCGTTCTCCCTCTGCCCAGTCTGGCGAGCTGTCCGACGCCCCCCCACCTTCGCATCCCCTTCCCCATGCGTGGAACCTGGGCGGCCCCGTCTGATGTCTAAAACACAAGTCCCCGCTCTCGCCGCAAGTGCTGGCGCGTCGCTGTCGGGTTCGTAGGACATGTCAGTGGCCGGCATCGTATTCTAGTCTCTCCTCTTCCTTGGCGGTTCACACGTAACTCGTCCGTCCCCTCTAGCTTGCCTATCATCTCTCCGGTCGGCCAATTCCATCAAGAGTATGCGGAACATAGGGCTCTGATATTGGACAGCAAAGTAATCAGTGTTCGGCGAGGCCCTGCGATCGTGTCCTTGATCCTCCCACGGCCTCCCTCTCCTCTCGCCACCTATTTCTTATCCATGCGATCCTTCGTACGCCCATCTCTCGCTTCTTCGTCCATTCGTGTGCTTTTCCTTGCTAGGAACGCCATCTCTGTTGGGGGCTGACACTAGAGAGATCCTCTCTCGCTCCCACTCCAGTCTTAACATTGCTGTTCATCACTCTGCTTATTTATTTACTCATTCCCCTCTCCTCTTCATTCACATTCGCCCTCTTTTGGTGTGTCGCTGCTGTTCTTGTCCGCCTAGAATCGGCCCATTCCATCGTCCCACCTGGATCCATTGATATGCCTTGAACCTTCCTCCCTGCTCACCGACAACCGCCTTCCTCTTCTTCCATTCTCCCGTAGTTGTAACAGAGATAGGGTGAGAGAGGGAGCGAGAGTGACTTTTGGAAGACCGGCTGGCATTCCGGCCATATCGACGTCCGCGATGGCCCTGAACGTGAAGCACCTAAACTCCGACGCCTCGTTTCTCCTGTCCTTCGAGCCCATCATCCCCGAATTCTTGCAGGGTACCGTGACGCCCCGGCCTTTCACCATCCTCCTCGACCCGTGGATAACGGGCCCTTCGACCGTCTTCCACTCCAAGATCTCGATCGCGACAAACATACATCCGGCCTGCCTGTCCTCGCTCTCGGAGCTGCCGGCGCCGCCGGACCTAGTCATCATCAGCCAGAACAAGAGCGATCACTGTAATGAAGCTACGCTACGACAGCTCCCCGCCACCGGGACGGAAACGCTCATCCTAGCCGAACCGGCGGCCGCCCGCCTGATCAGGAGCTGGAAGTACTTTGACCCGCAGAAGGTCCGGACAATAGAGCGGTGGGAGGACCCGCGGGTGACGGGCAGACAATCCGTGGTGCGAGTACCAGTCCCGGCCGTGGTCCCTGGTGGCCAGGCGGGCGAGGTCACTGTCGCCTTCATTCCGCAGAAGCGTGACTTCGTGGGCCTACACGCCGCCATCGGCATCACATACCGGCCCCCGTCGACGCATAACCTGCAACTCACTATCCCTATCGTATCGAAACCGCCCTCGCCGCCGGCGACCCCGAAATCCCTCAGCAGCCCGACTAGTATCCCCCCGGCATCCCACGCAGACACCCTATCGACCGACACCCTCCGTTTGCCACCTACACCACCCGTATCCCCACGTTCCCTTCGCCCTGTCCGATCCGCAACCACCCTACTCCCGTCGCCGCCAACACGTCTAGCGCCCAGTCCCCCGCTCTCACAACCCCCCCATTCTTCCTCTTCTTCCCATGATCTCCATATTCATATTCCGCCCAACCGGCCAGCAACCTCAAGTGGCTACGGCGGCATTCCTCTTACGGCTGTGGCTGCCGCCGCCATTTCGACGCGTCCCCTCTCTGTCCTCTTCTCCCCGCACGGCATCGCGTACGCGCAACTATCGGAGTACGCAACCTCACACCTAGTGTCGGAGGCAGCGCTGCCGCTGACCGCGCTATTGCATTGCATCGACACCCTGGCGAACCCGTGGTGGCTCGGCGGGAACGTGTGCGCGGGTGCCCCCGCCGGCGCCGAGACGGCCACCCGCCTCGGCGCCCGGGTCTGGATCGGCGCCCACGACGGTATCAAGGACGTGCGTGGCCTCGGCACGAGTCTGCTACGCACGCGCCGCTTCGCGAGAGAGGAGGTCGAGAGTGCGCTCCAAAGAACGATGATGACGACGACGACGACGACGGGGCGGAATAGTTCCCACTCTCGCGAAAAGGGAGAGTGGAAAGGAGGAGAGAAGAAGCGGGCGAGTAGAGGCACGACGGGAAGCAGTACAGGGAGCAGAGGAGGAGCTGTGGGGACCGAAGTCCTGCGTCTCGGCAGCGGCGATGGGGTCCTTGTCTCCGGGACCGGCGCGCTGCGACGGTACACGAAGGAGGGCGGAGAGGAAGAGGGCGAGGACTTGTGGGCTGCCAGTAGTAATGGGGCGGGGACGAGCAAGGCTCGTCGCCGGGAGGAGTCGAAGGCGAAGCTGCACTCCGGGGAGGTACCCGAGCAGCTGAAGCCGAAGAAGTCACTCCGGGGCGGTCTCTCACTACGCTTCAAGACCACGACAGTGCCGCCAATACCAACCACGTGACGGAATATGTATCGAGGGAATTTGGGGGTGGATAGCTGGCTACTGCGTATCGCGCGGGAGTCGAGGTTGGGCTTCGCTGGGCTGGCTGGGTCTGGGTTTATACGGACCTGCCTTTTTTTTTTTTTTTGGTTACCTTGTACACAATCGTTGGCCCCCATTCGCAAACACGCCGGGGGTGCGGTGGTCCTTAGCGGCACGCGGGGACAGACGCCATGCCTGCTAGGCATGAGCGAGCAAGCAAGCAAGAGAGGAAAGGCAATGGTGGGATGGGATACAGGTACGGGCGCGGCCACAGCCGCGGCTGCGGTTCCGGGCATGGCTTAAAAGGTACGGGTAAACGGGCAAAAGGCGTACGCGATAAGCAAACTTAGCATGGGACGGACGGACAGAGAGTCATACATACATTCATACATAACATACCTTCTATGTAGGGGTGGTATGGCGCGGATGGGAAAGGTATCCGATCACCTGCGAACCCTACCACCCCGGGACCGATAGGTTGGTCCGGTCGGGGAGGTGGGAGGGTTTTATCGCGAACTTAAACATTCTTTCTTGCGTTCCTTCTATCCAACCACATTCTTTGCCCTGCTCGACGTGGTGCGCGCGTGTCTATATATGTAAGTGGTTTCAGGGCTAACCCTCATCCTATCCGACGGTCAAGAGGAGACGGGGGCTGTAAAGGCAGGGGAGGCGGTACATTCTCGTGGCAGTATGCCGTTAAGCCATGGTGCAGATGTGACGTTTTGGTATTCTATAATCGCCGTTCAGCGACGGCATACCTACTCACTGGACGAACGAGGTTAGGTTTCTAGAAGTTAGACCGCACCCAGGGAATGTGCATTTTCTTTTCAAATAAAACAGAAGCCAAGCGGAAAGGAGGGAGAAAAAAAAAAGACTTGGGAATCATGGAATACGTGAGATCCGACTCTCCACTCGTTACGTGTTGACGATCATGAAATATAGTAGCTCGGCCCGTAGCTACACACATCCCTAGCCGGGACCTGTCTATTTGCCCGTCCCTTGACACCCCTATGCAAAGGTTTACGGATGATGATATACCCACATATAGAGCCCATACATGTAATAATAATAAAAAAGCCCTCCTGTCTCTCCGTCCCTCCTCCTCCTGGCCCGGGGGTGTCGAAAACGGCCAGCGATGACGATATACCTAGGTGGATCCGCTCGCATCAATCACTTGAGCTGCTTCAGGATCTCCATGAGGAAGTCCTCGAAGCTCAGTGTGATATAACCGTCGCGGTCGTCGTCGTATTTCTTGAACACGTCCGTCATGCGCTTGAGGGAGATGCACGCTTGGACGAACAGGTCGAAGCTCATGACGCCCTCGTTGCGCTTATCGTAGGTGCGGAACAGCAGATCGACGAAGCCGGGGCTGAGACGGTACCGGAAAGCGATGAGGGCATTGCTGAACTCATCGGGGCTGATGTTGCCGCTGCGGTCGGCGTCGAAGCGGTCGAATAGCGCGCGCCACGAGGCGAGGAACGACCATAGACCGCAGAACTCCTCGAACCCGATGGTGCCGGATCGGTCGCTATCGAACATGCGTATCATCATGCGCACCGTCTGTGAGTCGAAGGCGGTCCAGTCCCCGTTTACGAGCGCAGCCGAGAGCTCCTTCTCGGAAAGCTGGCCCGTGCCTACGAGTACTTTGTTAGTGTATCCCTCCTTCATTCCGGGTGCGTGCTTCTTCGAGTTCCCCGCAATCCCCCTACTATCTCTGTATAGGACCCGCAATGTTATCGCGTAGTCAAAGCTAGACTACTGAAGGTCCTCGATAGTAGGTGTGTGCAAAAACGTGGGGCGCTTTGCTGATCGCGAGATTTGGGAGGGGTTGTGACAGACGCGACATACCGTCTTTATCGACAGCTCTGAATAGTGGCAGTAGAGTGGGGTCGGCGGCGCCATCTACAGAGCTGGGAGAGGGCGGCGGCCGACTAGACGGAGGTGGGCGATTCTGGGCCACGGGTCGCGGCCCCGATGCGGTTGGTGGTGGGGACATCGTCGACTGAAGGTTTGGCCGGTAATTCTGGTCGTAGTTGTTTCCGCCGTAACTGCCGCTATGGTTGCTGTAGCTGGGTGAATGTGGGGATGTGCTGTACCCGGTAGGGGTCAGACGTCCAGCGTCGGGGCGTCGATTTTGTGGGATAGAGTCGTGTCGAGTAGTAGGGACCGGCGGCGGCGGCTTGGAATCGTAACGAGACGATGTGGAAGATGAGTGTTTTACGCCGCCTTTCTACGACCGGAGGAAAGGTGGTGTTAGTTTCGGTGGAATGGATTCAAGGGCAACTCGTATAGATGGATGAGAGAGGGGTTCATCGGGCAGGGGGGGTAATCAGGGACGGGAGAAAAAGAGATTGGCGGCGCGTGCGTCCTTACCGGCTCAGGTTCTGCGAATCTGGTTTCAAAAGTCGGTTAGCTCTCGCTATCACGTCACCATAGAATGGGGAATGACCCGAGTTCGCGGCGATTGCACGGCAGCTAAACGGGTTCCAGAGCGTCCTTTGACAGCTCCCGCCCTCGCCTCGCACCACCGTGGCTCGGGCGCAAGGCAGCGGCGATAGCGGGGTAACCTCAACAGCACCGAACGCGCACTCACCTTGGCAGCTCATCGGGATTGTAGGGTCTGTTGTAGGCCATGGTGCTAGATAGACTTCACGGGGCGGGTGAGTTGATACCAGGCAGCGGGAGAAGAGGATTGAGAGAAGGAGGGGAAGAGATGGAGACGGTAGAGATTGCGGCGCTGGCGATGCTGGCTTGTTATATGGGACCAAGACAGCTAAGATGCGCAATCGCAGCACTGCTCTCGGGTTATGCGTCCGTTTGCAGGGGCGGAGAATGAGGATGGGCAAATTTGATGACCAGGTAAGAAATAAGCGGCAGTGCCAGTCGACCCGTCGCGTTCTCAAACAAAGAGATGAATTCTTCGGTTCAGCCGCAAAGCCGTCTGGGTCAAAAAAAAAGCCAGGGGCGATAGACTTGCGGGAAGCCAAAGGGGAGGGATAGGCAGGAGTAGTGCAAGTCCGCGAAGGATTTGGTTGGGCGGAAGCTAGGGGGAGCCGTCGTACCCGTCGTCGAGAACCAAGCCGGATTGTCTGCAGCCCTAACTGATATCGAGGGCGGATTCGCTGTTCTGTCCTGCTGGCATTGGCGGCAGACACCGAGAGAGGATCTGAACGCGGTTTCGCCTCCAATCCGGATCGCTTCGGCTCGTCGCGAGAGGGACTCGTTCTGTCGCCTGGGTATTCGGCATCCCCAGCATGGCACTAGGAGCGCGGATGACTGCGACTGTTATGGGGTAACCTGGGATGGCTGACCCCGTAAGAGCCATGAGGACGATCAAATGACCAGCCACGGCCGGCGGGGGCTGTGTACCCGTCTATCAACCCCCTTGAAGGACCCTCATAAAGGTACCTGCCCAGCCCAAGATCCCACCTATATGTAGACCAGCATACCCTGGGGGGACGCGCCGCATGAATCTTCCTTTCCTCGCTGCGGTGACCGAACGAGGCACAGCTACCGCCGGGACCAGGCCAAGGCAAACCTGTCATCATCCTCGGAGGCTGACTCACGTAGGTAGGTACCTATGCCGCTGTAGGTATATCCGAGCGACAGCCTGGAAGCAATCCAAACAAACACCTTCGGCTGACCGCATGGGACACCGCTGCGGCTCCGCTGAGTGATTGATGGGGGAACAGCTCGAGGCTCTCCTCTGCCAATTCCCGTATAGCGCTCGCCCAGGCTTTTCCTGGTCTCGCCTCGCTTTTCTTTCTTCTCCTCTGCTTTGCTTTGCTCTTCTCAGGTAGTGTTACCTACATGGCCCGTCTGTAGGTACGGTGTACTACGTAAGTGAGTATGGTAAGTGAGCGTGGCGCGGAGCGGAACACAGGGCGGTGGCAATGAAGGCGCACGCTCCCCACCGTTCGATGCTATCGACAGAAGCCTATACGGGGGGGAAGCATGCATAATCTCCGGGATAGTGGGCGTCCACTCCCGGACGCGCTCGAGGGTTCGCCGAGCTAGGAGGCGTTGGGGGAAAGAGAGAGAGGGAGAGATCACGTTTCAGTTGGGCATTTCGACATGGTTGGAGAGGGCGATGATGCTCTTAGCTTAGCAAGGCTCGAGGTCTCTTGAATAAACCTGTCCAAAGGCAAGGAAGTGCGTATGATTCAACTCGGTGATTCTCTGCCTCCTGCCAATCGGCCTCTTTTCTCCTTCAAGTACCTACCTAGGTACCAAGTAAGGCAGTGCCGAGTAGACATTACCAAACCAAAGCCTGTCGGAAGTGGCCTCTCGGAGGTGTCTACGTTGGGCAAGAATGCACATCGTAGGTACCTGCTGCTCACCCAGTCTTACCGGTAGGTATGTCCAGGTACCTACATGACCCGTTGGCAAGGATGTTCCTCAGCTTGGCTTCCCGTCGTAGAAGAGGCAGCACACGTAGGTACTGCTGGATGACAACATTTGAGGACTGTGTCGTGGTCACCCCCCTTGGGCTTCCCCGAATAATACCTCTGCGTGTGCAATACCGGAAGTGCCCTTGGTTTCGGTAGTTTCTCAAGGTAAGAATACTATTCGATATATTGCATTACCTAGCATCCCGTGTCCTCCATTTACGTACCTACCTAACCTTAGGTACCTAAGGCAGGTATGAGAGGTACGTAGACGTGCCCAACCGATTATCCGTAGGTATATTCCCTGTCTAGGTATTCATATACTCGTATTCTCTCCTCGTAACTTCGCCATTCGCAAGGGACCGAGAAGAGGACAGGTGTTTTGTTTTTGAGGCTGCAAAACCTGGCTACATACCTACATATCGCTCAGACGGTCTATCGGCATCACCATAGTAGCATCTACGCCCTCCCGTCTCGACGCATGCCACATGGCGATGTGGATAAGTCACCTGTGCAACCCGTAGAGAAGCCGGCGGTACGGCCGACAAGCGGCCTGTGACAGCCGGCACAAAGACGTCAGGCTTGGCATTATCATACCATACTATCAGCTTCCCGCCAGGCCGGCGACCGGCCCCTATCGCCTGCCCCGAGCCCACCCTTACTCACCTCTTCTCGTCGAGGCCGAGGAAGACAATCCCCGCCCCGCATCCACCGGCTGGCCACGTCTTTATACCTACCTACTTTTCATTATTATTAAGGCTGCTTATTTCTCGTGTACCTAAATCTGCACACGCTAGCGGATCGCCCGTTCGCGAGGTATTAGTTGACTTCGGTACTAGAAAGGGGGAACGCCCACACGTGGAGGTAGAGAGAGAGAGAGAGAGAAGAATAAATAGGTACCTGCGGAGCCGATGGCAGCCAACGGCGCGACGCCAGAGAAGGACGAGTTCTGGATATTCGGCTACGGGTGCGTTGGTTCATACACCGAACGAAACTTAACCCCAGCTCATCACCTCCCCTTTCCCTCCTTGCCCCATATGCCTCCCGCCTAAGCCCAAGTACTCATAGAGAGAGACAGGAGCCTCATATGGAAACCCCCGCCACACTACGGTGAGAGCATCCGCATCGGCCCTGCCCTTTCGTCGGGTGCGCGCCCCGGGATCTCTGGTACTGAACTCGGCTCGATTAGACCAAAGAATACCCGGCTGGGTCACGGGCTATGTTAGGCGGTTCTGGCAGGTATGTCTCCTGGTGCCGGTTCTCCCCCACCATTGCGAGATGTCAGACGATAAGCTTACACATATTTTCAGGCAAGGTGAATTCCCCCCGTGTCCCTTGATTTAACTTCCCCTTTTTCTCGCGTGAACGGATATGAGAGGGGTTCGGGGGGTTAAGGGTTCGGGGGGTGGAGGCAAGCCAAGCCGAACCCGGACCCTAATCCGATATTCCCACCCACAACCCCCACGGAGCCGCCTGCCATAGCAGCTGTTCTAACCTTGACCACCGCCCGACCAGTCAGGACCACCGCGGCACGCCCGACGCGCCGGGCCGCGTCGTCACGCTGATCGAGCGGTCGTTCTGGGCCTCGCTCGCCGACGCGCACGACTCGGCGCCGGAGCGGGTCTGGGGCACCGCGTACCGGATCCGGCCCGACAAGGTCGCCGAGGTGCGCGAGTACCTCGACATCCGCGAGATCAACGGCTACTCCATCCACTACACCCCCTTCCACCCGGCTGCTGGCGACGTCGGCTCCCGCCTCCCCGGCCCCATCCGCACCCTCGTCTACATCGGCACTCCCGAAAACGACCAGTTCGTCGGCCCCCAGGACCCCCAGGCCCTCGCCGAACACATCTACGTCAGCGAGGGGCCTAGCGGGCTCAACCGCGACTACCGTGAGTAACTTCGCTTCATATTTGCCTCTTCTTTTCCTTTCACTTCTCTGTCTCCATCTATTCCCCTTTCCCTTCCAACCCCACCACAGTGTAGATCCTCCCTCCCTCCCCCCCCTTCCACGACACACTCTCTTCCGGACAAAGGAAACGAGGCGAAAGGAGGGAATACCTGCGAACATCCAAACCGCTGACACCCCTGGTGTGTGGGGGAACCTCCCCCCCTCTCAAAAAATTAACAATAAAAAGTCCTCAGCCTCGAACGCGCGCTCGACGAGCTGAGCCCTGACAGCGGCGACGTCCACGTCACCGACCTGTCCGTTCGCGTCCGCCAGATCGACCGCGAGCACCGCGAGGGCCTGCGTCCCGCGGGGCCCCGCCACCCTCCGGTCCCGCACGAGTTCCGGCGCGCCGGCAGCGTCGACGAGCAGGAGGAGACCGAGAAGGCGTAACCCGACGTCGCCTGCGTGTGCTTCGATGGAGCCCGGACGGTGGTGGCTGAGACGATTTGGGGGCATCGGGGATGGGAAAAGAGAGCGCAGAGGCAAGAGGTTGTGTCGCTCGCTGACGCTGAGTGGGCGGCTTGCCTATGCCCGATGCGTGACCGTATGCGTGAGCACGGCATGAGAGAGGCAGAGGTAGAAAACAGGAGGAGAGGGGAAAAAGGTAACAGCCTGACACATACCCACGTTGATGTGGATTCCTTGACTCGAATTTATCATACCTGGTATCTTCCCACCTTCACCAACCATTTTCTGCTCCGATGCCCATTGCGTTGCCGTGAATCACTCGTTGTAGGGGCTTCCTCATGCTTTAAGCTTATTTTTATATTTGTAAGAAATGCCGTGGCAAAAACTGCCACGTAAGTAATGTATGTACGTGAAATGTACGTGTTCCTCAATGGAATTGACCTCACTTCTCTCCCGGGAGGTCCCCATGCCGCCGTTTTTTTTGGGTTTAAATCGTCTCCGCTCCCCCATTTTAACCTTCCTGTTTTCATAAGGTCGTCAAAAAAAAAGATAAAAGATCGTAATGTACCCTTTCACGTAGGCCGTTGAAAAAGATAGAAAAGAAAGTCATGAAACACACAAAAGGGGGGGAATATGGCCGGGGCCATACAGGAACGCATATTGTAAATGTACGCGCGAGCCGTCGGAGGACAGGGAACCGAACGAGCGTATATATGTATACACATATGTATGAAGTGGAGTCTCCTTCGCATAGCCCCACGAGCTGGTCGGGTTTGGGAAGAAGGGTAAGAATCGTTTTATAGATACAGATAACAAGGCGGCCGGGCCGTTGACTGGGGGGAGAAGGCGGCGGCGTGATACAGCAAGGGCATGGCCGTGCTAAACCGGGGCTGGCCGCCTGAGGTCGATATCGTTGGGTAGATTGCCGATGAAGCCATCCCCTTTTGACTTTGGGGGTGCGCCAACACCTTGCGGCCATCTGTTGGCTTTCTGGATGCCTTCAGGGTATTCTGTCTTTAGTACGGTGGCTGCCCCTGGTACGGCGGCTGCTGCTGCGGGTTGGGGGCTTGTTGGCCCCCTTGCTGCTGGTCTGGGTAGCCGTAAGGCGCGTATCCTGTAACGGCTTATATTAGCCTGGACCCTTGGATCTGATAGCTGGAAAGTCGTCCTCACCTTGAGGCGGGGGTGTCCCGTAGGCCGCCTGCGGCGGGTATCCTCCGCGTCCGTAAGCCACTGGTTGATACATCGCAGGATTCGGCATCCCGTATGGGATCGGTTGCCCAGCGGCATATGGCATTTGAGGCTGTCCATACCCACCTCTTGGCGGGTACGTGCCACCCCGGCCACCGGAACCACCACTTCGAGGGCCGGTATCAGATGCCTTGTCGACACGAATAGTCCGTCCATCGAATCTATTTTTTATTAGAAAATATCTCAAGGGAGGCGGGGTTGGCCTACTCAATATTGTTCATGCTGGTAATTGCGTTCTGCGCATCCGCCTCGTTCACATATCGAACAAATCCAAAGCCCCTACTGCGGCCCGTATCGCGATCTTTGACGACAACCTAGCGCATAAGGCAAAATTAGCTTCAAGGATCCACCCGAAACGCAGTGACTTGTAGTTCTCCAACTGAGAAAAGAAGAAGCCGATAGCGCATACGAAGGTTCGTTAGGCTACGTACCGCTTCTTCGACTGGGCCGAATTCTTCGAACTTCTGCCGTAGAGTGGCATCTTCAGTGTGCCACGCGAGTCCGCTAGGTAAGTGAAAGAGGAATCAGATTAGCCAGGTGAGCGACAAGCGAGAGGAACGAGCCGTGTCTTACCCAATGAACAACTTGGACATTGTTGCTGGAATGATGGTTTCCTGTGAAACTGATGTGGAGTGTTAACGATGGAGCACGATATTTGGGCTACCACTAGGTAGGTATCGCTAGGTTCCACTCGCTGACTAGCAGGGATCGGCGTCGACAGCCTCACTCTTTCGCGATGTTTATATGGGGAATCAAAATACGAACATTGCTTGCGAGAAAAGCCAAGCAGCAGTTGTGAGCCTTGGTAGTACCGCACTATCGAGTCGTAAAATCGTCGTAGATTGCTAATGATCGGAGCCCGTCGTCTATATATACCAGATCGAGGATGCCAAGGAAGAGGCTGGATTTACGTAGGGCGGCAGGTATAGCTATCGCCTGCGTATAAGTGCAAAGAGGAAACAAGGCTTGATGCAGTAGAGACGGCGGGGGTTGACGGTGTGTATGCCTTCAAAAGTAAATGACCAAACAAGGGTAGCTTATATCGAGTATGCTGAGGCCACTCTCGTAACTAAATAGATCGGTATCGGTAATCCGGAATGAGGAACGGGAGGGATGTATGCCTTCGATCCTGCCTGGTCTTATATAGCGCCTTCGACTCGTCCTAGGCGGACTTAGACCCGCGGCCTGGATAGGGAAACATCCACCCTCAGCGTATAGGCCGTAGCCGTTGGCAGGTATTGGTAGAAAAGAGGGAGCCGGCAGGGTTGTCTCCAAAACAAGCATCAAACAGAGGAGGTGGAAGTTACCTTGATCTGTTCTGGGGAGACAGCATGAGACTCCACGCGGCACAAACCGCATGTGCCAGACGAGTTGCTAAGACGGCCCCATCCTGAAGTGGAATGAATGCTCTCTAGCGACGTTCTTCCGGTCCGCGCAGCCCGAGGTGCCGAGCTGGTGGCTACAAGGCGGTGGGAGCGGATGTGGCCTAGCTTCCAGAACGATGTGCGAAGAGCCTACTTCGACGACACCATAGCTCCGTGTCCGCCTCTTTTTGCCGGGTGTGGCCGATCGCAGCTGTCAGAGGTCTCACATTCGGTGCGTGAAGTAGTGACCATCGGATACCCACAGTTTCGTGATCCCTGCCTGTAGCTAAAAAAAGATCATCGCAGTCCGTTCGCCGCTCACCCTCAGCCTAGCTCTCCTCGAGTCCTGTGCAAGATTTGCTGGAGACGTAGCTAACGAGCCCTAAATAGCTGTAACACGCGCAATAGCACGAGGGAAAATGTTAGCACAGTCGCGCAAGGGTAGCCCCTTATAAACTGGGCGTCCGTGATCTGCCTTTAGGCCACAGCTTGTCGACTCAAAGCGGCAAGGCTTGTTCGCTTGGTCGGGTAATGCGGGAGGGATGTATGCACTAAACAACGCTGCCCCTCCGTGCTCCTGGCATGCCTACCCGCAGCACGGAGCTAGCTCGTCAAGACCCTGTGCCGTTGGTGTTGAGAATCGCCAACAAGAAGGGCCAGATCTGTCCGCGGTGGAGGCGTCTGCGCGACGTCTATGTCTTGGAGTCCATAGCTGTGAGGCCATGCGATGCAACATACCAGAGAGCCTAGCCTAGCAGCATCGAAAACCTGGTAAGATGCGAGACAGACAAGGGTGCCGGTGTGCTACATCTAGTCGCTGATGGGAATGAAACGTCGACATCTAAATACAGTGGGCGGGGGCAACACGCTACAGAAACCTCATTCGCTCTTGATATCTTTCCCGCCATTTCTTGATAAGTGTAGCCAAGTATGCCGCACGCGAAGGGCGCGGCATCACGCACCGGACTGCTTCGCCGTATCGGACTTCATAAGTTGGGCATGGCTGGTCTGAGCCACGCGCTTTCCGGTCGAGTCTAGATCATTGGGCGACACTACTACTCTAATCGTTCATGCGGGGGGTTTTTTTTGTGGTCAAATCTTGGCTCTAGAATTCCAAATGTAGGAACCTCCATTCTAGTTTCGCGCCCTAGAGCCACCATGTGATAGAGTCTTCGGATAATCGAACCTGGCTATACTGGGGGCCGAGGGGGTTGTCCGCGGGGGGGGGGGAGCTGGCTAGGGATGCCAGGGTGTAATTGTGATGTGGCGGGTCCCGCAAAGATACATAGACTTGCTCCGGCTGGTTGTGACCGAGGAGAAGGACGATGGGGACTCCTGCGAGCGATACTGTCGACTCGGGTAGCCAATACGGATACCAGACTTCAGTTACACCGAATAGGGACCCGACAGCTTAGGTCGGCTAGGATTCGATACATGATGCGTTCCGCGAACCCCAAGGCTTGTCGACTAGGGTGTGACGTCGTATGGACGGCCGTGGAGGTCGCAGTCGATCACCACCTACATACATGTAGACAGGTAAATAATGGGGCATCTGCCGAATCCACTCGGGACGATCATGTCGACGTTCTACTTGCATCCGTCCATGTAGGTACATGTAAGTACATGCAGAATGCGTAGGGCTGTGGCTTTCGAGAAGAATCGAATCCTTCGCATGCCGGCTCAAATATTCGGAGTCTCGTGAGTTTTAGTAGGCATTGCTGGGTAGCCGCCATGAGCGGTGGTGAAACGGCTCGAGTGTTGGTTAGGCGGCGAAGAAGGGAGTAAGCTGGCGCGGCCACGGACGACATCGAGCTGAGCTCGAATTCAACTCGACTCGGACGACGGACGGCCTCGGACGACGGACGGCAACGGACAGGCGCACGCACACATCCACCCAATGGACGAGTCTATGCGCATGCAGGCGAGGGAGGTAAGGAGGTGGGAGGGCGAGGTGGGAGGGTGAGGTGAGGTGGGGTATGTGGGAGGCGGGGAGCGGGAGGCACTCACGGCAAGTCCTTTTTCAGTGTCTGCGTAACTTGGAGTCAGACGACGGCGACGGGGGAGGTTGGTATGCGCCATCCCGTCGAGCCTCCAGGCGTCTGACGGCCTTGGCAGGATGGAGAGTCACTCGGTGACTACGGAGTTGGTAAGCACACAAGATGTGTGTGGTCAAGATGTCGTGTGGATGTTCGACACAGATCAGCTGCAAGCCACAGCAGCGAGCCAACTGACAGTGCTGCTAGGGAAGCCAATTGGGCGGTGGTAGTGTTGCAACAACTCCCCTAGCCAGGGGCTATCAGGGGCTGTTCTTGGCATAGGTTCTGTGACGTCTTGGGATTGAAGCTTGGCTTGAGCAATGCACGCAAGGCGCGCCAACCTGGGAAAGGTAGGTGGATGCGGCTCTTACACCAACTACCTGCCTACGGATACTACCTCGTTGGAACTTGGGGCGGGCGGCGACCCCAAGACGCCTGCTATGCCACCTACCTGTCCTTTAAGGTCCGAAGGGGTTACCTACGTGGCAGTGGTGATGGCATTCCACTAGGCGGTTAATACCTAAGGCTTGGGAGTTGGATGATAGCCGCATACTAGGTACGTCAGGCACCTGCCTAGACATACCTACACCCACTACCACAGGTACCTAAAAACCCGAGGTACTTATCCACGTAGGTATAAGAGTTCCGCTGCGTTGGCGCCTCCTGATATACCTACCTTAGGTACTATTCGCGGGTGCCTTAGATGCCTTAGGAATCTACCTAGGTAGGTATCTGGGTAGGGAGTTCCAGGTAGGTAGGTAGGTTGGGCGCGGTTAGATACCTAACAGCCTCGGGCAGGAACCGCAGCCCAGGCGTCTACATAGGTACCTACCTAGGTTAGTGTCTTGAGAACCTTAGGCTGGGGGTCCATATGCCGAGGTCGGTAGAGGTAGTCCCTATGGTACCTAGGTAGGTATGTTGCCGAAGTACGCGCCCGAGTTCGAATGAAGGCAGCTGAATTAGGTACCTAGGGCAGGCACATCATGATCTAGAGGGGAGAGTCCCCGGCTCAGCTAGCTCACAATCTAATTATAGATGTCTGCACATCGAGAACGTCTCATTAACGGGCGATCTGGCACTATAGCGTCTTGGTTAGAAGCCCCCTATCTGCGCAGTAGACACACTTTTCTCAGCAGCAGGCTCCAGGAGTCTACGGCCCGCCGGACTCCAGACTCCAGACGTGGACGTGGGTAAAACGGCCACCTCCACGCAGGTGCTGAGGCTAATGCATTAGGTACCTAGGTAGGTGCATACGCGGGTGAAGTGCTAAGAGGCGCTTTAGGGGTGTCTTGGTATACCTACTCATAGGTAGAGGTATACATATATGTACCTCCTATAGAAAGTATTATATAGGTAGGCACCCACCCCTACCTTCCGCTCCCGCATCCCTGAGTCCGCTCACATGCAGGGGGTAGGTACCTAAGGCAGGCATCGTAAATACCACGTCAAGTAAGTACCTTACCCACCCGCAAGCCGCAGGAAGGCATACCAAGGGGATGGGACGTCAGGCAGGTACAAAGAGAGACGAGGTACCTACGGTGCCTCCTTAACTCCCCCCTAACCCCCTTCGCAGGTCGCTATTGATACCTACCTCATATTCGGGGCCTGTTCCATATTTGGAAGGCCCCATCCGACGTCAGGACCGCCTTCCATCTAGGTATCTCGCATACCGCTGCAACCTGGAAGATCACACGAACACGCCTTCCATACTTCCTCTCCTATAGCCACCTCGTCCTGGCTGCCTCCATGTAGAGTGAGTGCATGCATGCCACTTGGCTTATTAATCCGGTTGAACATCGACTGTGCACGTTATGCGTGGATGCACTAAGCCTTACCTCAGGCACCTCACCTGGCCACCATGGCACTGAGGATTCGATACCCGGCCAATTTCGCTTTGTACCGACGACGACTTCAACCCTGTTCCACGCCGCCACGTTCTGTCTCGTCTCGTCCCGCCTAAACTTGCTCTCTTGCTCCTCTTGCTGCGAATAAGATTTGTCAACGCTGTCGGGCTGAGCCACCAGTCGTGCGTAGCCCTACCTTTGCTTCGTCTCAGGAGCTTCTTGCCGTTTCAACCCCGCCCCGAGATGGGCCATTGGAAAGCCGCTCCGACCTCGCCAACGTCATATCGCGCATCCCCATCGCCGCTATAACCAACCGCATGTCCAGGAGAACTCCCGCGAGATGCCGCACGGCCGGAAGGCCAAGCCTGAAACATCGACCCAAATCTCTCGGAGACGCGTTTAACCCCGTAGGGGCAAACAAAACATCACAGCCGCCGGCCTGCCATGATCTCGTCGAAAGCTGGTTAGAGCATATCGCAGGCCAGGATCGTCGCCCAGGAGAGGTGATAGGTCGCTCTCCCTCGCCCGAGTCGCGTCATGCGGCATCCCCGTACGATAGACGCTCTAGACATGCAGAGCCGAGATGGAGCTCTCGACACGCCTTTCCCATCCGTGACCTTCGTCAATCTAGATCTCCAATACGGGGGTCGTGTTTAGGGAATCCTGGAAACCGTACGCGCAGGCGGCCTGCTCCCAGCGACAGCTCGTTCATTAGTGGTTTCGAAAATTACTCACAGCCTCCTCCCCGCGGTCCTGGACCTGCCCAACGAAGCTATGGAAACATTTCGCCAGCCGGGCAACTAGGCGACTCGGGCCTAGACGCTTCGTCCGTCGCGTCACCTGTAGACAACGCCGAGAACTTCGAAAAGAGGCCAAGGCGCAAAACAAGAGAGGACAGGTATGAATTGGGGAAGGGAAGGAAGCGACGGCGTCGTGAACGGGAGAGTGCCAAAGGCCGCGACGACTGCCGAGGGAAAAGGCGCAAACGGTCCCAGAAGAAACAGATGATGTCCAGTAAGGATGTAGTGAAGAACTTTACCTCTGATGCCGTTCTCCACGACCGTATCACAGTAGGGAAATCCAGACATCCCAGAGCTGGTCCCGTCCTAACTTGTGTTTAGGTTCCGCCGCACCTTAAACCTGGTCTTTTCGAAAATGGGCGGACGTCCAAGAAACAACCCCGTAGGTTGATAACGAAGTTATTGGGGTGAATGCGTCTAATAGCGAGTAGTGTCCGATCTAGCTTTCTCTGGAATGCAGTTTCTCAAGCACCCAGAAGGAAACCTGCGGCTGAAATCGTTATCAAGATCTCGCTTGCAGGAAAAACGGAGGGAGGGTCGTGAAATGGAACAAGTTTCTTCCTTTTTCCTACCACTTAGAGCCACCGAAAATACTCGCCGGCCGCGGTCTCGCGAGCATGACACCCCCGGTGGTTCCTCAAGCCCCCAATGCCAGCCCATGCACTACAAGTGTCATTATAGTCCATCGTCTTCTGACCGGCGGGAGACTTTTGAACGCCATCACCCTCTCCAGGCCTATCGCGACCAGTCCATGGGCGCCCCTAGCTTGCGCTCTCGTCGATCCATTGACGGAGAGAAAACGTCGCGCCGAAATACCACTTGTTTTACATGGTCCAACAGTCGCAGAACGCCCCTAGAGAACGAAGACGAGCTAAGTTCGCGACAATCGGATTCGGCGTGGACAACAACCCCCGAACCAATCAGAAAGGATATAATAGCGACAGGCATATACCAGAACACCGGAATCCCCTTATATGATGGCCGGCTAGGTGGGAGAGGTACAGGAAGAATGGATACCGACAATAAAAAGCCCGACACTTATTTGACAGGGCAAGGAGGTGGCCGACGTCAACCAGACAACACGCCCCATAGCTATCCAAAGGTGAAGTACAAAGATCAAGCCGTAATGACCGACGACCGTTTGAAACACATGGAGCAGGCTAAGGAGCGGATTCATTCTCCCGAACGCGGACTTGAACGTGAAGTTCTATCTTCGCCCGGGTTTCGTACCACGAAGGAAAGCCAGGTAGCTAGGAACCGAGATGGCTCGAACCTACAATCACCTCACATTAATCAAGAAGTTGGCGGCTTGCGTCTTGTTGGGGAAGTCCACGCTAGACCCGTGGTAGTCGGCAGCCCGAAGCGCAGTGCTCAGGTCCAGAACAAGCCAAGCGTCGAAGCCATTGTTGGGTGTCAAGGTCGCGCAGAAGTGTCAAAGGAGCCGGCCGCGAACCCGGTGATACCGGACCAAGAGCTGGATGAGCGCATCTCAGTAGCATCCAAAGACGCAATGCCACCTCCTCCGGTCCCACCAGGTAGAAACAACTCGGTCGCGACGGCTCGTGGAAACGGAGGAGAAACTGGTCAGTGCAGCCAAAATCGTCATTCAGCTAACGCGACATTGAAAGTCCAGTCAGCTCCTGATGGAGTGGGTCACGATAATACAGCGCAATATGACCAGGAAACAGATCAAGATTGTAACACGGATGCTCCCGTATCCGAACGTGCCAATGCTACCAAACAAACACTGCCGTCCCTCAGCACCGCCTCATGGATACCCCACAGAACACCATCAGCGCAGATAATGGAAATGCGAAGACTCCCGTCCGGGCAGGGTGTGAAATCGCCAATCCACGTAGATCAACTAGAAGAAAAGTTAAGCGAAATCTCACGAGGGAGAGCGACGTCATCAACCCCACTGGCTTCTCAGTGTATGACTGAATCCAGTGCCAGGTTGGGAGGTGAGTCGCCGTCACGGTCTCCTCCGAGCGATTACGAGCCCCCTCGCTCGGAATCACGCTCGGACAAAGCAGCGTTGGATTGCCATTCCATTTATGGGACGCCCAACGATCAACGCCCGGCGTATGGGATGGACGAGGAGACGGCGCCTAGCTCTATACGCGACCTACATATTGAGCACCCCGGTTTGCGAGGCTGGGGGGCGAGCCATCGACGTACGGGACACGTTCGCACCAATGCCTGCTGCCATAAGTTTGAGACAAGCACTCCTGGGGTCGGCATGATGCGACTGCCGGAGGACCCCGAAGAAGAGCGCAGTGAGATGTTGAGCTTCTGGCGTCCGAATCGATTCTTGCGATTCTAACATAATTATACATGGTACTAAATTACCTAGGTAGCGGATGCTGAGATAGATATGTATATGTGGTGACCTCTAGGATTGTCTTGTTTTCATTTAGGTATTTAACGAAAGGTGACAAATGTCTAGGAAGAGACTAGGCTTAAAGCCGCGACCCGTTAAGCTCGGGGAAAACGGCAGAGTAACGATCATGGGGCGGATGTCACACTTCGATACTAGCCCCGGAGACACCGGTGCCTCCCGTCTGAATCGCGTCGACGCGTCAACAGACATGCCCATTAGTATGGCATAGCTAGCAGGTCTCAAACATGACTCGCTGTCCACCCGGCCTCTTACGATACAGAACCCGTTCCCGTTAGTCCTGGCGATACCCAGGAGTATCCTGGTAGATAGCCACCGGTGACAGTAAGCGGCCTGGGATGCGGTACTAGATTCTCGTCCGTCCATCTTTATATATCTCATCGTTGGGGCCTATATCTCGTTGGTGTGATTTTTTATTGTTCCTTTTCCTGGGCATCGTCACTACCACCGCCGCCCAATTCGGGCTCCTGGTGCTGCCACTTATCCAGCACGCTCTGCACGTATATGTCGCACTTCCGGGCCTTGTCGAGGATGGCCCGCGCCTTGCCGACGACGGGGGCGTCGACCATCTTGCCGTCGAGGGTCCAGGCGCCGTGGCCGGCGGCGGCGGCCTTTTCGTTGGCGATGACGACGCGGGCGGCCCACTCGACCTCGGAGTCCAGCGGGGAGAAGAAGCGCTGGACGGTCTCGAGCTGCAGCGGGTGGATGCACTGCTTGCCGTTGAAGCCGAGGGAGCGGCCGTTGAGGCACTCCTCCTCGAGGCGGGCGAGGGCGGTGCGCTCGCCCCGCGCCTCGGCCTCGGGGTCTTCGACGTAGGAGGTGCAGACGAGGTCGATGGCGCTCGGCAAGCCGGCGGCGCGGGCGTTGGTGACGATGGCGCAGCGCGCGTACAGCTGCTCGAGGAGGTGCGGGGTGCGCGTCAGGGAGAGGTCGAGGGCGAAGTCCTCGGCGGCGTAGATGAGGCCGCTGAGGTAGGGGGTGGCGTTGCAGATGGCGGGCAGGTTGGTGATGCCGCGGGCGGACTCGATGATGGCGAGGAGCCGGATGGGGTCGCGCTGGGGGGCGCCGTCGCCGCCGTCGCCGTCCCAGAGGAGCCTCTGGCGGTGGGGGACCAGCTGGCGGAGGACGTTGGAGACGAAGGTCAGGTCGGCGGGGTGCTCGACCTTGGGGACGACGACGGCGTCGAGGGCGAGCTGCGGGGCGATGTTGATGAGGTCGTTGAGCGCGTGCGGCGACGACACCGAGTTGATGCGCACGGCGATCTCGCCGATCTGGCGGGGCACGTATCGGTGTATGTAGCCCGGCACGCCGATGCTCCGCAGGTGGTCGCGCACCCTGTCGCGGGCGGGGACCTTCTCGGCCGCGGTCACCGAGTCCTCGAGGTCGTAGGTCACATTGTCGGCGACGACGTTCAGCGACGCGAGAATCTTGCGCTTCGACGAGCCCGGGACGTAGAGCATCGAGCGCCGGAGGATGGAGCTCGATTTCGTCGCCAGGGAGCCCGATTTCGTCGCCATTGACGCGGTTAGGTACGCAAGCACCTAGGGTACCGGGCCTACACAGGTGGGTGAATTGGCGCAATGCTAATGAGAACTCAAGATAGGGGGCATCAGGCGAGGGCCTGCGGGTTGCTCAAGTCCCCCCTGGCTTGGCTGGCTGTCTTCTGTTGTTTTGTCGCGGTCCTCGATCTACGACGTCATTTGCTGGAATCTCCCAGTTGGGGCAGGTGCCGAGGGAATAGGCGGGGAAAACGGCAGGTGGGGGACGTTGGTATAGCGCAATCGCGCACAGACCAGCTGGACGGCTCAGGGGCAGCCCCTATAACCACAGTCGGTGTCTACAGAAGAAAGGGGGACACTCGACCGATCTTCCCAAGCTCAACGACAACAACAACAACGGCGCACAGCTCCTTGCCGCTCTCGTATTAACGCTACGAGATATTTGTTAACACTATGCACACATCTCCCTTTTGAATGAGTAGAAAAGTCTTGACTGGAGGACGGGCGCCCGCATTACCTAGGCGGTCGGTATAGATTGGTCGTACCTATCCTCGGCTGACACAGGACGACCACCTCTTCTCTTTATTTTCATGATAGGTATACTCAGCATATTCGGGGCAACCTCGCTTCACCATACAAAACCGAGATATCTATGCCGTTTTCGCAACTAGGTGATATTTCCTCACTTCAACACCGGCATCGACGAGCAGCGGGATGATATCAGATAGCTTCCATGGCACCAGCCATTCTTTCATTAATTGCTACCTGGCCTGATTGGAACCGTCCGCGATGCTATACAAGACACACTGTTCAATCCCCATTAAAGCCCCCGGAAGGTATATCTTTCTATTGTTACCCGCTAAATTCCGACCCCCTATGGCTTACATGCATCGTAGGCTGGGCACTTTTGTAAAGTTTGTAAAGCTCTACGGCGGCCGCCCAGAGAGATACTGACCGCACGCAAATTTAAGGGTTAGCAAATTACGGGTATATCTCTTCTTCCCAGGCCTGGACACCCCTTCTCGTGGCTGTGGGCACATTGCCTTGCTATCCGGGCCTTGGGCGGCAATGTAGTTGCCAACCTCAATACCAGGTCTATCAGCACGAGAAGTCGAAGATCTAGTCGGCTCTCCGACATCTGCCACTTCGGCTTCCCGAAGGGCCCATCATCACCTCGCCACCTGGTCTCCAGGCTGCCTCTTGCGCAAGAGCCGTTGGTCCTTATCACCGCCAAGAGTTGGAGAATGGTTAATATCCTGCAGTCCCGCCACGACCCCTACGTAGTCGCCGACGCGGAACGGGCGGCTACCTAATGACATGGGTCGCCGGGTTAGCAGCAGCGCCTAACAGGCCTATGCTCATTCACATAGGAGATGGCCGGCCTTGGTACCCCAACAGATGGTCAGACACCATTGTCAGGCGTGCCGAAGTTCTGGGCAGAGAAGCTCGAAGGAGTGGATGGTCCAGGGATCTTAGGGGGCTCGCCATTAATATATCCCGCCGCAACGCGTGCCAGCCTCTAGCCGGCGTAGTGTGCCCAGTAGCCAAAGTTCGATCTCCAGGTAAATAGAGTGCACACTGAAGTGCTCCAGGCCTCGCCACCATCGCCACCATCGTCATGGTCCCAGGGGGGGTTGATATGCCACTTAGCATCCAAACAGATCCATGTACGCAAAGATGATGAATGGGCAATGTCGTCCTGTTGTGGAGCGAGCTTATCACGCACGGCAGTTTCTTGTCCTCCCATCCTCGGCGAGAAGAAAATTCTGTCGAAACACTTTTCGTTAGTAGGTTGATAAGACAATTGTCGTCTCGAGTCCCAGTTGTATTGAGCCTTGCCATGGTTGCGGCGACAGCAAGGCAGGAGAGGCGTGGAGCTGGCCTAGGGTATCACGGCGGATGAATACATCACCGACTTGAAGGATTGGGTTCGGTGTCGGCGTGTGACGTGCGCGAGACCCATTTACGGTGTTCGGTCCTACTCCTCTGGCCTCAAGTCGGCGCTTCTGACCACCCGCCGGGGGGCTCGACCACCCATCATAAGCTACCATACAACGTCAGGATAGCTACCAAGACAGCTCCGAAATAAGGTAGCTTAATTTGTCTAAGCTCCGTGTCCGTGCCGTACGGCATGTGATATGGTCTAGATCCCCTATTCGGCCACATTCGGTCACTTCGTCGTTGACAGCCTTATGCCGCCAAGCGGGAGCAGAGCTGGTTACAGATATCACCCCAAACATGCGAACGTTGCAGGATGCGAAAGAGTCCTAGGCGGCAGCCTGATAGCCGGTTCTCGAGGCTTGCAAGGGGCCGCTCGACGCGAGCCGACTAGCCCCTTGTATGACGGCCTCCGTAGCCTCTACGAGCCTCGACGGAGACTCTCATCCCATGATGGCGCCTAGATCCAACCACCATCGGATGCGGCTCCCTATACACATAAGCACCTCATCCCAACGGCTTATGTCATTTGATGAATGATATCTCGAAATAGCACTTCCTCTCTTCGCAGTACACCTACCTTGGTATAGTTAGGCGTCCGAAAAAGGTTGATGCGATGTGACGCTGGATCTATTTCTGGCAACATCGCTTTTTCCCGGAGCAAGCCTTCGGGGCAAGCTATATCATAACCCGTTGAAGCAAAGAGGGTTTGGCACCAACAGTCGATGGAATGGCGCGACCTCAGCTGTAGGGCCCAGTGGTGCTAGAATCCTCTCTGCCTACGCCATCCCGCGCCGGCAGCCTCCCCGGGGGTTCTCTTTTCGGAGCGGGAGAGCTGTCCTCGCGCCGCCGCTTTGGACGCCAAAAGGCCTGCCCAGAATTCCGTCATGACAACCTAGCCCACGCCCCCTCTGCGTGTAGTTACACCTGCCGCGCCCGTCATCCCGATCCCCCCTTGCCCAACGACAGCTGTCTCGACACCTAGCCGCGATGTTCCTGGAGAGCGCGGACACTCGGGTCACCCCTATCGAATAGATTACCCGCTGCAAGTGTCGACATAAGCGAGATTTCCTGGGAACTTGGGTCGAGAGTCCGTTCTAGAAGTTGGAGTTTCCAAAAATAGGGAATCTCGAGCTGTCGACGGCCGGCGCGGTTGCTGGGAATGGTCCCCTTCTCGCACCCCTGGACTCCGTTCTCGACGGCGGAGAGCTGCCCGCAGCCGCCCCAACCTCCGTCTTCTTGGGGACGCCTCTCCGCGCAGAGTCACAAAAATACGCCATCTCGCTTCTCCTGCGCTTTTCGCGCGTCTCATTTCCCAGCCAGCTACCTAGGCAAGCGATCGGCGAAATTTAATTGAACAGAAGATGTCCTCTCGCGGGTGTGGTTCGCAGGTGGTTCGGTAGGTGGGAGGACGCGACCCGGTTAAAGTCTCCTTGCCCCCCGGGTATATTGTGTTATCTGAGGCCTAGTCGCGCCGCGGGCCTAATATATCGATATTAACAATAAATGAAGCCAACCACGTTTCCGGCAAGCAGGCTAGGCTCTTATCTTCCGCGGAAGGTGAGCTGGGGGTGGGACGGGCAGCTCACGGGCTCTTCTATATAAACGCGGGCGGCGACAGATGACGATCGAGGCTGTTTTGAGCAGAAGACGAGCCGACCAGAGATCATCGCATCACACGTTTGCAGACCAGAACTTCAAAGAACTTCTTCCTCGCGATCTCCTAACTACGCATTACCCGCCTCATCCACAATGCAGCGCGTCGGCCTTACCGCCATCGCCCTCGCGGCGCTAGTTTCGGCTGCCCCCATCACCGAGCCCGCCGACGCGATCCAGGCTCGGCAGTTCTCCTGGACCGACCCGAGCACCTGGCTCCAGCCGGGCGGCGATCGGCCCCCCATCACCATCATCCTGCCCCCCGTCACGGGGCCCCTTAAGCCGTCGACCAAGCGACAAGAAGGCATCTTCCTGCCCCCCATCACCGGCGGCCTCGAGCCGTCGACCAAGAAGGAGAAGCGCCAGGACTTCATCCTGTTCCCGCCGGTGACGGGCGAGCTGAAGCCGTCGACCAAGAAGCGCCAGGAGGACAAGATCGGCGTCGGGATCGGGACGCCGGACCCGGTCAAGGCGCACATCATCGCGCTCGAGCTCGAGTACGAGGCGCTGCTGCAGAACTTCGGCGCGCGGCCCCCGCGCCCCGTGGCCGAGCGCCTGGAGCAGATCCGCGAGGAGCTCCTCACCAAGTACGGCATCAAGATCATCCAGTCCCCCGACGGCACCACCACCACCTTCGTCCCCGGCAAGCGCGACCTCGGCGACGGCGAGGACGACACCCTCATCACCCTCCCCTACCTCCCCGGCACCCCCAACCCCGACCCCGTCGTGCCCGGCGGCCCCATCGAGGTCAGCGACTAAGCCCCCGGAGGACCAAGGCAGACCGGCCGGGCCCCTCGGATTAGGCATGGCTGACGGCAAGCTCGTCGCCCCTCTTTTTTTCCCCCATGCCTTCATACATACGGGGCTAGTTTGATGGCTCTGACCTGGCTTAGGGTGGATTTTCTTTCCGATAGGTTGGCTGACGGAGGAATTTTCTTTTGCCGAGATAGAGAGGCGCCGAGCAAATCCCTCATCCAAAAAAGAAAAGCGGTCTCGAGAGTGAAGGGACCCCAGAGGCGCCAGTGATATCCGAGTTATTTCCCTTAACCCACCCCCCGTCCCCCCTCTTCCTCTCCCAACCAGATGTTCCGCTTGCGTTTTTAAGAGACTATTTGGTAGTTAGAATCTTTGTTGTATTTTCGGTACTCGGCAATCGAGTTCTATCACTATTGAAGCTCTCACGTTGCCCGTGGTGATTTGCCCATGTCCTATTGCGATCCGTCCTCATTACAATGGCCTTGAATTACGGTCATCAACGTGTCACTGAACGCGTCCCATCATGCAACCGTCCGTATGAGGCGGACGTGTCATGAGATGGACCTTGGGCCCGCAGGCCGGCCTTCATCACAAGTAGCCATCTCATGAATCGCGACTCCTCCAGTTGTGCTTCCGAAGAGAAAAGGAACGAGAAAGACAATACGCTAGGGTGGGTCGTAGGCGCAGCGGGTTCCTAACCCGTGATTTTTGCAGGCCCGTCGGGTGTTGTCTCGCGTGGGAAGCCAGCCAACTGCGATCTTGGGCTCGTGAGATCGCCCGCCAACGGAAGGTGATGCCGCTGATGACCCGTTACTGGTCCCGGCGGGTTCGTAAGGCACGATGGCCGCAGGTACGAGGTGAGAAGTGATGATCGAAGCGAGATGGCACAAACACGTCAGCCGTCTCTTGTTTCCCTTCTCCCCTTCCCCTCCCGCCCGTCTCCACCGCCCCTCGAGTCAGGTTAGGGCGGAGACGCGATGTCTAGTTTGGGACGTTGCGCGCAACGTGTAGGACCTCTCGGCCACTCTCGCCTTACCGCCCTAAACTTAAACGGACCACGATAGCGATGCGAGAGCCAGTATCGGGAAGTGGGAATAGAGCAAAAAGGAATACATTGCTGGTCGCGAATAGCCAGTAATCGAGCGTGCCCTTTCCATAAGGTCCCCCTTCTACAGGGAGAGAGAAGGCCCGGCGCTATTGGGTGCCTAACCTAGCTAAACAAATGGTCGTTGGGCGCTGCGTCGCGCCGCCGCGTTGACTTTCTTCACTGGCTGGTCAACAGCGCTGGGATTATGCCAGCGAAGTTGACAACCAGTCAGGCCTACTTAGTCGGTCAGTTGCTGGAGCGTGGAGCCCCTTAGCACAGTAAATGCGCAATGCCTTATGGGGAAGAGAGATAGGTAGAGCACGCGTGTATTGCATGCACACCGTTGTCTCTGTGTTTCCGGAAAGATCATCGACAGGAGAGGAGAGTCCCTAGCAGCTTGGTTAGGTAGTTGAGTTATCTGGTAGACAGGGCATTCTCGAACACGTAGCTCGTCAGACCCAGCCAGCAACGCTTTTTCGACGCCCGGCCCACGAGGGCCCCCCGGTAAGGATCTCATCCTGGGTGTAAGTGAGTCTAGCAACTAAAGTCGGCCCCACATCGCAGCAGAGATGGTATTCTCGTCAAGGGCGAATCCATCTACCCATCCCATCCATTGCTCCCACGCGCCGGCCCGCCGGCGGTGTCTCCCCCCATCTCTGCAGATGGACCACGGACCCCGGGGGCGTACGTAGGTACGTGTTGTTCCGCTCTTCGACCACATGGCCCACCTTCCCATCCCTAATCCTAAAAGAGCTCTCTGTCGAATGAGATCGAGTCGGATCTATTCAAGTCGAGTTGAGTCGAGGGGTGAGGGGTGTGCTGTCTCTCTGTCGCTGCGCGCGACGCAAGATCCGCCGTGGTTGACGGCGCGTAGCGGATTAATCCAGGCATTAAAAGACGGGAATGGATGAACCAGGCAGATGCCGTGTACGCACACGGACATTCGTCTGTTCGTGCATGCCAACGCAAGTGTCTAAAAAGAGAAAAAAGCAAACAACGAGACAACACAATTCACGAGTCGTTGGCAACGAGAGAGAGAGGGGGGGGGAACTAGATCCCCTATCGGAGGTCCGTCCCACACTTGAGGCTCAGGGATCGATGCCCAGAGCCACACCGCCCCTCCTGCCTGTCCTCCATCTTGTCCCCCGAGCCCCCCGAGCAATACCCCTGTTTTGAGTGACAATCTCGACGGGACCTCCCCGTGCAGACAGGTAACCGAACATAGCCATGGATGTATGTATGTGAACCTGAAGAAATCGCCTTCAACCCGATCAAGAACGACGTCGGAGAAATGGATGTGCCCAAGGGGGAGATGTCCACGTCAAGGAGAATATCGCAGGTCTTGCTTCTTCGTCTGGCGGAACTCCGAGAAAACGAGACCCGCCGGCCCCATACGTACTCCGCCAAGTCTCGAAGAGGACCTCGAATGACGCCTGGGGTGGCGATGCCTCGGGTGAGGTAGGCAGTCCACCATTGCGTCGGACGGACGTTTTGGCATGAGAGACGAAGGGAAGGGGTTCTCCTTGGTGGTCTAGACGGACGTCTTGCCGTCGACGACAGAGCCAGCTCAGGCCAGGGGGTGGGGGTAGGTGTCTTGGTCGTCCCAACGCCGATTTTGACGACGAGCTTGCTGATATACGGTGTCTATGAGTAGAATCGCATTATCATATTGTGCCTTGATCTCCTCTTCGTCGTTTGATTCGAGATGTTCCTCGTTGTCTCGTGTTTCTGGGAGCTCGGTCTCCCACCGCCGGTGTACCCCTCCTTAAGAACCCGCTTCAAACTACGATTGCGACCCCTCGGAGAACCCTCTGATGCCGTTTAGACTGCAGGATGCTTGGAGATATCTCAAGCTACGCGATCGGAAATAGGGCGTTCGTGATGCTATTGGGGTGGGGGATTATTGGGATGAGAGCAGCGATCACGTCCCCGGCGACGAACTTGCCGGTAGACTCGTCGACGACGACCCCCGTGGAGGTTTGGTCGGGTGGGAAGAATTGGAAGCTGGACGGTGATAGCTCCAGTGTGCTCAGCGTCGGTCTTAGACATAGCACAGATAATCTTAGGTACCAAATACACGCCTTCCTGAGACTATTCGTGATAGGTAAGTAGGTAGGTACGTAGGCGCCTAGCACATACAGGTAGAGGTACCTACCTACCTACCTAGGTACCTGGCTCACAACTTGCAATTGCCTGTGGATATACAAGACACCTACGTACAGATTCATGATGGCTTCTCTTACGATGTACCCGCTCAGTATCGAACCGACTCGCCAGGAGAAGGTAGGTACCTCCTACCTAAGGTGAGGTAGTCATCGCTATACGGAACGACGGAAGGTCATATCGAAGCGCAGCAACTCCGAGGCACTTGCCATCACGTGCCTCTCTAATGCCTCTCACGTGATGTATCCAGTGACTAGGTACCGACGTACATAGCTGTTATGCCAGCTGCAGTGTGTCTCACCACCCTCGATCTCTTCTGGTCTTCTGGAGAGCACCGCGGCGACTTATCGCCAATCCTCATCCCTCCCCGACATCCATACATGACCTGGCCTACATACCGCATACATACAACACGCATACCCGACCTACATGCCTACACATTTCTGCTGGCTGGCTTCTTCTCCCAACTTGGCGATGTGGAAATTAGTACCTATATTCGCCCACCTACATGCGTGAGCTGCCGACCGATCTCCGTGCCTGCCACGCGCATAGGTCCGTATCCATACGCACAATGCCTACGCCTACGCCAACCCGACAGGTGAAAAATCCGCGGGTCTGCCAAAACCCCCTCCCTGCCTACCCGGCAAACTACCACGCCTCCGAGGGACGCACGTCCATGCCTACGTAGACATGATATGGGTCGGCGGGCCTCGCTCGCTGGAGAGCGGCTCATGCAGGAACGACCGAGAACAGCAGATACCAGGCGCCACTATTTCGTCGAGAAGCACGATGGCAAGGTGGAGAGAGAAGCATAAGACGGAGAAAGAAATGGGGGACGCACTTGGCCCTCCCGGAGGTCGAAGCCGTGGCATTTACGATTCGTCTAGCGGCCGGACCCCCCTTTCATGCCTTACCATTTAGGCCGTCCCATGTCCTGCCCCATCTGCCGCTCGTCTAACTAGCGCGAATGGCCCTTTTTTAAAAAGGCATCGTTAGGCTGACGGGGCGGTGATGATGGCATACCGAGGCACTTATGATGACTCGTCAGAGAAGCCCGTACGAGAAACCAGAAGCCTGCCTCGTCGCACCGACTCGTGAGGACGACTGGCTGGAGGGATGCCGATCGTTCCGCCAGGGACTCGCAAGCCCGGGTAAATCGGGCAAGGCTAGCTAGGGCAGGTCGATTCTGCTAGCCAGGCAAGATGGCTAGAATACGCATGTCCTAAGCCGGATACTACCGTGGCCGTGGCGCTATCGTATCTGGGCGGTTGCGATGGTAATTCCGATGACGATGAGACGAATAGACGAACCCGCAAGCGGGCCACGTGGGGTTGGAATTTGGATCGAGTGAGTGATACATTCAGCGAAAATGGGCAAGCTGAATATCAGGAGACAATTAGGAAAAAACAAAACAGTAGGTATATGCACTTCTATCCGAGTAAGGCACGTAGGTTATCGCTACATGGCGTCTCTGCGCTTGTCTTTCTCTCTCTCCGACTCCCCGTATACAAGATCTTACAATATTATCACGATTCCCGCATGTATTTGCTGTGCGGATGTGGACGCGGGAAGCTTATTAGGCGAACGAGGGAGCCTGACCTACCGGATTAGACAAAAAAGTTAGGGCTTGAGCTACCCACAATGCCGCGCGCCCAAAAGAGGACGACGATCAGATGCTGGGTAAGTCTAGGGGCGAAAGGGGGCGAGGCGTCGCTAGCGGGCCTACGAACGATGGGCAAGGCTTCTCGAAGACTGCGGGCGTGCGTGAGCGCGCGTGTGGCCATAGGTAGAGGTAGATAGGTGCCCAGGCAGGTAAACAAAAGATATTTACGTGGCTCGACAGACGGCGGCGGTCCCGGACGGGGGTAAAGAGAGGGCAGAGACTTGCGGTTGGAAGGAGAGGAGCGCTCTTTCGGACTGGCCTCCGCCGCCGCCGGGAGGACCAACCGGGCTCGCGGACGCCCGTTCCCAGTTGGCTGCCGCAAACGTCGTCACCGCTACCACTACGGCTAACAACTGCTACCACTAACCACAACGACGGAATCTCCCATGCCGGGTTTGTGCGAAGGGGTAGGTCGGGTAGCCAGGAAGCAGATGGCCCTCTAAACGGGCAGGAAGATCCGCAAGGCGAGTCAGCTCAGGTCGGTTCGCTTCAAAGCCCGGCGCCATGCAGAGAGAGAGATAGGCAGACGCACACACCACGGCCTCGGGGTTGCCCCTAAGCCAAGCGATGTAGATGGGCAAGGCGTGCGGGAACCCACCACCGAGGCTGGGATAGGACAGGACAAGACAGGACAAGGCGGGGCGGGATAGCGCACGACATGTTAGAGAGCCGAATGCTTCGCCGGCCCTAACGATAGCCAACTATCTAGCGTAGTCCCGGCCGTCCGGTTAGGCGGTTGGTCGACGATGAGTGGGAAAGAGAGAGAACATGTACGTCTGCCTGTCTGGCTGCCCGGACTCTCGCCCCTCTGCCCTCTGAGAGGCTGCCCTACGGGGATGAGGGACGCGCTCTGCTTCGTCCTCTCACCCTCTCTGCTCGTCCCCCACGCTCAGGACGTCTCCAACACTCGCGTGACCGACAACACGAGCACGCCCCGAAAACATAGGTATGGGGGGGGGGGGGGGGGGGGGAGTCTCTCATCCCCTTTACGACCGCCCCTCGCTCCCAGGCCATTCGATGCTTTATCGCCCGACACGAGATCTCCGGCAGCGACATAGATGGGCAGCATCATGATCTCGTGTGCATGCATGTACGTTTGTACGTGCGTGCGTGCGTGCGTGAGGACTAGCTGGGGCCGACACCTCGTCGCTGGACCAGAACTACGGAGTTGCGTGCGCAAAGCGAGCACGAGCCCAGCAGACACGCCCATCCGTCCGTTGCGCGCACCGTTTCGAGACCCTCGTCTCGTCGCGCTCTGCTCTGCTTCCTTCCGCAGCATCCTGCCCCCTTCTCCCCTCAGATGTCCGTGAGCGTAGCTGCGACGGATACATAGATGTGTAGATGTCCGTCAATTGGCGAGCGAGACAACAGACACCCCCCTCCCTCCCCTTCCCCCCCCTTTCTCCCCATTCCGCCTTTGGGGGGAGTGGCGGGAAAAGGAAGCAGGGGGGAAAAGGCCAAGGAAGGTCCACGCCAGTAAGACCGTATGGCGACGAAGGCCGCGCGCTAATGACAAGGCGACACGACGACGGCGTGCGAGCAAGCGAGCGAACGAGAGAGCGGACGAGCGGACAGACGTCGGCGGACCGGTCGTCCTCGACTCCGCCCGCCCGCTGCTGGTTGCTGGGCTGGGGGGGTGTTCCCGCCCGCCCGCCTACGCAACATCCTTGATTCCCCTTTTCTTTCTTTCTTTTCATCCTCCCGCATCAGCCGCGGGGACAACGCCCGCGCGCCACCGCCGCCTCCGCCGCCTATAAAGTGCCGTCCGGCCTGTGCGCGCGTGCGATATAGGGTAAAAGAGGGAGGAGAAGGAGGGAAAAGGGTGATGAGGGGAAAGGGAATAATCGCTCGCGGCGCGGCGACGTCGTGCAAAAGGGGGGGCGGGGACGTACCTAGGGAATTGACGCAGAACCGGGGCGTCGATGACAACGCGGCCGCAGCGGCGACTACGTCGCATGAAGGCCTACGGCGAAAGCGGTAATACCGCATGCGCATACGCAGCAGGTAGGCAGACAGACGGCCGGGCAGCTAGGGAGAGGTGTGCAGGCAGGCGAGCACGGTATTACTACGAAGGGTGGTCTGCGGTCCGACTGCTGGGACTGGGCGGCTGGGCTGGGCTGAGCGGAGGGGTGGTGGTGGGCGTCTGCTTACTACATCCCATCCCGTCCCCCCGTGTGTAGGTCACATATGTACGTGTAGGGTATTGTAGTTGTTATTGCCTATTACACGTACACCAATTGTCTCTCTACCTTGAACACAGCACGAGGTGCCTACCGGCGGACGCAGACACGGAACGCCCTACGAAGGGGAAGCACCAGCCGCTCGGCGAGACATGCCACATGATGGGCGGCTAGGCGGCGGAGAAGGGGTCTGGCAGACGGGCGGGCGACCTGAGGTCCTTCGACGACCTCAGCGCCAGATACAGAGACACGAGCCAGGGGAAAGGGGTGCTAACCTCCCCCCTTGCCCCCCCGTTACTCATCTCTCTCCGTGGTGTATCTATATCTGTGTGTGTGTGTTTCTCTCTCTCCTCTTCCACGAGGGCTTCCGCCTAGAGCTTCACGCGTGTGCGTCCACACACGTGTGTGTATGTATGTGTATGTACCTATGCGTGGAGTAAAAGGCGGCAGTGTCGTCAGGATGCGCAATCTCTAGGGTCCGCCACGATAATTTGCCTGCTTGCTTGCCTGCTTGGTCGCCTCTGTGCTGCCCGAGGGCACATGTATGTAGTGCATGTATGTAGTGCTATGTATGTCGTCAAAGGCTTTTTCCTTTGTTTTGTTTTTGGGGCGAGGGATCAGCGACGGCGGCGGCGTGCCGGCGCCAAGGCGAGAGGGTCCCGCGAAGGGACTGCTTCTGGGAGATTAGCCTCCAAAAGCGGATGGGCTTCCGCGCGCCCGTCTCTCTGCTCTCGTCCTAGCGCGCGTCCTCGCTCCTGGCCTTGGGAGGTGCATCGAGATGACACGCAGTTGGGGAGGATCAGGTGCCACGACTCAACTTACGTAGACTTACGATGTGTGCGGTCTGTGGGTAGGTATCTTTACTTAGCAACATCCCCCCCTCGTCGTCGTCGTCTCTGCACTCCTCGCTATCTATCTCTAGTCTCCCCACCTCTCCTCCTGCTGGTGCCCCCGGTTCCCTGATAGGCCACCGCCGCGAGAGGGTCCGTGTTCGAGAGATCATAGATCGAGCGATGGCACTGCCCCATTTCCCGTGGTTGGCATAGTTCGGGGGCGTCGGATGGGTTTAGAGAGAGGCGTAGGCGACAAAGAGAACATTTCCTCTTGATCGAACGGGACCACGTCACACTCCGTCCGCACGCCTCCTCCCCCCACACACACGCACTCATCCGCGCACGGCCTCGCTCTCAAGAGAGGTCTCTTTCTCATTAGCCAACCCTGCAGTAGTGACAACTCCCGTACCGGGGGAATGTGGAGGCCGCGAGCCCACCTGTCTGGGTTGACGATGCTCTCGTCGAATCGTGCGGGCCGGGGACAGGTAAGAAGTGAAGCCAGCGTCTCGCTCCGATTTGCTCTCGGAGGGGTGGCTTTCTCGCTTGCTCCGTGCGCTCGACCTTGCTATAGCAGCGGCAGTCATAATAGCGGCGCGCCGGCAGCAGCACCGCCGACGAGAAGCAGCAGCAGTAAGCAGCTAAGGCATACGCACGCACATACAACATACCTACACACACATACCCGAGAGCGTGCCCTCCAACGGTCGGAGTTGTGCTGTTCTGCTCGCACCAGCCTCTCTCCGCCGCGACGAGCCGGGCGAATAGCGCCTCTCGTCTCCTCGCAGCGAGAGGGGCATCCGTTACTACCTGATGCGCAGCGTGAGCGAGCGGGCGCACGCGCGTGTCCACCGGTGCCTGCGCTATGCGAACCGGACGGCGAGGGCTATATGGTGCGCGCTCCATAGCGTCGATATTGGCAGATACGTCTGCGTCGCAGCCGTGGTATGTAGTAGTGTAGCAGCAGGCCGTCTTCGCTGCAAGAAATGCCCTCCCACTCGGAAGCTGCCTCGCCATGTCGATCGTAAGCAAAAGTCGTCTCTCTTCTCGTCTTCTCCAGGCAAGCCAATCGCCGTTGCTCATCTCGTCACATGAGTTCTCCGGTCATCATCCCCTCGCATAAAAAAAAAAATTTTTTTGTCTCTCGAAAATTTTCTCGCAGATAACCAGAAACTCCCCAAAAGAGAAAAAAACAAAAGGGAACACGTCGATCAAGGATCGCCGCGAAAAAGCCACGAGGATCTAGACGGTGCATTTGTTTAAATGCTGTAATATGTAGTACTTGCACACTTTGTACGACTAACTCGGCCTTGACAACCCCCCGATCCGGCACCAAGGGGAAGAGGGGGGCAAGGCCGGGAACACGGGGTCCAAGGTTCCAGAGCGCGAGTGACGAAGGTGACAGAGAGAAGGCATTGGATCGAAGAACGTGAGGAACGTGAGCGAGGTCGAGAAGACCTTTTCACCGCCATGTGCCAGTGAACCCAGCCATCGACCCAATCACCACGCCAGAAGCTAGGGCCGGCTGGTCCATCACCATACCCAAATCATCGAGTTGCATCGTGCAGCTCGGACCGGGGGGGGGCTTGGTGGGAACTGATTCGACTGCCCCGAAGATGGAGGGAGGGGGAAGGGAACGGGAGGTATGTAGGGGAAAGAAAAGAAAAAGAGTGATGACGCCTAGGATCTGCTTGCATCCATCCTACACATGATATGTACACAAACGGAAATATAACCAGTGCATATAAGTCCTATGTAGGTATGCAGTTGGTTGTCGAAGGCTAGTAGGATGACGACGGAGATGAGGGGAGAGAAAGGGGGGGAGCTTAAGCAAAAAAAGGCCTGTCCTGGTTATTTTCTTCTTCTTCCTTCCCACACACCAATGGGTCGGGAGCGCGCTAGGCAAGGGTTCAGACATGCGGAGAGAAGAAGAATGAATAAAGAGAAGAAGAAGAAGGGGGGCGCCGAGACGGTACGGTATCTGCACTGCAACTCTAGAGAAAAAAAATGTTCGATATTGTGCGTGCCTATAGGCAGGCACATCTCGTCTCGTTCTATCCATCTATGACTCTTCCCTCCTCCGTCCCTCTACTACCCAACCCGTCTACGTAGCAGCAGCAGATGATACTGCGGCCGGCACCGCCATCGAGGGTAAAATATGGGATTTTTTCCCCCCTCTATTGAGAGAGGGGGGGAGGCTGTGGGACGAAGGGAGTAATGGGTAAGGAGATCTATCGATGCGGAAAAAATAAGGGAATGAAATGATTAATTAATTAATCCATGCATACATACATATGTAACATATATACGCGTGTCTGTGATGTAGGGTGGGCGTAAGCAATAAAAAGCAATAATCGCAATGACCAACAACAATAATACGCATAACAAATGAAGGGAAAAAGGGGGGGGGGAGGAAAGGGGGGTGAAGACGAGGAGGGGCGCACGGCAGGACAGCGCCTCGATGGTACTATCACCACCACTACCCCTCCTCACCACCACCTCTATGCTTGATATCACGGCTACTACAGCCACTGCTACTACCAGCATCTGCTATTTACTCTCCAGAGTCCTACCGGCGCCCTCCCCTCTCGCACGCGTGTCCCGCGACCACCAGCCTCGGTGCGGCTGGCCAGACGGGGGCAAACGGAAGGGGAGGAGGGGGAAGGGGGAAAGGGGGGGGGGGGGGGAAGACGTGCCCGTTCGTCATCCTCCTCACCCCCCCATCCAACCGCGCCCGCACGCAGGAAGTCTGCCTTCATGCGGGCATGCAAAAGGGTGTAGCACGCAGGCAGGCAGCCGGACGGGACGGGATGTCATGTATATGCGTGTGAGCGAGTGTGCGTGTAGGTCTGGGACGTGCGCGGGCTGGCAAGGCAGGTTGTGCGCGTCGCAGCGAGCGAGGCGTAGGATGCGAAGGAGGAAAAGGGGGGGGGGGGGGGGAGAGAGAAAGGGGGAAGAGAAGAGGCCCGGCAGAGCGATGGGAAAAAAAGCCTGCCTTGCTGCCTTTCCTACCGCCTATGGAGATAGGCAAACTTACATGCCTATCTGTCTGTCTGTCTGTCTGCCCTCTCTGCCTCTGCTCCGCGCGCCGTTCGCGACGGGCCCTACCCGCCCATCCCCTCCTCTTCCTCCTTCTCCCCCCTTTCCAGAGCCTTCCAAATGCTCCCAGCGCCTCACCACCTCCCCCTCTCTCTCACCACTCCCCTCCCCCCCCCGCCTCCCTCTCCCTCTCCCATTCGAACACAACACGCACGCACGAAAAAAATAAAATAAAAGATCGACGCCTGGGCCGACCGGCTCTCTGTTTTCGCGCCCAAAGGACCGGGGGGGCGCAGGGAGAAGAGGGAGAAGGGGAAGAGGGAGGGAGAGAGGGGGGGGGGGGGGGGGGGGAGACACCCGTCCCATGGTTCCTTCTCCTTGATTCTATGCATGCCGACATCTACATGCTACTATATACGTACATACCTTCGAGCGAAGTGCGTAGACATGTATGTATGTACGTGTGTACGCGAAGAGCTTAGGCGGATAGATTAGATACATGAGGTAGGGGAGGGAGGGAGGCAGGCAGGTAGGTAGGTTATGTAGACGCCTTGCGCGAACGAATATGCCCACACACGTAACTCGTCGACTTCCTCTCTCTCTCCCTTCCTCCCCCCGGATCCGTCTGGCCCCAACCTGCCTATCACGCCGCGGACGCGGGACCCGCCTGCCGGCGTGCCGTTGGCCGTGGGACCCCGTTGGACCGTTGGGATGGGCGGTCGCTTTGGGGGGGGGGGGGGGGGGGGGGGTTGTCTGCGATGCGTCCAGACAGACGGTCTGATAGGAGATACCTATTGTGAGTGTTACGTATAGATTATACGTATAGATTCGCGGGTGCCGTCTGTGTATGCATGTAATGCTCGTAGAGAGGTATGAGAATATCTCCCTGCCTCGTCCTCTCCCCCCTTCTGACCCTCGGCGAGACCGCGGGCGCCCGGCCGCGAAGACGAGAACGCGAGCTGGAAGAAGGTTAGTTAGCGCAGCGGGGTGTGTGGCTGGGTGGTGCGGAGCTCGCGAGACGATGGAGGGAAAGGGGCCAAAGAGCTGGGTTGTGGTGGCATGCGCAGAGCCCGTACGTGCGCCGAGACGCACGTAGGAAAAGGTAAAGGAGGTTAGGGAGGTCCCGTAGCACGGCGGTAGGAGGGAGGAGGGTAGGCGTTGCGAACGAGTGAGAGAAGGGAGAGAGAGTCCAGAGAGAGGGAGTTGGGCGAGGGAGAGAGGAGGGTGTGTGGCCGGTGGGAGAGGAGGAGGGTCTGGAGACGGTGCACGACGAGGGGGACCCGCCGAGAGGGAGCTAGTGCAGATTTGGGGAGAGGGGGGCCAGTCCAATCTTCATCGACTGGGATGGCTGGAGGGGCTAATATGAGGACGAGAGAGGGCTATGTTACATTGACGGCAGAAAGTGTGATGATGGGAGTAGAGCAACATGCAGGCGGATGCATCCATGCCAGCCCTGCCCCGGCAAAGTAAGGCGAGTCGCGTCGGCCTGTCTGATCCAATCAGGGGACCGTGTATTGGAACCATCAGCCTTGGCTCAGGGTCTTCCCACAGCCCTCGTAGACGTCGGCGGAGCAAGTCTGTCGAGAGGATTAGGAGACGGACATGGCGATACAGAGAATGAATGGATGCATTGCTCTGGCTAGAGGCAGGGAGACAGGCAGAGCCAGCTAACCCCCCATAATGGAACACCGGTAGAGGCGGGTTGCAGTGCCACGGTGATCCGACGGAGAAGAGCGGGCCGTAGAACGACTTCTCCCGTCGCAGGCTGACCCTCCGGAGTGAACCACAGTACCTTTACTCGGAAGCCCATCACCAAACGGTACGCAAAGTGGCAATAGTGACAAAATAGCAATGTTGAGAACTCGTCCGCGAGGACTAGCGTCATATTCTTTGGTATTGATATGTGCGATCTCTCGCAACAACATTGTATTGGTGTGAAGAGCCTAATGCGGCATATCCTTCAACAGCTTTTAGAGAACCATCACCGTAACTATTGTCGGTGTGTCCCTAGGTAGAACGTATAATCTGCGACGACCACCACAGTCGAGCGCAACAAGTGCAAGGGCTATTGGTGCCCCGTCTTCTTCCCGTCTATTTCGAATCCCAACATCCCCATCCGTGAGTGGCCTCGACGAACCGATTCCCCGGCCGGCCCCGAAACAGAGATCTGCGTAAAACGTGTATATCCGTTAAAAAAACATTTGGTATCATCCAAGTGAAAGTATGAGGTATCCCCTCCCCCGCGAAATGCACGCCGTGCATAACGTATTAAAACGACATATGAGCGTAAATCACCTCCTGCTCGAACATCGCCAGCTGTATATCCTGCGCCGTGTAACAATGCTGCTTGTTGCTGTCCCGGTTAGCAATAACACCGGGCTTCTCGGTTCCTGCAACGTCTCTAAACCGATTCTCATCTCTCAGATTTCCGCCAACTCCACGCTGAACAAAAAAGATGTAACAAAGAAAAACGCCAGGCTTCCAAGCATAGGTTGGCAAGATGAGATCCTGGCTGAAAACTTTTTGTCGCGTAAGGTGGTAGTTTCTTGGGTCCTCCCGGCCAGGATTAAAAGAGAAAAAAAAGTACGGCCGTCCGGTAGTATCCAAGATAATGTATGGGCATTATAACATAGTAAAAATTGTAAAAGAGTAATGTTTTGTCGAATGAAGTATCCCCGGGAATGTGGTCCAGACCCGTGGACGGGTTTTCCCATCCTTAGAATAACGCTTTCGTGGGCCTAATCCCTCTGGAGTAATGGCTATGTTAAGGAGGTGGAGATGTGGCCCCTGAGATAGTGCCGCGTGCGCCCTTCGTTAGGGCAGCTAATAGCAACCTTGGAAGTGGGAGAAAAGAGGAACTTGGGGATGAAAGGGAAGGGGATGGTGTAGTATGGGCGCGGGTTGAGTGTACCGATTCACCATCTCCCAGAAGTACGGAAAGGCAAACTTGGTAGGTGCACAGGGGGCCTGGAGCGGAACCGGAACCGGACAGGGACGGCAGGGTTGGCAGGGCTCCACGGCGGCGCCAGAGTACTGAGGGATGAATTCCGGTGGGAACATAACTCTGTGCTCCTCCGAGTCAAACATCTGAGGCTCCTCGATGGGGGGCATCTCGTCCTCCGGGATGACGAAGTCGTCCTCGTCTAGGTCGTCGATAGTCGAGACACTGGATATCAGAGATCCATCGTCGGAGGAGCAGGTCGATTCCGTGTCCGAATCCAAAGTGGCGGGGGACTGAGGCGCGTCATAGGCCGATTCCTCGATGATGACGTCGTCGCACTGAACGTATTCGATGGGCCCGGGCGAGCAGGGCGGAGTAGGCAGGGCCTGGATAGGCGCCGGTACGGCCGGCATCGTGAATTGGGAGCAAGCGAGGATGCTGCTCCGAAGCTCCGGCAACGTAATTCTGTGATCCGGGTTGCGGGTGAAGATGCGCCCGAGTATGTTGTTGAGCTCATCCGACAGTGGCAAGATGGTCCGCAGGAAGTCCTGACTCCTGGTATAGGCGCGGTACGTGGAATCCTCGAACGAGGCTTGCTTCCAAGGATTACGACCGCAGGTCAGGTTCACCAGGATAACACCAAGGCTCCAAACATCATTCGGGGCGCAGTAATAAAACGGCCTTCGCGAAGACGGGTCCAGACACTCTGTGGAGACGGAAGAATCTTTGTCAGTACTCTCTTTTGAACCCAAGCAGGCGAAAAGGGAAAGGGAGGTTGGCAAGTCCAGGGCGATAATTCCTACCTGGTGACATGTAGAACGTGGAGCCACATCCGTAGTCCTCAGACCGGTCTGAGGACGTGGCGAGGCCAAAATCTGCCAGTTTGACCGTGTCTCCCTGGTTCAAAACAAGGATATTCTCCGGCTTCAGGTCGCGGTGGTAGATGCCCAGGCTATGGCAATGCTCAACAGCGTCCAGGATTTGGAGGAATACACTCTTGGCCAAGTCATCCTTACCCACATATTGTCCTCGCTCCGTGATGTTGAGGAAGAGGTCACCCTCTGGGCAGTACTCCAAGACAACGTAGATGCAGTCCGGGTCGTCCACGATCTTGTGCATGGAAACCACATTGGGATGCGCCGAGGCCAGGTAGTGCAGGCGAAGCTCCCGGTGCTGGAAGGCGATCTGTCGTCGATCCAAGGGCGTGCCGTCCGGGTTGAACTTGCTGAGCGTCTTGACGGCGTAGTGGACTCCGGTCTTGACGTCGACTGCCAGGTATACGACACCGTAGGCGCCGGTACCAATAATTACTACCAATTGCAGGCTGTCTCCAAGGAACTTTCCTAATCTCTCCTCCGGGGCCACTGGGGTGTATCGAGTCTGGCAAGGCGGGGCGGCTGCGACGGGCGGCTGTTGAAAAGCGCACTTCGTATTGTCGTACGACGGCGATGCCGGAGGCGTAGGATATCCGTACGCTGCCACATTATGCATGGTATGCGACAGGTTGTATGGTCCTCTCGGTTCAAGCCTTTTGGGGGGTTGGGGGGAGAAAAATGGGAAACTGGATCTTCTGGAGTAGAGAGACGCAAGGAAATCTAAAGAGAAAAGGCCTTCTCTACACGGACAACGTCCTCGACCAAAGTACGTCCTTGGCGGATATGAAGAAAATCCTCTGGAACAACTCCTAGGGCTCTGGCACTATTTAACTTCCTGGGTCGTCTGCGGGTGGCGTCGAATCAACGGGCCATAGGATTGGGGGAGAGAGAATGTACGGATAGACGACGGTTTGTGTATTGGTGGTGGTGGAAGGAAGGCGAGGGCTGGCGCTGACGGCTCGTAAAGGGTGTCAGATGGGTGCCGGTGGCGACGGCAATGTTGTCGATGTCGAATTCTCAGAGTGGTCGTGGACGGAGAGGCGAGGGGGCGGATAGCTCAGCAAGGAGTGAAGACGGTGAACGATGAGCAAGGTTTCGAGCTCGGGGTGCAGGCTGGAAGGTTGATGTATGTAGATATCAAGATGAGCTTTTTCTCAGACAGGGTCCCCGGTTGAGTGGCCCAGGAGACAGGAAGAGAGTCCCCCCCCACTCCCCGGTCGACAAGCCCACAGTTGCTCGATAGCCAGCTCGACATCCATGTCTGGCCTTCTGGGTCCACCTCTCTCCCTCACACACACACACACTCACACACGCACTCGCACTCACACTCTCACACGCACACACATGCGCATACCTGCGCTATTCTTGCCTCGACGTGCTAGCGTAGCTGTGAAGACGAGAAGTGGAGCGTGCAGAAGGGAGGTGTCAAGGAATGGGACCGGTGCTTCTAGGGCGCTCCACTCAGGGAGGCATAACGCAGCCTGAACCAAGGAGCGAGATCTTCGTGGCTCGCCGTAATATACGAGAGCAAGGATTGTCTGACACACGAAAATAAAATGGTCCAGTCAGCGGTCGAAGGTGGGCGCCGGCTCCATTGCTACCCTAGCAGCCATGTCCAATATTTGATTCCACGCCCTGGGACCCCCCCCGTCGAGAGGCCGAGCCGAGGGGAAGGGGGCTTGCATTGCGTGTGATCTTGTCGACGCCTGCGTCGATGGGAACTGGGCGAGACTGGTTCGGGCTGCTGACGGCTCCACCTCGTCCTTAGTGTGCCCACCACTCCCTGGTTGAGCAAATCGTCATAAATCAACGAGCCCGTGACTCGCATGACTTTTCTGCGACCTTGCCAATGGCGATGCCGCGCGGTTTGGGGACATCCTTGCTTTGGCTAAGCGGTTACCGTGCTGCCAAACCCTGAAGGGAGAAAGAAGAAGAAGGGAGAAGGAAGAGGAGAAGCAGCGGAGAACGACAACATACACGTTGCCTGCTACATACCCCCCTCCCTTCGACATTATGCCCCTTATTTTTAGATAGGCTCTATCACACACACCCTCATGCTATGCTATACCTTAACTTACCCAACTCAGCATTACTCTTGGCTAGGGTAAAGGCAGAGAGAGAGAGAGGGTGGGAGAGAGCCTTCTCGGACTTGCTGAGCGCAGAGTAACAGTATTATCTGTCCCTTTTGTGTTCTTTTCCTTATCCGTCTCCCTCTCCTTCTCGCGCGGCTAGTTCGGGGCAAGGCACTCCCGGGTTAGTCTTTTCGAAAATCCTCTCGACAATCACGCTTGACGCCAGCCACAACATTGATCCATGCTCGAGTTAAGCCTTTCTCCGGTGCTTGCGGATGGGCTTTTTCTTTTGTGAAATAGGACTGCATGAGATGCCACCCCGGTGGTAAGGCAGGCAAAAGGCGGCTTCTCCTTCTGAGACCAGCATTTGCGCTGGGGAACCTGCCCAGCGATCTTTGTGTAGCAGAGAGTCGCAAAGGGTGCTTCCGTGCCCCCGTTCTATTTGGCCAATGCCTGTCATCTCGCCAATGTGTTTTCTGTCTCTCGTCGCCCTCGGCGCTGGCTAGCCTCGCCTGGAAGGGAAACGAGCTGACGATCTGCCCACATGGACTGACGCGCGGTATGGTGTTTTGATAGCAATTTGTCTCGACGGGACAGCGTCAGATTCCTCACACCTTCGCCTGCTCCGTCACTGCCCGTCCGCCCTTGTCTCTCCCGCCTCGAGACACACCTTCGTGGTGTGAACCTGCCTACCTGTCGGTATGCCTAGATTCGCGCAGAGCTTCGGTTCATGCACATTTTACGGTAACTTAGCCTGTGTTGCGCCAATGGCGGAGCATTCTTGTGCTTTACAGGGAAATCTATGAGCACTATCTGGTCTTTGGCATGCTGAGCGAGTGGCGGTATCGATGAGTGGCCAGTTGATTTCTGCCATGGTTACCTACCTTCTCCGGATGTGTCTAGTTTGCTATGCGTCTCGATTTGTTGATGCCGCCACAAATATGTGCGCGTCGTTTGCTGGAAATTGGCTTGACGTCTAAGCCCTCTTCTCTACCAGCCGGGCGGCTAAGGTGATCGGGTGGCAAATTCGTCTCCCGTTGGGACCGTTCATAACCGCGCGGCCAATTCTTGTAGCGTGTTACTGGTGCTGCTGTGTGTGAGCTCACATCACGAGCATCCCCTCCTCGTCCCCCCTATTCCTATACGGAGGCGGGGAAAGGGGAGAGGTATGCACACACCTACCTACCTACCTAGGTAGGGTTGGTAGGTAGGTGGGATGCCTAGGCAGCTGGTAGGGGCGAACATTCGAGGACAACTCGCTCCGGCCATTGGCAGCGCAGTGCCTTTCAGGCGAGGGCAGACGGCCACCTGCCATTCCCGCCTCGGCGGTTTCACTGAATTGACGATTGACGACTGACCGACTGATTTACAGAGCTGCACCGCAGTCATGTACTAGTGACGGTAGGGTTACCGGATTGGTAGAGCGGCAGTAGCAGCACTGCAGCACGGTGCAGGCCACACAGACCAACGGCACAAGAGGGCCTCGTCGCATCCCGATGGGAAGCCCCCCTCGCAGCGGTCGGTGGGCATGATTGGCCGGTGGACAAGTTGGGTGGTCGATGAGCAGCGTGAAATGGGAATGAATCTGATGGAGCCCCCAGCTTTTCGAGGCTGCAGGCTCTGAAGTGAGGGATTATCTCCGAACGGTGTGGGTGGTATCGAAATCATTTCCTTCAGTGCAGCCGGCCATGTTGCATGCAAAAGCCTCGTAATACGGGAGAGGGAGGGAAGAGTCATTCGACCGGATTGGTTGGTGTCCTCCCTTGTCTTGCCGAGAAGTGAGGCTGTCTGTCCAGGGTCGCCAGGCCAATCCGCGGACGGCAAGGACGGTATGGGCGGCATGGATAGCATGGGTGCCGTGGAATTACCATGGATAGCATGGCCTGCCCGTACGCAGCCTGCCAGCGTCTCTGAAATGAGTAGGTATTGCAGCCTGCAAGAAACGGCTGATCCGCTGGAGTCGACGCGGCCTGTGTTTTGGCTAGGCACGCACCAACGCTAGCAGGAATACCGGTGACTAGGCACAAAAATAGATAGGTGGCGATGGGGGATTCTCTGATCCGAGTCTCGATATGGCGAGCCACGAAACAGGGAATTTCGTAGACACCTTGCGCGTGCCGCCTATCGGGACGGGACAGGGGACGGGCAGAGAGAGGGCGAGAGGGTGAGAGGGTGAGGGAGAGGGTGGGAAAACGGGCTTGGACGGCACGGGAGGAGGACCTAGGTAGTCCGGGCGCAAATCAAACACCAGGCAGGGCAAATCGTAGATCGGAAGATCGGGGGAAGATTTCTTAGACCGCCTCACCTCGTTGGCGCGGACCCATCCACTAAGCAGGTACCTACGGAGAGCCCCACGGGCCACCTTATAGGTACCTAAGGTGGGCGGGTACCTAACCCACCTGGGTGGGCGGGTCGAGAAGTACCTACGCATATTAGGTCGGCAGCAGGCAGGTTAGGTACACACATGCATCCAGGCAGTGGGTGCGTATGTACCTATACCCAATAGTGGGCTGTCGTCCCGGGGCCTGAATCATCACTATGAGTACCTCCTACGTAGTGGGTGTACGTAGCAGACGTTGTGCCTTAGGTAACCGGCCGGCCCTAGAGGGCCTGGAAGTGGGCCTAGAAGTGCCCCCTAGTGAAGAAATTTGCACGCTGTGCCTGCGTAAGCCGCCACACACACGCCACAGACCTCGCGCCCAGCCACCCCGCTCGATCCAACCACCTGCCTATCCGCCAACCGGGCTATCCACGAACCCCTCCCCCAATCGAGTCCACGAGGGCTGGAGAACGTCTCTCTCTCTGCACTGCCACCGTTGGAAGCTACCTCCACCCGCGACGGAACGAGTCAGAAAGGCTCGTGAGACACGGTTCTTTTTCTCTCCTTCTAGATCTCATGACGAAGAAAATGGCACCACAAGAGTAAGGGAAGAGAAGAGAAGCAAAAGAAAAACCATGTCACCCATGTTTGGGTCGTCGTTGGTGGTTATGCATCCCATCGAGGCTTGATTCATGCAGTCGATCAGCAGACGGGGGGATGCTTCTCTCCCTGTCTCTCGCTCTCGCTGTTGTTTCTCGATTCGACGAGCTCCAAACGGTCCTGGCGCACTGCCTATCACCACCACTACCACCATCACCACCACATAGATAGCACAGAGTCAGCCTGCGGTAGTGGGAACGCGGGGACAGCAGCAGCGACAGCAGCAGCGACAACAACGACAACAAGGCATCGGCCGATGAAGGAGGTGGGATGAAGGATGACGAGGGAACGAATAAGACATCCAACGACAACTCTCTTTCCCTCTCATAGGCGTTGAAACTCACCGCCACCGGCCACGGGTTTCAATCATAGTAAAAGAAAGCTGATCCCCTCAGGGCAGCCAGCCAATGCGAGCCGTGCCATGTCACATCCCCCAATTAGCCTATTTTCCCGTTCTCACCGCAACGAGAGCCGTACCTGTAGTTGCGCATGAACTGTGGGAGAACGACCGCCTGCCCAGAACGGCACCCCGTTCATGCGTTCGTTTCGTTTGCTGTCTCGCAGGCCGTTCGAAGGAGGAGAAAAAAAGAGGGTGGCCGTCTGAGAGAGATGGATGATGCGATACCAATCCTCCGGTAACGAACAGCAAACGCATCACGAACCTGTTCGAGATGACTTGTTGACTTTACTTACTCATACATCGCTCCTCTACGCAACTCACACGCCCTACACCGTAAACTGCCTACGTCGTGATAGCGTGTGGTATGTATGTGTCATCCATCCCCAGTCGCGCCGTCGGATAGCTAAAACACACGTATTTTCTTTTCTCTCTCGTCCCAGGCGGGCCTTACTGTCTAAGATAGACGCCGCCGTCTCGGACTTACCTCACCACTCCATACCAGATACACATGCCTACCTACATGCCTATTGCACATACACGCGTATGGTACATACCACGTACATATGTACGCATGTACATGTGTCAAACATGGGCGCCGGAACATGCGTTGTGCCCTTTGAAACCCATAGTCCCAGGTTCTCATTAGTGCGATCCCGAGACGTGGAACCGGGATGGGGGGGACCCTTTTTCCCAGGGACCCCTTCGCGGGCAACGAACCCTCGGCCTGGTCAAGCAACCGTACACGTTTCTAAGCCCGCTTGGACCACCAGCCCATTTCTGGTCCTTGTGGGCGAGAAGAGTTACTCATAGAGTGTCACTTACGCGCGGACCAGATAACAGCATTACACACTACATGGCGATACCAAGCTTCCCGGGATCCCTTGGCGGGCCTCAGACGCAACTTGTCCGTGGCAAGTTCGGCGGTGATAATTTTGGGGGTCATGGCCTACGTAGGGTTGTGATGCCGATGGCAATAATGACGGATGCGCCCAGACACGACAACAGGCCCTGCTATGCTGGATTGGACGGCCCGGTCGTACCATGTAGCGCAATTTCCACCGCCAACCTCTCTCCTCTCCAGACGAGGCGTAAATCCAGGGTTCTTGAGAGGGGGGAAGACTTTCCGCCCGTATGACGAAACTGTCTTCGGGACCACGCACGGCGACGCCACGGTACGGACATGGCGGTCCAGCCCAAGCGAGGGATCGGTTGTGTTCGTTTTCTTCGCGCCCTCTATTTGCCGCGCTGTGCCTCGTGCCATGACCCGGCTGCACACCGGGGAGGAGCTCCCTTAGCTTCTAGGGCCTCCTGAGAAGATCGCCCGTGACGGAGGATCTTGTGTGGAAGATCTCAATTAAGTGGGCTGGGGAAGCTATGGGAGCAACGGGTGACGAGGAGCATGGGCCAGGGACGGATCCCGTCTTCAGCGCCTGTGTTGTGCGTATTCCCATCTGCTGCGCCGCCGGAGTGCTACAGCGTATCGGCGCTACCCGGATTGGGCGTAAGATGAGAGCGTCCCTTCGAAGCAAGGGCTGGCCTACGCTATATCCTCGCCCGCGTTGCACCGTCAGCGCTTGTTTTGATTACTGCTTATTTGGTGTCCCGAGATGTGCTACACCTAAGGCAACTTGCGTCTTGGCTCGGTCATTGGATCGTGGGGTCCTCCAATGGGAAACGCCCTGCGAGTGCAGACCCTGAACGTTTGGCGCCGGGGTCGTCGCCTTCGTCGCCGTGTCTAGCCCCTCCCGTTCCCGGGAGAATTTCTCGATAAGTCAGTCCGCCATGTGCTGTCCGTGTGCGTGGTAGGGGATGAGTCTTTTCGTCTTCTGCCTCCCTCCCCCTGCCTTACCACATCACTATACGCGAGGCGTCAACGCGGCACAGGCAGCGGCTTAACACTCCCTCTCGGCTCATCGAAATTTCGTCGACGCCATCGCCCTCCCTAACCTTCCCCGTTCGGCTTAGCACGGCCTGTTTTTGGGATCTGGCCGGATCGTCGTGACGCCCATCGGACTGTCCTATGATTCGCGACTCGTTCCAGCAGGATCGAAGGAAGGGAGATTGGTGTTACATCAATGACAGTTTCCTCTCCCGCCCAGTAGCAATACGATAATACGATATGTGAGCACAGCCATGTTTGAGCGCGAGCGCCTCGAAAAACTCCAGACCGCTCTGGGCGAGGGAGGGCGGCAAGGCGCCAGCAACGGCTGTTCCTCATCGTCGATGCCGAGGCGGCCGCAATGCGCGAGTGTCAAGTCAGGCTAGCGCTCCCCCCTTTCCAGCAGAGGTTGCCTAGGTTGCCTAGAGAGCCGAGTGCGAAATCGAGAGATCGAAGGACAATGCCATCGCATATGCTGGTCAGCCGCACCGGGAACGGTGACCGAGTTATGTGTAGGTACTACATACCTACCTACCTACCTAGCATGTATAGATGTATGTGCAGGCACATTTTAGTGATTCTATCAATTCGCTACCGGGGTTTTCTGTAACGCACCGTGAGACCGAATGTGCGACATGGCATTAATATCATCCGATATAGCCTGCACCCGATCCGCCGGGGGGAGCGCGAGCTTAGGTACATTACCTCATCTACATACTGCATGTTTCGACCTCCCCGGCCGTGGCCATGCCACCCTATCCTAGAGGGGCAAGCCGCGACCTTACACATCGTCAGCTGCTCTGCCGCCCCCGAGGTGTTACGAAGCTCCGCGCATAGATTGTAGTCGGGGAGGAGGGAGGGGAGGTCGCGAAAACGACGCCGCGATCCCCGGAGACCGCAAGGCTCGTCGCAAACTGTTGTCCTCGCTGTGCTTAAAACCACGGTCAGCACCACCGGCTCGGCTAAGGCGGACGTGTGTGTGGTGGGGAGGGGACGATGAAGAGGGACCGTGTGTGAGATGGAGGCAAGGTGTTGCGAGTTGGGGACCGGAACACCAGCGACGGCCCCTCGAGGCTGGACAAATGATGTGAAAGGGAAGGTCGGTAACCCTCAGGAGGCGGGGAAAGGGGGGGGGGGGGAGACAATCGGAAACGCGAAGCGCGCCAAGAGATCTCGTCGCTGTCGTCATGGGCGAGACAGGACGAGACGAGATCTGCTCCGCCTGGCCGCGACCGCTGCGTAGTAGAAGTCGATCTACGGGTTAGAGATCCGATCGGTTCTCGACGGCAGAAAATATGTGTTGTAGTCGCCGATAGTAGCATCTCCCGATTCCTCCACCCCCATTGCACAGCCCAATGGCATATATGTGACACGGCTCGGTTTCCCAGTCTCGCCTCGCGAGGGGGCCAGATCTCAGCCTCTCCATTCGCCGATCTATCGTCACCGGCGGCTTGGGAGGGGAGAGGGTGATCGGGCGAGCGTGACTCTCCCCGTTCCCGTTCCGGCCATTGAGGTACATCACACCTGGGCCTCAGCATTCCGTCCCTCCCCGCCGTCGTCATCGACCTCCCTGAGTTTGATCTAGAAGGGAGGGAGGAGGAGGAGGGAGGAGGAGGGGAAGGAGGGGGGTCGCGGCCCGGTGGAGAGTGTCTCTCCTTGCATCGACACGAGCTGCCTGATCTGTGTACGATGTCTACGTGGCGTCGAAGAACAAAAAAAAACGGACAGGAGTAACTCGATATACTCTGCCGTGCCACGACGGTCTCCCCTCTTACTTCCCACACATACACACCTACACGTACTCTCACACACGGCTACGTGCGGCGCTGCATGTCCAGAACCACTGTGCGCGCCTGGCCGGCGGGCAGGTCTCTCTGGCCCGCCGGCCTGCCAGATCTGACATGTCGTCTGCGCCGGGCGGCGGCAGGCGCCTCATCGGACTGTCCCATCTCCACCTCTCAGCTTCTCTCGTCGCCTCTGCTCTGCGCGCGCGCGCGGACTCGCGTACGTACATACACACGCCTGCAGCGAGGCCGCGATGCGGAAAGGGGCGGCGTCGATCAGCGCCGGGCCGCCGCCGGCGGCCGTCGCGCCCATCCCGAGCCCCCCCCCCCTTTTTTTTTCCCTTCTGCTCCCCACCAAACCCCCCCCCTCCTCCTGGGCCGCTGGCCGAAACCGCCAAACGGCCACGACGCAGAAGCAGCGACGCGGGGCTTTTTGCGCCAGCCAGCCAGCCACTACTCCGTCCCGACTAGCAAGCCGGCGGTCTGAGCGCAGACTAGGCTCAGACTCCAAACAACCCCCCCTCGCTCCCCCCTCTCCTCTCAACGACGCCGTCGTCGCAGGGGCGTCGCGGGCGCGGGCGCGGACGTGGGCCGCATCGGCCCATTGGGCTCCCGGCGAGATGCAGACCCCGCCGCCACGCGCGCGTTGCGTGTATCTCCGGGGCGCGCTGGCCCGTCTGCGAGGAAACGTGGCACGGGGGACGGGAGGGCGGCGGCGGCAGCGGCGGCAGCGGTGAAGTCTGCAGTCCTCCGCTGACGTCTAGAGAGGGGAGAAGGGGAGGGGGGGAGGCAGGCTGGGGGGCTCGAGGAGAAGGGGCCTACGGCGTGGGCGTTTTCGTCTGCGCTAGCTATGCCCGACGGAGCTAATCTACGCACATGCGCGCGTCGGCGCGGCCCCCCGGCTCGCCTGCCTCTCTGTTTTTTCTGCCGTCTTGCCGCCTCTCTCCCCCCCTCTCTCCCCTGCCTGCTTACGCCTCGCGAACCTGGCACGCGGCCAATGAGACAGGCCCAGCCGCCTGGTGCGAGCGAGACCGGCCGCCGGGCCGGCCGCCTCTCGCCCGCCAAGCCTCGTAGCAGGGCGCTTCGGCTCTGCTGCTTCGCGCTGGCGGATCCGGGGGGATGCGACGGTTGGGTGTACGCGTAGGGTATTTTTAGGCCGGATCTGGGCTGGTCTCTGATCCTCCCCCCCGGGTCGCGGTAGCATCCAGCCATCGAGCGAGCCGGCCGGCCAGTCAGCGGGTAAGCTCCAGCTTCCAAGCGGTAAGTGCTCTGCTACCTACCTACCTACCTACCTACCTCCGAGCGGCTGGGCGGCCCTCTGAGGGAGGAGGAGGCAGGAGGGGGGAATCGGATCTACACGCCACGCAGCAACAGGTCCGTTTGTTGCGCGACCAACGCACTCGCGAAGAAGGGATTCCGAAGGGACGCGGGCCACTGCCGAGCTACGCAGCAAGGATGTGCGATGGCGTTGGTGGCAGGCGAGGTGGCACATACAAACAACACGTACACACGCACCGCACACACGCGCCACCCACCTATACAGCTCCCAATGCTCCGGAGACACACCATTTCCGCCCGTGTGCCTATGTGATGAGTGCTAAGTGTATGTGCGTCTGTCTGTGTCCCTACGTCCCCGGTGCCACGGCAGCGAGCTGATGCGCACATTCGCACTCGCGGGTTCTCACGTCACATCTCATCACCCCAGAACATCCCTTTTCCCTTTCGCCTGCATATCCCGGTCCTGCTGTGCGCCGTGGATGTCTAGATTTCCCAGCCACGCCCACCATGTTTTGGGGTCCCGCGCGGGTTATGTATGCAGGTTGCCGGCGCGGACTCTCTGCTAGCCGTGATCTGCCCCTATGGTTGAACAGCACGAAATGAGTCGTCACCCGAGTTGTCAAAATTTTCTCTTTTCAGCCTCTCGTTGTCGTACCGGTGGTGCTTGTCCAGGACTGATATCGCCGGTATATGGTATGGGGCGTTGTGAGTCCCATCGTCGTCTAACCTGCCTACGGCGCACACCGCCAAACGCCCCGTGCTACGAGGCCGCTCGGCTCTTCGATGTGGGATGCCACGGCTGACGAGGCGTTAAAAGCAGGGTATGAATCCCTAAGAAGTGTTAATTAGCCCCAGGGAGGGTGTTATGATTTGTGTTTGGCCGGTATGCCCGTGAAAATGCCGTACCTATATCACCACTTATCACGGGTCCGTAAGATGGCCCCCATTTCCTGTATCGGCTGCCGTGCTATGTAGTAACGCGTACGTAGGAATGTTCCCTTTGCCTACCTACTGTATAGGAACTGTAGGATATTACCAATCCATCACATTCTGTTGGTTGGAATTACAACTCAGGGAGGGTGCCGGCTAGAAGGGATAAAAATAGGCAGGCAACTAACTGTTGAAGGGCCTAGGTATATGTCTGGGTAGCCTTGGCGAAGGGCATCGACGAGAGCCTCGATAGGTGTTGAATGAATCGTAGGTAGTATTTTTAGGATCGGCATATGTAGCCTTGCGGATCTTGAGTCCCGCCGCCGTAGTTGATATCACACACATTCAAGACATCCGAGTGGCTTAGGGCATCGTCGCCCGTTGCCTTGCTCTGGATCGAGGGGAGCGAGAGGCCGACTCCACCTTCAACGCATTAGTTTACACTTTCGTGAGGCAGATAAGACTGACGGACTTGGAAATAGACAACTGGGCCGGTCGTTTGCTGCTGCGAGGGACTTTGGGAATAGCCGCCCCCAGCGACCATTCGTGACCGCCCACACCCACGTTCGTATTCCTCCGCATATCATGTACCTAGGCATACACGATCCATGATGATCAGGCTACCGATGCTGATGTCTCGGCCGATAGCCCTACCCACCGGAGAGCGTGATGTACCCCCCCCCCCCCCCCCCTAATCTCCCTGGCACACTGGGCGATTGCCTAGGCCGAGTACGCGATTGGATACCACTGCTTCGTAAGCTGAGAACGAGAGGATAAACAATTCGTCGCCGCCGGAATTCTAGGCTTTGGCTATTCTCTCAGCTGTCTCAGCGTGACTTGCCTGTCCAAAATAGTTGGTCGTGGTACTACCTCCCAGCGGCGAGAGGTGAAGAGAAAGGGGGGAAGCTCGGATAGTCGGTCCTATGATGCACACCGAGCGGCAATCTTACGCAAACACAAGTTCGCCAATGGAGCAGATATGACGGCATTGTTGACGGGTTACACCCGTAACCTCGCCGCCGTACTCAAATATCTCGCCGTGGATAGATCGAGAGCGAGCGAGCGAGTACCACAAGCCAAGGCCGGGGGCCGCTCGTACGGCCCCGTTGGCGATGGAAGGGTAGGATGATGGCCTGCCTGCCGACTCTCAGGCATCTCTGGTGACGTTTCTGCTCATATCCAAGAGATGCAGCCACAGAAAGATCGATATTCGGCTGCTGCCTGAAAGGCTGCTAGGCCACACTATCGCCAGCGGCAATATCCGGAAGCTTGACGATCCGTGTTCCAACCTACATGATACGTATGATCTGAGTGCCTCTAGCTACGGCGTAGCAGTTGCCGTTCGAAGCGTATGCAGCACACTTGATCCTACAGGTGCACCTACACCAACATCAGCATCGGCATCGTAACCCCCGCGGGGATATACCGACGGGAAAGGGGGCTCAAGACCTGGCGCTATCTGCGTAGTTGGCTAGGTGGGACGGCGTTTACGACGGCAACCCAGATATCAATGGCATATCTGTCAACTACTGCAGATACCCTGCGTCCAACACGCCAAGGCTGCCATGTTTATCAGAAGATCGGGATCCCTTCGAAAGTCCTACAACGGCTGCAACGGCTTGGTGCAACACACTCCATGGGGCGGTTAGATTCATCTCGCAATCACATTACGTCTTTTCGCACTGCCGGTTCCGGTCACATACGACATTGGGTCTCTGTCCAAGCCTGTTGAGCCTTAATAATAATCATCCTCCCGTGCTACACTAACCGAAACCAAATCTGTAAAGCCCCCGTTTCCTTAGAGCGCTCTTTGCTAATTTGCTCTACATACTAATAAGGGGAAGGGGGAAGTCCGGTTTTCCTTGTTATCTTGATAGTGGTCTGAGTCTATCAACTTCTCTAATACCTCCTAAACCTGATCTCTCGTGTAAAAGGGGTTCTACGAATGGGAAAGAGTCGGCTGACAGCGTGAGATCGTAACCTTTATACTTGATCTAAACTGCTGATGATAAACCGCAGGGTCGGGACTGCGGTGTCCGTGTTGGGTGTTGTTCACCATACCCTAAAACTATTCCAAGATTATCCTCGGGATTCTCATAATGCCCACAGATGGAACGTGCATGCGAGGCGGCTGGCGGGACACGGTGCCCGGGATACTGCGTGTCCCTATGCGTGCCTCTTGGGGTGTCTCCGAGTAGCTCTTATCTCGGCGGGGCGGCGAGCTTGGTCGTAAAGAAAGCGTGCTTTAAGGCCTCAGATGGCGTGATCCTCTTGTCCGGGTTCAGTGTTAAGCATCGCTCTAGTAGGTCCACGAAATGGTTTAAATCCCTCGATTCTACATCGTTCATTCCTCCCGAAGCGGCCATGAGGCGAGTCCGGAGGTCACGGGTCGGCTTGACAACGGCCAGGGTCCGCACTGTTGTCTGTACATCTGTTAGCATACATGGCCTAGATGATGACTTCCTATTCTAGGACACGAATGACGAATGACCGGGGGCGCAAACAAGTTCGGAATGCGGGGTTATGAAGAAAAGGTAGCCAAGCAGATGGATGAGGGTGTTTGGTGGAGCGTTGGGGGTTGGAAGTGCCAGCTCGAGGCCGTAAGATCCGGGATAGACCTAGGCTACGAGCGCATCATAGACGCCTCGGCCTACGTCGAGCGATGGTACGGTATGATTGACCGGTCCCGGGCACGCAGGGTGGCAAACCGAAGCAGGATATCACCCAGAAGCGGGCGTTAGGAGATGATTTCCGCATCGCTGGCATCATGCTGCCTGTAGTAATGTCGACGTGATCCACTCGCAACCGCAGCCTCGAATATAAATAGCCGTGCAGGGCATGGCCCGTTATCTACCAACCATGTGGGTGTGTGTATGTGTATGTATGCATGTATGTGTGTGTGCTCTGGGGCCCGAGGAAAGCGAATAAGTAAAAAACACTGCCAACTTACCTTGCCGAGGGCTTTATCCCTCTCGAGGCTGACAAAGTTGCCAAAGTCATCAAAATGCATCTGAGATAATTGCCCACGCTTGTACAGCTTGGTGCTAAACTTGCCACGGATTTCTATGATTGCTTTGAGCATCTGATTGTTGCTGTCGCCCGTGAATAAGATCTTGCCGGTGTACAGCTCATATAACGTGCATCCTATGGACCACATATCGATGGCGTAGTCATAGGGCATCCCGAGTATGATCTCTGGCGCTCGATAGAACCGACTGACTAGGTAAGGGGTAATCTCGTTATTCGCCGTGGCGGCATCTGATCTGTCGATAGCTGTACCTAGATCGCAGATCTTGAGGATATTACGGGTTTCGTTGACCTAGACGAGGTTAGCGACCTCCCTACTCATACAGCACGATACGATGATTGCTTACCAAGATGTTGTCTGGTTTCAGGTCGGCGTGGATGATGCTACACCTGCGGAGATGTGCCAAAGCGACGAATATCTGATGTGCATAAGCGCGTGTTGCGCTCAGGTTAATGCCAATATTGTTGCCAAACTTCCTTAATACCTCCCGTAAGTTCAAGCTGAGGTTCTCGAATGCTAAACAGAGATGACTCTTATGCTCGAAATGGCGCTCGAATTTAACAATGTGCTTACGATTCTCGGGGTCAGCCTCGTTTAGCTTCTGCAGAATCGCGATCTCGGTAAAGCCTCCCTTCCTGAGTGCATCATTATTTCGCATCATCTTGATGGCGACCAGCTTCTTACTCGTGATGTCGACAGCTCGGGCAACGCCTGAAAACATGCCTTTTCCTAGAGTCGTCTGGACCTGATACCGACCATCTATGATCTCGCCGATTCGAATCTTATAATATCCGTCTTTGTCATCGCCCTCGAGGATACCGCCGGCATTAGGTTCGACCAACGCGGCAGGGACTTTCCGGTCGTCCACGGTGGTATCTAGATCGGCAGTTTTAGGGGCTGCGAATTTCTCCTCGTCAAATTCCTCAGCGAACATATCGAAGTCGTCGTCGTCGTCCTTCTTCGATCTCTCTTGTCGCTGTGGCTCTTCGGCCGGAGCGACATCCTGAGTCGAGGGAAGGGTTTCTCCATGGGCGCCGGCATGCCCGTGCCGAAGCTCGTCCCGGAGCTCATCTTCTCTCATATCAACCGTAGGGTCGTAGTCCGCGGCGGAAGGACCGTCGTCGTCTGTGCCTCTAGATTCGCCGTGAGTATTGATGAGATCTTGATCGTTAGAGATTTCTAGTACAGCGGGCGACATTCCTTCCTGAAGGCCACGAGCCGGCGAGTGGGGCGACGAGACGACTGTACTAGCGTTAGAAATCGATGTTTCGAACTTAAGAGGAGAGGTTTCTTACCGGATCGGGGGGTATTCCCTTCGGCAGCGAGAGGCGTACTCGCCCGTGTTTGGCCCGGCGAAGCTGCATTCGTCTTTTCCGAGGCCTGGAGGGCTTGGACTAACATTGGCGTGGCACCGCGCGACTTCGCAAGGAGCTCTTCGCGACGCCGGCGTCTGCGTTCTATCTCGGCGTCGACGTCCACAGGTGTCTCTTCCTCGTAGTATTTTTCTTGCTGGGCGGGTTGGGCCGGCGGCCCTGTAGGAGTAGTTTCCTCGGAACTACCTGGTGCGCGTTTAGTGTCATCTTTGCCGGTACCTGTACTTCCCGCAGACTTCTGCTCAGAATACTTTGCATGGTCACGGGAATGCCGCGGGGTGCCTTGCTGACTCGATCGGGTGTGTTCGACACCCGTCTGTTCGGACGCTCGCTGGTTTCTGTAATCATCGCGTCGTGAATAGCCGCCTCGGTTCCTATCGCTTTGCGGAGGTCGATACGGAGAACGCGTGCGATTTCTATTGCGCTTCTTAGGTCGACGATCTCGATCACGGTCTCGACTCGAGTCCCTAGTCTTATTACGGACAACGTAGTCTCGATCTCTGTCATCGTAGAGGAGGCCAGCAGTCGATGAACGGTAAGGAGGGCGGTCTTCGTCATCGTATGATATACGCGAGCGGCGGTGACTATCGGACGAGTCCTCGTAGTGGACGCGAAACCGTCGCGGGTCCGCATCTAGGCGGCCCCCGCGAAGGGAATCGCGGTCATCGCGGGGACGCTTGCGCCCGCGGGGCGAGCGGCTTCGTCGGGATGAGCTGGGTGGGTATCTCGAGCCGTTCACATACTCGGGTGATCTTGATCTCGAATATCTAGCTCGAGTTCTGTCCATACGGTCAACACCGGTTCCTTCAAACTGAGGCAGTGAAGTTGCCTTCGAGTCTCCAACGCCGTTTTCCACAATCTCGCCCTCGTCAGAACTAGCAGGAGTTGCCATTTTGCTCACTATACCAGGACAAGAACCTAGGAAGTGTAGAGCACTTCCAGGTCTAGGTGACGGGGGAGAATACAATGTTAGCTACCAGCACAGCAGCGAACGGAAGTGCGGAGAATTGAGTCGAACCGGTAAACGTCTTTTGCTTTGGCTTGTCTTCCTTCCCTCTTAACCCTGCCGCATCGCAGGTTCAGCCAGCTCCAGTATTTGTTGGTCGAGGTGATGCGGTGGCGAGCTCTGCTGGAAGAGTGTATGATCCAAGCCGGGTAGGGAGGGATGGACGGGTGGCTGGGTGCTGTGAGTGGGGAGTAGGAGTGGGAAATGCCGCCTGGAGAAGAGAACACGAAGATGACGTCGCGTCGGGTTCGAGATGTTTCCGGTTTGGAATCGATTTTCAAAGCGTTGAAACGTTTCTGCTCACGATATGATAAAACGATTCACGTTAGAAGCCCTGCCTGATGTGCCATCCGACGTGGATCCATCCGAGGACCTTCAAATCTGGTGGATTTACATATCGCCGAATCCGGCGCTCCATGCTAGACCCAATCAGGATTAGGCACGTGCCTGCCGAAGAACCTAAAATAGAACAGGCACCTAATGTAGTACGTACCTATCTCTACGTGTAGAGGCATCTTCCCTGAATGTGCGCGTCGTGGGTACGTACCTAGGTAAAGTACCTGCATATGTGTTTAAATACCTTAGGTACTTAACTTAACTTAAACTGAAAAAAGCTTAACTTAACTTAAGCTCAAAAAAATTAACTTAAACTTAACTTAACTTAAAAAACTTAAACTTTACTTAAAAACTTAAACTTTTTTTTTCAACACTATATATTATATATACCTCTATTGGTTAGATTTAGGTAGGTACTGAACAGGAGCAGCGTGGGCACGCTAACGGAGGCACGAAACGGCTACCCAACTGCCAACAACTGGCCCAGTGCTGATCAACCCAAGATTACAGCTGTAAACAGCCGTAATCGGTTAATCGGCTAGCTGAAAACGGCAGCTGGGAAAGGGGAAGAAGGAAGGAGAGAGAAGGGAGAGACTAGAAACGGGCAACGAAGATGGCTAGAAAAGGCATGGCAAGAAACGAGTGAATGGCTGTAGGTCGTAGTATCTACAGGTCTAAGTCTAACTGATGAAAATATGAGTGCGCGACTCATATAAATACGTATCCAAAAGGCTACGTGGCCTAGATCCACCGCACCACTACAGTACTGAATAGGAGCAGCGTAGGTACGCTATAATGGAGGCACGAGAAAAGGACTGCCCAACCGCTAACAACTGGCCTAGTGTCGATTAACTTAGATTATAGCTATAAATAGCTATAATCAGTTAATCGGCTAGCTGAAACGGTAGCTTGGAAAGGGGAGACTAGAAAAGGGTAAGGAGGATGGCTATAAAGGCATGGCAAGAAACGAATAAATAGCTATTGTAGTGGTGCGGTGGATCTAGGCCACGTAGCCTTTTCGATATATATTTATATAGGTTGCGTACTTATATTTTCATTAGCTAGACTTAGACCTATAGACATCACGACCTATAGCTATTCACTCGTTTCTTGCTATGCCTTTCTAGCTATCCTTCATTACCCGTTTCCAGCCCCCTTTCCCAGCTGCCGTTTTCAGCTAGCCGATTAACCGATTATAGCTATTTATAGCTATAATCTTAGTTAATCGGCACTAGGCCAGTTGTTGGCAGTTGGGTAGCCATTTCGTGCCTCCGTTAGCGTGCCTACGCTGCTCCTGTTCAGTGGCGACCACCTAGTAGCTCGTCCTTACCTCAGCCTTAGGAGTGACCTTTTACAACCGTTTTTATAGTTATTAGGTTCAGGATTCGTCGATCAGGAGATTCCCTGATTTTTAGTTAATTAGGAGCTATTTTCGTAGCTCCAGAGCCGTTTTTTCGTAGCTTTTAGCTTTTAAGCCTTTTCAGGTAGCTGGATCAATAGGAAGGGCAGATAACCATGGCGACCATTAATAACCACGCCCTCCTATTAGCTTTTAATTAGCTTACCTAAAAGCTCGTTCGCCGATTAATGGATCTATCTTATTCTCGTTTCTTAATTATCTCTTTTGAAGGAGCTATGCTCGTTTTTACCCGGTTTCGCCTCCGTTTTTAACAGTACCTAGATGGTAGTTTTTCGCCCTTAGTTAATCTGACTAAGTTACCGCTACTACCCCCTTTTTATAATACGCGCTTAAAGGCATCCGTTCTTTTACCGATCGATTTATTTTAATTGCAAGAGGCTTACTGATAGCTCCGATCGCCCTTGTTTTATTCCTGCTAGCTAGTTACGGCACCTGGGGAGGTTTCTCCTTGCCTTCCTAACCGATAGGTACTACGATGCCTTTAATTACTAAGAAGATACCGACATACCTTATACCTACGAACCTAATCGGGACCTACCGATTAGCGCGAAAGACCCATATAGACGATACCGCGATACGAGATAGATAAGATATTAAATAAGAAAGCCTAGAAAAAATAGCCATAGGAATAGTAACGCCTAGAGACCCCTCTTATCGCCCTTACCGATATATAGTTAGTAGGAAGAGCCAGAGCCCCTAGAACTACGTATAGGGAAGGGATCGAGGGTCAAGGGAAGCCCGGTAAATGCTACCGGACGAATAACGGTTATACGAGAATAGCTAGAAATAAGTTAGGAAATAGTCGGGCATGAATAGGATATATTAGTTAATTTATAAGATTAGGATCAGTTAAAAGGATCGGTAAAAAATAGTCATGGACGAGAAGGACGGGATTACGTTATATCGTATAGGATTATTTCTTTCGTTTCTTTCGGGAGCTACGCTTGTTTTACCTGCCCCGTTATAGTTCACTTGTTTCCTAACTATTGATCCCTATTATTTCCTAATGGCCCTAATGGAGCTAGCTCGCTCCTAGTTAATTAGGGTTAATTAGGAATAGGTTAATTAGGTTAGTTTATAGGTTACAGCTCCGCTAGCCCAGTTATTCTTATTATTAGATCTTTCCTATTTCCTATTAATCGTTAATTAAACTAGCTTAGCTCCTAGTTAGTAGCGATTGAATAAGTTCGGGATTAATTAGGTTTAGGTTTAGGATCAGGCACGGTTATAGTTACCTACCCTACTACCTACTTGTTACTATTACAATCGTTCCTAATTAACCTACCTAACTTATCCTGTTAGCCTTTGATTGAATTAGCTAGCTTTTAGTTAATTAGGGTTAATCGGGATTAGGATTAGGTTAAATAGGAACGAGAGCCACCGTACCTATTACTATTAGGAGTTTAATTACTCCTTACGGATTAATTGAATTAGGGAGGCTGTAGTAGTACGATAGATCTAGGCTACGTAGCCTTTTTGATGTATATTTATATGGGTCGCGTACTTATATTTTCATTAGCTAGACTTAGACCTATAGATATCACGACCTATAGCTATTTATTCGTTTCTTGCTATGCCTTTCTAGTTATCCTCTATTACCCGTTTCTAGTCCCCTTTCCTAGCTGCCGTTTTTAGCTAGCCGATTAACCGATTACAGCTGTTTATAGCTGTGATCTTAGTTAATCGGTACTAGGCTAGTTGTTGGCAGTTAGGTAGCCGTTTCGTGCCTCCGTTAGCGTGCCTACGCTGCTCCTGTTCACTATAAGGTCGTAATACTAAATAGGAGCAGCGTAGGCATGCTAACGGAGGCACGAAACGGCTACCTAACTGCTAACAACTGGCCTAGTGCCGATTAACTAAGATTATAGCTGTAAATAGCTATAATCGGTTGATTAGCTAGCTGAAAACGGTAGCTAGGAAAGGGAGACTAGAAAAGGGTAACGAGGATAGCGAGAAAAGACATGGCAAGAAACGAGTAAATAGCTATAACTAGTGATGGCTATAGGTCTAAGTCTAACTGATGAAAATATGAGTGCGTAACTTATATAAATACACATCGAAAAGGCTACGTAGCCTAGATCCACCGCACTACTACAATATATAATAAAATACAAAGTAAATATTTTATATTGATAATTATGAAAATTTAAATAATTATTATAATTAAAAGAAAAAATCTTTTAAAAATTATTAAATTTTAAGTTTTTTTTTAATTTTAAGTTTAGTTTTAAGTTTTTAAGTTAAGTTTAAGTTTTTCTTAAAAAAGTTTAAGTTATGTTTTTATTTAGAAACCCCTTTTTAAGTTAAGTTTAAGTTATGTTTAAGTTATGTTTTTTTTTTGAAAACTTTTTTAAGTTAAGTTTAAGTTAAGTTCGAAATTGCTTAAGTTAAGTTAAGTTCAGCCCGAACTTAACTGAAAAACTTTTTTTACAACCCTGATAATACATAAAGGATAGCCTGGTAAACGAGGGCTATATAATACGGTGGATATGGAATTATCGAAGTATTGGGACTAGCGCGATAAAGACCCTTTGCGACTCGCTTGGTGCCCCGCGATTAGCATCTTTTCCGGGTCTGGCTGACTTGTTGTCGCCTTGGATTACCGCCTCTCTTTTTTCATCCTTCGTCTCCTCCTTCTTCCCCGGACCGTCCTCGACTTCTTTCCACCAAGCCCTCGAGGGATAGACCAAGGTGCCTCCCTGGCATCTCGCGCGAGGCTGGCCAACGACAGAAGAACGAGCTCAGACACGAAGCAATTATTCCAACATGGGTGGCCAGAACAGAGAAGGTATCTATCTCCCGGACTGTATTTCCGCGAAAGCCAACTTGTTACTTTCGCAGCCCTTCCGTGGCATCTTTTCGCTCAGGCTGACCTCTTTGTCTCTCGCCCCCCCTATTTAGGCGGCAAGATCAAGCCCTTGAAGGCGCCCAAGAAGCAGCAGAAGGACCTCGATGAGGACGACAAGGCTTTCCTCGAGAAGAAGAGGGCAGGTATGCGCCCTCGAGCATCTACAGCCGTATCGGACAGTCGCTAACTCCGGTCGGCAGACGAGAAGGCTCGCGCGGAGCTGGCCAAGAAGGCTGGCGGCAAGGGACCTCTGAACACTGGTGGTCAGGGCATCAAGAAGAGCGGCAAGAAATAAGAGGCCTCCCACGCGACCGACGGAAGCGACGAAGTCATGAATCACATCGAGGGTGTAGGCGTAAGCTGCGTAGGCGCTTGACGGGTTGACATGACTGCCCCATTGCTGGCCGAGTCTAGGGGGGATATCTCTACGTAAGGTGCTTAATAGACTGATTTTTTTTTTCCATTTCCGAAGAAAAATCGGACCGAGGCTCGTTGAGTATGTGGATCAACCATATCACGATGTTGGGATCCCATCACGTTGGTGTGGTTGTAGTAGATACGTGTGTACCAATCGTAAGGTGGCGACCATACCTGCGTGGACGGGTGGGCATCAGGTGACAGCACCTGTCCATTCGAGGGTGTTTCAGGGGCTCTTCGGCTATCCGTATTCATCGCTACCAACCGGTAGCGTCTTCCCAACAATTATCGACACAGCATTCAACAACCTTCTACTTATATACGCCCATACTTGTGTTTCTTCTCAACAAGGGTGGGCGACCTCTTGATGGATGAGAAGGACAAGACGACGAAGATAATGACAATAAGCGAAACAGAGTGACACCGCATGTGAAAATATACCTTGCATATCTGGCCGGACGAATCAACGACTTCTCGACCACACAGTATCACAGGTGATGACTCCGTGCCAGCCACATCCTCTCTAGATTAAGAAACACTCTTACTAAACCCCTTCATCATCGTTAGATCTAAGCTGTTCCCGCTACCATGGGCGAATTCTCCCTCCAGCACCCGCAGGACCACGCCTCCGCCTCCGGGCCTTCCGCGGGGGCCGGCGACGGACGCGGGCTCCGGCAGCGGCGGCGCTCCTCGTCGGCGGCTTCGGCGCTCGCGCGCGCCGCCGCGTCGGCCGAGCACAAGCTGGCCGGCGCGGCGCGGCAGCTGCTGCTGGGCTGGGACGAGCTGCCGGCCTGGCGCCGCGACAACCAGTACATCGCGACCGGGTACCGCCCCGAGAGCGGCAGCTTCCAGCACTCGCTCGCCTCGCTCTTCTACGTCCACAACGAGTCCGTCAACATCTGGACCCACCTCCTCGGCGCCCTCACCCTCCCCGCCGCCGGCGCCGCCTGGCTCGCCGCCGCCCTCGCCCCCGCCGTCCTCGTCGTCGAGGCCGCCTCCGCCCGCTACCCCTCCGCCGGCGCCGACGACGTCCTCGCCTTCGCCTGCTTCTTCGCCGGCGCCCTGCTCTGCCTCGGCATGAGTGCCACATATCGGTAGGTGCGCCGTGGCCGTTTTTCCGCTGGCCCCCTCCCCCTCTTTTTCATAATGTGCTGCTAATTCGAAATTAGTAAGTGGTGATCATACACGTCTTTTCTAGAACTTGTGTGTGTGTGTGTGATTTTCGAATCCCCTCTTCTCTGACCGGTGCCTGCTATGTAGACGCCATCTCAAACCACTCCCCCGAGGTTGCCAAGTGGGGGAATAAGCTGGATTACTCGGGTATCGTATTCTTAATCGTAGGGAGCTATATCCCGGCGCTGTATTACGGCCTATTCTGCTTGCCAGATCTCAGGACGGTATACCTGTGCGCTGTAAGCCTCCGCCCTCACTTTTTGGAAGACGTCCCTCCCCGTACGTATTCCCCGCTTCATTTCTAACCTGACCCCTTCCCCTCGTGCATAGATATTCCTCTTGGGTCTCGGCTGCGGCATGGTGTCCTGGATCGAGAGGTTCCGGACGCCACTCTGGCGGCCCTACCGCGCGGCCATGTTCGTTGGTCTCGGTGTCTCCGGCGTGGTGCCTATCTGTCACGCCCTTTGTATCTACGGCTACCGCGCCCTCGACGAGCGCATGGGCCTTAGCTGGGTTCTCTTGCAGGGCTTTCTCTACATTTTCGGAGCTTTCCTTGTGAGTAACCCCCACCCCTCCCCCTCTGATATTGAAGTCCCTTCCTGCGTTCACGTAGCTCAAGGAGCTCGCTCCCTGGGACTCACCGGTCAAATCGTAGCCGCTAACTCCATTGTTACCGCAGTACGCAGTGAGTGATTAAACATGACCCATCGTATGCCCATTAATCTAATAGGGCTGATATTGACATGCGTGTGTCTCTGTAGGTCCGATGGCCCGAGCGAAGCTTCCCGCGGACTTTCGATATCTGGGGCAGCTCGCACCAGCTGTTCCACATCCTCATCCTGCTCGCCGCCGTGTCGCACTTTAACGGGATGGTTAAGGCGTTCGATTATCACCACAGTGTTCTGGGGGGGCAATGCTAGTGATGCGAAGCTGGGAATACCGTATGCATTCATATGCCGCGCGCCATTGCTCACGACCGTGAGCGGATCTTGAAGACCAACTACAGGCACGGACAGACCTGGAGCTCAGACTTAGACGACCGGAGTCCGAGAGATGGAGTAAATGGGCGTTTTAATAGAGCTATAACTGCATAGCACCATTGGGTCTGTCGAGGCTCGAACCCTGAAGTGGGAGTTTGAATACTTGGTCAACTAATTATACTCTTGATAGAGAAGCTAGATACAGACAGCCTAAGGAGAACGTAGTAGCTCGTGCATTCTACTATATAGGTGATTCAGTGAGGCCCTATTGTGACATATCATCATCACCCTCATCGCCATCTTCCATCTCATCTTCGTAGCGGGTATCGTCGTTGCCGGGTTCTGATCCGGCCACGTCGCCTTCGCCTCCCAACCCTATCTGCTCGTGCTGTTGCCCCTCGGTGTCTTCCGCCTCGATGCCGAGATCCATAACTCTCACCAAGCCGGAACCCATCGCGGCCGCTGCCCACCAGCTGAATTCCGCATTTGGGTTCCAAGACACGGCCGTGATGCGACTCAGCGGTTCGTGGACGACGATGGGACCCGCGACCATGGTAAAATTATCCTCGTCGATTTCAGCAGGATCGTCAGACCCCGCGCCACCTGGCTTTTGGGCTGTCTTTTTGTTGCTTTTGCCCTTCTTCGCCGAGCCTTCATCGTTGTGTTGGTCTGCCGCTCCCTTACCCGCCTGAGCGTGTTTCATCTGGCCTTTCTTTGCGATCCTCGTCATGATCGGGTGAGTATTGGGCTCGGCTAGGAAGCCGTGCAGGATGCGGCACGCTCCCCGGCGCGGGATCTCCTCGCCCCCGAGGCTATTTGGTGGAGGAGAGGGGATGTATTCGTGCTGGAAGACTCTGATCTTGTAGGTTGTCTGTCGGTGCGATGCTATCTTGCGTAGGACGTTGAGAGCCCAGACGGAGCCGTCCGAACATCCGACGAGGATGAACGGATGGCACGCCCCTATGGCGAGACAGGTAGTCTGGCTTTCGTGGGTGCATATATGACGAGAAAGGGGAAATACTCGAGATTGAACGAAAGATACGGTCGAGGTCGCTGGGAAGGATGAAGGCCACACAGATACGTATCCTCTTAAGTGATCACTCCAGCCAAGTGCATTCGGCTGTAGAGATATCGTCATGTTCGTATGGTACGTTCTCTCAGCACTTGGTCGGTTTAGGTCGGTTAGGGTAAATACGCCGCCTAAGGGCAGCGTCGCGATTAGGAAAGGATGCGAAGGGTAGCTCGAGACCATGTCCATAATAGGACTCGAGTGAACAGGGTGACGCTGCATTTGCCGACAAGGCGAAAGCGACCACACTGCTACCGAACCATCCGAAAGACCGACAGCAATGCGGTTCATATTGATCCAAGTAAAGCAGTTTATTTCTAGCGTATATTCCCTTGGCGGTTCGATAGTGATCATAGGTTCCTGTATGTCCTCTAGCTCAACGTCAACCAATCGCTCTACTACTCTCGACATTGCGAATACTTACCGAAAGCTCCCGTGGTGCTGGTCGCTGGGTCCTGCCCGATCCTGACGACTCTTACCTTTCCGTCGTTGCATAGCACGGCTAGGAGCCCAACTTGACTCTGACCCGCGAGCGGGACGGGACACCACTGCAATCTCATCACTCGCAGTGATCGGAAACCCACAACACGGGCCAACCTTGGCGAAGAACGAGCAGGCCGGAAAACACCTCGAGAGTTTTCCTCCGCCTCGAATTTCCAAACCTGAACACCGCCTCCTCTAATCTCAGTCGCCACTGGCGCAATATCAGGGTCCTGGTAAGGAGCTTGGTCTGAGAAGGGAACGACAGCCAAGGCCAAGAGCTGGTCAGCTTGACCCCGTATCGGCGCCCACCCCATAGAGAGGACGATGCCTCCTACGTCGAGTAACCAGCCGGCATTCTGTGGTTCGGGTTCGTCTTCGCCGTCAACCGGAAGCCCGGAGTCTACGAGCGGTATACTCTCGCCCTGCTGGATGAAGTATTTCTTCTGATCCGTGACGTGGCCAAGCAGGACGCTCATCTCGCCGTCGGCCTGGGGAAGAAACCACCGGAATGCCGCCGCTTCGTCGATGAGGGCGGACGTCTGGGGCGCAGGCCGTGTCGATAGATATCTCTGGTACCAGATGCGAATCTTCTCTTGCTGGTTCTGGGCGAAGCCGTCGGGCATCCAGCCGTCCCTGGCCCGCGCTAGCCGGGAGGAGCCCGGCAGAAGTTTTGGTGGGAGGATGTGCATGTTCCACCACAGGCTTATGAAGTCGTCGAAGATGCGCTGGCGATCGTCCCTATCGCCGAACCAGAAATCCACTAGGCTTACGAGCCGCGTCCACCTCTTGACCGGGCCGACATAGGACCTCGTCCATTTTTGTGAAGCATCCGTCGGATAGAGTCGCACTTCTCTTAGCGACCTATCTGTCGTTGACGCCGACGGACGGCTCTTCTTTGTCCTATTGCGCGCGGGCCTAGCCTGCCTGCCGTCGGCGGATTCAAAATCCGACGAGGCTGGGGAGTCGCTGTCGTGATCGACTAGATCACCAGGGTATGACCCGACCTCAACTACGAAAGCGTCGTCGGACGTGCCATCGTCTTGATCAGAATCGACACTGGGAGGGAGGAAGCGTTTCTGCCGATTCGACTCTCGGAGTCGCATCTTCTAAGGTAAGGCTTGAAGGGGCAATCGCCCTGGACTGGTAGGTCTCGGGGGATTACTGGGTACTGATCGATGTGGCTGGCGCTACCTTAGGCTGCTAGGTACCTAGGATGTAAACTTGCGGACCTGTACGCGCGCGACCGTATTTGCATTCCTTTCTTGTCCGGGACATGTAAGCTTCTACACGTAGACACACGTCGGCGCCTATAGGTATGGGTTTTTGCATAGGCACCGTATATTATATCGGGATGGAGGAGGGTAAGTGGACGTGTTTTACCGTCACATGCTAATTCCCTCCAGCGTCGCATCTGGAAATCCGGGGTAGAACGACGGATATTACGTAAGCTAGGGATGCTTCAAGTATCTGGAGGTAGGTACCTTCGGTGACTCCTCGTCTGAGCACGATATACCTACCTTAGGTACCTACATATATGGACAGGTAAAATTAACGGTGAAATTAACGGTGAAAAGTGCCCAGTCGAAAGCGATGTTAATTGACAACGCGGTACTTCCTCAAGTACCTCCTACGGACGGCTCTAAGAGCTTCTGTTCTATAGAAAAAAAGGAGTTCATGTATGTGGTGGTTCCGGTGAGTCTGATTGGAGGACGCCTCGCCGTCCTTCATTCCTCCGAGGGACATGCAGTTTAGTATATCTGTCTAGGTGGGCACATGCGTGACAATTCCTAACGCCGTCCGTTCCGACACCTCGGGTATGCTACCCTAGAAGATACCTACCTAGGTAGTGTGGGAATCGCCGTGTCTTAGGCCGAGTTCACACTCTCCCCGGCTTAATAACAAGTGTCCATTATCGGTTCATGCACACATATATACCTGTTTGCCTGCATGTAATGAATATGCGAAGCACACGGATTACCACTCCAGAGCGTATACCAAGCTCTATTGAAGACCAACCCAGATAGTGGAAAAGCTAGGTGCCTCCGAGTAGAACTTGGCGATCTTGGCAGGCCCCCTCGCCCCCTTCTTTTGTCTCTCCATTTTTTCAACCGTTCCGGGCTAAAGGAGATCGCAGACAGGTAGCCAGCGAGCTAGCGTTGTGGCGTGTACCTATCTATACTCTGTAGGCATTTTGTCTCCATTATGCCAACTGTGTCTCTTGCAACACCGCTCAACAAGCGCTGGTTGGGTAACGTTACGATGAACTAGCTACTGGCCTAGTTTATAGTCGAAGCTCAACGTATAATGCGTAGGCGTAGATAGCATCGGCTCACATGCGGTTTGAGTGGGAATCTAGCCTGTTGTAAAGCGATGGTAGCAAGCACACGTACAAATACCTACCTACGTAGGGTAGCCCGGGGTCGCATACAGGCCAAGCGTTGGGTGTCGGTACTCAAGAGGTTGAAGATCGGCATTCAGAGGTTGAGGTATACTCTCGTCCTAGATGGCCTGCTTGTGCTACAAGCGACTGGAGCCTCAAAGGTAGGTGTGTATAGTGGGTACCTATAAGCGGAGGCCTAGGTTACTATGGCAGAGTACCTCTACCTGCCTGCAGGTGCCTCGTAACTTATTGTGCCGGATATATGGGTATGTACCTATAGCACATTAGACTTGGCCCCCCCCCTGCCTACCCCACAGTCTTTGTCCCTCTTCTTTTTTTTTTCTTGCCCGTTGTCGGCTCGCCATGAATTTGCTGGTCTTGTGTGACTGTTCGAGAGCCCGCCCACTTCGATACACCAACATCGTGGAATATTTATTCTTGCCATTGAACCACCCTCAACGCTCCGCAAGCCTGCTGGTGGGCTTTTCCTTACGGATATACTAAATTTTTATAATTTTAGCCACTTAGCAGCGTGCTCTGGGTAGCTCTCCTCTGCCCTTAGAGTCTTCCTACGCCTGCCTGCCGTCTACAGCCGTTCTCTTCCCCCTCGGCCATGCTTCGCGTCCGACCGGCAAGCCGAGCCTTCGAGGCCCTGGCTCGAACTTCACAACAGCGACGTTTCTTCATTGCCTCGCCTATATCTGCTGGCATACAGTCCAGAAAAAAGGTCCCTGCTGGCATCAGAAATCAAGCTACATCAGCACAAGCAACGCCGTAAGTCGGCTATCTTCTAGAACCACGGCTCCTCCTCCTGAAATTAAGACGTCTCGACTGATGCGCTACGGCCAAAAACATAGTCAGGTTAGCGAGGTGCCTCCTCCAGCATTGAATCCTACGAGCCCCAAGGACCGAAGCCATGTTCAACCCTTGGTCAATCCTCGGACACCCGACGTGGATGAATCGTAGGCGACCCTTTCCCTTTGCTATCTCGATGGCCCGCATATGATTGACCGGGAAAATCTAGATTCATCGGAAAGACTGGAGGCGAGATATTCCATGAGATGATGCTGAGAAGAGGCGTCAAGCACATATGTACGTCGCATGTCGGACGGGACACCAGTGCCGTATCTAATATGAGTCACAGTTGGATATCCCGGTGGGGCTATTCTCCCCGTCTTCGATGGCATCTATAACTCGAAGCATTTCGATTTCATTCTTCCCAAACACGAGCAAGGCGCAGGACACATGGCTGAAGGCTATGCGCGCGCCTCTGGACTGCCTGGTGTCGTGCTTGTAACCTCCGGCCCGGGTGCTACCAATGTCGTCACTCCGATGCAGGACGCCCTATCAGACGGGACGCCCTTGGTCGTGTTCTGCGGTCAGGTTCCCACCTACGCTATCGGTAGCGACGCATTCCAAGAGGCAGATGTGGTCGGGATTTCGCGTGCTTGTACGAAGTGGAATGTTATGGTTAAGAACATCGCCGAGTTGCCCCGAAGGATCAACGAAGCCTTCGACATTGCAACCAGTGGGCGACCAGGCCCTGTGCTTGTCGATCTCCCAAAGGACGTTACCGCCGCTGTCTTGAGGAAAGCCATCCCTACCGAACCAGCCCTCCCGGGTCTACCTAGCGCGGCATCGCGCGCGGCCATGGAAGCTACTCAAAAGATGCTAAGCGCATCCCTTAATCGAGTAGCCGAGTTGACCAATATAGCCAAGAGGCCCGTCATTTATGCCGGACAGGGCGTCATCTCGTCACACGGCGGACCGGGGCTCCTTAAAGAGTTCGCCGAGAAGGCGTCGATTCCCGTAACTACCACCCTCCAGGCCCTCGGAGCCTTCGACGAGCTTGACGAGAAGTCGCTTTACATGCTTGGCATGCACGGCTCCGCGTTCGCTAACATGGCCATCCAAGAGGCTGATCTCATCGTTGTCCTCGGTGGTCGTTTCGACGACCGCGTGACGGGCAACGTGAGCAAGTTCGCACCCGCAGCTAAGGCCGCCGCCGCCGAGGGCCGAGGAGGTATCGTGCACTTTGAGATCATGCCGAAGAATATCAACAAGGTCGTGCAAGCAACTGAGGCTATAGAGGGAGATTTGTCCGAGAACCTGGCCCGGCTTCTGCCTCTGATCAAAAGGACAAGCATGGCCGATCGGAAAGAATGGTTCGATAAAATCAACTCGTGGAAGGCCAAATGGCCCATGGCCAACTTCGAGCGCACGGAACGGGCCGGGATGATCAAGCCGCAGATCCTGATCGAAGAGTTGAGCAAACTAACGGCGGAACGGAAAGAACACACTATTATTACGACTGGTGTCGGCCAGCACCAAATGTGGACGGCGCAGCATTTCAGGTGGCGATATCCCCGTACGATGATTACGTCGGGCGGGCTTGGTACCATGGGCTATGGCCTCCCCGCTGCCATTGGCGCTAAGGTTGCCCGGCCTGACGCCCTCGTCATCGACATCGACGGCGATGCTTCGTTCAATATGACTCTCACCGAGCTGTCAACGGCTTCGCAATTTAACATCGGCGTCAAGGTCATCGTCTTGAACAACGAGGAGCAGGGAATGGTCACGCAGTGGCAAAACCTTTTCTACGAGGACAGATATGCGCACACGCATCAAAAGAACCCCGACTTCATGAAGCTCGCCGATTCTATGGGAGTCCAACACCGGAGACTGGTCAAGCCTGAAGACACCGTCGAGTCCCTGAAATGGCTCATCAATACCGAGGGCCCGGCCCTGTTGGAGGTAATCACAGACAAGAAGGTTCCCGTCTTACCCATGGTGCCTACAGGCTCCGGTCTACACGAATTTTTGGTATGGGATGGAGGTGAGTACATGGTTGCGCCTACTTGGACCTGTGATTAGCTGGCTGACGGGATGAACAGAAAAGGATAAAAAGCGCAGAGAGCTCATGCGCGAGAGAACCTGCGGCTTGCACAGCTGAGCGGAATTCCACTTGGGCTCGATCTCGTCGGCGACTTGCATCTCTCTTGGACTGTTTGGGATACCATGGGGAAAAAATAAAAATAAAATCATGGAGATGTCGCGGGGGGCAAAAAGGGAGGGGACCACATACATTGACGGAAACCTAGGGAATTAGGTCCTGTTATTGTAGACCATAATATTATAGGTAGGTATATATATCTGCGTCGTCTGGGGGGACATGCTAGTTTTGGCGAAGGCGTGCACATGGGTTTATTTGTTGGTAGTGAAGAAAAGATACCTATTGGTCAAGCAACTACCAATGAAGGCTTTTTTCGCAACAGGTCTACTATATGCATTACGCACCACCACGGGTTATCCTCAGTAATTTCCATTGCTGTGCGTGGTCCTGAGCTTGCTGCTACTTTAAGGTGAGTCGATATTGGTGGACCTAGCCTGCGTCGTTGGCGCAGCCACAAGGCCGGGTCGGTTTCTGGTCCCTCGGCTCAAGTTGCCATGAACCAAAAAAAAAAAAAAAGGAACGACTTTCTAGGGTTACTGCTTTTCTGGGACCGAGTCTCGGGCACCTGCGCCGGACGACGACGACGATTCCAGTGCGTCTCCCACTCGTCGGATATCTGCTTGCCCCGAGACGGCTGGTGCTGGGGCCGCCGGCGCCGGTCCGAGGGTGGACGGGGGATGCCGGTGTGTGCAGAGTATTATGGCAGCCGGACTAGCGCCGGTGTGTGTCTGGCGCGCCATTAGGTGGTTGCTACAGAAGAGAGGCCCCAAGGCGCATTTCTGGGGAGAGCGATCTGGGGGTTTGGAGTGCGTATCTGGGAGAGCCTGTCTGGGGGTTTGGGGGGAATCTGGGGCGGGGCGATCTGGAGGCGCTGATTGATGGACGACGGGCAGATGCCGGGCAGGCTTTCGGAAACCATGTTTCCTAGAACGAATTCTAGCCATTGCTGCTGGGTCGCTGTATACGCATCTACGCCTATTAATAAGATACTGGTGTTTTTTTTTATATCACCGTATTAGAGAAGAAGAAGAAAGAACCCAAGTCTAAACCGGAGTCGTAATGGAGGCCCGGGGCGCCTAACGGCGTAATAGACTCTAACGGTATTGATGGAGAGGAGCTGAAGGCTAAAGTTGGGCTGGGAGAGGAGAAAGCTGCGTCAGGTAGACCGACTGATCTTCTTCCGATTACGGGGTCTAAGAGGACTCTAGGTGATGACGCCGCCGAGATAAAGCTAGATATTAAGAAGCAAAGGACTCTACGCGGCCTTATCATAAGCCCGACAGAGAACACGTACATATGGATCAAATTCGCAAACCTTTGTCGAAGGCCTCAGAGGATAGGTCTAGCTGAGAAGTCTCTCGAGCAGTTTGTCGGTACCGATTACGTTCTCGATACTACAATACTGTACTGGTCTCTAAAATAACTAGCCGTAGTAAGGAGTCACGACGAGAATCCCCTCTTAAGTAGTTTATACCGTTTTAAAAATTCTATTGAGAATATAGCGAATAAACGAAATTACGCTAAACGGGTTATCCCGAGGAAACGCTCTTCTGCCTCCGTAAGTTTACGGCCGGCTCTGTTTATAACCTGGAACTCGCTAGGGCTTCTTTATAGGCCACGCCTAGTGGCGCTGACCCGGTGGGTGATTACGGCTTCCATAACAGCGTGGATTCGGGAGTCCCTAGTTCTAGAGCCCGGGAGATAATCCACGGCCTGGCGAGCCGCCGGAAGGTATGATATTGGGTGCACGCAACCGGGGCCACCCGGAGAGTCGTCGTTGATTAGCAGCTTCGACATTTGGCCTCGTGCCCGAGTCCTTCGAGTCCGACGGTTCACCCTGCTCTGATCCGACAGATCCGCTCATTCGTCATCTTCGTCGGCCCATTCCTCATCTTCGTCGGCCCATTCCATATACCTATCGGACCTCTCAAATCGAAGCTCAAAGCCTTCTTTAACAAGCCGTGTCTTCATCAAACATCCAACCGCCCCCTCCTCGTCCTCATTCAGCTTGGCTTTGGCCCAATCACGGTCCGACTCGTTCCTGCCTCGCAATCGAGCCAGACCAAAGTCAATCATGAACACCTGGTAACGACCGCTCCTGTCACGCTGGACGATAAAGTTGTCGGGTCCAACATCTCTGTTGAGGACGCCGTGGTCGCCGACCACCTGGACGACGGCGACGGCTTGATCGACGATGCCTTGCCAGTCAGATCTGTGCGCGTGATTTTGCATCCTCGCTAGGGGGAAACCGTCGATGTACTGAAGCAAGATTCCCTTGACGTGGAGCAGGTCTGCGGCGTCAGTGCGACCGATGTCGGCGTCCGGGAGCGAGAGGGCGAGATGGACGCGTGCTACAAGGCGGGGAACCAGCTTTCCCTGGATGTCACGAAGGGCATCATACATAGTAGTCTCGGTATCGAAGAGTTTGTGAACTTGGTCAGTCAGAAATGTTTCGTTCTCGCCGTCGTTCCAAGTCTCGCTCGAGTACATCTCAAAATTGAGGATGGTGTGGAGATTGTGAAGAAATTGGCGCGCTGCGCCTGTCCAGACGAAGTTGATGTACTCTTTTTCCGCGTCCCTCGTCCACGGGTCGATTCCGTAATCGCGCCGGAGCTGCTCCGAGAAGCGCCTGTCGTAAAGCTTTAGAAGCACCGGGTTGTCGGGCAAACCTTCGTCCAGAAGGTCCACGATCATGCAGTAAGAAAGCGTGCGGTGACTCTGGAGATGCCGAATTCGTGCGCGGACCGTCGAGGCTGAACGTATTTCGCCGGGCTCGGGAATGACGCTCAAGGTCAAAATCTGACCGACTTGATAATCCTCGAAAAGAGAGCAGGAAACCATCTCTATCGACAAAATAAAGCGGAGGTTTCAAAATAAAGTGGATGAATCGAAATACGTCGTGCTGTTGCGGTTGTGGGGTGAAGGAGACGTGCGAGCGAACGCGAGAGGACGACAGGAGGAGCATTACTGATGCTGGAGGAACAGCGGTCGAGGGAGGTACTGTGGACGAGATGTAGCTGTCACGAAGTAGACGGTTAAAAAAAAGGTCGGGTGCGAGCTACTTATTAGTCAACGTTCACAGCAGCCGCATTTAGGTTGATGGCTTGTTAGATGCCTGCCGGTTCTATGAATATTATCTATGGCGAGAAGAGAGTAGGAAAGCTCTTCTGACGGAGGGCAGTTAGCCTACCCGTCGAGAAGCTGGCATCACTTCACTCCTCTGCGCACTGCAGCAATAGCTACTTAAGTAATACTTAACAGAGGAATGAAAATGGCGGACTGGACGCGATTCGAAAACAACAACTCCTGGAGTTGGCCCGCACTTTGACTTTCGGTCCTGACCCTGTGTGAGGTTTTCGTGCAGGACTCGATGCCAGCAAACGGACAGAGGCGGTGACAACGGTCATGGCTGGCTCCATCTTCCAACCACCAATCTCCCAACAGTCTCTGCAGTTCACTGGCCAAGCACGCTCTGCGCATCAAAAACGATGTCAGAGAACGACGGCTCGGCGGCGTAGGTCTTCCCCCAAATATTCCTCCCATTCTCTAGAAATCTTGACTTCGTATTCTCTCGAGGAGGTCTGCGTGGTTCTCATCACCCGTTTTCCGCCGGTGCCGGACTTGCAGTCGCCATGCACCTTGCGCCACCGTCCGGTTGGCGTCCAATACAGCGATATACTATCGGCGGCAAGGTTGTTCGCGTAATCCGATACGGTCTGATCCTTGTTGCTCTGCTCAAATGATTAGCTCCGGTTCGTAACCCTCAACTTCGGCCGGTAGACAATGCCAACCGCGAGACGACTGTGCAATCACCCTTCGGGCGAAGCCGTCCACACAGCGTACACTGGGGAAGGGGGGACTGACCATGGTGACGAGACTGAAGGTGGCGATATATAGATGAAGTAGACAACGGTACGTGAGGCTGCAGGGTGCTGAGCTCGCGTGTATAGTCTTGTTATGGAAACGATGTGACTTGGGATCTTGTGTGAGATCGGCCAACTTGGAGGAAACAAGACCGCATTTTACCATCAGCAGATGCTCTCGAGAATCGTGCACGGGGACAAGCACGTTGTTCCAGCCGTGGAACTAATATTGGTATCGTTAGTTCAGAGTAAGATCGCCCCCGTTTCCTTCACAAAACCCAACGGAAGGCGCTTGACCAACTTGTCGTAGTTGCATGTCTTCAGAGGAGAGCAGGAAGACATTTTCCTAGCCTTTAACATCAGCAATCCGGGGTCTAGTTGGCCGTGTTTCCGAGTTCCCCTCTCGTTCGAGCGGTCGATCCGCCCCGGACTGACTGTTGCAATTGCACTACACCGTAACGATCGATTAGGCGACCCCCGAGGACCCGAAGCCTTAGGGATTTCGGTTGAGAGTGAGAAATCCATTTCAACATAAAGGGGGGGTTATAGGATGTGTGTGTTTGGAGCTGGGATTGGGTTGGTGATAATCGGATACTTCTACGCAATGATCCATTAATACCGAATCGGCGGAGGGTAAAGTAATTGTATCGAGGTTAATCTACAAGCTCTGGCGTGACTCCATGTCCTAATGGCAAATAGAAGGTCCCTAGACCCTTTAGAAGCATGTCCTGCCTCGTCCGGTAGATATTGTGTAGCTATCCATTACAGAGCCTTCCTCGCTCTCACCGCACATCCACATCCCTCCGAACATTCGGTCGTAGCCGGGAACCCGGACCACTCCTCTCTCCGCTGCGGCGGCACGACGGCGAGCTCGCATCAGGAATAATCCCGCGTCTTCTCGGCGCAGAAGTCCCAGAACTCGGCGGCGCGGCCGGTGCCCCCGTCGGCGACGGGGCGCATGGCCTCGCGCAGGTCCGGGCGCAGGGCGTCGTGGATGCGGCCCCAGGGGACGACGTAGCCGCCGTTGGCAGCGGTCGTGACGTCGGGCGAGAGGCCGGCGTAGAGCTGGGTGTGGGCGGCGAGGGCGGGCGCGTGGAGCAGGGGGTAGGCCAGGTAGCGCAGCCAGGGGGTGTGGCGGAAGAGGTTGGTGGCGGCGGCGCCGGGGTTCAGGGACACGCTGACGACGGAGCCGGCGGCGCGGCGCGCGAGCTCGGCCGCCAGGAACAGGTTGCCGGTCTTGGAGTTGACGTAGGCGCGGGCGCGGTCGCGCGGCGGCGCGCGCACCTCCGCCATGCGCAGCCCCTGCGGCGGCGCCGACAGCTCGACCATCTGGCTGGCCGTCCACACCACGCGCGCCGAGCCGGGGGGGCTGCCCGCGTCCTCGGCGGCGGCGGCGGCCAGCAGAGGCAGCAGCAGCTGCGTGAGCAGGAACGGGCCGAGGCAGTTGGTGGCGAGCTGCAGCTCGAAGCCCTGGGCGGAGACGCTGCCCGGCGGCGGCTGCGACACGCCGGCGTTGTTCCACAGCACGTCGAGCTTGGCCTCGCGGGCCCGGAAGGCGTCGACGGAGGCCTTGATGGTGCTCAGGTCGGCGAGGTCGAGCGCGAGGAAGGCGAGGCTGCCGCGCGAGGACGGCGGCGGCGCGGCGGCCTCGATGCGCTCGATGGCTCGCTGCGCGCTCTGCTGCGAGCGCCCGGCGATGTAGACCCGGGCGTGCTTGCGGTAGAGCATCTGGGCGAGCTCGTAGCCGATGCCGGAGGCGCCGCCGGTGATCAGGAAGACCCGGCCCTCCTGCGACGCGACGTCCGCCTCAGTGAAGGCGGGCCGGGGCGGGAAGAATTGGGAGAACTGCGCGCCCATGGTGTGCGTGCCGGAGTTCAGGTTGCCGGCGCTGTTGGGGAGGAGTCGAAGGGAGGGGAGGAGAGCCGGGGAGAAAGCGAGCGGAAGAAGGGAGGAGCTCAGAGCTACAAAGATAGGGGGACTACGACGTGGCCCACGAGGTACCTACCTTCGACGTGACTTGTCCTCATCCCCTCTCCCATCGTAACCCCCCCTTGCTTCCGCGGAACTTGTTGGTTGGTAGGTACCTGCCTGTACCTACAGGTAGAAGGTGTCTACATGTACCACCATTACAAAGAGGTACCTATACGCCGCATACCGCTCGCTTACAGGGGCTATCGAGCAGAGTGTAAGTAGAGCTTCGAGCCTCGATCCAACAGGGCGTGCCGGCTGCGCTACTCGAGACCGGAACGGGCGGCGACACACTACCTTAGATACCAACAGGTAGGTACCTCTCGCACAAGCATGTATGTAGCGCTAACACGCGTCTGCAACCCCTTCGCTATCAGAGGAGGCAGGGAAAAAGAAGGAGTCGTCTTTCTATTACACCATCGCGGGCCAAAAAGGGCGGCTGGAGAGCTACTATCGGGGGGCCGAGCAATACTATCGTCAAGAATGACCTCGTCTAGGCTAGCCGCGTTGCTGGTAACGTTCGTCACCACCCGCCAATCCTGCCGGAGCCACCTCTCGACCCCTCTGGGGTGCCGTCTCTAGAGACGGCGGCTCAGATGCTGCCGTACCGAGGGTTGTGAATACTCCATACCAGATTGCCGCTGATGCTATACAGCAAGGCCTCAATGTATGTCCGTAAATCCCGGGAAAGCCTGAGGTTGGCCTTGGTCTCTTCGACGACAACGCAGTACTTGGTGACCTGCTTCTGTATTTCCTCCGAGCAGATCGTCCTGGCTCCCTCTTCGCTCACGCCTCTCTCGTTCATCAGCACCCAGATCGCGTTGAAAACACGGTCTTGGCCGCCTCTCCTAGCCGCCTCTCGCTCCTTCTCCCACGAAAACAGATCGTTCGTAAGCCCGAGCGCGATGTAGGCGGGGCGGGCCAGTTCCATGCACAGGTCGTGCTCTTCCGGCGGAATGCTGAGGGCCATGCCGAACGTCACCATCCCGAACCAGATCCTAGCGCGACTGCCGGTTAGCTCTCTCGCCTCTGCTGCGTCGCGGACGACGGGTCTCTCTCTCACAGTTCTCCGACGTCGACGACTCGGGCGGGAATGTACTCGTCTAGCGTCGCAAACGTCGTCAGCCGAGTCCGGGCCGCGAGCTGGACAGACGCGGCCCACGCCTTCATCGCCACCGCCGCCCGTGCCGAATCGATGGCGAGCATCCTGGAAAAGAGCCGGGCCTGCAGCCGCTTCTCGGGCCGCGCGTCCGCATCGACCTGATTCTCCAGGGCGTCGTCTCCGAACACCTCTAGTATCTCCCGAGACGACGGCGGGCTCTGGAGATCGAGCTTTTCCATCTCGTCTGCTCCGATCGACCTCACGTAAGCAAGACTCGAGGCACGCTAGCTAGGACCACTGTTCGTGGGCAGGCTGCCAACATACCGTCGTAGAGAAGCGCAAACTCGTTCGCGTAGGAAACTACCTCAAGCCTGTCGGGCAGGCACTCGGGAATCGTGACGCAGATCATGCTGTAGCGGCCACCAAGGCCACCCCTGTATTCTCCCACGGGGCGGACGTAGCGGCTCCAGTCCCGCTGAGCCTGAAGAGTGCCCTTGACCTCTGCGAGAGAGTTCTCGTGCGTGCGAAGCGGGATACCGCCTCCGAGCCCGCGGGTTTCGTAGCAGCTGGAGTCAACTTCTTTCGAATAGCGGAACTCCATCTTATAGGCCTCCGGAATGAAGAAAAATGAGAAAATGGGGGAGGGAGAGGGGGAGGGGGAGCGCTCTGGACTATGTAAGTGGACTACGTAGCTACCTAGGCAGAAATAAAAACCTACCTATCTATAAATGGACAAGTATCTTTTGTCCTTTGGTCCAACAGCACCCCCCTAAATATCCGCAGGAACAGTCCTACTCGAGGCTATGGCTGTAAATGGAGGCGTGAAGTCCTGGATTCTACCTGTCCTCGTGTCTTACATCGTCTATTCGCCCTTCTCGTCCTCTACCGCTTACACTCCTCCCTCTTGGCTGGGTTCCCGGGTTCGTGGCTCGCGGCAGCTACGGGTTGGTACGAGTCCTACTACGATTACTGGCTCGACGGCCAGTACGTATTCAAGGTTGGTGAATAATGTGCTACGCCCCTCCGCTGCGTCTCCCCCAAACTCTCTTATTCTTAGTTTTTCTTTTTTTAATGAAAATCTTATTCATAGCCAAGAGGTAATATTGTCTGGACTCCGGTGGGAATGTCGGCATGTATGATGGGCTCAGATCCTGTTGCCTACCCAGCTCCTTTCGAGTTTATCCCCGAGCGCTGGATGGGAGAGATAGACCCGGCCATGAACAAGAGCTATGTGACTTTCAGCAGAGGATCGAGAAATTGTCTGGGCATGATGTGTGTACAGCGGCCCTCCCCCAGTTCTCTACGTGTTTGCTCATGGTTTCTTTCTTTTCTCGATGTCGGGAGAGGCGTTCCAGCCCGTCGGCGACACGGTGTGCTCTGACATGGTGTCTCACAATAGTTTGGCGATGACCGAGATGGGCCTCATCTTTTCTGCCCTATTCCGCCCGAATGGTCCGAAGATGGAGCTGCTCGGGACCGACGAGTCCGACGTAAAACAAGCTCACGACTTTCTAATCCCGCTTCCGAAACTCGATGCCAGAGGCGTGCGGGCACTGATTCGTTGAATTGCCTCGCTTGGCCTGGCCGGGGTATGCCTATGTGCACAAGTGGTAGCGTCGGTAGGAACGCCGGTTGGGTGTGTGAATGTTTGGATGGCTTCGGTGAGTGTGACGTAGACAGCAAATGTCAGCTTGCGTAAGAATTGGTGATGGTGGCAGTGGCAGTGGCAGCAGCGGTAATGTAGTCTCTAAAGTAATCGAGTAGACCTCTCCCCAACCAGTGACCTGCGTATCTTGCCTAAGTTGCTCCTCGACGGGAGGGAGCTATTCACAGCCGCGAGACGAGGGGGGGGCGAACGGACTGGTTGGTCGGCAGCCAGCGCCGCTGCCTGTCGCCGTCGCACTGGAAAGCTAGGTATATTATTGGCATTCGATTGTCGTCGCTCTCCGCATCCCGCTCCCGGGGTAGGAACCCTTCTCTACCCATCCCTGGTCGCGCTGGGGAATCCGTAGCGCCGGTCTTTCTCGTTCCGGGCAGACTCGCCGTATGAGGTGCTGCCGGTACGTCATCAAGACGGAAGATAATCCTATTGTTACCTAGGTATATTATTCCTTAATTCAATCCTCACTTCGATTGGCCTCTTCTCCACCAACAAGAACGTCCTGAGGTCTTCCCACCTCAGCTGCGTTCCCTCCGCGGCGCTAAAATCGAACGTCCACAGCAGCTTCGCGAGAACGAGCCGCATCTCCGCCCATGCGAGGTGCTGCCCCATGCAGGACCGAGGGCCTACGCTGAACGGCTGTACCGCCTCCCGCCTGTCTTGGAAGAAGAGGGAGGTGGGGTCGACGTACGCTTCGGGGAGCCAGCGCTCCGGGAGGAACGAGGTGGCATGGTGGAAGTAGTCCTGCGTTCTGTTCATCGTATACGCCTGGATAGAAACTGGTGTCTAGGTTGCTCGACTCGTTAGCTGACCATTCCCGTCTGGTGCTTCACGCTCTGATACGAATCCGACGAGTCTACTCACCCCGCCCGGGAGCCATATCCCGCACACCGTGTCGCCCCCCCTGGGCACCTGCCTGGGAAGCATCCACGGTATCGGGGGGCACAGCCGTAAGGCTTCGTTGATTACAGCGTTGAGATAACTAAGATTTCTTAAGGCGTCTAGCCGTATCTCGCCGTCGGTCGAAAACCGGCCGCGGATCTCCTTCTGGAGAAGGTCCATCTTGTCCCGGTGGTGAACTAGATAGTTCAGCGCTCCACACAAGACGGTCGCCGTAGTCTCGCTCCCTGCCGTCGTTAGGACCATGAACGTGGTGTTGATTACGCCGATGGGCAGCTGTCCCCCTTCGTTCGCGGTGATGACGTGAGACATGATATCGGGGCGCTCGAGCTCGAAGTTGAGGCGCCGCTGCACCTTATCGACGATCTGCTGGTAGTGGTCTCGCTGCATCTTCCTAAGTGACGGGGGGATGCACTTCATGAGCAGGAACTCGACGAGCGGGTAAAAGCGTGCCGCGGCTACGAAGGAGGCGGCTTTGACGCTGTTGAAGAGCAGCGCGATCCACGGGTGGTATCGCGAGTGCTGGAGGCAGTCGAAGGACTCCCCGAAGCCGAGATCTCCGAATATGTCAAAGGTTGTGAAATTGAACCACGGCGCTACGTCGAGCTGAACACCCCGCTCGTCTAGGCCTGTGGGCGCGGTCGCACACTCTCGTAGCCTTTCCACTAACAGGTTGACGTATCGATGTAAGATGGGCTCCTGATTCCTCAAAGCGCGCGGCGTAAATCCGGGCATGAGGATCTTACGAATGCGGGAGTGAGCTTCGGGATCGATAGCGCTGATTAAGGATTGCGGCATGCCGGGCTGGCTCTTCCACCAGACAGGATGTTTCAAGAACTGCTGGTGACCCTGCCGAAGCTGAAATATGTCGTCCCAGGCATCTGACTGGGCGAACGTGACTTCGTTCGGTGCAATCCGTAGGATGGGACCATACTTCCTATGGAGTCTCTCGATGTCGTGAACGATGGTGCCCCTGAGAAGCGCAAGCACGAAGGGGATACGCGAAGCTGACCAGGTTCGGGGGCCGGGGACCTTGGCCAGAGGATGAAAGGTGAGATTGTAGACCCCTCGGACGAGCGGATACTAAGTTGGCACCATTAGAATCACGGCCTGCTCTACTAGTAGGGAGGTTTGGTATCGCTCATCATACAGTCAGTAGTAGGAGCAGGAGCGTTGTGAAGCCACCCGGCCGCGGAATATCTTGGAGGGTTGTCATAGCGAAATATCTCTCCGTTGTTACTTCGTTGGACAATGCTCGGCGAGGGCCAGAGGAGAGAATCAAGAGGGCTATCAGCAGAAATGAGACCCCCGAACACAAAGAACGGGGAGGGGGGATTTTGGCCTTGGGCGCTGACAACCGTAGGGATGGTTGGGGGCGCATTGTTTGACGTGGTACGGCTTCTTCCAATCGCATTTCCACCGCCAACAAGCCGGTCTTAGAGGTACCTCCCAGTACCTCCTAACCCAGGAGTACGGCTACGGCCCCGAGAGGTACCTCCCCAGGGGAAGGCATGCGGGCAGGTAGCCTGGGGCCGTTAACAGGTAGGAACTGGGATACGCGGCGGAGAGATCCTGTCTGGGTTGGTGGGACTGTGTAATAATGTTGGTTGTTGGTTGGCGTTGTTGCAGTAAGTGTATGTGCGGCTAGCCTGACTCGTCTGGCCATGACACCGGTGCTCCAAAGCAGCCCCGATATGCTGCATGGAACATCTCAAGAATTGCTCTCTGGACGTGTGGTAGATATATACAAGAGAGTCGTATAATCGTTTATTGCATGTGCACATACGTATGTTCCAGTGATCGACGTCGCACCTGTAGCATTTGGGTGATTGACATAACCCCGGGTCTATCGAAGTTAACGTAGGTATCATATGTGCATCTCTAGCAATGCTTTCGGTATTTTTCCACCGATACTTCCCCGAGTCCGAAGCGCCCGCGTTTCCGCGGCTTTTGTCCTATGCATCCTGGGTTTCCTTCAAGAAAATAGAACGCACCGACGATGATAACGGCAAGGGCCGCTTCGAGTTATCAGGACAAGGCAGCGTCTGAATCCTGACCGCTCTATCAGGATCCCCAGGTTGCCACTAATATTTTCCATTTGTTCCGGTGTGCGAATGTGTTATGGAAAAACAGTTGACTTGCATTCTCGCCGGCGATGTTTGAAGGAGAAAATAAGAGAGGGGGAGACTAGAAAGCCGAGATGAGGTGTTATCGGCCAGCACTCCTCGGTCTATCATATGAGTGAACGGGCTGGCAGGATCAGGGGCTGGCGCATTCCAATTGTCAATATTGATTTGTGGGATTCGGGGGAGGAGGCGCTATTAAGGGGAGCTGCCATCTAACACCAACATATTTCCAACCCGATCGGATGTACGTACCTTGCCAGCCAACATTATCGGAAACATTCTCGAAGGCCATGCGGCCGGACCAGGATACTAATGAGCAGAGTCCTATCATATTGTATATTCCGGACAACAAGAGACACCACCAGGCAAGCCTCAGGAGCCTGTGCTTTAGTACGTAAGCTGTGATTGGTCCTATGGCTTGGGCATTGCCGAAAAGGGAAAACACCATTTGTTGTTGCAAATCATCCCTCTTCAGGCTGGGCAGGTAGAGGTCTAGTTTTTTCCAGTTAAGCACCCGAATTCCCACGGCGTTGACCACACCAGCAACCTCGTGATCGGAACGCGGGCATCGAAATCGGTTAAGAACAGAAAGTTTTAAAATCTGTGTGATTCCCCGTCTCATAAGCCAGGCGATATTAGCATCGCCAATTTCAGTATGACCGATCTTAGACATGCTTATGGGTAGTGCTAGGGAACTTGGCGTGTCTCAGGGTTCCCTCAAACTTGAAAAGGCGAGACGAAAGAAAGAAAAGGTCAAGGCTTCGGATAGAGGATGCATAGCGAGGTTCTTGGGGGGCGGGCAGGCTTTTCAACAAGGTCCCTCGCAAAGGAAGGCCTTAAATAAAACCGAGAATCGAGACACGGGAACACTAGCTGCGGCAGAGGGATAATTCGAGTGGCAGCAACCCAAACTGCCGTAGATTAGACAACTAGACCCAATTCAAGTGGAAGATGGTCCAGATTGTTTTGCTGCGATTCATATGTTGCCGCTGCTGCCGACCACGCGTGTTAGTACTATCGCCTGATGAGTGGTAACCGGTGGCGGCCCAACTCTTCCGAGCAGCGCCGGGAAGGGTAGAAGGGTTGATGATACTGGGCATTTCTGCACCTGCACACGCCCACGGACTAGGCACATAGCAGGGCCCGCCGCATAGTTTTCTAGAGGAAGTCGAGGAGGAGCTGCGGGTCCAGCGTGTTTTACGTGCTTAACGGGTAAGGCGCGAACGTACCTACGTAGGTACCTAGGAATCCTCATAGTAACATATTAGCGCCCGGACATGTACATTTACTCAGCGGCTTTTAGAACAGGTACATCAGGTACCTGGGGGCCCAGGATAAGGGTACATCAATTAGGCAGCTACCTACTTCCCTCCTAATTTCATTGGGTGCCTCTCTATTATAAGTCACGACCGATGTAAATATGAGACCTTCCCCCTTCGTCCCCGATCTTATGTCGTCGTCCACGTCCCTCTGTTACCCCTCTCTATCTCTGCCATATTCCTCCTCTTCTTCTTTTCCCACTTCTCTTCTCCCGTGCGCCAATATCATGGCCTCTCAATCCGGCGGCGCTCTCCCGCCTCCACCAGGGGCCGAGTCCTACTTCGATGTCAACAACCCGGGCCAATGGCGTGGAAACGCTGCCATACACGTTCTCTGCCTCGCCATAGCCACCGTTTCCGTCATGATACGCCAGTGCGCGCGCATCTATATCACTGGGAGCCGGATGGGCATAGACGACTGTGCGCCAATTCTTCCGCATTTTGCTTAACTATGTCAACTTAGAGAGGCCGCTGACACGTGAATGCCTGTCCAGACCTCTCCATGGGATCTTACGTGGGTGCTTGTCCATCTCGAATACGGATTTCGTACGACTTACTGCGTTTCACAGCTCTTGACAGCAGTTTTCTCTAGGCTGATGCACAATGGTAAGGACGTGGTTCCGACGCCCGCCTGAGTGGCCGCGGCTAACGTTGAACTCACCAGCTTACTTGATGGGACTCGGCCGCCACGTACAGGACCTGCCACCCCGGTCACTTACGGAGAGCCTCAAGGTGAAGAATCGCAGCTACAATCGTATTCAAGGGCACTTGCCGGGCGTTGGCTAACACATCGTGCTCTACAGTACTCCGTCGTCGCATCGTTTGTATATATCGCGCTGTCGGCGGCCATCAAGCTCATGCTACTCTTTTTCTACCGTCGTAGCTTCTCGCCTCAGACAAAGAGGAGGCATCTCATAAATTTCGGCATCGCCTTTGTGGCCTGCTTGAGTACCACCCTTCTCCTGACCTCGGTGTTCAGCTGCGTACCAGTAGAACGCCAGTGGAACGTAACAATAGAGGGTTACTGCTTCAACCCGGATATTCTACCATATATCTCTGGCATTTCGGGCATCTTGACCGATCTTTATGTCCTCCTACTCCCCATCTCCCTTCTCCGCGGGTTGGGCGTGAACCTGAAACAGGAGATGGGACTGGTGGCCATTTTTGTATTGGGGCTGTTGTTAGTCATATCTACTCACCTCCTACACGGATACGGTGGCGAAAGGCTAACCCTTCCTCAAAAGCGCCTGCGTAGCTAGCTTGGTTCGATTGGCCATGACTCTAGCACTTCGAAGCAGCTTTGATGTTACCTGGGACATGTCAAGGGTCGATATATGGGAGTACGTTCTATCAGTAGAGAGCCGATAGTGTTCTAATAGCTGACACGGCCATAGGACTGTCCAGGTCACGCTTGGAATTGTATGTGCCTCTTTGGTAACGCTTCCGGCGCTCCTCAGTCGGCACTTCTCCGAGTCGGGAAAACCCCTTTCTCTACGGCTCTGTCTTTTCGATAACACAAACGATGACGGCGGAAAGGATCGCTACGGCGGTCCAGGTTACTACGATAAGGCGATTCTGGAACCTCGTCAAGTCGATAAACCTGTAATTGTTCTTACGGTATTCTCCAACCCTTCTTTGTATTATTTTTACCCGAACTAATCGGTGCTCTTTTAAGGATGTCGGAGGCGAGAAAATCCAGTATTTGGTATGAATGCCGCAACTTGTCCTTTTCCAGCAAGTGGGAATCTTAGCATGATGAGAGGCTACGGCTATGGAAGTCGACTCGAGGACGCCACTTTTGCCGTGCGAGCGCATATACACTGCGGGTGTCCTATGATCTAATACCACGCTGTCGCGCTGCCTAGACACAAGCCAAAACCGACCTCTCAATAATAAAAGGCACAGATTCCAAAATCGGGTCGTTTATTAGATCTCCCTTGCTCCCTCATACTGACATGTTGAATTTAAGCCGTCAGTCTACTTAGAGCTTATCGGCAGTTAAGTGATTATTAAGGCGCATCAGGCTTTTAAAAGTTAATCATGGTTAAGGCCTACGGTCATGGGGGTTTCTAACTACGGAATAGGGGGGTCGAGCATACTTGGGTATAGAGCAGACGACGTCGGTAAGAGAAGATTCTACCCGTTCATGAGATGAGTTTAACAGGGCCTTTCCTCAACTATTGAAGACATTCCGACTATGTTATGACGCGGCAATCTGAATTACTTACACCTACCAAGATCACATGCGCACTGGTCACTTTTACTTAGAGCTCTCTCAAGCGCTATTAATCACGGGGGGTCCTGAAGTCCCTCTCCCCCCTAATTTTCCTCCTATAGAGAGCGGCTGTCTATGACTCCCTGGTTAAGATGGTGGCAACTACGACGCCCAACAACACAGTATTGTCGAATATGCACCGTCGTATTATAAGTGTAGGTGGTTGGTTGTTAGAATAGGTATCTGCCTCCTACATATAGCCCACAGTTACCAATTGCTTACTTCCAGTTAGGTATTAAATGCCAATTGATTGCTTGGAATGTGCTAGGCGAGTTTATAGTATTGCTGTATGCCTCTGGTATGGGAGCCTTTCGGCCTAATGGGAGCTCACGAGCACGCCGGCAATAGCGATTTGGCCGCTCAAGCATCGCATTTAATAACACCTAGTTAATTAGGTATTAATACTCGCGACGAGATCTCCGGATAAATGAACGCAGGCAGAGCCGGACCTTCACTCTTAAGTAAAAACCCCAGTGTAAAGTCGAAATTAAATATCAATGATTAGTTATGTTTACGATCGTAAGAGCTTACTCAGAGCAATTGCATTGTCTGTATCTCCTCTAGAAATGTACGGACTATTGTTATCCTAGATCCAACCCTCTCGTCTTCATTGTAGTGATCATTGTATAGAACTGATCTGAATATACCATCATCCAACTCTATGTAGAAATACCATACTGGGAAATGTAGAGGTTGCCATCCGCATCTTTGTCAATGACAGGGAAGCTAGAATAGTCTACCCCCCTGCCTTCTCGACCGTGGTAAGGGCAAGGCTTGCAGACGACCCAGCCACGAACATTGGAGTCCTCTTCCGTTGGAATATAGTGTATCGTGGCGCCGCAGACCTTGATCTTTTTCCGGCAGCCCCTGGCGACACAGGGCCCCTGTTCATGAACCGAGTTCGTGTGGCCACAGACTCGGCAAGATCCGCTTAAAGACGAAGTTTTCATCGAGATCGAGGCCGAGAAATTGGGAATAAAGAGGATTTTGGAGTGTCCTAGAGAGCGAGGTGGTCTTATGATAGAGCTTATGTCGTCGTGTTAGCGCATGTCTTGTCACAACTCGAAGAGGATCGGGGGATAGAGTACCTATGCGAGGCAGAACAGCTAATGCTACTAATTCACGGGTTTCGAGCTTGTCTCTAGGTTTACGGTAATACCCATCACGTCGCGGAAACGGGCATATTTATACCTGTATATCTCGGTGCTGCGAGATGCCAAGCTAACCTGGATGAACCGAAATTCGCCAGTGACACGCCGATGTGTAATAAATCACATGTTGGCCTTTAGGCAAAGAACTCATTGCCAACCTCGACGGATAGTTGATGTTGGTCGCCACGTGAGGTGGCCCCCCCATTCGCCGGCGACGCCTGTACCAACGTGTAATAAGTCGCATGTTAGCCTTCAGGTAAGGAATTAATTCATTTCTAACCTCGACGGATAATCCATGTTAGTCGCTATGTGAGGTAGGTGCCCCATTCGCCGGTGCGGCTGTATCAATGTGTAATAAGTCGCATGTTGTCCTTCAGGCAAGGAATTCATTGCCAACTCAATGGATAATCGATGTTGGTCGCCATCTGAGGCGGGTGCCCCATCAGCCGGCTTTCTAGCGGCCAACAAGGCGGCTAGTGTACAGTGGGCCGTTAGCGGGTGGTTAGCTGGCGGCAGGCAGGCAGCAAGGGAATCACGGATTTGATCACGTGGCTCTACAAACGTCCTGGGCTGCCTTATTCTCTTTTAGAAAAGACGAGGGAATGCCCAGAAACCCCTTATCCTGTTTCCATCAGCGGCACCACCCATCTCTAAACGCCATGACTTTTTCTGAGTTAGAAGACGCTCTTCGACCGACCGATGACGCGTTCAAGGCATTCTACGAACGGGGTTACCGGACTTGGTACAAGTTATGGGCTGACGCCGTCGGCGATTGCACCCTCCCATCAACATGTCTGGAATGGGAGCACCGTTTCCCTCAGCATCCATTTCTTCCTGTCGGTCTGGATCCAGACAATTCCGGGCTTGTGACCGCAAAATCTACCTGGCTATCCTCTGAAGGGGATTGCAGTAACCCTCCATTCGAGCAGACCTTCCAGATGGCGGCAACAATCGGGAAACCAACATCAATCGTTCTTTCAGATGACCCGAATCTATCGCTCTTCGAATGGTTTGGCAAGGATGACGGCCATCTTGTGATCCTAATATTCGCCTGGGCATACGCCCTGTCCGCACGGTGGGCTGAGATCATCCCTCGAGCGTCTCGGATGGAATACACCACGAGTCAGGCCCCTTGGGCAGTCTACGCAGTCTCCGACGAAGCTGCCGACAATAGTAAACCTATGGTGGTTGAGCTGGGAAAGTTGACCGGCGAGGCAGCTCGATGGTGGGCAGCCGTCCTCGCGCCGGGGGAGGGCTGGAAGGTAGCCATACCTCATGAGCGATGGCGACTTCTTTCGCCCTGGAGCGTCACAAAGGAGTTCGGCAGCATCAACATTTTGCTAACTAGTTCTTCGAGCCATATGAGCTCCCATCCACCGACCCCGGCATCTTTTAGAATGGCATTGAAGTACATTGAGGAGTACTCCATACTTCACAGCGCTGACGCACAGAGCCGGGCAGCACTAGCCGCCGCACTACTTCTCCCCCTAGCCGCACTGGACAACAGAAAAGTACTACTTCATGCACCCCGAGGACTCTGCAGGCTACCAGCAGATGTAGAGGCACCCGAAGCTTCACTCTTCAAGGAACAGGACCTCTGCCAACTTGACAGACTCCTAACCCTAAGCATCAACGCTCACGGTATGAAAGCCATTCTAGGCAGTGTCTTTTACGAGCCTGGCATACCAGCCAACGCCTGCGGGGCATGGTTGCAAGGCACCATGGCGGTGCTGAAATCGAAAGGAACCGGCAACCTACACGTCTTGGCTCGCATGTTCTTTGATCGAAGTCCTCATATTTCGTATCTCTGGCTTGGAGGGATTATTACAGGTGCACACAGGCACTTCCTACGGCACATCTCCGGTCTCCTTGGCCTTAACAATATTGACCTTCAGGCGGGGGCTTGGACCGGTACCCTTTTGTCCTTCATTCAGGAACCGGTGTCTCTGGTACATCAAGGCTCAGCTTCGATCTCGAGAGCTGATGAATGCCGACTGATGTTTCTAAGCCAAGAACCGCCTCGAGATTTCCCTCCAATATACCCATATCCCCCCCTTGGAGATACGGATATCAGAGACACCGACCTTGGCGTCCAGCTTCACGCACATTGCCCGGGTAATCACGGTCTTCAGTTCTTGTCTGTCACATGGGATTGCGTTGGAGGCAGAAAGGACATACAAACAACAGGATCCACGTCTGTAGTGTCTAGGGATTACGTTATGGACAGCGAGCAGGATGAAGATGTAGTGGTTGAAGTGGACTATAGCTGGTTAGACCGAGAGAAAGATCTTTCAGAGGGAGTCACGAGAAATCTGTTCTCCTGGATGCGAGACATGGATGGGTTCGCTGTTGCAGAGCGAGACATCTATCGTCACGAATGGATTGACGCTTTTGACTCGGACGACGAGAGCGTTCACCCGGAGGGAGATGGTCGTTCGACAACGGGTCTGAACATGGATGCGCAGATGGGGCGTTGGATGGCAAGTACCCTGACCAGACGTTGCAACTCGATATAAAAAACCGAGAGGCAGGTCAGCTGGCGAAGGCAGTAATCTTGGACGGACCCCTTCTTCCGCCTTCCCATCTCGAAACTACTTTGGAGTGGTTGGATGAACATGATCTATGTGCTAGGGCACCTACGTTAGCATGTCCTTTGTACCGGAGCACCTGTGCTAGCACCTGCAGCGCTCTATCACAGATGCTATAGGACGGACAGCGTTCCAGCGCTCATCTAGTGCAGATAACGGTGCTGGCCGACGCCAAATCCTCTTCCGCCATTCGGGCTCCCATTTTGGGCTCCCTCCCGTTCTTGACTCTACTGGCATTTGACCACCCTACCAGTTTTGGCTTGACTATGGCAACTGACATCCCTCCAGACCTGAACCCTGCCCCCGGAGGAACTTCTTTCCCCCGACCGCCTCCGTCCTAGGAGGACCTTGGGACCGGCCGACTGGATCGTTTCTCTGAGCTGATGCATCAGCGCCGGTGGGGACTTCGAGAGTCACCGGATGTTTTCGGACTTCCCCCAGGTAGACCAGGGAATCCACTACTTGGCTTGGTGCCCACCAAACATCCAACCTGAGGTTACGTGTGTGTGTGTGTGGTGGTTCTGCTATGATAGCCAGCATAGAGAGCAGGACGCGGAAGCAGGTAGGCAGACTTACAGGTTCCCAGATCTTACCGGAAGCGTGTTGGAGGAGCCTACCGCGGCTGACCTTCTGCAACTCGCAACTGGGCTCGATTGTCCGGGACCAATAACTTGTACGGCCGCATATCCTTCCACATGCTCCGTGCTAGCAAGAGGTAGGGCACTATTAGGCACCGTTCGGCACCAAGCAACCCGGTTTATACGCCTTTAGTCAACCATGAGAAAGTGCAAAATACCGGGTTTGCTGTTTAAGGACGCTATCACTCGCAGGAAATCCTTCTACACGGCACCCAGCCCGAAAAATATGTTAACGTTGAGCCCGGCTGATATAATTGGGCCCCGTTTGGCTAGACCTGTGATGAACTCCACGGATGGAGAGGCCTTAGAGACTTAAAGCACAAGTGAAGGCTGCGGGATCGTCCGTATTTACCATCGCCGCCACTCTCCGCACACTGCCCAAGGCGTCACCACCAGCGCATTCGGCATTTATCGAGAAGTGCGTTAATTACACCCTAGTCGTCCTTCTCGGCTTATCCAGTTAGAAGGGACGGCTGGTCGAGTAGTAAGCCTGCTTATCAGTTGAACATGCAGATCGTCGCAGCTTTTGGCCGCTCTCGGCTCCGATGCCTTGGCCCCGACTGGGCACGGCCGATGGCGCACCTTATGCGCCTTAGCCGAGCTCGGCTACCCCCCCCCCTGATCACGGCATACGAAGGCCTATAACAAGTCGGGTCGGTTCCCCTTCGCATGAGACCCGTGGTGTAATATTTAATAATGGAAAATCTCGAGCGAACTAGATAACACTCACAGGTTAATCTTTTAGTCGCTACATCTTGTTGCTGCTTTCAGAAACAGCATTCTCTCCCTCCGGCTGGGCAGGTTTCTTAGAGCACGAACCGGCCATGTCGCAGGACTTGTCGATGAGCAGGAGCGGAGACGAAAAGAGACAAGGAACCCCGAATGATGTCATCAGGGGAGAAGAAGAAGGGAGGGAGAAGGAAGAAAGCAAGTCATCGCTAGAGAACGGCGACATCGACACGGTGCCGCCACCCGATAATACGGGAGCAGCGACTGCGGAACCCCCCAGCGAGCAGCCCGAAGCCGACGGGCAGCCGCCCATTTACTCTGTCTTCACGAGCCGCGAGAAGGCGGGTATTGTGCTCGGCGTTGCCGTCGCCGCCTTCTTCTCCCCGCTCACCGCCATGATCTACCTGCCGGCCATCAACGCGCTCGCCGATGAGTTCCACGTCTCGGTCAGCGACATCAACTTGACCATCACCACGTACATGGTACGCCGGAGCCTCTTCCCCTCCCTCCTTCCAACCCCCCACCACCCCCACGTGCTTGTGTCACCTACCTATCGGCGACACCGCCCGCTGACGCGCGCGACGGGCAGATCTTCCAGGGCCTGACGCCGATGCTGGTGGGGTCGTTCGCGGACAGCGCGGGGCGGCGGCCGGCGTACGGGGTGTGCGCGGCGGTGTACGTCGGGGCGAACGTAGGGTGCGCGCTGGCGCCGTCGTACGGGGCGCTGCTGGCGCTGCGCATGGTGCAGTCGGCGGGGTCGAGCGCGACGGTGGCGCTGTGCCAGGCGGTCGTCGCCGACGTGGCCACGGCCGCCGAGCGCGGCGCCTACGTCGGCTTCACCACGCTGCCCATCCTGCTCGCGCCCGCCCTCGGCCCCGTCCTCGGCGGCATCCTCGCCCAGCACGCCGGCTGGCGCGCCATCTTCTGGCTCCTCGCCGCCGCCGCCGCCGCCCTCGCTCTCGTCCTCGCCGCCGTCCTCCCCGAGACCTGCCGCGAGATCGTCGCCGACGGCTCCCGCCGCCCCCCGCCCGCTTACCGCACCCTCTGGCAGGTCGCGAGGGACGCGCGGGCACGCCGCCGCGCGGCGCGTAGGGACAATGCTTTGCCGCCTGCCCTCACCCCCGCGGACGCGCCGGCGCCGACGGCGCGGCCGGCGCGGCGCAAGTTCGACGCGCTGAAGTCGCTGACGATCCTGCTCGAGCGCGAGATCTTCCTCCTGCTGGCGTTCGGGAGCGTGGTGCTAGCGGGGTTCTACTGCGTGGTGACGGCGCTGCCGCCGCAGCTGGCGGCGGGGTACGGGTACGACGACACGACGGTGGGGCTTCTGTACCTGCCGATGGCGGGGGGCAGCGCGGCGGCGGCGCTGCTCAACGGGCGGCTGATGAACTGGAACTACCGGCGGCACTGCCGGCTGCGCGGGGTGGCGTACGACCGGCGGCGGCAGCAGGACCTGGCCGGGTTGCCGATCGAGCGGGCGCGGCTCGAGGTCGGCGCGCCGCTGCTGGGCGCGGCGGCGGCGGCGCTGCCGGCCTGGGGCTGGGCGCTCGAGCGCCGCGCGCACCCCGCCGCGCTGTGCGCCCTGCTCTTCCTGCTCGGCTGGGCCCTCGTCGGCTTCAACAACACCGCCAACGCGCTCCTCGTCGACGTCAACCCCGGCAGCGCCGGCGCCGCCACCGCCAGCGGCAACCTCGCGCGCTGCCTCGTCGGCGCCGCGGCAACCGCTGCCATCGGGCCCCTGATCGCCGCCGTCGGCGTCGGCTGGGCCTTCACCCTCCTCGCCGCCCTCTACGTCGCCGCGTCGCCGATGCTGTTCCTCGTCCTCCGGAACGGCGTCCGCTGGCGCGAGGAGAAGAGGCGCCGGGAGCTGGCGAGGGAGGAGAGGAGGGGGGGGAGTGGTTGTGGTGGTGGGACAGGGTAGACTGGTCGGTGGGGAATGGGTGGGGTAGTGGTGCTTGTTGTAGGTAGGTATATTATCCCGCCATGTTAAGTGTACTTGTCGAAATTGGGTATACCTGCCTATGAAGATGGGTTAGGCAGGGTATGACGCGTGTTATTTTCCACATGCTCTCTGTTTCGATATCCGGATCCAAGGAGCCTCCTTGCAAGTGCTGATTACGTTGTACTGACAGAACTGCAACTAGACTGCGGTGTATTTGGCGGGTGGCAGAGACTTTCGACTAGTAGGAGTCTACGTCATGTGAGTATTGTGGGTAATGCTGGCGTATCTTTAGATTTACAATCGTCAACCCGATCGCGTATAACTAATGGTTGCGCCGTCTTATTGCTGTGTGGGAATGTCTCCAGTGGCTTTTCCTCCTTCCTCGATACCTTTCTTCGGATTGTTGTATCCCAAATTAGGCACTTTCTCTACCTGGTATTAACAAGTGCACTCCTATTAGATTCATTCATAGGTATACCTAACATTGGGCTGTCCGGGATATGCCATGTTCTTCTCTGCCCATACCCAGCTACGGGTATTGGCGGAGACTTTCCTAACCTGGACAACGTGGAATGGTCCGCTGACTCTCCATCTGTGATCGGGAACACAACAGCATAGACTGGTTCCCCAATCTTTCTTGATCTTGCTCGCTCGCCCTAGCAGGCACCGGAGTCTCGGATACGAGGGGAACTGGATTCCATGCTAGTTGTGGTTGTGATCGCACCCGAGTCTAGACTGGATTCATCGTTGCCGCCTCCCATCTGGCACCACCCGGACAACCTGATGGCTTCGCTGGCTCCCGCGTTACACGACGGAGTGGGTACTCGGGTACCTTAGGCAGATGCACAGATCGGTACATAGGTACACGTACCTGGGTACCGAATATACCTAGGTGCTAGTGTACCGGGGGATCCACCGTACACCCCTCCGGCCTGACATCATCGCCGCCGCGGAGAAGATCTCCTTCTGGGGTCACCAGTTTCTAGAACTCCATCCCTCCATTGCCGTCTGCTATTCGACGGCGTCGATCTGCGAGCTCTTGGCCGGCGCCGCAATGCGCGCCCTCCTTTTTTTCTTCTTGTTTCGTCCGATTCCTATCACCCTATGGGTCGTCCGTTGTCGCTCTCCCTTTCCCGTCCTTGGAACTTGGTTGGATATGCTGTACCACGCCTAGGTTCAAACCCCTCTCGTAGCGCGAGCGCCCCTCTCCTAGGGGGTATTAGGTGCGGAGGTACGCAGAGGGAGGTACGCAGAGGGAGCAGGTACCTACCCGGCTGTGCCGTGTGCTGTTGCTTATACCTATAGGTACCTGGGTACATACGTGCCTGCGCGCCGGATAGCGGATGGCGGCGAATTGCTCGGAGCGGCTGGTCGCGGGGTATTCTCAACCCGGGCCAAGGTGGGCAGGTACCTCATGACGATCATGAAAACGGACCTGGACAGGGACGCGTTTGCCATCTTGTGACCTCTTCCCCTTTTTTCCCCTTCTCTTCCTCTCTCATTCTCACTCTCTCTCTTCTGCCCTTAAAACCTCCCGACTTCCCGGTTGGTGAGCTGTGTTTACGGGAGACCACCCATCATACATACCTAGAAAACTGTTGCCGTATGCGAGGATCGCAATCACCGTCACCGTCGTCATCCACCACCTCACTACGTCAAAATTAAGTCGTTAGTATTCCCCAATCTACGAAGCTAGACGACAACAAAACGCACCCCCCCCCAATCCGAAGCGCAACCGACAGCGGGGTACGTGTTCGTATCGAGCGCCGCACAGCATACCTCTGAATCACCGTCGTCGGATTGCCTCCGCGCACCCCCGCGCAGAGGGTGTGAAGCTTCCTATCTTCCTGTCTTTACTTCCCCCTCTTCCCTTTTCTGCCTCTCTCACTTTCGCCCAACTTCGACAGAATGTCGGGCCCCGTATCTACCGTCGCTGCGCTGCAGGACATCTACACCCCACAGGCCTTGGCCGAGCAGAGTTTGCGGTGGGAGTCGCTGCTCGACAAGTTCCAGGCCCTCTATGGCGCTCCCGCCCAGTTCGTCGCGCGGTCGCCTGGTCGCGTGAACATCATCGGCGAGCATATCGACTATTCCCTCTACTCCGTGCTGCCTATGGCTATGACTTCCGACGTCATCATCGCCGTCTCTACCGATCTAGAACCTATCAAGGAGGGGACCTACAAGATCAAGATCGCCAATGTCGCAAACGAGACCTTCCCCACTCGCGAGTTCGACATCCCCTATTCCGACGTCGAGATCGACGCCACCAAGGCCGAATGGACCAATTACTTCAAGTCCGGCCTGAGGGGCGCCCTCCAGCTGCTGAGGAAAAAGTACGGCGCCGATTTCAAACCCAAGAGCATGCAGGTCTTGATGGACGGCACCGTGCCCGTCGGCGGCGGCCTCAGCTCTAGCGCCGCGTTCGTGAGCGCCAGCGCCTTGGCCGTCATGGTCGCCAACGGCGAGCGCGACGTCGACAAGCAGGCGTTGACCGAGGTCGCCATTGTGAGCGAAAGGGCAGTCGGTGTTAACTCGGGCGGGTAAGTTTACCGTCAATCGAGATGCGCACATTTATCGATACCTACTGACGCCAACCTATCTGTAGCATGGACCAATCTGCTTCCGTCTTCTCCGAACGGGGGTCGGCTCTCCTGGTCTCTTTCGTCCCGTGCCTCTCGGCGCGACCGGTCTCCTTCCCCGAAACGGACCCCGAGCTCTGCTTTATGGTCGCTCAATCATTCGTCACCTCTAACAAGCAAGAGACCGGACCGATCCACTACAACCTTCGCGTCGTCGAATGCAGCCTGGCGGCCGCCTACTTGAACGCTAAGCTCTGCGCTAAGGGGACGGAACTGCCCAAGGATGCCGGCCCGCTCGGCGTATCTCTTCGCGGATTCCACGACAACTACTTTAAGGGTAGCTCACTTTCCATGCAGGAGCAACTCAACGAGCTAGTCGACCTAACCAAGGCCACGCTGACCCAGGAGGAGGGGTACACGCTAGAGGAGGTGGCGGCGGGCAGCGGCATCCCGGTCGAAGAGCTGCGGGCGCGCTTCCTGTCGAGCTTCCCGGTACGCGCAGAGCGGTACAAGCTGCGGCAGCGGGCGCTGCATGTATTCACCGAGGCATGGCGCGTGCTGCAGTTCCTGTTCATGCTCGAGCACCCAGAGGAGTTCCCAGATGAGGTCCCAGGCAAGGCCCCAGGAGAGAACCCAGACGAGAACCTGGGCGAGGACCCAAGCGAGGTCTCGGGCGAGGACTCAGAGGAGGACTCAGCTGAGGACTCAGCTGAGGACTCGGACGAGGGCTCAGGCGAGGACCTAGGCGAGAGACCAGGCGGGGGCTCAGGAGAGGGACCAGGCGAGGGCTCGGACGAGGAGGAGTACGTGATGAGGTACAACGACAAGCTCGGCGCGCTGCTCAATGAGACGCAGGACTCGTGCCGGGACCTGTACGAGTGCAGCTGCCCGGAGCTCGACGAGATTTGCACGATCGCGCGCGCCGCCGGCAGCTACGGCAGCCGCCTGACGGGCGCCGGCTGGGGCGGCTGCACCGTCCACCTCGTATCGGTCGACAAGGTCGACGATATCAGGAGCGCGCTTCTCGAGGACTACTACGCCAAGCGCCACCTCAACGTGCGCGGTCTCGAGGACGCAATCGTCGTCAGCCGGCCGATGAACGGAAGCGCGGTGTACGTGGTCAAAGACGGAAAGATCCAGGTGTAGATAGGCGAATAGAGGAGAGGGGAGGGGACCAGATGGTATCTATATATAGGTGGCCCCTTGTAAGTAACCTATCATGAGGTGTGTAATGTAAAGATGTGTGAAGTAGATGCTGTCTCGTATAATGCCACGTGCTTGCCTGCATTGTACTGCTAAGAGTTGCAGAATTGTGAATATGAGGTGCTTACCCGGGCCCTGACGACGGGGATCCCGGTGCCTCGATGGATGTTTCCGCCGTTTCCAAGCCCGGCGCTTAACGGCCTTCTCGAGGAGACACTAACTGCATGTCTCCGGCTTCGTCCGATTATTCACACTATCAAGATGGCCCGATCCGAGGAACTAAAGAAGAAAAAAGAGTCGGCAACACGCCGCCGTATTACTTATCCCGAGTATCTAATTAATTAATTACCCCGAGCCCAGCCACCCCAGTTCCGACGCGTCCCAGCGCTTGGGTTGCGCGGGGTGGTCCCCTTTCCCCCCCGGCTCCCGCCACCACCGCATCCGGGAGCCCCGTCTGTTCTTCGTACATTACGTGCCTCGTTATTAGTTCCTCTCGTATCGCATCGTATCGTGTCCAATCGCGTAGCTCCTGCTTCCCCCGCGCGGCAGTTTGCGCCGCGGGGCGTCCGGTCGGCCCCGAGTGTAGTCGTACAAATTCGCTCCCGCGTCGCCGAGACAGGCGGCACGCGCGCCTCAGGGCCCCCGCGCGAAGCGCCGCGCCGCCGCCGCCGCCGCCGTGCCGTTCCACGCCGGGTACGACGTGTGCCAGGAGCCGCCGTCGGAGGTGGTCACGTTCGCGGCCGAGGTCGGCGGGGGCGCGGGTGTGGTGGTGGTGGTGGTGGTCGCCGTCGTCGTCGTCGGTGGGGCGGCGGTCTGCGCGGGCGTGGAGGGCGCGCGGGTGCTCGACGTCGACGTCGGATACGCCACGGTCGAGGTGGGCTCGTCGCCGTCCCCGGTCACGGTGGTGGTCACGACGCGGGTCGTCGCGACGGTGCGCGTGGCCGGGCCCGCGGTGACGACCACGGTGTCGGTGACGGGCGGGTGCACGACGGTCCTCGTGCTCGGCGCCGCGGTCGCGGTCGCGGTCGCGGTCACGACGACGGTCGCCGTCCGCCCCGCGTCCGAGTCGCCCCCGCTCCCGTCGATCGGGACCACCGAGTACGTGGCGCGCGGCGCGAGGGCGCGCGGTGGCGCGGCGGCGAAGGGCAGCGCCGACACGGGCACGCTGCTGCTCCACGCGGACAGCAGGACGAGGAGGAGCGGGGTCGGGAGGTTGAGATGCATGGTTAGTTGGGGGAGTGGCTACGACGCCGGAGGTGGATGAAGAGAGATGGAGAGAGAAAGGGAGAGAGAGGGTTAGGTGAGAGGCGGCGCGCGGCTGAGGGCGGTTGGGGATGCGCGCTTAGGCTGGTTGTTGCTTGGAATGGAGGCGAGAGGGGAAACGTGAGAGAGGAGGAGAGAGGACGTAGGACGTGCGGTGGCACGCGAGGGCCTTTTATTGCGGGCGCCCATGGCAGCTGGCAGAGGATATTCGGATGGTTGGGGAGTGGGTGGTGTTTTCGAAGCGCGCAGGATCTTTCTGGGCCTGGCCTTGCGCTGCCTATCCAATGGGGGATTGGTTGGGCGTCGGGAACAATGGGATTGAAGCTCTCCATGGGGGAGCTTTTGGAGGGGGCTGGTCGGTGACAAGAGATGATATGACAGGGCTACGTAGCAGGCCGGCAGGTTCTCGGGTCGCAGGGAATATCATTGGTCAGTGGCGCTTCCCAGCCACTGGGAATTGTCTGTTTCGGGAAGGGCGCCACACCCGAACTGCCATGTACCCATCAACGCGGTCCACTGTGGACAGGTACCGGGTAGGTACCCAGGTACACTCAACCCCAGTTCTTTGGTCAATACCCTACCTGCACCTTCCCACTTTCCCCCTGCATACGTATGCAGGCTGTCACAATCGCGGTTTCCTAACAGATATACTGTCTCTTCATAACTTTCCCGCAAACGCAAATACACGGGTGCTACATAGCGCACCTTTTAATTGCACTAATTGGTTAATGACATTACAGTAGGTATCTAGATAGCCCGTTCGCACCACTTAGGTACTGGAAAGCCAGACTTTGCAGCTATCACAGGACAACATCGAGTATTACCTCATCATCAAGGAGGACATCCAACGCCAAAAGACACAGTACTGCCACCCTGATATGCATCAGCCAGAGTTGTCGTGAAGCCCCGTCGATGGCACACCAATTTCACAGCAAGTGATGTACCTACATTCTTGACAACGCTATGCCACGGCTTCATCGCAAGTTTATTAATTCCTTCTCGTATCCCTATAGCTACCTGGCAGTTGACCTAACCCCAGGAGACATTATCTACTTAACCCGAAGGATGCACCTAACCTAACTTCTCTGGACGGGAAGGAACCAAGCTTAGAAGGGCAGCCTAATACTCGCCGCCTTCCCTTCCCTCACTTAGTACACAGAAAGGTGCGAGGCAAGCAAGGCTTTTCTGCTGCTCTTCTGCTCTCCGCTTCGGCTTGCCTTTCCACACCTCCAACTTACTCGTAGTCCGCCAGCCCATCTCTCTACCTATACTCTCCCGCCCTCTCTCTACCTAGGTATAATTTCCCACCATCAATTGACTGGTGGCTAGGCTCTGCCTCCCCTCCTCTCCCCAGTAGAGAGCCCTGGGCTTCTAGGCTTCTTAGTAGAGGGCCTTAGACTTCTTATTACTGCCCTGGTTGTCGCAAACTAATACACTACCCTGCTCTCCCTTCTCTCCATGGCTGAGAACCCGCCCTCCGCCGGGGACACCGACCCCGATCCCGAGGCGGCCGATCCCCTGCAACTAACACCGCAGAGCGTCACACAAGCGGTAGAGCGGTTTGCGAGCAAGATCTTCAGAGATTAGGTGTCGTTGAAGATCATCGTCGAAAGACGCGAGACGATAAAAAAGCGCCGGACCGCCAAATCGAGGAACAGGAGGAAGGCCATATTGCTGAGTGTCTGGGGTGGTATCCCTGAATTCCATCGTCCTGACCTTCTGGTGCGCCACTCCCAACTCATAACCCCGAATTATCCATGGCAGGACGGAGAAGAGGACTCGTTGAAGCCCCCCTATATAAACCTCGAGGACATGTGCAAGGTGGAGCCCCTCCTCCTGATGCTTAATTCCCGGGTACGAAACACCCCTGGCATCTTTGTCCGCACCGATCTTTCTCCCCCCCCCTTCGCCCTACGTAGTGGGTTGACGGCTCTCAGGAATCTCCCACGCCATTGTATGATGTTCGGAGTCGACTGCACCACAACGTCAGGCTACAGTCGGCTCTATTCCTAAGACGAGGACGAATGCGCAGAGGTGGGATAAGACTGGCAGAGACTACTCTCCCGGCGAAGGCCTCTGGGTCCTCGAGGTTCAGGCATTCCGTTACGAGTTTCTCCGAATGTGCTGCGAAGATATCCTACACGATGTTGGGCAAGAAGACTTAACGGACCAGAGTCTACCCGCCCAACCTAAGTCCCCCCTTGGTTTCGTCAGGTGTCCGACCTCTAGGCTGAGTCTCTTGTCATCTCATCGTACGAGGCTCTGTACAAGGCCCCCGAAAAGGCCAACTTCGACCGCCTAGAGTATCTTGTTCGGGCGGTAAGGACAAATGCGGCAGATTCTCTCCATTTCGTGAGGGTAAATCCCGGTTAACTTGCCACCATTCTCAACGACACTCGTGACCACCAGGTTGAGCGCCTACTTGACAAGGACAGCCAGCCGACACTAAGTTTCGGGATACCGCAAGACGACCTGCTTTGGGGGGCGGTTATCCGCAACACCGTTTTAAAGGCAATTTAAACGACCAACACATTGAACGGTCTATATGACCAGATCTACCGCTTACGTCGCTAGTTATACCACGCCGGCAAGGTTTCGCCTGAGGACGATCTACCGCCGGACCTGGCCTACTCGTTCTATATGACCAGGTACCTTACCGAATCGTCTCTAGAAAGACTGCTGTGGGGTAATTCTCTTCTCATGTCTGCTTGCGCCTCGCTACCCTTATCCGACTATTTCTACCGCGGCTTGTTAACTCGGCCTGCCGTAAGTGTTCTTCGCTGCAAGGATCACGTGATCCCCAAAGGCGCAGCTCTCCTGGTACGGTAACTCGGAGCTTTTTCGGATCCGCGTATACGATTTCTACTTGGCCGCAGGATATACCTTCTTGAGATAGAGCTGCTCATGTAGCGGGACCCCTCGGCCAAAGAGTTCATGACGCAAATGATTGCCGATTGGTTAGGAGTCCTCGGGGTCTTTTGAGAATGTCTCTGCATTCTCGATAATCATCAGCCCTGGGCGGCAGTCCACCAGAGTTACTTCCGTCGTCATTGAGACGAATTTGTGGTGAGGCTCAAGGGGGGGGGACAATTATATAGATAGCCTGAGCCTAGTAAATATTGGTTTATGGGCCGCAATGGCTCCTATCGCACGCACCGCGGACGACAGGTTCTACTACCCCATAGGCAAGCCCCCTAGCAAGGAGACCATCGAGGCGATGTGCCGGGCGGAGTCCAACCTCGAGGAACTCTGGGAAAATGTTGGCAGACTCCTAGAACAAGGGGGGAGGGTGCCAGACAATATTGACATGATTCTATCTGAGAGCGCCCAGGTGACAGGGTCGTGGGAGAGGGGTGGAGCGGAGCGGCCCCCTACGGCAGAGAAGAAACAGTAGGCAAAGCAAGACGTCGAGTCGTCCAAGGAGGAGGAGGGCATTCCCAGAGGGGTAAGAAGAAGAAGATAATAAAGAAGAAGGAAGAGATAGCCGAGGATAAACCGAAAGAAGAGGAGTAAGAGATGGAAGAGGTAAATAAGGAGATGGAGAATATGGAGAACGAGATAGAAAAAAAGAGGGGCGGTGACAAAGAGGGAAAGAAACGGGGTAAGGCTGATATAAAGGGAGAATAAGAGGTGGAGGTAAAGGCTAAAGAAAGAGAGGTGATGGAGGATAATATTAATAATGAAGGGAAGGACGGGAACCTAGGATAAAAGGGGAAGAAAATGAGGAGGTGAGAGGGCATAAGGCAGAGGAAGGTGAGAAGGAGAGATAAAAAGCAGTCGAGAAAAAGGAAGGCAGAAGATGATGAGAATTAGGAGGGAGGGGTTCGGGAAGAGTATAGAGAGGTGTAGAAAGAAGACGAAAAGGAAGAAGCTAGGGAGATGTAAGCCGCTACCTCCCCTCCCCCCCGGCCACCGCTGCTCCTATCCCTACCGCCGGCTAGACGTAGGAATCGGAAGCGGGAAACGACTTCGATTCTGATTTTCCGGAGTCTTAGCGCCCCCCGCCGCCCCCTCCTTCCGACGATAGCTTACGGTGCACCATTAGTGCGTATCCGATAAAACGATTTTCGGAATTTCGGAATTTCGATTCCCCCCCCCTAAAAAATAAGGCTACTATTATAAGGCTATAATAAAAATTCTACCCCTCTTTTAAATTAAATTAAGCTTTTATTAAAGTATTAATATGGTTCGTCCGAGGTCTTCGATTAATAATTTTAAGTAGGAGATTATTAATTGCTAGTTAGTTAGTAAATCGATTAATTTTATTTATACCTACTTAACTAGCTATATTAATATAACTCGTCGTATATTAGAAAGAAGATTAAAAGAGTAGGAACTATATCGACGGCCTCGGACGATTATTACTAATGAAGTTATCTAATTAATTCGATACTTTATCTTTTATTATAGATATAAGGATGCTTTTATTATACGAGACCTATATCGAAATGATATTAAATTAAGTCCGCGAGGATTATAGATTATACGACTAAAGTATGGTATAAAACGACGATACCGTACCGACGAAGAGAGGGATATTATATTATAATAGGCCCGAAAGTTTATCTAAAACCATACTACCTATAATACTTCGATAAAGAATTATAAACGGTTATACTTCTATAAGTTTATACGATCCTAAGCCGGTATCCTTATAAGAAAGAACCGTATTTATAGGATATATAAAGAACTATATCCCGACTAAGTTAACTACCGACGCTATATTAATTAAACCTTTCGTATAGACTTTAAGGTTCCCGGTTTAAATTAATTATAGTCCTTAGATAGCTATGTTAAGTTAATAGACTTTGGATTTTAGGTATGCCCTCGTACGTATTAAATATATTTAACCTAACTTTAATTTTAGATATATATATATATAAATGCATATTTTCGTCTTATTATCTAGATATATATTAAACGTTTTATAACTACGGTTATTAGTATATTAAAGTAATACCTACGTACGATTATTACTAGCGAAATTCGGCTATGCTTTACTCGCGCCGATTATGGTATCGAAATATTACTTTTTACCGGTGCCTAAGCTACTTTAACTAAAGCTAGTAAAACTATAATCCCGTACGAAGATAAAGAAGGTATTTAACGGTTTTATCGATAAGGAAATCGTTTATCTTTAGTATATATATAAGGGCCTAGTATTTATAATATTAAAATCGAGTCCTAGTTTCGGCGATTCCGTAAAGGTAGTACTAATAAATAAATTATAAGTTATATTTATATATCTCTTCGTCCGAAGTTAATATATACTTAGGCATTTAAAATAAAACTTATTAATAATGATTTATTTATTTCGTCCGACCTTATCGACCTTATTACGGTATATATAATCTATGGCCTAATACTTTAGAGAGAATTCGTAGAGTTTATTAAAGTATGAAATAGCTATTAAATTCGAGCGCAGAAGAACCGATTATACGTACGACTAGGTATTCCATATAACCTCTATAATATAAATAAGGTTCCGAATTATAGAATCCCTATTAAATAAGGCTCGGCTACGTACGAAGCCGTATAGGTTATATATATACCTTTAAAGGATATCGAGATCGATAAATTTATAACGGTAGAGACTATGGAATAATATAAAGCTATATTAAATAAATTAAGTTTCGATAGATAGCTTCGGACGGAAGAGGATATAATTCGGCTATATTTAAAAACCTATATCCGGCTTCGAGAACGCGTACGAGCCTATATATTATTTAGTATCGAGCCTTATCTTTAACTTATTAAACCTCCTATAGGTAGTATAGAACTCTATATAAGTTAAAGTCTTTATTCATACGACCTCTCTAATAATAATTAGGTTTCTTTACTTTAATTACTTTAATAAAACCATCCATTATTTACGGACGATAATTTACGTAGAGATATAATACCATCGACTATTCTTTAATAAGTTTCGTAAATATAAAATAAGGATATAAATAAAAAGGAGTTATAATTATATCAAATAGAAATAATAAAAATAAATAAATGAAATACTTTAAACCTCGTTTAACTATTAATACCCTTATAAGTTACTTTCTAAATACCCTACGAGTATTAAATGCTAGACCATTATCGTACGTATACCTACTAGATATAAACTAAGGCATATCCTTTTACTTCTTCTTTTACTTCTCCTTTTGCTTTTCCTTCTACTTTTCTCTTTATTTCTCTTTTTCCTTTTTCTTTTACCTTTCCCGTGCTTAGTTTTTATATTCCTAAGCTATATCCTCTATAAAGGGTATATCTAATTCGCTATTAAAGCTAAGGAGCTATGGTCGGGATTTCTTAGTTATACGAAGCGTCGGAATAGAATTTATTCTTAGACGTTTAGAGTTAGATAAAGTAATTAACTTTCGAGTTAGGGATTCTTATCGTTACTACTACTAAAATACCTCGTCTTTAAATTCGTTCTTATATCTATCGTCCGCTTCGTCGCTTTATTCTTCGTCGCTTTACCTTCCGTCTTTAGATCCTTCTTCTTCGACGTACGAAGAGAATAATTCTATGAAATTCGTAACAGTAATAATAAATAATCGATTAGATTTTTTCATCTTAATCTTTATACCATTACTTACGGTAAGGGATTATACGATAATAAAGTCTTCGTTAGATCGTTTTACCGTAGCTTTTCGTTTTATTTTAGGTACCGTACGACCGCTTTTAATCTCTAAAAAACGTAAGGGCGGGTAGAAGTAAAGAGCGATAGGAATTCGTTTATATTCTATCGATAGAAATAAGGCTATCGGCGAATAAAAGAGGTCTCGAATCGTCCGAATAGGGCCGCTAAGAAATGGGAGATTTACTAGTCCTTTCTTAGTATAACTCCGAGCTAGTATGAATTTCCATTACTCTTTAAATACTTAAGGAATCGGTTCTTTATTTAAGTACGGTCGTATAAAGTATCGGACCTAATGTTCTTTAGTTTAATCGGGGCTATCTCGAGAATAAAAAACGGAAAGTTCGATAGATTTTAAATAGAAATATTAATATAAGATAATATAAAAATAAAAACTTTTTTTAATACGTACGAATAAATCGGACTTTAAACGTCTCGGGCCATCCGTATTTATTATTTTATATCTAGATAATCTAGATTTCCATCTTTAAAGAGATAGTATATTTATTATTAAATCCTAATTTCCTATATCTTTTCGCCGCTTTAACGAGGTCTTATATAAACCTTCGTACGTTATTAGAAATATTCTTTATAAGATTCTATAATCGGTCGCGAGAATGCTATTAGCTTATCGGACGAGGTATAAGAAAACCTAAAAGCGAATTACTAGTTTATCGGTATTTCTAGATATTAATTATTTAGGTAGCTATATTAAACTACGTACGATATAAAGAGGACGTAGATATATTCGAATTCGTATTTCTAAGTCTATTATTTTCGAAAGGATCGTATTTAAAGAGATCTTCGACTTTATTATTAATAATAATAAGGATAGGCTAATGATATCTATAGAATAAATACCTCGTTCCTTTAAATAATTAGCGGATTTAAAAATGCGTACGAAGAGGCCGACTATCTTAATAAGATTAAGGACATATAGCCTCTTAAATATATATTCGTATCGCGTACGATAATCTATAAATAAAATATCGGTATATAAAGAGAAGAGGTATTTTTTAAATGAGAAATAAGGAGAGATAGAGTTTTACTTACGCCATATTAAGAAATAAGTATAGCGTAGAATTATCTATACTAAGCTATATTTATTCTAGAAACTTAAGATATACGAGAGCGGTAAGACTAGGTAGAAATATTTAATAAATAATATAATAAAATTATCGTACGTATATTAATCGGGGCGAATCCTCGGGACCGTTATTTTATATAAAGTACTATATAGCGTAATTCTAGAACTTATAATAAGTATATAAGCTATTAAAGTAGCCGCGTAGCTTAATATAAACCGGGAACGGCTAGTTATATCTATCTAGATATCGTACGGCTTATTTATAATAGGTACGATATATTATTAAGACGGCCATACCTTTACTTATAATAAGTAAAGCATTAATATAACTCGGCCGGTATAATAATACCTACGTTAGTATTAGCGATTATCGTACGATAATTATAAGGAGATTAAATAAGGCTAATATAAAACGCTATAGGTTATTATAATAAAACTATACTAACTCCTATCTCTTAATAGGTATAAAGATTAGAGAGAATCCGCCTAGGTACTAATAGGAGCCGGCGGAGCGGGCTAATTATTCTTAGTTATCGTACGTATATTAGACATTAAATATCTTACTATAATAGTTACGTTTAGGAGAGGGATTAAGGCTTAGTTATTATTATTTTAGTTCTTTTAGTTATTCTAGTTATTCTAGTTTCTATATAAAAGAGATATTAGAAATACTTTATAATAAAGGGATTATAGATACGTACGAAGATATAATAACAATAAAGATAGATAATATTAAGAGAGGAAGAGAGTAATAGTCGGACGAGATAAAAAAAGAAAAAAGAAAATAAAGAAAAAGAAAAAGAAAAGAGAAAGAGAAAGAGAAAAGAAGAGATATATAATAAGAGAATATAAAGGTAGCTATATAAAATTTAATTTAAATAATAATTATTCCTTATACGAGGATATATTTCTATAATCTTATTAATATTTCCTTTCTCTTCTTTCTTTTCTTTTGGTTTTTTTCTTCTCTTTTCTTCTACCTCGTTTAGTTATTATTCTTTTTCTCTTTTAATATTATCTTTATTTCTATTAATATTATATCTTCGTACGTATTTATAATTCTTATAATACTAAATATATAAAATAAAGGTTATTATTATATTAAATAATATAATAAGAAGGTAGAATAATAAGAAGGTAGAATAATAAGAAGGTATAGAAATAACTATATAAAGTTTAATTTAAATAATAATTATACGAATAATTATATAGAATTTAATTTAAATAGTAGTTACGTTTCGTATAAGGATAATTTAAATGGTAATTACGTCTCGTATAAGGATATATTTCTATAATCTTATTAATATTCCTTTTTTCCTTTCTCTCCCTTTCTCTTTTCTCTCTCCTTTTATTACGTCTAACTATCTCTCTCCCTCTCTTAATATCGTTTCTCTTCCTCTTTCTTAATATTATCTCTCCCTCTCGCTATTATATCTTCGTACGTATTTATAATCCCTTTATTACGAAGTATTACTAATATCTTTTCTATATAAAAACTAAAATAATTAGAATAACTAGAATAATTAAAACAATAATAACTAAGCCTTAATCTTCCTTCCGAGCGTAATTATTATAGTAAGATATTTAATATTTAATATACGTACGATAACTAAGAATAATTAACGCGCTTTACCGGCTTCTATTAGTACCTAGGCGGATTCTCGGGTCGCTATTCGTTAGAACTTATTAACCTTAATTCTTCTACTTATTAAGGGATAGAAGTTAATATAGTTTTATTATAATAACTTATAGCGTATTATATTAACCTTACCTAATCGCCTTATAATTATCGTACGATAATCGCTAATACTAGCGTAGGTATTATTATACCGGCCGAGCTATATTAATGCTTTACTTATTATAAGTAAAGGTACGGCCGTCCCGGTAGCGTATCGTACCTATCGAAAATAAGCCGTACGATATCCGGACGGATATAGCCGGCCGTTCCCGGTTTATATTAAGTTACGCGGCTACTTCGGTAATTCGTATGTTTATTATAAGTTCCGGGATTACGTTATACGGTATTCCGTACGCGACGGCGGTCCCGAGGATCCGCCCCTAGATAACGCCCTTCCGCCGCCGCCGCCCGTATAGCTAGCTAGTTAAGTAATAAAACTAGCCTCGTCCGACGAGGAAGGGACGGTAAATTATCTAATAGTAATAAATTAACGTAAGTATATATTTCCTTTATACGAACCCTTTCTATAAGATTTCTAATTTAGTTTTATAGTTTAAACCTTGCTTCATTTTTATTTTAGACGGTAAATTTAATTTTAGAAGGGAAAAGAAATTAATTTAGCGTTATAGAGTTCTGGTGGTTTTTTTTTTTCGAGGTAAATATTTCCGAAAATCGTTTTATCGGATACGTACTAATGGTGCACCGTAATAGCTACTAGGCCCGGTACCGTATAGATAGGCGCGCGGTTAAGGCGATCCAAATACTTTATTCCTATTAGTAAAATAAAAGCGCTAATATAAGTAATAATAGGCTAATAGCGGCGATGGGAAAGAAGAATACCTTACTTACTAGACCGAAGGCGGAGGTTCCGTGGCCGGACCTTATATATATGCTGCGTAGATATACTACCATGGCCCCAGAAGAGCTTAACCGCGGACTTGAGGCGTTTGAGCTCGCGGTCTAATAGGTAGATGGCTTGTTTCTGAACCGGGTATAGTATGTTATCCTGTTAGTGTATGATCGGCCGATCAGTCTCATTATGTAGCATTATATTACCATCGTTATAGTTTTGGGTGTCGTATGCGGGTCTGTTACGGTAATGAATAAATTGCGTACTACGTTTAGGTCCTCTCGTTTAGTCTGTTTTATACGTAATTATATGTTTAATATCGTTAGGTATATGACTGTAGGTTATACTTAGGTACTGGGGGGGAATTAATTTGGTTGTCCTTCTGTGGATTCCCCGCGTACAACCTGCTGGTCTGTTGGAGGTCTTCGTGCCGAGCTCGTCTGGCCGGTTATTCCGTTATCTAATGATCTCATACCAGGTATGCCACATGGAGCTGCGGGAGAGGCAATGTAGTTTTCGGGGTTCTCCGTGAATGCGTATTCTAGGGCTGCCATTTACAGCTTGGTACACTTGCGTAAGAGAGAAGGAGAGAGAGAGAAGAGTATAAGGATCATTTCGTAATAAATACTAACAGCGGCATTTCCGAAGATTGTTTTAAAGGCTGCCTTAATAGCCCAAACGGCGGTCACCTCAATGGTAAGGCACAAAGGATTAGTTGAGCTAGCTAGCAACCCCGGTTAAACTAAACTACTTTTGAAACTCGGAGCTCTTAAAATTAGCGCTAATATACCCTATTCTAACACATCTCTAATTTGATCCCTATTATTCTCGCTGTTTTAAAGTCGGTGTGTCAAGACAAGGAGGAGAGCCCACGCCTCCGACCCCTTTTGATGACTAGTTCAGAGCCACTCTGGCGGTAAGCTAACATAACCCCCCCCCCCCCCCCCACGGGCCAACCCTTCACGGACCGGGCTTTTTTATATAGGTTTACATACAAAATGCCTGGTCCGCAAAGCGGTGGCCCGTAGAAAGGCATGTCAGCTTGATATACCTACAGGTTGAACAAAAAAGTCGCCTGGGCAACACTAGTTGGGGTGGTGGAATAGGGCCGCCACCACCACTACCACCACTTCATATTCTTTGGTAGGGGCCCAATACCCCTAGAGAAAGTGTTATCACCGCAGCAATCCTCATAAACAGGGCCACGACGGGCAGTTCGTAACTAGAGGCTGAGAGACGGAAATTGTGGTGAATACGAAAGACAACGCTCTAACTACCACTCTCCTTTACCACCGGCTAGCAAACAGCTGCTGTAATAAGGGGATGTACTTAGAATAGTCTTAGTTTAACTAACGACTCTATGGGAGATCTCATCGCCTTTACCCCGTCTCCCTTGCTGACTTAGTTGGTTCCAGATCTTAGTATTTGGTTCTTGTTTTGTCAACCCCTAGCGTCACCACACAACTACCGAGTGCAGAAGATACAGAGTAAAAGAGCCTAACGGCTATAAAAGACACAGAAAAGGCAATCATGAATCTACCAAGGCCACTAGAAAAACTGCAAATTTCCATTTATAATCAACTCTAATATATAAATTAGGCTACTTCTCTGCAAGCCACCCCTTTACGGACCGGGTATTTTATATAAGCTTACCTATGAACCATTTATCGCCGTAAAAGATCGGAAAGGAAATCAGAAATATATTAAATAAGAAAAATAAGATTATCTAATATTAACCATTTCTCTATTGAGTATATGGAGGATTAAGTGATAACCCTATTCTATTACTGTGAAAAAATTATATAAAGGTACCGATATAGAGTACAGTTAACAGATTTACTAATAAATTCTATGGAAAACTGTTAGTGCAGGAAAGACAACCTTGAAACGTACGAAACTCATTATATTATTAACAAGTAAAAGATTTGAAAAAGCTTTATATATTACGTCACGTAGAGAGCCAGGCTCCCTACTTCTTCTCCGGTTGCTCGCTTACCTAACCTAGCTCCCAGCTCCCTATTATGTTCCTAGTTAGCTAGTCAGTCAATTCAACCTCTTCCCACCTTCTGTTGCCCCTACTGCAGAGCAACCTCAGTTCCTGCGCAGTTCTCCCAATCCACGTAATATGTTAATATAATAACGCAATCTAATTGCCTATGAGAAAATTTAATTTTTCCGATTCTTCCCGATTTTTTAGGTGGGTAAACTGGTTGTATGTAAGCTTATATGTTGCGTGAAACGTAGAGGCCTACATTTACGCGGTGCGGTATGTAGGCATATAAGGGCTGGTTCAATTGCTACGTGACAATATATAAAATAGCCGGTCCGTGAAGGGGTGGCCCGTAGAGAGGTGGTTTAGCTTAATATTTCAAGTCGCTTCATTTCTTATTAGCAACATCGGCGACCTTATTTCTTGCCAAAAACAATGCCTAACCTCACAGATATCGCTCTCCCGGGCCTTGGCTATGGTATCCAAAAATGGGCTGTCACTCTCCCAAACAAAATTGCCATCCGACATTCTGCGCGTCAAGTTACATACCAGCAATTGGATTCCCTAGCGAAGTATATTGCCCTTCAGCTCGTCAAAGGCGGACTGTGCTACGAGGAGCCTGTCGGTATCCTCACCGGTCATGGCATCAACCACATTATTGCTCAGGTAGCCGTTTTATACGCTGCCGGCACCTGTCTGCCCCTAGACCCAGAACTTCTGTCCGATGACATGCAGACAAGGTTGGACGTCGCCAAAGTCCGATACCTCATCACAGACACTGAACATGAAGATTCTCGCCTCTCTACGCAGACTCGATTTCTTGTTTCTGCACCACCTGCTGAGCCACATAGAAGCAATGGCGGAGACAGCGAAAATGACAAGGAGGTGACCATTCCAGCTCCTGTGCGAGCGGACCACCGCTCCCACATTCTCTTCACTTCTGGAACAACAGGTGTTCCTAAAGGCGTTGAAGTTCCCGGGAGAGGTATTCTACGTCTGGCCAGGGACAAACTGTGCTTTCCTAGCCCGAATGAGGAAGTTCTTGGCCACATTAATAGTGTTGGCTTTGATGTTTCGTTGCTCGATATATTCGGCGCCCTTCTCAACGGCTCTACCATTGCGGTACTCGACCGTCAGCAGGCACTGAGCCCCGAGATCTTCGCTAAAGCCCTTAGGAGCTTGGGCGTAACCTCGATGTTCTTGACCTCAAGCCTCTTTAATATCATCGCCATTGCCTGTCCGTCGGCATTCTCTGAGATGAACACTCTAATGGTTGGTGGCGAGCCACCAGGTGTCAAAGCTCTACAAACCGTCTTTCATAACGGGCCGCCGAAACGTATTGTTAACGGTTATGGCCCAACGGAGTCCACAGTCTTTGCTGTATGCCACTGCATAACACGAGAGGAAGCCGATGCGGGGAAACTCTTCATTGGAAAAGCAATCCTCGAAACTGAAGTTTACATCCTCGATCACGACATGAAGCCTGTCGAGGGACAGGGTCAGGGAGAACTATACATCGGAGGAAATGGCCTCGCTCGGGGTTACTTGAATAACGAGGGGAAGACTCGTGAGGCTTTTGTGAGGGCTCCCGGGTTGGGCATCAACGGCAAGGACGTCTTACTCTACCGGACAAGAGATATTGTTAAACGCAATCGTGATGGGAATATTATCTGGATGGGTCGCAAGGACCGTGAGATCAAGATACGCGGGTACAGAGTTAACCTCGACATCGTCGAGGCCAATCTTTTGGATACCCACCTAGTCAAAGTCGCCGTGGCTATGAAGATCCAGCCTCCTGGCCAGATTGCCGCTTCGCTCGTTGCATGCGTCTCCCTCGAGGAGTCCATTAACATCCAGGCACTGCACCTTAACCTCAAGAAGCGTCTCCCCGCTTATATGATCCCGCAAATTGTGGTCATAGATAAAATCCCACTCAATCGGAACGGCAAGGTTGATCGGCACAAGATATCCCAGGACCTGGCAGAAACTATCCGAAATAATATTCGGGATGGCAAACTGTGCACCGATACGTTGTTGCTGGATAGCAAGCTTTCTATTGTAGAGAAGCGCCTTGCGTCGGTTTGGCTCCGAATCCTAGGTACCGTCTCGCCGTCTAGTATCACCCACGAGGCAGACTTTTTCCACCTTGGTGCCACCTCGCTTTCTGCAGCGGCATTAATTGCAGAGGTCCGCTGTGAGTTCAACGTGGTACTTACCGCACGAGCCGTCTACGAGCACCCGACCCTTCGTGCTCTAGGGGCCGTCATTGAAAAGGGCGGAGCAGATGAGTTCGGTCGCATTGAGGAGGTCGTGGCCCAGTGCAGGCGAGATGCTGGACTCTGGCGGCGAGTCAATTGGTCCACCGACACTCCACATGTTACGGACTGGAGAGCGAAAGATGAAGGAAAGGTCCTTATCACTGGCGTCACTGGGTTCGTTGGCGCCTTCGTCGTCTCGGAAATGCTAGCGCTGGAAGAGGTCAAAAGTATCAGGTGTCTCGTTCGCTCCCCCTCAGCCGAAGAGGGCTACAAACGGTTATTAAAGAATCTCGAAAAGTACAACCTTGGCAAGCTTCCCAGAGACCACTTATCCAAACTGGAGGTCATCAGCGGAGACTTCGCCCACCCGAGGCTCGGTTTAAGCGAGGATGATTTCGACGCCCTAGCAAACTGGGCAAGTGTTGTATTCCACATGGGCGCCCAGGTCAATTATAACCAGCCCTACTCTGCGCACCGATCAGCTAACGTCCTCGGAACTCTGCACATGGTGCAATTATCATTGAGTGGCAGGATCAAACCTTTCCACTACACCTCTAGCATCGCGGCCTACGGCCCGACTCGCTTTGCTAAACGTCAGCTTATTTCCGAGGATGAGCCTATCGCGCCATTCATCGAGACTTCAGTTCCCTATGAAGGTGGCTACGGGCAGAGCCAGTGGGTTGCGGATGAGATCGTCTCTAAACTCATGCTGGCGGGTCTCCCCATCGCCATCTACCGGCTCGGATTCGTTCTATGCGATAGCAAAACCGGAACAGGCAACCCGGATGACTTCGTCAGTAGACTGTTGAAAGACTGCATGGAGCACGGAACTTACCCTCTTCTCCGCAACCAGCGCAAGGAATTGGTCCCGGTCGACTACGCAGCCTCTGCTATACTTGCCATCTCCAAGTCCCAGACCAACCTAGGCAAAGCCTACCACATCTGTCCAGACGTTGACAAATCTCTCGACGTCATAGATTTGTTTGAGATGGTGGCACGGATCCAGAACCTCGAGCTCAGGGGTCTCGAATACCCAGAATGGGTGGAGCGGGTGAAGAAGACTACTACCGTCGGCTCTGGTTCGCGGCTCGAGGCGTTGATTCCTATGTTAGAGGAGAAGGTTTACGGCGATATGACGCGGTGGGAAGTCTATGAAGACATGGCGCGCTTCAAGTCGGATAACACCTCGCGCGCACTCGGCAAAGATAACAACGTCTTCTGTACACACATTGACGAGGTGGTCCTCAGACGATACCTCGATACTTTGCAGTAGGTGCGGAACTAGCAGGGCCAAGGGGGGCGGGGGAACCTCGCGAGGCAAAGTATAACCGACTCCCAGGTGCTGTAAGTTACAAGCGATAGCAACTATTTCATTATGTCTATGAAGCGTATAAAATCCCAGTTAAGGCACGCAATGCGAAGGGTAAATCCGCGGTCCTCCTCCCTCCCTTTCGTCCCCCTCTAGTCGGCCCTAATCGTCTCGCCGTCTCGATCGCGTCCTCCCCCCCCTCGTCTTCCTCCGCACAGCCACCGCGACCCCCCTCCTCGGCGCCTCAGGTGCTGGCGCCGGTGACGGGGCAGACGGCGTGGGAGCCGGGGACGACGGCGGGGTGCACGACGAGGCGGTCGCGGTGGTGCTCGACGCGGGCGCGCGTGACGGGGCACACGTCGCTGTCGGTCCAGGCGTCGGCGCTCGGGTGGTGCGGCGGCAGCACCGTGGTCACGGGCCCGACGACGGGGCACACGCGGTCGTCTGGCGTGGGTGGATGGGTTTAGTGAGTGGGGATATACTAGGGGGTGGGGGAGAGGAAATAGAGGGGGATAGTGCTACATACCCATCTCACGGCTCTTCTTCTCGTTAACGACGAAGCGCAGCGCGGGACAGGCCTGGGCGTCGGGGGCGCCGGCGCACGGAGTGGTGTGGTCGTGGGTCGCGGCCGGGGACACGCTGGGGTGATGGTGCAGGCGGGCGTGGTGCTCCGTCTTAGCGCCGACGACGGGGCAGGTCCGGCCCGGCTGGGAGAGGTCGACCTCGGGGTGGTCGGGCGGCAGGGTGTGGTTCGTGGTGCCGACGACGGGGCAGACGTCCGCGAGAGTCATGGTGGCGAGAAAAGGAGAGAGTGACAGACAAAGAAGGGTTCTTGGGGGAAGCGGTCCTAGGTATAAACTAGGGGGGTAGCTCGTATGTGTTAGGTATATACCCGGAGATATGTCTTTCAGAGCTCAGTAGTCTATGCCGGGGGGCGAGTGGCGACTCAGTATAGTGAAGAAGCGGAAAGGGAGGAGAGAGGGCGATGGCGATGGGAAGAGGGAGAGAGGAGCAGGAGGGGGGAGAGAAGTGGACATTTTCAAGACCTGCCGACCGCAGGTAGGGAGGGAAACAAAGAGGGCTAACGAGGACGGGGGCCAAGTCGGCGGCGAGCGAAGCCAAAAAGGAGCTTCGAGTTCAGGCCTCTTTACGCACTGGGTACGTCAAGGATCCGCTGGTATGTTCAATGATCGTGATTGGAATCGGTGGCGCGCTGATTGGCTGCTCACCGCGAGCTCCTCGGTCCATCCCAGGCGCCACCGCGTCACTGCGGGGGCCGAGAGGCGGGTCCTGGGAGGGATCGAGGTGGGAGGTCTCGACTACACGTAGAGCAATGCGCTCGATGTACTCAGTACATTCAGTAGCTGAGGCAGACGCGTACATAATTGCACACCTTCTATCCTCTCCAGTACTTGCGTACCTATCATACGTCGGTATATGTACATGTACATGACATATGTATGTAGGTAGGTACGTTGATGCATACCGCCTTCGTCCAATGTCTGTCGCTGTTATGTACATACCGACAGGAACCGAAGCCGAGACATTCGGGCGCTCCCGCTCGTCAACGGCATTACACAGAACTTCGATAAATTGCCTCGGTGATATAGCATAAGCCCTCTATACGTTCGTGTACGTGTCAGAGCCCAATACGCAGTAATAATAATTATGGGATATCGCAGGAAATCTGCAGGTGCTTGAGACGGTGTCATGCTTAAGATGGTACTGCGTATTTACCTTGGAGAATAGCGACTTTACGTATGGTGTAGATCAGTAGGTTACTTAACGAAGGATAGGTTCGATTCCTAACAGCGCTTAGGTACTTGGTGGTCTTCGCTACTTAGCTCATCTGGTGTAATCCGTCAGAAGGTACCTTAGGTATCTACCCTCACTACGATGGAAGCTTCTAGGTACCTACCTAGGTACCTACCTCTCTTCAACCCCACACCCTCGTACCAGCAGAGCCATCGTGGGCAACCATCGTGAGATGGGCAATAATCAACACACATGTTTCTCAATTGCTCCCCCAGATCCGCTTCCCTTCTCCGTTTCTCAGTCGGCAGACGCGATCGCCCCCTGACACCCCCCCGCGCCTAGGCTCTACCTAACGTCTCCGCCCAGTCAACGACACCGCGTGCCTGTGCGGCCGCGCCGTCCCGCCCGTCGCCCGCCACGTCGACGAGGACTGGTGCAACACGCCCTGCGCCGGGTACGCGCCGCAGATCTGTACGTGCGAGACGCAACCCCCCCTTTTTTTTCTTCTTTTTGTCGCAGGCGATGGCGCCCGAGGGCTAGGAGCTGACCGGCGTGCGGCCAGGCCCTTCGAGCAGGCGGCGGCCGAGGCTTCCTGTCCGTCTACCGCGTCGCCCGCGAGGACGAGCCCCCCGAGACCCCCCTCGCAAGGCAGACCCCGACCCAAGGCGTCTGGACGGCCGAGGCCACCGGTATCGCGTCTGCTAGGGGGAGCGCGGCCGTCGTGGCTTGGAAGTAGTGGGCTCTAGAGCTTGCGCGTTTAGTTCAGCGGACCGGACTCGACTCTGCTCGGACTCTCAAGCTTGTGCTTCGCTTTAACTTTTGATGGGATCCGCTCAGGATCAGGCGTCGACTTGAAAATAGTGAGCGCCTTAACTATCGTTGCCGGCAGGCAATATATACTTATAGGTATATTACGCGGTTTGTAGCGCTGTCTCAGCTTAAGATTTGTGGGTTTCGGAAGCTGTCCTGACCCTCCTGATCGGAGTAAAGCTCCGGGCTTGAGTGCGGGGTCGGGATGAGATGAACGACACATGTGTTTTTATTTTTCCGATTCTTTTCATAACTGGTAAAGTATTCCCCCAAGGCACGACGATAAACAATGGAAATACCATCACGGCGTATTCTCTTCTGCCAAAGACTAAGTCAGCATTGGGTCTTGAGAATACCTCTAGACGATGCGCCATTTGATGTCCCCACGACCCCAAGCAGTCTATCCCCTTGAGGCCAGAATATCGCCGGTCCTGTTTTCTCTTCCCGCTTCTGGAGAATGCGCCGCAGCCAATAACACCGGTGACATCAACCACGCCGGGAGCGCGCGAACCCGGAAACCGTCTAGGCCGTCCTAGTAATCCGTCCCCCGCCGGCTGACCCTCGACAGCTCGGTGCCTCGCGGCATTCGCCCTGGTCTCCTTATCCTCCCCCCACCCCCCCCTATTTACACGATAGCATAATCTCCACCAACCTTATCGGCACGTTGCCGTCCCCCCCTCAACGACCTTCCCTTTTCGGACCGCAAGCGCGCCCCATGAAACCAGGCTGACCGGCTGTGAGACAAACACCAGCTCGGCATTGACCTCCAGAACGAGCAGCTACCGTGAGGTGACCGCCGTTGCGGGGGGAGATTGGCGCTCGAGGGCACGCGTACGGGCTTCAGCTATTCGCTGGGGCGGCGCGACGACGGCAGAACCAATGCAGCCCCGTGGCGATGTAAACCCTGCGAGGAAGGAGGATCCGCGGGGAGCGTCGGCACGGGACGTCGATCCAAATATGGTGGGCATAGATTCGCATATATATATGGCGTAACCTAACCCATCCGAAACTCTCCCTATCCCGCGATCGCCCTCCACACCTACCGTTGCTCCCAGCCCCTTCTCAGCCCTCCTCGCCCCCCCTCTACGGGCCCGCATCCTACCGCGCGAAGACGTCGCGATGAAGCTCTCGATCTTATCTCTAATTGCCTTCGCGGCCTCGGCGGCGACCGGCGCGCCAGTGACAACCCCGGAGGAGGCGGCGGTGGAGCTGCAGGCGGCGACGACGTGCGGGACCAAGTCCTACACCGCGACGCAGGTCAACCAGGCGGCCCAGAAGGCCTGCACTTATTACCAGGCCGGCACCACCGCCGGCAGCTACCCCCACACCTACAACAACTACGAGGGCTTCACCTTCGCCGTCACCGGCCCCTACCTCGAGTTCCCTCTCCTCTCCAGCGGCAGCGTGTATACCGGCGGTTAGTTCGCCCCTCCTCTACCCGCCTTCCCTCTTCTCCCCTTCTCCTGCCTCGCACCCCCCCCCCCAACACACACTTTCTCTCTATCTTCCCACATCAAGCCATCCGACACGACGAGCAACAGCTAACGCGCGCGCGTGCGGGAACAAAATAGGCTCGCCCGGCCCGGACCGCGTCATCATCAACACGTCGTGCAAGCTCGGCGGCGCCATCACGCACACGGGCGCCAGCGGGAACGCCTTCGTCGGCTGCTCGGGGACGAGCTAGGGCGCCCCGTCGGACAGAGAGAGAGAGAGGAAGGGGACTGCTCGCGCGAGGCGCCTACATATATATCATCCGTCTCCCACGACGGGCTGTACATACCGGAGACCCCGTCCTTCGGGCAGAACTTACTAGACTGTGCATACCTACACCTAGATGGCAGGGGGGCAAGGGGAGTTTGCAAATGCGATATCGAACGAGAGCGGCAGCGTACGTACGTGCCTGCCCACTCATATTATAGTGATGTGACACAGTATTATCCGCGACTATGGCGTTGGTCTGCGCGTGGCATATCTCGAGTCTCACGTAGGAGGCGAGGTTTGGGTAGTAAGCAGTTTTGCGGCAGGTATATTGTTCAACGAAGTGAAATATCTCCTTTTTATATATTTGCAGCAAGCCGCGGCAGAGCAGAATCGCGCAACCGACCAACCAATCGATCTCAACGACAACTACGCGAGCGGTCAGCCCACAATGGAGAGGGCTAGTCCGGTTGCTCAAGGGCCAGATCACGGTCGATCGAGACCAGGAGGAAGCATGGCCGGGGCAAATGACGCTGATCTCTACGGAAGCTCTGCATGTATGGCTCTGAGGACAGTGGTACCTACTCCTCATAGCCAATATTGCCTATATGACGATCAATCTGAGATGAGCAAATAGGTAGAAAGGCTTGTATAAATAGTAGGTATACCCGAGAAACTTTGCCCTCCCATAGGAAGCACAGCATCCCCACCAATGGCCGACGCTTCTTCGCAATTCTCGTCGTCCTCGGCGTGTTCAATAATGGTATACACTAGAGAGCGCTAATGCGGTAGTTCAAAGTCGGGCCAGACATTCCACCAGTCCTCTGCGGGGCGGTTTAAAAGGAGACGGCCAGGCTCAACGTCGGTGCGGCCGCGGGTCACGGGGCTAGTAGTAACATCGACGGGGCCGTGTGACTCTGCCGGTGTCGCCACCGTCTGTCACGATGCTCTATACCTCTACATATAGGTACGGGAGGATCAGGAGACAAGGGCACGGGGATAGAGTTACGCACCCATGTAGGTAGATATGCTAATGCTAAGGTAATTAACACTCAATCTCTTCAGTGTTATCGACCTTGATGAGTTTCCGGCTTTGTCGTAGGCCATGGCGATAGCCTCAGCCACGCTTCCTCCAGTGGGCATCGTTCACAACCTCCGCGGTAATGATGCTTTAGAATCCCGCCCTGCAACCGATACTCGTTTGCCTTGTTTAACAATACTCGCCTCCTCAACTTGTCCATATAGAGGCCTTCCCTACCCCCTCCGCTTATATACCATCTACCCTTCCTAATATCGTATCGCATCGTGCTCAAGGGTGTGGTTGCTGTCATGGTTGAAGGGAGAACGGCAAAGTTCGAATATAGGCAGGCTCTCCGAATGGGTAGGTGCCGTCGTCGCGCTCCTATGAGGGTTTCGAACCCCATACCAACGAGCCGGTATGCGTGGAGGCGTCCCAATCCTGCGCGCGGCGGCACTGCTATTCTCGGGCAGCATTGCTGTTACCCTGGGCACCGGTGAAGAAGTAGGGAATCAGCTCGGCACAGGGCAGAACAAAGCACAGCCTTGCCTTTCTTACCCGGAAACCAAAGTGGTCTTATCCCGCAGGGTAAGATACTCGCTTCCGCTTCCGCCCATCTCGTCCTCGCTTTGTCGTCGACCTGCAAGAACCATTCCCTGCGTGTCCCTCAATCATCTTCGCACCACCTCCCACCCCTTCTACCGGCTAAAGATGGAATTGGCGAGACAGTGTTGTGAAGATAACGCGAAGAGGACGTACCTGTTAGCACCCTTCATGCCTGCGACAGTGGCGCTGTTGTAGGCGCAATTAGGGTCAAACGATATAGAGAAACTGGCCGGGCCGTGGCGGACACATACTATGCAAGAGCATCTGATGCTCCAGCGTTAGGGATAATACCAATAAGAGAAAGATGTGACCGAAGGGGGAGGCCGGAGAACGGCGCTCGCAGGTCGACAAGACCGAAGGTGGGATGGTGGCGTGGAGACAGCCACAGGAGCTGGAGAAGAATCGAGCTCACGACACCACGGCAGAGACAGCCGGGAGGTGTTGGAGGGTTGGAGAAGAGAGGAAAGCCAAGGAGAGGTCAGAAGGGGCCAGCTCCAGCAGGACGTAAGAAGAAGCTATGGTATCTCCTACGTGAGGGGAGAAATGCCGTCGAGAAGCCGACGAGGAAGTCGCGTCCCAACCCCCAACCCATATCGCGAGGAAGGAAAGAAAGGAGGAAAGAACGACAGTGCCAATGGACAAACGAGGCAACCTCCCTTTGTATCTGGTTACAGCAGGCACGAGCGCGGTGTTACGCGCAGTCTAGTCTGTTACGCGCAGTTCAGGATATCTGCGTTTGGGAAAGGAGGAGAATCCCGTCCCCGTCCTCTTCCTCGTCCCCGTCCTCTTCCTTGTTCTATCAACCGCCGCTTGTTCTTCACCAAGCCGTATATATCCTAAAAGTTCCCGTTATTGCCGTCGCCATCGTAGTTCTGGTCTTCCCCGCCCCTCCCGTTTTCGGTCTCTGCCGTAATGTCAGAGAACATCGGCACCGTCGCTTCTCTACACCTCTACCAGTTTATTTCTCGAAGGCGTCTTCAGTTTCACTCCCCAGAGTCATCTTTGGAGGCAGGCCAACGTGCTGTCGATAAGTTCCACCATATTATCGACTGTTTCAGCATCGAGAGCCTCAAACCACCGCGGTCCTTACCGACGCTCACAACTCGTCCCACGTACTTGCGAGCTCGTACCCTTTATACGATCCCGACAGCCTACTACAGGCCTTCTTCCAAACCATAAGCACTCTGGGGGGGTGATGACGAAGCCATTAGGGATCCCTTTACGTAAGCCGTACCTGTAGTAGCTTTTTCCAGGATTCCTGCCCCCTTTAACCGGACGTGAGGCCGTGAGCCGGGTTTAAATCATACGGTCTAGGGCACCTCACCTCGCAGCCTAGGCACAAGCTAAGAGGGAGTGCGGCTACCGAATTCTAAATGTGGATACAAAAAGGAGAAGTCTTCGTGAGAATGCCCAACCTTGAGAGAGCCAAAAAGCCAGGTCGGGGTTCTAGGGGGTTGTGTAAACACTTGATCAGGAATCCAACAGGCTGCCCATAGAACCCACTGCAGCGAGTGTGGTGATCCCCTGGGAAACCCCAGGAGGCATCTCAGAAATGGACACTGAAGCACCTTTCACAATAATATTTTCCGCGTCGGCCTCAACGCCAATACAGAGCTAAAGCAGGCCCGGCCGTCTTTGTGGCCCGCAGCTTCTGCACCCGTCGTATCTTAGCGAGGATCTCCCTCTCTTCTTTTATGAGATCGACTAGCCGCTTTACAAATCCCGCCTCAGCCCTGGTTAAAGCCAACTTCTCCCGGAGCTCGGGCTCGGCTTCGGTGTTTACGTGGACTACCCCGGCCTTATACTCAATATCCGTAGGGAAGTCTTCTGACTCGGGCGGTGGGATTATTACTGCATGCGATAATCCAAACTCTACCTCTCTACCGGCCGTAGCCTCGTTAGTAACGCCAACGCTGAGAGCTTCTTTACTAGCTCGTTGAGTCTGCGTTCTTATCGTTGTTACATGTTGTTGAGTCTCGTCCTCGGGAAATTGCTGCTTCGTGGAAGGCTGCGGATTTCCGGGAGCGAGCGCCTCGACCCCGTCTACCTAGTCCGGAAATTGCCATAGCATCTGAAAGACACTTAATTTCTTGCGCCCTAGCGTGTTCGTGTTCTGTAAGTCGCCTCTGCTGACGAGAGGGTTGAATATAATATCACGGCCCTTCTGTGACCTGCCCGAAAACTGCCCCTTGAAGCTCTCGCCCGCCTCCTTAGCTGATGTTTTGCTATCTACGTCGGCGCGAATCGATACCTTAGCGGTGAAGCCGGCCTGCGGCGTGCCTAGCAGGGGCTTATTACGCTTGAGGAGCAGCGCCGTCTGTATGAAGTGTGGGATGCCTGATTTCGTCTGCCCGTTCTCCTTGAGGGTCCAGATGACGGCGTTGGCAGGACGCTTGGGGCCGTCCTTTGCGCGTAGCGACTTAATTAAACCTGTTATATACGTGTAGTCGGTAAGGCTCGTCGTGGTGTCTGTTTGCTGCCACGTGTATCCGACGCTGGCCTTCACGGGTCCGTACGCGGCCTCGAGCGTTGGGCTGACGCTGTGGGTGACTTCGCGCGTCGTAGTGGACGGCATTACGACGAATGTGTGCTGGGGCGCAATGTCCTGCACCTCGCCTGTCGTAAACACGAAGGTGATCTCGACCGACTTGAAGCGTGCTCGCCTGGCCCGCCGTACGAAGGCAAACTGGAATACCGCCAGCGTTGTGGGCGAGCCCTGTTCCGCCATCGTGCCGTGCACGACCTGGACCATGTCGCACTTTATCGTCATACGGTCCCTGCCTAGGTCGGTGCCGATGAGGTGGGTCGGCTGCGACTCCGTACAAGAGCGGGTCTATCGAGATCGGACGATACCTTCTAGAATCCAGGAGAGATCTTCTCGCTAGAGAGACGAATCAAACTACTCGGCCCTACATCGAGCTATCTCTAACCACCAGGAAAACTTTGCGTTGATGCTTCTGGACGAGTTCTATTCCTATTTCGACCTCACCGACCTCATCGGCCTGGATGCTGTGGTAAAACCCACCAACGAGACGCCACTAATTTCGGCCGTCAAAAGATCCCAAAAGCGTGTCGTGAAGAAATTATTGGAGCTTGGCGTAGAAACAGAGGCACTCGACATAAACGGGAGGACGGCGCTGTTGGCTGCCGTGGACTGGGCCAGCGAGGATTTGTTAGGTACCCTGCTTAATCCCGATAGCGCTTATCATAAGTTAGGCTACCCCTCCATAAGCTACCCCTCTACGAGCTACTTAAATTAAGTATTACCTAGTAACTACTACGTTAATAATTAAAGCTATTTATATTATTAAAATTAATTAAAACCCTCTAATTCCGGCGTTATAACCTCGATATAATCCTCCGCTTACGATGCTTCGTTTTTAAGCGTTCCTAGCGTCGTTTTAGCCTTTCTAGGTACCTCCTCGTCGCTTGCCTCGTCCTTATATACTATCTTATCTTTTAACGACCTTTTTACCCGCCGTAAATCCGCTATATAAACGAAGCGCTTCCCTAGCGCTACGTATACCTTCTTACGCGTCTTAGTAATGGCCTTATCGTTTTTAGCGGTCTTATATTAAAGCTAGGTTATAAGAATCGCGATCGTATTAGCCTACCGGTCGAAGGTATCGCTAGTTTTCCGAATAAATAACCGCTACGATACGGCCTTAGCCTTAAAACTAATAAGAATAAACCGTTAAGTAACGTTTCGTAATGCTTAGCCGTTTAAGGATATATTAACGTATTTTAAAACTAATAACGTTAGGAAATTAGGTATTTTTAGCCTTTCGATAGCCTCCGATACCTCCGATCGTTTCGGCCGAAATCTAGGAATACCTTTATCTTTTATAATTACGAATCTCGAGAATAACGGCTTCTCGTAGTTTATAAGATAAATCCTAAAGGTTTTCTAAGCTTCTTTAATAATTTAAGAAGTTATTATATCGACCCTAACCTATCGGTATACTGTAGTGGTGCGGTAAGATATGCCCTCTTAATGCATTACGTAATACGCTACGATAGGCCTTATACCTATATAGAGTAACCATAGCTCCCGTAAGTACGGGACATACTATATTTATTATTTAGTTTATTACCTAATTAGATTGCTATCTTTATTATTTTTACCTTAATTAAAGATTCGTTTTTATTATTAGATTCGTCGTTCTCCGATTAGTATATTTATTTTAATTATAGGCGCTTAAGTTACTTCGTCGTACTGCTATAGCCGAATAAGTAACTTTTACGTTTTACTCCTTTTCTCTTCTTACCTCTTATGCCTTCGGGCTAGCGACTATTATATCTCTATAACTAAGGGGTATAGCTAAGATACGATAACTACATTAAATTCCTTACCTTTCGATTAATATAGCGATATTAATTTTATTTATCTTAGACTATCGTACGTATTATAATCTTCGATAGAATATACTTTCGAATAAACCTATCCGGGTTTTTAATAGCGCGTACGCTTTACTCCTCCTTAATAGCGACTACCTTATAACTTTTTCGACTCCTTAACCTTTAGTTTACGGAATTTCTATTACGTTATTAGGATTTAAAGGATACCGATCGCCGTCGGCGCCGTTATTTAACCCGCGAAGTAGCCCGCGTTTTACGTTAAATAAAGTATCCCGCCTTATAGTTATTTATCTATTATAGGAAGGTACGTATAAGCCCGGGAACTTTTATAACGATATTATAGCTACTAAGATAACGCTTAGCCTTTAATACTTATAACGCTAATAAGCTATCGATACTACGATATAATACGACGATTAAACCGCGTTTATACCGATTAGAATATTCCTCGTATCGTTATTTACTTACTTATATGGAGGAATCCGTAAAACCTAGGAGAACTTTCGTCGTAATATAACCGCTACTAGGGATAATACTTAGCCCTCGATACTAACCGCTTCCTCGAACCGCTAATAATATAATATATTTCGTACGAGTAAATAAAGCTTATAGCGATTAAAGCAGCCCCCTTATAATTATTTATTTATTATATGGATTAAACGTACGAGCGCCTTAATATAAATTACGATAACCTATACGACCCGCTACTTCCTTATTAATATTAAAGGCGGATAAAGGCTAATAATAATTATGCCTTAACCGACCTTACGATAGCTTCTTTTTCCTTCTAAACTTATTAATCGATATAAATTAAATATATAGATACTAATAACTTATTATGTTAAAGGTATTTTAAGATACCTAAGCGTAGCGATTCGATAATATAATATACGATATAATATAAATATTTATATTAATAATATAAATAAGAATTAATAAACTAATAACTACTAATAACCGATAGTTTTAAAAGAATTAGGAATTAATATTAATAGGACTACGTAGATATAAAGGATTAAGGAAACGGAACTAAAGTCGAATTAATAGGTATACCTATATATAGGCTAGCCCTATATTACTAATTAATAGCTAGCATAACGAGAAGTATTAATATAGGCGTAAAACGGCGCCTAGCGGTAATACCGCTAATATTATTAAATAACCTTCGTTAGATCGAGACCGGCCTATAGCTATAACCGATATCGTATCTAGCGCGATCCTTTATTCGGGATTTATTCCTTATACGTCTTATTTTAACGAAAGTTATACGTTAGGAGTTTTAAACCTTAATAAAAGGAATTATCGTCGACTTATTTATAATAATTAAACTATTAATCTAAGGAATACGTATCGTACTTTAGTTAGGCGTTAGCCGATTAGAAAAGCTCGTATAATACCCGGATCCTATCGATCGGGATAATATAATAAATAATAATATATTTATACTAAAGGAAAAGTATTAGGATATAAATAATAGTTATTATACCTTTACCTTTATATTAAATAATAAGACCCCTACTACCTCCCTTTTTATTTCATACTTCGTATTAATAAATTAAACGGAATCCGTAGCTAGGAAACGGAATAAATCGCCGTTAGAACTAGAAGTAGTAAAGGCTAAACTATTAATAAAGACCTTAAGAGTCGATACTAATTCTCCGTCCTTATATCCGCCCGAAGAAGAGAAGGACGACGATAAAACTCCTACTTAGCTACCTCTTACCCGCGGCTCTATACTTATCCCGCTAATTCCTATAGTATTATCTTAAAATAATAATAACGAGGCCTTTAGTAGCTAGAATATACCGGTAGCTACCCCGATTATCGTAATACTAGTTATTAGATTTCCTAACCTTACCGATTACCTTAGGCTTAAGTTTAACGAATATAACGTAACTTAATAACTAAAGAAGGTAGATCGATTATTTAACCGCTACCGTATAAGCGACGACGATAAGATTAAAGAGATCGGCGAATAAATTACAATTAAAATTATTAGGGAGCGTATTAACGACGTCGCGAAGGATTAAACGATTTAAAGAGTTATCGTTATAGCCTTAAAGTACCGCTTTAAGATTACCGATAAACTAGGTTAAGCTAACGTTAAACGTAAACTCGTATAGCTAGAACGAGGTAACGTAATTAACGATCTTAAGGCGATTTTTACGTATCTTATAAACTATAAACGTCTTTCTAAACTCGTAAACGATAACGGAAAGCTTCCTTAGAAAGTAGGATACCTAATCGATAAACTCCGGATATCCTTAATTATAAAGTTCTATAAAACGGGCGATTATAATTATAATAAGATCGGAAATATCGACTACCGGATTCTTTATACCTAGCTTTATAAGTAAGCGGAACGTCGTATAGTAGCATAAATTACCGATAGGACCTAAGCCGAGGAACGACGATAATAGAAAACGGTAACTTTCGAGGAGCCCGAAAAGCCTATAATATAAATAGTTTAACGATTAGCGATTCCTAACCTCTAAATACCCCTACTACCGCTTTCCTCGTAGCCTAGACCCTCTTACGGCTACCTAAATACTAATTAAGAAGCTAATATATAAGCCTTCTACGACCGACTTAACGCTTTAGAAATAAAGATAACTTCGTAGAACTACCGTTAGGATAGTAGCTCTTATAGCCCTAAGGATACGTACGGCGCCGATTAATAATATTAATAAGAAAACCCGTTCCTAGTAAACGCGGTTTAAAACCTAAGTCTTTATAACCTATAAATTAACGGAAGGATCCTAATAGGCTCTAAACGTAATACCATATTAAATTACCGAGGCATACGTAATAAGATTCTATTAACTTAAACGAATAATTATAAGGAATTCGAATGCTAGTTTTATAGTACTTTCGATCGGCTTTATAACTATAACCGTTACCCGCTATTAATAAATATAACCTAGAATCGGTTCTACTATAGGAGTAATAAGCGACTATACTACTTCGAGAACGGAAACCCGGATAAGCTAAAATTAACGCTAATCCTAGGATCGATTATTACCTAAGCTAAGCGTAAAGAAGAACCGATCGCTTATTATATCTTATTTTACGTATATTAAAATAAGGAATCTTTAGAATAAGTACGTAAGATAATATATTACTACTTAGCCGGAAAGCTAAAGCTTATATTTCTCGACTTACGATACTTTAAAAACGAGGAAGTAGTATTAAAGTAAGAAGAAATACTAAGAGCTATATCGGAAATTAACGTTATTTAAATAATCGAACGTAAATATAACTACGAATTATACGAGACGGAGATCTTAGGTTATAATTAAATTAAGGGTTTTATCGACGACGAGAATATCTATTATTATAAGGATATTATTAAAACGGACCTAATCGAAGTTAACGTAGTTAAGCGAATTAAAGGTCCTAACGGCGAATATATCGAAAAAGAAGTACCCGATTAAAAGGATATAGAAGTCCTATCGTTATAGCTTAAGCGTAAACCGACTAAAGCCGGTAAGAACGCTACTTCGAATACGAACGACCTAGCTAAGAAAGCGAAGACTATTAACGAATTACTAAAAGAGTTTTAACTAAATAAAATTAATAAGAATAATAAGAAACGCTTCGAGGTTTCGTAAGATAACCTAATTAAGTTCATACCCGGGTTTTCGGAATAAGTAATTAAGTACCTTACGATACGCGCTATAAAGATTAACGAAGGTTAGTTTAAGGTTATTAAGATTATAAAGGAATAGGTATAAAAAGATCGGAAAGAAAGCGTTAAAATACCTAGCGTACCGTAAATTACCGCCTCGTTTATTAATCCTTCGAGTAAAATAACGGTAAATTTTATTATCGTAA